AAAGACGGGCGAGGAAGAAGCAGAAGTGGCACTTGACGATGTAAAGACGGGCGAGGAAGAAGCAGAAGTGGCACTGGACGATCCTGCACCCCAGCTGGATGAGGCAGCGGTAGATGATCCCACAGCGGGCGACGAAGAAGATCCGGCGCCCGAGGATGAGGCAGCAGTGGACGATCCAACAACGGGCGTGGACGAGGACGAACCCGAAGAGGTGGCAGAACTGCTAGAAGTTCCCGCGCCCCAGGAAGACACCGCAGCAGTAGATGAGCCAACAGCTGGCGAGGATGAGCTGGATGATCCGAAAGCGGGCTTAGACGAGGTAGCCGATGCACTTGATGACCCGGCGCCCCAGGCAGATGAGGGTGTGGCAGTGGCGAAGGCCGACGTCGAAGACAATACTGCTTTGGTCGGCGAGACAGAAGCTGACGACGCGCCAGCAGGTGCCGACCAGGTCGAGGAAGCGACTGCAGGAGCTGAAGAAGATGAGAGCCCAGCTGGCGCCGACGAAGTAGAGTAAGCAACCGAGGAGGACTTGCTTGAGGAGCCAGCTGGCCCAGCCGAGGAAGCGCCTGAGGCAGCAGAACTACCTTTACCTCCCTTGCTCCAGGCCGTAGTCGCGGTGCTTGAAGCGCCACCAGCCGGGACCCATGTTCCAGAAGAGAGCGAGAATGTCCCTGGTGAGCTCAGTCCAAAGGCAGCATATCCAGTAGAAGTTGGAGCAGCAGATGTCACTGCCTTGTCGCCGCGAGGTTCGAGAGCACGAGCGGAGACACTGGTCTGCAGCGCAAGGGCGAGAAGGGCGATCTTTGAGTGCATCCTGAACAGAAGCGAAGGTCGGGGTGCGAGTGCGAGTGAGTGAGTAAATATAGAGTAGATGTTCTTTGGTTCCCTTCTTATATATTTCGGAGCACTGTCGCTAGGATAGGTACCAGCCACATGTTGTCGCTGTGCAAAACACCGACTTTGTTGAAGTCGATGTTCACTGGGACCCTATCCATGAGGCCATTGGAAGGCTTGCGAAGTCCGTCAAGTCATGATAGTTGGAATCGCGGGAGGCGGGTCGGGTAACGGTGTTGCCGGCGCGATGTTCAGCGTTCTGTGGTTGGGCTAGCGCGACCGCTTGAGCTGAGTGGACGACATGTGAATTGACACCTGCACGCAAGTATGTCGCAACACCGGAGCGGAGTGCCACAAGTTCGCTTGTATACCCTACCGTTCATCCTTGCCACCAAAGGGGCTAGTACGATGTCGTACCTGAGGCAGATCCAGGTGAACTGGGTCCCACGTGACTTTCGGACTCGGTATGGCACTGCATGTGAGAGATAACAAAGTTTGGAAATTTTGTTGCAATGTCGGAGCTTCGGTTCAAATACTACCGTTCAACACGTCAGTACATTCTTGTACTCCTATCGGCAGCTTGCTACAAGGCACGTTCAGGCCACGCCTCCGTAGGAAACCCTCCAGGAACATAGCCACCACATCTCGGAAATGCCATTGGTTGGCGGATACAAGGACAAGAACGCTTGCGTCCAAGCAAACAATTGACGTCGAACATTGGACATGATTCGTGAGTTTGCATACTCGACATGAGCGCCGATCCTGTCGCTTTGTCCAGTGCCGGCTCATCGATGGAATGCGCCAACCCATATGATTGCGGCTGGAGGAGGCAGTTTTAATGAGGTTGGAATATTTGCTTAGGAGCTCTTCTCGGGCTTCTTCTGTGAACTCAGGTCTGTGCGACATCCGGCGAATCTAGGTGGGCTAGCACTCATGGATGATTCGCAACATTGACCGGGAAGGTAAATCAGCTCCCCTAGCTCTTGAGAAAGCCTGCTCTCGGAAAGCCTAAGGTACAGTGGAAGCAGGGATAGCTTGAAGTCATCTAATGAGGTCTATAATGCGCGGCGATTCGCAATCTGATGAGTGATCGGGCTGTTGGGGCAATATCGCAGTGAATACCCGAAGGCATTGCACCTGGTAACCGCCTCATTGCCAGCAACTAAGCGACGCTTGCCAATAACTCTTCAGCGCACTGTCTTTCAGATGCAAAGCCCAGAAGGTGCTTCCTACGTATAGGTCGTGAACAGGGGGGCCAGTCAAGCCGAATTGATTCTGGTAGTCCATCTAAGTTGGCGCGGGATTGCCGAAAGATGGAAAGTCCATAATAAGTTTCGAAAGTGAAACGTTGTACTGTCTAAATTGACCTCTTCGACACCTTGCTATGGTAAACGGGCACTCAGGGTCGGTGCCCCTTGTCCGCCATACTGAGCTTGGAAGAGCGTAACCCTGAGCGGCGTGCATGAGTCCCTGGGGCGAGTTTCAACGAGGCTGTTGTTTACCCTACCGACTGCGTCGAGTTAGACCGATCACGTGCCCGCCGGATGGGTAACCGGTTGCTAAGTCATCTTCATGATTGGTTGAGTCAAGGGTCCACCAAAGTCGTCGAAGTAGGATAGTGAGTCGGCCCCGCAGAGTCCTGTCTGAATGGGTTGAAAAGGGCGACGTAGCACGCTCGGAGCCAGGGAATTACCGTGGGTGGCAGGCAGACAGACGTTTACAGCATTGGGCTGGCCAATCTTCATGGTTCAGTCGAAGCGCTGCCATCATCGCTGGTTCGCGAATATTGATCCGGGTCTCCAGGCCGTGATGGAGTCCGATACCGTGTTCGGGTGTTGCGATGGCACATAGCATTTGGCAATGCCTACTGCTCCACGAAGTACGTTCGTCAGACCGGCATCTCCATTTACCATGTACATGAGGTGTACAGTCCTTAATCAAGCCTTGGAAACCACCTTGCATGAAAAGCTTTGATTCCATCATCCGCCATATGATTGGTATCGTTACCCGTGCAGAGCGAATTCTTGTCGTGGTTTTGTAGTGGTGCTGCAGCTTCAACCGACCAGCAAGCCACCGACAACTTCCGGTGTGTGGGATCGAATGGCCATGAGACCCATTCGAGCGTAGAAAGTCATCGCACCGGTATTATATGAGGTGCACACGAAGTGCTGAGCGTAAAAGAGCACATGAACATTGCGGTGGGATGCGGACGAGACGCGAACGGCAAAGTTGAGGTTCGGGTGTCGTTCTCGCTTAAACCATCCCCAAATCGGTTGTGCCTGCCGCTTCGATGGACGGGCACAAATACACGAGAAAATGACTGCCACATTCTTGCCCACCTGCTCGAAGTCAACACGGCTGCTAAGTGGCTGTATCTAAGGCTATGTCGAGGCTAAGATGCAAGACCGATGTAAGCCACCTTTCAGCTCAACACCATCCAAGGGGTTCTGCGATCTGCGCGATAACATAAGCAACATGATTTGCCATGCAGCGAGCCTAATGTTTGATTTTCGAAGTACCCAACAGTTGTGCGCACCGGCAATTTGCATTAGCAATGCTGCACAGAAGGCCTAAGTACCCTCGATGGAGGGTCCGGGACGGTGAGCTGGCACAAGCGATGCGCTAGAACTCGGTGAAGAGCTGCACTGTCTTTCGTCAATGACCTCATACCTCCTCAGATTTAAGCGACGACGTTCCTCTGCTGATCCAGCACTCCGCATCTTGGCCCCCACCTAATCCCTCGAACACGAGCAGCCCCTCATCCAAGCAAACCTACATTCGCAGTTGCATACGCGCCCAGAATCCTTTCAGGCCATACATGCATGGCCGTCTAAATGTGCTGAACTCGTACCCCAACGCCCGCCTGTCGTCGGACGTCCACACGTTTCGTCACGCGCACATTACGAAGCTTGATTCGACGACCACGACCTATGGGCGCTAAAGTAGGGCACAGCCTTCGATGGACATGGATCGCCCACCATCCCATAAATAGCGGGATGACGGCGTCGAGGACGGCGCGCGCCTTGCTGCTTGGGATAAGAAGGCACGACTAGCGCTGCACTTGCCTGCATCTGCGCTTGAAACTTCTTTGCTACCTCTCTTAAACGTTCGTGATCTTCGCACTTATTAGCATCATCAATTCGCAAGAGCTACCAATAGTCATAACAGCTTCACCACCTCTATTGGCTTTGCCTTCGTTATCGCACTGCAGTGCAATCTTCGTTTGGATAGCAAGGGACTGTTTTACCCCCCAGAATGGCAGGCTACGGTCAACATCCCCATACAGGCTATGGCTCACCTGCACCAACGCAGGGTCAGCAGCCGCATGGTCAATATGGCGCTCCTCCGCCGCAGCAACATGGCTATGGCCAACAACCTAGCTACGCGCAACAACCTCAACAAGGACACGGACAGCCTCAGGGAGGTTCTCAAGGCGTCGGCATCTTTAGCCAATTTATGAAGCCCTATCCCACCACAATCGTCCTCAAGGAGCACGTCATGTCCTTAACGGGCGACTCTTTCAGTGTCAAACAGGAGGATGGAACGCGCGTCATTCAAGTTGAAGGCAAATTGATGTCGATTTCGGGCCGCAAGAAGGTCACTGACAATGCCGGTAACCACCTGTTCGACATTTCCAAGGAGCATCTACATATTCACACAACCTTTGCGATCGAGGATCCCAACGGCCAGAAGCTGATGGAAGTGAAGAATAGCTTCAAGCGTAAGTGTTGTGATTGTGTCATCGTGAACTATGCTGACATTGTATGTAGTTTTCGGAAGTAGCGCAACTGCAACGTTCACCAGCACCAACGGCAGGCAAGAAAGGCTGAAGATGAAGGGGTCTTTCTTCGACACGAGCGCGGAGATTATAGATGAGGAGCGTGGTGGTCAGGTCGTGGCGCGTATTGACCGCAAGCTGCTTAGTGGGAAGGACATTTTCTTTGGGCAGCAGACCTACGCGGTGCAAATTATGCCTGGGGTAGATCAGGCGCTTATTGCTGCCATGTGCATTTGTCTGGACGAAAAGAACAATGAGGCGTAGTTTAGCGCGAAGATACCATGATTCATTCCGTCTTCTATTAAGATGATCCTAGACTATTTGAAGTGAACACATGCTATGTCGTGATATGGCCTGTATCGTTAATATTCTATATCCTCCGGTTTTCTCATTAAAAGGCATAGTCAAGCACAAAACCAACCCATGATCTAACAGAACATCCTATTAAAACATCTTCGTACGATCAAATGAGCCAAAGCGCAGCTCTTTTCACTTGTGCAAACTCCCAGAATACCTCCAGGCCACTTGCAATCTCAAGATCAAGAACCCCACCCCTGCGCGCCACAACACTGGTTTCCATGTGTAGCATGAGCAATCTAAACTGTACGAACTGAGGAACCCCCTCCATGTGCTTTGTATCTACGATAATAAACTTGTGTTCAATTGTTTGCTGTCTGGATGTTCGCGGAAAGCCAGGGCTCAAACGCACTGCTTGAGCGAGACAAGTCGGTACATCAAAGTCAATGGATTGTGTTGCATGATCGTATGTAACCGGTAGTGTGGCAATGGGACCATCTATGTACAACGCATCTCTCATCAAGAGTGAAGGATGCGTTTGTGCAAGAAAGGGCCTTGGGTCTTGAGCACGATAGGCATTCCAGAGATTCTGGAGCTCGAGGCCCAGTCCGATGAATCTAATGCTTGAAACGGAGCCATAATGTAAATAATCTTTGGCCAGTGACATGTAGAGTGGAGGAGGAACGGTCTTGCTGGTCTTGTAGAACTGGCCGAGATATCCTGTTCCACCGTTCTCCGACTCCCATGCTGCCCAACTCCAGCTCGGGAATACGCGCTCCTTCCTTCGATATATTTTTCCGTACGCTCTCCACAGGAGTCCATCTCTGAAAGATTCCCTGGGTATTCCATGAAGAAAGCCGTTGGTAAATGTATTGCGTTGAAGATGCGACAGTAACGCACTAAACGCGTTTATGGCGTCCTTTCCATTCGTGACTTTTCGAGAGCTATATTCATTGAAGTATGAAGCGAAAAGGTCCATGTCACCCAAGACATGGCCTCTTGTGTGAATGTTGGGTTGCAGCAATGAGTTTCGAGAAATATAAGCCGCATCGGAATGAGAGCTGTCCGCCCGGGAGATAGACTTTGGAGCGGGCGAATCTTCTGAACAGAAGATAGAGTTGCAGTGAAAATATACCTGGTGCTGCGAAAAGTAAATGCATCGTCGGGAGAAAAGGCCTTCTTGATACGTCCAGCCCCTTTTTGACCATGCCGAACTCTGAATCTGAGAGGAAAGCAAGGGGTTGCGCGCCATAAGCTGGAGGGGGCCAAACTCGGCCACTAATTGCATGAGGCGTTCTGGACCTCCTTGGACGCCGGGGAGACCGAAATTCGCATGGTCGCCCAATGCTATGATTGTAGCAGAAGCATGCTCGTAAATATAATTCATCAAAGGGAGCTGCTGGTTCTTCTCTTCAACCTTATCTTGATCGATGCACACAGCATCAGCCCACAAAAACGGAATGCCAATATTTTCGGCTACAACCATGGCGTGGTTGATGGTCTTGGAAATATTGTTCGGTAGCTCAAAAGGCCGACCAGGGATTCTTTCTGGCACTGGTGCGCCTCCCCACACATAGCTCAGCGCAACATATCTGCAAGGAAATCAGTTAGTCAGTGCACGAGAAACGAAGGGTGGCAATACATGGCTCATCTTGAATGTAGACAGGAAATAATAACATGCCGGATACAAACGCAGGCAACGATCGCCATTCATGTTTCTGATGCATGATCGCTCAGGATTGGGAACTTACTGTAAGCCCGGCTTATACCGAACGAGGCGTTGGTTTTGAACGTCAATCAATGTGATGATCTTCAGGTTCTCAGTACTTCCAAGTATCTGGCATTCTCTGTGCTCTTTGTTGCATTGCCCAAGCCATGATCGAATAAGGGCATAATCTGGACACGGTCCAACAATCCTGAGAGCGTTTTTGTCTCCTTTCGCGCCGCATATTGCATTGAAGGTGTCTGTGATGAAGCTTCAGTGTCGGCGTGATCTACATCTCTGCCTTTCTCACGTACATAAAGGTTTTTCCAGGTTCATTCGGCGTTGCTTATCGTACAGATCGACATTGCCATTATCAAGTATGAAAACAGAGTTCTTCTGAAGTTCAGGGCAGGGCGTCGGCGGAAGAGTCTATTCAAGAGACGGAGTCAGCAAGGTCAGCAAAACTCACGCACGTTCAAAATCTTTATATTGTAGGGCGTTGTATATTAACGCGATCCGTGAATTGAGCACACCCACGCGCCATATATAGCTCGAAATCGCAGAACTTACATTCCAGTATATCTGCGATGCTACGGGATATCCATCCTTGTCCCTTGTAGAGTGTTTGAGAAAGCTAGTGTCTTGTCTTTTCAGAGTGAACCCCTCGAGTACACCAGATTTATTAGGAGTTGGGCTTGGAGTATGAGCACTCTTCTTGCCTCTTGAGAAGAATCTCATGGTCTAGCGACGCAGAAATGGAGAAAACCAAACCCAAAAACTCAACGCAAGCGAAAGTGAAAGTTCTGAAATTCAGATGTTAATAATCCCAATGCATCGTCTGTCTAAGTACACCATCTCCGTGCGGCGCGGTTAAGCGCCCAGGGTGCGGGGCCGCTTACCCGTAGGCTACCTTTGCCAGCGTAACGCTGGCAGCGTAGAAAGAGCACCATGCTTGCGAAACATCAGCCCATGAGAACATTTAAAGCCCGCCGTGTGTATATGTGCGAACGATAGCATCGCCTTACTAACCACTCCAGCACCCGACCAACGCGCCTACGTGCGGTGCATTGACCCAGAGTAAATATCATTTGGACAAGACATACACAGAAGTCCATCCGCACAATTTATATCTGAGTTGCCATGCGTGTTCCATGTGATTCCGCGTGATTAACGTTGCATATTTGGTACTTGCGATGCCCTTGGGGTCCGCATTTTCATAGGAGGTTTTGCCACCCAACAAGCTTCAAAGTCGATCAGGGTGAACATTCGGACCCAAGCTGAAGTATGTCGGCCTATTCAGAACAAGTCGCGACGTGCCAGACTGTGAAATGATGTTGCGCACACGCTTACTACCTCTTCCATCGCGATCGTCAGTTAGGGAAGTCTGACTGTGTATCAGCATTTTCGACCATCGTAAACAACTTTTACAGCGATCGCATTCGTAGCAGGTAAACACGTTCTTACGACGCGTTTCTCGCCGGATTGGTGGGCGGCCGTATCTGAAACAACCACCTCTTTTCCGGCAATATAGCGCCTAGCATCCTCATGCACTACACGTCGCGCACCACTCAACGCAGTTGATCAGGTCCGCGCGCAAGCGATCAAACGCTTCGTGTTTGCGGCAGTCGTATTGCGCCTCCCGTGCTATGCGTCGCACCGTCAAGAAATCCCAAAGCAGTCGTTTGAATAAAACTAGAAGGTGGGACTCTAGACGCGTGCATCTCCAAACTCCTTCTGTGAAGATACTTGCATCGCTGGCGTCGATCGAGCTCATTCTTTCGTGTGTTTGACCTAATACGAATCCACCACCAAGCCCTCGACGGCCGAATAATCCGCCTTGATGGCGAGCGTCCTCATACCCATAATTCCCCTTGAACCCATCTCTCGTGCCCCGACATTCTCATCCACGTTCTCCTATGCGTCGACTATGATGACAGCGACCCGCGCCGCGGCAGTCATTCCCACCACATCCAATTTCGTCCTTTCGCCAACGGCCGGCGGCTCGGCTCGAAGACCAACACCAGAGTCCTCACAAACCATAGCCTTGGCCATTGTCGTGCCGCTCATCGCCCTGATAGCGTTCATATCCGTTATCGTATTCCGGATGTACAGGAGTCGGAAGGAGCGAGAGGAGGCAGCGGCCGCTGAAGCAGCAAGAGCGAAGACGAGAGCGATCGAGCAGCAGATTTACGACATGCAGTCCATATCGGAGAAGTACAATTTGAAGAATTACCAAGTAACATCGGATACGAAAGAGGTGGGAAATGGAAAGGATATATCAATAGACATACCGATTGAGCTCGAGGCGGATGAGCCCGAGAAGAGACGGTACCATGGGCTTTGATTGTGTTGGGCTGCGTTCTGGTAGCGCTGGGCGAATGGTGGGGAACCTACGTCTCGACGATGTTTTCTTTTCTAAACATTGAAAGAAATTTTTAAAGTGTCACGCTGAATATGGAAGTCCAGGAAATTCTATGTTATGCCTCATGTCCGCAGTATGTGGGAGCGAAGTTTGTTGGCCTTCTTAATGACGGAAGTATAGTTCGTGCATGTCGCTGTGGAGATCGCTTTCTGGGGCATTAGATGACCTCTGTGCTTGGTTATGGCTGATTTCAGAAGTTTGAGAGAGGGCTCGTTGCATTCCAATTAGTTCTCAAGGGGAGAAAGCAAAGATTGGTAGGAGACCCGCAGAATCCCGACAATCACCGACCCATCTCCGAAGATCCGACGCTAGCCCCATACACATGGCACAAGCCCTGTCGTGAGGCTGAGATCACTGAGCAGGCTACCAAGCTGTTTGCATCTCATTATACCTTTCCATGTCATTATTCCCAGAGACTCTACGATGGTTGGTAAAGCTAGAGAGCTCTACGCATACTCCCCTCTCCTAGCCCACCCTAACAGTATCCGGCTCTTGCGTCTCCTCCCCGCCAGCCGTGCCGAGGACCCAATCCATTGCCGAATCTTCAACTACTCCCTCACGACCCCGGAACGCACGTCGCACTTGTACGAGTGTCTGTCGTACGTGTGGGGGAGTGTAGAGGAAAAGCAGACAATAAGAGTCAACGGTGCTGAACTTGCTGTGACCAGGAATCTTTGTGGTGCGCTTCGACGGCTGCGGGACCCCGATTTGGATCGCATCCTGTGGGTCGACGCTGTATGCATCAACCAGGATGATTTAGAAGAGAGAGCAAATCAAGTCCAGATCATGGCTTTGATATATGCCTATGCGAGCAGAGTAGTCGTGTGGCTTGGCGAAGAGGCAGATGGCAGCAAAGAGGCGATGGAGCTCTTCCGCGCGGATGCCAGTCGAGTATACCGCAAACAGAGGGAATTACAAGCCACACAAGGAGATCAGCCCGACCAAGCGTCGGGTGAGAGCAATGTTAGCGGCGATCTTCTTCCTGATGAGACGACAAATTCTTTACAGAGCAAGGCCATGACACTGCTAAAAAGGCCATGGTTTCGGAGAATATGGGTACCTACCCTTATTGCATACGAGATGCCTCTGACAGTCTGAAGGTACTCCAAGAAATTGCAGCAGCGCGTGTGATGGTCGTCCTATGCGGCTCCGATGAGCTCACTGGAGCTTGCTTCTTCTGGGGTCTCTCTGGCCTGTTAGAGTGGTGTCAGGACGCAGAGCTTCGTGGTACAGTCTCCTCAATCCTTTACCTGCTAGGCGACGCCAGCGTACTTCGGGTGAACAAGCCTACTGATCTTGAACCCTTCCGACTTGGAATCTGTTCGCTTTCTCAGCTTGTTGATATGTTTCGGTTGCGTGAAGCCACTGATCCTCGGGACAAAGTGTATGCTTTGCTGGGTATCATGTCACAAGACATCCTCAAGATCGAAATAGTCCCAGACTACGGCGTACACTGGGACGACCTCTTCCGGAAGCTTGTCCGCTCAATATTGGGGCTGAAAGTAGAGGCAGCTTGGATCTCTCACGACAGGGAAGGACACGGCCAAGTCTCAGCAAAAGGGTGCACTGTCGGCTACATTAGTAGTGTAAATGTGTCAAAGAGCGACCGTCAGGTCGTTTCCATCACACGAACATATCGTTGTAGCCCTAGCGGTTTTCGCAATTCCATCGGCAATACCGAGATCTGGGTTTTGCATAACTCTGCAGCCGCTGTTGAACAAGGCGACATAGTCTGCTGGCTTGAAGGCAGTAGAGGGGCTACCATCATACGATTTCAGGGCGACTGTTTCACTATTGTTGTGGCGTGGGCCAGGTTCTCGACCGCCTTTGAGAAGGACCTCTTTCGCCGAGGGCAACTTTCGTCACATCATCTCAGTCATGAACAATGGATGCACGAGGCACTGGAGCTCACCCAGTACAACCGCAAGTTTGTTCTTTTGTGGCCTTTTCATAACGAATGGAAAACACAGACAACAGAAGCATGGGCATCAGAAAAGCAAAGCCCGGAACTTGTGTCTTCTCTCGCTTGCATTGTACCAATTTTGGAGGACGTGGATTCGACAGAGGCGCTGCAAAGTCTTTTCGAGCAAGGGTCTCATCAACTCCGAAGCGAAGAGAACGCGCCCGCTGGTGTGGTGGATCTTTTCCGGGATATGGGCAAAACCCTGCCGAACTGGGGTCTCTACCTTGACTTGAAGGACCATTTACGATCGGTGTTAAGCCTGGAACTGGAGAGCGCACTACCCAATGAGATTGAACTGGACCTTGTGGAAGTTCGACGTCGCTTACATGCCGGCCCCGAGCTAGGTACAGATATTATCAAAACGTGGTTCGATGGTCTCTCTTTTGCACATGAGCCTGATTTTGGACAACTTCGAAGACTCGCTTTCCTGCTAGACGTTTGGGGACAATCCATTACTGTCGCTAAGATGATTGAGATGGTCGAACTTCTCGAGAAGACCACTCCGCATCGGGCGACGATGGAGATGTTCTCAAGTCGCTTACATACGAGAGTAATCGAAGTCCTTGTGCAATTGACCTCACAGCATCCAGACTGGGGCAATACACTTGTAGAAGAGTTGATACGTCGCGCAAAAGGTTACGTTGATCGAGTGTACTGTCTTGTGCGTGCTCTTATCATATGTGGTACAGCTTCGTCGGAATGGAAGCAAACAGTCGTTCAGGCGGTCCTGGAAACGCACAGTGAGGAGCCGTTTAGAGCTAAAGTAGAGACTTTCTGGATTTCGCCACGCATCGAACAATCTTACGAGGCGGCTGTCGACTTTCTATGGCGCCAGTATATCCTGGAGGCCAAAGACTACGTTGGAATCTCACCCAGCGGAACATTTCAATTGAGAAGCGAGCTCATGCAAGAGTTTGTAAACGAATACCGTTTTTGGAAAGCCTGTTATGACGGAAACCTCGCTGACGTCTGGAGCGGGGCAGCCGAAGGTCGTCGCGCTCGCCCTCTGCTCATAACCTGTAAAGATAAGATGGGCAGTTGGTGTCGTGTGTCCGCAACTGAAGCTGCCGTTATGAATGGTCACGTTGAATGCTGCAAGTTGCTACTTGCTCTATTGGATGGAGCTGACCAGCAGAATCATGGGTGTACTGCTCATTCAGTTATCCAAGTTTACCTCTCTCGAGGAGGAAATTCGCCGATGGCTTCGGAAATTTCCGAATTACTGGGCACAAACCAGGAGCATTTTGAGGGCTCCAAGTTATTACCCGCAGAGCAGGGCCAAAGGATCAATGGGGTCATATCTCGGGATGGGAGGCGAAGTGAGACCTGGTGAGGATTTAATGGTGAGTAAGTCGAGAATGAAGAAGGAAGGAGCGGCCTCGAGTTGGCGTCAAAGGTGCAAAAGGAAGGAGCGACGGATCCACAGTTTTCTTCACTTCTCAGGCTACTCTCTCTCTCCTAACTCACACAGTCTGCATTGCCGGTCAAACGGCTACGACACTACTTCCTCTGCAGGGAACCCTTCCCTCTGAAGAAGGCGAGCTCCACGAAACACACCCATTTTCTCGCGCAGCACCCATCCCAGGGTTTTCAGGTACCAACAGCTGCCCACACAACACTTGCTGTAGCCGAATCATTAGTGCTGCAGCCAGCTCGCGAAATCTACATACAGAGGTCGCAAGCAGTTAAGAGAGCTTGGGAAGCCTTCTTCTCCCGTCACTCCCTCAGCTATCCTTTCCCAAGGTCTCACCAATAATCTGTCTCGCAATGTGGATGACGCAACAGTGTCGCCCTTATCGAGTTTGGGTGTACTGACAGGGACACACCCATGTTCCATTGGGAGGAGAACAGTGCCAGTGCACATGACCACAATTGCCCAGCGTACAGCGTGAGGTTGCAACTTGGTCGCGTGGACAAGCTGTCTACCCGGGTGGCTACGTGCAGCGGTCCTGGGAAGGGGACGAAGACGCTCGATGACTTTGTAGAAGCGGCGAGAATATCGTTCTGATCTCCCATGATCTTCATACCAGAGTACCCAGCGCAACCTTCTCTCCGCATACTTGGACGACTAAACCCTCTCCTTTCACCCTGCAACCTTGGAGACGATGACGACAGATAAAGAGCAGAGAGCTAGCTGAGAACTCGCTACATCAAGGAGGTGCCGCGGTCTGAGGTCCATACTCCTAGATCACATACACTGGCGATTTTGATGATGGTAACACGAAGGAATGACGGATTTGTGCTCGACGTACATGCTGCAATATGCGGAAGCGGGAAGGGCGCTGTATTTAAGACAATGGCGGGATCCGGGTGGGGGAAAACTACAGTCGATGCTTCAACGACCTTGCGAATGTACCATTCTGCCCACGAGAAACAGTCTCTACGTAGAACAATGGCACAGCTCACTCAAGCACGCAATTGCACATACACACCCTCACCTTAAACTCATCCTTCAAACCATCATCGTATTCATATATACTCTAACCCATCTAACACCTCGTCTCCACCCCCTTCCGACTAACACAGAGATACTTGACCCCCTTATACGGTTGTACCCCGGCCCCCAACCCCTTACTCTTCTTCTGGTCGACGTTTAAACTCTCCACCTTGACCCCGCTCGGCAGCCACCCCTTGACCGTAAAGCTCACCGTCGCGCAGCTCGGCATGAATACCTTGTTTTTCTTCTTCAATTCCCCATTCCCATTCCCACCACCATTACCGTCCTCTTTTCTGCTGCTCGCTGCCGCCGCCTGATACCCCGCCGTCTGATCGTCGTCGTAGTCATACGTATTACTCGACAGACCGAGTGAGGCATCCGGCCCATCGTGGCCATCGTGCTCGTCGTGTCCGACGACGGAGCCGCGCAGCGTAGCCAGCACGCCGGCGCCGGTGCCGCGGTCGTTGGCCATGAGCGCGGCGATCTCGCGGTTGTTGATGGCCCAGCGGACGCGGCTGTCGGCGGGCTGGAAGACAGCCTCGCCGGCGCCGCGGGACGCTTTGAGCTCGACGACGCTTTTCACGCCGGCCGGGAGCGGGATGTGGATGACCATCCCGTCCATGGCGGGGGCGGCAGTTGTGCCGGCGGCTGATGATCCGCCAAAGGCGCCGGAGCCGAGACCCTTGCCTAGACCGCCGCGGCCGCTGAAGGAGGTGGTGCTGGGGAGGGGGCTGGAGGATTTGCCTTTGAAGCGCGGGTTGAGGGTGAGGCGGACTTCGAAGTCTGAGCCCGCGGGGCCGAGGGAGGTTTGCACGGAGACGGTGGCGGGGATGTTGAGTTTTGGGGCTGCGTTGGCGGGGGTAGTGGTGGAGAAGGCATCGAGGGCTGCGGAGCCCAGAAGGTCGACTTCGTATCCGGCAAGCGTGAAGCGGCCGTCTGGCGGGACGAAGGAGAGCTCGCCGGGCCGGTCTTTCCATCTGTTTAGTCGGACGCAGGGGTGGAAGGTCGGCAGGGACACGGCGTTGGCGATGCCGCCTGGACAGCCGAGTTGGAGCAACAGGTCTGGGACGCCGGAGATCTTCGCGGTGAAGGCGATCATCCCGTTTGCGATGGCTGCTAGCGGTCGCCCAGAGGGTGAAAGCGTGACATGCAGCGTCTCCACGATGTCTACGTACATCTCGTTGCTTGTATGCCTGACATTCGCTCTCCGCCAGGGCACCGGGCTCGCCGTCGGTGCTGGCGCACCACCACTGGGTCCTAACCTTGGGCTCGGCCTGTTTCCCAACGAGAACGGCGCATTCGAAGGCGTCAGACTGCTCGGCGTTGTACTGGGCAGACCCACGCCTCCCAGCAGCGACTTCATAAAGTTGGGCGCATCCACCACGTCCTTCAGCGCATTCGGCTCGGTGCAGCTCACGACGCCGCCGTCCACCATTTCCCCCAGCAGCTGCGCAACGACATCGTAGTGGGCCTCGATCCTGCTCGCTAGCAGGGGCCCGCCGAGGAAATCTTCCAGCGCATCGGTGACGCGATGCAGGAACTCGAGGATCTGGAGGGGCTCGGTGTCATTGGAGGAGGGGCAAAGAAGAAGTAGCTGGTCCTGGATTATCGAGTAGAGGAGGGTGGGCGGGTTGGTGTTTGGGAGGTATATAAGGGAGGGGCGCGGGGTCGGGTGCGCGAGGTAGAGCGGAAGGAGGGTGCTGCCCGAGGGTGGGCGCCCGGTGTAGGTCTGCTCGAGGAGGGGGGTGCTGCAGCTGTAAGTAGGTGTCGCTATTTCGAGCGGAGTGGGGGGCGCACTTGTGCTCATCGAAGATGTAGAGAGCTTCTATCGAGCTCATAATTAGCGGCGCGTGCTTGGGGCTCCATAGGCCTCGCGCTGGTAATCGTGGGGTTGTCGGCGGGGGTAGTTCGGAGCAGCTGCGTGCATGACATGACGGAGCCAAACCAAGGGTCCGGGCCGCGCTTTGGAGAACGTCTTGAACTTTTGTCCGTCACCCCAACGCAAGCACGCGACAGCTCCACGCGCGCCGGGCGCATACCTAACATGTCACTACCAAAGGATCCTGGTGTTCCGACCTTCAAGGAGGCGTTGAAGAATGATCGGGAGCAATTCGACGACTGCACGCCGTGCCGCATCGTTGGTGAGTCCTCGTCGTTGTTCTCCTCCCACCCAAGAGCTAACATGCCTCAGGCAGCGGAGCGTTCCTCGGCCTCGGCGCATACACGTACATGTCCGGACATTCGCAGTTGAAGGCACAGGAAGCGGCCATCAAGCGGAGCAAGAGCATGTTTGGCATGGCCAGTCGGAGGGCTGCTATAACGGGCACAGCGACTGCACTGGTTGGGGCCGGAGTATACAGGTGGTTCAATTAGAGATGGAGAGGACAGCGCGTACGAGGGCATCACGCACGCGTTCGGGGCGTTCAATTGGGACTTCAGCGACATCACGCGCGTGTACACATACTGTAAGACCAATAACACATATGAGAGCAATGCATTATATTGTACGACCAGCATATTCACAGGCCAGTAAAGCCTATCTGCACAAACTCCCTCCGATGCTTCCTCAAAGAAAAGAGAGCCGATCCTCGGCTCAGTGTGGTATCATACGAGCTTCATAAGAAAATGTTCCTTCCCACAAAATGCTGACGCAGATGCCACAGCCCCTAGTTCCTTCTATCCCCATGTATGGAAAACGCCGTCGCTGGTGTGCGCAATGCAAATGCCGTTAATCGTGCCGTGCCGTGCTCTCAGGTCATCCGTCCCCGCTTGGGCCCACCGCCAGGACCGTCCCTGTCCCTTCTGTCGTGGTTGAAGTCAATGTTGAAGAAGTCGTTCATAAGCTTGCGCTTCTGGCCGGCACCGTTGCCAAGGGACACCAGGTTTTGGGCAGCTGAGCGTTGTAGGCTTCGAGAGGACGATCTGTTGGAGTTTCGGCGGGGTGTTGGGAAGGCTCGACGAGCGGCTGCGGCAAAGTCGTACGTGGCGCTGTCCATATTGTTGTTGTTAGCCGGGTAGACTTGGGGTGCGGCGAAGTGGAACATGGGCGGGAGCGGTGCCATGTCAGCGTCAGGGTTGGCTGACTCTGTCGCAGCTGGAGGAGCTGAGTCGCAGCGCGATGCTGGCTCGTCTACCGAGTGGTTTTCCTCGGGCACATGCTCTACGATCGGTGAGGAGCTGCGTGCTCGCTGTTCTTCGGTTATGTCCTCGTCGGTGTCGCTGGTCGAACTCAGCGGCAGCGCCCCGTCTAGGCGCTCCGTGGCCCATTGCCTGATGCGCCATCCCTCTCCGTCTCCTACGCCCAGGTTCTCCTTGTCCAGAAATCCAAGCAGGTCCTCCAGCGCCTGCTGGTAGCCATCCGAGCGAGAGCGTTCGATGTCTGCGAGGGCGGTTCGGTACAGGTTGGTGACAGCCAATGCCGTTTCCTTAAACGCCTTGTGGGTGTCGGGCTGCGGAGTTGTTTGTCGACGTCTGGTCCTGGGGAGCGAGGTGTTGAGGCTGCGCATCGAATCCATGATTGCAGGTCGAGTTGGTGCTGCAAGGAGGGGTGCTTCTTTTGCGTGGTCGGCGTGGGTGCAGGTTTCGGGTGCGGATGCTGATTTTGCCGGCAGGCTGCTGATCGCGGCTGCCTGCGGCAGGGTCAAGGAAAGTGAGGTGCCGTGGAGGCGGAGCAGATGTGCGGAAACAAACTGTGAGACACCAGAAGTCAGTGTGGTGATCAAAGAATGGCGTGTGAAGTAAGTGAGGAGCGCAGTCGCAGCAGTCACCGCGGGGTCAACGTCAATGGGCACGCTTTCCGTTCTTCCAGGCCGCGGCCCGTGCGTCAAACCACCACGGGAACAGCATCCCATGACATTCCCCACGAACGCCCCTTGCCTTGCCGAGGCAGCTCCGCCCCTAGCTATGCAAACCAAGATTGAACGGCTGCCTCAAGAACTTATCGATTTGATTGTCGTGCACCTGTCCCTGCAAGACCGCCAGACACTACGACTGGTCTCGAAGCAGCTCTACGCCCTCACTTTCACGACGTTCAGCAACACCTACTTCTCCAGACGGGTCACGACGCTGGGCGTCCCGTCTTTGAGTCGACTAGTAAAAACATCTGCGCATCCCAATCTCTCCAGCTGTGTCTCTTTGATCGATGTCAAATTGTTAAATTACGAAGACTACGGCAACCTCCGAGAAATCGATCGCGTCGGTATTTATCCGCCACCGAAGAGACTACAAAGAGTGCCCCAAGTCCGAACAACAACTGGGGATATCAGCCAAGAATGCAAGCTTCTCGACTATATGCATACCCATCGAGATCCCAAGGCTGTTATTCATCCACTCTCGCGTGCCTTGAAAGGTTTCCGCAACGTTAAGACCATTCGCTTCAGAGTTAATGGCTTGACACTGTATGGGAATCCCTATATCAGCGCCGAAGAGGAGGTCTACCAATCTTTTCTGTCGGCATGCTTCAGAGCTGTTCTGGATGCCATCATCCGGTCCGGGGTTAGATTGCAAGAGTTCACACTTGTCAAGGGCCACACCATCCGCCCGCTAAGCAAGTCCGCCAACTTGGATTATTCAGCTTTCAATCTTCCCGTCCCTTTCTTGCTTTCCCTAAAGAGTGCATTTGCTTCTCTGAAGTCGTTGCGTTTGTCAATCCGCACCTATCACAATGGCAATTCCCGAATAGCGGGCTGGGAGAAGGGCATTTCGCACGTCATCGCGGCCGCTTCATCTTTAGAAGAGCTTACAATTTGTTTGCAGGCGACCGATAGTAAGCCCTGGTTTAGAGCTGCTGTGATCCAAAACATCTGCCGCTCCCTGGAGCTGCCGATGCTTAAGTCCCTCCAATTATATGGCTGCGTCGTCGATGAGCTGGACCTCATCGCACTGATCAAGACACATGCATCATCGTTACAACGTCTTCTCATCAGCGACACTGAATTGCGTTCCGGGACCTGGCTATCAATACTGAACATATTTAAGGAAGATTTGGACCTTGATCTTCTGCGTCTCCAATACTTGCAGCAAAATGCAGCCCCTCGAGTCATTCGTTGGTTTCCAGACGGCATCAGGAACTCGAGCAAGTTGAATATAGATGCCAGGAAGATCCGGGATCAGTGCTGGATGAAGGAGAGACTATCTCAAGCAATCTCCTCGCTTGCTGCCACGGCAGAAGAGCACGAGATCTCCGAAATATGACCTTCTAGAAGCCTACAGCGGCTATCAAGTGTAAAGACAATTGCTTGGCTGTACACTTGGCCTTCGAGAATGCAGCTTGTGGCCCCAACGTTATATGGAGTCATTATTGGTGCGAATATAACGCTTGCTAGACAACCAAACGTCGAATCAAGACACTCGAATTCATCGACCGCGGCAACAGCCGATTTCGTATCAATCGGAGGCAAGGGCAGCCACTGGGACTTCTCAATCGAACCGCCCATGACCAGGCTCTTTTCACTGGTCTTCGAACAAGTACGCACCTTGTCCAGGGTTGGCAGCCATCCTAATCGCAACTTCATGCATCCGCTGCGTAAAAGATCATTGTTGAAAATATCAGCTATACAAATGCTCCCCAGATACGAGAGCGGAAACACGAAAACCATGCGGGTGCATGAGTGACATGATCACAAGCTGAGAAAGCCACGAAGCGGGGTTAGTAACAACAGCCTCAAAGCGTATGGCAAACACGGAGGGAGAAACGTATGCTGCTTGTACTAGCGTTGTGGGAATGCGGGAATACGAGAATGCGAAGAGAGCTGGCAAGGCCTCGTATTTAAGAGAGCTGAGACGGATGTGTCATGTGGAGATCCAAGGAGCAGGTCTTCTGATACACCAGACAGCGCTCCTGGAACCCTCAGTCACAACTGATGACCTCGAAGCCGCAGAGCATCTCCACCTCGCAAAAACTCAACATGAGCAGCATAGCCCACCCCAGCACCATGAAGGCCCTCGCTACGCCTTCCCAGTGGGCTCCTGCCGGGGTGCGCGATGGTCTTCCCCGTCCCACACCTTCGCCCACCAACCTCTCATCAAAACGGTCCACGCCGCCGTCAATCCCGTTGATATTTTCGTTTCCGAGTTTGGACTCCTTGTGGAGTCCTGGCCTCCAGTTCCCGGCTGCGAAGCTTCCCGTATCTTTGTCCGCGTTGGAGCCAAAGCGCGGAATCCGCTCGGTCGCTACTTCAAAGAAGGCAATGTTGTTGCAGGTTGTGCGAGAGTGTTAGCTGTAGGAAATGTCACATTTGCAGAGTATTTCCTGCTTAATGCAGGTGGCGCTTTCGAAGCCTGGGGGTTTGACGATGACGTAGGCGAGCATGATCCCTGTGGGTACTTTGAGTGCTTTCTTGGGAGTAATTGGAGACTCGAGTGTCAGTACTGAAGGGATTGAACAGGGCAATGGTGCAGGGGCATGGAGCTGGGCTATTGTGTTCGGTGGTGCAGGTGTGGTGGGCAAATACGCGGTGCAGGCTTTGAAGTTGGCTGGATGTAGAGTTGCGACGACTTGCTCGACAACTTCATTCGAGGTATATAAATGCATAGTTCTGCTGATACATCGACTGATTGACGGGCACGTTGCAGTTGCTCAAATCGCTTGGCGCACATGCAACGATAGATTACCGGACGTCGCCCGAAGAAGTTGTCGAAGAAGTGAAGCGCGTAACGCAAGAAAAGCTCGAACTCGCCTACGACGCAGTGTCAGTGAATAACGACCTCATCTCCAAGATCTTCACTGCTGTCCCTACTTCTTCCTCTTCTCAGCGCCTCTACACCACTATGAATGACTGGGATCCTGCGCCCGATGCTTCACTGGGTTTCATCACCAAGTCTATCGCACTGGGACCGATCGGGCGTCCCTCTACTGCCGAGCTAAACAGCAAGGTGAACTCATAGATGCCAGCCACCTACAGGTTGCTGGAGAGCGGCAAGTTGAAGGCCGGAGAATAGAGTGTCGAAGGAGAGGGCATTGAAGATACCCTGAAGGCGTGGGGAGCCCAGAAAACGGAAAAGCTGGGGAGCAAGAAAGGCATCGCCAAGGTGGCTAACGAGTAGTGTCACTGTGATGAGGCAGGTTGTTGTTTGATTTGACAGGTAGGGGTAACGGATAAGACGGCAACGGAGATGCCTTCGGCGATGAGGGCAACACCGGAACCGCTCGAAGGTATCTTATGGTAGCTCGGCTGTATCGTGAAGCACAATGTTTCAATGATGGAATTGATTTATTTGCCATTTGTGGCAGGTCTTGCGTTGAACTGAGGTCTGTTTGGTAGCGTGAGGTCACCGTGTTTTGGGGTGTGGACTTTTGTGGAGTCCCTGCGGCAAGTGGACCCCGATTAGGGATCTCGATGGTGGGGGTTGGCCGGGCCCTGATCTGGGACGCTGTGGAATGACGCGCAAGGGAGTCGAGGCATGATGAGGTCAATTGCAGGTTTGAGAGGCGACCAAAGCAAACAGAGGCACGCGACAAACACTGGTGAAGTCATGGCGTTGCGCCGGTCGCAGCTCCCCATTCTGGAATGCGCCTGCCATGACTGGTAATCGTGGCGCATGCTGTGGCGAGTGGATGGGGCGCCCAATCGCAACCGGTCCACGTGCCCTCGCTGGGGGACTAACGTCATCCTAGCGCTAGCGCATCCTTGGGTGAGGCGCTGGCCTTGGGTACAAGAGGTCGCCGCGCCTTCGCTCGCCTTGTTTTGGTCCCCACGTACAACTTCTTGTACACCTTCACCCGCACACGCGACCACGCACCATAATCGATGGGAGAAACTGACGAGCCCCCTTTATCCCGCAGTGTCAAGTCTACAGCGAAAGCTCTGGGCTTGGGACGCACCAAGGACCCGTCAATCCTCCCAACTACCCACACCCCCAACAATGGCAGCCCTCACAGTGCCTCGCACACGTCCCTCGCCGAGAAGCAGGGCCCCTCTGGCAGCCACAGCAGCGACGCCAGCCACACCCGCAATGGCGTCGAGAAGTCGTCTGCAGCGACAACGCCCGCAGCTGCATCTACGGCTGAGGGAGAGACATCTGCCGCCATAGAGCCAAAGCCGCCCATGCTCACACGCATGCGCGCTGGAACTATTCGATTTGGAAGCCATCTTAAAAATGCAATCTTCCACAGCTGGATCAATGTCCTGCTCATCTTCGTGCCCATCGGTATTGCCGTGCACGTCGCCGGCCTGGGTCCCGAGATTGTGTTTGCCATGAACGCCGTTGCCATCATACCGCTGGCTGGCCTCCTTGCGCACGCCACAGAGGCCGTCGCAGTACGTGTTGGCGACACGCTCGGCGCGCTACTGAATGTCTCGTTCGGTAATGCGGTAGAGCTGATCTTGTTCATTATCCTGCTCGCCGGCGACCAGATTGAGGTCGTGCAGGCAGCGCTGCTAGGATCCATCCTAGCCAACTTGCTACTTATCCTTGGCATGGCCTTCCTACTTGGCGGCTTGAGGTATCAAGAGCAGGTAAGCATTCTGGGCCTTCTTAGGCTAGTGCAACCGCTAACGATCGCAGGTCTACAACAGCACTGTCACTCAGATGAGTGCCTGTATGCTCAGTTTGGCTGTCATGAGCTTGTTGCTCCCGACGGCCTTCCACGCCGCGTTCTCCAGCAATGCCATTGCCGACAAGGAGACGCTGCAAGTCAGCCGGGGCACCAGTGTCGTTTTGTTGCTTGTCTACGCCCTGTACTTGCTCTTCCAGCTTAAAAGCCACGGCTACATGTACGCCAGCACTCCCCAGCACATCATCGACGAGGAATCCCACCCTGGTGTCATGGCCGGTGTCTTCGACTCGTCCAGCTCGGATTCGTCGTCAAGCTCTAGCAGCAGTGATAGCGACAGTTCGGCTGGCTCGCATACTACAGCCAAGTCCAAGATCAAGCGCGCCGTACGCAGGATGCGCCGCAAGTCAAGCGCAAGCTCGAAGGAGACTCCGGACTTGCCATCAGTTATGTCCTCGCCTTCTGTCGAACGCCACAACGACTACTTCAATATGCAGCGCAACGGAACTGCCGACGAGAACGCTGTTCATTCCAACAACATGTCCCGCCGTGGTTCTCTCACTGCCATCGTCAGCGGCGATGAGGCTGACGTGGATGATTTCGCACCGATTGCTCGTGACTTTGAAGCCGGATCATCTGCTTCCCCTACCACCAAGCGAGAGAAACGTAGTAAAAAGCATTCGAAGAAGCACCGCAAGCATCGCCAGGGAGACCTCGAAAAAACTGAGACTATCGCGATCCCAGCTCCTCAGCCTGACGCCGCACCCAAGGTTGCCTTCGCTGAAGACGTCAAGCTAGGCGAGGCTGCTGCCGTCGGTGCAAAGCGACCAGGCTTCCGACCGTCTTTACTCTCCGAGAACGTCTTCCGCACTCCGCAAACCCCCGCTCCTGTTGGTGCTCCGGTCCCTAACCTTCGTGTTGCGGCGGCTCGAACTCTTCGTCGCACCAAGTCTGAGCCCGAAGACATTCGTCGCTTGGACTCTCAGAAGTCCACGAACAGCGCCGTGTCACGCCCAACGCCTCCTCGACTCGTTTCCGGTGCTCCCTCGGTTCATCACGCTACGGACGCTGAAGAAGACGAAATCCCCGAAATGTCTCGTACCGCCGCCATCATGATGCTCATCATTAGTACTGCCTTAGTCGCTGTCTGCGCCGACTTCATGAGCGACGCCATCGAGCCCATGGTTGAGAAGACCGGTGTCAGCCAGTCGTTCATCGGTCTCATCATCCTACCTATTGTCGGAAACGCCGCCGAGCACGTCACTGCCGTCACCGTCGCCATGAAGAACAAGATGGATCTCTCCATCGGTGTCGCCGTCGGCTCTTCCATCCAGATCGCCATCTTCATTACCCCTTTCATCGTTATCCTTGGATGGATCATGGCCAAGCCGATGACTTTGTATTTCAACATTTTCGAGACGGTGGCACTGTTTGTTACGACATTCGTAGTCAATTTCCTAGTGTTGGATGGAAGGAGTAACTATATGGAAGGCAGCCTGTTGATCGCGGCGTACGTGATCATCGCTCTGGCCAGTTTCTTCTACCCTGATGGTTGCGACGCGTCGCAGATTGGTGGCAGTGCAGACACTTGCAATGGAGTTACCGAGGCGACTACTCATGCGGCGATGATGGTGAAGAGGATGATCGGGATGTAGATGACATCCTAGGAGGTGACATTGTGAAATGTTCACCTTGAGATGGAGTGGGAATTTGAAGGGTCTACCTCCAGGTGAGGTGGTTTGGTAGCATCCTCAGATTCAGATTAAGTTGAGCACGGAGCGGTATCAGAGACTAGCGCGCTCCTCATGTTACAACTGGTATTGCACAACTTCTTGTCGTACAGACTTCAATCAAATTGAACATGTGATCAACTGGACAATCTACTCACTCGTAATATTTCGTCAATATGATCATGTTGACAGCAACCCCACAATCTACTTACTACTGCACAGATTAACACTATAGTGTGTGTGTGATGTTCGACGGGGTTCAAGCAAATTGTTGTAATCATTGCCAGTGACAATTTTGTGGGCCCTGCGGAACGATGGATAAGGGGTGGCATAGCATCGCGAAAGGGAACGGGCTTAAGGACATTCAGCAGATTCGACGTATTCATGCACAAACCATAGTGCCATGAATAACTTACGGGATGACCACACAAATCTCCCGCAACTGTCTGTCGCAATTCCAAAGTTAACCTGGCCCATTGTCTTATCATGCAAATTGCGTTTCGTAAAGAAATGATCCCTTTGCAAAAAAAGAAAGAAAAAAAAAAGAACAGCGGACAATTGATGAAGTTGCGATGTTTGCGGAACAGCGCTAGTATCGATATCAACACCACCCAACAGGCGCGACGCACGACTCTGCGTAACACCCCAACCCACCTCGCAAGCCCGTCCACCACCCGCTCTCACCTCTCACATCCATCACTCCTCGTCCACCATTCGTCCTCGCCCCCTTTTCAACGCTTGCAACCATGACCGCCCGTGACATCATCCCTTAACCCAGCCTAGCGCCGTCGATGCTGCAGTCATGATGTACGTGGTAAATGCAGACCCTTAGCTCCACCCATAAAGACGTATACAGCTTGACGCGTACCTGACACTCACTGTATGAATCTCATCTACAAACACATCAACATCAAATACCTTACCACCCACACCATCTACACCATGTACCGCACATCCATCATCCGCTCCGGCCGCGCCGCCACCTTTAGGGCCCCGACCATGCAGGCCCGCACAATGGCATCCGCACCCGGCACCGCGAAGGGTAAGATCGAGAACGCGGCGCAGCAGGCCGGCGAGGCGAAGGATACCAACCCAAAGGTACGCCTTTCTTTGCTTTCCCTCCCCTCCACACACGCACCTTTCATACAGTGTACTTACGAACCCACCAGGACCCCTCCGTCATCTCCTCCGGCGGCGCAGTAGGCAAGCAATTCAACCCCGATGGCGCCATCGGGCAGGTTGGCGAGAAGATTGGCGGGCCGTTCTCAAAGGTATGTGGATCCAGCAAAGACGTTGGTCAAGAGCGACGTCAAGGATGTTTAGGGAAAACGCTCACGTTTAATAGGACGGTGCCATCGGAAGCCAGTTCGATGCTGCCAAGGATGGGCTTGCGGGACAGGTTGAGAAGGCCGTCGATGGGCCTTCAAGGCCTGCGACCGAGAAGAAGTAGAGTGGAGCAACACCGTAGCAGGCCGATCGCAGGAAACGATGTAATTCTGTAATAATCGAAGTATAAAATCTGCATCGACGATATTATCAGCAGCGAGTGAGGTTTCGTGCAGGCGGATGGAAGGATGGACGAGCATGCGGATCTGGAACGGATGGCCGCACGTGGAAAGTTTGTAACCATCTCTGTGGCAAGTCGGCCACGGGATGGTACTTGCGCACTTGCACTTGCTCTGAGCAGCAGAATCTCGCATGATTCAATCATCAACATGTCGCTTTTCAGTTGGGGTGCCCAAGCACGTAATACACTATTCCACCCCGTATCCATTTCAGCAGCTCGACTGCCCATTCCCCGTTCCATTGGTATAAGCACCTCCCGCATCTCCCAAGCACTCCGCCACCGTAACCAGCTTCAAATTGTTCTGCTTCGCCCAGTTAATCAACCACGGCGTCAGGGTCTCCACTGTCCCCTGATAAGTCTCATGCATGAGCGGAATATGCCCATTACCACCCGCGCCCGCAGCCTGGAACTTGGCCTGGCTCTGTGCCGGCGTCTTGCCGTTCCAGTCCTCAGCGTCGACGTCGTCGGTTACGACGCGGTACCCGAGCGTCTTCATCGTCGAGAGCACGCTGCCGGAGGTCTCGAGGTAGGGCGGGCGCATGTAGGTTGGCTTCACGCCGATGATGTTAACGAGCGCGGTTTCGAGCTTGGTCATCTCCGTGGTGAGGGCGGACGCGGAGAGGGAGCCAATATGTGGGTGCGTCCAGGTGTGGGAGGCGATTTGGTGGCCGGCTTTGTAAGCGTTTTGGAGGGCGGTTTTTTGGTTGTAGATGCAGCCTGGGGGTGGTCAGTATTGTTTGTCTTGTGAACATGCTAGAAAAAAAAATAGTTTGTTATCTGAGGACGGTGCCGTACCATACAACGTGCCAGTGACGAAGAATGTGCCCTTCGCGCCGCCGTTGGAAAGGATATCGGCGAGCTTCTGAGTGTATTGATATGGGCCGTCGTCGTAGGCAAGTGCGATCATTCCAGGGGAGCTGCACTTGGTGATGACCTGACCAGCTGGCGGGCCTGCAGCTTGAATTGCCTGAATAGGGTTCATGAGAGGCACTGCGCTAGTGGCAGCTGCCAGTGATGCGACAAGGAGTGTTGTGAAGCCCATGATTGCAACGATCCAGCAAATTCAAGACTGATGAGATTCGCAAACCTACATTTGCTGCGGACTGTGGTTTTATATCAAACGATCAACCAAGCGTATGCGCACATGGTCGTCGATATTAAGCTTGGGGCTCTCTTGGCTCATTCCTGGTAATGAGCCCAGGCTACCGGTGGCTTGGGACTAACGCTTCAATTTGGACGTTGATCTGATAGCGTGCGGCGAATGGAAGACAAGGACAAGTGCGTTTTGCTATTCTCGGAATATGCTGGGGTGTACGTTGGCGAGCTTTGCTTCTATTAGTCTAGGAGCACGGAGCTCGTGGTACAGATGCCGCCTCTATACTAGAACACATGCTTTTGTGCCCTTCATCCGGCGAAATTCAGGTGGAACTAAGCTCGGCTTTATATCGGTGGCGTCATATTTCCGCCGGGTAAATTTGGCGGCCACAGGGGTTTGTCCACGTGAGGCCATCCTCGGGACGAAGGCGAGGCGCGTCTCCCCACAATCGATCTTGAAACGTTTCTTGGCGTGGCATTTCATCCGTGAGATTGGATTCCGGGGCCTAAGAGCACGTAGAGTCGTGAAAATTGGCCCACGCGACACAAGTCTTGGCTCTCGGTCGTAAGGCTTGTAAAATCGTCGTAGCGTGGGTTTTCTGATCCGGGGTATTGGGATGACGACGCTTGAGTCAGGCGACGGAAATCTGTGATGAGTTCTTAGGTATTCCCATAGATCTGTCGCGTTCGCGTGGAAGGTCGAAAGGTACAGTGTCCACTACTATGTTTTTCTCGCCGATGTTGATGAGCTCAAATACCTTGTAGTTTGGTGATGACGCCATCACGGACTGCTCATGTACTAATGGAGCTGCAGTTCTGATGTTTCCTGCTGCGTAGAGTGACGCTCTTGGTTCCAGAAGCTCTTCTGGTTCATCCCACGCCCCCACGGCGAACACCCCGTTAGCTGCGGCCTTGACCGCACGAGACAGCCTTCTTCCTCCCGGTGAACTGAAACCACCAAGCGTTTCCCATGCAACTTTTGTAGCGACAAACCCAATCGTATTCGACTCGCCGCTACCTTCACGCTTCTCGTACGCTTTCAATTCGAGACATTTTACGATACGCAAGGCCGCTGCGACTTGTAGAGATTGCAGCGAGAGGGTCTCTGTTGACGGACTGTAAGCGCTCACAATGCGTAAAAGGCAGATGTAAGCCCCATTATAGAGCATGTATGTCGTTGCCGATGCATGATTTGCGATAGTGGGATCTTGAAAGTTTGGGGATGCCATTTCGCCCAGTATGCTTGCGTTGTGTTGCTCCCAGCGGAAATAGAGGGCGTTCAACCGGTCGAGATACTCACGTGCGCGCACTATCGTTTGAGAATAGTCCTCTTCCGTGTGTTCGTATAAGGAGGCATGATTGAGCCCTTTCCTCAGGACAGTACAATCTGCTAGGATGAGCAAGATCTCGTGCCGAATGAGGGAGCCTTCATCGGTACACAGTGGTGGAACAGACTTCCATTCTTCTTGTGCCCAAATGGAGGGTCTTCGCTGTACTATTGCGCCAACAATGCAGAGGATTCGGACACCGCCGAGCATGCTTAGGTCCGCTCCTAAAGGCGAAGTAGGGGGTCCTCGAGCGGCGAGAATAGCTTCGATACCTTGCACATGCTTGAAGAAGTTGTTTGGGCCGGTTGGGACGAAGATCTCGACTATCATGCATGTAATCGCGGTCATGATCGTCTCGTTCGTTGTTTGCAACAGAGGCTGCGCTAAGTGTGTATTAAGCTGCCCCAAAACTTTGCCGTAGGTCTTGTAACCGCGGTTAGTAATAGCTCCTTGACGGTGCTGATTGCCATAGAACGCAGCAGACAGACTGAGGATAGCGTCGCGAAGCAAACTAAGACCGGGGTCCAATACATCGCTGCTCAGGCCGACGCGCTGAACCAGGTCGCATGCTACTTCAACACAGCCGCCTCTCATCAAGTGTTTACGTGTATAAGATACACATATGTCGTCTTCGAAAGCAATGAAGGAAAGTTCTGCAGGAATCGGATTGTGCGAACGGCTGAGAGGAGGCCGATCATGGTTAAGGCTAATCCAGGTGGAGTCCTTCGGGCCATCGCACGTCAAGTTTCGTTTTTTACAGCGGTTGCAGATTGGTCGATTTTCATCTGGTCTGAGTCAACGCGGGTCTGTAATGAATTTGGAGCATCTTCGTATCGGCTTAGAAGTCGCAGTGCACGACCCGGCCAGCACATCATAGCTCCGAGTTGTATCAAGACGCTGTGAACCGAGTTTAACATGTATCATAGGGACGTACCACATTTTACGCGCCGTTGCCGGCAATTCGAACAGCCTTTAGAGCGTCCTGCTCTGCTGACCATGACGTGCACACTGGATGGGTTGAGTCAGAAGACAACGCTGGGAAGATCGGCAGCCTAATAATGCCTGAAATACTGCGGCTGAACATTGAGACGCCTTCGCTAGCGGATTTCCTCCGATGTTAGCTGACAAGCTGAGGCAAGCATTCTAGCGGACGCGTCGCGGGGGCTGTGAAGGAACTAAAAGATGGAGCGACACATCCAGTTCGGCAAGCACCGACACGGTCCGTGCGGCTTCGTTTTCCTCCATACCTTGACTCTCCTCCACTTCCAATAAATCACACAATGTCACAAGCGCGTTTCTTAGCCTCAAGATGATGCATCAAATCATTTGCATTGATATAATCATCGCATCACTTCCTACCTGGGTGGGCATGCGTGATCGAAGATAAAATAGCATATCGCGGTGTATATCTGTACGTAAAATCGCAAAGTAAGGCCCGCTGTTACCTAGGATAGAAGAAAAGTAAACTCATCTGAGCTGCGCCTTGTCCCAAACGCCAAACTGGAATGAAGCCCCACAAACACCGAAACCATATCTAATCTATAATGGCCTGCGAACCAGTCGCCCCCGTCAGGCAGCACCACACTGGGCTGCGGAAAAAGATCATGTACAATAGAGATCCAGTTCAAGCCGTTCTTCTGCAGAACGTATTGACCGGGGCTGCGATTTGCAGCAGAAGTAGAGCCTTCCCATGAGTAAAAGTACTGCTGCACCATGCCATAGCTGAACGAAAGGGCTGTTCCTCAGCAGACTCATGCCAGCCCAAAACCGGCAATAAGCCTGCGGAGTTTCTCGTCCAGTTACTCATAGATGTCGAGCTGAGTCATATTCACATCTGTGCCGACATCTTGGCCTCTGTGCCCAAGGCCTTGATCGCGTAGGCTGTGACCACACCGTGGCTGCCGATGCGGAGCTTGGAGCGGCCATAGCGACAGACCCATCCAAGAGGCCAACTGCCATCTTCGCACTGCAACGATAAAAGACGCTCGATATCCTGTTCGATGCCTTGAGGGCGCAGCCCAAGGGCCTGGCAGGCGAGTATACGGTAGGCAATGGCAAGCGAATCAACTTCCGGGACGTAGGCTTCGTACTTCTCGCCCTTGGCTCGACTAGCTTCAGCGAGATGGAGTTCTGCCTGGGTGACTTCGTTCTCATAGACACCCATGCGGTCAGCAAGAGCCTTAGCCAGTATCACCCGTAGTCGTTGTACCTCTGGCGCGTATGGGTGATCAGCGATGAGCTGTGACAGAAAGAAGAACAAGACTTCCGCTGTACAGTAGTGCCGCGTGCCGGACATGTATGTACCAGCATTCAGAGCCTCGCCAACGTATGCAAGCGATTCCTGGATGTCGGCGCTTCGGTTGTACTTGTAGAAAGCGCGGGTGACGTTGGTGAGCACGCATATATCAACTCGCGGACGTGTCGGGTCCCAGTACGTTTGCACCAGGCCATCGCGATTGCGATTTGCTAGCATACTGTCGAGCACATCGTCGACACCAACACTTGGTGTGAAGGCAAGCATTGAATATGCGGTGGAGTCGACATCTGCTGGAAAGGTATCTGTTGTGCCGACAGGCTTGCCGAGGAAATAGTTCCACTGCTTGGCCAAGTCCATCGTGTTTCGAATGTCGTAGTTCGTCTCAGAATTCCCATACGGGTGGAGATGAAGAAGCGAGATGTCGTTCGTGGCCTCCATGATGAGGAACTGTGAGAAGGTGTCCTCGAAGATCCCCGAGGCGTCTGAGCCCTCGATCTGATTGAGCAAGCGGCGCGCGTTGTTCTGTAGCCAGGCCTTTCCTTGTACCACATGTGAACCAATGTCTGTGGCTTGAAGGGAGATGCCAAGGTTCAAGACAGCAGTCTGGTAGAAGAGCGTCTTGAGCTTGTGTTCATGTTCAGACGGAAGGGTGAGCGAAGCCGCGATACGTTGCACGGCTTCTGTCTCACCGATCTCGCCACGTTCCAGAGCTTCCCACTCCTTGCAAGTGATGATGTGGTGTAGCGTTTCTTCGGGGAGCGAGGCGAGGCCTGCAGTAATGTAGTAGACCCAGCTGTTGCTGAGGCCCACGGGTAGACTGCCAGGCTGTGGGAGCATATTGGACCTTTTTCTGACCTTCGAGTTAGCTAGAAACCAAACAGAAGTATGAGTGTCAGAGTGGGCTCAAGGATGGGGATCGGGTTTTCTTGTTCACGTGAAAACCTTCGACGGGAGTGCATTAAGAGGCAAGAGGTATAAGCATACTTTCTTAACAAAGTGATTATAAGCTATATCAAGAACTGACGAGGCACGCCTGTTTATGGAAGAAGTTTGTGTTTAAACCGGTTGATGTAGACAATGTTACACTTGGGTGCTTGCTCAGTATAAATACTGCGCCACTGCGGCGGTTGCCTTTTTCTATAGCTAGCAGCCCTAGCATCATGATAAAAGAGGCACATTCAGTGTCGGATTCTATGTCCCGTGCTGAGAGTTGAAATGCCCGTTTGTGGCGCAGAAGAGCAGTGCAATCGACACCCTCGGAGATCTTTCACATCAGGCGACAGCATGGTACTTGTCAGCCTGGGCTCCACTGCCTAAGAAAATAGAATCAGCCCTTTCTAGCCGAGCTTGGAGCCAAACAAGGCCGAGACACACATATATCTACTGTACGTTGGTGGTAGATGCATCAAGGAGGGTCGCGTATTTCAACTTGTAGACATCAATATCACCTCAACCGTGCCACAGCACCACAGCTGCAGCAACCTTGTTACAACTGCAGAGTGTTCATTCCTTAGCGAAGCAGGCTTTTAGGGTCCTTCGCTTATCCTTACAGCATGGGGGCGGACGGACACAGGCAACAGTGTGATTATACCGGTGGTACGAAAGAGGCATAGTCAATCCCGCAGGCGGAGGCCCCCGAGAGGCTTTGCGAAATGAAACCTTATTGTGACACAACTTTCCTGAGGTGTCTGCGAATGACTCGTCACATTGCGCGTGGGGTGATAACTTTGCGCCCCCCACCTTGCTATTGGCGGCCTCGCTTGCTACGACGTACACGCTTAGATCAAGTAGCCCCCTCAACCTCAGGACTGAGTTCTTTATTCATAGACTCACAATGGCGCATCGAGCTGAAAATGGGCATCAATGCTCGCGATTGGATCATAGAGGGCTATTACTCAAACCTTCGTTCGCCGAGTCGCCGAACGGGCTTCATTCACCTCCACCCGAGGCTGATTTGAGAAACAGTGCACCTAGCGCTATCATGCCCATTGCGCACATGTGCTGTGATGGGTGCGCTGAAGTTTTCCTCTAGTCCTTAGGTGATCGAGTATCCTTCATGTCGCGACTCAAATATCTTCTCACGGCTGAGGGTAAGCTGACTGTGATGACGCAAACTAGCACGTGGTCCGCGGAGGCCTGGACTCAACTCCAGAGAACATACGTAAATGGAAAACGACTGTTGTTCATCGCTAACACGCGAGTCAAGGCTGACAGCCTGCTGTGGCCATTTCAAAAGTCTCCATATACGTCGTTGCCTTACTCCTGGAACTGGGATGCTACCCCACCAAAACTCACAGCTTGAACTCAAACCCACGATCTTTCAGCTGGGCTTCGAACAAACTCGGTGGATCTACAAAGGACCCATACACGCCAGTACTGTTAGTCTCTTCGCCTGCCTTCTTGGATTTTGGACCAACGCAGCCGAAGCAGTAATTTTGTCCCAGCCCTCCAGGAGGATCCTGCATGACGACAGAGGACGCGTTGGAGTTCCAAGATACACCTAGTATTTTTAACAGAGAGGAATTTGTCACTGGCAACAGAAGCTGACTGACCATTGTTTATAGTCCATCCGTGTCCGCTCCCAGCACCACCGCGGTTCCTGAAAAGAACTGCAGCTACCTTGCTTCCTTCGTTGAGGAACCCATGCGCCCAACGCTGATGAGGCTCAATACTCTCCACGGCCTGCTCTGCCTCATAACCGATGCACGCATTTGGTCCCGGGGTTAGGCTTTGCGTTGCGACACTATAACTTCTTGCATCCTTCTTTCCAAGGGTCTTGACATTGTGCACCAGTACTTGCGTCCCATCAATGGCAATATCAAGCGCGTAGCCCTTGTCGTTATCGGTAGGACCATCGCGGTTCATGGTGACCGTTGTAATTGTAATGCGAGATGCTGACTCCAGAAGGCCGATATGGTTGTTGAATCCAGTGAGATCCAGGTTGCGCACCCATGAATCAGTCGTCCACGACGGGATACGGACCGCAGCTGAAGAACATGTCTTATCCCCAAGCACTCTCCCAGAGCATGATGGCTTGACACGCATGCTCAGATTTTCGATGCCCATTTCAGAAGGTCGCGTAGGAGGCGTATACGGTGTAACCTGGATGGGCGACATGATGCCCCCCTCTGCGTCCAATGAGTCCGTAAGTGGAATCGTAAAAGATACGGCTTTGCCGTTGATTGACCGTATGCGACGCGGCTGCCGCACCAGATCATCGGGCTGTTGCCTATCAGTCACAGCTGTACACAGGATCTTTGGGATCGGAATACAAACCCTGAGCCAAGTAAAGTTCCGGTTTTCTCCTGTGTGAGCCGTCATGCCCATCTTATTGATCCACTTTTGGGTCACTCCTCGCTCGACATACACCTCCATGCCTAGGGATAGGCCCCTTGCATCGGCCACATGTACGGTGCCGGTGCCAGCAGGCACATAATCATCTGTTATCTTTATACTCTTTCCTTTTTTCTCTTTACCACTTGTCTTTCCCAAGGTCACCACATCCTCGCTCAGATCCTTCACCGTCAAGATCGTTTTTCCGATGCCTGCACCCCGGAGGATAGTACCGTTTTGGATAAGCAAACCAGAAGAAAGCGCAAACGTGCCGGCCTTTAGCGCGACAACGCCGCCTCCATCTTGGAAGACCTCGTCAAGGGCAGCTTGAATAGTAGCATGCTGGTCTCCGGAGCCAGGACTGAGCGTCTTCTTTGCGGACGAGCTCAAAGATGGGAGGGCACTTTCGGACTCGTGATAACCTGCGAATGAAAAGTTCGGAATCTTGTCGCCCTTAGTTGTCCATGCCTTTCTGTAATCGATGGTCGTCGCGTGGAGAGGCAGGACTAAGGTCACAAAACAGAACGCTGAGGTGACTAACATAATGGATACCAGCAGATTCAGACTGAAGAGGTCCTGGTGTTGTCCGTCTTTGGGAAGGAAATTTATTTCTAATAGTCACTACTCTTTAGAATAGATCGGCATTCGTATCGGATTCCCGCCGAAGTGCGCTACCATGTCGTTATGCAACTCCGCCACTCCGCCCCCTTTGAATACCTCCAAGGCAACCAATAGGTTTTGAGAGCCTGTCTCAGCCTTGCACCCCGAAAGCGCCTTCCGCCCAATTCAGCGCGTCGACATGCTGACTGAGGCCCAGGCTGCCCGATTTAATGCTGCTCGAAACGAATGCCTTTCTAAAAAAGATGAAGATGACGCGAGGGTCGAAGTCTGGCGTCAAAAATCCGGGCATTACGATTGTCGTGTCCCGAACGGGAAACACGCCGCGATGCTGATGAGAAAAACATCATCCAAATTTCATCATAGCTTCACAACATCATTGCTTCAGCTATCGGTCAGCTTTTATACCATGCATTTTATCTCGTGGAAGAAGTCCACAAACATGTCGCTCGTAAATAGGATCCGGGGGCCAAAATTCATCGGACACCAATCGAGAAGCAGCCCCTATCGAAAAACATCCTCGAACTGTCCCATCCTTCCCAATATCACAACCCCAAGAGACAAAATGAACAAAAGCCGTCATTCAACGTGGAAAATTCGTCGGTCACAATCCCACATGATGCCATCGCCAGATCACATCAACTGGGAAGATGTAGCGGTAGCAGGAAGCTATGAAGGACTGTATTGATTCCTATGAGAGCTGATACACGAGATAGTTTTTATGCTCAAGCTTATCGGCCCGAGAGGCTTGTACCCCTCAGCAGCTGGCGTACACTCAATCAATATCAACAGCTCCAGTTCCGTCACAGAAGACGCAAGCTCGATCTCAAGTATGTCTTATGAAGTTGATCTTATAACATTCTGGTGGGGCGCTTAGTACACAGACTGAAAACGCCAGGGACACAAAACTTACCAGACTGATCGTCTCACTCTCAGGCTTGCGATCCAGCTCCCTTCACTCCAAACCGAATGCGTGATTGGATCACTGTCAGCTGAGCCAGGTCTCCACGAACGTACTTGGGAGCACGACATGTAATCGCTGCGGCCGATCGCGCAACTAGATCCACAATCCCATCGCACGAGAATTCTATACAATCATTACGGGTTTCGTCGACGAAGTCGTCCCACTCTGTCTCGTCGATATCCTCTGCAGGATAGTGCCAGCTGATAAGGATACTAACGTACTTGAGATTGGCGAAGCCTAGTTTCCCCTCTGATAGCTTCTGCACAAACTCCCACTGCGAGCGACGAATGTACATCGACAGTTGAAGACGCCGGATGAGGTCGTTGTATGGAGCCCGTGGGTACCGATTGGGCATGCCGGAGTTGAGCTGGACAAGGAACTCGTTGTGCTTGTAGAATCCGGTTATGGCCAAGCGGGCAATCTGGGGTGTCATCCGGCAGTGAGGGTACAGCTTGGTAAGAAGGGCCTGTGTGCGAGGAGTCTGGCGAGCAGGGTGTGCCTTCATGTTCTCGGCAATGATGCTCACACGAAGTTCTTCTGGCAGCTTGTCCCAGTATCGAACGAATGTTGAGCCGAGAGTGTAGTTGGGCTTGAGTCGAACAGGCTGGGTCGAATACAGTACCAGGGAATTGACGGGTGCGCTGCTGCTGATCGACTTCCAGTCCGGATACATTAGGTCTTCCTCAGCAGTAGCGAGGAACATGGTAGGCAATCGGATGTGGATGCGAACCAAGACCGGCGCTTGGAGGAACATGGGTGTCTTCAGGTCAATACCTTCCTTTGCGATGGAATCGTACGCGTAAACCTTCTGCTTCCCCAAGTACGACAAGGGGATGGGGGCGACCCGAGCGATCTTAGGGAACCGAGGAGGAGGATCAACAGGCTCTTTCCCGGGGGTCGGCGTACAAGAGTTGCTGCAAAACTGATTGTACTGTTAGCCATGTCTTAACATTTTTCGACATATTGCAATTGGCTTACGGAAGCGTAGTGCATTATGGCGCTCTAATTGATCGTGGTCAACCAGAGTGTGTGTGGGGTCTGGTTGAGAGTGCAGAGCGAGCGTGTGAGGCGGCAGGCTCAAGACTAGGTAGTGAGAGTGAACGAAAGGCGCCGCTACCCTTTAGACTAGGCCTGTGCTGATGTTCAGGTCAATTTCACAAACCATGTATTACAAAAGACGCGTCCTAGACGCGTCTTGCTAGGCGCGTAGAGAGTAAGAAGATATACCTCAAAACACAATGCGATTGAGCATGTCTTGGGGACGTGAAAGTAAAAAGCGAGGTTTTTACGATGTATTAGTGTTGTGGAAAATGCTCTACGGCAACCCAGGAATTGCTTTGACGTCTCTTCCGCTTATGAGTCTAGCACCAACCCGTTCACAGGCGCTTCACCGAGTAGGTACCTAACAATTGTCGACGCCGTCTCTCCACCTGTAAAGAAACTTGTGTGCCCATCACCGTGCCTCGTAACAAACACCTTGTTCTTGATCTCTTCAAGCATGCCAACCGCCCACGGGTAAGCCGTACTTGGATCAGCGTCGCTGTTGACCATCAAAATAGTTGCCTCGGTGTCGACGTGAAGCTTTTTTGGGGGGTTGCGCGTCGCGTATGGCCAGCCAACACAGCTATGCAAAAGGGAGGTAGACTGGCCAGTGCCTTGGCTGAGAGGGTGGAATGTACTGAACATGTGCTGCGTCGTTTGCATGTAGTTGAAATCGTATACCGCAGGATCGTGGTCAAGGTCAAGACAGTAGATAGCAGTTCCTGCAGCTGCCTCGTCGAAGCGTGTGGACAAAGCGGAGGCGTCGCCATGGGTAGCATTATATATCGCCGACGCAAGATCGCCCCAGGTACTGAGGCCTCCAGTTACTCTGGGGTCCTTGAAGGTCAAAGCCTCTTGTGCGTTGAACAAGAGCTCTTCCGCGTTCACGTCTGTCCGACAGCTGGTCCCATCGCAAGCAGGCGCGGGTATTGAGGTTGTGGAGGCGTTCTTGAGGAGTTCACTACAGAGAGCTGCGACGTCTTCGCCCTTGAGAGGAGAAGTGACCTCTTCCGACGCCCATTCGAAGAAATGCTGTAGGCCAATACTGTAACCAAGAGATTCGATGAGTACATTCGAAGCAGCCGCTTGTGAGTGTTGCAGCATGCCGTCAAGGACCAAGGTACGGATGTTGTCAGGGAAAAGCTGTGCGTATTGAGCGCCAAGCTGTGAACCATATGACAGGCCAACCATATTAAGAGGCTCGTTGCCAAGCGCGATGCGCACTGCCTCGTGGTCCTTCGCGACACTGATAGTGTCTAAATGTTCCAGTAGCGGGCCGGTCTTGTTACGGCACGACTCTCCGTAGCGCTTGTTCTTGTCGACAAGCGTATCATAGTCTTCCTGGGTTTTCGGAAACCACGATACCCTCTCAGCCCAAATCTTTTGATCGCACTGAACAGCGTTGCTTAAGCCGACACCACGAGGATCCAATCCAATCAGATCAAAGGCATCATTCAGGCCTTCTGGAATGGGAAGCGCACCCAAGATCAAAGAAGCGATTAAGTCGGATGCTGCACCACCAGGTCCGCCTGGGTTGATAAATAGCGAGCCAATCTTCTTTGTGCTGTTTACGTTCGCTGGTAATCTTACGAGACCCAGATCAAACTTTTCACCTTCCGGCTCGTCCCAATTTATAGGCACTGAGTAAGTAGCGCATTCTAGCTGTGAAGGAGCTTCTTCGGGGCAGGATCCAAAGGTTATTGAGGGCGCTGTGCAGTTTGATGGTAGTGCAGAGGAGCTGGATGCACTCGGTTGTCGAGGGGTCAGAGGGAAGGCGATAGTATACGAGAGTAAAGAGGCGACAACGGAGAAGCGAGCGGTCGGCGACATTATCATTATAATCACAAGTAAGGTCCTCGGGGAATTAACTGAGAGAAGGTGATAGTGACCCAAACAATGAGAGGACCCTAACAGATGTGGAGGCTGTTTGCAGCTTGTTACCATCTCATATATAACCAGACGGCCATAATTTGAACTCCCGCTACTGACGCGCGTACGTTCTACCGTCAACACACAAGCCTCACTGCACCTGGCCCCTGCAGGGAATTGGGGCCTGAATTTCACGTTATATGCTTCGCGTATTTTCCGAAACAGGGTTAGCGTGCCCTCATCGGCAATCTCCCGACGACTTGGGGGCCGAGACCAAAGCCCACTGAGGCGCAAGACGTCGGTCGGCTTGGATGTTAGTACAGCTAGCAGGCAAGCTAAACATAGTGGCCAGGTCTAATCTTCGTCAGCGTGGGCCGAAGCCTCAGCACAATATACGGCTGTGATGCAAGAGGCAAGACTTTGCGAGATGATGCCTCACGACGCTGTTGGCGCGGTGATTTTGGAATTAACATCAACCCCCTCTATCGCCCTAGGAGAATACTAGGCAAAATCGGATGGCCCCTTGTGTAGACAACTATTGGCGTATTGTTGGAGCCATTGACTTTTACTTTCTCGTCCCATGCTGGTGGACTGAGTGAAAGCTACCATAGGAATGCTTGCGCCCGATCAATTCTTTTTCAATGGGATCCGGATTTTTCCGACCTTATGCTATTTTTCGTCTGTCCGGGCCTTGTGGCCTCGATCCCCTTAAAATTCTTGCTCATGCACTAATGCTGAAAGCCTTCCGTCGATTTTGGAAGTGGCGCCATCATATTGATTGGCCTTGAACTCAATCCGAAATTGCTATGTCCGTACCCGCAACTCTCGTTATTTTTTGTCGTCCCCTCAACAGCAGTTTCCACCTGTGGGAACGGCTTCGTGGCATGCACGAGATTATTTGACGCAACCTTGGCCTTCGCGACGCTTGAAAGCTCGACGCGCTTGTTGTGTCTGGAGTAGCTTGAACTCTGCGTCGGGCAGAAGCCGATAGAGTTGTTGGGCCCGCCTACTAGTCTGCTTTTTATCACTGTTAATCCTTTGACTTTGATTGTTGATGAAAGTTACGTTGTTGGAAGACGAAGAAGCCATCTGGGTAAGGTTGACGGAGAATATAATCATACTCAAATCGGAGTCATCGCTAGCGACCAGACGCTGTCTTCATCATCTTAGCCATTGTCGTCATCATGATCATGATCATCTTCATCACTATCACCATTGCTGCGTTTATTGTCTTCCTGTGGGTGCAAGAGCCTAGTCAGCTTCTTGCAAAGTTGTAGGGGTTCATAATATTCATGCAATGGCGAATGTAATTGAATGTCATCATCGACGAGCTCTTTTTCTGCACTTCTTTCCTGCATGTTGTGCGACGCGCACCAAACGGCCCGACGGAAGCGACTCTTTTTCAACTCTTCCTTGTCCCAATAAGCATATACATTCATGAAGTTCATATCTCCCGAATCCGCAAAGGTGACAGCGAGTTGACCCCACCACTCAAAGAGACCAACCAGCTGCACATCACCACCCCATTATTAATCACCATCGATGCCAGACAGCCGTCATATGACAAAATTGCTAGTCAACCAGCTATATACTCGGTATCTTTCTATTACTCGCGGTAAGTCGACAATAGTTCTCCCTACTCAGAACACCCTTCTGTGGGGTGCTAATGATACCCAGAATTATGCTAGGTGTCAATCTAACCGGCGAAGATTGGAATCGTGAGAGGCGGTGGAAACGAGAGGAAGACCGCCAAAGAAAGTGGGTGTAAAGAACGGCTGTTAGCTCGAAGAGGCGTAACGGAAGGCGCCACGGAAGCGCCCCACCTCCGGTCTACGCGTTTCTTGACGCGACTACACACGACTTGGGGTGCGTTGTTGGATCAGGTCGACTGACCCTCAGAATGACTGATCAACCTTATAGGCATTGAATCGGTTTTGTCTACTTGTCTACTCCGGGCTACGATGAGATAGCGAAACACATGGCACACCCCGGGCGCACCATGCTGGTCACGAGCGATGATGGAGCCCATGGACCCGTCCACTCGTGACTTTGGGTACTGATAGCATACAAGAACGTCTTCAGCGAATTCTTTCTGCATTGCTTGTTGCAATGTAATGGCCGCGGCAGTCGTAGTGATTACATAATCTGAGTTTACGGCTCAAAGGACCTGCATCGACTTTCCTCGATCATGGCAGTCGACAGCGAGAAGGCGTTGTTTGATAGCGATAAATCCGCGCAGGTTTGAAGCGACTAGAACGGGAAGGGTCGCTCGAGCTTGTCGTTGAAAGATCAGCGATTGGACAACCAAGCGATCTACGCTAGCCCTATTTGAAGACAAGGGTCGCTCTCACCAGATCATGTGTCTTCACTGTCTGTGAAATATGAATGCGTATCTATCTGACCCTGGGAGATTTTGCCAAAAAAGTACAATGGATGCAGGCTTGTTTATTCGAGAATCCGCCGTTGTACTACCGTGGCCAATCGCAAAACAACAGTCTCGCGTTCACTTCACTAGCGCGTCCGGATTGGGAATCTGGGTACGAAGACAATCCAACAGGCACGCGACTACAACACATACCCAACTTTGATCGTACTGATCACCGCTTATTGGTGTTGCTCTATATCAGGATGATAATGGCTGGAAACACACCAATGGGGACCCGCCTCGATTGGACTTTCGGAACGAAGAGGATGGGGAAGGGCCTCGTGTCCGATGCGTGGTAACAAATGGCCGCGCCGAGAGTATATATATAAAAAATCGTTCTGTGCTCACCGGAAGCGTTACATTGGTTTGAGCACTAAACTCAACCACTAAAACATCTTTCTAAACGCTCGAGAAGAGTTCCCAGCTATCATGGTGCTCAACTACTTCAAGTTTGGCAGCAGTGCCCCAGCAAATCCCGAAGACCCCAAGCAGCAACCTGTTCGCGCCTTGCCTGCATCGTGGTACAACACGAAGGAAATGTACGAGTTTGAGCGTCGCGCCATCTTCTCGAAACGTTGGCTATTCATGACACACAAGGTCCGCCTTGCAAATGTTGGTGATTGGTTGCGATATACCTTCGCTGGCTTCGATATCGTCATCAACAAGGACCGGCAAGGAAATATCAATGCGTTCCACAACGTATGCAGGCACCGAGCATATCCAGTCGTCGAGAAAGAGGGGTCGGGCAACGCGAAGATCCTGGCGTGCAGGTATCATGGCTGGTCATATGGTCTAAACGGAAAGTTGGCGAAGGCACCGGGCTTTGAGGGACTGGAGCTCAACAAAGAAGAGAATGGTCTCTTCAAGTGCCATGTCAAGATCGATCGTAATGGTTTCATCTGGATCAATCTTGACGCAAACGATGCCCCGGAAGTTTCATGGGAGAAACACTTCGACAATGTCGACGTGTAAGTTCATCCACCCCAAGATTGAGAAAGGGCGTACTAACAAGTAGGAATTTAGCCAAGCCCGATACGAAGGCATCGATTTCGACGACTACGTGTTCGACCACTCCTACGAAATCGACGGCGCATATAATTGGAAGATCCTGTCCGATAACTTCAACGAATGCTACCACTGCCCCACGACACATCCGGACATACCTACCTTCTTGAATCTCGAAACATTTGACAGCGACCTCAAGGACGGACACATCCAACACCATTGCGAGCCGAAGCCGGAGCAAGTGGAGAAAGGGCTTTGGGCACACAGCACATACTACTTCCCCAACTCGTCCATGACGGTAGCCAAAGCCTTCATCATGGTCCAGAAGTTTCTGCCGCATGGGCCCAATCAGTCCAAGATGGCCTACGAGATCTACCGCCACAAGCATTCGTCTGAGGAGGCGTTTAAGCTCATCAGCGAGCCCTATGCACGCGTGATGCATGAAGACAAGGTTCTGTGCATGGGTCAGCAACGCAATCTAGACCGTAATGTATTCACCAACGGAATGCTGCATCCCAAGTGGGAGAAGGCTCCGATCTTCTTCCAAGCCGCAGTCAGGGAGGCGGTCATCGATCACTACGAGCAGGAGAAGAAGGAAGGCAGGGAAATTTGGCCAGCGAAGCAGAAGCCGAAGGGTGCAGGTGCGGACATCAGTGCGAAGGACGAAGAGATTTGTGATGGTCTAGGCTGTGGAACACAGAGGGAGATCTTGGCTTGGTAGAGTTACTGCTCTGAAGTCGGAATTGGGATGGCGCGCATGTCGTGGAGTTTGGAGCGTTTAGCACTGTCGTTTGCTTCATATATCCTTCTGTTATTGAGTCTTTCGCTTGTCAAATCCCCTCATCATTGTTGCTGTTCATAATGTGCTACTGGGACAAAACCTGAGCACAATACACCTGCGCATCGCGAACCCCAAGGGAAAACACTGTACTCGGACTTTTGTCGTGTTGTTATATACTCATAGCTAAATTGGCTTCGTACTGTGGGATCAAGAACCTGCGCCTGTGTACAATTGCATACAGTCTCCAGCGCAAAGTATGCCATAGGCTCTATGTCAAGTCTTTGAGCGGTTTGATTGGCGAGGTATGTGGGTAGATACACTTGGGCCCCGAGGATGGTTGCGGATCAGCGGCCTAACGCAAGGAGGAAGGAGCGTCCTTCATCGCACAGGAGCAGCCTTACGAGACCGTTTTCGGGACCCATTCTTATTCAAGAGTTCTTGCGCTCTCTCTTTCCCCGACAGACTGGATAAAGAGTTGCCAATATGCTCAAACGCTTTGTTCAGAGGCCTCGGCCGATATCGGCACTAGCGTCCACCACTAACATTCCACTCATCAATGCTCAGCACGGCCCAAACACCTAAAAATGCCACCAGTCTCTCGTGCACTCTGGTCACCGTGCCGTAACCTCTTCAACAGAGTTCCCACGTCTCACATTCGACCCCTCAACTGCCGAGCATTCACATTGAGCACCGGCCCGGCCCCTCAGCAGAAAATTTTCCGAAACCGGCAGTCCACCCAATTTTCCCGCACTTTCCACGTGAGTCAAACAGCCACGTCGAAGCAAAGGTCGCAGCCCTCGGACGCAGAAGAATTGAGCCTCAGAAGGAACAAAGAAAAAATGGCGGTCGACGATCACTACCTTACTCTCTCGTGTCCCGATAAGTCAGGCATCGTGTATGCGGTGACGGGGCTGCTCGCAAAGCAGAACCTCACCATCCTGGACCTCCAGCAATTCTCCGACCCGGACTCCAAGAAATTCTTCATGCGCGTGCACTTCGGACATGCGACGGATCTCTCGGGCCTCCAGGAACCGCTGGAGAAGCTAGCGGTCGAGCTGCAGATGGACTACCAAGTGCGCGCCGTGCAGGAGAAGCCCAGGGTGCTGATGATGGTGTCCAAGATCGGACACTGCCTGAACGACCTGCTGTTCAGGGTCAAGAGCGGCCAGTTGAAGATTGAGGTCCCGCTTATTGTAAGCAACCACCCGGAATTCAAGGAGCTTGCCGAGTCGTACGGCATTCCGTTCCACCACTTGCCTGTGAACAAGGACACGAAGGTGCAGCAGGAGACTCAGATTCTGGATCTTATTGCCCAGCACAAGATCGACCTCGTGGTTTTGGCGCGGTACATGCAGGTCCTTTCACCAAGACTGTGCTCTGAGATGTCCGGCAAGATTATCAACATTCATCATTCGTTCTTGCCGTCGTTCAAGGGCGCGAAGCCGTACCACCAAGCATATGAGCGTGGTGTTAAGATTATCGGTGCAACGGCGCACTTCGTTACCGCGGATCTGGATGAGGGACCCATCATCGAGCAGAGAGTCGCCCGTGTCGACCACGCTATGTCGCCAAAAGAGCTCGTGGAGGAAGGAAGCAACGTGGAGAGCCAGGTGCTCGCGGCCGCAGTCAAGTGGTGGAGCGAGCAAAGAGTGTTGCTCAACGGTGCGAAGACGGTCGTTTTCAACTAAGTCGCCATGTAAGAAATAGGCATTCGTTTTCGTGTACATATTGGACAATACATTGGGTTTCGGCAATGATATTGAATCACATCATTCCCCGTCGTACTAGCTTCTGTGGATCGCGCCACGGCAGCGTGGCAGCATTTGCGAGCAAACAACATTGTGCGAATTTGGAATCTTTGTTTTCGAGCGGTAAAAGGGCAAGCACATCCACATCTTGAAGCTACTCTTGTCTTCAGAGAACGGAATTTACCCTGACAGCATGTACCCCACCAAGACTGTAGCTGCACGGGCTGGTGGACCAGCAGATGGAGCGATTGCCTGGTATCTCACAAGCACAACCGAGCAGGATTACGAGGTGGAATTTCAATGTGAGCTCGTGTGCCTCATCACCGTATTTGCAGAACACCAAGATAGCTAAACCAACCTTTCCATTTTAGATGTGCCACTGACTAACGATGCCATCCGCTCGATTAGCTACATTGGTTCCAACTGGGTCGAATGGTGCTCGCCTCTTTCAACATGGTGCCCCTTTTTCACCAAGTGCGAGTCAGGCAGCATCTTCAGCGGAACGCACTCTGAAGCCTGGTAAACAGAAACACCTTGAGTGTACTAACAATAGCTGAACCTTAGCATACAGTGCCGAAACTGATTGTCGCTCGGAGACAGTCTACGAGAAATACCGCACGCATAGCCCATTGTTTAGCAATGTGTTCTGCTATCCCGGCTGGATACAGCGGACCTACTACAAGCGACAACCAACTACGTGGGAGCAACGGGACGAACTTCGTAAGTGCACCACATGGCCCGTTCGATCTCTGAACTGACACTCGGGCCTGCAATAGCATGGAGTATGACAGCATCAACGACGATAGCGTCAAACGACGTTTTCTCCAGCACGAGTAATCAGCCCGGCGGAACCACCATACATGTCTCGACGACTGTATTTGTTACTTTGGCTCCCTCACCTACACCATCATCTACAAAAATCATCGTTGCTCCAACTCTGCCCCCACAATCAGTCGATCAAACCTCTGTATTCCCAGAGTCCTTCAACACGACAAACACAGCCAGAACCGCGCCTTCCACTTCACCTTCATCCTCCTCGCCCTCATCACCGTCCTCGTCTTTCCCCCCTTCTTTAGTCTCCTCCCCCGGTTTCACACCACCCACTGCCTACAAGCCCGCCAGCGAATTTATCATCGGGGTCTCCGTCGGCGGAACAGTCTTTCTCTGTGCTATCGTGCTGATAACCATCATCCTCATTCGTAAGAGAAGGAACCGGATTGTAAGGAAGAAGGAAGAGGCGCAGCAATTCGAAGTCCAGCCACAGCCGCAGCTACCTGTGGTGGACCTAGACACGAAACCTGCGGTGCCGGAGCTTGAGAGTCCCCGCGAGGTACGCTCGTATGAGTTGCCTTCGCCGGTGCTTGAGGTGGGGAGGAGTGAGGGGAGGAAGATTGGGAGAGAGGATGAAGGATGGGGAAGCAGGTGCTAATATAATACAATATTACGACTTCACACCGTGAATACGAACAGGGTATAATCTATGCAAACAACCGCTCCATTGAAACAATGGTCAACGCCATCCTACCCGCTAATAACGCTGAATACACAAAGCTGGAAACAACGAGGCACAAAAGATACTGATACAATAGTAAATGCGGATTAATAAGCACCCAGCGCAACAAGCCTGCCCTTGACATCCATTGGTCTCATGCCTTGGTTGACAACCACGCTGCTCAAAGCACCCATCCTGACGATGTTGACGTAGCCAGGTGTAACCTCGCTCGCGAGCACCTCAATGCATTTGAGGGCTTCCTCCTTCGAGATGGGTTTCCGTATCGAGGTCTGCAGCGACTGCAGCAGTGCATTTATGGAGAAGGAGATACGCATGCCAGAACCCTTGTTCGCGCAAAGAAGGGCGATCACGCCGAGCACGTCTTCCGAGCGCTGAAGTGCTGCTTTGCGCTGGAGCTCGGCGGGTGTGAGGGGCTTGGGGCCGGACGCGGCGGCCGCTTCTTTGGCGAGGATGCGGTCGAGGAGGTTGGTTTTGCGGACGGACGTGAAGTCTGTCATTTTGGTCTGGGCGGGGGTCGCGGGTGCGTTCTCCTTGCCTGTGGTCTCGCGCGTTTTCTTCACGGCGCGGCCTTGCTGGACACTGTCCTTAAACTCGCGGAGCCTCTTGCGGCCTTTTTCCTGCAGGGGTGCGATGGCGATTAGAGACTCGCATGTGGTGATCTCGGCGTGCGGGAGCTGGGCGATGAATTTGGTGAGCGAGGGCTCGTCGATGAAGGCCTGGATGCTGGACTGCGTGGGGTCATTCCTCTTAGGCCGTCCGCGTCCGCGCTTCTTCGGTGTAGCAATTGGCCGGCTCAATATCTTCTGTGATGTCTGTCCAGCTGCGCTCCACTGCCTCCACAGGTGGTCCAAACTCTCCATAAACATGGCCTGGAGTGTCCCCTCCTTCGTCTGTGACAGTCCTGACTGCATCTTGTATTCGTCGCTAACCTCCAAACATATTTTGCCGCGTCCGTAGTCGGAAATGCGGAAGGGATTGTTACTTGCAGCTGGGCCAGCGCCGAGGACACCGACGCAGAGGCGGATATCATCGTAGTGGACTTTGCGATGGCGCCAAACGGATGTGATCGTCTCGCTAAATTCTCGCAGATCGATGGCCGATCCGGTTCCGTTGTGTACGAAGTGCAGCGACAGCGCGGTGAGGAAGGAGGAGTGCAGTGCGAGAAGATTGACAAGCTCGGTTGGCAGGGCAGCCGTCGGATCGATGGGCGCCATTGCGTTTAGATAGTTGAAGGATAGTGAGGTCGAATTGATACAGCGCAGGGATGCAGTGGTCAGCTGGCGAAGAAGAGAAACACCGAAGCTGGGAATAATTGTGGGATGAGGAGGAGAGAGGGGAGATGACGGGTTGTTATGCGCGGCAGTGGGCTGGAAAACAGCACTAGCGCGTGCAGGGGACGCGCCCTTTCGCGTCGCGCGTCCATTTCGTGCACTCACCAATGAAATACGCGCAAACGTGGCCAAGGTCGCGCTTTTCCGACGTTTACACGCGATGCCCCAACCCATAATCGTTATTCACCTATAATTCCGATGCCTTCAATACTTTCGACGGTCCTAGACTAGCGCGTGCCCAGGTAAAGACCGAATCTCGTGATCTCGGCATAGCTTTGACATCCTTGAGCTAGTCAGTGAAGAACTTCAGCGACGTCAAAGAACCGTTGTGCCGCACGAAGCCAGCGAACACGAAAGCCAGCCTAGAATCGCTTACAAAACTCGATGGTGTATGTGAAACGATCTACCTAGTTATTGAGAAGACACTCGCGGACACTATCCAGCCCAGCACACGTGCTCCAGATCACGAATCGACTAACATGAACAATGGAACACGAGGAACGCAATGAATCTGAATTAAATAAATTGAGGCGAGAAGCCATCCCAAAACTAACTCCTAAACCCGAAGGTTTCATGCAGAAGTGGTAATCCGTGACAGTCGTGCAATCTTTTGAACCGAGAGCGGCGAGCCGCTCACTTTCCACCAAAAAGGCCGCCGAACCACCCCTTGGACTTGTTGATGCCATCGGTAACCTCCTTGTCGAACTTGTTCGCGGCGGCGTTGACCTCACGGCCGGTCTCGTTCTTGAGCTCCTCGAACTTCTTCTTGGCATCAGCACTGTATTTTGCGAGTTCCGCATCCGCCTTGTCCGCTTTCGCCTTTGCGTCATTGGCCTGCCAGATCACGTCAGTATTAATTCACAACCCCAACGACAACAGGACGGAGTCATGGTGCTTCAGGAGACCTCAGATGGACTTACCAAGCTCTGTGCCTTTGCGCGCGCTGTCTCGTAAGCCTCCTCGCCGGCCTTCTTCGCCTCCTTGTCCTGGCCGGGGTAATCGCCTCTCAGCTTCCTTGTGGCCTCAGCAGCATCGTCTGTGTATCGCTGTTAGTTGCGCACTCTCATGGGCCATCAATCGGCATCACATACGCTCGAGCTTCTTCTCAGCAAGCTTGGGGTCTCCGCCAGCGCTGTACAGGTAGTAGCCAATGCCACCAAGACCGGCTACAGCAGCCAAAGTTCCGACTTGTCGTCCAGCCATTGCGTTTGGAAGTGAGAGGTTGATTTGGTAAAGGTGGTACGAAAAGGTGAGAATTCGCGATGTGGATTGGATGCAGATGGATGAAGAAACTGCAGGGAGAGATAGTACTTATGGGCGGGGTGCTTTCAAGGCACCGCCAATGCCGCATGGCATGATGACGTAGGGACGTGCCAGCTTGAGCACGGGCCAGAGCGAACCCATCACGAACCATCACTAGCCGGCACTGGTTCTGGTCATCGATGCGCGATCCTTCTCCATAATTCTGTTCGCTTGTTCGTACCCGTGTACCAAGTGCTGGTAGCGGAGTTGTTTGTGTAATTCGTTTTCACATAGTCCCGTCGTATATCGCAGCTGCTTGTACTGTTGAAAGTCCGCTGCTCCTGCCCCTAATACCTAGCGGCCCACGAACGGTGCCAACGCCTGCCCCCAAGAACAACTCATGCCGCCACGATAGCACGGCGTGAAGCCTCTCCGCCATACCTGAAAAGCAATACCGCGGCATTTGTATTGCTCCTGGACACTGTACAGCACCGGAGACGCTCGCCAAAGACCGTGCTGGCTGCCATGGCAGATCAACACATTGCGCTCGTCGACGCGACCGACAACGAACACAGCCCAGAGCCCACCCAGCAATCCGCCGAACAGTCACGGAAACCGCCACAGACACCAGATATGCACATCGACGTGCTTTACGAGAACCAGCGCGGCTGGTTCGTCTTCGGCATCCCGCTGTTCTCCTCGAAAGCGCTATGGAACCTCCGAATTGACCAGTCGCCTTGGGTCGATGCTAAGTTCAAGCCCTCGGCCGTCAACATCACAAACGCACAAGTTCCAGATCCAAGCTGGGTATGGGAATGGAAGAGCTGGTATGTTGACATGAGCCACGACGTGGACGAAGAAGGCTGGCAGTATAGTCTGTGGTTCCGAGGGGCTGCCTGGCACGGAAACCATCCGTGGTTCCACAGCTTCGTACGGAGGCGCCGATGGCTTCGAAAACGTGTGAAACAGAGACTTCCACCAAAGTCGAAGGTGAATGAAAGATTGTTTGGAGACACATTCAGCATTGGCACTACACTTGCGAGAGCAATGACAAGCACAACGGCACCTATGAGTCCATTGGAGAGTGGGGAATCCTCACTAGACGAGGAGGTCAAGGACGTTCCTACACTTCTGCGGAAGTTGAAGAACGCAGCGATCGATCGGGAGAAGATCGTGTTCATCAACAGATTCATCGAAGACGGCGGCGAAGAGCTACATTATCTGGCTGAGCAGGTCTGTCACCACAACCATGTCCTTTCCATCCCTTTGCTGACTGGCACAGATACCAACGATAATGTCTCTCCTCATATTCCAAAACTCTCGCCGCCAGCTCCTGTCCACCCTCATGGAAACTATCGACGATGCACGCACGCACCGAGGCACGCATAAGGAGAGCGGCAAGGCCGAGAATGGAGCGGAAGAGCGAAGAATTAACAACCTGCTCAAGGCAGTGGAGGCTGCGGATGCAGAGTGTAAGAAGCTGGAGTACTGGAGCGATATCAAGATCTTGGTTGAAGAAGGGAATGCAGGTAACGCTACCGATGCGAACAGCGGCTGGGACGAGAAGTGGCAGGGTCTCGATTCCAGCGGGGCAGAGCATCCACGGCAGCCGCCGAAGAAGGAGTGAATGTCCCAGCTGAGCACGTGGGTGTCTGGCGTTTATATGGGTTATGATGGAAGAGGGCATTGATACCCGAGCATAGCTGCACGCTTACGTTAAGCTTCGTATACATAATCTTATTGAAAGAACACACTTACGGCGAAGCCACAGCGCCTAATCGATGAATAACATGACATCACATCATCTCTTGTCTCCTGTGATCAGGATGGTACCTCACGCGAATGGGGCCGATGATCTCGTCGATGGACTTGGCCTTCACAACCTCGCCCTTCTGCAAGACCTCGACGACACCAAATGCGCGCATTTCCCAACACAGGTTGCGGACGTTCTCCATGCAGTCTCTCCAATCATAGCATTCGAGCTTGTCCAATTCTTCCTGGTCCAGTGCGCGTGCCACCTCCGAGGGGCAGATGGTCTTCGGGTAGGGGCGTCTGCCCAGCAGAGCTTTGAGATGCTTCCGCAGGATCTCCTCCTGGTCGTGGTCGAGGATCATGCTTCTTCTCTGTTCGGGATCGCTAGATACCGTATATTTTGTTTTCGGCTAGCTCGGTCAAGGCGCGTATCAAACGCAAAAGAAACGGTCAAGAGACGACAAGAGGCAGCTCCAAGACGGACGCTGAGGGCTGCTTGGCGGGGCTAGATCAGCGCCTGGGTTAGCTCGCTCAGCGCGATCCCGGGACGCGCGCTGATCGTCGACGTCAGAGCCAATTAGGGCCGTCCTGTGCGGCCCGATGCGCAGACCTCAACATTCCGCGCAGAAAGCGGGTGGGCGCGCATTGGGTCTTGTTGATTCCTCAACCGTTGGCCGAGCGTCGGAGCAAGGATTCAGACATGCGCGTGTTGGTGGCTAGGTTACCCCACGTTGGGAGGGGTGTATATCTAGCGCGGGGAGGCTCGTCATCCCCTTCTTCTCTTCCTCTTTCTGCGACGAGAGCGACATCGGGAGCGCACGCTACGCAGGGCCCACTGCTTCGATTCACCGCAGCGAGAAATTTTGCTACTACAGGAACCGCACGCTGTCCACCGTACGGCAAGATGGCTTCCGAAGCACCAGAGGACGTACGCAAGTACCTGCAGCAGAGCCATGACAGGATCTTCGAGAACAACAAGAAGTGGGCCGAGGAGCAGAAGGCGAAGCACCCGGAGTTCTTCGAGAAGCTGAGCGCGGGACAGGCGCCAGAGTATCTCTGGATCGGTGAGTCAATTGCTTCCGCCGGCCCCTCCAGCCCTCTGCAGAGACGCTGCTGTCACCCAAGGACTACGCTGACACGCCCCCAGGCTGCTCCGACTCGCGCATTCCCGCCGAAGCCATTACGGGCCTCGAGGCCGGTGAGATGTTCATCCACCGCAACATCGCGAACCTCGTCTGCGCAACCGACCTCAACGTCATGTCCGTCGTCAACTACGCGGTGCGCCACCTGCACGTCAAGCACATCATCGTGTGCGGGCACTACGGCTGCGGCGGCGTCAAGGCCGCCATGACGCCCAAGGACCTCGGCCTGCTGAACCCCTGGCTGCGCAACATCCGCGACGTGTACCGTCTGCACGACGACGAGCTGAGCGCCATCAAGGACGAGGCCAAGCGGTACGACAGGCTCGTCGAGCTCAACGTCGTTGAGCAGGCGAAGAATATCATCAAGACAGCCGCCGTGCAGCAGCTGTACAAGGAGAAAGGTTACCCCATTGTGCATGGCTGGGTGTTTGGGTTCAACGATGGGCGGTTGAAGGACTTGGAGATTGACTTTGAGGGGCAGTTGAAGGATATCCAGAGGATCTATGATCTGACTACTGACGCTCTGGAGGGGTCGTAGAGGGGCGGCGTGTAGAGTCGAGGCGTGAAAGGTGTTCAGGAGTGCGTTTGAGCGTTGAGGGTGGGCAGGTCGATTGATCGCGTAGACGGTTAGATGTATGTATAGTGAGTAAGGATGAGCTGATAAACATTAGATCGAGTACATTCACTTTTGTATCGAGCACTACTTCCGTTGTGACGAGCTTGGCAAGACGACATTGTCCGGTCGTCGGCAATGTGCTTTCCCTATGAAGAATCTACCGTCAAATCAAAATTCACCTCGACATCAAAAGGCAAGAGCTTCCTGCGTGACGATCAGAAACTGAGTATCATCACAACTTCCTTATCGCCGAACAGAGCGCACAACCTTACAACATTACACATATCTAACATAAACGAGGTATGAGCGAAAGCGAAACACAGCAATAGAATGTGTTTGTCCTACTGGGCTATAGAAACGTCCTTCTCTAGTGATGAGCTGTCCATCGTATAATAAGGGTATATTTCGGGTTGCTCCTTCCTTGAAGGCCAGCGATGCCACGGGCCACTCCTGCCATCTGCACCACCTGGGCATGATCTCCTACCCATTTCTGTCAGTGCATCCCGGGTCCTTCCCTCACACTACACGCTGAGACCCTGCGCCCGCAGAAACTACCCCGATTGGTGTCGTGTGTTCCCAAGAGGTGAGCTGGACGCCGCAACGACGCATCTCGTATCCGGGCTTCTATTGACAAGACTGAAGAAGCTGGATGGCACTCGCGCCGGTGCTGGCGCAACGGCGCGGCACGTACGGCGTTGCGTGCGATCCACCGAAACACATTAACCAACCGTGTGCTTGACGAGTGAAGGTGTTCGTGGGGGCGGACCCAACCATCGGGTCGGGCTGCCTCGTGCGGAGGCGTATGAAACAGTCCTCGCACGCCGCTGCATGGTTTCTATGCCTTAATTTCCACAGTTCTGCAGGTACTGGAATCCTTGTTGTTTCTGGATCAATCGACCTTCTCTTTCACCAGCTCTGCTCCGTCTCGTTTGGCCAGCCCGGCATACGGCTGACCCCTTCGGATGGGCGATAGCTCCGAGGGAACCCCGAAAGCGCAGTGTCCGATTCCTGGTAGGGCTTCTACACCGACGTAGTCTTCGGTATGGTCATTCAGCACGCCAAATTGGAGACGCGTGTGCATGAGTTCTAGTGGGAATGGGTCGTTGCCTAAGCAAGCGCCGCGGCTGATGTCGTCGAGAGTCGTGTTGCGCGTCGTGACCATGATGCGTGAGAAGCCCACGGAGAACGTCGTGCCGTCCTTGACGATATTCCAAGCGCCTATGACCAAGATGATGAGGGTCACCAGGATGACGGGGGCGTAGCATGCCCAAAGCTTCTCGGGGTTGTAGATGAAGGTTGACTGAAATCGAGTCCGGTTGACGAGGACGCGTTCATGGTCGACGACGAGCATTTGTGGCGCGGAGAAGAGCGAAAGCACCATCTTAGTGTAGAAATCTAAACCAAAACTCAAGTTAGTTGGTGCTGGAATATTTTGTCCGTGCGAAACGTACCCTGCAGTTGTTCGGGTAAGTCCTTCATTGGCAGGCTTGTGCTGTTGCTAACCAGCCTCGTTTGTGCGATAGCACTGGACACCCGAGGATACGAGGGCCCTGGGATTGGCGGATCCATCTCAATCGATCCTTTGAGGAACCCACGCAAAGACTGGCCCATCGTATGGTAGGCTGCTACCTTCTTGTAGCGTTCAGTGTCCCGAGGGCTAACGTAGTTTTGCACGGGTACAGGGGTATCCCAATTTGGTGTACCATCCCCATTCCGCGAGAACGTGGTGTTGACAACCGGTGAGAGGAACTCCTGAGAGACCTCGGTCTTGAAGAATGGTTCGGTGTAGTTCCATTTCACGGTGTATTTGGTCTCGTAATGGACGCAGCGGAAGATATGCTGGTCAAACTTGTGCGTCCAGTTCCTTCTGAACGTAGAGTTACCATCGAGCGGTACTGTGGAGTTAACAGCGTACCCAATCCAGATCACAGGCTCTGACTTGAAGATCCCTATGTCATCGAGGTTTACCTCGAGTGGTGGAACACCTCCCTGTGCGGTGATTCTCGGATCCTGTGGTTTTGCGTAATCCCCTTCCTCAACGTCCGCGAAATACACGTTCTTGCCGTCCGGAATGAGTTTGCTGGTGTTGAAGGGAGCACCGAATTCCTTTAGCTTATCGTTGTCTGCTGAGCTCGTGGCGACCTGCTCACATTTATAACCAGGTCCCACGAAGGATGTGGTGTAAGTACAATTGAACGATCCTCCACATGAATCTTGCCGTGCATCGGCCCGATTAAGGGACGTGTCTGTCAAACTGAACGCGTTCATAAGGGTGACTCGGGTGATATCTGTGGACGGCTGGTCGAAGTAATCGAAGAAACCGGGTTGTTTACCAAGGGCATCCGTGGTGTTGTAGAACATCAGTGATTTTCTCGTAGTTCCGTCTTTCATTTTAAGGGGCACGCGCCAGTCACTGGATGATTCTGCAGAAAAATTGAGAGTCGGTACCGTCAATGAAGTGCTATCAACCTCAAAGTACCAGCCAAAAGTTAGGGCACCAGGACTGAAGATGATTGTTGCAACAGGTATCAGCCAGATGACTAGAGCGATCAAAACTGGCCTGGGAGCCAGGCTTATTGCTTCCCAGTTCAAAAAGAGGGACGGATCCTCAGTCCCCAGGAACAGTTGATCGATTGTTAGCACCGTGAGTGCTTTGTTTCGAAATGAAGTCCTGCCATACCCGGAGGTAGATGGTTAGCGTAGGTCTCGGTTGTGAGGACATTGGTTCTTTCCGTAGCTCAACTTCGCTCAGAAAAGAAACCCCCTCTGGTAAAGTATTGAACGGATAGGAGAGTTCTTTCAGCTGCTGCGGAGACAGCACCTATGATCGGGGGAACTTACCATATGCGTTGGCGATAGACCAGTATGCAGCACATTCCAAACGCGACTTTCGAGAAGTAGGCAAGCGCACGACCATATAAGACATATTTGACCTTTTTGCCCTCATCGTCTTCGACTTTGTGATGGAGAGACGAGTAGAGCAGGTGCTGGCCAAAAGCTAGTGCGATGCCCACAAGGAAAGACGCAACCATCATGAAAGGTGTTCTCCAGTGTATGGTCCATCTTGCAGCCTGGGTAGCTCGACGTTCAATGAGGCGCTGTGTCATTGGATCTGTCCTTGCGCGTGACATTGAAGTGCTGACGGTGCCATTTCTGGAAACAGGCGGCCGTGGGGAGAGGGGCGAATAGAGACCGCCTTTCAGCCGATACACACTATCTGGAGAAACTGGCGTGTTCATTTCTCTCATCTGAATGCCCAATCCTTCGTTCACTGCATCTTGAAATCTCGCTCGCTTTTCCGATCTTGAGGTAAAAGATCCATGCGAAGATGTGGAGGTGGTTGTAGTCGATCGCGATACGCTACGTCGCCAATGCTCTGGAGAGCCCGAGGGCCACACATCGGGCGGTGGAGGCTGTGTCTCCATAATGAAGGTAGACACACACAACGGTGGTGTTGGTTCGAGATGAATGCCAAGCGCAGCATCGTAATGTGGATCAGCGAGCGAAGAGGCCTGACATATAGGTGGCGCGAGCGCATACGTGCGGGGTGGTGGCTGCGGAAATGACCAGGGAGTCGGTGAAGCAGTTTCGATGCACTGTGGTGTACGAGCTTGCGGCTGAGGTTCAGCCACACGGCGTTGCAAGGACGGTTGAGACCGCTCTGCCCAGCTGAACCAGACCGTTATACCAGACCGTAGAAGGCCGGCATGGCCGAATTGTTATGGGTCTGATGCTGCGTTCATCTCAATGCCTCACTGACAGCTTCCAAGAACCAAGCGTTTTTGGTAGCACAGACAGGTTCGTGTTCCTGAGTCTTGGTCACGGACTTCTAAAGTGTTGCGCTTGCCGAGACTGGGTTTAAGTTTGTTCCAAACTGCCAACTCCGTATGCAGCACCATGCCGGAAAAATAAGTGTGGCTGTAGCGAACAAAGGGATCCCAGACAGGCTCCTGTTGCAGTTAGTGCTTGTTACAGTGTGTATGTATGGGCACTGATCCTGCGAGGCGGCGCCCCTACATATTACAAGAATGGTTTATGGCGGTCTGGGCCCCACGGGACGCATCGTCATCTCACGGCCTGATGTCAGGCCACTCATTTGCTGCGAATCGTACTGGATGGTGCTGTCGTTCTCGAAGCTACGGAACGGGAAGGTCGCAATTCAGGCACTTGCATGGCGTGAGGAGCAGTTATATAGAGATGCATTGGCATCCCCGTAGATGCTTGCCATCGCCGCTGCTCCCCTTCTATTTAGAAGTTGTAGGCGCGATTTTGTTGCTAGGATGGAACGTCGCCCGTAGGTAGCGCAGGTGCGACGAAACACAGCAACAGAGAACCTCACAAGCTCCTGATCGTCATTGGTGGCTTCGCAGCCCGAATACCTAGGGGCTTGTCAAGTTAACGTACAAATAGAGTATTCAAAGTGTGCAGTGTTATTGTTGAAGAGCACGCCTGAGATATAATAGATCCAGAGGATGCCTTGGGGTGGGGCTCCGCAACGGCCCTGCGTTCGTATAACCCTTCACGTGGCCGAGACCCACTTCTTAGCTGGATCGTTTCACCGGTATTTCAATGTGCCGACCTACATATATGCACCTCAATGCTCAGATGCAATCAGGTCAGGAAAAGCTCTCCCTCTCAGCATGCAAACCGTCTACACTGTATATTTGACAAGTGCAGCGGGGCGCGGAACGAAATTCCTGCATGAAACTCTGCTTGCCGGTGTTCCGCCAACTGAGCGCAAGAATATCAAGATTATCACTACCTACTTGTCCAAATACGGAAGCCAACTACTCGCTCCTAACGACACGAGTTCCTATCGTTACATCCGCGTCGTAATCGACGTTCCAAAGAACAAATTCCAGAACCCGGAAGATAAGCAAGCGCTGCTACAGCGTACGTTTGACGCTTGCATAGATTACGAGGGAAAATATGCTTCACAGTGCGAGGTGGAGATAAAGATTAATGAGGTCGAGGATGAGAACTATATGAGGGGTCGTGGAAGAGGTGTCGCCGCTTGAAATGGCACAAGGCCGGACCCTGTCACAAGAGTACATTGAAGTGCGACGCCATCTGGTTTCTCAGTTACTAGGAATTGAAGATTTTCCAGGGAAAACGACATCCGCTACGCCTTCTTGCCTTCTAAGCCATGCTCTGTCGCGAGTTCGCCTGGGCATTGGCTTGCATTCAATCAGTTGTCGTTGGCAAGAGCAGCACACAACACATCAGTAAAGGCCTCAAAAAACATGATTGATTGGTAACAGAGCATGTTGGACGAGACTCGTAACGCTTACACCAGCGTGATTGTTCGGAAAGATCCCATGTCCTCCTTTCCTGGCTCTTTCCCAATCATGTCCTTATCCGCCAACAAGAAACCAAGCCTCTGGTAATTCTCTGTTCCTTCCACTCGCTTCACAATCAGTGCATGATAGCCGGCATCTTCTGAGGCATTCGAATTCCATCCGTGGCTCTTCAGAATGAACAGAGCATAAATTTCAACGCCTTCCAAGCTCTTTACAATCTTCTTCGCTTCTTGCGGAGCATCCTCAGCCGTGAAGTCAAAGTCAAAGCGTGAAAAGCCTCCTTTGGGATTTCCGTTCCCCGTGCGTACCTTGACGTTCTTGTTGTATTTGTATCCCTTTACTTCGGGATCCCAGTCATCCATGATAAGGTACAACTGTTCGCACGGAGCTCGAAGCTTGATCCATCCATCTGCGACCTCTCCGAACGGATTCGTATCTTTCAGAACAACCTTTGCGTCCAGAATCTCTGCCAACTCGGTGTAGTCAGCTATCTGCCCAGATCCTGGGATTCCATCGCCCGATGCCCACGACCACGAAGGTGCTCGGTATTCGGACGCACGTCGCCACCTGAGGCTCTGCCACGTAAGGCCCTCAATGAGCTGGTCTCTCCACAACCCAGCAAGATACTCTTCCTCGATCTTTTCTGCATATAGACTGGCTATTCCGGAGATGGCTGGCAGCTTATCGGAGGCACGCGTCAGTTTCTTCGGCCCGTACTCCCAAAGCAGATCATACCACCCTCTCAACGTGTCGCGCTTCGGTCGCTTGTTGGGGCTAAGATCTTTGTACCAGGGCTTGACCTCCTCCAAGTCTGTACCATCTAAGCTCTTGTGTGCACATGCGTGCCGGAAATCGAGGTTGAGACCGTCTTCTCCACGGAAACCTTCGTTGCATTCGCTGTAAAAGTAGGGGGTCAGCTAAGCTGTAACCATTGTGCGTTCTGTTCAAACTCACAAAAATATTTGATCAGAGCCGTATATCATGACCCGGTGAGAAAGTACTCGTTCTTGCAGGCCCCAGGCTCTCTCTGATAGAGGTTCATTAGGTAGATTGACGTAGTCCGTCTTGATGAGCTCTTCTCGTAAGGGCAAGTTGAATGCAAGGACTTTGCCATGTATCCCGCTGCGGGTGTAACCCAGCTCTACGTGACTTCGTTTCGGGCGGGAGTGGAGGAACCCTTCAGATATGTCCTTTGCTCTGTGTGCGGCCACCGTTAGGTACGCGTTAGAATATATCGAAAGCATCCTTGCCGATTCTCTCTCCCAGTCCGCATGTTCATCCTGCAAAATGCACAATGAGTCAACCCAAACATAGCGCAGACCAAGCTCTCGCGTCAGTCGCACGACATCTTGATAAGTTGGCGGCATGTCAGCTATTTCGATTCCGGCCTTTCGCGACTCCATCGTCGCTCGTGTTGTTGTGAATGACATAGGCGAGCCCCAGCAATAGCTTAATGATACGTACTGTCCAACCGTGTCTTCGGGAGGCTCCCACAGATGCACTCTGGGGCTGCCAAACTCGCCGACATCGATCACACGAGACGGTAGCAATGTTTCAGCTGGATTGCAGGTAGGATGATTGCTGCAGTCTTGCAGCCATCTACGGCATCTCCCGAACACAACTTGTGAACGTGCATCATTTTCCACTGGCCTACCTTGGATGACCTCTTGCAAAGGATTGCCTAAGGTTGTCAGCATGTCAATAACATACCCTCCGTAGGAAGATTACCATCTCGAACACAAAGCCCCAGTGCTGCAATGATCCAAGCTTCCTCGTCGCCCCTCTCTTTTCGTCTTTTCGTCCACTCCTCGTCGCCATCAACAAAACTCATCACCCAGCAGCCATCGCCACCTTCCCGCCTCTTGACAATGAACAATTTATACGTAGGCCATCCATACTCCATCATTTCCTTCGCTTCCCATTTGGGTTTCAACTCTATGAGCTGTTGTTCCACATTCTCAGCAGACGAAACGATTAGTTGACATAGAGCGCATGAACGTGCTGAGTTCCGTAGCGCATCCAGACTCTGATGGTGTGGGTGACCGCGATCCTTCGCCGGCCAGTGCATAACAGGCTGGATGTATTTGTGTCCGGTCGAGTTCATAGGAAGATGTTCTGGGACCTCAGGAAGATTTTCCCAAGGGATATTCCTGCATAGGTCGCATAGAGACATCCTTGCGTTTTGGATGGGATTGAAGTTCTAGTACGGCAGGTTGTGGGTGTGTAACGGTAATAACGTTAGTTTGAGCAGCTGCGGAGCAGCGGGAAACCACAACGACAGCAAAAATCGATTTGAGTGGACTGGCCTTTCCGATGATATTTTCTATGCACACCTTTCAGGCGGCAGCGAGGGGGCGAAGTGAGAAGTGGCGGGCGCCCCCATGCCGTACCGCTTGCCCTTTTCAATCTAGTTTTGTTTGGTTGCGCGGGGCTCAGGGCTGAGCTTGAGACCACTCATCACGATACTGCACGCTCACGATCGGTCTGAGGGCATGATAGCCTAGGGGTGAAAGCCTGGTACTGTGTTTTTGGCCTGGTGTACGTCAACATGGTAAATTTGCGCTCCACGAGCCGGGTCGTCAACCCCCACGGCACCGTCACGGGGACTGGTACTAGAAGGATGCTAAAGAAGTTTGTTCTAGTGTTTATAGTCCTAAAATTACTCCGGTCCGAACCTGAGTCTCTGAAGGGGGCGAGTGCCCTACTCGATGCGCAGGAGAAAAATGGCTGTTTCAACGCCAGCCACGAGCAAAGTCTCTCGCTCATTGATGACCACTAAGTACACCGTACCATCAGAATCGTAGATTCAGCTTGCGCTGCCCTTGGATACCCGCAAGCGTGCCGAATATTTCACCTTATGACTAGAAGCCATACATCCTATCACAACCCATACTCCTTTGGATCTTTCTTCAAGCCTCTGGCCCAAGCTAGTAGTGTATTTGGCTGCCCGCCTTTGCTTATTGTTCCAGGACTCATTAAAGAGGCGATGTTCCTCTCACCCAGCAATTCGAACCCGGCTCTTCTCAGTACCTTCATTGACGCCTCATTGTCGTCATTGCAATATCCTACCAACTCAGTCACTCCTTTTTCGCGGTCATAGTAGTCTGAAAGTCCTTTCACAGCTTCGGCAGCGTATCCTTTGCCTCTCACAGATGGAAGCAGGTGGAACCCAATGTCAGGTAGTGGAGGCGTATCTGGTCCGCGAAGATTGAGACCGACCAATCCAACCGGTGTTGCATTTTCAACTCGTTTCGCTATGTCCTCATTCGAATCTGTGGGAGGAGGAAGAACTGAAACGCAATATCTGCCGTAGCCAGTCGTCTCGATCTGGGTAGCACGCCCCTCCAGCATCTCGATTGCTGCGGCGTGATCAGGAATAGTTGGCTTGGTGGTTCCATTCTCATCGACAACAGTGTAATCTTTATAGAGCTCGAGGGTGAAGGCGATGTGCGATTCCTTACTAGGGTTGAAGTAGGTTATGACCAGGCGGGGAGTCGTGATGTAGAAATCGAAGTCCAACATGACTGCAGGTTGCTATACGGATTGAGGTGGAGCGGTATTGTATTATTGTTGAGGTGCCTTTCAAACACCTCCAGTCGTGAGCTTAATAGGTCTGTCCACTCGTCGCTTGCCTTGTGAACTAAGACTCACAGAGTTTAGCGGATCCGGGAGCTACAGAGAAGGATTTAATCAGGGTAAGAGCTGACTCACACCGAAGAGCGGACCTTCCGTTTTGGGTCACGCAATCGACTCTTCAGGATTGCGAGACACGAAACTATTACTGCCAATCTGACGTTTAGCAGCGCGCAGCCCCACCTCGGGGTCGGCTCCCTGTGTTCACCCCGCTAAACTAGCACTGGTGACACGAGTAGTCCGATCTTCAGTCCGACTCACAAGCACCGACATGATCACGCCAACAATCTTCCTACACGAGTGTGCAAGGGAGCAGCCGTACCCTCTGTCCAGAATCATCCAAGTTATGAAGAGTACATAACACAGTCCCAATGCTTGGAGACGCATCAAGAAGACGTTCGATCTGTTAATCTCCCAACATCCCCTTTTGCTTGACTGCCAAGCGAATCCACCAGAGAATGCTCGCTTTGGTCGAGCCAAGAAACAAATCGATGAGCCTTCCGCGTCAACAGGTAAGGCGTCATCGGTGAAGGGCAGTGTTGAAAGGCGCCATGACCAGTTTACCCGTAAAGCTTTGGCCATCGTCGTACCCATGACGCTGTTTCGATCTGGACATGCCATCCGGGCCTTTAAACGCACCTAGGAATGTATAAGCAGCTCAAGTTTTTCGAGAGGGAAGCTGAGGACCCAGATGTCTTTCACAACATTCTTTTCCATTTCGCGGCCATGGTCGATATGCGTTAGCGCTCGATAGACGACTACAGTACTAGCCATTCACCATGAACTTCGCCAGATAAAGTGGAGAGACTTTGCACTTGAATTCTGGGTAAGGCTTGAGGCTTACTCCGTCCACCTTCGCCCCGGCTGATAGAACAGCGACCACAGACTTTGCGCCTCCATATCGGATAGCGGTGTTCAGCGCGGTCTCTTCCTTCTGGTGGGGTTCAGAAGCGATCATCTCGTTCGACTTCATGTGTTCCAGGAGCTCGGCAACGATCGCAGCACTATTCATGCGACAGGCCAGACAGAGGGCATCCCAAAACCAGGTCGGGACAGGGTTCTCGCGATTCAGTTCCTGGCAATGGTGGTTCAGGATGAAGCGAAAGTGTGCGACTATCCCAGACTTCACGGCATTCAGGACCCAAGGGTTGAAGCGGTCTATCCGCTTCCACACGTGTAGCTGGCTATCTAGCTTAGACATGCGGAGGATCAGATCTGCCATGGCGGTTGTCCTGCAGTATAGCATGGCAACTGCCAATGACCTATCGAATACAATCTCTAGTTCGGGTGAGTTCCGACCATCGAACCAGCTGCTGGTATGGCTAGCCACTCTGCGAAGATACGAGTTGCGACCTGCATACCTGATGCAGCACGATCCCATGTCGCCTTGATTGTAGAAGTCTATTACGGAGCCGCTTGACAAGGGCGATGCTGTCGACTCCAGCTGCTGCCTCAAGCTTCTCCGCAATAGTGAGGCGACCTGATCCAATATAGCTCCAATTCTTCAGCTATCATGTCATATCAGCACGTCGACGATCCTGTGCGTTGCCGTGGAGCATTTTGCACACTTTGTGGTAAGAATTGTTGCGCGTGACCATCTGACACAAGGACTCCACGAACTCCTCGCGCTCGTCTCCTTTTGACCCAACATCCACGAGAAGCTCGAGCACGATGTGCTTGAAGAGCTCCTTCGGAACATTGAGAAGCTCCATCGCGAGTTGATAATGCTGTTCAGTAGCAGAATGAGTCTGTTGTCACTTGGTTTCGGGTGGGTGTTTGGTATCGTATCGAAGGGCGTGTCTATAAAGGTAGTGCACTTACGTACCTCATTTGTCAGAGCTCCTTCTCACGGCCTGTGTTCCCAACATTGGCTTAAGCTGTCCTGAATAATCCTCGACAATCATAAGAAGGATTTAACGACCAAATGTTCAGAGCGCAGAAGATAATCTATGGCAAAGTCTGTCAAAAGGCATTGGTGCTATCAATCCCAAAGAGTGCGATCCTTGGAAAACAGTTATTGCCTTGTCCACATGATCCCAACGATGATCTTTGCCTCTGCACATCAACCCTCGCCCACATTTTACAGTGCAGGACCTTATATACCAATAGTGGCTTCCAAGTTCATTGGTCGCACCTTCGCAACAACGCATACGGTACTCATGAGCAGCGTATATCGGCGCTTGCATAGCTTTGGGGTCAGTAGTCTCCCATGATGCGGAACTGTTTTCCTCGTGATATCTGGGCTGGCGAACTTTGCGATAGCTTTTCGTTAATGGGATGCGAGAAAATTTTTGGCGAAGAAGTGGACTCGGCGCGAAAGTGGATCGTGTGAACGAGGGACAGTTGACGCAGAAGCCTTGTAATGTTGTGGACAAAGGATTTTATGAGTTGAAATATGCACATGCAAGCTTCGGTAGTCAGCGGTGTCGAGTAACGTTTGATTCTGAGATCCCTCTAGCTCCTGGAAAGAACTGGTGGCCGTTCCTTCATTCGTCTTCGCTGTCCTCTTCGCTATCCTCTTCGCTATCCTCTTCGCTATCCTCTTCGCTATCCTCTTCGCTATCCTCTTCGCTATCCTCTTCGCTATCCTCTTCGCTATCCTCTTCTTCGTACTCATCTGCGTCTCTGTCGCTCCCTCAGAGTACTCGTGGATATTCTCGTTCTCTTGATCGTCGTCGTCGTCGTCGTCGCTCGTATCCCCTCTCGGATCTCCTAGTAGCGTTCTCCATTTCATCGCTGTGTACGTGACCCCATATGCCTCACCCTCCGCTTGTAGCTCCTCCCGCATCTTCTTCAGGGTTTGCCATGCCATTCCATCAACTGCAATTCCCACCTTATCCAGCCTCGGCCACCTCTTCTCTTTCATTCTGAATACCGCACCCACCGCTGACGTCGCAGCTTCTACGGCCCTGGGACCGCACTGCAATATCTCGAGGATTCCTAGCGACACTGGTAATTCATCGAAAATATGATTTTGCGCGGCTGAGACGTCAAACTGATGGGTGTCAATACTTAACGTAGAGAATCTGAAAAGGAAGCCAAAAGAGATGCTCAAGACTGTCAAGGCAGAGTATTCCTTAAAGTTCATAGGCAAATATGTCGACCCTTCATTGAGTGCAATTGGAGAAATGTATAACACGACCGACTTCAGCGTTTCTTTTTGCTGGTCCAGCACCCGGCTAATGTCGGACGTCGATACAGGTCTCGAAGACCGATCATGCCCAATATGGTATTCAAATGACTTCAAAGCTTTTGCCGTGCTCAAAAAGAGGACAAGATGTTCATGGAGCAGCTGGTTGGTAGGATGGAGGGACATGCGCTCAAAGTTTGTAGACCTAGGTTGCAAATTGAGGAACCACTCCTGTGGGGCCTCGATAGAGGACTGGCCGCCGTCACCCACTTGCTGGCCGTTGATGAATTTGTTTGATGGCCACTTCGTTATAACGGTAAGGGCAAAGGTTGATTGCGGGTATCCTGGTGCGATTCCTCCGCGGGATGCCAATTATTATAGCTTCGTATTCTGCGAGCAGACGCACCTCCCATCTCGACGTGCTCCCGCTTCGGAAATGGCGCTTTCACACCTGTATCTTCATCCTCGGATGCTGCAGTCATGGTATCAGTCACGTACTCGAGCACTTCCCAAAAGTCGTGCCAAACGTCGAAGATCGCCATGTCTTCAAGATTCGGCAACGAAGCCAGCATCAAGGCGAGCGTTGCGCTCCTCAGGGGTTCCCTGTACAAGTCTCGTTCCCAGCGCCCCTACGCCACTTGACCATCTTAATACTCCTTCAAAACCTCGGCAATCTGTCGAAGATCACAGCGTTGCATCCATGGCAATCCGTACTTCTTCATTTCATGCTTATCAAATCATCATGGGGCCTCGCCGAGTTCATCGAGACGGTGCATACCAAATGATTTCACAAGTTTAGCTTTGGCGAGGTAGAAAAGCAGCGCCGTGATGAGCTTTCGATAGATGTCAGGGTCATCGGCAAAGCTGCTGTCGTTGATGTGATGGTACAGGAAAGGCAGTGCGAGACGGAAAATATTGGCGATCTACAAAGAGGAGGTTGTAGATGTCAGTTGGAGGAATGTCATTCGTCACCCTCGCCCTCAAAAACCGATTCAATCACAATCTCCTCAGGGAAGTCATTCAACCCTTGCGGAGACATTTCGAAAGTTTGCAACAAGGAGGAGGGAGGGGTTGGCACCTTTGAATGTTATCTGTGAATCGTGCTGTATGCCAACTGTGGAAGAGCGACCTGGCCGCCTGCCGCTTACGCTGGTGCCCCGCACTACCCCACCAACGCAACCTCATTCGCACATGAGCCCAGCGAAAGCCCCAGCCCACTACCCATATTCACCATAGTCGCATCTGCACCGGTGACAAAACGCCATCCCCGATATCTCTCCACTGTGCCTGCCCATTCACTAGCCACAGCCATGCCTCCCAAGAACAAAGGCAAAGGCAAAGACTCTGGAGGCGACAGCAAAGGCGACAGCAAATCCAAGCTCAAGCCCGCGACCAGCATCAACGTGCGGCACATTCTGTGCGAGAAACACAGCAAGAAAGAGGAGGCGCTGGAGAAGCTGAGGAATGGCGCAAAGTTCGATGAGGTCGCAAGAGAAATGAGCGAGGACAAGGCCCGGCAAGGTAGGTAACCACATCTAAAGACGCGTGTACTCATACGCCCTCCCAAAACATCGACGTCTTTGGTCGAGCTCCTGCATGGGGTCACTCGGCGGCTTGTAAGAACGTGCCGAGACACCTCAACCCATACATCACCTTCGTACATGTTTCCACATGCACCCAGTAGACAAGAAATGGCTGCAGATGTCACGACCTCCCTCATGCCTACTATGCCGCCGCTCTTCTTCACATCCCCAGGCCTACCCTGCCTCCTCCCTTCCCCCAGTGTCCACTTACCTAACGACACCCAGGCGGCTCCCTCGGCTGGAAAGTCCGTGGCAGCCTCCTCGCCGACTTCGAGAAAGTCGCCTACGACCTCGAACCCAGCAGTAAGTCTCCCCGGCCTGCCTAAGAATCGAAACTGATTGTACATGTGCTACCAGCAACGGGGAGTCCCAAGCTAGGCGAGGTCAAGACGTCTGAGGGGTACCACATCATCATGGTGGAGGGGCGGAAGTGATTGGCATGGGAGACGGAATGTGTGGGGAAGCACCGTCGGACAAGGGAAATATCCTACCTACCGTTCATGAAGTTGAGATGAGTTGGCGAGTCCGGCGCGGAAGCCAGCTGAGCATCCATAGCGTACCAGCCATCAGACCATCATGCGTACAACAGAACCTGGCACAACAGAGACAGTTCAACCCAAAGGATAATGTTTCATCACACATGCCATTACTACGTATGGACAATCCGCCGTTTCCTGTCTGTCATTCATGACTTGCTCCAAATTTCATGCACACATGTGCTAAAGACCGTGTCCGCTAGAACGAAACAAGTCGAGTCGCTTCTGCACCGCATCGCTCAAAAAGCACAAGCAATCAAATCCGGACTCCCCGCCTCCCCAGTCGCGGGTGCATCCTCCGGGGTATATTCCTCCGCTTCGCACTTGCCCGCAACGCTGCGAAGTTGCTCGGTATAGGTCGGAAACACAACAAGGCAAGTTGACACATTTCATCCCTCGCCATTGACTTTGAGCGCCACACCATTCATGCCGTTCTGCGCAAGCACCATGTCCATGAAGCTCTTCCGTGGCTTGTGTTTTTTCTCCGGGACAAGCTCAGTCTGTGCCTCTGCGAAGTGGATTCGTCTCCTCTTAGTAACGTTCTTGATCTCTTCTAGAAGCGGCTGAATGCTTTCGAGCTTCTCGATTTCCGGGTACAGAACGGAATCTTCGATCCAATACAAGCCTTCCATATCTAGGAACTGTTGACGGGCTTCCTTGACCGACTCTTGTATCCGTGCGTAATCGAAGTCCGGCGCACCTTCCATTGGAAAGCGGAAATCTTGTGCGAGGAGAGCGACGTCATATTGGCGGAGGAGATGGTCGCGATGCTTCGATGTGAAGGGAATGCGTGGCCATGAGGAATAGGGCTCGTCCAGGTTTGCAAGATCGAGCTCGGGAAGGCCGAGAATGCCGACCGCTTGGAAAGAGGGTATGTACACCTTCTCACTTGAATGGACTTCAAGATCGGCGGATGTCGCGTAGAAGATTGGCAAAAATATGGCGGAGATGCCCAGCTCTTCGCCAGAGAAGTGTAATGGTCGGTTGTTCCCAAGCTCGCACGCTCTTCGCAGTGCGCGAGGCAGCTTGTCGACCCGCCGTTGTCGCGCAGCGAGCTGCTCATGCCGTTGTGCTTCTTCGGCTGCACGTCTCTGTGCTTCTTCCTCTTCCCGCTTGCGAGCGGCTTCGGCTTCTTCTGCGGCACGTTTCGCTTCTTCCTCCGCCTTTGCTTTCTTCTGTGCTTCTTCTTCGGCAGCTTTACGGGCATCCTCTTCCGCTTTCTTCTTACGAGCAGCCTCCTCTTCACGTTCTCGAGCGGCGTCCTCTTCTTGCTTGCGCGCAGCTTCCTCGGCAGCTTTCTTCTTGGCCTCGGCTTGCTTCTCAGCCCGCTTTTGCTCTTCTAAACGGCGTTCGCGAACCACATCCGGGGTTGCTGCCTTCTCGGGGGGTGCAGGCGTCGATTTCGCCGACGCACTGGGGGTCCTCTTGACTTTCGTGTCATCAAGAGAATCATTCGAGGCCCGCCGCTTCTTGATATTGATATTGTGCACATCTTTCTCCATCGGCCGTGGCTTCGACTTTTGCTTGACTCTCTTCTCGTCTGCAGAGTCGGTACCCAGCCTGCTCTTGATGTGATCGTTCTCCACCTTTGTATGCATTTTGGACTTTGGTCGGTCATGATCACTGTGGTCGTGTGAGGCTGCCCTGGGTATCTTCTTCGATTGGTTGTTTTCATCACCGCCCTTGACTCTCTTGAGAGACTTGTGGTGTTCTTCGCCTTCGCTATACGAACGCGGCTTGGCTGACTTCTTCACTGGCGCCCGCACCTCCTCATCGCTATCCTCGTCACTGGTTTCTTCGTCGACAACCCGTCTATGCCGTTTGACGTTCTGATTTGCCATCTCTTTACCAGACATCAACCTTCTTGACTTTTGTGGTGCTTGCGGAGCGGTCGTGGATTTCGTAAGGGAGGCAGGCTTGTGATTAGGTCGGGGTGAAGACGAGCGATCTCGGCGTATCAGCGGCGAAGGCTTCCGTTTCAGTTGGGTAGGACGGTTCGGCGGCTCTTTCTTTACTCGTTTCGGGCTCTTGCGGGTCGTGGAATAGAGATCATAGGCCTGCTTGAGAGCGTCTCTTTCTTGCTCCCACTTTGGGCCTCGTCGTTCTTCCGAGATCTCCCAGTAGGTTTTGCCTTCTCGATTTCGCCTCGTTGGATTGAAGTTGTCCTGCTCGAGTAACAGGTTCACAATCTTCAAGTGCCCTCTGCCAATAGCCACGAGCATGGGTGTCTCGCTGTGTTTCGAAGGGTCAGGGTCTGGTTTGAGTCCGCTGGCCAAAAGGATACTGAGAATGTCGTAGTGGCCTCCGCGCGAAGCAGCAACGCCGCATGCAATGTTGATCTTAACGTTGCTGTTGATGAGCTCTCCAACTGCCAAAATATCTCCGTCGCCGGCTTTTTCGATCAATGTCTCGGTGTTGTATTCATTGTACAGCAGTCGCGAAGTCGATTTGGTCTGTGTCACTGCCGCATTGCTCTCCTCTTCAGTTGCAGCGGATGTGTCGACTTCTCGTCTCATGGCAGACTTGAGCTCCTTCTCAATGCCGTCCACGTCTTCGGGACGATCGACGTCATTCTTGCTAGGAAGTACATCGATTGCACGCTGCCCCTTCTTATTCTGGTGGTGCGGATTCACATGACCTTCATTCAACAGAATCCTCACCACGTCCAAGTGTCCGTTCTCTACGGCGTCGATGAGCGGCGTGTCGCGGTCGTTTGATTCGCAGTCAGTTCGGCATCCTTTGCTGATCAAGAATCCGACGACTTCCTCCCATCCGTGCAGCGAAGCTTTCTGCAAGGGAGTGATTCCAGCGAAGTCGGGCACATCAATCTCTTCCGGAGCCGCCTCGTAAGCGGTCCGTACCGCGTCAAGATTGCCCTTCTCACTCTCCCGTGCAAGGCGGGTTGAGCCAAATTTGTCGACGCGGCGCGGTGCCATTGTACGTGCAGGTGACGTGAGGGCACGACCTGGGCGCCCTCTTGAGCGCGACTGCGTAGGTAGATTCGGCGTTTGCGTGGGACGGGGCGAGGACGAGTTTTCAGAGCTGTCATCAGACCAGTTCTTGCGCTCTGTTGACACAGCCAGTGCGGTCATGTCTTTGCGCTTGCGACCGGTAGCGCCGGAGACGAACGACTGCGTTGACTGGGAGCGCTTGTGGGGCCGACCTAATCCGGGCGTTGCTGGGGAAGTTGGCTGGCGCATTTCACGCACGCCCTCAGTTTTGGCCTTTTGGCGAGGCGGCTCAAGTCCTTTCGGGTGGGACTCGTCGCGCAGCTTGCGCTTACGAGACTCGACGGTGGAAGCGCTGCGACCGCGGCCTGTGGGCTGGGGAGGTGACGCGGCAGAGTGTACGGGAGATCTGGCCGAGTCGGTCGGGCTCGTCTCTTTGGTGTGGCGCGAGGTGGTGCGGCTGCTGGGCGAGGTGGGCACAGGACTCTTCACGTCAGCTTCGGAGCCATGCTTTGCGCCATTGGGCCTGTCAACAGAGTGTCGGCGGCCGTTGACAGCCTCTTTGACGGAGCGCAGCCGGGCGGCATCGTCGTCGTCGCTGCGCTCCGTCTTGATCAGCTTGGGCTCGGCGCGGTCAGCGTCGGGCTTGAGATCCAGCACGACCGTCTCGGCTTCAGACTCGTTGGCGGCATCATCGTGATTGTCGTGAGCGCCATTCTGCAGCGCGCCGAGCGACGGGTTGGGCTCGCGGGGCGGCGAAGCAGCTGCCGGGCGGGCGGCCGGGGCAGCGCCTTCCTCGTTGGAGCGGGCGGCGTCGCGGGTGCCGGGGTCGGTGGTGGGCGATTTTACGGTGGCATCGCCATTACTGTTCATCACGCAGGAAGTGGACAGGACCCAGAATCCTGCCTCATGTCGGCCTCTTGGAGCAAGGGACAGGCGAGGGCGGCGCACGCACAAAGCAGCTCGGTGGCGCGTGGCGCCCGGTCGCTTTGTATGTCGGGGTGCCGGGCAAGGGCTCAGGGGTCGCGGGAGGATGGAGGCGATGGGTGGTGAAGGTGAAGGTGCAGCGGAGGCAGAGAGGAGCGAGATACGGGACGGCGAAGAGAGGCGTTGCGGCGGGCCTGCAGTCGCCCAGCTAGCAGCCACTCAGCAGCAGCCTGGCCCCAGCAGCCTGCTGCTCGTCTCATCGAACCCTGCCACCGGCGGCCGTGCGCGGCGCCCTCATCATGATGATGGGAGTGCCTGGAGGACGGCACCACGGCCGTTTGCAAGCACTTGTACCGCAACGTGGGCGCCGCCTGCGCTGCGTATTCGAGGCAGCGCCCGCGAGCCATGTTTCCCGTCCTCAGCAGCTCTCGGCTGCCCTCCGCGACTGCCTGGCGAAGGACGCTAGGCAGGTGCGATCAACGGGTAATTAGCCTTAGCTACAACCGCCAAGCAGCGGTGTGCAAGCAAGTGCAACGCCAGTGTTTTCTCTCCACCAAGCTCCACTGGCGCAATCTTCAGCAACACTGCCACGACCATGGACGCGGCGATGGACTGGCTCGGCCTGCTGCTCACGCCGGCTGCCGTGCGCGCCTTCTACCTCGCCGCCTCAGTTCTTGTATCGCGACACCGTCTCAGCTCAGTAGTCACCGACTGACCCGCCTGCTTACTCTAGGTCCTCGTCATACAGGCCACGCCCGCCCTTCGCATCCGCTTTCTTGCCTACGGTTCGCGTGCAACAGCAGCGCAGCCAGCCCAGACCTGCCCGCCGAATGGCCTTGAACGGCTGCTCGACTATGTGGCGAGCTTCCAGGTCCCGCACAACTACTTCACCCACTTTTACGTCGTCTCAGTAGCAAGCTCCCTTCTCTGGGGATGGAAGTTGCGGCTCTGGGACGCGGGCGGGCAACTGCCTGTCCTGTGGGCCCTGATGCTACTCCAGGGCGTGCGACGACTGGTTGAGTCGCACGCGTATACGTCTTCGAGCAACAGCACCATGTGGTTTGCGCATTGGATTTTGGGGCTGCTTTTCTACCTGGCGACCAACGTGGCCGTCTGGGTGGATCTGCAAGCAGACATTGGGCCGCATCGCGAGTCCTACCCAGCTGCGCTAAGCTGGAAGACTGCCACATTCGCACCTGCAGTCCTCACCGCCCAGGCCCTACAGCACGTCTACCATGCCTACCTCTATCGGCTTCGCACGCAGAACAATGGCTATCAGTTGCCGTCGCACCCGCTCTTTCCGGACCTGCTCTGCCCGCACTACACCTGCGACATTGCCGTGTACGTCCTGCTATCGTTTCTCGGTGCACCCACCGGATGCCCGATCAATTGGACATTGGCATCGGCCGCTTTATTCACAGCTGTAAACCTCGGCGTCACAGCTGCCGGCACGAAGGACTGGTATGCGCAGAGGTTCGGTAAAGACAAGGTGAGCGCGCGGCGGCGCATGATCCCTTGGTTGTGGTAACTTTAGCAATCTACCCAAACCTTTTTGTCACCTCCTCTGGCTTGTTCCCAAATATCGTCTCAATCTCCTGTAAGATGTCAGACGTCAGTCGTCTGTAAATCTCCACCGCATGCACCGTCTGCCAGATCTGTTCTGGCCGACTCGCTCCTGTGATCGCGCTGGCAACATTCTCGTTGGCGAGTACCCACGCCATCGATAGCGTCGCAACATTTGTTCCAAGTCTCTCCGCAACCTCCATCAGCTTCTTAATCTTGCTCTGCTCCTCGTCCCACAGAGGCGTCTCTTTCTTCTTCAGTATCATCTGCACAGCATGCTCATCGCTCGTCTTCAGCCGACTATCCTCCGGTATCCCATCGATGTACTTCCCAGTCAACAATCCGCCCGCCAGCGGACTGAATATCGTCAGCCCAAGCCCTCTCCTACGATATAGCCCCGCGTTCTTGAACTCGCCATCGACTTTCTCCCTCCTCAATAGCGAGTATCCCGGCTGCTCGACGATCGGGCCAATGAGCCCCAACCGGTCTGCCACCGCCCATGCCTCTTCCACCTCGCTGGCGAGCCATTCCGACGTCCCCCAGTATAAGACTTTGCCACTGTTGATGAGAAAGTTCATTGCACGGACGGTTTCCTCGATGGGGGTCTGTCGGTCGGGCCGGTGCGCGTAGAGGATGTCCACGTAAGAGAGCTGCAGGCGCTGCAGCGACGCTTCGGTCCCCTCGATCAGATGCTTCCGCGAGAGACCCAGATTGTTTACTTTCGCGCGGGGGCTGCCGACGTGAGCGGAGTTTGCGGCGCCCCAGTTGATCTGCAGGCCATTGTCAGCACCATGCCCTCTCGCCATGATATGCCCTCGAAATGAATAAGCATATACTCTTTTCCATGACTTACCTTCGTCGAGATGACCAGATCATTCCGCCGCCACCCAAAGTGCCTGATCGCGCGCCCAATCACCTGCTCTGACTCGCCATTCTGATACCCTTCTGCGCAGTCAAAGAAATTGATGCCCGCGTCGTAGGCAGCTTTGAGGCAGGAGAATGTAGCCTCGTCGTTGATGTTACCGCCGTAGGTTATCCAGCCGCCCAGCGAGATTGCGCTGACTTGCAGGCCGGAGCGTCCGACGAAGCGGTATTGCATTTCGGGTATCATGGTGTCGGTGGGGGGAGGAGGTGAGTTTCGTGGTATTTGGGTTGCTTGTTGCGTAGTGGGGGAGTTGGAGATGTCAGCGAGCTGGTAGATTTGTTGGTGGGGGCGGGGTAATTAGAGTGGAAGCTTGATGCGAGACGCGCTACTGCAGGTCACGGCGGGTGAATAGGGACCGAGTGGAAGGAAGCATGGACGTATTCGGTAGCCGGAGCGCGTTAGAGCTTGCGAACGGCCGTCTGGTGGACAATTGAGCGATAGATGTGTTCAAGAGAAACGAACGGAACAGAGGCGGATACCTCTGCTATGTGGCAATGGAGATGTTCTTCTGAGCTCTTGTCGCATGCAAGGCAGCAGCGTGTGCATGCTGGACGTGATTTGACGAGGAGAACTGGTTGAGGTGTGGCAATCCAGCGGTGTGTCAATTGACGACAAGTTTCTATTGACGACTTTCCTGGACGGTGGAAAAGAACTTTGTGGTCCCTCCAGATGGTTATGGCATCCATTTTGCAGATCGTGGCCTCCAGACATAGTGTGTGGCAGGTACGCCCGGCAAGGGCCCAGCGGCCATGTGCACGCCGACAAGCTAGGTGGCATCACCATCACCATGCCGTAGTCCATATATCTGCATATGCACACCGCTATCCCGTACTTATGACATAGCGTGGTGGGAGACTTGCATGATGCACGCCCGGTGGTATGGTATCCTTGTGTACCCGGTGGCGTGATGAGAAGGCATATGGGCGACCGGACAGCGTGCATCTCCCAATGGTCCCTTTACGAGGTGAGTAGGCTGGACTTTAATGGATCAGGTGATTCAGCTTCAGCTGATCCACTTTTTGTGATAGTGCCACATCGTTGGCGCAACAGGAATTGCAAACGGTACCCGCAGCCAGCATCCATGGAGCGGGTATGCTAACGCGTTCTACTATGATCATGTACGTACTGTAAGCCTTTCCCATCCCCATGGGGTTTATGTTCACAAGCGAGCCTGCATCTCGACCTTGACGTCTCCTTTTATCAGAAGGCAATGTGTACCAGCAACTTCGTCATCTGGGGACAGAGACGTATTGAACCGCATCAACCGCTAGTAGCGGGCCGTATGCAGTCAGGTTTTGGTGCAATGAGCGGTACGATCGTGTTCAGGTCATCATCTTGACCTTCGAGTACAACGACTTAAACTTGGAAAGGAAACTAAACTAGTCCGAGCTGTGTTTAAGGCATTGGGATATACCGTAAAAGTGGTTGCGATCGAGATGACGGAATCTCACGAGGAAGCTCGCGAGAATATCACAGCAGTCCTGAACAAGTTCCTCGCTAAGTCTCCGCAGAGTGATAACCTCTTGCAGGTTTTCCACTATCATGGACATGGATTACACGGAGGATGGGCCTCGTCTCGTTCTCGCAAGGTACTGTTGTTGTACTTGTTGTGACTTAGTATAAGCTCACTTACGTTAAAGCCACAACGCTTCCAGCGGTCGTCGGAAAAAATAAATGGAGTTGTTCCGACAAGCTATTGCGCTTACTAAATCGGATGGCAACGAAGATGCTTTTGATGAAGCCATCAAGATGTATTGGCATAGAAAGACGTGAGTTATTACCAGTCAGGCTAACATCAAGGGAGGCTAAGATAGTGACAGACAGCTCAATCTATGGCCCTGTGCCCATCCAAATAAGGTCGCTAGACTTCTCTAGAACGACATGAGCTCCCTCATCATCGTTCTCAGAGCGAAACATTGGTCAATCTAGATTGTTGTGAAGCCGGATTCGCCATGTTGAACAACGAAGGCACCAGACCAACTAATACTTCCCGCAAGGAGGTAATTGGTGCGTGCGTCTGGGCTATTAATACGCAAGATCAGATGAGCCCTGCTCTGTGCAAGGTATGAGATGTTCTGGTACGTTATGAATGAAGTAGGGAGACTGACCCTTTTGTCAAGGTTCTTGGCGGTATCAGGAAAAAGTCTCAGGACATGTCCACAGACACTATTATCCAGAAGATGAACAAAATCCTCTCAGAAAAACCACACGTCGAGGAAAGCGAAATCCAGCGTAGTCATTCCGTAACGTGTTCCAGCGGACAAAAGGCCGGAGATCGTCCTTCACGACCTGAAGCTTCAATTCAGGACTGGAAAATGATGGCCAATCCAGATGATAACTAAAGCTGCTTGCGAGAAAACTTGCCCCATGGCAGCGACTCGCTTGCTCTTTTCATTTGTGGACTGCTGGTATATGGAATAGAGCATCAATCCAGACAATCCGTTGTCTCTCTTCCTGTCGGGTGTGTTGCAATGCAATGTGCAGATTGCGCGTGGTTCGAATTTTGCCTACGCTTTAATCTGCGTTTGGGTGCTTCTCTTCGACGATAACTTCTGATGGATCGTTATTTGAGAGCCCCAAGCATATGACAGCACCTCGTACTTTGGCTCTTCTTCCTGCCCAAACATTAGCTGTAGATCGCCGCATACTGGAGATACCTAAAGTTGGGTCACACCTGGACTTTTCTGCCGATGGAATAAATGGTGATTAGGTCGTCGAAAGCGCCAGGCTGAATCACTGCCAGGCTGGCCTCGCAAGTCGCGTCGTCCAGCGGTTGGTACTCGTATGCCATGGCCAAACGCACATCTCCAGGGCGTAGGAAGCGCGCTTAATATGCCCATTCGAATTTGTATGATAGTGTGGAAGAGACAAGGCCAGATGGTTGCAGCGGGCAGCGGGGCACTGTCATGGCGCAGGTGTGCTTATCCGATCAATTTGAGGTCTTGTGTGTTTGGGGGGATTAGTGCCAAATCTGGCGTATGAAGCTGCCATGGTAGTCCACCACTCCTCCACTCAACAAACGGTCTTCGTCCAGTTTAAAGTGGGCCCGTTTTCACATTCATGACACACAAATACTTCATACTTTCTTTCCACTCTCCCTGTCCGTCCCTTCCTTCAACGCAAGCAATTCAAGCTTCTACGATCTTTTGATGACTGGTGTCCAAGCTAAAGCTTCCGAGCACTCCACATGGCAGATCAGCCTTCGCCCTCCCTGCCTCCTCGGAAGACGGAGTTCTTCGTCGTTTGCGGAGCAACGAACCCCATCGCTGACGTTTGGATGTTTGCGGGTTTTTTCGCGATTCTGCACGAGCTCAGAGACAATTTCGGGTTCTCCGGCACGGCTTGGAATAATTTCCCATACGAAGAATACTTCAAGAATCCCAAGGAAGGCAAAGAGGGAAAGAGCAAGAATGAAGTATGGTGGGGTTATAAAGACGCAAACCTGCGCAGCGAACCAATCCTCAGATATAAGAAAATTGATCCGGCCCAATGGATCAATATGAACGCTGCGAAGACTCCGAACATGGACAAGAAGATTCTACGACATATCCAGCAACGCAAGCTGAACCAGGGTGACCGGTTTAACTTGTTCGTTATTGGACATAGTTCTAAATTCGGTGGTATAGAAGTCGGAAACCAGATCCTGGATCGCAAAAAGCTTGCTCAAACACTATCGAAAATGAAGCACGGTGTTCAGGTCAATTTCGCTGTAGCTTCTTGCTGGTCAGGCCGAGCACTCACCGAAATGCGCAAGATAGGACGACGGCATCAATTCGCAATATCTTCCGCAGATGAAGAGCAGATGAGCTACGCAATATCGAAACGAGTGACCAGCGATTCGTATCGCGGAACGCCGTTCGTCCAAGCCATCCTTTCCACTATACAGGATTGGCACGATGACAACACCGAAAAGCGACAAACCATTGGCGAGCACATCGAATATGTTAGGAAATACGGCTATAACAAGAAAAATTCGCATTCCAATCCCCAGGCATACACTAACGTAGATTTACACGTTCACGTCCTCGAAATGATGTACGATAGATATGTCGTACGAAAGCAAGGTCGACATATAGAATTCATCGCTCCGACATACCCGGCGCCATTGTCGACTTTCGGTCCGAAATTCAACGTTGATGAAATGCCTCCTTCCGCTGGCAGAGCGTTGACCGTACTGCAGGACGAAATCAGCCTGGTCGTCAACGAGATGGACCAACCTCACCCTCGCGACATGTCGATCGTAGGACTTATGGATGTCGCAAAGTCTTCTTCAACGGTACCAGCCCAGCGCATGCACTGCATCAAGAGAGTTCTTGAAGGTTTGAGATGGCGTTTCGTCATGCAGGAGCGCATGTTCTTGGTGTGGGACGAGCTCCAGAAGTTATGCTACGTGGACCGAACAGCAGTGATGAGATGAATCTCGTTTTCTGGAACATCTTCTTCTGGAACATCCGCAGATGCACAGCTGTTCACAGCGGGGCTCTTCACCGAGATCGTGTTCATGTACGAATTTGCCTTCCATATGAGTGATGGTGCTGCGCTCGGTCCAAAGGCCATATTCGCACCGGACTCCCTTGGTGGTCGATTTGAAGAAGCCGTCACCTGGTTGGCGATAATGATACTTAGGACGTGTACCGACACTGAATACCTCGCACGCATCCTTATGTTCATCAAAGAGCAATGCTATCTTGGAACCGTGGACTCAAATGCGAAGATGACGATGCCTTCATCAGAAAAGGAGTTCACGGCAGACAAATATCTGCTCTGTGCAGAAGATCCGAGCGAGCGAAATCCACGCATAGGCATGTTCTTGCCACATGGAGAGAATTTGAACAAGTGGACAACGAACACGGTTCGCCGCTACAAGAAGCTCCGCGACGCCTACAAAGAAGTTTTTGGCGAAAACTCCTGGAAGCTGTACGCTCCATTCACTTTGGAGATGAAAGAGAGGTGGGAGAACAAGGTCGACCCTGTATTTGAAGAGGTTCTTCATGATAGGGAAACGGAGGAGGCGAAAGCTGAGGAGGATAACATGGATACATCGTAGCATGCTGGGGGACCGATCGTGTCCATCTCAAGGATACATACAAGGAGGTTCCAGGGAAATTGAACAAAGTATCCTCCGATTATGAGCATACCTGATTCTGGACTGGTTCGTTGGTATGTCATTTGGAACTTCATGCAGATTATTGGGGAAATAATAATGTACAAATGCTGTTACTAGGGGTTGCCTTGTGCACAGACTGCCAAACGTGATCTTCTTCTGGGGTTAGAAGGCTAAGCATGTCATGGAAACGTTTGACACAGATTCATTACACAGCTGCAGCATAGCTGCAATTTTTTAATGATCGCACAGTTAGCTAACACGACCTCGGGACGTAGAAAAGACTTGGGCGTTGAAAAGATAGCTAGGTGGATCCATTTATGTACTGATGGCAGCATAGATATAGGTAGTCCTAGCGGATATAGTGCTAGGTACTTGTTCATGCTTTCGATTCAGTTCACAGTATACAATTGTCATACGGTCCTCAATGCTCATTACCGTCAGTTCACTTCTTCCCACAGGGAAGGTCTATATACGCTTCGCCTATCAGACTTCTCAATACTAGCTCAAGCTCGGTGAAGAGGGCCCATAAATTAAACGTCTTTTGTGGAGACGTCGCAACGACTCCCGAGCCCTAATGATATCACGTGATACTCTCTTGTGTATGGATGGTTCGCGCTAACACTCTGTTTCGTCAAGAGCTACGTTCGAAGATGTGTCTACACTTCGCCATATCTGCCGAACCCCGCGATCGAAAACTCGACAATCCACAGCTTAAAATACCTAACTTGTGCAAAGACGCAGCAGAAAAATAGCACTAAGAAAAACTCATGACGAAGATAATGACATTGGCAGTGGAAAACCTATTGACACCGACCCACTGACACCCACAAAAGCGCTTGCACTTCGCGCCGCTCCGTTCTTATCTGAAGCTTGATGGAAGCTTGAATCCTTATAAGCGTCTCTCATACGATGATCGACACCGCGCGTGTGGACCCTGACGAATGATGTCAGGGTTCCCATAATTAAACGTCACGCTCACTCAACCATTCAAGGACTCTCAATCCTCCAAAAGACCTTGCCCTGTTCACCAATTGTTTTCCACGACCCGAATCATCCGAACCTCTTCTAATGTCTGCTTCTCCCTTGCAAGCCGACGTAAATGCTTAAGCAGAATCTCGCTGCCAGAAATCACTACGATGCCCGCTGGAATCATACAATCCGCCTTCCCACAACTACACCGCCGCTCCTCCTCCTCAACCGACATCTCCAAGTCCCCGAAGTCAGGCTCGCACACAGCCGGCACAACTACGCCCACTAAACCCGCCGCGAAATCGCCAAAGCCACAGCGACCACAACCCGTGCGCGCAGCCTCCCACCCAGGACCCGCACCCGTCTCTAGACCCGCACCAAAAAAGCAGCCCGCACGCGCATTCGGCACAAACTACCGCGTCCGCCGCACGCCCCCCGGGACACCGCCAAACGAGCGCGTCCCATCGACGACCACCCCCTCGCCATTCGGCTCACCCGCGCACCCCTCCGTGCGCGACTTCGCCAAGATAGCCGCCTCAGCATCGCCGGCGCACTCGCCGCCCACGCGGCGGAAGCCCGTGTACTCGCTGCACGAAGCGGATCCCGCCGCAAAAGGGAGGCCCGAGGTAGTGTATACGCACGAAGAGCTGCTGAAGCGACTGAACACGATTGGGGAGGACGAGGAGACGGATGTGGATCGGGTGAAGACGGTGGAGCGGGCGGCGGGGATGGATTGGGAGGAGCAGCGGAGAAGGAAGGAGGAGAGGGATATGGAGGAGTGGAATCGGAAGGAGGCGAAGAAGGCGCAGAAGGGGTTGGTGAGGGGTTTTAGTTGGAAGGGGGTTAAGAAGACGATGGGGGGGTTTCGGTGACACGCTGGGGTGGTTGAGTCAGGTCTATGTGGGTGGAGCTTGTTGGATGGAAGTTTTGAAATCGATCCCTTCTGCACCTCTTCATTCTCGAAGACTCGATTCCTCGTTCTTGGAGTGTAAGCATTTTCCAGTGGCCATACTCGTTGTTTGGAGTATAGGACCGAGTTCGGGAGTATGTGTCCCCGATCAGCATTACGTCCAGCAGACAACGCCAGAAGTGACAGCGGGCTTCGATCTTCAAGGTCAGGGTAAAATGCGAAGAAGCAGTCACCTAGTCGATTCAGGCGACTGGGTTTGCGAACACAATCAAAATATACATTCGGTCAACAGATAGGGTATCTTCGCAGCAAACTACAGCCCCGAAATTAATATCGAAACGCCGGATGTATCGCCACAGCTGGACGCAGAGCGGCAGCGACAACAACAACGACAAGAACAATAACAATAACAACAACGAGGCAATGGTCCATCGTATTCAATGGGCCAGCTCGTCATCACTGCCTTCGGTACTGACCACACCGTCGTCAACCTTCCACCACTCCTTCACCCCTTTGACGGTTCGTCTCCTGCTTCTCCGCCTGTTCAAGGTGGGCATCTTGCTTGGTTGTTTTTCAACACCATCGTTGTCCTTGCCTGGAAATTCCCGCTTCCGCTTGCCTAGCGAGGGCATCGAGCGTACGGCTCGTAGTTCAGGCTGTCGGCTTACACCCGATGAACGTGAGTTTGAGACTGAACGATTCGGATCGGATTCCTCCTCGCTCTCGCTGCTTTCAACCAGATCTTTGTCAATGTTCTTGGACTCTCCGTAGGCCCTCCGCTTGAGATTCCGGAGACCTTCATCGAGCGAGGAGCGTAAGCGCTGAGGACGATTTGTGGAAGCAGAAAGGTAGCCTTGTCTTTTCGCTCGTTTGGATCTGCGGGGTCCATCGTTTAGTGCCTCCAAGTCTTCTTCCGAGAAGAAGAGGACAGGAGTATCAGGTGGCGTCATTGTGGTGCGTTTGACAGGAATGACCACCTTGGGCAACGACGCACGAGTGCGCTTTCCGACGAAAGTAGAGCGTCGAGTGGTAGTCTTTATTGGAGACGATTGCAGAATGTGATCTTCTGCATCTTCGTCGTCGGCCAGAGCTTCCCACATGGATAGCTTGTTGGAGGGGGTCGAGGCTGGACCTGCCGCTGTGCCATCGTCGGTATCGTCGAGATCGGATGGGTCAGGACTTGGAAGCAGCTGCAACGCAGGCACCGGTTTCCGCGAGACACGCTTAATGCTCTCTTTGGTGAACGGCGTGCACGTCACCCACTCTCCGATGCCTTCCTCCCATCTGAACCCACCGACGGCAGACGGGGAGTCGTTCTTATGAGGTGTCGGAGCAATGACTACATGGCCCTTCATACGCATTGACTGTTCCACATCGCGTGCGTATGCCATGTGTTGGGCTTCATTGGTGTTCTGGGCAAAATCCATAACCGACTCGAGCGCCAGCCTTTTCATCGTCCACAGCTTATGCGGAAGACGCAGGCCGGAGACCGAGAGCATGCCCTGCACAAGTCGCTGAATCTGTTCGAAGCCATCGTCTTTCCAAATCCTGCCAGTGCCGCGCGCCGCAGCTGACACGAATGCGGGCAGAGTGCTTAGCAGTTCTGAATACTCAATATGCTTGGAAGAATATTGAGAGATAATCCAGGCAATGGCACTTCCCGCTGTGCAAACATCGAGTGACATCAGTTTCGAGTCTTGTTGGCAGCCCTCCAGATGAACAAGGAAAGAGGCAAAGACAGCCCACACTGCACGTTGAGCGAATAGTTGCAGATGATCTTCAAGCGGACCGAGAAGCGCTAGATCATCCTGGATGTCTTTGCGTTTGAGCAAGTCGATGACGATTGAGTCCAGCGCCCAAACAACCCTCTTCACTGTGGCCTGGCCAACAGGCTCTTCGCGATACTGATTAATGAGGACTATGCTGCAGAACACGGTAAGCAAACTGGAATAAGTCGTATCCAATGCATCCCGAAACTCTTGCCTGGAGGAGGGCTTGTACTGTCGCACGAATGTGTCGATTTCACCTGCTTCGAATAGGCTCTCATCTGGCAGCCCTATACCAGCAAAAATGGCGGTTTCCAAGAAGCGGAACGCACTTGCATAACTCCGCTGATCACCGTCGGACAGGCTGCGCACCAAGCGGTCCCAAACTGATCGCATGCACTCAGTTGCTAGCCATTCCAAAGGCAGAAGCTCTTGTGATATCATGTACTCCAGGTGGTCGTACAAGAAGCGATACCGGCCAGTGCGCGCCACAAAGTCTTTCACCATCCACATGTAGAGCGAACGCTGTTCGTCGAATAGATTGGCATACAGCGTGTTCGGCATGGGCAAAGGCTTCAAACACGGCAGAAATGATACTAGGAATTTCTCTGCCTCATCCCATGCGGACGCATTAAGACAGTGCACTACAAGGAGGTGCAGAGTCTCTGAGCCAAGTATCTGGTCTCCCAAAGCGTCGCACAAAAGCTGGGTGCCATGTGATCGTACGACTTGCTTGAACCCACGCCAGCCCTGACCCGGTATTGTCTCATACATCTGCTCGAGATAGGAATAGACTTCATGAGAAACGTCTGTGTCCTCGTCACCGCTTTCATCCTCCTTGTCGAGCTCGACGAAGTGCTCTTCCAGGGCGATGTATTGTGGCAGTTTACGCAGGCAGGCGCCAAATAGTGACCTCGTGCCGTTCCACCTCTTTTCGTCGCCCGTAGTCGTCGCTTGGAGGAGGTTCGCATACGACTCGGATAGGCCCTTGACCAACTTCCCAATTTCGGCGGGCATTTGTGTCTTGAGATCATGCACATTGGCCTTGGCAAGCAGTGGGCCTTTATAGTTGTTGCGTCTCCGTAGAGGCGAGTCGTGAAGTTGTGGGCTGTCCTGGAAGCGGCCTCCAGTGCGTGCGACCAGAGGCGTGAATGCAATGGCACCAGGGCGCGCATCAACTCCACTATTCGAGCTCGTTCGCGACAAGGGCTTCTTTGCTCCCCGTCCCCCATATGTCTTCTTGCTTGCACCTAGCCCAGTGTCAGGCATCCAGTCTGGATCTTTCCTTTTCTCGAGCCCACGGGGCTTGCGTGCGGGTTGGGTGACATTCGTTTTCCGCGACGAGGCCTTCAGCGCAAATGCAGTCGCCGAGCTTCTTCGATCTTCTTGGGAGCTTCGCGGTCGTTCGAGCTCTTTGCGAAGCTTCGCAAGCTTGGTTTGTAAAGGGCGGAGCAGGCGATTACAACGCGTCGTGTTGAACGCTAGGTCGTCGTTCGAAGCCATAGGCTAAGTATGCTGCGCAGTAATATCGCGTACGAATGCGGGGGTGGTTATTGCATTGAAAATTTGTGAGGTGCTTTTCGAGTCCTCTCGTCGAGTCGAAGAGGGAACTCTATGTTGACAAACATCGGCCGCCGGCGCGACGATCCCATTTGGGGAAAGCGCCGGCATACGTAGCTAGATCACATGACTAGTCTTGGAAAGTCCGCAATCGATGCTCATCGATCCGCCCTGTAGAGACTGGTGAGATGTTCTGCGGTCACTATATATACAGACTCTGTATGTATTTGCCCGTGGCGAATAGCTTTGATGTTGCAGAACCTTGTTTGCACACGTTCAAGCTGCTCGAAAAGGACCAGTACTGAAGCGCGTGAAGACAAGGTACGGAATCATGATCGCGGAGGCAAGACCCAACATTGCACGAATGCGCAAGAAGACACAGTACTGACAACAACAGAGCTACTGCCAAAGAACATTCCAGAGTGCGTATGTCTCTTGCTGAGCTCACTCCTGCCGTCCAGTCAGATAGAGCTGCACCGTGCGCGCGTACACTTAATTCTACTTGGCCTACTACACACTATCTACATAAAAACTCTTCGCAGGAATAGATCTCTCCGGAAGCCCGGCGCTAAAAAAAACAAGGCCTTCTACTAAGCGCCCGAGGACGTGGGGTTACCCTTTGCCCGTGTCCATGGTGCGATTCATCGGGTCATTGGAATGCGTCGCGCGTCGTGCGGGTACTTGGCCAAGGATTGCGCACACTGCGTTCTGGAATGCTGTCGCTCTAGAAACGAGTCGTCAACACAGATGAATACATGGCTGCAGAGAAACAATCTGCGAGAGAAAGGGATAATTGCATCATTTCAGCTTAGATGGAGATCATTAGCGCGGGCGGAAACGAGATGAGGCCTGATGACGGTCCGGAGTGGATGTCCGCCATGGAGTCTTGACGATCAGTCACCCGCTCCGTATCCATTAAAACCACCCTCGAGGTTGGTCAACACACGACGACCACTGTCGCAGCGTTACTCATGACGCATTTCGTGACGGTGGATGACGGTGCGCAGCGTTTCGGCCTCATATGTCTGGTTGAGGCCTCGTCGCCTCGAAACTAAAAGCTTGTAGGCCGTGGGGCTCAGCCGCCGTCAATTAGGTTGAAACACGCGACCAGTATGATCGTTGTTTATGCACAGCGAGCTTGTCGGGGTCGAAAAACCATGACCAAGCCTCGCTCCTAAGGTTCTTTCTGATCGGAGGCAGTGTCATGCACGGGTACTATACGCTTCTTCTGGTACGGGGGACGACATCATCAGGACGTTCCGAGAGGCGCAGGCGTAGAGTCATCATGCGAAGGAAAATAATATCGCCGAAGAAGCAACGAAAACAAGTCAGCAATTTACCCCAGATTCTGCGCGCGCATTTGAGTTCGTATGGTAGATTGCGGCTGCGGTGCAGCGTCGTTAAGATGCGATCTTGCCTCCAGGCTAATTTGACAATTAGACGTACCGGGGCAGAGCTGCACGGGTGGAAATTGACAACTTTGACTGTGGCTTGCAGTGCCACGTCGGTAGCGAATTGCGGAGAAAGAACCCTGCCTGGTCGGAGCTGGTTGGACACGGATGTTGTTATGCAGCCGCCCTGGCTTAACAGCGGTGTATTATAGTTGTGGCCTGCAAAGACATCGGGTGGCTTGCCATCTGGTTTTGGGAAGAGAATATTGCATCATAGGTCTGGTTCTTCCAACATTCTACCACGCGACTTGACCGATTGCCCAACATAGCAACGCATTCCGCATCGCAATCGGTGCGTCTCCCACGTCGTACAGGAACGCCAAGTATCACCACCCACCCGAAACAGCCATGATTCCTGAGATCTTGGATGCCCAGTCGGTGAATCGACGTCGTAATCGGCAACATGGGCACGCTGTTCCAAAAACAATACTGCCTTATGCAGACGTTTGGGCATCGCGGACCGAAAGACATGCACTGTTTGATGCGGGCGCCTGACAGCCTCAGATTCCATGATCCATATCAGAGGACTGGCGCCGCAGCGTCGCTGCTGGATCCCGGAGAACGGCTTGGTGGGGACAATGACGACGGGAGCTTGTTTCACGGCCAGGCATGGATGGATGCGGCGGTTCGCAGCGAGCGAGTGGTGGTCAGGCCCGCCCGGCGCGTCGTCGCGAACTGGGACGGGCTAGGGCCCAATTGCGTACTGGGTCTGATTCCGAGGTGTGTTGGTATTCTGTGTAGAGTGTTGATTGCAGATCGGGGCCTGACTGAGGCCACTTTCCCAACACTTGGGAGTGGGCGGTGGTACAGCAGTGGGAATAGCACCGTGCAAGTCGACGCGAGAAGATCAGACAATCTTATCGCAGGATCACGGGGACGATGGGGGTGATTCCACCAACAGGAAGACTGGCAGGTGGGGAAGACTCGGGCGCATTGATGGCATCGTCACCTCGTTTCACGTCCATGCTCAGCGCCCAGGCGTCGTCACCGAGTTGACAGCGGGTCGCGTCTCGGCATTGAGCGCATAGGACGCGTGTCTGGGGGAGCGTTGTCGAACGCGTTGGGTGTCCGGGAAGCCTGCGGTGAAGGCTATCGTGGGTCCACGCTGGGCAGGCGAAGACACCCGCGATGAGGCCCATCGATGGCAAGGAAGGTGCGCCGTGCAGCGTGCTCCACGGGGAAGGCGCGCCGTCATCGCGCAGCTTGGCTAGTTCGCAGCTTCAGTCCTCGGCGGGCGCTGCGGTGGAGCCTGGACCGTTGCAGGACTGGGTGGTCTGAGTGCACGGCGTCGCTGAGGTGGAGGGCACGGTGGAGCAGGAGATTCGTAGGGAGCTTCTTCGGAGCGGGCGTTTCGTCCGCTGTGGCGCTGGCCGCCCCCGTTTCAGCGCCCGCTCGGCGCCGAATCGCAGGCGCCTATGGATGCCTCGAGTCTCCACTCGCTAAGGCACCCCTGCGAGGAGAGTCGCCCAGTCGTCTGGCTGTTATGCACTCGGGGCCCGCGATAATCAAACTCCTAGCCAGGTGCACCCGCTTTCTCGCGCCCTCCCCCTCTTACTTCAACAGTCCACCATCTCGCCCAAGTCGCTCTTTTGCCGCCTGTTCCCTTCTCTGCGCTGCTGCGTACCACGCTCCTTTCCCCGCCGGCTACTCAATCTCAACCCTGGTGGACGTTCTGGACAGCCTGTCGACGCCATCACCTGCTGCTTGCTTGCGCTACCCTAGGTCACCTGCAACTCACCCTGTCCCTTGCGTGTCTTCCAGATTAACCCGCCTATTCTGGCTCTTGGGCGCTGTCAATACTCTCCCACGTCCCGATTAACCTTCTTCCGGCCTGCATCTAGCCCCCGGCCTGGTCTGCCCAAGAAGGAGCTGGTCACGACGCATCAACACTCAACCGAACGCGTGCCCTGGTCTTAACTCTCCGCCTATTCGGAAGCCGCCGTTTCTGGCTCTTCCCACATCTGTCAATTGCTGGTCAAGGCAGATACCGCTCACTATACATATTTGTCAATCCTTTCCCTGTAGCTCCCGGCAGTCACTGCTGTCATAAGATATCTACCGACCGCTGGTCTGGTATTCACATCCAGCCTCCAACGGACCAAGGCCTGTACTACATCTCTCAACACTCACACAATGGCTTCACCCGTTGCCAACTCCATGATGGAGACCGTTGTCCGCAGAAGTGGTGGAGGACAGGAGGAGGACCCCACCGCTCCCCTTGAGAATCTGAACGTCATGCACTACCTTGGCTGGATCTGGGTCGCCTTCGTCGGCACCTTCTTCATTTACCAGGTCCTCTTCCACTTCTCCAAGTACCTGCGCACATTGGCCTGCCTCAACAACGACACTCAGAGGTACTTCGCGACACCAAATGTCGTCTTCGCTACCTTCAGGAAACACTTCCTCGACGCCCCGCTCTTCCGCACGCGTCACCACCGCGAGTTCAAGCTCTCGACCGCCATCAACGTCGGCACCCTACCCAGCCGACTTCAGACCTTCATGCTTTTCGGCTACTTTGCCACCAATGTTGGCCTGAGCGTATGGAAGATCGACTGGAGCCAGAGCTACTCCGCCGCTGCTGGTGAATTCCGCAACCGCACCGGTGTCATGGCTGTGATAAACATGATCCCCCTGTTCCTGCTCGCAGGTCGCAACAATCCCGTCATCAAACTCACTGCCATCTCTTTCGACACGATGAACCTGATCCACCGCTGGTTCGGACGCATCGTTGTCCTTGAGGCTGTTGCGCACACCGTTGCATGGATGACCAACAAGGTTATGACTAGTAGGTTTTCCAGAATGCCAACTTGAGCACTAGCTAACAACCATACAGAGGGATGGGGCGCCGTCCAAGCATCAATTACTGGTAGCACTTTCATCATGACTGGTTTTATTGGCACAGTAGCCTTTGTATTCCTTCTGATCCAATCCCCCTCCCCAGTGCGCCACTCGTTCTACGAGGTCTTCTTGCACGGCCACATTGTCGCTGCTGCTGTCGCTGTCGGTGGTGTGTGGGTTCACTTGGACGGTATGGTTCATCAGAGGATGATGTACGGTGTCGTTGCCCTTTGGGTCATGGAGCGCGCCTGGCGTTTCTTCCGCCTCGTCAAGGGCAATGTCGGAAACGGCGGAACCCAAGCTGATGTTGAGGTTCTTCCCGGTGATGCCCTCCGCGTCACAGTCCGTATGGCCCGCCCCTGGACCTTCCGTCCCGGCCAGCACGCGTATCTCTACATTCCCTCCGTGGGACTCTGGACCAACCACCCTTTCTCCGTCGCTTGGAGTGAGGAAGAAGAGGACCTCAGCATCACCAGCATGACCGCTGACGAGAAGGGTCTTCCTATGAACCGCCAAGATATCCTTGAAGCGCGCAAGACGAGCATGTCCTACATCATTCGTCGGCGTACTGGTTTCACCGAGAAGCTGTACAAGAAAGCGGATCTCTCTGCTGCCGGCAAGTTCTCGTGCTCGGCATATGTTGAGGGCCCCTATGGTGAGTGCCGAACCCTGCTTCCCAGTCCCAATTCCTGCTATATTAAAGCAATATACCCCCACACAACGCATGCTAACGTCATATCGCAGGTGGCGAGGATCTTAGCTCCTATGGTACAGTCATGCTCTGGGCTGCTGGTATCGGTATCACGCATCAAGTTCCTCAAGTTCGCGAGATTGTCGCTGCTTACGCCAACGGTACCACCGCCACCCGAAGGCTCACCCTTGTCTGGATCATCCAATCTCCGGAGCATCTTGAGTGGATCCGCACATGGATGACGCATATCTTGTCCATGCCGCGCCGTCGCGAGATTCTAAAGATCCTCCTGTTTGTCACAAGACCTCGCAGCACCAAGGAGATCCATTCGCCTTCGTCCAGCGTGCAGATGTTCCCTGGTCGACCCAACGTCCAAGCGCTCATCGACCAGGAGATGATGGAGGGTATCGGCTCAGCATGCATAACGACCTGCGGAACCGGCGCGCTCGCTGACGAACTCCGCCGCGCAGTGCGCGAGCGCGAGACGCAGTGGAATGTCGACTTCCGCGAGGAGTCGTTCTCTTGGTAAACGCTCTGGGCCCATTGTTGCTCGACGTCACAACGGCAAAACATCGCGGTGCCCTTCCGTTCTTCCACCTGACTTGCTGGCTACATACACTCAAGTCACGGCATACAATTCAGCGCTATGGCAGGGATCTAATGATGTCGTTCTATCTGTCTATCATCTTATTCTCCTTCATGTATAAATTTCTTACCCTCCTTCCTTCACTCCGTTTTGGACCGTCTTGTTGAGATTACGAAAGAGCCCTGGCGACGGCAGGGTGGTATAGGGGCCGTGGTTGGGAAAGGAATGGCGCAAGAAGAGATGTCTAGATAGACGGACGCGGCATATCCCGAGCAATCTACACTGCCTTGCAGGCACATGCACACGCATCTTCGCTTCTCATCGGTCGTGCATTGACATGATTGCGGGTTCACTGTTCTCCAGTTTAGGACTTCGGATCTTCAAACTCGATTCAGCCCCATCGTTCTTCAAGCTCCGCTTGCTCTAATCGCTTACTCCGGAACGCAGAGAAACAAGCCTCGAGGATCGACCATTGAGGATGGAGCGCGAGACGGAGATCAGGGTCGGGTGTGGCGCAGGCTTGCGCAAGTCCGATCAGCGCGAGCGTCGGAAGGAGCATGATTCTAGATTCAAGGCCCATAGATCTATCTATGTGCGTTTTCGGACGTTGGCGATAGAAGAGGCAGGGTGTATGGAAGAGGCGTGGGTCTGTGTGTGTTTCCAGGCCTTCAGGAGTATGCGCATACCCTACATCCGAACTAGGGCCGTGTCGTCGCGGAGTGTGGTCACGAACGGAAGGTACATAAGAAGGTACATCGGAGGTACCGAGTGTATGCGTTGCGCGTGGGGTGTCTGAGAGGATGGCATGAGAGCAAGTCATGTCGACGGAGGAAGGTGCAATCAGTTGCTCTTCACTAGCCCACGTCAAAGTGGGGCGGACCTAGCGTACGATAGACACTTCAACCAACACTCAATAACGACTTCCCTGAACTGGCCTTGTGCGATCGGCCCACGCATACCACGCTGCAGCAGGAGCGTCTATCGCTACTCGAGATCGCGACAGAAGCACGCTCATCACAATATGCTACCGCACCACCAATATCATCAGAGCGCTCGCGTGCTCGTGCTGGGTGCTCATTCCAAGGCAGCGCCTCCCCTCCATATTGCAGCCAAGCACGGTCACCACCCGGCATCGTCGATTTCCTAATCCAGCACAGCCCTCCACCTTCCCAACCCTGTTCCAACCCAGCGCTGGCCCTTGCCCTCTCGCTACCCATATGCAATACACCACATGCTCCAAGTACGCCAGCTCGTACTACCCCACAAAGCACGCTCCTTTCCAATATCTATGCAAATGAACCCCACAAGCGCACGTTGTCACACCGTCTCGCTACCGCCGCGCAGTATTCGACTGACCTCACGCGTACCGGGTGCTCGCGCGCAAGTACCGTTGTCGCTAACGTTCGCGCAAATATCCATGTCGCCGTCCCGACCAACCGCACGCTTAGGAAGCACACGCGGTCTGGCCTTGCGCGGCTGAACTGGATAAAAGCGCCGCTGCGCCCGCGAGCGCCTGAGAAAGGGACTGACAAATGCTTGTGTAAGGCAGCGGCGGAAGGCCTGCGCTGGGAGGAAAGTTGGAAGAGGCTTGGTATTGTGGGTCAAGGGGAGTGTGGGCATGAGCGTTCGGGCGCGGATAAGGAAGAGATGGGTACACAAGATGGCACCTTACGCATTCGGCAGCAGGTTGTGTGTCTTATCGAGATGGTGAAGAGAATGACGTGGTAGAGAGGCCTCGCGAGCACGCTTCGACCAAACGGTAGCGCTGTCGATGTCACATGCCGGACCGACAGCGGGCGATCTTACAAAGTGCCCAACTTGTCCTCCACGATATCGAGAAGAGAACATGGGTGCATGCAAATACAACCGCCTTCTGCATACGATCACAAGCTCCATGGACACCCTTGTGCAGAGATACTGCCATAAGCTTTTGGATAGGATCGACTTGGCATCTAGACCGGCCTCTCGTACAAACAGCTTGTTCGCCTCGACGCCGCATACCTTGTTTGCTGGACCCCAGCCGCATCATATTCAGCTCTTTGATGCTTCGGCGACTGGAGATCTACCGGCGCAAGTCTCGCTTTCAAGCCTTGTACAGCTATAGCATAGACTGCTATACGTCTAGCACAAGGAATTGGTAGGTCGGAGCAGGAGCCGGTGGAAGAAATCGCCCGCTGGCTGTTTTGTCCGCGTAGATTTGTACAGATGTCTCATGCGAGAATATCCGCTGGCAACTAAAATTGCACGCAAGGTGTTATCTTCCAGTCCTCACTGACGACGCAGAGTTGTATGAAGCAAGCCCATACCGGGAGAATTCTACCTGTGCTGTCAGACGTTGACGAAGATGAACGGACGTAGCACCATAGGACATGGGCCTGTCAGGTTAGCATGGTTATTGTCACCACATCCAAGCGACAGAGCTTTTCGAATTGACGGTCAATAGGTGGTTGCGGGGTCAGTGACAAGCACAGCATGAAGCAGATACGAGTGTGCTTCCGTAGGGAAAGTCTCGCCAGCATCATCACGGACGCAAGTTTGAGCAATATAGGTCAGTGACACAGCACTCATGTGGGTAAGGCCGGGTCGTTGTATAGAAAGCCACACCAAAGTGAACAATGCGAACTTTGATTGCGAGCAAAACTTGATCGATGCGCCGTCTATGCCGTTCAACAACAACAGTGTAGTAAACTCAAGACAAGGCGTTCAGAGCCTAGAAACGCCACACAGTCCAGACCTGACATCTCACCCATACCAATCCATGTAAACGCCACCTTGTCGATCGCAGTGCAATCGAGACAGCGTCCCAGCCATGACTGGCAATACTCGCCCTCTTCGGCCCCTCAACTCCCCCCAACACTCCTCAACGTAGTATCCCGCTTAGCCTCAGCCAGCTGCTCAGGACTCTCAAACTGCTCAGGCACCTCTTCCCCCTGCTCCTCCATGCTCGACCTTTGCTGAATCCCCTCCCACCCCCTCCTCACCACATCCGCCATCACGCTATCCGTCCCACCCAACAGCCTCATCGCCTCCTCCACACCAACCAACTGACTCTCATACGCCGCCTCGTCCTCGTCCACGCCCGTCCCCTCGTGGTGCAGCGGCTCGTACCCCTCTGGCTCCAGCGCCACGCGTTCCTTCAGCGTCAGGCTTGCTGGGTATGCGGGTGGAGGCTTGTACGGCTCGTTCGGGGCGGTTGCGAGGAGGGGTTCGACGTCTGGCGGCAGCGTCTCGGCGATGTACCAGAAGAGAAGGTACTGCTTTGTGTTGCGGGCGAGGGGCATAAGCTGGACCCAGATTGGTTCTGCAGTCATGGGGGGCGCGGTGAGGCGGGGGTGCGCTTGTGGTTGGTGGTGGGCCGTGGGGAGGGGGAGGACGCGGTTGCGGTAGCCGGACTGGGTGGGGTGTTAGCTGGTATTTCTAGTACACAGGTCTGATGCTGTGGAGTAGGTGTATGGCTAAGGCTTATACATACCTCTTCAAACCCCTCTCTCTCTGCTCCCGCCCGCGTATCTTCTCCCGCGTCGCGCCGCCCTTTGGGTAGAAAGTAGTATTTCCCTACGCGTCTGTCCACCGCGCTGCATACGACCACACGCGCGGACGCGATGTGGAAGATGGCTACACCGGCACCTTGTACGAAGTCCTCGGCGGCATAATGCGCAAAGGTGGGAGTGTTCGACTGCGGGGCTTTCTTCTGCGTGCTGCTAGGCGACATTGTTGTAGCTGGTCCTATGGGCGAGGGAGGTGGTGAGCGCAGAGAAAGACAACAGCATGCGTCAAGTAGGCGCCATTTCGCAGGCAGCGCCATTGACCGGTGACATCGTGGCTGGTGCTGATGGCTGTGTCAGGCTGAGGAGGGTGGTCTAGCAGGCAGCAGGTACGTCACAGTCGAGGACGCTCGTTTAGCGCCGGTCGTCTCTGCCTCAGCAAAAAGCGCGAGCTGCGAGCGCTCTACGAGCGTCGAGCGGCTGGCTAAAAAGTAGTATTTTGATACTTGGTGTAACTTTACATTGTTGACGACTGAGCTCACTGATGAATGAAGCTGAACGTGAACTCATTCTTTCTATGATTTCCCTTTCAGCCCAATTCATCAGTGAGATCGATAGTGGTCAATGCACAGCTACGGCAAATCGCAAAAAGAATCAAGATGTTGACCGTGCCAGGGGTCGAACCTGGAATCTCTTGATTTACTCATCGTAGTCAAGCGCCTTGCCATTGGGCCACACGGCCGATCGTGTTTGTATACATAGTGCGATGTTGGTAGCATATATATACCTAGATTGCCTTGGTACTTTGTGGTTGGTGGCCCTGCGTCGAGGGACGAAAAAAAAAAAAAAAGCCAAACCCCGCTATACGCGCCCTGTCACCGCGAAAACTACCCCACCTTGCTGCCAACTGGGAGAGGAACAGCGCTTGGGCATGCATCTCAACTTGCATTCCGCAACCCCGCCTATTCGCATTGATGCTCTCAGCATTCTACACTTCTAAAGAGATAGCGCATGTACAATTTGATCGAAAGTGCTCCAATGTTGTTCACAGAGCCTGGACTTTCGCCCGGGGTCTTCAGCTCTTCCGCCCTTCCTATAGGCTTGCCTTGACGACATTAGCACAGAACTCGACGACATCTGTCAACCCACGTTCTGGACTCATGGAAGCAACGCCTCCAATGACTTGTTCGCTCACAGAACACCAATAGGCGACGTCGCAAGCAGTGTGTCTTGGTAAAATATAGCCAAGCCGCCGTGCCTGACGCAATTCTCCTCAGATTGACGTGCCTGCAGGCATGATCGCAGGCAGCTCGAGAACAAGACCCATCGATTACATTTTTCAATTGAGCTGAGCTAGAGAGGTTGAACTAATAGCATTGAAGAAATCTTCCGAGTGATGGTGCTCATACTCCGCACTTTCGTTCTCTGAGACCGCAATTACGGGCCCTTCCCGGTCAGTCCGCATATTTCAGAGATATGTACAAACGTTATGTTGCCGCGTTAGAAGCCGACTAGGTCCCGTATTCGTGGAACGGCTTGGCTCCAAGGCCTTGGTCGTGGGATATCGCCGCGACCATGGCGTACCTTCGTGCCAAATACTACGGTAAACTACACGGTTGACATGCAGCCAAGCACTTTGCTGGATCGCGTCGGGGCTTCCGCTCTTGACCTGGGTCTTCAATGTATCTCTCTCTCGCCACATGGGTCGAGGCCGCTGAGCTTCTCCAATGATATAGCATTGGTCCTTATCAGACGCCAAAGAGCTCAGAAACGGGCTTCGGAGCTTGCTCTTGGCAGCACACTTTTCCTTCTCCCGCGATGTTGTCAGTCAAAGACATTGTTACACCATTCGTGGCTGAAGAAATGTTCTCAAGCAACTCCGGTTGCTTATAAGGGCTCTGCGGTGGCCGGAGATGCACATCCCAGAATCCTGGTCACCTAGAGCCTACACCTCGGTCTTAGCAAACTGTTACTTGATAGTATACTCCTTTCGGATTCGCGACAGCTATGGCTGCAATCCCAATAGACGAGAAGCAGGTACCCGCTATCCAAAACACGGACTCGGGCTCCTCCCAGATTTCCAAGCAGGAGCGACCGACGCACGGCTCCTACGAGGATCACCCCTTTAACGACCGAACCACTGCGCAGTACTGGCGGGAGATATACGAGAAGGCTCAGTATGAAGGACTCCACCGTTTCGATCCGAATTACACTTGGACGGCGGAAGAAGAGAAGAAGCTCGTTCGCAAGGTAGCTGCCTCGACAGATGTGAGAGGAGCGCAAACTAAGAACACGGCCAGCTTGATTTCAGAATCACCCTGTGGGCCTGGATGATGTTTGTCTCTCTGGACCTCAACCGGAAGAACATCAATCGAGCAATCTCGGATAACATGCTCAAGGATCTTGGTGAGTGAATAGCTCGTCTTTGAGGCAATTGAGACTAAAAATGTCTCAGGCATGAACACGAACGACTTTAACTATGGCCAGACCGTACGTTAGGTCAGCTCACATATCGTAATTCGACTAAACTCGATTAGATCTTCCTAGCAATGTTCCTATTCGCAGAGCTGCCCAGCGGGCTGATTAGCAAGAAACTCGGAGCCGACAGGTGAGCACTGCCAGACATAATTTCTCTGAATACCGTCAATAAAAGTGCTAATGCGGGCATTTAGATGGATTCCCACTATCATCTGCGCGTGGTCGATCGTCAGTGCTGCTCAGTGCGCCATTTCAAGCAAAGCGCAGTACTTTGCGGTGCGCGCACTTCTGGGTCTATTGATGGGTGGCTTCATTCCGTGAATATCTCCTTTTTGTTCAATATAACTCAGCTAAATGCTCTCACAGGGATATTGTACTATGGCTCACATACTTCTTCAAGTCCAACGAGTTGCCTACTCGTCTGGCATGGTTTTGGACAGCCTTGAGCTTTTGCAATATCGTTGGATCGCTGATGGCTGCTGGGATTCTGCAAATGCGGGGGCTCCATGGCTGGGGCGGGTGGCAATATCTGTAAGCATAATAGCCTCTTCGCATGCGCACGTGTTGATAACTCCCAGATTCTTGATCGAGGGTATTCTAACCTTTGTCATTGGCGTCTTCTCGTATGTACTCATGCCCGCTGGAGCCACCCAGACTGCAAATTGGTTCCGCGGGAAGAACGGCTGGTTCTCCGAGCACGAGGAACACATCCTCGTTAATCGTATTCTACGCGACGACCCGTCCAAGGGTGACATGAACAACAGAACCGGCGTGAGCCCACGGCTCCTCTGGAAGACCATCACCGACTGGGAACAGTGGCCGCTTTACCTCATTGGGCTGATGGCGTACATCCCACCGTCGCCCCCAAACACGTATCTCTCCTATATTCTGCGTCAACTGGGCTTCAGCACCTTCCAAGCCAACATGCTGTTAATCCCGTCTCAGTTCCTTTTCGCCGTACAGCTCCTAATCCTCACGTGGGTATCCAAGAAGCTCAAGGAGAGGGCCATTGTATCCAGTCTTTCCAACTTCTGGATTTTCCCCTGGCTCGTCGCACTCGTGACGCTCCCTGCTGGCGCGAACCCCTGGGTGCGATATGCCCTCCTCAGCGGCCTACTGTCGTACCCCTACTGTCACGCGATCCTCGTCGGGTGGAACGCCACGAACTCCAACTCTGTACGCACACGCGCAGTCTCGGCAGCATTCTACAACATGTTTGTGCAATCGGGGAACATCATCGCGTCAAACATCTACCGCAACGACGACCAACCGCTATATCGCCGCGGCAACAAGATTCTGCTGGCAATCTGTAGCGTTAACATCGTGCTATTCTTCCTCGTCAAAGCCTTCTACATTTGGCGCAACAATGTTAGAGACAGGCAGTGGAACGCCATGACCAAGGAGGAGCAGGACGATTACATTGTTAGCACCAAGGATGAGGGGATGAAGAGGTTGGACTTTAGGTTCGTGCATTAAGCCCTGTGGCAAAATCGCTGCGTAGAGATGCCGAGATCGCAGAGCCTGTTGCTGGAACGGAGCAGCGGGTAATCATCCAATCCATTCCCTTACCACGCCTTGACCTGTGATCTACAGAAACGTGAAAACTTTGGAGACTCCCAATTAGCATGCGTTTAGTGTACAGATTTCGGGCCAAAGTCCAAGTGCAAGCAACCTACGAACTATACTCCTAGATTAACATAATGCATTTCCTTAGGTTCGATTTCTCTGCACATTGGCTATCCTGGGTTCAGGCACCCAAGCTGAACTCAAATCATAGATTACGTGTTCGAGACTGCTCCTGCCCACACCTCTTCTATCATTATCGTTTCTTAGCACTCACCTAGCGGGAAAACATCATTCATAACACCCGCACCTTCAATCTGACTCGCCTTTCCCGTCTCCTCGTCTCCAAACACCACTATGGATCCAGTTTCGCCTGTGTATTCCGGCCACGCAAGACCCGTGTTATCAACTGGCGCCACGTTGGAATTATTCGTGAATGAGAACCAGAATGCTGCGATTATAAGTTTACGAGCCAGACCATATGTAGGGAGCAACTTGGGCTGGTGTTACTCACCTTCCATAGAGTAGCCAGTCTCGAACTCTAATTCCGTCGAATTTCCCCGGAACAGATCATGTGTACCAAACACGATTGGCAATTCCGCTGTGTATGGTCAGTACGATGGAGGCTTTAGTCGGTCGCGCGAGGCGGAAAACGTACAGCTGTGCATGGCACCGAGCCAGTAGCGCGGGGTGATGTTGGAGAAATTGCCCTTGAAGAGGTAGCGGTATGTTGTCATGTTGTGTGCTACGCGTTTGCTTTTGGTGGGGTGGGGTGTTAGCATGGATGCTGCGTGAAAGAAATAAGGCATCTCAACGTACTCTGCTTCGCGGCCCACCGAACACACAAACATGCTGGCGCCTATCTTGACGCTTGCTGTATCTGGACCTACAGTCTGATTGAGTGCGAAATCAGCAAATGCTGACCCTTCGTTCTTGTTTACGCCGGTGATTAGAGGCTGGGCAACGTGTTAGCCGCACATGACTGAAGTGATGCGAGACGGAGTACATGCCACTTTCGCGATCTTTCCCTCTATGAGTCGCTGCGTGTTATTCGCAAACGCCGTAACATTGTCCGCAACAATACCCCACACCCTCTCTCTACCCAGAACAGGTCCAGTAGTATCACCAATGACCTTCTGAAGCGCAAGAGCGTCGACTTTTTGCATGCACGCGAGCTCTTCTGCAGCGGTCAAGTTCCCACAGCCAAATGCCTTTGCCAGCGTGGAGAAGCCTGTAGTGTTGGTGGTAAGACTTCCGTCTGCTGCTGCAGCTCCCGAGTCTGCAATTAATCCTGTGACGATGGGATCATCGGGATTCGCATACGAGTAAGACACCACTGCGTTTGCGCCCGCTGATTGACCCCACATGACGATGCGATCTGAGTCACCCCTATCTGGTCAACTCTTCTTTCTCCTACCCTCCAAGGCGAGTCAGGTCTCAACCTACCCGAAACCCTCAATATTATCCTTGACCCACTCGACAACCAGTCGAATATCCGACAACCCCGGATTCCCCAGCGCTCCCGCCGCGCCCGGAAATCCGAAAACATTCAAGCGATAACTACTCTGATCAGCGCCTTCGTTCTCTCAAGTCTCACGACTCAGTTGACTGGACAAATCTTACTTGAACGTCACCACAATATGCCCCTGCGTCCTCTCGATCCACCGATCAGGCACTTGGTATGGCGCATGTCCACCTCCCTCTGCGAACCCCCCGCCACACACCCAAATCAGTACAGGGACCTTCTTCTTCTCCACCGCCGGCTTTTTCGGCGCCCAAACATTCAAGTACAAGCAATCCTCAGACTGTTCATCCGTGTTCTGGAACTCAGGAACGAGAGTCCAAAACACGCCCGAGGAAGTGTCGCTGTTCTGATAGCATATGGGCTTGTAATTGACTGCTGCGTGTGGGCCACCGGGATAGTAGGGTGCTGGGATAGCGGAGAGAAAGCGGAGGGAGTTGACGGGTGGCGTGCCGAACGGGATGCCGAGCCATTGGTGGACGTTGGGTTGGGTTGGGGATACGGAGCCTGTGTAGATGCCGCTAGTCGTATTTACTGCCAGGAGAGGATCGAGCTGAGTGTATGGGTTGTTGGCGTATTGCGCGAGTGCAGTACTCAGGAGGGAGAACAGTATGCGATTATGCATTATCGATCAAAAGATGTTGAAGATGTAGTGAAGACCGATCAAGGCGACCTTTGCGTTCTTACAACATCCCCAGCAATGCCTGCATACGTATCTGAGATTGTTATGTCCATGCTGTCCATCCCGGGTGTCGTTCTTTTGGTGATGTTTGCCGCCGGTTAATTATATGAGGATACATGACGTTCAGGCTTCTCGAATCTGGGGCTGTAGTATTTGGGGAAGACTTATTGTGCTGTGGGGAGTGTGGGGAAACATCCCGCTAGGATGAGAGTACTTGTAGATCACCATAGCCAACCGCGGTTGTATGCGAAGGAGCAACGCGCCAGTACTACCCCTCAACACCAGCCAGCCGCGGTTGAATGCGAAGTAACAACGGGCTAGTCCAAGAGACCCTCAATCTGATGACGCCAGTTAATCGCGTCCGTTCCGTGATGTCATGTAGAAGCGACCGCTTTTGAAGTGAATTCGAAGGCATAATGTGAATGTAATCATAGCACTCAACGCTGTCTTGGCTAGTAGGAAAAGAAGCTCGTTCTATATCACCGGATTGATATGTTAGAGCAATGCTTCGAATCAAGGTATGCGTTTAATCAGGCCAAGCTCATCTCTTTCTTCTCATAATTAGTCGCCTTCAAAAGCAAGCATCCATGACTCACACATCTCCCGCTCTTCCAGCTTGGCAAGTGCTCTGCGCCGAGGAGACGCAGTCAAGGCGGCTCTTTTTGTCATTGGCGTATTACATATTTTCCGCATGTCCTGGGCCTTCTGGTCTGTCGTCATCGATTTCTCGTGCGTGAGCATGAACACCACATGTGACCTTCACTTAGATTCCTGAAAATTGACCTAGGGTTTACTTAGGCTACTATAGAGGTAGGACTAAGGAGAGGCTGACATAGATGCCTAACCTCCCGTTTCCAAATAATCACAGCATCTGGTACACATCCACCTCTCGGCCCTTAAATCCGGTTCGCCGTGCCCCCAGATGTTATTTCTTCACACCAGTCAAGCAGCCTCCCACCCCATAAGAGTGTACTTAAAGAAACTGGGTTCACATTCATACTAATCCTACGGGAAGCCAAAAAGGAAAATTGCAATACATAATGGCACACCATTATGCCTGATGCGATGGCCTCGGTAGCGTTGAACACCCTACTCCGGACCAAGCAAGGCAGTGTTGCCGTGAAAGAGTGTGATCTGTGGGCACCTTAACCAAACCTTAAACTCCCCATGACCCGCGATGATATCCATTTGAACCCGAGAAACGCCATGAAGTGGCGTTGAATGCCCAAGGGTGCTGATAGTACCAGTGAGATATGCAGTTGAGTAGGCCTTACAGTCTAGCAGCATACCGTTTCAAGCCAAGAACCATTTCCAAGCTAGCCAGCTCACGGGAAGCTCTCGTCGGCGGACTCCAAAATATCGTACTCTTCGTCTGTCATAAAGCCATCGTCCTCCTCGTCAGAGATAAGCTCAACGCTCTCAGCATCTTCGAAGAAGTCTTCGTCAGACACAGTGGCAGTGGTGACGCTAGCAGGGCGGGGAGAATCCGGGGGAGCGGCCACAGCCTCGTGGGTGCTTGAGGCAGGTGACTCCTTGTCAAGTTGGGGGAAGATCATGCCCGATGAGTGGGGCGCTACCTCGGGTTTGGAACCAATCTCGGCCTCCTTCTCCACGACCTTCTCAGGAACCTCCTTCTCGGCGGGAAGCTCAGCAGTCTCAGCCTTGATGGGCATCTCGGGAGCGTTTTCAAGCGCCCGGACAGCCTTGATGCGAAGAGCGAGGTCCTGCTCCCTACGACGAGCCTCCATAACACGCTCGACGGCAGCCTTGCGAACCTTTTGGATGCGAAGCAGACGTTCCGCCTCGATCTTGGAAAGAGCCTCCCTCTCGCTCAACTCGCTCATCTTCTGGTGGACTTGCTCCAAACGCCTAAGAGCCTGTTGTTGAAGCGTCTGATCAGAAACGGACAAGGTGGAAGCCTCAGCATCAACCGGAGCCTGCGCAAGCGGAGAGGCGGGAGCCGGCGGGCTGGTTACCTGAATGTCGCACCAGAGACGGTGACCGAACGGCATGCCCTCGGCGGTCTTGAGACGCCAGTATGAGATGGCGGTGCCTTCACGGACGGGCGCCTTGAGGACGATGCGGAAGGCGACCTCCTCGCCGGGAGCCACAGAGCGGCCGATGACGTTACTCTCACTAGCCTCTGCAAGCTCGCTCTGGCTCAAAGCGCGGGTGTTGTCAAGGTCGAGCATGTTGTCGCCGCCAACGTGACGAACGCTGCAACCAGCAGGCCAAGAGTTGGGTCCAGGGTTGCGGAGTGTCCACACCTGCACGAACTGAAATCCGGAGCAGACCTTGGTGCCGTCCGCGATAGAGTCACGAACAAAGTGGGCATCAAACTCAGCTGAAGCTGTGGCCTCCTTCTCGGTCTCCTTTACGGGTACGGGAACAGTCACGGGGACCTTCTCCATGATGGGCTCAGAAAGGAGATCACGGATCTCAATCTTATCCTTGGTCGTCTTGGGCTGAGGCTCCTCGGTCGGCTTCACATCGACGATGGTTTGGACCTGGGTAGCAGCATTGGAAGGAGAGGCAGGGACAGCCTCAGATGAAAATGACCGCCTAGGGTCCTCGCGGTCGCCAACCCGAGTGATTGACTTGCTGTCCTTGTCCTCGTTCAAGGTGGTGACGTTAACGCTGCGTACAGGACGCTTGAACTTGAGCAGAGGATGGGTCTGGTTGTGCCTGTTGGAGGGGTGGGCCTCGCAGTTGGCGCAGAAGTCGGTGTCATGGCAGATAGCGCACTTGTACCGGATGCCTTCAATGTGTGATATGCCCTCCTTGTCCTTGCAGAGCGGACCATCGCAGTAAATGCCGTAGTGGCGGTTGCCGCTGCTCACTGGCTCAGCCAAAGGCTCATAGATGGGAACGAAGCGGTGTGCAGGGTGTATGAACTTAGCGCTCTTGATGCACTCAGAGCAGAAGTCCCAATCGGGGCAGTTCAAGCACTTGTGGCGCACGCCGTAAATGAACTTCTCGCAGCCATCACAGACGGCAGAGTGGCGGACATTGCGGCCAGCATTGCACAAGAAGTCGGCAAGAGCGGGCATGGAAGTCTGCTCAGTGGCGGCCTTGAAAGCATGGCCAGGGTGGTGGCCGTGCTTGTTGTCGATGTGGCATTGCATGCAAAGGTCGTAATCGTCGCAAATGGTGCACGTAACGAACTCGCGTTCGTGAAGAACTGTGCAGGTTAGGTTTCTGCTTCGATGAAATGGACCTGCCGACTTACTCTGAACGCAGCAGTTGCAGGTTCGGGTAGGCTCCTCAGCCTCCTGCTTCTGAACGACTTCGGGCACGGACTGCTTCTCCTCAGTGAATGCTCCTGGCATCTCGTGTTCTGCCTGAGGCTTTCTAGGCGTCAGACGCTCGGTGTTGCTGTTGACAACGCTTCCGTTCTTGACGAATCGCTTGACCATCCAGTGGCCAGAGCCGGGGCAGTGAATGCCAGATTCTACACAGGAGGGGCACAGGTCATAATCGCCGTGGTCGCAGATGCTGCAGTGGTAGTGCTCATCTTCCATGGCGATGTTGCAGTTGTTGCAGTAGACGACCCAGGAGGTCTGCACGGTCTCCATCTTGGGGCGGAAGGCCAGGTCAGCGTTGCGCGAGCCAGCTGCAAGGCTGCTGAAGAAGCCTAGATGCTTGTTTAGTACTTGATCTCAGTGCCCAACGAATGGATCGTAAGCCTTACTCTGACGGGCGCTAAGCTGGGTAGCAGTGGTAGCAGTGAAGGGACGGGGCACAGGCGCCTCGCCCTTGACCTCGGCGTCAGCTACCACGGGCGAGACGGGGCTGGTCTGAGCAGCCATCGATTGCGATGCAGTAGAGAAGAGAGTGCTCGAGTGGGCGATGAGTGGCGGGGGTAGTGTGGCCTCGGCACGCGGAGGTGACAGGGTCTCGGCGCTCATGCGATGAAGCGAGCTGGGCGGAGTGGACAGTGGCTGGTGCACTGGGGCAGACGGAGGAGCCGGAGCAGGCTCGTTCTCCTGGCCTGGGATGGTGGCGCGCAGACGCAGCTTGAGCTTCGCCTTGGCAGCGCGGAAGAGCGTCTTGTAGACCTGAGGCTTGTTGGCGTCGAGGGTGACGTAGGCGCCGGCGCTGTCGGAGTAACGCTCGAAGATGACTTCCTGGCCCGGAGGAACCTGCAGGAGATGGCGGAGCTGCGCACGGAGCCATGTCAGTATACCTCTCGTAGAAGTGAAGCTGCATGGAGCTGTCTGTAAGCTCGGCGGGTGGTACGGCCAGGCTGCCGATGGCCCGCCCAAGCAGCAGCATCATCATCACGACGCACCTTCTCAGGGAAGACATTCGCGCCGAGATCACGCAGCGGGACCTTGAAGCGGCGGTTGGCGCCGTGCACCTGGATCTTGACCACGATCAGCGTGTCCAGCGTCACCGGGACGTTGGTCGCCATGGCGGGCAGCTGCGAGTCAGGCTGGCAGCGACGGAACGCTCAGCAGGCGGGATGGATAGGTGAGGAGAGAGTGCTGCAGCTCGTCGTTTTGGCGAGCACACGAAAGAGGCGCTGTTGAGATGCTGGCACTGAGAGACCCAAGGATGGACGGTGTCGGGAAGGCGGGCGGAGGGGGCGATGGGGAGTGGATGAGGTCGCTGGAGTAGCTGCCTGGTCGCGCGCTAGAGCGATAGTGGACTGCGGGGACGTGCTGAGATGCTCTCACGCGCCACGCGGGCTGCGGATTGCGTCGTCAGCCCGGGCAGGCAGCTCAAGAAACAAAAACAAACGGTGAAGCAGAAAATGAAAACTGCCTAGTCCGCCTTTGCTCTGCCCTTCACAGCGTTGTGTTGATGCCAGAGGCCGGACGAGCAGCTGCGCGTGAGGCAGTCCAGACAGGCGTGTAACGCGCCGTGCAATGAGGACGGTTGCCTTCGTGACGCGAGCACAACAACAGGACGCAGGGTGGACGGTGCCAGAATATTCAGTATACATGCAGTTGATGAAGTCACGCATGTGCTGTCTGCCATAGCGGGCTTCAAATTGTACTCTCGCGAACACCGCAACTGCACTGCAACTGTTGGTGCAAGGCTCAGACACTGGAACCCCAGCGTCAAGTGACTGGCAGACCCAATCTACAGACGCAGACACTGGGCACAAAGCGGACATCGAGGCCAATAGATTTCGTACCACGTCTCCTGCTTCGTTCGGACAATACCAATGACGAGCTGACAAATGGCGTGAAGACCTCGGACGGTTGAGCAGCCCAGTACCAAGGTCTCCGTAGCGAGGGGCAGTAAAGTGTACTGCTACCCTGCGCAAACTTACAACTTGTAGCTGCAACTGGAGCTTCTTTTTGCACCTTGACTACCAGGCATATACATGAGCATTCATCAACATGCTTCGCACCATGCAGCGAGCTCTCAGAGTGAGGCTACCTCGGCCCACATCCCGTGCCTGCCAAGCCGTACTACCTCCAGTTATCGATTGCACTAGCACGCCCTAGCGCGGCCCAGTTTATCTTCCACACCAAATCTTTCCTGCAAATCTTCGAGACGTGCTACTCCACCACGCCCAACCCCCGCAAACATGTCATCCGACTCGGACATGCAGTCCGCCTCTGAAGCTGAGGCAGTAATTTTGCCCAAGAAGGAAAAGCGCCAGAAGAAAGACAAGAAGGAGAAGAAGCGCAAAGCAGAGCATGTCGGGGAGGAGGAGGAACAAGACGTGAGGGAAGAGGAAGACGAGGAGCAGACTGATAAAAAGCCCTCCAAAAAGCGCAAACGCGAGATTCTCCCCTCCGAAATCGAAATCGACATCACCGCCCCAGAACCCGCCTCCAAAAAAGCCGCCCGCGAAGCCAAACGCAAAGCCAAAAAAGCCAAAACCGCACCCACCCCCTCCACCGCCGCCGACGCCCCAACAACAACCGAAACTGCAGAGTCCAAAGAAGCCAAGCGCTCCGCCTTCAGCGTCTGGATCGGCAACCTCCCTTGGTCCGCCACTAAAGAAACGCTGCGCACCTTCCTCACCGAAAACGCAGAGATCAAAGACGACGAAATAACCCGCATACACATGCCCGCGCCCAAGGCCCCGCCGCGGCCGAACTGGACCGACGCAAAGCCCACGAACAAGGGCTTCGCCTACGTCGACTTCGCCACGGAGCTGGCCATGTACTCGGCCATCGCACTCACCGAAACGCGCATGGACCGCCGCCCGCTGCTCATCAAAAACTCGAAGAACTTCGAGGGCCGGCCGGACAAGCCCAAGGAGGAGCAGCATGACGGTGACACTACGCTGCGAGGCGGCAAGGAGGCCAAGGCGCCTAGCAAGAAGATCTTCGTGGGGAATTTGGGCTTCGAGACGAGCAAGGAGGATCTGGAGGCGCACTTTGGGCAGTGCGGCGCGGTTGAGAATATCCACATGGCGACGTTCGAGGACACGGGCAAGTGCAAGGGCTTCGCGTGGGTAACGTTTGAAGAGCTCGATGCTGCTTCTGCCGCGGTGAAGGGATTCGTGTACAAGAAAGATCCCGACGCCAAGAAGTCAAAGGCCAACGATGAGGACGGCGAAGGAGACGACAAGTCCAAGAAGCGAAAGTTCAGACTCAACAAGCTCCTGGGCCGCGATCTGCGCTGCGAATTTGCAGAGGACGGCACTACGCGGTACCAGAAGCGCTATGGAAAGAAGCCCGAAGACGGTGCCGGTGGAGGTGAGGGCAGGGGCTTCGGACGGCCGCAACGAGGCGGGAGGCCGTTCAATCCCAGAAATAACTTCGGGGAGCGCAAGGTCGATCCTCGAACGATTGCGCCTGGGTCAGCTCACATGAACGCCCCTAGGGCTTCTGCTGCCATTGTCAAGAGCGAGGGAAAGAAGACCACTTTCGATTGAGAGGATTTCGCTCGTCACAAAAGTTCTACTTCAAGATACCCACGTAGCATAATGCATCAGGTCCTCACTTCGGCGCACTCACGTTCTGCTCTTCCTCCACCCTTTGCACGACCCCCAACCGCTTCTTGCCTTGATCAAACACCACGTACACCGCCTTCAACCACGTATCCCCCAAGATGTCGAAAGTACTGTCCCCTCTGGACTGAATCCCACCGTACTGCATGCCATTCCCACACTTCGCAAATCCAAAGTCTTCCTTTTGAATCTCAAATTGCTTATCACCCACCGCGACCGTGACCTTGGGCAGTGCTTCCGCCGGCGTATCAACAGGAAACACCTAGCCCTGCTGTCTTGCGTCAAATTTCGCGTCAGGAATAGCACCGTAGATGGCCTTGCACAGCTCGTCGCTGACGAGCGCAAGGGTTGTCCCAGTGTCCGCTATAGCCGTATTCCCTGTACGATCAATGATCCTGCCATTCACAATCGCAGATTCGGACTTGAACTGCCAGAAGCCCTTGCTCGAATCAATAGGCACATAGTGCATCTCGGTGCCACACCTCTTGACAACGTCTTCATCGATATACCCAAACGTGAAGAAGCTTTCGCCCTGGTCCTCTTCGTCTTTGTCCCGCCAGCTGCCAAGGTAGCACGTGAACAGCTCCTCCCCTTCTTCGATATCATCCTGATCGATCATGCTCTCCACGGGCGTCTTGACCGCCTTGGGCTTCACAGTGTTGATCTTGCCGAAAGCTAGGCCAAGGAGCCCGTCGCCGGCACCTTTGATGAATTGCGGCGAGAGCTTAGAGGCGAGTTCGATGGCTTGATTTTCGACACACAGTCCGCCGAGGGTGACGTTGTCGGTGCCGACGATGCCGGAGGCGTTGGAGCCGTCACCGTATCGGATCTTCCAGGAAGAACCGGAAATCTTTTTCCATGTGGATGAGGACTTGGGACTGTAGATGTTATGACCTGAAGATTTTCCAGTAGATTGGGTTTTGGAGTCGAGCTCGGTGGACCACAGCTATGTTGTCGGCTTAGTGCCCAGATAATCAAAGGGTGAGGGGCGACGCGCGTATATAAACGTACCCACAAATCGGAGCTTCCCGTATCAAAGTGAAGATTGCAGACTTGCGGAGGAGTCCCGATCGCGACCGGGCAGAGGTACATGGAGTCATTCAATTGGTCTTCGGCCTTGACTTCACCCTTTTGGCCATCATCTTCGACCTTTCTGAGCACGGGCTTGGTGGATTTCTTGCTCTTTGACTTGAAAAAGTTTTTGAAGTTCTTGGTGACCTCATCGACTTTCTGATATGGACCTTCAGTAGTTGGGGCAAAGTCGTCTGTCCGGTCGCGACGTCAGCAATCCAAAGAGCTTCTCCAGCAGTCGTGTGAAATTTTGACATTCTGGTGTGCTAGGAGGGGACACTCACATTTTTCCAACAAGCTGGCATAACTCTTCATGCCAGCCTTCTCACATCCTGAATTAGGCTTGACATTTATTCTCTTCTGTTCCCGTGCACCCATCTTGCGTCTTGTCGGCTCAGTTGCTTGTGGAGCAGGTCTTCGCGTCGACGTTCGTGTTGATCTTCGCGCCGACAAAGACCTGTGCTTCTTGTCCCTCGGGTATGACTCAAAGACGCGGGGGCTGGAGCTGATGGGAGAACTCTCGTAGACGGAGAGAGGGGCGAAAGCGAATACAGCAGGTGGGACGACGTATGCCGGCGATATATGACGCGCTTGTCGTTTCTGGTAGCTGGGTCGGTGCGCAGGGTTGAGAGGGATAATTGTTGGGTATGGGTAACGAAACGTGCTGAGGGGTGTTAGCATAGTGTGACCGCATCAGTACCTGGAGGCGCACGCTGCTTGGGGTTTCTATGCAGTCTATACAAACGATACGAGAATGATGAAATGAATCATAGGATGCCGTGTAGGGCTCAACACAGTGCGTGTAGGGACGTCGGATGGGTGATGATGGTGAGTGAAAATATACCGTGAAGTGAGAGCACGATGGGGCGGAAGTGGCTGGCAGCATCGTACTTTCCCTGTGCTGGGTCAACAAGGTCATTACTAACATGAGGCCATGGCACTTGTCAGACAGTCACGCTTTGGTGAGTTGCGGCAGGCGCCGGACTAAGCGGCAAAGCAATCCAGGACAAATCATTTCCTGGATAAGTTCAATGAATCGAATGCATGGTCATGAATAGGGTATCTCGCAAGACCAAAACCAATATCAGCCCAAACATCCAACATTGAGTACAGGCCTACGCCAAAAGGCTTCACTCGATATTGCTTACCTCTCCAAACCCAACTCTCCCTTTGCCTTTCGCACCTCGTCCAAATCCACTGTCTCTGAGCATCCCCCCAAAACTCCGCACACCACCAAGTCCTGCACCAGGAACGTCTCTCATACCCGCAGCAGGCGGGGCACTCATGGCGCCCAGTCTTTTCTGGGGACTGGTCTGGATCTCAGACCGCTTGTGTTGTATCACAGAGCGCTTGCTCGGCGTCTTTAAATACCCAGCTCGCAAGTGGGGTGGCATGGGCGTCGATGTTGCGTCTGGAAGGTCATTGTCGAAGTCGGGATCTTCTCGTATAGGCGGTCGTGCTGGGCGACGGAGAGCGGAGCGTAAGGTGGCATTCGGTATGGGATATGTCTTTGGCCGTGCTGGTGTTGGTCTGGCAGAGGAGGGCGGTGCTCCGAATGTTGGTAGAGATGGCGGTAGCGGATGGTGTTGCGGTGAGATGGAGAAGGAGAGGTCAAGTGCAGATTGGTCAAACTCAGTCCAGCCTTCCAGGCGTCGCGTTTCATCGCCTGTGTTGTCGTCGAAGAGTCGTCCAGCATCCTCAAATACGGCCTCGGTTTCGTAGTCCGGTTCTTCAACATTGTGGCGTACGTGACGAGAGCGAGAAGTTGGCGTTGGACTGACAGGGCGAGCAGCAACACGGGAAAGGGTCTGCTGATGCCAGAACTTGATCATAGCACTGACATGCTGCCTGAAATGCCGCTCATGCAGGGCAGCTGCACTCCTGTTCCGCAACCGAATTTCCCAGCCTTCCCACTCAAGCTTCTTGAGGTAACTGGCCGCTGCGACCTCGACGCCAATCTGACGGAAGTCGACGGCTTGAGCTGTCATTTTCCCGAGAGCCTCTAGACGCTTCCTCCAGAACCCAAAGAAACGAGCTCGAATCCTGATATCGTAGTTTTGCTCAGCTTGTGCAGTCTGCATCTGTTCGAAGGCAGTTCGATCTCGCCAGTGTGCAAACAGCGTCTGTGAAACCTGTGTCGCGCGCGTATATAGCATCGCATCAGCTTGTTCGTGCTGGCCCGCGATAATTTGGGCTTTGTCCCTCCATAGACCTAATATCCTTTTCACTAAATTCGACTTGATTGTACGCCGCACCTGCGCATAGGCTTCACGTCTTCTGTTTCTCCTCGCATGCTGCGTAGCGTCTTTCCATTTCTTCAGCGTATGTGTGGTCAAGACGTAGAATTGCGCGTCTCCGGCCCACTTGTTCAACTGCTGAAAGTGGGCGTGTTTATCCAACAACTGTTCAAGAACACGCTGCTTCAACTTGATCTCGTATTGCACTGTCATCGCGGCTTCTTCGGCGCGTTTCTCTGCTGTCAGCACCTCGATCTTCCGAAGACAGACCCGCAAGAGTTGAGTGCGCTTGAACTGGGCGAATCGTACTTCTGCGGCATCGAGTCTATTCTGTCGATTGTTTCTGATCTCAACTCTCTGGTTTCTTTTCGCGACCCATGTGAAGAGGCAATTCTCTTTAAGAGTTCGATCGTGGACACGTTGGAACAGTGACACTCGGGAAGCAAGCGTCCATTTGTACATGTTTTCGATGAGTACACGGTCATTGATACGCTCTTCAAGTGCTTTGATGCGCAAGCGATCGTTCCAGGCGGTCCAGCCATTACGCAGTATGCGCAGTCGGTCAGCATTCCTCGCACGGCGAGAGAGTTCTGCGGTGCGGCGCCATGTTTGGAAAGTCGACTGGAGACGCTGTGCATCGCCCGCAATATGGAATGCGGAGAGCAAAGGGGCAAAGCGGGCATGTCTCTGCACTGTAGCCAATGCATTCATGAGCAGTGTCCGCCTTCGAAACTCTTCAGCCTGCGGCTCTAAGGCTCGCACTACAGCGGTTTTCTGTCGCCAGACTTCCAACGATCTGCGTTGTACCAATTGGCCTCGACGGTCGGTAGCCCACGCATCTCGCTCAGTCCACATGGCTGCAGCTTCCTGCCACTGTTGAAATGTAGCTCTCTTCAATCGCGGGTCTAGGCGTGCGTTGTGCCACGCGGGGGCCGCGATCTCGCAAAACTTAAAGAACCAATCTTTGTAGTATTTGCGCTGCAAATTTTCGTCGTGCATCTGCACGGCTCGCTCTTGTCTTTGGCGGACCTCCGCTGTCCGTCTGCGCCATTTCTGCAAGAACGTGGCCAAAACAAACTGCTGGACTTTCAGTTCGTTGACTGCAGTGATCTCGCGCCACCCGTTAAAGAAGCGTGTACGTAGGATGTGGCGACGCGCAACTGAAGTGCGTTGCACCTCGTCCTCGGCACTCTTTGCCCAGTGGGTGAAAGCCTTGGTGAGCAGGAAAATGTTTCGAGCTCTCGCTGCACGGTCCTCGAGGCGAATGAAAAAGTGGTCGGTTTCGCGAAGGGCACGCCGATTGTGAGCTTCCCTTAGAAGATCTTCCTTTACATTCCGGAACTGAATACGACTGTCATATCTGACTGCAGCGGCCATCATTTGCTCGTTCCGTTCAAATTGCTCCTGGGTCCGCTCCCGCCATCTTCGAATGCATGACCTTAAGAGTGAGTGCAGGCGCTGCTGCTCGAACTCTTCTGCATCATCCATCAAACGTGTATCAGAAGGCCGAAAAGGTTCGCGTTCGTAGTGATGGTTGAGTCTCTGGTGCTCGTCCGGTATGGGTGCATTAACTCCCGGTATGTATATGTCCGAGTGATCATAATCAGCGCTTTCACCTGTATGGTCGCCATCATCCAAGTCTGAATCTCCAAAATTGGCCATGCCCGTGATCCCGTCTCTTTGTATGCCTAGACTGTTGCCTCGCCCATGTCCAGTTCCCCTTCTGCGCGAAACTAATGGCTCGTTCACAGGCGCAACCGAATTGTGTCCGTTCTGCTGGGACACTCGAGGCTGAGGGCGCGCCTGCAATTCCAAATCTTCCGCGGATCGAGACCTACGCTTCTGCCACCACGACCCTATGTCCGAGTGGCCCGTCGCCTCACTCGACTTTCTCGAGCGCACCGCCAACTGACGCCCAACATCCGTGGTTCCTGCGACCTTGTCTGCGCTGCCACCCAACAAAGAGTCCAGACTTCCCCGCCGCAAGGGAGCAGGTGTCGGTGCTTGAGCTGCTGTTGATAAGCCCTCCAGATGACTCGTAAACTCGAAACCTTCTCCCTCCTCGTCGTATTCCAGATCAACGCCAATATCACCCATAACGCGCTTGAAACGTTGCACCAGCCCTTCATCTTCCCTGGCTTCCCTCACCAAACGCGCTATGATCTGCAGCGGCACGCTGTCATCCTCGATCTCGATGCCGTGATCGCGGAGCACCTCTTCGTATACATCGTGCAACGTGCGAGAGAACGCGCTCAGATCGGATGCTGTTCGTGCGCGTTCGACAACTTCGTAAAGTAAAATAATAGCTATGCAGAGGTTTAGAGGTAATTCGAGGAAATCGGAGTGGCGCGAGTTACCTCCCTCTGAGACCTCATCCCTGTTCAATTGTAACGCCTCATTGCGGTCGCCGTTCATGGAGGGCGGCATTCGTATTCCTTTCTCTGTCGTCGACCCCGGCGCGTGAACGGGTACATCACCTTCAAGACCAAAATCAAGATGCAAGATCGAGAGCTTCGGAAGGCAAGGCAAAAAGGCAAAGCGCTGAGATCGCGTCGCACGCACCAATACTATACATTACAGGCGGTAAGAAGAAGAGCGATGAGAGTGGGTGCGCGTTGCAAGTGAATGAACGCGCCGGTCTTTGTTTGGCGTCGGCGAGCTGCGGTGGTTGGTCGCGCTCCACAAATGCGACGCGCCAAGCTGTCCGTGCGCGGAGACTGTCTTGACCTCGTCGCGAAACATTCAGCGATAGTGGTTGATCGTAAAACACCGTAAACATGCCTGGACGGAGTCGGCCAATCGATAAATTTGCCGCAGCGGTTGGCAAGTGCTCGAAAGAGGTATGCTGGTCCCAATCTCGACGGAAAGAAAGATTCTTATGACGGGTAGAGTGCTGTGTATGGCAAATGCATACTGGCCGACTATAACAATGTACACAAGGACAAATGCGCCGCCGAGTTCATGAAGCTCAAAGACTGCTATCTGGTAAGCTCCTGTCACGATTTCGATTGGCTCATTCTAACCTAACATTGGTCAGGCTGCGTACAAGAAGCGATGAGACGGTGGCAATGGCCCCTCAGCTCAATTCGTAGAATCCTTGGTACATCGCTGGGGTTATACTCCAAGACCACATTATAGCCAGTTTCCACTTATTGGGTCTATTATGTGGACAGAGATGTACGCCAATCGTTCCAACAGGACAAAGCCTCGTGGTGAGCAAGCTGACGTGCTCATCAGCGACAATCCATAAATTTCAATTGTTCGATTTGTTCATCTACTCATATATAACGTCGAGACGTCGCAAATGACCCAACACTGTTTTCAACGAACCTCAAAGATGCCGCAAACAAGCGCACATCGTGATTTCGCTCAATCTTGCCCTTTCAACTTCACTAATCTCAGAAGGAAAGTTGCCTTCTGTAGCTCCTGCTCCTCCTGCACAATAACTGTCTCGTCATCCTTCTCTGGGATCTTGCCCTCCAGCTCAGTGATGACGTGCTTGTCGACGTTCCTCCTCAAACTTTTCTCGAAAAGTGCACCCTGTTTCTCGAAGCAAGCTTCGATGCCAACGTTCTCAGGATCCGATAGCACGCGGTACTCCATGCCCACATCATCAGTGGGCACCAGATTAGCCTTCTTGCGAAGATCCTGCACACGGCGGATAATCTCACGAGCCAGGCCTTCTTGCTCGAGCTCGGGGTAGCTGGCAACATCGAGGATAATGAGAACGTCGTCGTCGGTGTTGAATTCTTGGTCTTTGTTGCTATCGTCCTTGGCGAGGCCGCGCTTGACCATGAGGTCTTCCTTTTCGACCTTGATACCATCGACCAGCATCTCGCCGTCCTTGATGAAATCCTTGATCTGCTGGCTCGTCAAGTTTGGCAACGCCTTCTTGACCTTGACAGCATCCTTTTTGAGCTTCTTTCCGAGAACTGAGAAGTCTGCCGAAGCAGAGTACTGAACGTGGTACTTCTCCTCATCGCTGGAGAAAATGATATCACGCACGTTCAGCTCCTCGCTGATGTAGTTGTTCTTCTCCAATGCGCGCAAGTCATCCAGGTACTCTGGATCAGGGTGAATGATCACGAGCGTCTTCAAAGGAGTCTTGAGTCCCCTATTGGCGCGATCTCGGCAGATGCGGCCCAAGTCGATGACCGCTTGCATGCGCTTGACCTGTCGCTCCACCACCTCATCAAACAGCTCTTCACGAACTTCCGGGTAAGGAAGGAAGTGAATGCTTCGGTCATCCTCTGCCCGGAGCTCTTTAGGAATGTGCGGAAGAAGTCGCAGGTAGATGTTGTCGGTAAGGAATGGGGTGAAAGGCGCAAGTCCACGGCAGAGGGTATATAGGACTTCGAAAAGAGAGTTGAGAGCATGCTTGGTGTCTTCGATGCCATACTCACCCTTTAACCGACGGCGGTTAATGCGGATGTACCAGTTTGTGGTATCATCAATGAGCTATCCATGTCAGTGTGGACAATGTCGACAATAGGATAGTAATTCACCTTAAGTAACCGCGGAACAACAGTGTACAGTCGGTAGGCGGCCATTTCTTCGTTGACAAATCTCAGGAGAGACTGGCATGAGGCTAGGATCCACCGGTCCATCACGTTCTCATTGGTTTTCTCAGCCGAGGGGTCGAACACAAAGTCTAGATCCGCCACCTTCTTCAACAGCGCTGCCTGTTGCTCGAAGAACTGGTAGCTGTTCCAAAGCGGAAGCAGTACCTTCGAAACAATCTCCTTGACACCTGCTTCTTTGAAACGGAGCGTCTCGGCACGCACCACGGGCGAGTTGATAAGATATAACCGGAGCGCATCGGAGCCATAATTGTTCATGATAAGCATGGGATCAGGGTAATTCTTCAGACGCTTTGACATCTTCTTGCCATCTTCAGCAAGTACAATGCCGTTTACGACACAGTTCTTGAATGGAAGTTTGCCGAAAAGAAGCGTGCCAAGAACAGTCAGAGTGTAGAACCACCCACGCGTCTGGTCCAATCCTTCGGCAATGAAGTCTCCCGGGAAAGATTTCTCGAACTGCTCGACGTTCTCGAACGGATAGTGGGCACTTGCGTAAGGCATTGATCCAGACTCAAACCAGCAGTCGAACACTTCAGGGCTTCTCCGTAGTACGCCCTTGCCTTGTTGACTGGGAATGGTGATGTCGTCAATCTTGTCGCGATGAATGTCTGTAAGTTCGCCCTCGTAGCCGCTCAACTTCTTCAACTCTTCCACGCTTCCAACACAGACAACTTCCTTCAAGTCGTCGCTAACCCACAAAGGCAAAGGGGTACCCCAGAAACGGTTACGTGAAATGGCCCAGTCAGGCGAGTTTTGGATCCAGTTGGCGAAACGCTTTTCCTTCACAAAAGAAGGAACCCAGTGCGAACCTTCGATGTTCTTCAGCATCTGAGGAATGCTATCCTGAATCCGGACAAACCATGACGGAACCGCTCGGTAGATTAATGGAGTGTCGGAGCGCCAGCAGAAAGGGTAGCTATGCGTAAGTTGGGAGTCCACGACTAAACGGCCGGTACCCTTCAGGTGTTTGATGATGTTCTTGTCGGCAGCCTTCACATGCTGGCCTTCGAAATGCGGAACAGCGGAGGTGAAGCAACCAGCATCGTCGACCGGGTTTACGGGCGGGCGGTTCTGGTCGATGATACCGTTCTCAATGGCCACCTTGTAATCCTCCTCACCGTATGCAGGCGCTTGGTGAACGATACCCGTACCACTGTCTGCTGTCACGTACGTCGCGTTTACGACCTTGAAACCATAGTTCCTGAATTCTTCGTAGAAATAGTCGAACAACGGCTCGTACTTCCAGCCCAACATATCCTTGCCCTTCAATTTCTGTACAATCTTGAACTTCGCCTTCTTCGGGTCCTTGTATAGCGTCCGCAGCAGCGCTTCCAGCAAGATGTAGTGCTTCCCCGATGCCTCGTCGTGGATCTTAATGTACTCGAAATCAGGATGTGTTGCAAGCCCGGTGTTGGAAGGCAGCGTCCACGGGGTCGTGGTCCAAGCAAGTAGACACGTGTTTGAATCGTCCAACAGCGGAAAAGAGACCACTACGGCCGGGTCCTGGACGTCCTTGTAGTTTTGCGACGCCTCGAAGTTGCTGAGCGGTGTGCACAATGCGGTACTGTACGGCATAACCTTGAATCCGCGGTACACAACACCCTTGTCGAACAGCTGCTTGAAGACCCACCATTCGCTTTCCATGAAGCTCGTGTCCATGGTCTTGTAGTCATTGTCGAAATCAATCCACCGACCCAGTCGATCGATAGTGTGTCTCCACTCGGTCGCATATCGCATGACAATGGCGCGGCACTTCTCGTTATATTTGGCGATACCAATCTCCTTTACGGCGTCACGGCCGGACATGCCCATCTCCTTGTCGATCTCGTACTCGATGGGTACACCGTGCGTATCCCACCCGAATCGTCGCTCAACATATCGCCCCTTCATGGACCAGTACCGCGGAATAATATCCTTGATAGTCGAGGCGAGAAGGTGCCCGTAATGCGGCATGCCGGTCGCGAATGGCGGTCCATCTGCCAGAGTCAGACTTTGGAATGCTATAGCTATGGGCGGACTCACCGTAAAACGTGTAGGGCTGCTTTCCTTTGGACTACCGTCCGTCAGCACTATCAGGACAAGGACGAAGATCCAACAGTTATTCCAGATGGGAGTGAAAAGCATCAATGAATCTTTATGATTGCGGGGTGCATAAAAGACGCCGCCGGCAGAGTACCGCTTGCTTGCATGACTCGGAAGGGAAGGCGCGACCACTTACAAGTTCGACCTGGCGCAGGAAGGCGTCGATTTCCTTCCAGCGCGCAAGGATGCGCTCCTCCTCCTGCGGGAAGTTCATGGCGGGCGTGTGATCGTGTGCCTTCGTCGGCGTGGCGGGGTTATGTTTTTCTGGAGTTGACTGTGCTGCTAGTGGGCTGGTGGGGCAATTTCCTCAGAAACCTTATCGATAGCGCATCTCTTGACTCATCCCTGCGTTGCATCTAACACTTTCGCGCGACCCTCGGACAGATCTGCGGTAATTTTATGCTTCTCAACATGGCCGGACGAACCTGTCCATTGCACCACCAACCATTCTGTCCCTCATTGTCATTGTTGAGGATGGTCAGTCGCTGCTGCCCCAGCAAGTCTCAACCGATGCTGAGATGAGGCTCCCCTTCAAAAGACTTCGTCTACGGCTTCCTAGATCCTGCGTGGGGACCTTTGACATTGACTTATGCCGCCACTCGCCTTGATAGAACTCCATGCTCGTACCAGTCGCGGGGCAATGTCCCTCTTCACGTGCTCCAATTGACCTCAATGGCATATGCAACTGAGATGCCCTTCTACATCACCACTCCCTCTCGGACTATATGTCCTGCAGCACGTATCGACAGCGTGCAGTAATTAACAAGTCTCAGATTACCTTATCCACGAACAAGCCCAATGTGATCCGCTCATAGAAATGGCAGCCGATTCCTTTTCTTCCAAAAACGCACCCTTCAACATTGCCATCCCGCCTAAGGTAGGTTCATCAGACACCCACTGTGTCCTTTTGGCATAATTATTCAAGACGGACGGTAGCTTGCGGCGCCGGTCTGGACTCCGAGGTCTTCGAATTGATCGGTGCTAAAGGACTTTGGAGCAGTTTCCGGACGAGTGGCATCGGAAGCACACTTCAAGACTACGACAATACTGATTGCAGTAGCTAAGCATGTGTGAAGGAGTGCGCTAATACAAAGGTTGCTGACAAGACTGTGGAGCTGTATCACGATTGTGCAAACAACTATCCCATTGTAGCATCGACTTTGAGAAATTCGACGGTTGGAGGTCAGCCAACCGCAACAGTGCCAAAGCTTCCTCAATGCAAGAGCACGGCGTCGGTCACGGCCATTGATGCCAAGTCGACGACAAATGTCAATCCTGTACAGAAACGCGGAGGGCAACCGCTGCTGCAGGGACGGGTGCAGCGACGTCGACAGGCGGGATACTGACCTCGTTCGTTAGGGACCTATTGCTATTGGCTGCAATCTTCTTTACCGAGGACTGGTGGGATCCTACGCGGCCTATGGGGCTTCTCGTTCCAAGCTGTCTCAGTATTGACACACTGCAACACTTCAACACTCACATGTACCTTCGAGCCGCATTCGGGAGAATCAGCTCTGTATGGCCAAATGTTTACCCTTCGTCCGCTGCCCCAGAAGTTATTCCAGGATTTATGGTTATAGTGCACCCTGTATGTGCATTGCTATGGAGAAACATTCGAAGATTGCACGCTTGCGCATACGCCTTGGAATAGCTACTGTTTCTATGCAGATGGATAGCGAAGCGATTCACCAACAACCACTTTCGGAGCCACTGTTTTGTACAACACCTCGCATGAACGCTGCCACGTAAGGCCTCGACGACTCAGCTGCAGCTCGTTCGAGATTCGTCGATGGCGGAAGGTGAAACAGATTAGAGGCCAAGACTGAAGCGAAAGCTTAGGCGGCACCACCCTGTCCAGCGCTGGTGAAACGTGACAGGCCGCGACTCGGACCTCACCACCCAGGCCGACTGGATTCCACGATGTTAGCCTCCGATTGATGCTCGCCCGTGATACATGCGCCTCGTCATCCTGGCGAGCGGCAACTGTTTCTGCAAAGGTCACTAGTCCCCAACGAGCTAGTCCTGAGGTTGCCGCTCAAGTGCGACAAATGTCTGAGCATCGCTCGCGACAGTGTGCTGTGGCAATGCCTGAGGAACGCAATGAGTAAGTTTCTTTCAAGTTTCAAGCAGGCCTGGGCCGCGTAGGTGTTGACGAGGGCATCCAAAGTTGGGGTTGGTATATATGGGGTAGGCACATCAACACCAAACGATTCATCAGCTCATCCCAGCTTTTCAACAACAACACCACCTTCTCACTTCTTTTATCTTCCTCGGCCGGTCCGATTTCGCTTCTTACATTCCTATTTTTTCACGGATTCCTCAACGTCCCAACTCAAACAGCGTTCAATATGCGTTTCCTCATTTCCCTCCTCTTTGCGTTCATCGCAACTGCCGCTGCATTCCCGGAACTCCATTTCCTCGAGGCCCGCAAGCATGGCAACGGTACTTCAAACGGAGGCGGGAAGAAGAACGGCACGGCAAATTCAGTCAACAAGCAATGCAGACAGATGAGCAAGATGGTCCAGCTCACCGAATTGGCCGCCAACCAGACCAAGCTCGATGCTCTTGTGTCCAAGGGCAAGCTGAACGCCACTGAGGTCCAAGTAATCAAGGATAAGGCAGCAAACGCCACAACGACCCTCAAGACCCTGCAAGCCAACACTACCCTTGTCGACGAATGCAACGTTATCGCCGCCAACCAACAAGTCAAGTCCCAGTGCTCAGCCATGAAGAAGCTTGCTAAGACTGTCGCTCTCGCCAGTAACACGACTGCGATGGATGCTTTTGTCGCCAAGAAGAAGCTGAACGACACTCAAGTCACAAAATTCAAGGAGCAGATCTCCAAGGCACAGACCAAGCTCCAGGAATTGCAATCCAACACTACTCTCACCGATCTTTGCGCACAACAGAAGTCGCAGAAGGGCGCGGACAACAGCGGTAGCTCCACCACCGGCGCTGCGGCCGATTCATCTTCGTCTACACCCAAGCAAGCCACTGGTGCCGCCAGTGCCTTGACCCTGCAGACGGTCCCTTACATTTTCGTGCCGGCTCTGGCTGGTGTATTCGCGTTTCTATTGTAGATGAAGCACCAACAGTGCTCTGGTTGATCGGCACTCAGACGCGCGATGCACAAATAGGTCTACATTAAAGTATTCGCAATGGTAGAGGCATTAGGCCTGCCGAGATACCCCTATCAATATGGGAAATCCGCAGAGGTAGCATAACGACGAGAAGTGCTTGGAGGAGGGTGATTTTCTGGGCGGAGCACTCGTTCATGTATATTCAGTCTTAGATTCCCCTTGCATATATACCCATCAGTCGTTACCGCGCTGTCTTGTTCAACTGCTGTGAACCTCGACTTTTCAGAACCTTAAGCGTCTTCTTAAGAAGTCGCAAAAAATTTCATGTATGAATGGAGAAACGATATTCTAGGCAGAAGTGTCCACGCCAGCCTCGGCTCGAGAGCGGGGCTGTGCTTCAAACCATCTCGTACGACTCGTTTGGGCTTCTACAAGTTTACGCAATCCTTTCTTTCGTGTATCATATTCTTATTCGATATTTTAGAAACAGCAATGCTGCGTTTTCCCCTTGTGGAAGATCTGAGGTCCACCATAAATTTAATGAGACATTTACAGGATCTGATTGTCAGCGCCATCCTCCGCATACTACCCCGAGATTCCTTGTCCGAAGGCCTAAGGGCCAAGAAGCGCACTCTAGCTATTGATCGCGCACTCAAGAAAGATACGATGTATCACTTTCCCCCGTATAATGTCCTACCACTCGGCGATGCACACGCGATAAGGGATTTTATTGAGGACCTCAAAAGGAATGACAATCGAGCGAATTCCACGAAAACGGAGCGTCTCGACTACCGTGATGATATATACCGATTTGTCATAACGTGTGCCAACCAGTTGTTTAAGGCCGTCGATGAGCGGGCTGATGTTCGGAACCAAGTGGAGCGCGTTGACGAACACCACAAACGACTGCTGCATCAACTCAACCACTGTCATTCCGGATCAGACAATTTGGACGATCAAATTGGAGGAGCAATAGCGGCATTGTGGAACGTCGAAAGGATAAAAACCGCGTTCAAATCCCACTATGCAGTAGAGTGGGTAGGCTCGGCATCCTACTTCTTCGACAACATCCTCCGGCTGACTGCGCCAAATTACTTGCCTACCGAGACCGACATTCTCCACGCGCGGAAAGGCTTCTACGCCGGCATAACCGAGCTTCACTTCAGCCTTCCTAATATGTCTTTGAACTTCCTGGACGTCAGGCTTGGAGGCGAGAGACGCAAATGGATACATCAATTTGACGATGTTCCTGTGATCCTCTTCATAGTGAATCTTTGTTCCTACGACCAACTACTCTCTGGGTCTAACACGATCAAGAGTATGATCACACTATTTGAATCAGTAGTGAACAGGGAGAGATGGAGGGATGCAACGTTTGTGGTTTTCTTGAGTGGCGTCACCGAATTTAGGCGGAAATTGGGTGCATCGGATTTTGGAGAGTATTTTCAGGACTACAATGAATTGAACTGCGAAGGAGATGAGATAGAGAAGGTGAAGCGGTATCTGGTGAGGGAGTTTGAGAAGGTCAACAAGGAAGGAGCTTGGGTACGGATAGCTTTCGTGGATTCGGGCGGTCAGGGGAATATTGGGGCTGTTGGGGATGCTGTAAAGGACAGCATGCAAGGCGTAAGGTGTAAATGAGATTTGAGAGTCATGGCCACAGTGGCTGACACAACAAATTGAACCAATTAGCGCGCACCTATTTCTGTCGTATCTGACTCTACTATGCAACCAATTAAAAATATAGCGTAAGTGTTTAGATACAAATGCTTACAACAGGAAGTCCAGTTCTTATTGTCCGCCACTTTGGGTCTTCGTGGTTGTCCAGATGTTCTTTGTTGAACCGTTGTGCATCTCCCTTTGCAACGCCTTTCGTGTCATTTGCATATGCGGCAAGCCAAACTTACGACTTCCTAACCTCATGCGTGAGAATCTTGCTAGTGATAAATAATGTTAAAAACTATCGTCTAGTGCAAGCGATCAGCTCTTGTTCAAATGCAAAGTAGTGATGATTGATGGAAGTAATTGACATTTGCCGGCTCGCCTACGTTTCTGGTACCTGGGCCTTCATAAGTGCAGGGGTTGCAATTATTGCTAGGTAGAATAAGAGCCTGCACGTTTAAGGTTCGTGAGAGCTCCGCTCAAAGTACTTCGTAATCTGCGAACACCTAAGTGTGTAAATCTTCTGTATACAACCATAGGGACACAATGTGTTGTTGGTGTCGTTCGTCGAAGAAATGAGAATGGATATCTAGGTAACTGCTGACTAACTACCAGTGCGGACTGCTTGGCACACCGAGCAGAATTTGAGGATGTGCTCACCCGGTATGATGGTCAGATGGTGTCGTTTCGACTAAGGCAAAATGACAGCCAAGAACGCCGTTGTTGCCGTGTTTCTTGGACGCTCGTAGCGACTTTCGTATATTTTGCCAATGACTTTCGGCTTGGTAAGACCTGAATTATGGAACAAAAAAGTACTTTTCACTCGGGAGATGATGGCAAGCCATCGCAATCGCACCTCCGAGCTTACGCGTAAGATCCAGATTACTGAGACGGCATTGCGTGTCTACCATAAGCGATTCAGCTCTTCCAACGGAGAGTTGATTGATGGGTATTACACAAACAATCCCAAGCAACCATCTGGATCAGAAGGGCAGAATAGAGATCGTTGAGACACGCCATGTACAGTCAAATCTATGGTGTTTTCAAAGACACCCACGAGTCTTGCGGACAGAGGGGCCCATTATCAGCTGCGTTGATTGGTCGAGACGCATTTTGACACTGCACTAGAGCGTCCACCTCGAGATGGCGCCTCACAAAGTTCGGACGGCGCATTACACTAGCAAAGCTTGAGTGGGATAGCCGAGATTCAATATGCACCAAGGCCCGCGGACAACTTGCCGCCTACACTCATTGGCAATGTGGCCGGTGGCTTCCGATCATCTCCCTCGGAGGTCGATTATCCGCTCCCGTTCTTATTGCGCTTCTTCGCACCCGCAACAACTCCTGCATCGCGCATTTAGGTTCTTGCTAACAAGCCAAAAAACCGGGGATCAATTCACCCTAGTCCGATATCCCGCTAGAGGATCCCCTTGCCGCATCGGACCCTTTGCACTTGCCTTGATTCAGCGGAACGCAAGATCAACATGCCGGAAACAGTCATTTCTAAATATCCTTTCATTCTTGCGACCGTTGCAACGCGCAAAGAAGGCACTACGCGAGAGCAATTTCGACACCACAATGAAACCGTCTACGCTCCTCTGCTGAAGAAAATCGCGGGAAAAGCGCACCCGCTCACATGGACGCGACGTTACCACGTGGACGAGGGTGAAGGCCCGGTCGGTATTCCTAGACTCCTGATCGGTACGGACGACGGTATGGACTGGGATTGCTTCGGCGAGATGGTACGTTTGGACGTTGCGAGAACTTTGAGGGGATGTTAACGAGCGTGTGATAGACATTCGCGGACGAGCTTCACTTCCAGCAATTCATCACATTAATGCACAGCGACATTGCTGAGCCGGCATTTGAAGAGGAGGGCAAATTTGCTATCCCAGAAAAGACGAAATTGATTGTCATGAGGAGAGACGTTTCGATTGGAGAGCGAGCGCAGGTGCAAAAACTCGACTAAGCAATGAGTGTGTATGAGAAGTTGCTGGCGTTTCATAGCGAATCTTGTTGGGTCGCAACAGACGAACTCAGTTATGGTTACATCATGAGGATGTTTTGTGTTAATTTAGTTATGTGAAAGTTGATGTGCTTGGTTATGGAAAACGAGTCTGCAAAGAAACTGTGGGCCGAGCAAGTAACGTGTAAATATTTGGCTGAACAAAAGTTCAGATCTCCATAAACGATATGTGCGCGTCATGACTGCAACACCATCATTTTGAGGGGAAAAGAAGTTACCGCCAGACGTCGCACTTTCTCCAGGCTCGAACTTGTCCTCCTACTTCCGAAAGAAAATGATGCGAGGTTTGGGTGGACCCGTGGACTAAATAACCTTAGAACGTCACCAAATGCTCAAGGAAACAGTCCATGTCAAGATAGTACATGTGCCGGCCATTCTGTTTCCGCCTGAATAGGCAGGCGAACTACCGATACCATCCTAAGCCAATTTTTGTGCATGAGAGAAAGAATTACCTGTATACATCCACTCTATCTTGCAAAGTCACTTCTACATTAAGAGACCAGTTGACCTCACGCAGACAGTGAAGTTTACACCTTTCAAAGCTCTGAGCATGCAAGGTAGACTATAAAGTCATAGTGTTAGAACCGTATTGCAGAGAAGGTTTCTACAGGATGATGCGCTGACACACCGGTTCGTCGTGTCAGGCTGTGACCACTGTGCCTAGGCTAGAAGTATAACGTCTTTCGGGCATTCTGCCTGCCACCATGACTTTCCACCATCGTGAAGTAGAACAAGATAGTCATCCAGCCACAGTGACGCGATGTCCAACCACAAGTCTATGTAACTATGTACGGAGGATCCTCGGTGTGCTTTCGACACAGGGTAGACCGAGTTGCGAGATTCACATTGCATTCGGCTCACCGCAAGCATGGATTCAGCTGGCCGCCTGGCTCCCAGCCCTGCCGATCTTCCATGCACTACACGTGTAACCTTATTCTTTCCGCCGCTACATATAGCCACGCCCTTGGCCATCAAGGTTTCCATATCGGTTGTTTCTCGATCGCGAACCAACAACAATGACTTCAATACGAATATTTTGCCCCAAGCTTCAACTCGGCAAATCAAAACTCGTATATCTGCTAAATCGTAGCTTATCATCTTATCTGGGGAACCTGTTAACTTGCCTGGTTCTTGAGTATCTCGCCGTTGTTTTGATTGAGTGGGGAGGTTCTGAGTCTCAATTCACTACCGCATAAACCCCACACACCTTCACTTTGGTCTTCTGCTGCATTATAGCTCGACCCTAGGAAAGCCAATCGAGCGCATTGAATCGGCCACTACATTTGCGCAGCCAAGCACAACATATTTCGCGAAGCAGTTCCTCTCCTACCACTCCTCGCACTCATGAAAGCGCAGTCACAATTGCCTATTATTCCAATAGATGCTGTTCATCCAAGAGGTCCTGCACGTCCTCAAACCAGAATTGAATGTTTAGGCCCTCATCTTCAGCTATAAATGCAGACAACAACTGATCGAGGGCGTTCGTCATCTCCGGATTCTCAACCCGTGCGTAATGCCGAGGCCAGTACAAGATAGAGTAAGAGTGGAAACTTTGCGAGTTGTCATTTGCATGACCAGATTCGGAAATTTCAGCCGCCTCGGATCCGTAAAGAAGATAGCGAATACACTCGTACGCGGCTAAGGCATTGATTCGAGAGGTTGAGTAATCAGGAAGCTCTTGCAGGAAATCGCGAATAGAGGCATGCGCGAGTGTAATTTGATTGGATAGGGACTCAATGCTGATAAGTCCTGAACATAGGTTCAAGGTATCCTCGTGATATCCTATTGATGTTTTTGCTGCAGGGCCTTGGTATAAAGCTGCTGACTGGATTTCTGCAATAGTAAGAGGGCGCTCAGCTACTAAGATCCATGTAATAGTTCGCTGGGCAGCTCTGTTAGCAGCAATTGGATATATCTCAATTCGATCGTATATTTGCCGAAAGACAGCGCTCAGTGCGGAAGGAAGTATTGCGAGAGCATCGACTACATCGCTCTCGAGCTTGAATCTCTCCTGGTAACAAAGCCGCTGTATGTGTAAGGCAGCCCACAGAAACATAGAAGAGGCACCACGCTTAAGCGTGGCTACGATAAGTTCGCGGAGGTCCGGAGAGACATTTCCGTAGAGAAGTCTGCGCTGTTGGATAGCACAGTCTAGAGTTGCTTCTATAAAGATGGCGATATCTCATGAATTGTCCAGTGCAGTGACAGCGACTTGCGGAAACTGTTCTAGATGTGAGGCCACCCGAGTTTCGTCACGACTGGATACCATGATCTTTAGTAGGTTGGTAGATTGCTCGACAAGATGTTTCAAGGTGATCAACAAGACGTCTAGGTCGTCTTCCAACTCATCGAGTCCATCGATAATGACAGTCGCAGGACAGTCTCTCTCGATCTCCAAAATAAGATCAACGCCGTCGTCCAGAGTGAGTGCAAGTAACTCCACGCCTTCTCTTTCTGCGTCACGTTTCCGCTTTTTACTCATCATACACCAAGCGATGTACACGTTCATCCGGCTGACTGAACGCAAGTTGTTTGAGCAGACTTCGGACCACAGCAGTGGCGCTTCGTTCCCCTGGCTTTGAGGCATTCTTGGAACAGTAGAAGTACGTAACTGAGGCCTCGGATGGATCTGCTTCATTTGCGGCCAAAAACTTCTCTACATTGATAGACAACAGTTTGGTCTTGCCGCAGCCTGGAATCTCGTGAATCCATAATATGCCAGATGAAGTGGACCCGTCCCATTGTCGGTATTCGTCTCTGTGGCGAAACCATTCACCTGTGCCTGAAAGAACCCCATTACGCACCCTTCGATGCTCTTCGCGGTGATTCGTTGAAGAAAGCCACAGACCCAACGCTTGTTGTTCATCACGTTCAATCATCGCTCTGAACTGTGATAGATTCTCCACAGATTGCACGACAGGCTGCTCAAGCAAACCGAACAATCTTTCTAGCGCATGCTTGTGAGCAAGTTGTACACGCTCTGCAGACTGCATACTCGAGGCTGTTCGTATAGCCACTTCGCCGTGAAGTAATTGGGCGACCCTCTCCACTTCTATCTCAAGTTCCAAGAGAATATTAAACGCTTCGCCGGTCCCTCCAGTGGAATTGAGAGCACTTCCGAGGAGCCGCTTAGGAGTGCTTTGGTCGTAGTAAGCTGTAATCCATGCCAGGTATCGTAGCACCGCAGAACATAGCATCTCCAATTCAGTTTGCAGCAAACGTCGATTCACTTTCAGCCCTGCCGTCGTTGATCCAAGATACGCAGCTTCATAGATGCTACATCGCGATATTGTTCGAGACGCTGCTTCAATTCCCTCTGCCACAGCACGAAACTCCTCCACGTCGTTCACAGAAACCTGCAGCACCAGGCGTACCACAGCCTATGGGAGCGATGCAGCGGTAGTATCGTATTGGACCGCGATGTCGCCCACCTGCTTGAATTTCTGAATCCAATTCGCCGATTTCTCTAACAGATCGTGTATGATCACTTCCCGCCATGACCTTTTGAAAATTTCCATCTCTTTGCTAAGCGCAGCTTCTGCTTTTCCTTTACTGCGGCTAAGGCTTGCTCTGCAACATCGCTAGGATTAGCAAGAGAGACATTGAGATGGCGCCGTTCATCTTCGCTTAGGTTGTTCAAAGCACACTTCCAAATTGTCGACTCAGGCATGTTCGCAGGCGTGGGTTATCGCTGTACTGTTAGACCAGGCTGAATGCTGCCTGGCGGGATCTGGGTAGACAATAACCGTCGCATGCTGGGCGCACCGAGCTAAGCCACCCTGCTTGTCAATCCTCCACGCCCTATACAATTCGCGCGAGTTAATTGCAAAGGTACACAGTGTAAGCAGTGAAGGCTTACACATCACCGTGTCGAGATAAACCTACTGCCAGCGTACTGGGTTCTTGTCAGCCGGTGAAGCGCTGATGGTGAGGACTGGGAATTGACGTTGCCGCTAGAGAACAGCATATAGATTCTGAGAGGGTGACAGTCGTGAACAGACACTGCACAACTGTACTAAATCATCAGCAGACGAACCTATGTCGTTCTATGAACGTGATGGTGGATGAGCAGAATTTGTGTCCGCGTCTGGAGATGGGACGTGGAACGCGCCGAACGGGCTAAGCTGATGGGTCATCCTCATGACAACAATTGTCTTCGAGCGTACAGCGCGTGGCCACCTCGCTTCGCACACCTCGCTGCCAGTGAAAAGACTGTCTAGCAGGATAATAGTAATCTGGCCGGAGTGGCCCTTCAGCTGCATCGCAATCTTCGTCGCAGGGAGAATCTACCTATGATACCTATGAGATATGTAAACGAGGATTGCTGTGCATAAGCGCCTTTTCAAATTACGCTGTAGCCAATAAAGTTAAAGTCCGTCGCAATGCGCTTGACCTCGTACGGGATCGACAGATCCCTTCATTTTCTCGCTGACAGCTGCATCACATTGTTTTACACGAACATCAGAAGTTCATTTCAATCGCAATGATCAGCATCAAAGCCCGCCGTGGCGCCAGAGGAATCCGCCGTGTAAAGAGTGGTTGTTCGACGTGCAAGTACGGCCATGGTATTTTCTCTTTCTAAGTGTGTTACTCATCAGGTACTAGAACCAGGCATAAGAAGTGCGACGAGCTGAAACCGGTCTGCACTCCATGCAGAGAGTCTGGCTGGAAGTGTGGCTTCCTAGACAAGACGATTCCCTCCTCCCCAACTTGCACTCTTCGGCTTGCCGACTCCGACACGATGCACTTCGAGTATTTCCGACTTATCTGTGCTCCAGAGTTCTCCCTTTTCTTTGAGATGCACACATGGTCCGGAATTGTGCTGCATGCGGCTTACACTGACCAGTCGTTCCGCCGCATCGCTCTTGCCGTAGGTGCCCTCAGCCGAAGTCGCTACATAAAGTCTGGCCAGCACCAACCTGCAGAAAGTTACGCTCTGCGCCAATATAACATGGCAATCAGAGAGCTTAGCCTACTAGACCACTCACCTGAAAATGTCCTACGCATTGTCCTGGCTTGCATAACTTTGATTGTCCTCGAATTCCTTCTCGAAAACTACAGTAGGGTTGAAATCCATATGCGTAGCGCGGTGTCCATGCTTAGCGCACTCCAACGAGGATTTGATATCCAGACAACATTCTATCTTCAAGCCATTACCTACATTCAAGACACGATGTCTGTTTACTATTGAGGCACCCTGTCAAAGATGTCCTCAGCCAGCCCCATATAATCTATTCTCATTGGCTGGTGCGTAAACCTTAACGGATATCGAAGCAGGATGCATTAGTGTCACAGGCTGATATGCCGCAGGAATCTCGTCACAATCAGAAGATAGTTCTATAAGAGGCTCCACGATTCCTTAGCAAATATGAGTCTTGCTTCCAGTTCACCAAGGCTCTTTTTATCTCTGCCAGCAGTAGCCTTCCCCATAGTTCTAATAATGCCCACCGTCATACCCTTCAATATCGCTATTTCAGATGAGAAGCTGCGCCGGCTGAAGCAGAAGCTCCTACTTACTGAATTTCCTGATGAAGTCACGAACACAGGCGACCTTTGGGCTCGTGGTGTGCCATTGAGCGAGATTGAACGCCTGGCGGCTTACTGGGCGGAAACCTTCGATTGGAGAAGGGCCGAAGCCAAGTTGAACGAGCTTCCACAGTTCATCACCACGATTGACGTGGAAGACTTCGGACAATACAATGTTCACTATGTCCACCAGCAGTGTGATTCTAAGCATGGTATTCCGCTCCTATTCCTCCATGGTTGGCCCGGTGGGTTTTTCGAGGTCTCGAAACTACTACCTTACCTGAAAGGCGGCGAGAGTGAGGCTGCGTTCCATGTCGTCGCACCCAGCTTGGTCGATTTTGGATTCTCATCCGGAAGTAAGAAGGTACGTATGACTGCATTCCACGATGGCTGACGCGAAGAACTTGATGATTTGGCTCATACTCTACCCTGTTTCAATTTGATATGTTATACGTACATTGAATTATAGCGTTATAATTCATCAGGAGCACTCACAGTCTTGTCTGCTATAGGGAGTTCAATTTTATGGTCAGCAAGTGTGCTTCCATAGTTTCAAACTGACCAAAGCTGCGTAGGACGGATTCGCCATCGATCAGCATGCCGAAGTGTGTCACAAGCTCATGATATCTCTCGGGTATAACGAATACGGTAAGTTAGGTCGGACTGCACTTTGGTCCACTCTGTAGCTCACAGTACCATAGTAGTGCAAGGCGGCGATCTCGGCGGCCTAACAGCCCGTTTCATCTCTCTGAAATATGGCCGCAGACACTGTAAAGCAGTTCACACGAACAACGCTCTACCAGCGGAGCCAACTGAAGCCAAGCATCCCGAACTCTATGCCCAGCTTCAGTCCACGCCCCTCAGCACTCTCGAACTCAATGGACTGACGCACACCGCAAACTTCTTCTCGAAGGCTTCGGGCTACTATCAGCTTGCCTCTACTCGACCCCAGACCCTTGGATATGCATTGACAGACAGCCCAGTCGCGCTGCTCGCGTGGATATACGAAAAGCTGCATGACTGGGTCGACAAATATGAATGGACAGATGATGAGATTTGCACCTGGGTGAGCATCTACTGGTAAGTCTACACCAACTTTAGGTACGCTTAGTCGGCGCTCACTGAAAGGCACTACAGGTTTTCTACACCCGGCCCAGCTGCTTCCAGCCGCGCGTTCTACGAGTTCGAACATCGGCAACCAGAAGGAGCTTTCCCTGCCTCACAGGCCTACATTGATGTCCCGCTCGGCGTGGCACGTTTTGCGAACGATACCGTTTTACTACCCCGTCTATGGAACAAGACGCTCGGCCCTGTGATATATGAGAGCGAGTACGATGTAGGGGGTCATTTCGCAACATGGGAACGGCCAGACGCCATCGCGAAAGACCTGATAACTATGTTTGGTAAAGGCGGTCCTGCATTCGCTTGTGTGTCAGGGAAAAGCGGCTTCGACTAGTCATATCATGATCAATGATTTCAACAAGGTTGCAATGCAATGTAAACTCGTTAGGCTTAGTGAATTAGCCAAACGGTGCCTTTGTGTGTTCAACCATTCATACAAGCCCTGAAGATATTACTGTGGTGTATCATCTTGTCTGAGGGCTGCCCGTGGGGTAATCTGTTCCGCAAATGCATCCGGAAGGAATTTTCTGGTATTTTCTCAAAAGAACAAGTAGGGTGCAGATCAGAGAAGATAGTCTCTCGTCTTCAGTATAGGCGGTACTCCAATAATCCTTTGAAGACCACATCACGCAGTATCCAAATCACTTCTACTACTGTCCCACGCCTGATTGCAACTATGTTTACCGATGGACACCGTCTTCCGGTGCGGATCGGCCAACATGCATGTGTGAAAACTGCTTGGAGCTGATCTGCACGTCGTGCCATGCGCTCCACGGGCGTTACACTTGTGCGGAGTACAGGTAGTTCAGTCTGGGGGTCATGAGATTCTCGGACAACCCAAGAAAGAGCTCAACATCAAGGTCTGTCCGAAGTGCACATCGCCGATGGAGAAGACGGAGGTCTGCAATCATATGGCATGCGGTGGCTGTAAAGCACATATATGTTGGGTCTGCATGGCAGTGTTTTCCACCGCCGCACAGTGCTACGATCACATGGATGAAAAGCATGGCGGTATAGGACTTTAACTGGAGCGTTTCGCCCATTGATTCACGGGAATGTTACACAGATAAGCTTTCTATCATTTGGCGTTTGAGATATATAGTTGTAGAGCAGACATTGTCCATCTCGATCCCTTCACCCGTCATTCGTGATCGCACACAACTCATTCTGCCACCTACCCATCAAGCCCAAGATCTACCATATGGCCCACTCATCTCGAGGCTTAGTGTCTGAGATAGATGGGTAGAGCGGAGCACCAGCGCTTCAGTGCGACCACAATCCACCACCTCTCAGCTTGCACCCAACCGACGACATGACCTACGACGTACGGCCTCCCAGCGTCCTGGATCACCCACCTTCTTCCAATCACGCTCCCGTTCTACGAGCCGCTTGCAATCCTCGCTTCCTCGCAATGACACGATATCAGCCGCCGTCCAAGCCCTCCACTGGCATGCACACTCCCAAACTCGGGCCACGCCTCTCGCAGGATCCCATCAATCTAATCTACGCCGCGGCCCACAACCTCCATGCGGAAGCTCCCACGTCTCGTGCCTCATCCCACGATGATCTCTCGATCCCGATCCCGATCCCCCACCGCTTCCGCATCCTCTCCCCCAACACAACACTTCGACACTGCATGCTCCGCACCTCGAAACGCGTTCAGAGATACAAGTCCCGTGTGAACAAAGAGGTGCTAAAGATGGCCCAAGGATACGGGAGACGGTGGTACCTAGGAGGTACCACCACCGCGGTGCACATCCGACGATCTCTGTCGTCATACCGCAGATCCCCATTTCGCACCTCTCACCCGCTGCAACCAGCGGCCCTCGCTTCCGCGCGCAGTGGGTGCGCAGCTGCATGACGTCCGCTGTGTCCCGCGCTCGTCCTCACGATATATAAGCAGTGCAAGCCTCGCGTCCTCGGGCACGTGTCTACGCTTTCGACATTGTGGAAAACTTTGCTTGGCGGCGGCATGGACGGTTCCGTGTAACAGACCCAAGGGTGAGACGACGAGTTCAAGAGATATGCTAGACATGCGGCCTGAGGCTCCCTCCGTTGAAGGCCATAAACGCTCAACACATGCATCTCGCGTAGGCGCGACGACGAAAAGAGCTGGGCCTTTCTTTTGGCGCCCGGAAGAGGAAGGGATCGGCGACGTCGACGAGACGACGACGAAAACACCAGAGCTTCATGCACGGCCTCGCATCGGTGCTGCTCACACTTGATATCTTGGCGCCCACCTCAGCACTCAATCGGCCCTTCCCCCTCCTTCTCCGCTGATACGACTCGTCCCTCTCACGGTCTTGCCTGCTATCGTAGAGCATGGTGGATACGTACATTGACCAGCCCTCACAACGGGTGCGGCGTCCAACGCCAGTCGTCACTCCAAGTGCTTGCGCTGGAGATCGTGGTAGGTCGCGATACAGCATACACAGCTTACACAGCATACGAGCCTCCACTCTGGATGCAGTGCGCCAGTCCAGTCCGCTAGCTGTCTCTGGTAGCGTCCCGAGCGGCACACCTTCCCAGCAGCACCGCGATCGATCGCAGTTGCAGGCGCAATCGCACCGAATGTAGCTTGCATCTACTTATACTTTGCGCCGTTGCCGGTATCTGCGTCGTGCGTCGTTCCTGTTGTCAGCTTCTCTTCCCTCTGTTTATTAGCGCGTCGTCAGTTCCCTAGTAGCATGTGTGAGATGGCAAGACGAGGAAGAGGTAGCACATGACAGTCGCGTATGCATTCGCTCGCTACATGCACCCAGCGCAATCACATCCGTCCCGCCTGTCCCGCGCCCAGCCGGATACATACAAGTCGCTGGGCACCGCTCACGGGCAGACAGCCACCGCTCCATATCTCCTGAGAACAAAAAATACAACAAGCCATTCGCCCCCTCCCCTCAAGAAAGATAGATATCGATGTCGTTATGGATTAGAGATGGCTTTGTGTCGGTGGGGTTATTGGTTATAGATTGTAGGTTGGTTGTAGGTGTTCGAAAATGTCAAGAAAGAGAAAGGGAAAAACGAAAGGTAAAAACTCCGGTAGATGGTGATATATGGTGAGGCTCTCGACGCGCGACAGCGGGTACTCATACAAGTGGCGTCTTGTACGCGTAGCCCAAGCCCGAGTATTCGATCCGAAGCTTTAACCTCGAGGATGCGACGATGAACGACGACCCTCTCATCGGTGCTTGCGGAAAGCGGTGCTGGGCGTGCCTGCGGAGATAGATCGCTGCATTGCTAATGGTTTGTGTTACAGGCCGGAAACGCGAAGGAAAAGCAAAGCGAAGAAAGACGATGGTCATAGCAGGGTAGTGGCAAGGTCGTGTTTATCGTGGCGGACGTGGAGGAAAACGGGCTCGGGAGCCAGCATCATTCTTCCATCCTGCCGAAGAACGCGTCGTCGTCTTCGTCTGCGCGACCGCGGCTGCGAGAGTTGGACTGGCGGAAGTCATCTTCGCTTTCTTCGTCCATCTCGACATCCTTGTCATGGTGGTAGTGGTTACCGCGCATACTCGACTGTTGTGCCGTTACAGTGTGGCTGCCGGGCATGGTCATGCCATTGCCGTAATCCAGAAACTTGGCTGGGAGCGGCGGCACCGGAGGCACATCAGGAGGAAGAGCGACGGGACCAGACTTGGGCGTGCCGTACGAGCAGCTCAGGAGACCGACAGCCGCGGCGAGATCCGCCTGGTCATTTTCATCGTCTCGGTACGAGCCGGCAACCGAGGTACCCGAAGTGGTGGGGCGATCGGACACGTTGCTCCAGTGGCGATAATGGCCATTTTGCCCATTATCAGAAAATACAGTCGACTGGTACGATTGGCTGTAGGCGGAGCTGTTGGCAGAATAACGCTTGGTAGAGCGGCTGGCATAATGGTTGCGGGGAAAAGAGCCTACGGCATGATCGTCAAGTTGTGGGGGCGGGGTAGTGTCGGTGGAGCTCAAGTCGTCGTGCAAGTCAGAAGTGCCCGAAGCGGGAGGCGACGGCGAGGAGTGATCGCTGTCACCGGCCTCGGCATTCATGGCAATGAGGACAGAGGCTGCCTCGAGCAGCTGCACCTGCTGGTGCTTAGAGATGAGGAGCTTAGATGTGTACTGCCACTCAGGGGTGTGCTCCCAACTAAACAAAAAGTCAACGCAGTTCAAAACAGAAATGTGCCCAGGTCGTGCGGAGTGAGGATAGGGCATTCGTCTCGAGCGGTGAAAGTGTGTGGAAGGAAGGTCTACTGGGGGCGACTGACAGGTGCTTGGTAAGACAACTGCTGTGCTTGTATCCTTTACCACATTTTTCACATCTCAATTCGCTACCACTTGTGCGCTTGCCCTCAACCTTGAGGCGAGAGCCCTCGCTCGCACGACGTATCCTGGACTTGGAATTCGCCTTCTCGTGCTCGGGCATGGCGGCCAGGGGAGGGCCGTCGGTGATGGCTTCGGACTTGGACGCTGCGCTGTAGCTGCCAGGAGCGAAAGCGGAGCCATTGCTCGGAACACTTGAAGCCATGGACGATATGCCGCTGAGGTTGGGTCCTCGAAACTGCACGGCGGGCTTTGAGGGTCTGCGCTGCTGAGCGTCGAGCGGCGCACCGGACATGCCCTTGGCTGCCGCTGCTATCGCTGCGATGCTGCCGGCTGCGTTGTTGGTCATGCTCTTGCGACGAGTGACGCGGTGTGCCGGGTTCATCGAGGCGGCAGACAATGAATGCGAGTGCGGGCGCGACTTTGGGAGCGAGCCAGCCATGGAGCTGGAATGGCGGTGCTGGCTTGTGGGGCGGACAGCGATGGGTTCCTATAGTGGAGAGCAACGTCAGCCAAAGTTGGGGTGTGATGGCAATTGTCGAGGCAATTACGTGCCTTGAGGACAGTCATGGTGTGCTGCGCCAATTGCCGAACGGGTGTCTTTGTTCGTCGGGCAAGCGAACTGTCTCTACCAAAAAATAACACAGCCCCGGGGATCGGAGACTTGTGGTCGTCGGGCGGAGGTGAGATTGGTGAGCCGACGCGATCCGCGCTGCGGTGGGAGGAGGGCGAGGAGGGAGGCTGTATGTAAGAGAGAGCCAGCTGGAGGGGATATGGCTATAAACCGGTACTGGGTGGTGTAGTTGTGCAGTGGGTTGACTGTTCACAAAATTATGTGGAATGTGGACCCCTCTTCTGAAATGGCGTTACACGCTGGCCGGATCGTTTCGCATGCAGGCGCCTCAGGAACTCCGACGGCGGCGAGGCTCAGCGGAATGGTGCAGCGCAGGGTCAAAGAGGCGTGAGGGGAGGGGAAGGACTGGAGTATGTACAGAGGAGGGATGTGCCGCAGGCAAGCAGGCACGGAAAGATTTATTGCGAGTGCACGAGGACTCTCCTCAGTCTGGTGCTCGTCTGGGTCAGCTGGCGCCTCTCTGTCGCGCAGCAAGCGGCTAGCCCAGGCTGAGCGTGACCTTGATAGGGCCGGCCGCGAACTGGAGCGCGAGGTACCGGGCTGTGGCTGATGGCCTGGGTGCCAGGATCCAGCGTGTTGCTATTATGGGCCGCAACTGGCTGCCCACAAATGAGCCGCCCGCGCGGATGATGACATGTTTCAGCGCGTTTGCTTGCTTGCTGCCGGGCAGTCTGCGTGCGCGCCGCCTCAGTGCGCCGCTGCTGCTGCTGCCGCTGCCGCCAGGCACCGCCGGGCCCTGCGCAGTGCTCTCAGGTTCCTGAGCAGCGCAGGTGTGCCGCTAGAATCGTCCTTCGATAGGCAGGCCGATGTGATTCGAGGGCCAGGCGACGCCCACCTCTTTTCGGACACATGCCGATCCCGCACAGCGGGGTCAAAGCGCCGCTGCGCTGTGCATCACGATTGACACGGGACCCCGAGCGGAGGCCGCGAGCCTGGCGCAGGACGATCGCTGCCAGCCAGGCCGTCAACGAGCGTGGGGATCGTCTCGCGGGAACGCCTGCTCTGTGCTAAGACAGACACACACAGTCTCTCCTGCTCGCAGCAACGCTGCGCGTCGCCGGGCGTCTTGGAGAACTGGCTGGACCCCGCCCTGGCGCAATCGCGATCGGCCCCAGTCGTCTGTGCATGACGGGGCGCCGGGCTACCTGAGTAGGGTTAAAGCCACTTGGTCGTTCGTGGGATGGCCGCCATTGTGCCATCGCAATGTGGGAGGGCTTGAAATGCCGTGTGCGCGCTTCGTCTGCTCGCCCTCATGCAAGTCATTTCATGCCTCGTCGGCTGCCAGCCGTCCGCCGTGTCTGCGCCTGTTTTCTCGCGTCGAGACGCTCCCAACAATCGGCCCTGTCGCTTTCGGCGTTGCACGTCGCAACGTCTCCGTGCGAAGGTGCCGGCTCCGATTGCGAATTGGCTGCCGCGGTGCACACTCCAATATCCGACCTGCTCAACACGGCGAGGCTAGAACCAGTTGGTCTTCACCTCGTCTATCCGCGCTGAGGGGGTGGTGACCCACCTGCAATGCCTATGGCCACAGGAACACTCGTGCACGCCCACGCCCCGGATAAGCTCGACCGCAATGCTTCGCGCGCCTTCTGAATGCGATGATGCTGCTGCTGCTGCGGCCGTCGTTATCATCGCCTGGTGCCTGAATGCCACGGTAATGCGTGGCAAGCGTGCCGCGCGGCGGCAATGGGAATTGGCAGTCCGGCCGTCATGGAGATGATTCCGATGCCCTGTTTCTGGAGCGCTCGCCTCGTGGACTGTTCACGCCCTGCTTCCTCTGCCACAGTTAGTCGCATCCCTGCATCGGGAGGCACAGCGCTCCGTCCGATCGTACCAGCGTGCCAACTTTTGGCGCGATGCCAGTTTCACCTCCACAGCAGCACTGACGTCATGTGTGGGAATGGGCGCATCCCGAAAATGAAATATGGCAAGTGCGACCCACAACATGCTCCGACAGCGAAACACCGCCTTGAAACCCGCGCCATTTTTTTCAGATTCCATCATGATCGTGCTTCTGTTGACTTATCCTGGTTGCTTGGCCAAGGACGGAAGCTGCCGGTTTATGTAATCCACCTGGCACAATGAAGCCCACCGTTGCGTCCAGACCTGAATCCACCTCACCAAAGTCTCACCGTAATTGCAATGACACGTGTATCGCCGTGGTCGGATCATGTCAATTCGCGTCGACGTGAATCAGTCGGTCTCGACCGTGTGACGGCCATGGTTGCTACCTTCCGACCACCTCTGCCTTGTCTAAATCTGAGGAATTGAGATTGCAGGCTGCGTGTTTAATTTGGCACAAACGTTGTGTTTATCGATAAGCATTTTATTCGAAGACCATGACAGACGTCGCCCATTCCAACGTGAGACACTGGTAGAACTAAAGCCCAGGAATTGAATCATCTTTCGTGGTATGCTTGCATTCGGATAGCTCAGGGCAACACTGTGCAGGGTTCATGAGCGTCTCGACTTTCACTGTCATTATTATTGCCCAGAGGGCAGAACCGTCCTAAGTCTCAATCGCGACACGGGATATATCATTTCCTGCGATAAAAGAGTAGGAATGAACTGATCGACAAACCAAAACCAGACCAAGAGCAAGTACTATTGCAGAGAACCTTCTGGTAAGAACACAGTCAGCTGTTCATCGCCCGACCCAACCATTATCCACAACTAGCACGCACAACCCTCCTTTGCACCTTGCGGCGTTGCGCCCAAGTTCACCCGCGCCTCTTCCTGCCTGCCGCCGAGGTTTGTCTGTCCGCCAACACCTCGCGGGCCCTTGAGGCTCGTCTCGGGAATAGCGTTCGCAATTGCCGTGAAGACCTCTGCAACGTTCTGTCCAGTCTTGGCACTCGTCTCGAAGAACAGGAGGCCCTCCTCGTCCGCGTATGTCTTCGCTGTCTTGGTGGGAACTCTCCTCGCGTCTGTGCCATCATCCTCGTTCGCTTCCTCGCCCTCTGCTGCCGGTGCGGCGTCGGCGTCTTCCGGGCTCTCTTCGCCCGCTGCCGCCGCCAGATCGGACTTGTTCCCCACGAGCGAAATCACGATGCCAGGCGACGCTTGGCGGTGTAATTCGGCGACCCAGTGCTGGGCTTTTGTGAGAGAAGACGGCTTCGTGATATCGTAGACGACCAGTGCGGCCTGCGCGTTGCGATAGTACATGGGCGCTAGAGAGGCGAAGCGCTCTTGGCCAGCGGTATCCCAGATCTCGAACTTGATGGTTCGCGTAGGGAGGTTGCACTTCTGCGTAAGGAAAGCGGCTCCTATCGTGGGCTCCTTGTTCTCCTGGAAGTCGTTGTTGACGAAGCGCATAACCAGCGATGACTATATAGCGATTAGCTATGCATGAAGTCCCTGAGGAACGCGGAGCCGGAGCAAAAGCCCGGGTGCACTATTGTACCCGGGATGCGATGTGCAATCCAAAGGCTAGTATGACTCGAGATGTCAGCTCCGTAGGTGATTACCTACCTTTCCAACAGCTGCCTCTCCCAGCAGCACCAGCTTGACGCTGCTGCTGGGTTTCGGCTGTGAAGATGCGTCCGCCATGGCGGGCTGGGTATCGGTAGGCGCGCGAGTAGCGGGTTCGAAGATATGTGTGTAATTTCGTGCGGTGAGCGAGAAGTATTCAGGCGTTCGATAATGGGGAGCGTGAGAGAGTGTAGGCAGACAGTTTGATGCCATGACGACCGCAGTTGATGGGCTTGGGCGTCCGCACGCGCCACAATGCGCTAAGCCTGTTTTGAGACAACCAAAGCGGAGCTCCCTCACAGGTGGGTGCTCTCTTCACTTGAAGTCTCCATTCATCAACGTGAACTAATTCAATCCAAATGAAGTCTTCGAGTCTCAAGTCTCGAGAGTGTGGTGGACTCCGCGCCCCTTGAGCATGTTCACCTGCATTAAACGATGAGTTGATTTACGTAAACCTTTACCAATGCATTCGGCAAACTTGATTGCGTTCGCAAGCCCATTGACCCAGCCATCAAAGGAAGATTGATATTGATCCTCAGCGTTTTTGAATTCTCAGACCGCAGGTCCAGCGCCAATCCAGACTCTGTACGACCTAAAGGGTCCCCTTCTCGCATCGACATTGTTGTACTGCCTACCGGCGCTCAACTCCAATTGATTCGTGCAGAAGTACAGCCAACCATCCCAGATCGCCGCGCTATCCGCATGCTGTATCAACGCATTCCTCACCAACGTCTTAACGACATAGTCTCTCGCCGGCACCGGTTCTAAGGCATTCGAGCTACCAGGTGGAACGCCATTCACTATTTCATTAACCGCAGCTTGTAGCGTATCGACGTAGAAGATCGCGTTGTGCTCGCTCGCACAAATGTACACACGGCCCTTGTCATCGGCTGTGAGACCTGCTTGCTCGGTACCACACTGTCCTGGGTCCTGTACGTAGGCCAGTAGATCCTCGTCTGAGATTGAATTGTCGATGACTGCGGCTTGGGAGATGTAGTAGAAGCGGCGCGACGCAAGTACACCCCAGTACACGTTTCCCGATGCCAACGCGATACCATCCGAACCTGTGGTAATGGAGGACTTACGCGTCCCATTCCAGTTGTATATGGGTTGACCGTTGTACACGCCCACATACCCCTCGTCGGCACGCGTGTACGTAGTGTTGAAGAGCCGGCGATTCGCAGCGCCACTGGCTAGATTGACAGATAGGATAGACCCAGCGTCTGACTCGTCGGTGATAAACGCGTAGCCGTCATCTCCAAGTGTGTTGTTGATGCGCACATCGTTTGCGTTCATGTTATCGTAATACAGCTCGGAGGGAATGATGTACGTCCGTAGTAACTCTCCAGCTAGAGAGAAGCTCATTATCTTGGCTCCGTATTCGATTGCGGACTTTTCTCCCGGTGGGATACCGGAATCGACGACCCAGAGCTGGTTGACGTTATCTAAGACGACATTTTGTACGTTGATGAAGCAAGTGCTGGCATTCTGGCCAGTGGTGCAGTTTTGAATGGCAGCGGATGGCCACGGCTCCTCTGTGTCGAAGGAAGTACACTTGACAACATTTTCTGGTGTAGGCCCAGAATTACGAGGATAGGTCAGGTATAGAACTAGATTCGGGTCGATAGCTAGGCCAGTAGGCGCCCTTGTAGATTCGTGGACGGGTTCAAGTTCAGGCCCGATAATAGTGAAGTCTGTTGGACAGACCCCGATGGTGCTGTTGGCATTTTCTACTATCGGTGCCGGGCAAGTCGTCGGGAATTGCGCAGCTATAGTGGAGAGGATGGCAAGAATGGCCGATGGAATAGCCTGTTTTGACTTCATGGTTGGTGCGAAATAATCACAGAAGCAGCGAGAAACAATCAACGGTCTTGATAAAATTGCGGCTGGTCAACGTTAGAGCCGGCTGGAGTTCAGCGTGGCATGTATACTTACTAGACAATAGAGACGGGCGTGACAAGTCGTATTCACACCAAGACTCTTGGAATTGGGAGTGCGCTGGACGTTTCCCTTTTTGTATGAATTGACCCCGCAAACGTAGTACTGCACGACGTCATTACCAATCAATATGAGAAAACAGCGACTTCCCTCACGATTCGCTTTGTTCAAGTCAAGAAATTGCAAGTGCGAGGGACGCACGCAGTATCAGTATGGGAAAGCCTTAAGATTGAGCTGGGTTGCGGGTTAATCCCACCTGTCTGGTACAGCTGCAGCTTCCATTGCAGAAGAACGACGACCACCCAGAATATGAAAAGATGACAGGTTGTTTGTACAGGAGGATCAGTACAGACTTCATTGTGTATCCACAGGACAGAAGCAATGAACGAAGAATTAGCTCAGTGAAGTCTACTTTGTCGCTTGCCTACATTGACATATCTCACTTAGCCTGCGCACCAGTATCCTATGCATCATTAGCAGACGGCACATCTCAATCATTTCTCTATTCTTGTAACTGACCAGATACACCTGATAGAATTCCATCTTGACCTTCTCCTCCTCCTTGACCAACCTCGCATACGCCGCCCAATCTAAACTCGACTCCCCGCCAGCCTTTAACCCATACTTGACCGTTCCATGCAGCATCACCTCATTTGAATTCGGACCATACGGAAAGATCTTGATCGGGTTGTGCACACGACTGGCGACCTTGTCCCACAGACCTTTGCGGAGCGCGAGGATTTCTGGTTGCAAAAGTGAGCGGGTGCTTCGGTGGCTCGTCAGGGCCGCGATTTACCTTCCGAGCCCTGTGCCTTTTTGGATGCCATTATGAGCGCCGCATCTTTGGTGAAAAATTGCACGTATGCATCGTGCGCATCGGGAATATCGGAGGTTGCGTAGAAGTCTTCGAAGAACTTCTTGAATGCGGGCTCGAAGGGTATCGAGGGATATTCGGAGGTGTAGGACGACATGGTATTGTTAATATTCCAGTGTTTCTGTGCGGGGTCGAGATGTGGTGTTTTCTTTCACGACGAGCAAATATGGAGACCTTGACGTATGCCCGAGGTCCTGCATCGGGTAGCGCACTTGCGCGGCAATGGTTCAGCAAGCACTATTGCTTGCTGCGCGAGGAGTACAGAGAAAATCGCACTCGCCAATATATATGTACGTTGTATTATGCAACATGCGTTGGAACATTAATCAGAGTCCAGCCAATCGTACTCAGGACTGTTTGAAGTTCCTAGGCCGTCTATTGGTATCGTCGTGATTATAGCCCCGTTAGGTCACGATTCGGTTGTGGTTGATTTTGCTGAGCTAGCACCAGCGCTACCCCACATTATAAAAGCAGATTCTCAAGAACTGATGTGCGACAAAGAAAATTTTCAGCGCCGCTCTATATTGTGATATATATATGTAACACTTAGTAAATTGTCTATCCAACATCCGGAAGCCCGGCTAGCTCAATCGGTAGAGCGTGAGACTCTTAAGTATTCACGGTCTAAATCACTCGATTACGCGGCATCTCAAGGTTGTGGGTTCGACCCCCACGTCGGGCTACCTTTTTGCAGTTCCTGCGACTTCTATCTAGTTTTTGCTGCCTCTTCCATACCGATCGAGTTGTCCAAAGAAAACAACGCGAGTGTTAGGGTACGGACGAGTGCTGGCGCGATGGCGGCAGAGCGTGTCGCGTCTCTTTTTGTCCCATGTACAAGCTATAGGCTGACAGCACTGGTAAGGTTGCATGAAATTGAAAAAAGCTCAATAGCTTGTCGACCGATACTGTAAGCCTTTCGTCTAGTAAGTCCGAAACAGTATTGCTGCAAGCTCCAATGAGGATATAAACTGCGAGAAGTGGAGGCGATCCAGTCAGATATTTGCAGAAAGGTTGACTTCCAGAAAGGACTTGTGACAGCTTTCGAAGTAAGAACTTTGCAAGTTTCGACATAGATCTAGCTGATCTAGGTATTAGAGCGCTTATAGGGATGAGGCACCCGGCGCGGTAAAATTAGTGTAACAATCTCCCACATACTCATTCTTACTGTACGCAGAACTAAAATTCGAACAGACTCATTCACAACGATGAAGAAGCATTTTCAAGATTATTACGAGACATCAATAATGACAATAAATGGCTCGCCACCTGCAGAAACCCGCTATTTCAACCTGGAATCTGGAGTGTAGGGGCGGGGAAAACAAAGCTGTATCCAACGCGGAAAGACAAGAAACGCCAGGTGAATCAAGGCGCTATTTCTATTAATCATTGGCTGCATAGTATTCCAGACCACGATAAGAAGGCAGACGACGCAAGCGACGACAGTAGCAGCGACGATGATACCGATACGCTTCAACAACTGGTCATTTATTGGCAGTACCGAAAGTCGTTTGAGTCACACCTCCAGGACGAGGCAACGGCAGGGCCTGAAGTCATTTCTGCGTACAATCTCCCTCGAATTGAGAGAATTGAGTCTATTAACGAAACGACATTGAACGTAAGTTCCACATCGGCTGGTAATTTTCTATCGAATTCGTCAACTGCAGCAGCCGCAAGGTCGACAGAAAAGTCTGCAGCTGGACCAACTTCAGCCGCAACCAGAAAAAGCAGGAAGCTGGCTGCAACGCTAAGGAGCGTTGAAGACTGGTGAGAGCTATTGCGTCGTTCGAACATGATTGTCGTCTTCGAGAAATCAGCCCTCAAGTCTCGCAGGGTGCCGTCGATTGTAGTTGATGATCTAAGCCTGACTGTGTCTTCTGGCAAGCTCGTTGTTGACGCAACCAACATGAAGACGCCCATTCAAAACTCTTGGGGTGGCATGCGCAGATTACATCTAATCCCACGTAACGACATACACTTGATCAAGGGTGTGATGGAGAGAGTTTTCGACATACTGGAAGAGGATTTAAACAGAAGAATCAATTGGTATGTTTTCCAATGCGCAAGATTAGACAGGGCCGTATACCATAAGCCTGATAACGACAAGATTGCTCCCAAGCTTTGGATGTACTTCAAACAGTTTCAGATTGCAAAAAAAAAAAAAAAAGACAAACACACTCATATTTCTCGCCAGCGATGTCCGCACTCACCTTATCGAACAAGGCCTCGGTGACGACTTTCAATCTACTTTCGTATCGAGGCTCAGGATATTTGCGGATGATGTCGAGGAGGATTTGAGAAAGCCCGTAGTAGAGATGATCGATCTCGTCTACAAATCGATCAGCATAAACGATGCTCGGCGATCGATGGAGCTCAATGCAAGCTTGTGGCGCCTGAGCTGGGTCACATTCATCTTCTTGCCACTGACTTTTCTGGTTGGCTTCTTCGGGATGAACGTGGACGTGTTTGGTGACAACCCGCCTTTGAAATGGCAAGGCATTTCATTTTATCCCAGCTTCTGTACTACTGCTAAAACGTGAAGGTATTTCATCGCTGCATTTCCATTCGTGAGTTCCTCACTCCCAGCAGTCTTGTGCCAGACGTGCTAACTGATGTGGCGCAGCTCATATGCATCATAATCTTATGGCTGCTCTTCAAACATTTCATGACCAGGTATGGTTCATTCAGAGAACTGGTCAGCTCAGTCCTATCATGGGTAATCATACTGCCTCGTGGGTACACTCTCTCGGTTCAAGAACGCGGGTGGGGAGCCAGAACTAAGAGCAATTTCATCCGGAAGCGTACCAAGTCACGACGATGATCCGTCCGCGGAGATCTACGAGTACAATGGGTTTGATTCATTTTGACAGCCGTTCTGAGAGATTGTACCACGGTCTGGTCTACACCTTGTGATAATTTAATCTCTTCTTCAGCTACTGCGTCGCCTTTCCTCGGAAAGGGGTAGGCAAGATGGAGGCAAGTAGGAGGTTTTGCCTGGATTAGTTTAACAACCAGTTCATGCTAGGTCTTTCTTGTTCTCAATATCTCGTGTAACTATGCGTATCATCAGTATCCACTCTTAAGGAGTTCCCCTTCTCACGCGCATAACGAAGCCCATAGACGACCGCCGTAATGACACCATATCAGGAGAACCCTCGCCCGCAGCCTCTTGACCACTTCGATGCGCACTCTATGACAGTAGTCTCCTACGTCTCCAACATGCAATATCCTCCGTTTGACCTCCAAAGGAGAAGACACAACCTGTGAAACGGAATTAGCGAAGATATTCGAGTAAGAAAAGAACAAACATTGTGTCGTACAAGTCAGTTGATGAGTCGACGAGAAGGTTCACAACGATCTGGACTTCCGGTGATCAAATGGACATATACTCATAGCCGTTTCAATGCACACGATTATGCATCGTTATACATGTTCCTGATATATACCAACGCCTATATCTGCTTGAAAACCGCCAAACTGTCCAACACCTTCCCACTCGAATCAACCATCAGATTGCTTCCACACGAGCTACCCAACCCCGCGTTATCGATCCACGCCGGCTCCCAGTAGAACAGTCCCGTTCCTCTTCCCCCAGGCACCGCAGCGACGCGCTTCGCAACCTCCTTCATCCACGTCGTCTGCCCTGCGCTGCTGAACGGGATGCTCTTCGCGTCGCTGGGAAAGGCGTAGGCAGGGTTCGGACAGCTGACAGGCCAGTTCGTCTCGACGACCATGATGTCTTTGCTCCACTTCTGGGAGATAGTGTTCAGGGAGGAAGAGAGGGAAGATAGGGTTGCCGCAGAGTTGTAGAAGGGGTAGTAAGAGACAGCAATAACATCAAAGGCGTCAGTCCAGAAGCCGCCTCCAGAGTTGAGGACGGTGTCGTACCTATTCCACATTAGCCCCCAGTCAAACACCAGCTCAGTCAGATCCAAAGCCGGAGGAAGCGCACTCACCACCACGTCTGCGTATCCGCCTTCCACCCGTTGTCCAAATGCACCAAAATCTTCGGCTTCGGATCCATCTTACTCTCCTTGACCCCATTACTCGCGCTTTTCAGCAGCTTCGCCACCGTCTTCGGCCCATCACTATTCGACAGCCTCCCCGTATTCCACAGCAAGCCAGGCGTGATCTCGTTCCCGATGCTCACCAGCGCAAGCTTGATCCCCGCCGCTGCAAACGCATTCACCACATCGTTCGTGTACTTCCACACCTGGGTGACCAGCGCATCCGTCGACAGACTCGCCCACGCCGCGGGCTTGGTCTGGTGCGCGGGATCCGCCCATGTGTCGCTGTAGTGGAAGTCGAGGTAGATTTGCAACCCCGCGGCCTGCGCGCGCTTCGCGAGCTTGAGGTTGTAGTCGAGGTTGTAATTGCCGTCGGAGGGGTTGACCCAGATGCGCTGGCGGACCGTATTGACGCCGGAGGCTTTGAGGATGGTTTCGAGGGGCTGCACTTGGCCCGCCGGGTTCTTGTAGGTGCGGCCGGCTTTTTCTTCGACCAGGAGGGAGGACCAGTCTACGCCTTTGAAGGGGAGGGCGGCGAGGCTGGGGGCGGCGAAGAGCGCCGCGAGCAGCACGCTGAGGTGCATGATGGTCACGGTTCGAAGTTTTTCACGGTTGCGTGGAGCAATGGCGACACCCCATTTCATGGAGTCTCGCCATTCTTCTTATAAACATGGTTCACTCTTCCTACTATTCTGCGTCGAGGTCTGCTCCGTTGATATTGTTTAGCAGAAAAACGGATCGTTAAAACGGGATGTGGGAGATCTTGCGCCAATGAGGTCCTGTTTCAAGACGTGCAAGTGTCACCGGGTATGTCATGTAGATTGCTGACAGGACAAAACGTGCACCATAGCGCGGTCTGGGGAAGTAGTCTCGCCTGATGCGTGATCCTGGATTGGGCTCGTTAATATCGTCGCTTGATGGCGCTGCACCGGCTCCGGACTATTTTGCAATAAGAGCCGGGACTTGTACGAATTAATCTGAGCTTATACATGCTTCGGGAAAGCTATCCGTCACGAGGCTTCAGCATTACCCGTTCAGGACAATTGGATGCGGACCGGGTGCTGTTCTGCTATAGGTGTAGTCGACAATGATTTGCAGTGTGATGCTGGATTGATGACGCTAAGACAGTGAATTGGCTGGATGGCGATACATGACTATATTACAGCAGCGGATGATGCAGGAAGACCAGAAAGTGCAGTGACCTGTGCGGCTATTTGTCGAAATGTCGGATCTTGGGCATCATTCCCAAACCACCGGTTCCCTTGGTTCCCTGTCCCAGATCCTTCCCACCAACCTTGGAGCCTCCTTCCTGTGCGCCACCAGCACTCCTGCTTGTAACATGGTTTCTTAGCATAGTAAGAATCTCGCTATCCTTCCACCTCGCCGGCACAGGCCGATAAGCAGGCTTGAAAGTGCCGATCGTCTGCGCCCATTCGCCCTTCGCAGGCGCCCTCTTCTGCTCGTCCTGCTCCTGGCCTTTCGCGTTCTCGGTGGCCAGCTCTCCAGACTGCCCCTCGGCCGTCTCCATGGACGTCGGGGTGGGTTCTTGCGTCGCCCAGTAGTAAATGTCCCAGTCGTTTTCATCGAGGAAAAGATCGAATTGCTCGAGTTGCGAAGGCGTCATGGTGGCGAGATTTGCATCGGCGAAGGTGGACATGAGAAGCTCACTTTCGAGGGTTCCCCTCTTGCGGCACTGATCTAGTAGTTGTTAGTAATGTTGAAGTGTCGCATATCCACAAACATCGTCTCGATCCCCGAGCGCATTCAGTAAAGAAAGGGAGGCGACAAGCGTGCTGTGGACGGGATAGGAAACGGACATAATAACCTTGCCCGCATGGTGTTCTCATCCTCGCCCGTTCGCCTCAGCGGCTCCACCTTGAAGGTTGCGCCTTCCATTTCTCCGACACCGAGCTCATTCGTTCCCTTCAGGTCCTTGTTCGACCCGCTGACGTCTTCGCTCTTGCTGCCTTGAGTGCCGCCAGTCATGCGCTCGGTGTTCTCAGGTACTGCGTCTTTCGGCGCAAAGCCTGGGTCCACGGACGTGACCAGCTCGGGGGGCGGCGCGTCTTTGCCTACGCTGGGCATCTCGTTCGCGATGGTCGAGGTGGTGTTGGTCATGTGAGGATTGAGTGGCCTGGATGTCTGAATCCTGCGATACTCGTCGGCTGTGTCGTTTGCGCGCTTGTTCAGCGCTTCGAACTCGTTGCATCGTGCAGCGTAGACGGAGAAGAATCGCGCTGGCTGGCTGAGCGACAAAAGAGCTCTCGAGGAGCGGATGGCAAGACGTGCGTGCGCCATTTTCTGTATTGTGTTGTTACAGGTGCTGCATCAATTGGCGATGAATGCGGGCTGGAGACGGCGAGAGTGCACGGCAAAAATGGTTGATGTCATGGCTTGGCGAATTAGTAACGCAGATACCCGAGGTCATCGACTGTGCATGGGACAAGATCAGCTGGGAAAATGATGGAGTCTGAAGATCGATCGCACACATGTGGCGACGATATCGTGGGATTCGAGATGATTGCATTGAAGACAATGCAATTCTTACTATTACCATTACTCTACTACAATACATACAGCGAACCGGTTCCCATGCCCACGATGCTTTCGTTGCACTGCGTTTTCTGGGCGAACTCCGCTCATAATGCACCATGTCCTTTCCCTTAACACTCCTCTAAATGCTGAAAAGCCCAGTAATGCCGAAATATCTGTTGCTACTGCGTGTTCTCCCCCGACGCCTTCTCCTTACCCAAAAGCATAGCACGGAAGTCGTCGTTGCTCTTGGCTTCTCCACCGTTAGCTTCTCCAGTTGCTCGAGGCACCATTGGCCTTGACCCTAGCCCAGGTTTCCCACGGCCTCGAAGACCACCGCGAGCGCCGCCGCGAGCAGCAGTGGGCCTGTTCACGCGCGTGGGCTGCACAAAGCTATTGCCCGCCTTCCACTCTCCCTTTTGCGCAATGAGATCCTTGTATCGTCCGATACGTAGATTCCTGCCCTCAAACTGGACACCTTGAAGGGCAATCTCAGCTTTACCAGCCTGCTCCACAGTCTCAAATTCTATGGTGGCACCGCCGTGCTGTGGCATAAGAGTGATCTTCTTGTACCCATAAGGTTCGGCGAGCGTCTTGATGCGGACGTCGTTCACTGTATCTGGCACGTTGAGAAGGGCGATGGTTCGATCTCCTTTTGTGCCCGCCGTTGTGTCTTGTTTACCAGTTGCTGCGTCTTGGTTTGCTGGAGATGCCGCATTTTCGATCGTTGACTTGACCTTCGGCTTCGTGTCTCCGCGATCATGAGCGATCTCCACCTTGAGTTCCATTCCCCAGAAGTCTTTGCTGTTCATACCAGCGACCGCTGCGTCTGCATCCTATACGTCATGTCAGCAACGTCCAGTCCCAGCAAAACAAGGGATATGCTATGCACAACCGCAACTACGTACCTCTTTCCGTTCGTAAACGATATAGCCGAAGCCTTTGTTGTTTCCGTTTACCAAGGTGGGAATGTTGACTCGGTCGATCTTGCCGAACTGCGCAAAGGCTTCTTGGATCTCGCGCTTCTTGATTCTGAAGTTGAGCTTCCAGACGTAAACCTCACGTCCTTCAGCAGTTGCACCGTCGCGTTTCTTTTTCGCGTTCGGATTTGAGATCTTCGCAATGATCTTCAATCCCTCTACATCCGTACCGTCCAGCTTCGTGGCTGCGATGGCATCGTCGCCGTTGACGAACTGGATGTAGCAGAACCGGCGGTGGGTATTGTACTTGAGCGAAGGGAACCGTACGTTCAGGATTTCTCCGAATGTTGCGAAGAGCTTGCGAATGAATGGCTCATCAGCGTGAGCAGGATAGTTCGCGACGTAGAGCGTAGTGTTTTGACCGCGGTTGATGGTGATCTCATGACCCTCGAACCCCTTGGCTTGCTTTGTCAGAGCATAGTCTGCCTCTTCTGGACTTTCGAACTCAACAATCGAGGTCATGCTGTCCTTTTCAAGCTTCATTGTCACGTTGCGCACGGTTCCGGCGTCGCTAAAGAACTGGCGAATCTTGGTCTGTGTCGCGCTTTGGGGGAGTCGCTGCACAATAACGGACGTATTCTCGCGGTCACGTTTCTGGGCAACGGAGCCAGCATCAGATGGTGCCTCGCTCGTCTGCCTGGTATCATTATTTGCTGCGATTGGCGCTTCGTTGGACTCGAGCGGTTTCGTTTTCTTCGAGGCAGGATCTGCATCAGCAACATCCTCTCTCTTTCGCTTGCCGGTCTTGTCTGTAACATGATTCTGCTGTTGCTGCTCGGGTCGACTCGCCGCCGCTGCGGCCTCTTCTTTCTGCTTCCTGATAGCAACAATACGCTCTGCTCGCCGTCGCTCAATCTGCGCGCTGCGCACCTTGAGCACGGTCTCGTGCTGCTCGCAGTGGTTGACGTACATCTCAATCAGAGGCTCGGGTTGATCGATTGTATGCAGTTGCGCCATCCCGAGCTCAAGAACAGCTGTCGCCCGTGTCGGCGCCAGGAGCTGTTGGCCTTCATTGCTCTTATCCCGCATCGCGTGGTTGGCCCACAGAACCATCTCCCAGATGTAGTACCGGTACCAGAAGTCATACGAATCTTTGTGGTGATTCACGAGACTGTCAAAGATATGGCGCGCCTCTTCTGGGTTGCCCCGTTGGAGCCAAAACTTGATGTGAATGCGTTCCAGGCGGTATTTCGAGTCGCCAGGCCAGTCTCTGCCGTACTTCTTCATCCCGACTTCGCGAACGAGCTCCAGAGCAGAGCGGATACCAACCTCGGCGATATCTGCATCGTCTTCTGACGCGCTTACATCGAAAGCTCTGCGCCGAAGGTAACCACACCAGGCGATTTGGACTTTGATAAGCTCTTCTATGTCGGAGTGCTCGAGCAGACCGGTCCGAGTAGCGGTATGCTTAATACCTTCGATCTCGTTGAACTCCCTGTGCTCGGCTTCTAATGTCAGTATGCGATGCGACCACAAAGACCCAGACCATGGGCAGTGGCGGGTGGCGCGCTCGAGAACGCCCAAAAGATCAACTGAACGATCTTTCTGCCATATCAAAAACTCAATGTGGTCTTCCCACAGGTTGGAGTCTACGGGGAAGCGGAGTGTGGCACGCTCGAACAAGGCATTGACCAGGGGAAAGCTGTAAACCCCCATTGTCTTTTTCTCCCATTTCAGGTACCGGGTCAGTGCGTAGTATTCGGCGTCTCTATCGCCCGCTTGAGTAGCCTGGAGTAGCTTGAATTCGAATTCTTCGCGGTTGGCGTATTGCTGCTTAATATGGGTGTTCTGTTGGATGGCTTGCTCCATTGCTTCTTCAGCGTTTCCACCGATACGAGAGATGAACGAGGCATATTTTGATAAGGTCTCGCCCCAGGTCGCGTGCGGCTGGCCAAGTCGCTCACGATAGATCCCAGTTATGCGCATCGCTTTGTCCTGTTTTTCTTGGTTCGACGCGCTCCTTTCAAGGTCTTCTTGCAAAAACTGGATGTAGCGGTCCCATACAAGGCTGCTGTCTTGGAGGTTGTACTTTACGTTCTCTGCGCCCTGTCGCCAAACATCTTGGAGCAGCACGGGTGTAAAGAGTTCGCGACCTATGGCTCTTTCTTCTTCCGACCACTGCTCTGGTGGGTGTTGCTCCCAAGAACAAGCTAGTAGGTGGCTAAGGTACTCGCCGTATGCTACCCATATTTGAGCACTGGACGGCTCGTCCTGTGTCGCTATCTTGTACAGCTCGAGCACAGCCATGCGGTCTTCCACATTGGCAGCCAGTGCTTTTTCGTCCTCGAGTCGGTACGTCCACAGGGTCTCCCCGAGCGGATACATTTTGGCCATGCTCGCACCCGCCTCTTGAAGGACTGACAACAACTCATACGACTGGGGATTGCCGGGGTCGATTGCGGACATGTGGTACTGAAATCCTTGGTGGAGCGTAGTCACAAAGTTGACATGGCTGTAATAGTCCAGCGGGTTCTCGCTCAGCGACTTGTCCAGTTGCGTCAGGTAATCAACGTGCTCTGGGGCGAGCGCGCGCGCCGTAAAGCTGCGGATCTTTGGTGAGGGTTCGCCCATGCTAATGTCGGTTGTTGAGCCTCCGGAGATGGTGCGGGGGATGTTTTGGAGACTGGAAACAGTGTTAGTGAGTGGAATGATCAAATAATGCTGGGACTACGCATGCAGGCAACCGCGACCGACGCGTGATTTGCACGAGCCCTCGAGAGGATTCTCAAGGGATGCTTCACCGATCGCTTGTGTCCCTTCGCACGGCAACACGAGGCTTTACCGAAACAATACAAGAATTATGACCTACCTAAACGTTGGTCTCTGCGCAACAGTGTGCTGCCTTGCAGCCTGCTGGTGCTGATGCTGCATAGTCGCCAGATCCGCCAAAGTGTCCATGCCAGGAGTCGATCGAAGCAACGGGTTCGGCGGGGTCATGCGTGCGTCGCGCGGAGAATGGACAGGCCGTTCTGGCGGCGTGCTCGTGGCGCTGTGAATGGGACGGGTGCCATTGGTGTAGGCAACGCCCGGCGAGGGCTGCTTGTGCTGGTGGTAGGACATGTGCGGCTGCGGCGAGGATGTGAGCTGCTGGCTGAGTCCCGACGGGGTGCGCGAGGGAATCTGCCGTATTGCGCGCTTCCCCGACGACTGTATCGACGGCGACCCCAGCGCTGGAGGCGGCGGAGGCGTCTCTTGCGCCGGCGAGTCCTGCGGCGACAGCAGCGAGTTGATGTCCATGATGCCCTCTTCTCCTTCTACGCGGTATCCCCTATATGCTCGCGCTCGATTGCGCGCCCTTCCAGTCGATGCTGTAATTACTTTTCCGCGCCCGCCAATGCGACTAGTGGTACTCAGTGCCGTTGCACTGCTGCAGGGACCGTTATGGGTCGAAAGTGAAGCGGACGGCGCTCACGGTGAGCAACATGGACTCGGGCTGGGATCGCGTCGAAGAAGCTCAGCTTGGGACTCGGAGGAGACTTGGGCGAGCGATGAGCTAGAGGCAGCAGCGCCAAAGACTCGAATAGTCTCGGCAGGTCTGAACGAAGAATCAAACACGTCAAGCTAGGGCTTCGGCAGTGCGGGTCCTCTTTAGCTAATGACGGCACAGCTTGCAGCCGCCTCGCCAATCTGATCTGGTGCGAACTGGAACCGAACACAACGTCTCCCCTCGTGGATTTGGGTGCGCGCAAGAGGCAGGAACTGAAGAGACCCTGTCCAGCACACGCAGAGGTTTTGCGCTTGTTGCAGGTTAGGGAAGCCGAGCGCGCCGTTGAACGGCATCAGATGATGATCTGCATGGTCATGTGACTCTCCATCGCGACCCCTGCACGCGCCTCGCTAGCGCCGTCCTCAGAATTTCCTGGACGGTATACCACACCTCAGCAGCACCGTCCATCGACACCGACCCATTGGGGCGCCGCACATCCCAATGACTTCACGAATACCCGCCCGGCGGCTCGGGCAGTCCTGCGTCGCTACTTTCCGACCGCGCACCACCTACTGGGTGTCCTCGAGCCGTGCTTTCACCAACTCCTCCGCCCGGTCTGCTGAGCAGAAAGATGTCGACCTCTCGAACCCGATCTTGGAAGAGTACCTCGCAAAGCGCAAGCCAAATGAAAAGCCCGAGCGCCCCCTGCCCCAGCCCGGGAGCCTCTCAAAGACGGGTCTTTTCAAGAAGGAATATGAAGTCCCCGGCTACCGCATGGGCATGACCCCCGAGGAGCTCGAGGCTCTGAAAGCGCAGAACGCGAAAAGGGACCTCGAAAGGAATATCGAGAAGGAGAAGCAGCTGCACGCTCTACAGCTCGACCCCCTGCCTTCCGCCCGCCGGGCATACGAGCGCCAGCTGGTCATCAAGAGCCTACAGAAAAGACGCGAGGGCAAGACACTCCGCCTGAAGCGCACAGAAAGGGAGATGGTGTACAAATCACAGGACCTCCCGACGAGTCTGAAGAAGATGACGCGGCTGATGCACCAGATCGCCGGCAAGACGGTCGAAGAAGCCCTCATCCAGCTGCGCTTCTCCAAGAAGCGCGTCGCCCGCGACATCGTCAAGGGGCTGCAGCTTGCGCGCGATGAGGCCATCGCGGCGCGTGGAATGGGTCTTGGTGCTGCGGTCGATCCGGAAACTGCAAAGAAAGAGGCTGCGCTGATCAGAGTGGGGAAGATGAACAAGGCGGATAGGACCACAGTGTACCTTGCTGACGGAACGAGGAGAAGGGAGACAAATGAGAAGGGCACCGTCATCGAGCTGAGGGATGGAAGCAAGAAGACTGTTACGGATCCAACAGAGATGTACATCGACCAAGCGTGGGCGTCGAAGGGGCCGGAATTCAAGAGTCCAGAATTCAGGGCGCGAGGAAGGATCAACATGCTGACCCACCGGTCAGCGAGTAAGTCTTTCCATGTCCGCTTTTCAACCTGTCGCAGTGCTAACCATGTCCCAGAGTTCAACGTCCTGCTCAAGGAAGAGAAGACACGCATGCGTGTCTCCGACGAGATCAAGAAGAAGCGCGCGAACAAGCCGCTCTGGCTGCCCCTTCCCGATCGGCCAATCACCGCGCAGCGACAATACTGTCTGTGGTAGCCTTTTGGATTCTTGTACCATATGTATACCAGGGGATGTGCAATAGACTACTAGCATTCGCCCATAACCGGCATGTACCATATAACATTCAAGCATATACATCCTCGCACGTTCCATCCCATCATCCAAAGCAGTATGCATGCTTCATCCGGGTATCCTGCCGATTTTTCCAAAGAAGCATACATTACAAAATCTCAACGCCGTCGCTATGCAATTCCCAAATGTCTGTCACTTGATGCCCTCCCTTTCTAGTTCTCGAGGGCGTCCAGCCCCTGCGCCCCAGCAGTCGCGGTCAGCATGTCGAGCATGCCCTTGACGCCCCAAGCTGCCTGGCTTGCCTCAACGAGATCCTTTACTTTTTGGTTCAGCTGGTCGAAGAGCGTGTCGATTTCTTCGCTGCGACCGAGCTGGTCGGCGTATAGGTCCAAAACGACAAGTGCAATGTCGGTGGTAAGGCGCGTGATGCGGTAGTCTGGGATGTATTTGATGAGCCAGCGCAGGACAGGCTGGAGTGTGAGTTCGTCGCGGTTGACGAGAGCAGCATTGAGGGCGCTGCGGTGGCGCAGAGCAGTGAATACTGTGACTGAGTGTTCCTTTGCGTTGGGTCCCTGGTGAGATGTCAGTGTTGCTCTGGAATTGCATGTCGTATTGTTGCCATACCTTCTGCGCCAGCACGATATCTAGTGCCTTTGCATACTGTCCTGTCCGCAAACAGTTCGCCCACGGGAAGCTGGCATGAATCTTTCCTCTTGAGTTCGGGTCGATGACAATATCTGCGCCTTCGCCGGTGAAGTCGCGACCTCGCATCTTCTTCTCCCATCCCTTCCCCCGCTTGCGCTTCTTCGCGCGATCGTATTCCTCGATCTTGCCTGCCATGAGGGCCTGCATTTCCTTTTCACGCTCTCGCGCAAGTGCCCTCTGCTCGCCAGATAGCTTGGTCTTGATCGAAAGCAACCCAGACTGCATACCGACTGCGATGTGCTTGTCCTCGCCCTGGGACGGAATGACGCTGAGCGAGAGGATAGGCGAGGGGTATTTCATGCCAGCCACTACGTTCCAGCCCGTGGTCTCGAAAACCTTGACATGCCCGTCGAGTGCACCCGAGAGGAGGCGCTCGCCATTGTTCGCAAGGGAAAGAGCCGTGACGGTCTTTTGGTGGTTGCGCAGGAGATGCATTGGTTTCGCGGCCACCACATCGAGAACGCTGATTGTGTTTTCGCTCGAGGCCAGGACCGCGGTTCCTGATGGCATGGGGAGCACGGCCTCCACGGGAGCAGCATGCTTGAACACCATGACCGCCTTGCCCCCGATTCTTGAATCCCATAGTCGCACCGTCTGATCGTAACTGCCCGATACCAGCAGCCCACTCTGCGCGGGCATGAACGTGCCGCAGCGCACGTAGTCTTGATGCCCATCAAACTTGGTAATGCTCTTGTCGGCCGGCAAGTCCCATAGACGTACTGTGCGATCGTCGGAACAGCTCATCAAGCTCGTAAGCTCGCTTGGATTCCACTCTGTCACCCACACCGGCTGCTTATGTTCTTTCCATGTCTTCAGAATAGCTCGACTGTTCGCATCGAAAGCCTGGATTGTCCCGCTATCTCCTCCCGCGACCAAAATCCTGCCATCCCGTCGTATGTTACCAGAGTGCGCAATGTCATCCACACCAAATCGTGAGATGTTCTTAACGAGTTTTCGGGTTTTCGAGGAGAATATCTGTACGCGCGATCCGGTAGTGACCGCAAAAAGATCTTGTGCGGGACCGAGGAGGTTTGAGGCGGGCCGTGGCGGTATGGAGATATGCGTTATTGGAGACGAGTGTTGGGACGGGTCGAGGCGCAGCTCAGAGCCGAAGGACGACCAGTATTTTTGCTCGGCTGTGATGGTCGAGGGGCCCGAGGGCAGCTTCATGGGCTGCAGGGGTTGGACTTCGGCGGCCATTGTGGGCGGTGCGCTTGCGTATGAATTGGCAGTGTCGTCGTTGGAGTCGCACTTGCACTTTGCGCCCGAACTTTTTTTGGTGGAAAGGCGCGCTTTCCGTTCCTGGTTAGCGCTCTTTCCCCACCGTTGGTGCCACTGCGCGGGTGCGTTCACTGCCAGCCATCCCGTCCCGTGCCGGACCAGTTGAGCAGTCTGCGCATATGCGCGAACCCCAGAAACTGCTCCGACTGCAGCAGCGAACGAATGAGGGCGCCACATACGGGCGTGTCCTCAATTTGGGAGAGGGCCAATACCAGACTGGCAGCCTGATGATCCCCGCACCAGCTCGGGCGCGCCTTCTTCATCACTCACGGACCATGCACAAGCCTCGTCAGACACCACGTCTCAAAACCAGGTGCTGCCTGCTTTCCCTAGCATGAGACGCTTAACATCGCGTCTTTGTTTTCTTTACCGGCGACGACATTCGGTTCCTGGTCTGTCATCTTAAGCCACTCCCGTCGGCCCTATCTGAGCGACCATGGCAGGCGAACCACTGGACAGCCTGGACGAGTTCTTTGACTTTACTCAGCTCGAAGAGGATAGCCATGTATACGACAATTCAATGCACGCCGAAGCGTCGGCACTCGCCCTGCCTACGCTCGGACCGGATAGTGCAATGGATTGGCAGCCTACCACAGGACCCATGACGGTAGACGCGGGTGCATTCACCATAGCATCGGACTTTCCTATCATTGTACCCGAAGAGCCCCTTCAAAACCGTTATCACGCTGTACCTATGCCGCCGCTCGTTCAGAACGTACCCATGATGCCCCAACATCCCATTGACGACCACAGTGAAGTTCCGTCGTTTCAATGGCAACACCACCGTATGCCACGGGAAGGGGAAGTCATTACCCTAGGACAGGAGTTGAACCAAAGCGTGCGCCCACAACGGAGCAGCACTGTCACGCGAAAGCCTGCATCCGCCAAACGGAAAGGCCCCTCAACTCGCCTACCCCTAGAAGCTAGGCAGATACTGGAGGAAGAGTTCGCGGCAAACCCGTACCCATGCTCCTGGGAGATAGACATCATCGCTCACCAGGCTAACCTGGATGTGAAACGGGTTCGAAATTGGTTCAACAATACCCGTGCTCGGAAGAAGCCGGAGTCGCCAGGTTCGTCATTCCACTTCACCTTCTGGCACAGAACTGATAAGTCTTAGAATCGTATGAGGCCATGATGTCGCAATCTAATGGAAGCATCACCTCACTCTCATCGAAACTTTCTCGGGACAGTCTCGAAGCTCTGGATAAGCATGCCGATGAGGCAATTCAACCACCCCAGCCTCCACTTGCTCTATATCTGGCGCAATCATATCAAGAGGAAGCCGTGCCTTATTCTGCTATTCAGGCTGCCATGGAAAACGGCTCAACCAGCGATGAAACAGACTTCCCGTACGACGGTTCTTCAAGCCACAGGGTGGGCAGACCTAGCTCGGTCATTACCTCGGTGACTTCTTCTGACGGCACAGTACCCACAACATACAGCAGCGGAAGCAACATGTCTTCATTCGGACGGACCCGAAGACGCGGTCGCCGGCGAATGGAATGGAAGCAATCCCCTTACACCAGGACAAAGTACAATGGTCTCAACAGTGCCGGTGAACCCCAAGAGAACCTTCCGTTCTGCTGCACTTTTTGCCCACGTGCCTTCAAGACCAAGTACGAGTGGATACGCCATGAAGACTCTGTACATGCCCTCCGCACCACATGGATATGCTGCGAAAATAAGAACGCGCCGCTTCTGTCATGCCCATTCTGCGGACAGATGCGACCTGATGAGTCTCACATGGCTAGCCACAAGTACCAGCAATGTCGAAACAAGCCCGAGTCACAGCGAACCTTCTACCGTCGTGATCACTTCATTCAGCACTTGCATCACGTGCACTTCGCGAATGTCAAGCATCCGTCAGCCCGTCTCGGCTGTCAGACCCGTCTACTCGACAGCGAAGGGGGCAATTTTGGCTGCAAGGATCTCGCAATCAAGTGGAGAAGATTCGGTGCACCTATCAAGGCTGAAGATCCGATGCTTTGTTGTGGGTTCTGCGGGAAACGAGCGAAAGACTGGAGCGAGCGGTGTGAACATGTCGCTGAGCATATGGCAGCAGGCGAGTGGGATCGGTCAGCGTGGTGGCCGGAGCGCCTGGAAAACCATCTGGAAAATCTATACACACCAGGCGCGGCTGGACCATCACGTTGCCGCTATTGTCGCAAGGTCTTCGCCAACGTCGATGCTATGAATCAGCATTCTCACTGTCGTGTTTGGAGTTGTCGTTTCCTCCGGTAAGCTTCTCCAGTGTTATTTATTTACATGGATTGCGCTGACAGGATAGCTCGTTCGACGATGTTGCTGCTGAGAATGCAGGGCCTCCTCTATGTCCGCAATTCCCGTCGCCGAACGCCCATCACTGCCACTTATGCGGCGCAGGCTACAGGTCCTTTCACGTCGAGCATGCCCAACACTACCACCGCTACCGACAGTGTGATCAAATGCTTTATACATCGGAGGACGAATTCCTGCAGCACATGCACGATTTCCACGGTGCTTCGCAACCACAGCTGCTCCAGGGTAACTCTGTCCTTGAGCAAAACTTTTCCAGAAATAAAGGTGCTTCATTCGAGCCTCTTCAACTGGACGAAATCATGCAAGGTTGCAGGGTTGGGGACATTAGCGGATCCACGCTCGATCCGATCATGAGGCAAGAGGCAATACCTTCCGGCTCAGGTAGTACGATGACTTCAAGAGAACGCCCTTCAACACCATCGAGCAGGAAGACGCAAGAGTCAGGCGCAACCATAGGCCATAAGAACAGTAAGACACAGAAACAGCGAACGAATAGCTCAGCCTCGAAGCCTGCGCATCAAGGGCCGCGCTTCTTCCGCCTAAGTCCTCTGGTGCCATTCTTGTCGACTCGCATCTACTACTTACGTAATGCGACGCCCACAAGCCTTGTTTCAGATGGGAAAGCCGTGGTTGAAGAGGTTCCGAAGAGCCATCTTGCTTCGCTTGTCATGAGCTCGGGGTTGTTAGGAATGGCCGGTGTAAGATTTCCCGTTAGCATGAAAAGAGATGGGACAAAGGGGCCCGTAGAATTCACTTTGGAAGAAGAAGACGATGACTAGCAAGGAAATTCTAGTTGCTGTCAAGCGTTGCAGCCTTCCGCTAGATGATGTTGGCGCAGTCCTTCATAATTCTTATTTTTAGCATCAGACCCGAGCCAGCTTGAACAACAACACATCACGAGATATGAAATCATGCGGTGCGATGTCAGCTCACGCGCGATTTGGAGCGATCAAGGGATCTGTCCCTTCCTAGCTAGCTCGCTATTCGCTAAAGCAGAAACTTTGGTGTTCAAAGCTCGTGTTGGAAGCGAATAATACGGACGCATAAAATATTGTCAATAACGGCTTGCAGAGGGTCCTTTAGTGTGACTGCCCTTGGTAATATCAATGGACGAGTGTGAGGGTTGAAGGAACCGAGTAAGAAACTAGGGAGCCAAATGTGAGAACTGTGGGAATTCATATACTAATCGGTCCATGACAGCCCAAAGGTGTTTGACTGGCAGGTCACGCTTCCAATTTCGTTCAAGGTAAAAGAGATCCTGCCGTCTGGCAGCTTCCTTCCTATATCACGTAGCCACCCCGTTCGGAATACGTTCACAAGAATTCTCACTTCCATCAAGTCCTCCGTTATGCGTTTCTTCACCCTAGCCGCGAGCTTGATCTCCCTCACGCTCGCTCAGCACTACCATCACCCCTCCATCACATGCTCGCCCAGCCCTACAACACCTTCTATTGAGCCCCCGCGCTATACCATTCCCTGTACAATGAGCGACGATTCGCCTTGTCCCTCAGGCTGGTTCTGCACGCCTACTACGATTCCGCCGACTGCGACCACTGACCCGTGGGGAGGAGTCTGCAAAGACAATCCAACGCCGCCTCCAGTCACGCCATGTGGTAAGTAATGTCACACCTCTCTTAAACCTAAGCCTCCTCTCCCGCGAAGACTTGCACGGCACTCTAAATCAGCATGTGCACTATTCACCTCCTATGCATATAAATTCCCCAGGTCTCTCCGTCAGACGTCCCTTTAACAGCGTCACAGTGATGGGCAATGATACCCCCTGCCTCCCCTCTTCCCGCTGTACGCCCACCACCATCCCGCCCGCTAATCCCACTGATCCATGGGGCGGGCAATGTATTGCCGGGCCGCCAACGTCAACGTCTGAGTGGGATACGGAGTACACACAGACATTCACGCCTATTACGCCGTCGGTGTACACGCCGTATACGTCGCCGGTCAAGTCGTATGATTCGCCTGTGCCTACGTGGACAGGGAGGCCATGTCGGTTTGAGTGGCAGTGTCGGAGGGGACGAGGGGAGAAATGCGTGAGAGGGAGGTGTGTGCTTTGGTAGTCTGGACTGATGGAGATGAATGTTCGGGTCGGGGTGAGTGATACTATAGGTAGACGACAAAGCATCAGTTAGTCAAGAGCACTCGCTTGTAGCGTGTGCAAACAGCATCAAACCAACTAAGGAATGAACTCCATCCATAGCTTAGAGTGTTATGCCAACTTCCACTATCTGCCAACGAGCCTCAATTCTAAAAGCCTCAAGGGCGGAAAAGCAACAAGCGCAAACCCACAGCCAACCCACACTCCAACATCGGCTCCCGTATCCGCTACTAACTTCGCGAGAGGGCCAACATACCACACCTGATACATCCCTAGAATCGCACCCATCCACCCAAGTAGAAAAGCCACCAAAGCCGCCACTCCCACGGGCAGCTTCCGTTGCTCTTCCCACGCCGCCCAATCAATCGCCAACGCCCGTGCCTTCTGAAACAGCACATGTTCCTCCGCGACAATGCATATCATAATAGTCAACCAGTAACCCATCAGCGCCAGAAGATTCTGGAACACGACGAAGACCTTGTTGCGCCCGGCCAGCGCGCACGCAAGCTGCACAACCACCAGTGCAACCGTCCATATCCAGCGCGGAACCACCTTCCAAGCCCGCCCCATCATCTGGCAGTTCAGCGCCGCAGAGTACGTCCCGGGTATGCTGTTCGCAATCAGACCCAGCGCCAGCACCACGGCGCAGAAGTTTCCGAAGTGGCCCAGAGGCGCGTATGTCACTGTGAGAAGGGCACCGATGGAGATGTTGTATGCGTCTTCCCACTCTGGATGGGTGGCGATGCCTGAGGCGATGCCGATACCGAGCATGTCGACAAAGCAGAAGGAGAAGGTGAGACCGGTCCAGGTTAGGAAGAAGGTCTTCCATTTTGAGGTTTTCTCGGGGTAGTAAACGTAGTAGTCTGAGGAGGCGGCACCCCATGACGTAGGGACGTAGAAGCAGAGGGAGAAAAAGGAGAGGCGGTTTGCTGCGATCTGGGCGGGGCTTCCGGCTGAGGCCAAGGAAGTGCTGAAGGACGGTCCGGCTGAGCCGATAAGGATAGACAGGGCGAGTATTTGTGGGAGCCACGCGTAGCTATGGGGCTCAGTCAGATGTGTTATTGTGGTGAGAGAAAAGGAAGGACTTACCGCTCGTAGACGTGGAAGACTTTCAGCCCCACAACCGCAACGATCATCACGGCTATCGACACCACGACTATACCGACCGCTATCGTCATTGTCCCACCACTCACCGCGGCAAGGATCTGTCCGCCGATGATTGCGGTGACGGTGCAGTATCCTTCCATCAAGATGACGTTCAGCAGGACGCATATCCTCGAAGGCCAGTAACCCATGAAGAACCTCACGACAACCTTCAATCCGATTGTCAGCTCAAGTATCCCGATGTTTGCTGCTATCTCTCGAACCCTCGAACAGCCTACTCACCAACGTTCGACACCCACTCACCGCCCCCCACGTACTCATATACGCCGTGCACGCCGCCCCCAGCGCAACCCCACCCACAGCGCACAGACTCGCGTCCAAAAACCCGAGCTGAAACAGCAGCGGGCCATACAGACCGACGACGAGATTGTTAATCGTGATGTTTACGCCGAACCACAGGATCACCATCTGCAAGTACGCGGCGCGGGAGGGAGTTTGGCGCTCGGAGGGAAGCACGCGCGTGATACCGCGGGCTTCAAAGCCGGAGAGGGATTCGATGTGTGCATTCCACTGGCGGAGGTGGGAGAGTAGGGGTGGGGAAGTGGGTTGGGGAGATGGGGACGAGGGGGACGAGGGGGTGGACAAGTGGGTCGAAGCTTGCTTTTCGATATCTGTGAGATTATGGGTTGCGGGTCGCGAATTCTTGATGGTTGGGTCTACTGTGCTCTCCATGGTGTTGTGGTGGTAAGCCGTGGAAAATCAAGATCATAGGGCCAATGCGGACCGGTCAGAGTGCTTAAGTAGCCTTGCCAGCTGCAGTCCTGCGCGTCGGGAAGATCAGGCCCGGGCCGCAAGGAGCACTTGCATTGAAGTGGCTGCCTTGCCCACGCCGGTCCTCGAATTCATTCGAATGGTAGGTCTTTGTGTAACATCGACCTGCAGGTCTGACCTATCCGATGTGTTTACCCCGCAAGTTTGGGGGTTTGTTATCGCACTTATTAGAATCCCGGAATGGCAAGTTGTAAATTAATCACATGGAAGGGAGCGTTGTAGCCATTGAATTCTGTGGTCGGCAAGTGAACCGAGAGTGCAATGATTTCCAAGATTGCCAACGATCCAATTAAGGTGCCCTTGACTACTCACACTGGCAGACAACATAGCAGGCCTTGTACCTCACTTCAACAATCCACACATACATTGACAATCCGGAACAGGACACATCGCGTGTCTCGCGAACCAGTCCCTCGCATGATGCCCATGAAATCCGTGCGTGCAACTCATACAGAACACCATCAACCTAGCCTCCAGATCCTCCTCTTTCAGTGTCTGTGCTGAGCCCACTTTGCTCGGGTCGGGACTGCCTAGCCACATCATGCACAGTCCGCAGCGCGGCATCTGCGCATTACAGTTCGGGCATGCGAGAGATGGTGAGGCTGTGCTGCCTTTGGGTTTTGGTGGACGCAACGGGCGCGACGTGGAGGGTTGATGGTGATGAGAGGGCGTCGTAGGCACAAGATAGGAGCGGGAGCTGCGTGGGTCGCGACGAAGAGCGAGGTTTTGCTGACAGTTGTGGCACCGAAGCGAGACAGAGGGGGAGGTAGGCTTGGAGGTTGGAAGACCGTCTCGTGAAACACTCTTCAGGTTGTGCTCTTTAATATAGCGTGTTCTTTCGAGAAAGGTACGCCATACCTGCATTTGGTTGAGGTAAATTTCTTTCCACAGGCCCCAACGGTGGTCTTGTATATAAAGTGGACAAACACGGGAGAGGATGAGAACAGCCGACTGGAGGTCGCCAAACTTAGCGATGTAGTGCTCGAAGAGATCCATTGCGCGGGTGGTGAGACCTGTGAGAAGTAGGCCTTCGATGTTGCCGTACGCGACCGTCTCTTGGGTGCAAAGCTTCAAGAAGTGTGTGAGCTTGTCATCGGGGAGATATTTGAGAGCTACTCCTACGCGGTCTGGTAGTGAGAGTTGTTGCATTTCGACGACAGTGGTCCAATCGCCACTTATGAAATAGGCGAGAAGACCCTTAAGATAGGGTTCATCCGTCATGTCAGCCATCCATGAGCAGAGATGTCGCTGGTCCTCATTGACCGAATTGCATGCAATGACCGCGCCGAGACCGATGTTCTCGATCTGCTTGGCCTGAACGGTCTCCTTCAAAATGTCGAGCGCAACGTCTTTATAACCTTGAAACACGGCGAGTACTATAGCTTTGTAGTATTGGCCTTCATCTACGAGTAAACCACAGCGCTCGCGTAGACCCCTTTTGGAAAGATTCCAGCCGCAAAGGGAAAGACAAAGTTGGCGGTGGTCTGGATGGTGTGTGGCAACGCCAGCGAAAGGCGGAAATTCTTTCTTTTCGCAAATTTCCACTACGGTATCGGTGAAGACTTGCTCAGATGTTTTGGCATCAGGATCAACCTGCCGTTGATCATACATCGTAAGCTCATTTGCCCAGATATCTGTGACACCTAGGTATGCAAGGTCGAGGCCTTCCTTAGCAGCCATGCCATCGTTGGAGGCGTGCGCTTCCATCCGTTCCACTAGATTCCAGGCATCTACAAGCCAGGGGTCATTTGACACAATATCTTTGTTCTTACGGCAATCGAGGTTGTACCCTTCCTGACAACGTCGCTTTTGAGTCTGCAGGACCTTGAGCAGATCGTCAACGGGTAGCTTCACAGTAGGATATGCAAGCGTAAGAAGGTCTTGGTGCATCTGATGGCTCGAATGAGATGCCGACTCCAGCGGTATACTCCGGTGCGAAGTTTCGACATTGAGTCTGTCTAGTCTTCCATTGAGAGAGTCTCGAGGGTCTGGCTTCACCTCGAGTTTATCACTCAGTGTTTGGTTTTGCAGCTCGATCAGATCATCTGCAACAGCACCTTCTCGTGGACTGGGTCTGGCAATTGGCGTGCGGTCCTTATATATTTCTTCCAAAGCAGTCACATTTATTCGAGGGGCGGGAGGTGGTATTCGCAATATGCCGATTTCCCTATTCGGATGCAGAGCAAGTGCTGAGGGTCCTGCAAAGGGATTTCCTGGACTCATGAAATCATACGCCACGACGCGGCTAAGATCTTGTTTGCCGCTACGAGCGTCGTAGGAGGGGTATCGTAGATTGTGCGATACCTTTGTGTAATGCTGTGACTCCCATGCTTGGTTATGGGGCCCGGCTTTCATGGAACGGTCAGGCTCCGGGTGATGGGAATGTTGCGCAAGCTCAATGATTTTGAACTCGCCCGTATTCGCTAGGACGCCAAAGGTTCCCTTCTTTGTTCCTGAGTAACGCAAGCTCCATATCGTAGCAGAATGACTGTTGTCGACGATAGGTCGAAAATCTAATACTGCACCGTCGTTGTTGCTTCTTTGTTTGACATAGCGTTGGTCCCAGACGGTGACAGTGGGATCACCGGTGGTCCCAGCAGAGATGAAGTAATTCTCGTCCAAAGGATCGATAGCAATGTTGTGTACCTGTCGGGTGGGGTATTGAGCAACCCCCGAGGTAGATGAATCTAGCCTGCGTCAGCCCCGACCAGTAAATACAGGTCAGTAAAAGCTCACCCCGAAGATCGTAAAGACGAATACACTGCCTTGAAACGCCGGCAACAAGGGTATCTGGCTGATTCGTAAAGAATTTGATACTGGATATTGCCTCAGAGCTGGCTAACTTCTTGTAAGGCTCCGAAGTAGATGTAACGTTAGGATTATTGAGATCGTAGATGTTTAGGCACACATCGTTCCGCACTCTGTCAAGCCCGGTGGCCACGTAGTTCTTGGAACTGAAAGCGATGGAGTTGCACTTTCGTTGATGCCGTATGGGAAACGAGTGTATGAATTCTCCTTGAGGACGATCTGGATCGATCTGCACGATTGTCGCTTCTCCTGACGCAGACCCAATGCCTACAACAGCCTCATCCTGCTTGGACCAATCGAAGGCCGTGTAGTTGGGCAACTTGTCGCGGAGACACAGCTGCTTGTACTTCACCTTGTTCTTTTCATACTTCTCGATTTGACACAGTCGCAGGCGATTGGTCGCGACGTCAATGATCAGGAAGCGCGGCAAATGCTGCGTCGCATGTGGAGACCATCTGATGGCAGCTTCCATGCTACCGGCTCCAGGACCGGATAATGGAATGGGATAGAGTGAGCCTAGAGTCTATAGATGAGACATCAGGCAATTACCGGTTACGCAAGAAACCGCGCCGTCATCCTTGTATTCGGTCTGCAAAGACTGGAGATGTGAAGCTCAATGCTGGAAGTTCCAAGGTTGAGGTGCACGCTCGTGACTGGGGGTTGTGTCGCCAAGGCACTAATCAGGGGCGGTCAAGGATTCTGCCGCCCCGCCGAAACTTTTGGCAGGTACGACCCACGATTCGCGCTCGCAGGCATAGAAAAGACAACCACCAGCATGTCTACAGCACACACGAAACGCAAACGCAGCGATAACGCCGATGCAGGCGACCATGGCAGAAGGCCTAAGCAGTACAAGCAATCTTCAAATCGACCGCGGCCGAACAAATTCCAGGGCTCGAGACATGCGCACGCGCATTCAGGCCACCCAAAATCGGGTGACGGCGAGGAAGAGGAAGCGCAAAGGTCGATAAACGCTCTCAAGAGCAGGATACGCGATCTCAGGCGCTCGCTAGCGCACGTCGACAGCGACCCGAAAAACCGCATGCCACAAGGCATCCGCATCGAGCGCGAGCGAGAACTCGAATCGGCTAGGCATGAGCTCGAAGAGAAAGAGACAGCCAAGCGAGAGGCCAAGTTCAGAAATGATATAATTGGGAAATACCACATGGTTCGATTCTTCGGTGAGTAATAACACCTCATGTTGCTATTTATATGTCACTTACGATGACTAGAACGACAGAAGGCTACACGAATCTTAAAACGCCTTCATAAGCAGCTCGCCGCTCTGGAAGACGAACCGGAAAAGGCGGAGAAGATGCACAGCATACACAATGCTGAGGTCGATCTCAACTATACACTTTATTACCCGTTACTGAAGGCGTACGTGTCACTGTACCCGAAGCAGCAGAAAGAGGACAGCAAGTCTGGTGATGCCGCACCGCCGACAGACGGCCCAAAAGGCGATGTGAACATGTGGAAGACGGTGGAGAAGGCCATGGGAGAGCAGACCCTAGAAGAGCTTCGAGAGAGCCGGGAAGGTGTTATTATACCAGGAGCACCGGAGAACAGCAAGGCCAAGAACTTGAAGAAGGATGCGAAGAAGGACACGAAAGAGAAGAAAGCGAGGTCCAACGACGCCGATATTGCGACAGAGAATGGAGACGAAGAAGGTAGCGATGAGGACTTCTTCGTCTGATGTCCCCGACAAGAAAGATGGGGCTTTGCATGTAGCACATGGAAAGTCCCTTGCAACCAGAAATGGCAGAATCAATCTCTGGTTATTCCCTGAACCCGATAACCACGCGAACGCTGGATAAGACTTGATTCAGTGGCTGGCTATTACTACTTGTCCCTGCGAAATTATCTCCGGGACAATTTCTGGGGCTCGAGGCCACTTCATGCTGGCTCTGGGGTCGCTGTAGTAGTCCTTGACCTAAACGAAGATGTACAGGACCTGAGGATGGGATTATGATTATCGGTGACAATAGTGCACGAGCGTTGTTGCACTCCCAGTGTGACTTGGCAAAGTGTCTCAGCCGACGGACCAGCTCCTAGTCTCGTGAGACTTGCCTGCATCTGGAGTTACCGTGTGGTTCATCGTGTGTTCGTTTGTGCGGGGAAGTTTGCGTTCTTCGACATGTGCACTTGTCATAAACACAGTCACAAGATACTAGTTTAGGAGACCGAGTCCTTACAGCGAGGACACAGATGGGTTGTGAAACTCATGTCCGGGAACTCTTTAAGTGTCATCGCTATTAAGACTACAAGGCCTGCAGCTCCACATTTAATTTCTTTTCGAAAGTAACACTCTGCGCGGTGATCCTGGTTCCTTTGGCTGCTCCTGGACGTGTAAATAAAGATGCCGCGGGCGGCGGCAGCAGGTGAAGGTGGCTGAGCTAAATCCTGGGGAGATCCCCCGCATTCCGTTGGCTAACGCAACATTCAGGAACGACCTTCCTCGAAGAAGAGACCAAACCATCGCCCACAAAGGAATACCGCGCTTTTGTTTTTTCTATTGTTCCCATCGCAGCCCTTACACGTGAATATCGGCCCCAAATAGCTTCTTCTTTCGACAAGGCTTCCGTCACTCGGACACTCCTCCGAGAAGGACCCTGGTCTTTTAGCTTGCCTAATGACGCCAGACAGCATGCTCCAAGGCCGGCGCCATCGCTTCACCAAGTCTGCTGACGACCAAGGAGACAGTCCCAAGATCGACACTTTTCGATAGCGCGTAGAACCGCTTCCTGACTTAGGCGCCCAGTAACATCGGTCTCACACCTTCCAAAGAGGTGACGCCGTCAGGTGCTGTCGCGTTGCGCTATCATTCCACGGTTACCTTGGGTTTGCGTAAACGAAGCGCTCGCACCAATGACGCCCCTCCCGGCGTGGCGCGTTGCTTGTTTAGCCACGAGAACGGTAAATAGGATGGGACCGGCCGTACCTGGGCGAGTTTTCAGCCCGCATCCCGCATGCTTTCGCGGGGTCACGATGGATATACATCCCTGCATCTCTGCCGACTGTGTATCTGAGCGATAATGCCTGTATACATAGCCTGTATAAAGGGCAGCTTTCGCACCTCCTCGCGGCCCCTCAGTGGCCATTCCTGGTTTCACCTCAGAACCAACCAGAGAATTATTCGTCATGGCAGTATTCAAGCGTGCCGTCGCCGTAGCAGCACTGTTATCAGGTGCCTCCGCCCTGCCTAGACAGTCAGAGTCTTTCGAGAAGAGACAAGATCTTCCACCTGCGGATGAACGTGCACAAGGTGTTATCGACACCTTCAGGACTGCGTGGGAAGGGTACGTGCATCGTTGAGTGTCTACTCCGCAGCACAAGCTTACCCAAAAAAGATACTACCAATATGCGTTCCCAAACGACGAGCTCAAACCCGTTACCAACGGCTTCAGCAATTCAAGGTATGATAATTCAGTCTTGCACTGTCAAATGCTGTATCGACTGATGTGTACAGAAACCAGTGGGGAGCCTCGGCCGTGGATGCATTGAGCACAGCTTTGGTCATGGGACAGAAGGACATCGTCAACCAGATTATTGAATATATTCCGACCATCAACTACTACAAGACTCCAACTGAGGTTTCATTGTTCGAAACCACGATCCGTTATTTGGCAGGAATGATCTCAGGATACGACTTCTTGAGCGGACCTCTCTCCGATCTTGCAGACAACAAGACAAACGTGGATGCCCTCCTCGAGCAGTCCAAAAATTTAGCCAACGCACTCTCATACGCCTTCGACACCCCTTCTGGCGTTCCTTACAATAACCTTGACTTTAGCACACGCGGGAACGATGGATCAAATAATGGCCTCGCTACTGTTGGTACACTCGTTCTGGAATGGGTTCGTCTTGCCGACCTTACTGGAAACACGACCTACGGCAATCTTGCCATGAAAGCCGAATCGTACCTCCTCGACCCCAAACCCGCCACGAGCGAACCCTGGCCAGGACTAGTTGGCTCAAGCATTGATCCCAAGACAGGCGAATTCACAGATGCAAGCGGTGGCTGGACCGGCGGCACCGACTCCTTCTATGAGTACCTCATCAAGATGTACGTCTACGACCCCTCGCGGTACAGCACGTACCTCGACCGCTGGGTTCTGGCCGTTGATTCCTCCATCGAGCATCTAGCCTCGCACCCCACACCACGACCGGACATCACCTGGCTCGCAATCTACAACAAACAGAACATCACCAAGCTCTCGCAGCACCTCGCTTGCTTCGACGGCGGCAACTTCATCCTCGGCGGCCAGGTCCTCGGAAAGCAGGAGTACATTGATTTTGGCCTCGAGCTCGTCAACGGCTGCCACGAGACGTACATTCAGACTGCAACGCGCATCGGCCCGGAGACATTCGCATGGGACGATGCCGGCGTACCGGCTGACCAAGCCGCGTTCTTCAACAAAACCGGGTTCTACATCCGCGATGGCGGATACCAACTCCGGCCCGAGGTCATCGAGTCGTACTACTACGCCTACCGCGCGACGGGCGACGTCAAGTACCAGGAGTGGGCATGGGATGCATTCACGGCGATCAACGCGACGACGCGTGTTGGGTCTGGGTACTCGAGCATCAGCAATGTGAATGCGGCTGGTGGAGGGAGCTTCACGGATTTCCAGGAGAGCTTTTGGTTTGCGGAGGTGCTGAAGTATAGTTATCTCATCCATGCGCCTGAGGCGGAGTGGCAGGTTGGAAAAGATGGGAAGAATGCTTGGGTATTTAATACCGAGGCGCATCCGTTCAAGGTATTTGGTGGTGGGGGTAATTCGTGAGGAGAAGGATAGAAGAGATAATGTTTATAGATGATCAATCTATTGAAATAAGATGTAACGCTGCGTACTCAACTAGTGTTGATTGCTGTGGTGGACGCTTCTCGAAACGTGGTGTCCAAGTCCATACAGCTTCCGGTCACCCCTCATTTCCCATCTCTTCGGCAGCCAGACAGCAGATGCACGCCCCAGGTAGGCATCGGGATTTGATTGCATCCCGCGAGTATCCGTTGCCTGAATGATTTCGACCGGTTTACCATACGCCATCCAGCACGGTCACACATCCAAGTACGGTACTAGTTATCGTGACACCCCTTCGAGCAAACATCATTAGCTCGCGCTACCTGTTTACCCATCCAGAGTCACCCATTCCTTACAACACGCACAACCCGCCCCTCTCTGTGCCACGCCGCCTACTCATATCGAACTCATCAGACGTCCCACGGATCCCCAACCCGCAAACAACGTACCACCAACCCTTGGCGTACATAATGGCTCACACATCACTTCCATCATTCTTCCTCCCGCCCTTGTAATCAACTATGCTCGCTACTCACGCCCTCTTCCTCGCTACCGCTCTTGCGGCCGTGCCAGCACCCCGAGACCCCTCATCCTTCGCCCCCTGCGAAAACGCAATCACAAACTGCCTACGGCAAGAAGTTGGAATCGTGAAATGCGAGTGCAAGCAGGGCGCTCTTGTATCTGCCTCCCCGTTTCCCCTACCCCTTCTCTTCTCCATTTGTGGGAATGTGCGGTGTGCTAAGTTGGTCGTATGCAGGTCAGGTGTAACGCGATTGGGATTCCGCTGGTGGAGGCTGGGGTAGATGGAACGGAGGATTTGACGTGTAAGTGAACGGTGATTTAGGGGGACCGGGGTGGGAGATGGGCTGACGAGGGACAGTTTATCGGTGGGAGAGGTTGATGGAGTGTCCGAGGCATGGGCATCTGCAGCAGTGTAACATGGGGAGGTGCGTTGAGTAAAGTTAGGGTACATGTGGAAATGCGAGAAACAAGGAAATCAACTATGGGGCCATTTTCACATTGGCCGGGGGGCATACGAGAGCTATGTCTCAAGGGTACCATAGTTCGATAAGTTCGCGGAGAAAGTTTGAGTGAGAAGTTGCTGTGTGTTGTGCTTGAGTTGTGGTTCGATTGGGTTATCGTTAGCATCGTATGTAGAGACTACAATTTCATGATAGCCTAAGTGTGAAAGGGCATTGGTGTAACCATGAACGGTAAGAGTTGAGTGTTGACGGTATTAATAAGCGGACATAGGAGTTAGTGTGCGGGCGTAGTGTAGCGTCAACACCTACAATGCTGTGGGTCCGATTGCTTTCGGGCGAAGCATCAATCGTCGCAAATACTGTGACTCAACTCACCTTTGCCGTTGACTGCCTTTGATGGTCAGTCCTAGGCTTAGAGCACGTGGGACCGGACGCATCAAGTGGGCGTAACCATGCCGACCATATATAAAGATCTACGATTGCGATTGTTGTCCGCATCTATTCCAGAGATCTACTCAACCCAAGCAGCCATCGTTTCCGATAGATAAACACCAGACCAGCAACGCCCAAACTTCATCAAATGGCGCCCCTCGTGTGGCTGATTACAGGCTGCTCCTCCGGCCTCGGTCTGCACTTGGCCACCCACGTCCTCGCCCGCGGTGACATCGCTATCGCGACTCTCCGTAATCCCTCAAAGTTGCCTGCTTCCCTTAAAGATCATCCCAACGCAGCAAACCTCTCCGTCATACACCTGGACGTCACAGCACCGCCATCCAAAATCTCAGCCGCCGTAGCACAAGCCACCGCGCTTCACGGACGTCTTGACGTCCTCGTCAACAACGCAGGCTACATCCAAATTGGTACTGTCGAGGAGTTAACACACGATGACTGGGTAGCACAGTTTGAAACCAACGTGTTTGGCGTGGTGAAAATGACGAGCGCGGTGCTCAAGGGGATGAGAGAACGTAGGAGTGGGACGGTGGTGCTTGTGGGGAGTTTGAGTGGGTGGGTTGGGCACGATGCGTGTGGGGCGTATGCGGGGTGCAAGTTCGCACTGGCAGGTGAGTTCTCTGGAGGTCATGGAGTAAAGAGTGTTTGTGAAGACATGCTGATGTGTTCGATAGGCATCGCTGAGGCACTCCAGCGCGAGACGAGCCATCTGGGGATCCGCACAGTGCTCATTGAGCCGGGTCGCTTCCGCACCAATTTGCTCTCGCCTGGGAACATGAAGGCGCCGGTGCAATCAGATAGCCCTGCATACTCATCTATGCTGGACGCGAAGATCGAGGGCTTGGCGGAGGAGGATCAAGCGCAGCCCGGCGACCCGGTGAAGTTTGCACGGGTGATGGTTGACCTTGTCAAGGGCGAGGGAGTCGCGAGTAACAGAAGTGTTCCGTTGAGAATGCCAATAGGTGTAGACTGCTATGAGGACGTGAAGCAGAGATGCGAGGAGACATTGGCTCAATTGAAGGAGTGGGAGGAGGTGATGGTGAGTACCAACTACTACTAGTACCCATAGTAGGCATCAGGGCAGACCGGCAGGCGATGTACGTCTCTGCGGAGTAGCGCTTGAAGACCACGCCATACCACGAATAGAAGCTTCGCCGTCGTGCACACTGCCACGGTGATATCGTGAGGGTAGGAGCAGGCTCCAGACCAGGTGGTGCGAATGACTCGCGTGCCTGCCAGCTGACTAAGGCACGCGACTCGACGTCACGCCTCTCCACCGCGGCGGCATTGCTCTACGAGTTTCGCTGCGGCCCACTACTGCCTGACCAATCTGCTCGCAGGCACTAGCAACTTCTGAGCTGCGCTTACGTCGTTGGAGGGGCCTTTATTCATTTATTGCAAGCTGGCCCGCGTGGCTCTACACATTCACCGTGGCGTCGTTTACAGATCGGTTCGCAGACTTGAAGAAGTCTGTCAATTTTCTTCTACACCACCCGTATCTTGGCACCACGGCCGCGCCTGCCTCGCAGCACCCGCCGCCCACCGACACCCTGTCGCGACTCGCATACATTGCCCGTGAAGGCGGCCTCAGCGACGTGATCGACCTGCTCACCCACCCTCGCTTCGACGATCCTGCATACCTCACCCTGCTCTCCATCCTCGTCGCGACTGTCTTTCTGACCATGTCGTGGTTCTCTCGCGGCACCGGCGGCAGCGGCTGGGGCGGTCGCTTCTCGCCCTTTGGGCGCAGCTCTCCCAACACCGGCGAGGTGTCTGATTCCGACTATTCCTACATCACCTCGGCAGACCTGAAGAAGGAGGAGGGCCGCAACCGCAGCTCGTCGCGCCCCGAGATTGTCGAATGGGACGACAAGGACCCGAACCGCGCGACCGACGTACTGGTCTTCAAGAAGGACGGCACAAAGTACCCCACACACTTTGCCGCGCAGAGCATACGAGATGGTGATCTGAGGATCAGTACGGTACGGCAGGCAGCTGCGAAGAAGCTTGGCGTGGACGACCCGCGCCGGATACGCTTGTTCTACAAGGGCAAGAACCTGAAGCACGACGAGCGCACGGCTCGCGAGGAAGGCCTCCGTGGCGATGGCAGCGGCAGTGAGATTCTGTGCTCGGTAGGCGAGACGGCTACCGGCAGCCTGGCGCCAGGTGCCGAGCCTTCGTCACCACGAGCCTGGAGCGACGGCGAAGACGAGGACGACACTAGCGGTATCGACTCTGGCGTGAACACGTCCGGCAAGAAGAAGAACAGGAAGCGCGGTGGCAGGAAGAGCAAGAAGAAGGGCGCTCCCTCGTCGGACCCCAGCACGCCTGGCCTTGCGTACTCGAACGCTGGACCAGTCGCTGGCGCAGAGTACCTTCCCATTCCTTCCAATATTCCTGGACCCCGACCGACGTCCAAGTCCGCACCTGTGTCTGGCGCCGCAACACCGCAGACCCCAATGGGCAAGCTCGACGTGCTTGCGTCCAAGTTTCATACCGAATACGTCCCGCTGTGCGTCAAGTACATGCAGAACCCACCTGAAGAGCCAGCGAAGAGGCAATTCGAGTACAAGAAGCTGTCTGAGACCATCATGACGCAGATTCTGCTGAAGCTGGATGGTGTTGAGGTCGAAGGCGATCAAGACGCCAGGATGAGGCGGAAAGAATTGGTCAGGGAGGTGCAAGGCATGCTCAACAAGCTAGATGAGATCAATCGAGTCTGATCGTGTCGCTACTGACAAACGGGTCGACAAAAGCTGATGATAATGTTAGCGGGCGTTGGGTCTAGAGCGGACTGCAAAACGCTAGTGATCTGCGATCTGTTCATGTACGTTTGTTTACGATTTCGGGGCTGATGCCTAGCGGATGATGATGCCCGCCAAAGCGCATTCAGCATTGTCTACATGAGTCCAGTTTGATACCAATTCTACCGCAATTTCTTGCCTGATGCTGCACGTGTTATAGGTCACGAGTCTTTGCGATCGATCATGACCTCCTTACAGCCCATAACGACGAAGCCTTGTTCGTAGGGCTTGTCCAAGGAGACTATACTGTATGGAACACCGACCTTCTACAACGGAAACGGCAAGTAATCCCAAATTGGCAGGCGTCATCGCACAGCATGCCCTGCACGCGATGACAGGGATGCGGCAGCCACATAATATCCCCGCCCATGCTCATGGTGCACCGCACCGCCAGTCGCACATCTTCAAGATGCGCTCCCTCACCTGGCTCTCAACTTTCCTCCTTCCCACCGTCCTTAGCCAAACCGTCATCCCACCCAGCACCTGGAATTATACCTATCCATGGACCGTCCACCACTACCCACTCACTACCCAGCTCCTGAATCTTTCAATGGCATACATGGACATCCAACCTAGCTCAGCCCCGATTTCCACCATCGTCCTCCTCCACGGCAAAAATTTCTGCGGCGCAACCTGGGAAGACACCGCGCGCCGTCTGCTTGCGCACAACTACCGCGTCGTCATCCCCGACCAGATCGGCTTCTGCAAGTCCTCCAAGCCGCCCCACTATCAGTTCTCGCTGCAGCAGCTAGCCTCAAATACGAAATCCCTGCTCGACGCGCTGGAAATCCCGCAGGCCAAGATCCTGGGCCACAGTATGGGCGGCATGCTAGCGACGCGATTCGCGCTCATGTACCCCAACACAACCTCCCACCTCATCCTGACGAATCCTATCGGGCTGGAGGACTGGAAGGCGCTGGGTGTGCCGTGGCGCGCGATTGATCTTTTGTACGCGGACGAGCTGAAGACGAATTATACAAGTGTGAGGAAGTACCAGCAGGCGACGTACTACGTCAATACGTGGAAGGATGAGTACGATGTCTGGGTCAATATGCTGGTTTCGCTGTATCGCTCTGGAGAAGAGGGGATGGCGTTTGCGTATGATATGGCGCTTACGACGGACGCGGTGCTGACGCAGCCGGTCGTGTATGAATTTGGGCTTGTGAAGGCGAAGACTCTGCTGTTGATCGGGACGAAAGACAACACTGCTATAGGTGAGTGTTCTAAGATCACTGTTGTGAGAGGTGGTAGCTAATGTGTAGCAGGCAAGGCGTGGAGTCCGCCAGAGGTGCAGGCGAAGCTGGGGCACTACTCGGTCCTGGGAAAGGAAACTGCGGGCAAGATACCAGGGGCAGATTTGGTCGAGTTTGAGGACTTGGGACATGCGCCGCAGATCCAGGAGAGTGAGAGGTATCATGCGGCGCTTTTTGAGTGGTTGGATAGAGTAGGTTGAAGGCGCCGAGAATTCCAACAAGTTCGGATATATTTAATATATGGAACTCAGATATACTAAGAAATGCAGTGATTTTCACTCATATACTGCAGTCTAGGACACTTATGCTGCCAAACAGATGCATAAACTATTCCGGAAGAACCGAAAGCATTTACAGTGAAGCCTGTTGCGCGAGAAAGTGACGCGCCACTGCAAGGGAAACGAGTCGCGTCAGCTCCTTGGGGAGGTTGGTGGATGGGAAGTAGGGGAGAAGAATAGTTTGTTCCATGTTTTCTCCTGGAGTAGTGGGTTGAGTCATCACCTACATCCCACGGGGCAAGAATCCTGTGTTGAATTTTGAAAATCTGCTTGGGTCGTGAAGTGTGGCAGGTGGGAGCTGCCGGAGCCAGCCCCATCCATCCGGCCTAGACAGGCACAGTAATATATCGTCTTCTTGGGCAGCGTTCCCACATGGACTCTACGAAGGGACCTCAATTACGTTACGTCCCGCACGTAGTATGCAAGGCATGCGGCAGAAAGTGAATCGACGCTTGATTAGTATTCTAGCGGCATGTGTGCTTTCAGGTCTACGGCAACCGTAACCATAACCACGATTGCATCTTCCCATGCGCTCCAAGGCAAAATCCAAGTCCAGCTCAGATCCTTGATAGGGTCCAACGCCATTCTTTCCACAAGCAGCTTGTCTCTTGGGTGGACTAAGAGCCAGCGATTCCGGGCCATTTCGCTTCGGAGATTCCGGACAAGAGTGCACATCTCAATTGTCATGACTTTTCCTGCTTCGTTCCAACTTGAGGATTCATCCTCATCTTCCACTAAATTTCGCGCCCACCCAGGCTCGGTCTTTGCGAATGCTCTTCGGAGGCGCGGAAAGTCTGGCGCCAAAGGTGTTGTAGTACTCGGGGTTTTCGCATGGTTCACGCGGAAGGTGACGGCCGCAATCTCTACCAGAGTCCAGTGGATTTTTCCGCGTCAGTCGTAGGTGCTGCTCTCAACATACCTGCTCAGAATAGGATATGGATTGTTGTCGGGGAGTGGTGGATACTGTACGGAGATTGCAGCGGGATGATGAGTGAGTGACGATTGTGTTTATGGCGGCGGAGAGGCACATTGTGGCGGCGGAGAATCATGTTACTACCGGATAAAGCATGTTCGGTACAACTTTGGGAGGAACATTCGGTGCATGGAGGTGGGATATTTCTGCTTCGTGCGCTCGCGCAGTCTCCTCCGATACATCTGGCCCTATTCGGGTTAACTTTGTCAATAATCGCTCCCATATGTGAGGCCGCTTCATGATCGTTCTTGTCTTTCGATATGACTCTGCGGGTCGCCATTGCCAACACCAGGTCTCGAAGTATCGGGCCGTCCGCACTGTTCCTCCTAGGAGCCGGCTTCCTGGGTTATCAATCCAACAAGGCCCTGCACAGTTCTACCTACGTGCGCAATGAGGGGCGGGACGTTGGTTTTGACCGCTTATATAAGCGGGCTACTGGGAATCAGCGCAAGGTTGACCACAATAGTGCTGTATGTTGGTATTACGAGGCGTGAGTGGGTCTGAGCATTGAACGTCTATATTGCCAAACTCCGCTAGGATGGTACAGTCTTCGTTCTCGCGCCCGACATATCGTTTAGTTGAAGTGTAGTCTTCCCCTTCTGCATCATATCTAGCCGTCGCGCCTAATCCCAATTAGGCAACTCACCTCGGCCTCCGATAGCATCATCCTTGACCTGCAGTCCCTCCCCACCACTTGTACTTTACGAATGCACCCCGATTGATATTGTACATAACATTACAGGTGTATAGATTTGTTTGTCACGTTGAAGGTCCCGAAATAAGATATTTGCATAGCACTGGGTACTCGAATACCCCGCAGTCGAGAGCTGAGTGAGCACGCAAGAGCACGGAGCAAAAGAAATACATTCAAGGTTGAAAGACCAGAGATTCAAGCTACGCAGAGAGTAGCCAAAGTACGTGTAACGTGCTGGAAGCAGAAAGTGAAGAGGTGGAACTGGAAGGCACGGTCCTAGGACAAACGCAAAGATTGGAACCACCTCCGTCGGTGAGCAGAGCCCTGAACTCCATCATTCTCGTACAGATCGGAGAATAAACAATTGAGAACACTCGCAAACGCGACCTTAAGCATGGCGAAACCTACGCTTCTCGCTTTCCATGGCTCTGGCAGCAACGACACGATTCATTACGTACAGCTGGCTCGCATATCGCGGTTTCTGAAACAGCATTTCGAGATAGAGGCACTGTGTGGTATGTCAATTTCGACCAGATTACTGTCCATATCCATTCCCACAATATACAATCCAATACCGCCGCTATGTAATCGCGGACATTTACTTCCATCTCCCACAGCTTCATCCATGCATTCTACCAACTCCATAACCCCACCCCGAAACCTCACATTGCATCCTCTAAGTTAAGAAAACCCAGGTCCAATCGAATCTGCCGCCGGCCCAGGTATCCTCCCCTTCTTCGACGGCTGCGGTCCCTTCTACCGCTGGGCACCCCCCAGCGACATCGTGAACGCGTCCACCAGCCCAACCTACGGCCCGATGCTCCCCGAAGTCTGCTCTCTCATCGAAGCCGCCGTCTCCCGGGCACGCAGCAAAGGCAGCAAAGTCGTCGGCGTCATCGGCTTCTCGCAGGGCACACGCGTGGTCGCTGGTCTACTCAAGGCGTCGCAGATCCAGCGGGTGTTAGCGAAGGAAGGAAAGGGCAAGGCTTTGGAGTGGCTAGCTGACATCCGCTTCGGACTGAGCGTGTGTTCGTCGTTCCCGCCGGCGCTGGTGCCTGCGGCTGTGCTGGAGGCTGTTAAAACGTCGGGCCAGGACGAGGACCAGCAGAAGGCGTTGCTGGAAGAAAAGATTGTGCTGCCGGCGCTGCATGTGCTGGGGAGCCAGGATGAGTGGGCGTGGGCGGGGAAGTTGTTGATTGGGAGCGCGTATGAGACGGATGTGGAGCCCAAGGTGGATGTGGAGAAGGGGAAGAATGGCGTTCTTGAGTTTGCTATGGGACACCATTACCCTGTGCAGCCCGAGGATACGGAGAAGGTTGCGAATTGGGTTTTGGGCACGTGGGAAGGCGTGAAAGGAGAGTAGTTGTGCGGGGATACAGGCGCGTCCTGCGAGACTGAGGGCTACGATACGTAGCACGATCATGCGCAAAGCGAGGAATGCGAGAAGTTATGAGGAATTGATAGACTCGCCATAGATTCAGTTTTGTCGTGCATTTCGATGCAGCTCAAGTTGGTTATACAGGAGGTAGTACAAGCCTTTTAGAAGCGAGAAATGCGAGGACTTTAGTCAGAACTAGCAGGTGCGCTCATATTCCCCTCACCTAGCTGAATACCAGGACAGAACAGACCTATACATACATTCTTACGGCATATCTTCCACGGCCATGATTGGGATCAAAGGTCACGCTCTAGCCTCGTATTCAGTTCGGGTTTCTGCATCCCCCTCAAATGGCTTACCCAACACGAGAAAAATTATATTACCGTTCCGCCGACACCAGCCTACTCCTCGCAAACTTCCCTATCACCATGGAAATCCAATATATAAAGCCATGCACTTTTACTGATCACGTCAAGCACGCCTAGTCATAACGCAATTCATCTCCACCGCAATTAGTCCTCCAAACTCTTATTCAATACCCCCAAGTCTCCCTAACTACCACCACCACCATGCATCTCCCAGCACTCACCCTCCTCCTAACCTCCTTCGCCGCCCTCACCACCGCTCTGCCCAGCGAGGACGCTCTGAAGGCAGACCCCCTGGCCCCGCGCGCCAACTGTGATAAGAAAGCCTGCAAGTGCACAGGCGTGTCGAACCCGGGTATCTACTGCGGGTGGTGTCCGCAGGTGACGTCTGGGTGGAACGTGGACCACGCGTATGAATGTGCTACGAACGGGAAGTGTGAGGACTATGGGTGTGTGATATCCGCACGTAAGGTCAAATGCAAATCATCTGACGGGATGATAGGTGTGCGACGAGTCATTGCGGGGCGGGGAGGGGGCCGTGTGATGGGCGGGATAAGTGGTAGAGAAAAGATTATGGAGACGGGTGTTTGGGGGGATGGGGCTGGGGAATTTCACATCTTTTACACGCTATCACGCACACTCTTTTGGCACGGGTTCAAGGATTCACTGGTCGTGGGCAGGCGGACCAGAAAGTGCGAATCGATGCCGCGAGGCTGGAGGGACACGGACTGGGAATTGATATTCCAGTCGAGATTCTTTCGCCGTTGTGAAAGCTCGGATGCTCGAATTCCGACATTCATTTGAACAGCTACCGTCTTATTGCAACAAGTGGTATAATCTCGCAATGTAACACCCCACAACCCAAGTATTTCAACACGCAAAACACCCTCCCTACTCTGGGCCCTCCCCCTTAGCTAAGCCACTCCCCTCCCGTTGATGCCCACTCTTCCTCCCTGACCCGCTCCCCCCGCTACGATTACTCCCCCGACTCCCCGCCCTCTCCCTCCCCTTCTTCCCCTCCAACTCCTCCCTTACGCGCCTTAACACCTCCATCCCCTTCTCACTCTTCCCCATACCCGCTACCAACGCCGTATTCTCCCTCTGCAGCTCACCAATCTGCTCCTTCACAATCCTGAGCTCCTGCTCCGCTAGCTCCGCCCGCGACTTGTACTCGTCACGCTCGCGTTGCGCTTTCTGGAGCGCCGTCTTGTCAGCCTCCTTCTGCTGGCGCGCGAGGAGCTTCTTGGTTTCGCGCTCGCGGCGGGCCTCGAGCTTTCGCACTTCCTTGGCGAATTTCTCCTCTTGCTTCTTTTTCTCGCGGGCGTGTTTTTCGGCGGTTTTTTCGAGCTCCTTTTCGGACTTGGTGGTCAAGGACAGGGTGGATTGGTCCTGCTTGCTGCGCGCGGCGTCAAGCCTTTCTTTTAATTTGGCGCGCTTCTCTTCAATCTTTTGGAGTTCGCGGTTGTGGCGGTCTTGCAGCTGTGTGGGGGACTTTGACGAGTCGCCTGAGGCGAGAGGAATGGAAGTGTTAGATGTGGTGGAGAGAGGGGAGGAGACGGGTGGACCTTCAGGGGCGGTGTTGTACTGTTCTGCAGAGGCGAAGGAATCGATACTTGATAAGCTGGTCGCTGTAGAGCTTTGCGAGTCTGTTCGGTGGAGCGAGTTGATAGCCTGGGCGATAGCTGGATCGGTTTGATCGGACATAGTCGAGGCTTTCTCATTCTGACCGTCAAGGTTTCGCTGAGAGGGGTGGCGTATGGACACGGGACGGTCTGCGATGCTTGTACCTACTCCGGCTAGTATACCATTGTTCTCTACTATCGATAGCCTTGGCTGACGGTCGAAACTTTGCCTGGTATGTTCTTCAAGGGGTTCAGCCACTGTTGAGTGCTGTTCGTCTTCTTCTCGAGAGGGGAAATCATCATTCGAGCATGCCCAGTCCAGAAATTTTCCGGCATCATTGACGATACTTCCCGGGGTACCTCGCTCGACCATGAATCGTGGTATACCACCCCCAGGGTCGCTTCTCGTAATCATTATCCATTCGACAGGGTTCGTCTCCGGGTCATCGTCGTCTGCTTCGTCTATCCTGTCGATTCTCTCGCCTTTTGCGTGTGGTCCTCTCGATTCTGCAAAGCTGATCGTGTGGTCTCTCGGCCTGGTCTTCTTCTGATCTTGTTTATGGAGATCAGATGTTGAGGCCGATACATGTCGAGAATGCGCGAGTGGAATTTCGCGGATCATTTCGACGGACTCGTATTGGCCGCGAACCATGCCGTCTCTCGGGGGCGCACTCTCATGTGAAACAGGTATTGAGACGACCATGTAGTGTCGTGGCATTACGTCGCCGACTTTGGACGCGTTGCTCAGGCAATTGGGCGAAGTGAGCAGAAGGGTCAGGAACTCGCGAGGGGCGGTCGGTCCAGGGAACTGTGCGGAGAGTTGGTACACCTCGAGCTTCCCGATCCCGTCAACATTAATGTCCTCCAAGCGTTGGTCTCCGCCAATCCCCCGCACGTTGCCCTCTCCCGGCCCGCCTTGTACCTCCAGACTTGCTGGGAACTCGCGCATCATGGCTTTCTTCCATTTCGCAAAACCGAGCCCCTCATGCACGCTTGTCCTCGCAAACCACGCGCCGTGTCTATCGTGTCCCGCCATCTTGAACACACTAATGCCCGTCGCCGTCTCCTTCGCGCCCAGCTTCACCGGCTTTCCCCATGCTTTGTGTAACGCCTCGTGCTCTGGTCGTATCGGCCTTCGGGCCTTCGATATCGTAAGTTCTGCCGCGGATCTTGCGCAATTCGCATCGCTGCGGGAGCGTTGCGACGACTCGTAGGGCGTGCCATTGGGCGGTGGCGGTACGGAATTCGCTATGAGCTCTGCCTTGGCGAAGATTTCAGGAAGGAAGGTCTTCAGGTCATTCACCGGGATATCTGCAAAGTCCTTTGGGCGTAGGCACTCCAGTGCCTTGTGCAGCTCTGCCATACTTTGGTTGAGTGGGGGCAGGTTTGCGAAGCCACGGGGTATGGGGATCTACGCAAGTGTCGCTGCGGGTCGCTTTTAGGCTGCAGATCCACTTGTGAAGCTGGTGGTCTATTGATTTACGTAGATGGTGCGTTATGTGAAGCTGCTAGATGTCCGAGGTTTCCGTGGTCGGCGCCGACGCGCATCAATGACAGCCATTCATTGGGCTCGCGTTTCGGGCCTGGAAGCGAGGGATGAGTGCGGAAGAATGGGCAATCGCTCAGGGAAATAGTATGCCAGCACGAGTCTACAGTGGAACGAGCGAACGAGGCTTACACGCGATGTCTACATGGCTGTTTCCTGTACACAGCAAGCCCGAGACACGCAGGGAACATGGGACGTCATACCAAGGTAATATGCCAAGCTTCTGGGGCAGAAAGCGCCGGCCTAGTGCTAACGCAGGGCCTCCCACAGCCCCGATCGTGCACGCCACGCCTCGGCCTTGTGGATGGGCCGTGCCGAGTGCGCCTGAGAGACCCTCTTTTAGGAATACCTTGCGGACGATAGGCGGCTGTAATCTCGCCCTCGGGCCAGGACGAAGGGCAACTGCAGCTGCACATTGAAATCTGCATTTACACAAATAAATCAAACTATGAATTCTACTCTAAGCTGCAGTAACGAGAGGGGTATAAGGCCACATGGCATGGCAAATAGTAGTTGCAGGGTCGTCGCAGCGCTTTCTAGATGACAAAGGGTATTTCTGCTGACCAAAAGCTGGGCCATTGACAAAGGCCGTCCCAAACCTATTATACAAGAACATAGAGAGCACACATCTGTCAAAGTCAGCTTCGCTGCACACCACGCGCAAGTTCGCTACTCACCATTGCAAGCCCGAGGATCATCGAGCACCAGAAGAGCACGTTGTTTAGAAGGGTGCGGCCCTTCACCCATTTGGACCGCTGCACCAGCACTATGGGCATTTGCAGCATCATCGCGATGAAGCCGTAGCCGCGGAACTTCCGCGTGATGCAACCCATAACTAATTCGTGTGCGAGCGCGCTGATGAAAAAGGTTATTGTCGTCGCAAGTGGGCGCGACATGTGACCACGCGATGCTGAATAGACGTGTCGCCGGAAGAAGTGGTGCACCGGTTTGTTCCATTCTCGCGAGAACTCCAGCCAGTCGCAACTGTTCCACCAGTCTGCAAAGAATTGACGGTCGGCGAATCCTGTGAGGTTTAGTATGATGATCTAGGATTCAAGCATGTCACTTACGCGTAATCTCTGCAAAGGCGCCGAGTATGTACTCAAAGATCACGAGGAAGACAAGAAGGAATGCGACCATGAACGGAAACAGTAGACGTCCTATCGTCTCCGAGAGGATCAAGGCAAACTCCGAAGCACTGGTCGACGTTTGCAGCGCAATGGCAGATTCGTCTAGAACGGGTAGAATGAACTCTTCAGTCGTAATCGTCAGGAGGAAAATGCACCCGAACACAGCCAGTGTCTTGTAGAAGAGCTCCAACCAGCGGGTCGATGCTGTTCGAGGGTACTCCAACTCGTAACACAATGTAGGGCAGAAGATGAAATCCGTATAGTTTGCGATGGTAAGATTTTCAGGGTACGACACATGTCCGAGAGGAGACGTCAGTTCAAGCGCAAGATCCTCGCGAAGATGCACCACTCGCTCTTTTTCCGAGTCCTCTTTGTTTTGGTGCGTGGGAGATTGGGGTATCTCATGAAGATGTGTGCGCGCTGCGGGGTACCTATATGCTGCAGCCTTGGATACGTTTTGTGGGTTATCGAGATCGTAAAGCCTGCGTCTAGTTTCGCTGAGATGGCCATTGTAGAAACTGGTTGTGTCAGTCGCATTAAGCTACAAGTTACATTCAGGCAGCTCACGCATAGGAATGCATCTTCATAAAGATGGCAAGCAAATGTAGCGTGAAGAAGACCTGGGCAGTCCAGCTCCAATCGCGGATGAAGGGGTAGGTGCACCAGAAAGCCAGCCAGAAGACCTGGTATATGCTCTGAATCGCCATGCCCAGCTTGCTCCAGCGGAAGATGCCGTTGCTGTTCATGAAGAACTTGTGCATGGGTAGTGAGAGCGCGGTCGACCCCACCATGAGTCCGTCAATGACGCCTAGTTCATACACCTTCTCCCTGAACAGGTCCCATTGTCTGATACTCAGAGGATAGCCCGTCTCCTTGTAATGGCGCAGCATAGTGGTTATGACCATGATGGCAAGCCCAATCCAGAACAGCACAAAGAACCCGCGAAAGTCTCGGTAGTCGCTTGATGGATCGAAATGCGATACGCGATCGACGTATTCGATGGTGGGGAAGATGCGCCGTTTTTGCTCAGCTCGAACCTGGCGGCGTGCCGACGAGGTTGCCTTGACTGATGGAGGAGCATTTTCGGGGATGGGCGTGGTACGTCCACTGCGGCCGTCAGTATCAACACTCGCATTGCTGCTGGATGCGTCTACAGGGCGCTGACCCACCTAGAGATACCTGAGGCATTGCCCTCGATCTGACCGTTTGCGCCTATTGCCTCATCGCTCAGACGCGGCCGTAGAAAGTCTATGCGCGTAGGTTTGCGCGCTCGCGGCTCGTGTACGTGTGCGTGCCCGTTCTGGGTTGCCGCGTCGATGGAGGTGGATTCGGCCATGATGAAAGGACACGACTTGCAATCATACCATGCTGGAAGGGCAGGTGGGCCTTGGAGGTCGACTTTCTTATATGTGGTGTCAGCCCAGCCGTCAGTGCTGATCACTGCTCGGCTTCACGCGTGTGAATCCCGAGGGGGCGTGGTGCGTGTTACAGTCGGTGAAAAGTGGCAGGGGTCGTTCTGCAGAGGGTGGCTTCGCAGTCCGAAAAGGGAACGTGTATGAGAGGGCCAGATCCTGATCAGGGCATAGACGTACAGTGCAAGTGCTGTGCAGCGGGCGACTGCAGGCGTAAACACGAAGGCAAGGTAGGCTACTTTAGCTGGCCGGCGATGACGGAACGCTCGGAATGGCAGCGGAAGCCATGTGCCACAATGTACATTTACATCACCTGGCCGCGAGCAAGTGCGTCTAGCTGCTTTGGGCGCAGTGGGAAGGTGCGACGGCCCGACGTTAGCCCGGGCTGCATTGCGGCTGCTGGTTTGGGGAGAGTGCTGGTGCTCCGAATAATCAGCCACCATTGCAGTATCTCACGACCACGGATTCCCTCGACACTTCGCCAGCACGTCCGACGTTGGAGCAGCCCCGCCCCGAGCTCCGCCGCGCCGCAACTGGTGATTCTCGACATTCCGCCCAGGTGGGGTCCGCGAGACCACCACAATGACTTCGTGTATGCCTACCTCTGTGCCCCCGGTATGGACTCGACGCTGAGATGTGACTAGTGAAGCAATTCATCCGCAATGTGCGCGCAGCAAAGACCATCGCCGACGAGCGGGCTGTGGTCCAGAAGGAGAGCGCTGCCATCAGGGCCAGCTTTAGGGAGGAAAGCCACGATTCAGGCGTGAGGTGTGTACCCTCCGCGTCTTGGTCGAGGGGACACCTGCTCACCACAACCCAGGCGAAACAACGTCGCGAAGCTCCTGTACCTCTTCACATTGGGCGAGCGCACGCATTTCGGACAGATAGAATGTCTGAAGCTGCTGGCATCCCCCCGCTTCGCCGACAAGCGGCTGGGTTATCTGGGCACCATGCTGCTGCTGGATGAGAACCAAGAAGTCTTGACGCTCGTGACAAACTCGCTCCAGAAGTACGTGCGCAGTCTCGCAAGTTCAACATCATCGCTAACGGCTGCCTAGCGACTTGAACCATCCCAACCAGTATGTCGTCGGCCTCGCATTGTGCACCCTCGGCAACATTGCCTCTGTCGAGATGGCGCGAGACCTGTTCCCCCAAGTCGAGACCATCCTATCCAGCGCGAACCCGTACATACGACGGAAAGCCGCCATCTGCGCAATGAGGATATGCCGCAAGGTGCCCGAGCTACAGGAACACTTTTTGGAGAAGGCAAAGCTTCTGCTTCAGGACCGGAATCATGGGGTTTTGATCTGCGGCTTGAACTTTGTCATAAGCCTTTGCGAAGCAGACGAGGCCGAGGACGATGAGAACGGCATCAGGGACATATTCCGCCCGGTAGTGCCAAGCATGGTCAAGATTTTGAAAGGATTATCGGCGTCTGGATATGCCCCAGAGCACGACGTGCAGGGCATCACGGATCCATTCTTACAATGCAAGATTCTAGAACTGCTCCGCGTCCTGGGCCGAGGCGACAACGGGGTCAGCGAACAAATCAACGATATCCTAGCGCAGGTCGCGACCAACACCGAATCGTCCAAGAACGTCGGGAATTCCATCTTGTATGAAGCTGTGCTCACAATCCTGGACATCGAAGCGGATTCTGGTCTCCGTGTGCTTGGCGTCAACATCCTTGGTAAATTCTTGTCTAACCGGGACAACAACATTCGATACGTTGCTCTCAATACTCTCATCAAAGTCGTTGCCGTGGAGCCAAATGCCGTGCAACGCCACCGGAACACGATTCTCGACTGTTTGCGAGACCCCGATATCTCCATCCGGAGGAGAGCTTTGGACCTCAGTTTTACGCTAATCAACGAGAGCAACGTTCGCGTTTTGATCCGTGAGCTCCTTGCGTTCCTGGAAGTTGCCGATAACGAGTTCAAGCCTGTGATGACAAGCCAGATTGGCATTGCTGCGGACCGTTTCGCCCCAAACAAGAGATGGCATGTAGATACAATGCTTCGTGTACTGAAGCTTGCTGGTAACTACGTGAAGGAGCAAATTCTGTCCTCTTTCGTCCGTCTCATTGCGACAACACCGGATCTCCAGACATACTCTGTCCAAAAGCTTTACGCCGCACTAAAGGACGATATCACGCAGGAGGGTCTGACCCTCGCAGGCGCATGGGTCATCGGCGAATATGGTGATGCTTTATTAAGAGGTGGACAGTACGAAGAGGAAGAGCTTGTTAAAGAGGTCAAAGAGTCTGACATCGTTGATCTTTTCGAGACAATACTGAGCAGCAGCTATGCCGGACTCATCTCTACCCAGTATATCATCACAGCTTCAATCAAGCTCACAACCCGGCTGAACGAGCCCGCACAGGTGGAGCGATTGAGGAGGTTATTGCAAAGATTTGGCACCAACCTGGATATTGAGATCCAGCAACGTGCTGTCGAGTACCTCAACCTTTTTGGTGTCGACCAAATTCGGAGAGGTGTTCTCGAAAAGATGCCCCCTCCCGAAATTCGTGAGGAACAACGAGTGCTTGGAGAAGCGACTAAGAAGCGGCAGTCGAAGGTTCTGAAAAAGAAGCCGGCTCAGGCTGCGACCGAAGACCTTCTCCTCGACCTCATGGGCGATTCTGGAGTGTCTGGGGATGTCAACGGTAATGGGTCGCAGGCTCAAAGCGCCGACTTGCTTGCAGATATCCTTGGCGGAGGCGGCCCATCCACTTCGTCACCTGGCCCTCAGACAACCTCACCGCCTCCTTCTAATGTCGCCAACATTATGGATCTCTTCAACTCGGGCCCTTCGAGCTCTCCAGCGCCTGCGCAATCACGACCGCCACCCGCATCATCTTCATTAGACATACTCGGCGGCATGTCGTCTCCACCACCACAAAGCTCAACCCCTGCCGCAGCAGGGCCACCAGCACATACTGCCTATAACAAGAACGACCTACACGTCACTTTCCAGCTGAAGCGCGACGCGACTGCTGTGCAGCTCCTTGCTCGTTTCCGAAACGTGGGCACCTTCAGCCACCTATCCGGAGTTAGCTTGCAAGCTGCCGTGCCCAAGAGTCAGAAGCTTCAGTTACAACCCATCAGCTCGGGTGAGCTGGACGCTGGCCAGGAAGCTACACAGCAGATGAGAGTAACCGCCGTCAATGGGGTAAGTTTCCATGTCAACAAAGGTTTTGCACCATTACTAACGGCCTTACAGACTGCACCTGCACGGTTACGACTGAGGCTGAAGATCGGATACTCAGCTGGCGGCGCACCGGTGACGGAGCAAGTGGACTGGTCTGAGCCCACCTAGGCGCGAACACTGGACTGTTGAGAGTATTCGTAACGTAGGATAGGGTATAGAGTAAACCATATCTTGTTCAAAGCACAAATATACCATGGAGTAATTGCCACGCCCTGCTCTTGCGCAGATTCTTCTTTGTTCTTTATCTTCTATACATATGGCTCCGCGATTGAGAGGAGCCCTTTCCACCTTTCGCGGTCAGTTCCCATAATCCCCCCTAGCTTCTGCCGACAGACATTCCACGCACGTCGCCCCCCAAATCTACCGGACACTAAGTGCATTGCAGCGTCCATGGCGTTTGCAATGCTACAAGAAAGAACAGAATACCCAATGTACGAGGCACAATGAGCCATATTGCGTCGTACGCCTCTTCGCCGCAGTCCCACCTCGCAACTTCACTTCCTACCAAAAGTACAAAATGCGTACATCCGTAATTGCAAAACCATCAAAGGAAAATGAGGACCAGTTGGAGTCGACCCCCAACAACAATCATGCCCTACGACAGCGAAAAGACACCCAGCTTCCGCCCATTCCAGACATGGCATTTTGCATCTGGAGAACTGTGTCTCTTTCTCACTACAACCCCATACCCTTCCCAAATCACCTCCTGCCTCAGTGCTAATCTCAATCAGGTCTACGCGCGTCCCTCACGCGCCGACGAGCTGGAGAAGATGTACGCCGAGACTACGCGCCTCGCACAGTATGAGAAGGGGATAATCTACTATTGATTGGGAAGGGATGGTGAGAATCCGACGGTGCTTCATTTCTATAAGAGGTATGTATGATTCTCTGTATTTCTGGAAAGAAAGCAGGTTGGCTGATTTTTTCTAATTTTTTTTTTTTGGAAAGGTATAGAGGAAAGAAAGCGTTTGAGGAGCATCATCGGACGCCGGTTGTGGAGAAGTTGCTAGCGGAGAAGATGTTCAGGAGGGTGGTGGCGAGGTTTGTGAGGCCGATTTTGGCGAGCGAGGGGGAGGGAAGTGATGGGAGAAATTGGACTGGAGTAAGATACCGCCATACCTCTGATCCCCCTTATCTACACGACGATACAGTAAAGAATCTTGATCATTGTACACATGAGGCCTTTTCAACATCGTGATGCCAAGAATGTCCGTTAGCCTTCATCTGGAGCTCGTAAAGTCTTATTTGCTAGAGTTTTATCATGTCGTAAAGGTCCACCACGTCAACTGGATTGTTGAAGTTCGTGCCGCTAAGGATCAGGTCATGCTCACTTCTAGTTCCCGCGTAGGTCTCGCTTGATCCGCCTGGGGAAAGTGGGTGATCACCACTACTTGCACTACCGAAGAAGCTGTTGCTATCACGGCCACGGATGCGCTTCTTTCTGCCTGGTGACATACTCCGTACTGAATGGGAAAGGTGTACGAGGTGAATATTGCTACTTGGCCCTGACGACTGCTCATTCAAGGCTCGGTTATGGATGACCTACCACTTTGAGCTAGCGTGTTGTTGTGGCCCCTTATCTATTTATACCCAACGGCACATATCAGCATCCCTACGACGCGTGACCTTGTGGGGATCACAACGTCGAACGTGCTTTTGTTGTAGCGACGATGAACGACAGCAGCGAGTGCCTTCTTTCTGCAGATGCTGCATTCGGTCCTTCCGTGCAAGCGCCGTGCCGTGATGGCTTCGACTTCACGTTCACATTTGAGCAATACTTCTTCACAGTCGCGCCCTGCGCGCTGTTGCTCATATTGAGTGTACCGAGATTATATTCCCTGAGTCGCTCGAAACCAAAGGTGGATGGGAAAGCCCTCAAAGTGGCAAAATTGGTAAGAGCGTCTTGCGTTTGTCGCGCTTGCTGCGTGTTTCCTGACGGATGATGTGCAGACGGCGATTCTTGCGCTATCATGCCTGCAACTAGCTACTCTGGTACTCTGGGCAACTGACACTCAATTGCGAGCTCGCACTCCAGCATTGGTCGGCTCGGCCTTCGCCTTCATCGCATTTCTTTTGTCGTGCCCGCTATCGTACCTAGAGCACACTCGTGCCATTCGTCCTTCAGCCCTCCTTAACATTTATTTGTTCGTTACTCTGTTCTTCGATGCCGCAGTGCTTCGGACTTTATGGCTGATGCCATCTCTTGCTTCCTCGATTTGTGAGATCTACACTGCTTTGTTCGCCATCAAAGTCGCCTTGATGTTTTTGGAGGCGCAGGAGAAAGCGAAATATGACGATGCGAAAGAGATTAATCCCGAGGCTTTCAGTGGCATTTACAGCCAAGGCCTGTTTTGGTGGCTGAACAAGCTCATCTGGGCGGGCGCAAAGCACCTTTTGAGTCCAGCAGATTTGTACTCTGTCAGCTCGGACATGACCTCCGAGGTCCTAGGTTCGAATTTGTGGGATCGATGGAGTTCCGGCAAGTTAACGATCTAGCATGTATCAACCACCACAAGCTGACAATGAACAAGACATCAAGAGCGGCAATCCAAAGCTAGTCTGTGTAGTCTTTAGCGCCCTCAAATGGCAGATCATGGCGCCTGTTCTACCTAGATTGGCGCAGGTTGCTTTCACGCTTTGCCAGCCAGTTCTTCTGCGTCGTCTCTTGAAATACTTAGCCGATGATGAACAGAATCCAAATATCGGCTATGGACTCATCGGAGCGTATGGAGTGGTCTACATTGGGATGGCCGTATGTTCGACCTCCTTCTCGGCTAAACCTTGCTTATGACGCGCAGATCACTAATGCTCTTTACTGGCATCACCAACTCCGTTTTCTCGTTATGCTACGAGGATCAATGATCACTACAGTCTTCAGAAAAGCTACGGACCTCAGTCTAGGACAATTCGATCCTGCAGAGTCGGTCACCTTGATGAGTACAGATGTGGAGAGAGTCAACAGAGGCTTGCTAGATATGCATGATTTCTGGGCCAATATAGTCCAAGTTGCCGTCGCAACATGGTTGATCAAAGTTGAACTTGGAGTCGCAGCTGTCGCTCCAATTGCAGTTGCTCTAGGTACGGAGTATTCTTTAGACTACCAGTCAACTTCCACTAAACAATGAAAAGCCACCCTTGGAGTCACCATGTGGCTTTCAAGCTTCACAACAAAGTTCCAGATGGCCTGGCTGGGGAAAATCCAGGGACGAATTGGACTTGCTTCCTCTGTTCTCTCATCGATGAAGATCATCAAGATCTTAGGCTTGTCTACTAAAGTAGGCCGGAAGCTTGAGCAAGCCCGTATCGATGAAATTCAGACTGCCGGGAAGTTCCGACTGATTAGCGTTCTTTCCGCTAGCATGGGTACGTTTACTCGGCGACTACCGCCACGAACTGATACTGACCATGTCTAGCTAACGTGCCTATGCTGATTTCGCCTGTCATCACCTTCGTGATCTTCATTGCTACTGCGAAGGCACATCATACCACACTCGATCCATCCAAGCTCTTCACGTCACTCTCTCTTCTTATCCTTCTTTCGGAGCCTCTCTTTGGGCTATTCGCCGGACTCATAGACTTGATGTCAGCAATCGGATGCTTTGCCCGTATTGAGAAGTATCTCTTGACTCCGTCTCGGTCGGAGCACAGAAACTTCACGACTGTAGGAGAGAGGTCTTCTGACTCCTCGGAAAGAGCTTTGACCCCGATAGCCTCCAAAGCCTCCAACGGAGCTAATGAAGCCATGGATAACGCAATGGTACGAATTCGGAATGGGAATTTCGGCTGGAAAGTCGACGGCGAGCCAACACTTCGAGATATCAACATGACTATAGCGAAGAACCAATTGATCGCCATTGTTGGCCCTGTGGGAAGTGGAAAATCGACCCTCCTCAAAGCGATACTCGGAGAAACTCCGTACTACGAGGGAGACATGCACGTATCAAATCCTAACATCGCATGGTGCGAGCAAGAATCTTGGCTCATAGTAAGTTCTCGGTAACCCTGGTTCGCTGAAAGACTGACGAAGTTTTCCTTCACAGAACGGTACAGTACAACGAAACATCATTGGCTTCTCCAGCTTCGATGTCACACTGTACAACGAGATCATCTGGTGCTGCGATCTTCACTCAGACTTGGTTGCGCTCCCCAAAGGTGATCAGACCAAGATCGGTAGCAAAGGGTTATCTCTAAGTGGTGGGCAAAGGCAGCGCATTGTAAGTTACTAATAGTCGAGGGAATGAGAAGCATTCTGCTGACTCACTCAGGCCATTGCGAGAGCACTTTACTCTGGTAGAGACTTCTTCATATTCGATGACATATTCAGCATGTTGGACATGAGCACACAGAACAAAATCTTCTCCCGGGTCCTTGGGCCTAATGGGTTGATGCGGAAACGTAGAGCGACTGCCGTACTGGCAACACATGCAGGTACAGTCAACACAGATTGATCCGAAGTATATATGCTGAATGTGCAATTAGAGAGATTTCTTCGTTACGCCGACCATATCATCGTCCTTTCTAGCAAAGGTACGATATCCGAGCAAGGATCTTTCGCTGATCTCTCAAAGGCAGGCGGCTACGTAGCTCCTAGTGCGAAAGTCAACTCTAGCGAGTCCTCTGTGAACACTGTGTCAGGCGACGCCGATCCAAAAGTCGATTTTGCATCATCCGACGCAACTGTAGCCGACGACACGGCTCCTCTCGACAAGGCTCGTCAAATCGGTGACTTTAAAGTGTATCGCTACTACTTCTCATTCTTGAGCTGGAAAATAGGTTTCATGTTCCTGGTTCTACAAGTCTCTTACGCTTTTCTCAACACTTTCCCAAGTAAGTGGATCAACTGCTTGTCATAACCGGCTCTAATGATGCACAGCTGTTTGGTTGAAGTGGTGGACCGATGCGAATGATCAGAGCACTCATGACAGGAGTGCATTGTACGTCGGAGTATACGCAGCTTTTCAAATTTCGGCCCTTGTGGCCTCAGCTTCTGTTACATGGTGAATAGTACCCGCTACAGCGTCTGTACCATCGCGTGCTGACCATATCTTTAACAGGTGGTCTTTCAACGTCATGGCCGTTCAAACTGGGCTCAAATTACACGACATTGTAGTCAAGACAGTCATGGCGTACGTGTCTTCAGCGGGAGCGAAGTGTACGTTCTAACGACTTTCAGGGCCCCTCTCACCTTCTTCAGCACAACTGATAGTGGAGATACACTTACCAGGTATGTTCGATCAAAGTTCTCTTCCAGTACATACGATAATGTTGGATCAGGTTCAGCCAAGACTTTCAGCTACTGGACATGTCGTTGCCTCTAGCTTTGATGGTAGTAGTCACAAGTAAGGATCCCTTCTGATATCACATTCGCATACTGACCTTGGCAGACGCGCTCATATGTATGGCCCAAATTGCTCTTATCGCCACAGCATCCGCTTGGATAAGCCTCAGCTTCCCTTTCCTCTTCGCAGTTTTTTATTTCGTCCAGAAATACTACCTTCGTACGTCGCGCCAAATGCGACTCCTTGACATCGAACAGAAGGCGCCTCTATACACACAGTTTGGAGAGACTCTAGAAGGACTCGCTACCATACGAGCGTACTCGTGGACCCAACATACGATCGAACATAGCAACAAGCTGGTGGACAACAGCCAGAAACCATACTACCTGATGTATGCGATCCAACGATGGCTCTCGCTTGTGTTAGACCTTATTATTGCCGCACTGGCCACTTTGGTCGTTGGTATTGCCATAGCCCTCCGGGATGCTATTTCGCCTGGCTTCACTGGCGTCTCTCTCACACAGCTTATATCATTTTCATCGTATCTAAAGCTGATGATAATGTTCTGGACGCAGATGGAAACCTCGATTGGCGCTGTGGCACGCATAAAACGGTTCGGCGAGCAAACGGCCAGCGAACACGACTCTGATGTGCAGGACCCACCGCAAGACTGGCCGAGTCGTGGGGAGGTATCCATCACCGATGTTACCGCAAAATACGCACCAGACAAGGACGCCACTGCGCTATCGAACATTTCGTTGACAATTAGACCAGGCGAAAAGATTGGCATTGTAGGCCGCACGGGCTCGGGGAAGTCTTCGCTTATTCTCACGCTGTTCCGCATGCTGGATGTCTCGTCCGGCAGCATCACCATTGATGGTCTCGATATATCCACACTCAAGCCTGAAGGTGTACGACGGCAGATTGTCGGCGTCACCGAGGCTCCATTCATCATGCCAGGTACGGTGAAAGAGAATCTCGATCCCTACGCGGAAGCCAACGACGAGAGTCTCACTTCTGCATTGAAGAAAGTCGGATTATGGGACACGGTAGAGAGCATTGGGGGCCTCGAGGCCGACACGGAAGCCCTGAAACTGAGCGTTGGTCAACGACAGCTGTTCAACATAGCGGGGGCCTTGGTCAGGAAGGCAGGAAAGATTCTGATTATGGATGAGGCTACGAGCAGGTATATGAAACTTCACGTCGTGGGTAGACGTTTGGCTGACCGGGTGTAGTATCGATGAGGCAACCGATAAGATCGTGCAACGCGCTATCCGTGAGGAATTCAAGGACCGTACGGTTATCTACGTCGCGCATCGTCTCGATGCTATCCTCGACTTTGACCGTGTGGCGGTCATGGACAAGGGGTCTCTTGCGGAGATCGACGAGCCGAAGAAGCTTTTAGCGAGAGAAACAATGTTCAGGGCGCTGTATAATGCTAGTTCAAAGGGTAACAGAGTTGCTAGTGAGGGAGATGGAATCGATATTGATCAAATAAAAACGCATTAGAGAGTGGGTTGAAGAACTAGGCGGGCTATTCTTCTCTTCTGAATGCAATGGGTGGTGATTATGGAGCTAATGGGAGGGTTGGTACATATCTAGATATTAAAATAGACTGCAGATATTTGTTGTGATAGGGGCCCAGCGGTAGCTACTGCACTCACCAGAATAAAGGAGAGGCATTCCAATTTGGCCACCAGCTAGCTGTCTGTCATATGGCGTTTGGGCGGGGTGAGGCTCCAGACCAAGTGCAAGCAAACCCACAAAAAGTCAAAAAATTGGGTACGCCAGGAATCGAAACTGGGTTTCTCCGAGAAATGAAGGTGCTGGTTCCGCCGTGTAGGTATCCTGGTGGACCCCGAGTGGATCAACCCCAAGACATGAACCCGGCTCAGTATGTACTACGAATGTAGCATCATCAGACATACGCATCCTACTGGGTTACGAGCGAACCCGTACCATTTCAGAGCGCTTGACCACTAGGCTATGCGTCCTCTCATATTGAGAGGCGATAAGACGATGAGGGCGTATGGAGTATAAATACGCATAGCTTTTGAGCAGGTTGGTGCCTGGAAGGATCAGTCGAGACTTTGAGAGCTGGGGTAGGTGAGAGTAAATTCTGAAGATGGCTTTGTCCCGATGAAGTTGAGTGTACGAGTGTTGGATCAGCTTCCTGACCGGTGACGCTTATATAAACTAACTAGTTGGTGTCACCTGCCATATTAACTAGTAATGCCTTCCAACATGTTTCGCACGAGGCAATTGCAGCACGTGTAGGCTACGCGTCTTGGATGTGGCGGGCTGGTGCTGCTGAGTTGGCTATTCAAACCACAACGCGTCTGAGTTTTCTATGCAATACAATAAATGAACACTTGAAGTATGCCTAAAGGTCTATCCATTTGCAGAATGGTGGGTGTATGATCACTTGGTGAGGGACTGAGTCACGGGCCTAGTCATACCATCGGTCCACATTCGTAATTTTTCCAATCATTGATGGTACGCAATGAAAATCAACCAAATATTACTTCGGCTGTATCGTGTTGTTTATCGATCAGTCAAGAGCTACAAAACGGAGGGACTATGCGTGAATGGGTGGGTACATAGCGGTGAATTACAAATCAGGTTCGCAAACCCAGATATCGGTTCCCATAGCTACAATATGATAGGAGCATCCAACAAGTTTCAAGGTCAACAGGGATCCCTAATAAGACGAAATCCCGAGCTGGTATTTGGTCAATCGATGAAATAATTCATCCGCACGCGGGTGTTGGGTTGAGGATGGGCCTCGTCGTCGATACTTGAATAGAAGTGCGGTAGAAGCTAAACGCTGGTGTCCTAGAATGACATGAAATAAATTAACCAAGTCTTACCGCTCATGCGTGACATAATGGTGTGTTTCATAACAACAAACCTACCTACGAAGCTACATACGACTTGGCTGCTTCCGAATCGGATGATGGTTGTGTGTCCAATTGTACGCGCGCCATGCTGCAATTCGCGCAAAGGCGTGCTTACGCATTACAAATCCACCATCTAACATCACTATAACAAGGCCAGCATTGCAGCCCGAATAGCAACACTCGCGCTCTACCAGCTTCAGGGTCCAGCTTTGTAGATTAATTGCATTCAACTTGCCTCGCTGCGTTCACACCCAGCACTTCTGTGCATCCCATCAAATATCCCAGCATCGACCACTTGCACCCCATCTCACAGCTCCAAGCATTAAACCCCATAAAGACTTCACCATGGCATCCGCCCCCACCCCCCTCCGCACAGCCCTCATCGGCCTCTCCTCCAGCGCAACCACTTCCTGGGCCTCAGCCGCCCACCTCCCGGGCCTCCTCTCTCCGACAGGCCGCTCTAAGCTCCCCATCACTGCGCTCCTCAACAGCAGCGTCAGCGCCGCCCAATCTGCCATTCAAGTCTACAAGCTCGCCCCAGACACGAAAGCCTACGGCTCTCCCGAGGACCTCGCCAACGACCCGGACGTCGACCTCGTGATCTGCAACACGCGGGTGGACACGCACTTCGCGACGATCCTCCCGAGCGTGCGGAAGGGGAAGGATGTTTTTGTTGAGTGGCCGATTGCGGCGGGGCCGAAGGAAGTGGAGACGTTGGTGAGGGAGGCGCGGGAGAGTGGGAGTAGGGTTGCGGTGGGGCTGCAGCGACGATGGGCGCCGCCGGCGGTGAAGCTGAGGGAAGTTATTAGGGATGGGTTGGGAGGGAAGACGTTAGGGAAGATATTGAGCGTGGACGTGAGGGCCTTTGGGGGGACGATTGACAGAGATGTTGTGCCGGAAGGGTTGGCGTATTTTCTCGACCGGAAAGTGGGCGGGAATGTGGTTGTGATTGGGAATGGACATTGTGAGTCTTCATGTATCTGGTGTAGGCGAGAGAAGGGCTAATTTGGTATAGTGCTCGACACCGTGCTCTCTGTGGTGGGCGACCTGGAATCAAGCTCAGTCCACTCACAGCTCCAGCTCCAGCGCCCCAATGTTCGCGTGCGCGACCCTTCCACCAACAAGATCATCAAAACGATCCGATCGGACGTCCCAGACTTGATATCTCTGCACGGCACATTGCAGTCCTCCTCAGCAACCTTCTCGTACCTCTTCCGCCGCGGCCAGCCCTTCCCCGGCACACCTGCTCTAACCTGGACCATCAACCTCGAGTACGGCGAAATCCGCCTTGTGTCACCCTCAGGCCTCAGCCTGGAGCTGGGAGAGCCTGCCACCATCCACGTGCACTGGTTCGACAGCAATGAAGTGGAGGAGGTCAAGTGGGAGTGGGATGCAGAACAAGCTACGTTGCCGCCTTCAGCGAGGAACGTGATTTCTACGCTCGTTGCGTTTGCTGATCGCAAGGCGCCTGGAGATGGGTGGGTAAGCCTCGAGGACGCGGCGAATCGGGCGAGGCTGATTGAAGGGTTTTTGGCTGAGTGGGAGAAGAGCCAGAAGTGATAGGTTTCAGACAGCTTTGTGGAGGGTGATATTCAGGATGCTCAATTCCCATTGGCATCAGTCTTTCAAAGCTGAAATAATACTCGATTGGCTACCTGCATCTTCCCATAACCATCTCTGTATCTTACCTCCCCCACCTTCCTTCTCTTCACAAGACACATAGACATCCTTGTGCATATATAATCCTCGACACACCCAATCGTTCATGGAACACAGGGCGCGGGGTCTAGTGGTAAGACGCTCTGAACAACGCTGTCCCCGTCAAGAAATTCCTCCCACATACTTTCGGGTTAATTCCCGCTACGCGCCGGTCAGGTGCTTCCCTCGGCGCGCGCCCCGCTTCCGCTTCAGAGAGACTCAGGTTCAATTCCTAGCGCGCTCATCTTGTTGGTCTCTGCTTATTTTTGCCCAATCTAAGGGCTATAGCCTACCTAAGGAAATGTGCGGAAAGTATTGCACTGCATATGTGTAGTCAGAGTTGCAGTATGGAGGACAATTTAATCAGGCCATACTCCTTTCCAGTTTCTTGGACTTGAAATAGCGTGTGTTGTATTTCATTACCAGTCTAAGCATCCCCCTTTCCATTTCAGAGCTCATCCACATCCACCACCTCAAACTCCTTCCTACTCCCCTTACAAGCCCTCTCCAGCGCCAAAAATGCAAAATGCCCACCAACAACCGGTCTCGCAAAGAAATACGGATCCGGGAAACCCCCCTCCCCCTCAGTATTATATAGATCCGAGAACGGCCTGTCCGTAACCGTCTCATTGACCCACTTGGCCACCTTTTCCAAGATAGCCTTCCGGACATCGGACGAGGCGACGGCCGCGGCGTAGAACTCCCAGTCGGACTTGGCGTACAGGTGGCGGCTGTCGAGGGGGAGCCCGTACTTTTGCAGGGAGTAAGAGTACCAGATGGATTGGTTTGTGTAGATTTCGTGGGGGATAAAATCTTTGGCCTTGTCAGAGTGGAGATCAGGGTGGGGAGAGAGTGGCTGCTGGCTGTCGTGCGATGCCGCTACAAAAGATGCTGGATTTTCGGAAGAGGCATTGTTGGTGATGGAGGGATGGAAGCAAAGCAAAGCGTCGGAGTAGAGTGAATACAGCGTGGTCCAGCTGCCGTACCAGTCGTACGCTAACTTTGCATGAGACCCATCGACTGAGATACCCCGTGTGCGCCAGTGATCAAGGTACTCATCCGATATTTTCCGGTGTTCGTCTGCGTCGCCGGTGCGACCGAGTAGGGTGGCAAGCTCGCTGAAAGCTTTGATGCCAATGATACCTTTTAGGGCGAGGTTGGTCTGGAGTGGTAGCCAGCCGGCGAAGTCGTCGGTGCACACTATCGATTACAATGAGTCAGGATGATCAGAAGAGAGACTTGACTTACACTGATTGCCGGGCTCTTTGGCAAACTCCACAAGATAGCCCGTCCACTGCTTCCAGAGTGTGTAGCTTCTTTCCAGCCACTTCTTCGCCTGCTTGATGCCCCTATCTCCGCCGCCCCAAGAGCTGTCGATATAGTCGATGCCGTCTTGAGTGCCCAGGTTCGTCAACAAAAATCGGTGATCGTTTCGATCATCAACGTTGTCTCTGCTTCCAACTGTGGACCATATTGACTGCGCGACCTCATCTGACTTGTACACTAGTGATTTCACCAAGGCCAGTCCCATGATGAGCATGTCGCCACACTCCTCAACAGGCATATACTCGTCCCGCCCATCAGCATGCCCAGTCAAGTTCGGGAAGTGTGATCCAAGGTCGTGCATTGAGTACTTGTTCGGATACAAGTTCTTCAACTGATGCTCCAACAATGGCTCAAGTAAGTAAGCAGCCCATCTCGGATTCGTATACAGGAAGAACGGGAACGCTGGAAAGATGACGTCAACAGTTTGAGAGTTTCCATTGGAAGAGATTTCCTTCAGGAAGAGCAGCGGGTCGTCAGGCGTACCAGAGAAGCTCGTCGCACCTAGCGTTTGGCGAGCCGACAGGGCGACTATGTCGACATACGTATCCGAGCCGGAGGCATATGCGTCGATGCGGAGCTGTTCGGAGTAGTTGGCAGCCAACGTCTGCGCTTTGGGGAAGTCGAGGTAATGGAAGCTCAAGAGATCCTGTTCGGAGTGAAAATAGGACTTCCATAGCGGCAACATGCGCGTGAGGCCCCGCGCCGAAGCAAATTGGGTGACCTCGTCTTGGACATGAGATATGGTAAACAGGATGCTGTCACTTCCTGCCCCGTGGAACTTGGCTAGCTCAAACGACTTGGAGAAGGCGAAGACCGGTTCGTCCTGGTTGATTGCTCGCGGGAAGTCCGGATCGATTTCATTCTGCAGCGTTCCGGTCCTCGCAAACCGCTGTCGAAGCTTTTCGGAGGGTCCGCTCTCGTGTCGCACATTCTCAGGTGCCGTTAAGTGCAGTTGTCCCCATTCTGCTTGGTCTTTCTCTTCGGCGAAGACTACTTGCTCCTTTCGCTGTACTGTCCAGGTCTTCAATCCTTCGAGGGCACCAGTCGCTTTCTGTTGCGACAAGGTCCACTCGATCTGGCTATCCGGGAATCCGCTAACCCACTGTCCATTGACATCTATGTATATGTTTACATCGAAGCTTCCCTCCACATACACCGTAATGTATGCCGCCGGAAGCGCCTGCCTCAGCGTCGACGTGGGCGTAACAGGCGAGAGGAAGGAAAGCGTGATATTAAGGTCCTCGGCACCGGAGAGGCCAGATAGAGCGGGTAGCGCATACGTGAGATTAGTCGTAGAGGCGTCGTATTGTGCGCCTCTGAACTCCGGGTACGAAATGCTATATCTGTCGCCGTACCGTAAGCCATGAGACTCTGTCACCAGGAAAGGAAGCATACCCCTTCTCGCGCGCAACATAATCCCGTTCGTTCGAGTTCAGAGAGTCTTGTGGTCGGCCAAGCAGCGGAAACACTTCGTGCGTGTCCGGAATATGTGCGAGGACGCTGAAGCCGAGCTGTGTGGCATCTAGTCAGCATGAATAGCACGATCGAACAGACAGAGGAGCTGTTACCCATCCTCGATACATTCAGCTCAGAACCTAGCGTACCTCAGTACCATGCCAAAACATAGGCCATTTCTTCCAGGGTTCCTCTCTTGCATTGCCCAGCCACGTGCTCAGATACGGGTTGCGTACGATCAATGGCAGTACTGGCGGCGTTAGGGATGATGCAGTCGCGACTGTTGCGGCGCTTGCCAGCAGCGCGGCGGGAATGGCGACGTGCATACTGTGCGCCGGAAAATTGGCAAAGAACGCAGAAAGATGGGAAGGATGGAACGATATATACAGGCAATTGCTATCGCGGGCCTGCGAATGTCACGTTCATGTGAGCTACAACACAGCGTTGTTACGGCGTGACGCGCGTAGCTAGAGCTATGAGACGACATGGGGAGCTACTGTGGAGCCCCAGACGTCTGGTGCGGGGTGGGACGGCCGACCAACCAGCGCTGCGTGCCTTGCAGACAACCTCCAACCCTGGCATTTCGTCCATAAACACCATCTTCATCAGTCCACGATCGGAATAAACACACCAGGGCCTCCCTCACAGATACCTTCCGCATCAGCTCCTAACGAACGCCTCGTGAATCGTTTCTCGATGCAGTTCTACTACCATCATCGCTCGACGGTGTCGCTCGACGCCGCCACGCGCCCGCCACCGCATTGAACCACCCAGTAGGCGTCAGTAGACTCTTAGTACTGCGGCTGAACGTGGGCGTGGAAATGGTCTTCCTGAGTGACTGCACTGGACTAGGTGTCTTCCTCTCCCACTCGTCGATCGGGTAGACGGGATGAGGCTGGTAGCTAGTATCTGCAGCTGGATCGCGCTTCTGCGGCAGCGTTTGCAATGCTCGTTGCGATGGCTGAGGTGGATTGAAGATGTAGGCAGGTGGGACTGATAGACGGTAGTCTGAGGGCGTCCGACCGCGGCCGACACGGGAAGGTGCTGCGTCACGCTCATCGTGGTCTTTGCTGGATCCACCGCCGCGGATTCTTGGACTCTCTGTTGAAATGTACGTCTTGTGTGGGCTTCTGGGAGGGTCACCTGCTCCGTCGTGCCTCGCATAGATGTCCATACCGTTCTCATCTCCTGCTTCGCCGCTCTGTTTGTTATTTGTACTGCACGGCTCGATTACTGACAGTTCGTCTGACTCACTGTCTTTAATAACATCGTCTTCTGATAGGCCCATCCCGAGGATCTGCTCCCGTGTGCGGTAGTAGTAACGAAACGTCGCATACGGCTTGTCCACTGGATCCACTAAAGCGAACTTGTAGAACCGCTTCGGATGGCCCGAGCCCGCAATTCCAGCGTTAACAAGACTGCCCTCGTCAGTTTTACACCTCAAGCCTAAACTCAGCACGCAGACTCACCTGATCCCTTTCTCATCCCTCCCATGCTCCGTCTCCCGATACAGCTCCAACTCCCTCTCCACCCTCTTCCTCCCCAGCGCCCGATGCACTCTCACCTCCAAACACCTCCCCTCATCAAAGCATTCCTTCACCCCACCTTCATCCCCACCCCCCTTCGGAAAACACAAAATCCTCTTCTCGACCCTATTCCTTCCGCTCTCATCCTCCACCTCAAATAGCGCAAACATCGTCTTCCCTTTCCACCCCTCCTCTCTCCCGGTACTCCAGCTCACCACATGCTTGCCATTGGCGAACAGCTTGAACAGGAAGTGTTGGTCCGCGGGGACAGGTGGGAATACCTCGTACGAGAGCCAGAACTGGGAAGCGGGGAAAGCGCGGATGTAGACGCTGCAGGTAGAGGTGGCGGCGTCGTCGAAGGGCGGGGTGGACGCGGAGACGGGAACGGGGATGTTGCGGGATGCGTAGAAAGAGCGCGGGCGGGGGATGTATTCGGGGAAGGTTTCGATATCAAACTGGGAATGTAGTTTGAGGCTGATGCTGCGGTAGACAGGCATAGCGTGACGATAGGTTTTGACGTAGAAGAGTAAATTAGAGTCGAGTTCCGGGAGGGCGTGGGATTTGCGAGGCGCTGAGTGGAGTGGAAACAAGGCAGGCGCGTGCTTGCCGTGCCTGCTGCGTTCGTCGGGATTTGCAGCTTCACCTGGTTCCCATCTGCCCGGCGTTGAACGAGTGACACCAGCAAGTTGGAACTAATAGTTCATACAGCAAGATCTCAGAAGAACGGGCGCCATACATTCGATCACTCTGCTTGGGTCAAGACAGGGTATCAACCTTTAGCGCGGCCCGTGAGTGCGGCATTTCACTGCGAGAGAATGTCCAGAAAACGAAATGCAGCGCTGAAGTGGAAACGGGGTATCTTAAATTCAAACACTCATACATCTCAACCCTTGATCCTACCCACACCCACCACCGTCCAAAATGCCTCCTCCCTCCGCTCCTTCTCACCCTTGCTGCCCCGCGAATCACCCAGTCCCCTCTCATCCGCACCGGCATCTGTCTCATATTCGATCCTCACGAAGATCGGAATCTCCAATACATCCTCGTCCTCTTCCAGCTCATCTCGCCCGTCAGAGCTGACAGCATTTGTGAACCCGGGTACGATTTCGACAGCGACGCTCGTCCAGTTGCGGCCGCGGTCCCAGATCTTGCCGGCTTCGATCTGGGGCGCTTGGTCCGTGATCGAGCCACGCTTTATGGGTGAGAGGGAGGAAGAGAGAGCGTCGTCCCAGATGTCTGTGTTTGCACCGACATCGAACTGCGGACACAGGATGGTGACACGCGACTGGACACGACCCGGCGTAGTACTGGGTGTTGCTAGTGTGACTTTGATGGGGTCGAAGAGCGGGTTGCTGATATGCAGGAGAAAATGCGACGGCATGCCGGGTTTGAGCGCATTGTAATCGAAGGCGTCAGCTGTGCGACTGGCAACGGCGGCGGGGGGCATTGCGTTTAGGGCACGGATGCTGAGGCGAGGAATATGGTTGAGTGCCAGAAGCTTGATTTTGTAGCGGGTCGAAGTTATCTTTGACTCGGGCTTCGTGAGGATCTGGCGACAGGAACGGCAACGCTTGGAACGCTTGGTGCAGAGAAGCGTTGCGAGTGGGCGTAATTCATCTACAAAGCGCACATTTGGGTTGATCTGGGCATGTTTCTGCGCGGGCGACAGGGTGACACCCCAGCCTTCCTTCTTGATGCGTTCAATTGCTGCGGCGTCATTGGCGGGGTCGTGTATCGTGAGACCTTCGAGTGAACTGGCGACTTCACGCATGGCGCTTGGCTTGTTGCGCTTGTTCTTCTTGGAGCCAGTAGTAGAATACAGGTTCATGATGCGAGAGTAGGCTGAAGGGGATGAGAAGTTGATGTCGTGCGAGGAGAAGGGATTCGATGGCGTCTGAGCGTCGACCTGGGACTTGTAAAAGGCCGTGAGGTTGGAGAACAGGTCGTCGTGGCTGGGCGGACCATCTGCTCGATCTGCGTCGGTGTTGGTGGATTCAGTCGACGGCGACAGTAGGTCCCTACTCTTTCTTCCCTCGATCTCCTTCCTACGCTCTCGCTCTTTGTCGCGCTCCTTATTGGTCGGGATGTGCTTGCCCCCATTTCCAATCCTCGCCAGCTGGGCTGCAATCCCCTGGCCCTTCTCAAACTCAATGCCGATCTCGAGGGTGCTCCAGCGGCAGTATTGGCACTCCAAGATGAACGGAGGGGCGCTCTCGCCCGTCATGTCGAGCGAGAAGGTCTGCATGGGCGACGTGCATAGCGGGCAGCTGAAGCAACTCCTGGTGCATCTGTTCCCATCGCTCTTGACCACGGAGCTGGGGACCTCGAAGAGGCAGCTGGGGCAGTACCAATTGAGGGTTTCCTCGATGATGCAGCGGGGGCACCGGATCTGCTGACAGTCCTCGCAGTACAGCAGGTGCTCGAGCGGGTACAGCGAGTAGTTTGCGCGCGGGCTGCGGGGGTCGAAGGTGCGTTCGTCCTCTTCGGCTTCCTGCAGCAGCTGCGAGGCGCGCTTCGTGGAGCTTGTATTGTTGCTGTCGTAGCAATCGCAGGCGTAGTACGTGTACGGGAATGTCTGCGCCATGTTGGCTGTGCAGGGTCGAAGGGCAATCTTGTATGGCCTCGCGGCCAAGCTGCGTCTAGTCGTATCGCTGTGGTTGTCCTGAGCCTCAATGTTTCTGGGGCCGCGGCCCACGTCGGCGTTTCGTGCCACCAAACGCCGACGCAACAAATCTTGACATCACGAACTCTCGCCCTCCATTGCGCGTGGGCGTCGCATCTCAGGCCAAGTGCACGTATCAATGCCAGGGAACAAGTCATCATGAATACGCTGTCCATCCGCGCCTTCATCCCGCCTCTGACGCGACGAGCAATCCCGCTCCGCGCAATACGATGCTATGCCATGCAAGCTCCGGGAGCCCCTACCGTCGAGATCTTTAGCCAGCAGCACAAATGGATGCAGAAGGAGCGCGCCGCGAGAGATGTCGAAACGAGTCGCAGCGTCGACTACCTCCGCGACGAGGTCGCCTCCCGGCTGTGCGAGAGGTTAATGGTGTGTACAAACCCTCACAACGAGGAAGCTGCGTCTAAGTGATCTAGGACATCAATCGCCACTTCCCGAACGTGCTCGACCTCGGCGCCAATGCCTGCAACATCGCCCGCCAGCTCACTCTCCCGTCCGAAGACTCTCCTGACAAAGGGCCACGGGGCAGCCGCATAGGCAAGCTCACCGCCGCAGAGTCGTCCGAGACCCTCCTCTTCCGAGACGCAGACCTTCCCTTCAACAAGGAGATCGATATCGAGCGCCAGGTCCTACCTGCCTCCGAACTGCTGCCTTTTGAACCAAACACATTCGATGCTGTCTTGAGCAGCCTCAGCATGCACTGGATCAACGACCTCCCATCCGTCCTGGCACAGGTGAACAGCACCTTGAAGCCAGACAGCCCGTTCATAGGCGTCATGATGGGCGGAGACAGCTTGTATGAGCTGCGCACGTCGCTGCAACTCGCTGAGCAGGAGCGAAGAGGCGGTGTCGCAACACACACGTCGCCCTTGGCCGATGTCCGCGATGTTGGTGGACTACTGCAGAAGGCAGGCTTCAACCTCCTCACCGTAGATGTCGACGACATTATAGTTGATTTCCCTGATATATTCGCTCTGATGAAGGACCTGCAGGCCATGGGCGAATCGAATGCTGTCATCTCCCGAGAAAAGGGTCCCATACAGAGAGATGCGCTGCTGGCTGCTGAGGGCATCTACAGAGCACTCCATGGAAACGAAGATGGGAGCTTGCCAGCGACGTTCCGGTTGATCTACATGATCGGCTGGAAACCCAGCCCCACTCAGGCGAAGCCCTTGGAGCGTGGCACAGGTATGTTCAGCATCAAGGATTACCTCGAGAAGAATGGCGGCGACAAGAAATAGACATTGCACAAGCGCTTTTTTCACATGGATGGAACGAGAGACTGTCCGCCTAAGTCAAGCGCGGTCGGGACGCAGCTCGGCCTCCATGTATCTCCCTAATGTATCAAAAGAAACATGTTAAAGATATATGACGCTTCTAATCAACCATATGCCAAAGCCTTGTCCAAAACACACGACTCGACGACGCCAGCATTATGTCCCCCTGCTCTTTCGCGTCACGCCCAGTGGAATTAAGGGAACTAACACGCATATCAAATTGTGTTAGCATAGGCATTACGCTGACATGTTCCTTTTCAGTCTCGGCTGAGCGAAATCGTGATTTGTCTATTAATTCAGACTCACGAGCTCGATCCACTTCATTGTACGACCAAGTCATACCGTAGACTTTTCGTCCGGCACGTGCTAGAACATCGCTACTTGCGCATCCAATTCGGGACGCTCATGCGAAGCCCCGCTTTTTGTGTAATCCGCCCTAAAACTCGCCCCAATGACATTGACGAGCTATACCGCATCGCGTAATATCGTGCTCTGGCGTACAAGCATGCATTTCTCTATCTGCATTATATATAAAGTATCCAGAGCCGCTTCACTGAACTGCAAACAAGCTACACATCTTAAATCACCTCACTGTTTCCTTGTGCTACTGCCGGCAAGACGCCCCAGCGATGGCCTTCTTCCTCACGCTCCTCCGCTCACAACTCTTCGCCAGACTGCCCTACCCAGCGACAAGTTTCGAAGGCCAGACGGTCGTAATCACAGGAAGTAACACGGGTCTCGGCCTCGAAGCCGCACGCCACATTGTCCGCCTCGGTGCCTCACGGTGCATCCTCGCCGTCCGCACCCCCGCCAAGGGCGAAGCCGCAGCTGCTTCCATTCTCTCCAGCACCCGCGCCACCACCGATGCCATCGACGTCTGGCCCCTCGATCTCTCCTCTTACGACTCTATCAAGGCGTTCGGTAAAAAATTGCAGACGCTGGACCGGCTCGATGCGGTGATCCAGAATGCGGGCGTGCTGACGAGCCATTGGAAGGTAGAGCCTGGCTTGGGGCTAGAATCGCATGTTGGGATTAACGCTGTGGCTGCGGTGTTGGTGGGCTTGGTTGCGTTGCCGAAGTTGAAGGAGACGGCGCGGGAGACGGGGACGACGACGAGGCTGGCGTTTGTGGGGAGTGATTTGCATTTCATTGCTGCGTTCAAGGAAGCAGAGAACGAAGGCCCACTGTTGGATGTGCTTGGTGATGAGAAGCTTGCTAACATGGGCGACCGGTAAGCGGGCAACTTCCCGTCTCCAATCACGAGTTCTTCTAACCAGGGGCCGTACGTGTAGATATTCCACTTCAAAACTACTGTTGCATTACGCGGTCCAAGAGCTCGCGGCTCGAAGCCCGCTAGGCAAAGGTGCGGACGTCCTCATCACCGACGTCACGCCCGGCGCCTGCGAGAGCGACCTCTTCCGGGACGAGAAAGGCTCGCTCCAAGCATTCATACAGTCTATCCTGATCAAATTGATGGCGCGGACGACCGAGGTTGGGAGCCGGGCTTTGGTGCATGGCGTAGACCCTCATTTGGGGCCTGAAGCGCATGGGCGGTTTCTGATGGACTGCAAGGTTGTCGAGTGAGTCTCTGCTGGACCCGGAGTGTGCTGTGCTGTGCTAATGTGACCGGCAGGGATTGGGACACGGTGACTAGTAAGCGGGGGCAGGAGTTAAGGAGAAAGTGGATCAGCGAACTGTTCCCAAAACTAGAAAGTATTTCCCCGGGGGTGACAAGTGTTTTGAAAGCCTGAGAGGCGTTCAGTCACGACTTTGTCAAGGCTTGCGGAGAGCTTGGGAGGGTTCCAGCCCGGTATTTTGCCCTGTTCTATTGGTATTGGTACTGTCCATGTACGGAATCCATGCATTTCAACAAAGCTGTGAAACTCTTGCACTTCACTCAATCACTTTGGACGGCAGCAATTCAGCCTCGGCGCTTCCATTGCACCACGCAATACTATATATAACCGTTAATTCAAGAATTCCCACCAAATCAAATAAGAAATCGAGAAATTGGTTTCTTTGAACTGAGCTTTGAAGTGGCTTTTAGGTTTTGCTACTTTGTGATTTTCGGTGAAAAGGTGGAGGAAACTTGAGACTATGCGCGAGTTTGAGCCGTGACAGGCGCGTATACTGACGACACTTGATTATGAGAATGAATAAGACAGCGCACTCAAAGTTTATTTGAATTCATCACCAGCGAAGTTAAATGTGTGTTGGTACTGATGAAGTATTACAACTATCTCTACATTACACTCGCCTTTCACCACCATCCCAGTCTATGATATAATAATCTCACAACGCCAGTACAATGCTCATGCAACGCCCCAGCCCAATATCCCAAGCCTACAACCTCACTCTCCCCTCCTCAGGTCGTCCTCCAAACAGAGCCAACAACCCACCGCCCCTTTCCCCACCGACTCCGGCTCCACCACCAGCGGCCCCTCTACTTCGCTGCCCCCTCTCCACTTCATTCTCCCCACCCAGCCACCTCGGCCGCTCAAAGTTCAAATTCCAATCCCTCGTCTCAAATGTGTTCTTGACCCTGTTGCCAAAGCTCTCAAAGAACCCGCCGTCGGCCTCCTCCTCAATAACCTGGCTCCTTCCCAGCGGCGCCCGCCTCGAGCTCGACTCCGCATTGGCCGCGAGCGGCGGGTTATCGCTGTAGCGCTCACCAGGCGGCGAAGGGCGCCGCGGCGTAAGCCCAAGACTGCCGTTATTCGACGATGCCTGAATCTCGCGCTCGATGAGGGCGCGGCCCTCGCGCCAGCCGCCGGTGCCCGCTGCCTCGATAGCTTCGTCTTCCTCGTCCTCCAGCAGATCCCCGAACCCGCTGATGTTCTTAACTTTCTTGTAGAGCCCGAATGCGGTCGCGAGGACGGGCACGAGGATGATGATGGGGAAGTAGTCGCTGAACTTTTGCCCCGCGGGCGTCAGCTCGATGTACTTCCCAAGGAGCCTGTAGAAGCTTGTTTCGTGGACGATCATGCGCGGCATGAAAGTTACGAAGTTGTACGAGAGCGGGACGGTCAGCTTGGCGAGCTGGAGGGAATACCACGTTGCGGATTCTTGGTATGTGTTTCGGCGGACGAGCGCGCGGTTTCCCCAGATCTTGACTTCCGTCAGGGAGAAGAAGGAGCAGGTCAGCATGTAGCACAGCCACAGGGCGGCAATAAATTGGCCGCCGAATCCTATTTGGCCGCGCGAAGATGGTGGGTGATGTACAACCGTAAGGCCGATGACGGAGAGCTTGGTGTCGCGGACGAAGGAGCGGATGCATTCGGACCATACGACTGCCAAGGATGCCAGAGATGTGAGAACCCATGCGAGGTAGAATAGTGTCGGTATAACGTGTACGTGGAGGAGATACCGAGTGTAGGGCGTGAGCAACGAAGTTCGATGCAAGAAGCCGCCATTGCGTGTCTGGAACTGCGACGCCTTCAACTCCAATCGTTGACTTGCTTTTGAGTCGAGTATAGCCTGTGTCTTGATTGCCTTGTGGAGCAGTCGATCCCACTCGCTCTCAAACCGTACCTTCGCATGCCTCGCTCTTTTCAACTTCCGTGTCAGATCCGCGAGATACCTCTCGGTGATGACCGGCGGCACCGTCGCCGTGCTCGTGCGCCCAACCAGACTCGCCCTGCTCTCAGGCAGACTGCTTTTCTCCGCCAACTCATCGATCCACTCCTGAAACTCCCGTGTCATGGCATTCTTCCTCTGCTTGAGCTGCACCACCTGCCACTCATGCTGATCCAGCTTATCCATGCTCTCCGTCAACCTCTCATGAATCTTCGGCGCCTGAGCCTGCAGCCTCTTCAGCCTCCCCGTAATGCTCGCATAGCGATACAGACTCCGCGGAAACGCAACGAGCCCATGTCCCATCAGGTATATCGCCAGCGCGAGCGACCACGCATACGCCAGCGCCATAACTGTCCCCTTCAAATCATCCAGATGGAACCCATTGTACCAAATAAAGTACAGCAGACCAAGAATCCCTGTCCCCAGCATAATAGCCCAATACCGCCCATTGCTCTTGACGCTGTATAGCGCGCGCGCCTTGGGCTCCCGGTACCCGCTATCGGTGTATTCGCCCAGCAGCGGCAGGATCGCCCAGGACAGCACAAAGGTGAGCCAATACATGACGCGCCATGACTTGTAGACGACGTTCTCGCCGAGCCATATGCCCTTGGTGCCGGCGCTGCTTGCGAGGTCGATCGGGACGAGGAGGACGATGGAGGCGGGGAGTGCGATGGTGAGGAAGACGGGGACGGTCACGTATGCGGGCGTGGTCCGTAGGGGGAGGTAGTATCGTAGGAGGAGGAGCACGGCGGCGGCAATGGTGAGCAGGGCCAGGGCGAAGAAGGCCGTTGAGCCGGCGGGAGAGGCCGTCATTTTGGAAGGAACAAGCGCACGTCGGCGCGCATGTATGGGAGTTTGCCGGATGGAGGTCGAGTGTGATCAATGTCGCAGAGGTGAGGTGAGTCGGGTCAGACCCGGGTGCGCCGTGGAGGGATGGAACGGTACGGAAGCGCATCCAACAGACACGCAATCGACCGGCACGCGGAAGCTGCGGTTTCCGCCGCAACGTGGTCGCGTCCCTCTCGCTATCCCTCGTTTGGCTTGTAAACACTGCTAGAAGCCCTTGTCAAAGCCCGAGCGGCTCTGCAGCCATTCACGCCGTCACCATGCCATCACGTCCAACCTCAGGGCCATGGAGCCTCCCGCCGCCGTGCATGCGTCGCATTCGTCATGCGATACGCGAGTACATGGGTTTTGTAGCCGGCGGCGAAGGCTCGGTGATTAGCTGAGCCACCTTGCCGAAGCGGTCTATTCAGCCTGCCGAAGCAGATTGCATCATTCACGCCTCTCTTCTTCACTGCGGGGCGCGCATCGCATTTACTAATCACTATCCAAACCCAATCCGTATCCCACTCGACCGACACCGAGACCCTTGATTCCAAATCCCATCACCACCAAGTATACTCCCACAACACCCAGGTACGTCGCAACCCTATATAGCCCGCTTTTCCACCATTCTACCTACTCTTCGCCCCTGCAAGCAACAAACTATCTAATATCTCCCCAGCAACCCACCCAACACCGCAACCATTTCCTTCCTCCGGCACTTCTTCACGCGCGCCCCCAGCCACGCCACCATGTCCGCCACAAAGACAAAGGTGCAGTCCATTATCGACGAGAACCCCGTCGCCGTCTTCTCAAAGTCGTACTGCCCCTACTGCCGCGCCGCGAAGCAGCTGCTCAGTGACAGCGGCGCAAAATTCTACGCCATTGAGCTCGACCAGGTCGGTACGTATACACATGTTCCTTGCAGCGAGTGAAGAGATGAGGCACGAAGCTGACCCCGTGCAGACGACGGCTCCGCGATCCAGTCCACCCTCGCCGACATCACCGGCCAGTCGACCGTGCCCAACATCTTCATCGGCAAGGAGCACATTGGTGGGAACTCGGAGCTGCAGGGCAAGAAGAAGGAACTCCCCAACCTGCTCAAGTCCGCTGGCGCTTTCTGACTATCTGAGTCGAAGCTATGATGGCATACCTAAGCTGGAGTAGGCTTGGGCAGTCAGCGTAGCGTACAATAGACGAGAATCAACAGAGTTGATTGTCGACCAATGTCTGCAATCAGTGTCCACAATGAGTGTCTGCAATGATAGGTGAAATCCAACGTCGAATAATGCGAGAGCTTCGTCCCAGGCGCGAGAAGTCGTTGTGGGCGCCCTGCCGTAGGTAACCTGTGGGCCCAAAACATCATCTACGGGACTTTGAGCGAAAGCCACAATGTCAGACAATGTATTGCAAACATAACCATTCGAGTTCTAACAGGGGTAGTCTTGGTTTTGCACTCCCACTTCACCTGCCTACTTCATACACCCTCGCCATTGCGCGTAGATATGATGCAACTCCAACAACCCAGTACAAAGCGGGCGCTGCAATGCTCAACCTCTAACGATGACAAAGGCCGAGGCCCTCTTCCTACTGCCTTGCTTCCCCTTCCCTCGCTCTATATCATTACGTTTCGAATGCTTGCTTTCTGTTGTGACCTCGTCATCACTTGGTCAACAGATTCCGCACCATATCCTTCCATGCCGCTGCAGGTTCCTAAGTCTGCATCGCATCCGTGTAGCTCTGCGCAGCGGTCGTTGCAAAGTACCTTACATCCACATCGTCATCCTGTTGTAGCTTCTCCAAGTTGGGCAGAATGCTCTTAGTAATGAGTTCCTGTCCCTTGGGGCATCCCTGGCCAGGGGTTCCTGCTTTTTGGAGTGCAAGTACGGTGCCTTGCTCTGGGAGTTGCTTGAGGGTGTCGATGAGAACGGCGTATGACTTGGCGACGTTAAACCGGATGTTGGGAATATCATCGTTGACGAGCTTGTCCATCATGGGAAGGATGGAAGTCTCAATCACGTCGAGACTGAGGGCGGGTGCGAGGGTCTGGACCGGTTAGCGAGAATTGACAAGGATGGTGGGGAGCAAAGCATACCGAAACAGCAAAACAAGTCGTCATCCGGTAGAGGTAGTTAGGGTGCTGTCCCATGGCCATGACCTTGGGCACGATGGCCTCATTGGCCCACTCCACGCCGAACACCTCGGTGAGCTTCTTCAGGTTCTGCGTGGAAGCCTCACGGATGGAGAAGACAGTGTCGCCGAGCCAGCTCATGCACAGGCTGCTAAGCTTCTCGTCGAAGAACTTGACACCTAGCTGCGAGGCAAGAAGAGGGACGTATTCGATAATGGCCAATCGTACACGCCACTGCTTGTCTTCTGCGAGCTGGACGATAGCAGGAAGAAGAGATTGCGAGAGCAGTTCAATACCGATGACTAATGGATGTTAGGGGACTGATCTTCACATGCCGACATTGACGTACCATTGTTAACGAGCTCAAGCTTGGATATTATGTTAAGCCGAACATCTGGGAACTCATCTTTGAGCATTTGAAGGAACATAGGTAGAAGATGTGAAATGGTCCTGTGGCATGTTAGCAATGCGCATCATATAGTGAAGCCGGGTTCTTACTCGTCCTTGCCGAGGATTGGGGCCAGCCCGCTAATCTGAGTTCCAAGGGCAGCACGAACGTGTTGCGACTGGTCAGATACGAGCTCCTCGATGCTAGGCATCACTTCTTGGAGGAGAGTCTCGCGTTCGAGGAGCGCGCAGAAGCCAGGAATTTGCCCCGCAATGGCACTCCGCACTTCCGCCTCGGTGTCCTTCAAAAGCTTTACGAATGCGGGAACCAGGTCTCGGTTGACGACCTCCTCATCTACGGCTTTCGCGATCTGGACTAAATTAGCTTGGATGCTGTCTCACCTGCGCGCTGTGCATACCTTCTCAAACCGATCAGCGACCATATAGCGCACTCTCCAGCTCTTATCCTCGAACAGACTCCGAAGCGCTGTCAGAAGCACGCCATGGCTCGACTGCTGCTCCTTTGGCACAGCCTCGGCGATTGCGATCAAGATATCCACCGTCAAAAGTCTGACACTGTCCTGGTCGTCTGCCGCAAGATGCTGGAAGAGGGAAATCATCTCTTCGATGACAATCGCCGGCGGCATGCACTTGATGAATTTCGCGAGGTTGTTGGCGGCTTGTCGTCGCACCATGGGGGTATCATCGTGCACAAGCTGGCCGTAGTGCTGCCTGAGCTGCTCCTGGGATGGCGGGGGAGCTCGTGTGTAGGGTACGCAGTAGAGGCCGGTCGCCGAAATTTTTGAGGTGAACCAATCGGCCTTTGATAAGCGTAGGACGAGCGGGATGAAGTACTCTTCGATCTGTTGCTGTGAGAGCTCTTCGCAGATCTTGTTCAGGGATTCGACAGCCTGCGAGCGTCAGTAAAGCGGCGCATCGCTACGCAGGTTTGCGCGCACCTTCTCCCGCACAAGCGGCTCCTCTATCGCCGCAAGGTTCTCCAGGGGTGAGAGCAGCACGTGTCCAAACTCTGGACCGCCGACATATTCGACAAACTTGCCCAATTCCTCGCTCAGAGCTGTGAGCACCTCATCTTCGTCTTCCACCGATTCTATGCGCGAAGTTAGCCCAGGTCGGATCGTGTTTGCTGTGCTGCAGCCTACCGTCAAGGAAGGGTATCAGCTCATCGCGCGTCCGCTCGGGGCCCAATGCCAGAGCTATCGTGTTGAGGCGGTGGATGGCGTTCAATCGCAGGAGCACATCGTCGTGCTTCAGCTCGTCGATGAGGACGGCGATCGGATACAGCTCGTCGTTTTGGCTTGCGTCCATGTTGCACGGCTGCGGGAGAGCACCAGTGTTTGTTCGAGGGGCAACGACGGTCCTCGGCGGGTTGAATAGGGCGATGGACTATCAATACGGGGAAGTGTGTTTCTCTTTTATTACTCCTGCGCAAGTGTAAGTCCGGTGGAGAGGGGCGCTGGGGAGCTGGGGTGGTGTGCCGCCGTGTTGACGTACCAGGAGTCTGGGCGGGGAGCAGGTGGGCAGGTGCGGCGGGCAGGGTCGGGGCGGTTCCTGGATTATGGAGCGTGAAGAGGCGGTTAAAAGAGGCGCATCCGTCGAGTGCAGTTCTTTAGTTTGTGAGGATGGCGTGTTGCGTTTCTTGTCGTTGTTTCGTGCTTGCAGTTCCTGGAGAGTGGGCTTAATTTGCTTGGCATCGGGCTGTAGCGGGGTGGCTGCTTCCAATTTCTGTTCGCGCCAGTGAACCTGCACTCCTCGCAACATCACCCACTCCTCGGCCGCTCGAGCTAGCGGGGCCAGTGGAGGCATCTAGCAGCGACAATGGCCAGCCAGGGCCCAGAAAGAGACGGGAACGATGCAGGGCATTTGCTGAACAAGCCATCCAGCTCGGAAACGCAACCACTGCTTGATCCAAGGACCTCGACCGCCTCTCACCATTCCGGCGAGAGCGCCACCAAGCAGCTGACCGCGCGACATGCTTTCGCGGTTTTGGTCACCCTCCAGATTGGATCCGGCATCTTCGCATCGCCTTCCCAGGTAGATAGCAATGTGCCCTCGCCAGGCGCCGCATTGCTGGTGTGGGCTCTCGGTGGGCTGTTGTCCTGGGCCGGGGCTGCCTCGTTCGCAGAATTGGGCGCTGCCATCCCACTCAACGGCGGAATGCAGGCCTATCTGGCGTATGTCTATGGTGACACCATGGCTTTCCTGATGGCGTGGATCTACATCATGGCTGCGAAGCCTGCTGCCATGGCCATTCAAAGCATTGTCATCGCTGAATCTATCGGCTCTATCAGTTCTAGTCCTACGGCTGCATGGGTCCTCAAGCTTGTAGCCGCGCTAACCTTCGTCGCTATGGTTCTAGTGAACTCGATCAATACTAGAGTCACCATTCGATTGAGCGAATCCTTTACTGGAATCAAGCTCATGACTGTTTTCTTGGTTGTAATCGCAGGGCTTGTTGCTGTCATTGCTCACCTAGTGAACCCGAAGTCGTCCCTCTCGGGCGGCGAAGATTGGCACAGCAAGAATTGGTTCTCTACTCGACCTACGTTCTATGAAGGGCACACTATTGATTGGACATCTATGAGTACCTGGGATCGATATGGGCATTACTCTGCTGCTATATACGGTGGCCTGTGGGCTTTTGACGGTTGGGACAACGTGAGTTGGAGTGCACAACATGCATATGCACGACCATTGTCCTGCTGCAACAATTGAACTAATCCTTCCCTAAAGGCAAATGTCGTCGCGAGCGAAATTCGAAACCCAGGTCAAGCGCTACCTAAAGCGATCAAAGCCGCTATGATTGTCGTGCTGGGCTCTTACGAGCTTGTAAACCTCGCGTACTATATCTTGCTCCCTTGGTCGACTGTGAGCTCAAGCGATGCCGTAGCCGTTGTAGCACTGGGCTCCGCATTTGGTCGCTGGGCTGGAATACTTATGTCCATTCTCGTAGCCGTCTCTTGCGCGGGGTCCATCACAAGCAATGTGTTTGTAGTTGGTCGATTGACAGTGGCAGCTTCCGAGCGCCAGTATCTTCCGGCCATCTTGGGCGAACGAGGATTACCCTGGCGCCAGTCGCAAGCAACCATTCAATGTGATGACCCCGGCATTGACTCTCAAGCGAACGGAATTGCCGTCCAGAATCAAGACAAATTGTCTCGATTCGATGCGCCTATGTAAGCCCTATCCACACATCCGAGGTGCCCCAGGCTGACCTGTTGAAGTTGGGCAAATGTGCTAGCTCTCGTCCTAACTTTGGTCTATATATTGACAGGCAGCTTCCGGACTCTGCTGACCTTTGCTAGTATGGCAATGTGGGTCTTCTATATAAGCACCGTACTCGGCTTGCTTATCCTACGTCGCCGCGAACCAGCGCTCCACCGACCGTACAAGCCTGCCGTTACACTGCCTGCGATATTCGTCGTTTCGGGCACTTTTATACTTCTTCGATCGGCCATTTTTGCACCCGTACAAGCGGGTGTTCTGGCTTGCCTTCTGATAATTGGTACTTCGATCAGCAAGTTGCGGACCAGGTGATCACTTCAAGACTGAGGTTTATTCGCGCCTCGCGGGCTCAATTCCGCAGTATGTACACTACAGAATGAATGTAGTTTGAGCTATCCACTTTCCCCCTGCTTTGCATGAAGATTACGAGCCTCAGATTTATGATGATTCATATGACTCTGTCAGATTAAGCATCACTCTGTCCTACAGTTTTATTTTCTCCTCATCCTCAAACCCAACAACAGTCTCTTCTGTGCTCAATGCCGACAACTTCTTCTCCTTCTTCACAAGTGCAACCTCGTCTACATCGCCCCTTCCCATCACACTCCCCCTCTTGTGTCCCCAACTAACATCACTCACTCCGCTCTTCCCACTCCCACTCGACCTGAACCTCCCCGTCAATATCCTCTCAAACGTCGTGTTGCCGAACAGCTTCTTCATCAGCGGCCTCAACGTCGGTAACACGCCCGCAACCATGTAAATGCCCGACTCGGCAATCGTCCACCGCAAAGGGTCGATCTGCTCGTAGCTGAAATCATCAAACGACATGACCCTCACAAATGACACGAACCGCATGATGGCCGCGACCACGCCGCACACACACACGGACAGCACGACCGCCAGACCCAGCTTCGTCGCGGCGGAGACGCGCAGCTTGTACAGCGCGGGGAGCGGAATCGCGACGACGACCAACGTGCCGATGACGTTCGGAATGCTGAGGTACTTCCAAAGAGCAAGACCGGAGATGGCGCATTGCGACTGCTGGCCGAGCGTCCATGATGCGCTGAAAGGGCGGCAATTTGCGAAGGGAATGATGACTTGTACTAGGAGGGTGATGAGGCAGAGGACGAAGGTGATGCGGATGACGAGGCGGGTGCGCTCGGAGGTGCGGCCGAAGATGGTGTGGAGGAGGCAGAGTATGGACATCTTGGAGAGGGAGGTGGTGAGGGGGCAGATGAGTTGAAGGGCGGTGTTGATCTGCAGGGCGGTCGTAATAGTCGCGTAGTCGAGCGTTGCGGTGTGTCTGCCTGCGCCGCCGACGTGGATGGCCACTGTGGAGTGTTAGTGCTGCGTGGATTGACCGAGAAGGGCAAACGCGCACAGAAACCGAGTGTAATCTTGCTGATGCAGACGATGTATGTGCCTGTCATCAAGCTGATCATGCTCCAATTTGCTCTTTGCTCGCTAGAATGCTTCTTGTCGTTACACAGGAATCGCGATGTATAGAGAAGTATCATGAAGGTTGTGTCGAGGACGAGGAAGGCGATGCATGTTTCTAGGAGAGGCCGAGAGTTGTTCTCCTCTGCGTAGCCGGGCGGGAACTGGTCGATCGATGGGAAGTATGGGCCAGCAGCCATGGCGTATCCGAGCCCAAAGACTATCCTTTTGTTGAACGTGCGATGGATTGGAGCAGCACGTGCCCAATCCTACGAGTGTATGCAGGTCTGCAGTTGGACTCGACTCAAAGGAGGCTGAGGTGCCAAACAATGTAATTGAAGTAAAGCAAAAGGATGGCAATGCCTGACAGCGAGGCTCTAAAGAGTGTAAATACCAACGAGACGCTGACTTCCAAGACGGTGATCGAGCCCCCCATATGCAATAATTGGTGGGCTGCATGCATATTAAATCGCCTCCTTGTCACACAGCCTTGCTGTATACCCTGACTACCGGTGATGAACCTGTCCAGGTACAGCATCTCGGGACACGGACGTGCCTCGCGGCTGCCCAATCTGGTCGGCCGGCATACGGACATGCGTATGAGACGGCATCGAGACCCGTTTCGGCTAAGGAGACTTGACCGCCTGCAGAGGATAAGCAGAGGCAGAAATGATGCCAGGGCGATATGTATAGCCAGGCGCGTAGGCTAGATGCTCGTCCAGGGTCAAATGAGGCCAGGCAGTGCTGCTGTGGCATGCAAGACGCCTTGTGCGACAAGCCTACAGGCGTTGGCGACGCACTGGACATGCGTTCCCGGTCAATTTGCTTACTCTTACCCTCAATCGCTGGCCCCAAAATAATTCGTAAGGCTCATTGGGTGGGAAAACAATTCTCTTGCAGATAAGTTTCCCGAAGAGATGATAAGCACAGCGGAAGGCGCCGCATTCGGCGACGTGTTCGCTCCTTCTGCACAACGGTTGGGCGGAAGGCTTCGGTAACCAAGGCTCGGGGCTGCGAATCAACACTTAGCCTCGTATGAAATGGAGGTGTGCATCTCCTTCAGAATCGTCGCGCAAAGGTAGGCTGGCAGTGTCGTCTGCAGCAGGGGTGGGGGCTGAGCAAACTGCCGAGGCAGGGGTTAAAGGCTAGAAGAGGAATGGTGTACGCTGTACGCTGCCTTGCAGTGCAACGTCGTTTGGGATTGGCGTGGATTGCCATACGTGCACAACGGATATCTGAGATTGTTTCTGGACTTCGGGGACAGTGGTTTTGGTGCGCTCGCCAAAATCCAGACGGCAAGCGCAATGGCGGCACGGGACAGTATTGGAACACCCACTTGTAGTGCGACAGCGATATGATGACAGTTGACCGCATATAGAGAGCTCGACGTGCACCTTCTAATGTCGCAATACGAGAAGTTGTCGCTCAATACGTAGATCATTGGGATTCAGGCGCACGAAGAAGGAGCGGCGCTAGCGGTGCGGGCCGCGGAGGTAGAGGATCGTTCCGTGCTGATTCTGACCTCCATCCCGAGGGGTTCATCTAGGGTGGCTTGTGTCCTTGTCGCAGCAAACTACTTGGAACATGATATTGATCCACCGCCTTCACGACATACCGTGTCCAGAGACCGAAATCTGTGAATCCAGGCTATAGGGCTAAGAGGGGGGAGGCGCGTAGGGGCCGTATGGGGGATAGGGTAGGATAGGAGGGTACGACGGGCGTCCATCGTCTAGGCGGACTAGAAGTTAGTAGTTTAGAGATTATACAGGCATGAAACTAGAAGCCGGATAGTAGGCGCACAGTCCAATGAGTGTGGAGTTAGTGTAGTAAATATATAAGCAGGCGGACTTTAGATATTTGTAAGGTTTGACATTATCAATGCTGCGCGGTGCTGCCACGGAGTGAGCGGCTACAAGTCTCAGAGAAGAAGTAGTTTGCGATGAGTCATGGTTGGTCGCTCGCTCGCTCACTGGTGTGCTTACTCTGGTTCGAAACTTCGACGTTGGTTGCGAAAGTGCTTGTCCGATATGTCCGGAAGAGGGTGGTCGGCAGTTGGTGGAAGTGGGCCGCTTTGTGCCGTGATCCTACTCGTGGCATTTCTTACTGGCTAGTATATGTTCGCCTATCCGAATATAGATAAAGGTGTAAGACTGCCTAAGGCTCCTCTGGAGTAAGTGCATATTCTCCAAGTAAAGCCCGCTGGACTCAAACATTCAGCAATCCCACAGTTCACCTACACCTCGTCAACGCCCCCAAAATGGCCACCGTAATCGTCTTCGGCCCAACAGGCAACATTGCCTCCGTTGCCGCCCAAACCGCCCACCAGAATGGCGCCAAAGTCTGGCTCGCCATGCGCGACCCCTCCAAAGCGATCCCAGGGCTCAACCCCTCCGCCGAGAAAGCCGGCAACTACTCGCGCATCTACGCCGACCTTAGCAAGCCCGAAACCGTCGCCACGGCCGTCAAGACCGCGGGCGCCACACGGGCCTTCATCTACGTCGCCCACGGCACGCCTGACCATATGAAGGGCACCGCCGAGGCGCTCAAGGCCGCCGGCGTCGAGTTTGTCGTGCTGCTAAGCAGCTTTACTATTGGGAATACTCCACCGGCGGACGTGCAGCCGACCGAGACGATTCCGTACATACATGCGCGGGTCGAAGTCACGTTGGATGAGGTTTACGGGCCGAATGAGTATGTGGCTGTGCGTCCTGGAGGATTCGCTACGAATCTGTTGCGGCAAAAGGAGGGGATTCGTGCCGGGAAGGTAAACATGTATGGGCCCGGATTTAAGATTGATTGCATCACGCCCGTGGATATGGGCGGGGTGATCGGGACGATTTTGGCGGAAGGGCCGCCGCGGGATGGGCAGCGCAAGATCTTTTTATATGGTCCGCAGATCATGTCGCAGAAGCAGGGACTGAAGATTATTGGCGAGGTGCTAGGGAAGGAATTCGAGGTTTCGGGTATTGCCGCGGAGGAGGCGCGAGCGCAGTACCTTGCTAGGGGTGTTCCCAAGCCAATGGTGAACTATATGATTAGGTCGTTGGGGGACACAAACCCCGAGTTGGAAGATGCTTCGTGGCTGGCGCATTATAAAGAAGGCGTGGAGAATGTGAGGAAGTATACGGGGAAGCCTGCCACCGTGTTCCGGGAGTGGGTTGAGGCAAGCTCGGAGCTCTTTAAGTGAGCCTGGGGATTTGATGGGATAAAAGGACTTATACAAAGCTAAGAGTAAGTAAAACTCGAAAAGACACGTACTAGACTTCATGTTTTAGATCTTCTGGGCTTTTCAAAGATTTATTAGAGCTCCCTTATTCACACATTTAAACGAGCCACCGAGTACAAAATTAAATGTCCCTCGCCTTTCCATCTTACATTTTCCACCCTGCCTTAACTTGCAATGACCTTGTACCCTCATATCCAGTCTGCACTTTTTCATCTGCAGGGTCTGCTGCTGAGATTGAGTTGGGACGCGAGTCGACAGCCGAATCTTTGTACACTCCATCGGTCTCGCTCTTCTTCAAGTCATTTTTGAGGAGTCAAGTGGATCAAGTGAGTCGCTTCGGTCTCGCCAGATGCTTCATCATCGTTCATCTTAACCCGCTTTATGGGCGGTTTTAGGGCACCCGACTGTTTGCGCTTCCGGGACGATGAGTCTGGAGACTCTGTGGAGACTGAGCCGCTTACTACTTCTTGCATAGCCTGTGTATCGGCGGGAGGTTCTTTAGACGCGGTAGAAGACTGTCCAGAAGGACTTGCACTCGATCTCTTAACGATCACCTTCTCGCTCTTGGCAACCAACTTCTGACGCAACTCTTGAAGTCTACGAGCTCTGTCGACTTCGTTCTCATTAACCACATTGGAGAGATTGTCCATCTCCTCGGTCCGTTTTGCACTTGAAGATCTCGAATACGGGGTATAAGATGGTGCCTTCACGGTGCGAGCTTGTCCTGACTTCGAGCCATTGACGTTGTGCGTCTTGGGAGCATCTTGAAGACTTGCGTTCCAGTCCTTGGTCCACTCTACCATAAACGATTCTTTTGTTCCTTGTCCTTTGACCAGGACGATGAACTCGCCGTTGTCCTCGCATGGAGTAAAAGGAGGAGATTCGAAGAAAATGCCCTTTTTCTTTTGTGTATTGGTTGGTGCATACTTGCCGTGCAAGTGACCACACTCTTTGAGGTAGTCATCCCGGGTCTTGGCCATTTGAAGATCAAGAGTGTTCCGGTCGCATTCTTGGGCCTGGGCGAACAGGGCCTCTGCAAGCTCGTGAGGACTGGGCTCCTTCTCTGGCACAGCAAGCACGTGTCTCAACTCAATTGCAGAAAGAGAACATGGACGTCCGCTTGACATTGCGAACTCTCGATCCGTTGTTGTATACGCCAATGGGAATTGAATAACTTTTCCGACGTACGCGGAGTACACGTTGGCCCACATACCGACAGGCTCGACCGGCATCTCGAATGTGTCCAAAATCTGTACCTCGCTACGTACAGGCAATGGTGTTCCGTGGAGTGCCTCCCAGAACTCGGTGACATATCGCTTCTCGGCAGCATCAAAAACTGCCGTGGCCCACCCAGGACTCCTGCCTTTGAAACTCAGTTTTCGTTGCACCGCGATACCGCTGAGCTTGAGATAGTCCGGGACGGTCATCAAACCCTGCTCGGACGCGGCAACATAGACTTCGCCGTCGCTGAGATCGAGGTATAGGTCGACATAGTCAATAGTGACGGGGCTTCCATAGCCTGCGTTTGCCGGCGGAATTCCAAGCTGCTCGCGGTTTAAGCCAGTCTTGGTCATAGCAATCGCGCGGTAATAGTGTCTCAAGGCGATCGAGTCGAACTTCTCCGTTTGTAATACCTGACTGGAACTGTGGTCGATGTTGGTTGACCACAGAACCGGGATCTTGTCCTCGCTGTATGGGGCGAATAGTCCCAACTTATCGTCCTGCCACTCGGCTTCCAGTTCCTCGATCTGACTTTCTTGAGCGACTTGAGGGAGTCCGTGCTGCTGGGGAGAACCCAATACCTGCTGCATTGTTTGGGCAACAAGATGTTGACGTGGCTGGCTGGGCTGCTGAGAGACTTGATCATGAGTGTGTAATTTTCGCGTCATTACTCTGCCACCGCGGTTCTTCTGGTGTTTGCCCGCATAATTCTGGATATACGCGATCGATGGGTTCTGTCGCGACCTTTTGATGTCGAGTCTGTCGAAGTCGTACTGAGCTTTGCGCTTTGGGTACACCATATTGGTTACAGAAGCAGGGTGCGTTCAATCTGCGCGGGCAATGTGTTTCAATATTTCCGGGTTGAAGGCGTCGAAATGGTATACACCGAGGTGTCTCACGTTTCTGAGATTAGAAAGCTGAAGTTACACTGAAGTAGAAAGATAGTGCGAGAATCTAGGCGAAGCCGCGGGAGCGGCGAGATTTATATATAAGCTGAAATGTGGCGACGAACGGACCTCAACAGGATCCGTATTGTTCGTCGCTACTGGCACATGGCAGGATTCACCTTCACCTTCGCCGTTCCCCGCTCGTTTACTATTGCGCCTTGCACGATAGCAGCGACTCCACCCTATGGTGCTTCCTTCCTGACGTGTCATCCATCCGATTTTGCAAAGAATCTGTAGCTCCGCGACCGAGCGTCACATGCGTCTCGTTGCTTGTTGTTTTGCGCGTCCTGTCACCTCGACTTATATCAATTTCTGCTCACCCTCACGATTTCGCATCCCCGCAAGCTTTCTCTTGTGGCCCAACTCCATGATGTAGTTCTCTCATATCGACCAGACCCGACTACAATTGCTCAGCGGTACCACCATCACGCTCGTTCTCCACTATAGCGGCAACACAATACATTACGTCCAGCAGGTTTCGGCCGCACAGAACACTGTCAACCCGTATGTATACGAGAAGCTGCACGAGCAGGCCGGGAATGCAGGTCGTGCTTTCTCTTCAATCCGTGTTGAGGTTCCAGGGAAGGGACTGGCGGCCGCTTCACAGGACTTTTGCAGGCTTGCTCCCCAACGCGGCCTATACGAGTGAGTGCGAGCCCAAGACATAATACCAGCAGGTTTATATAGTTTACATTTTACCCGCTCATGCAATGCACGTCCTGGACTGGTATTGCCGTGCGCTTCGAGACGGGTTGTCGGGAGAATTTCTGCCCACAATTGATCAAACCCGAAGTGGTTTTTTGGCTCGAGTACACCTCCTCGAGGGCTTGAAACATACAGCCACGGGCGCCTCTCAACCTTCCTCTACGGAGCTGGGATCATCAGAAGACTCCCTGCTGGCCAACCCGTCTGTAGCAAGAATGCGACAAGTTCTTCTGGTTATACGCCTACATGACCATGCGCAAGCTTGGTATGTACTACTTTGCTAACTTGCTCGGCGATTCCATCGTCGAAATCTGGTCGAGGAGTAGATCTTTTTGCGTTTTTACACATTCTACCCTACTGCAGCTGATTTGCTTGCCATGATTCTAAGTTGGAGGATGGATTTTCTTGCATCAAGGCCATGTGCCGAAATTGTTCGTTCGTCACACCATGTGGCCATTCCGTCATTGGTACGACCGTTTGTTCCGCAGGTCTGCGCGAGCCTCCACGTAGGTGCTGCCTTCGACTGGTCGTACGAGCCCAAACGGGCATCATCGGTAACTCTTATTTCAAGGACTTGCGATCGCAGCTTGCTGCTGGGTCAATGGACAATAAGTACTCAGACACTCTGCGCCAATTCTCTTCACCAGAACATTCAACTCTTTCAGTTGATTGCGCGATTGATCTCTTATCTGATTCTCTGTGACTTCCTTGAGCCGCTTACGCCCTACGGTAAACTCTTCTCCGCCAACCGTTTGTATCTTTGTGTTGGACGACGAAAGCGCCGCGTGCACAATGCCAGACTCTCCAAAGACAGATGCACCCGTGGTTGGTACGTACGATCTTGGCGGCGGACGAAAAGGAGCAATATCGGGACCCGGGGGTCAGACACCGAATCAACCGCAGCCGAATGGAATGGGACTTTAGAAGCTTCCTTCGCCTGGAAATTTTCGCACTTGAGAAGCCGCTGGGTTTCTGGATTGCACGGTTTATTTGTGGGTACCAGACCCGAAGCCTCTCCCTATCTGTATGGATAATCGACTAACTCCGAAAGCCCGATAGATGGATATGTACGACTTGAAATGCATAACTCTCGGAGCGCCTCTTGCGACTGATCGATCTTCCTCTGAACATCATTCATCTCGATCCTGTGTGTATCATCCCGTAAGTATACGGTGCCCTCCTTCGGTCTGACGATCAACTAACAGCTCTGGAGTCGGTACTATAGCGTTGACATGGCGGTGTGGTTCTGGATTCGAATAACCTGGTGCCTAGCGGTAGAGCAGCGTTCATACGAGCATCTCGGCTGGGGCGCTCAATATTAACTAGGACAAATCCAACACTGTCTCTTCACTGCAGTCGTGTGGTGCCTCTCAACTGGAAGGACTAGACTGCCAGGTTGTGCGCATGGTGATATTTTGTACAACCTGGTAAGAACGAAGGCGCAATTTACCGGTCCCACATATAGACAGGCTGAACACCCGCTTACTCAGTCTTTCGGCATTTCAGCTGTACCAGTGCCCCGTCTCACTTTGCTAAGCGCAAAGCTAGTCGTTCGTCGTAAATGCTCAATGGCCAAACGCTAAAGAAAGAATTACAAACCCTCGACATACTAGTGCTCTTCTGGCGATGGGCAAGGCACCCAAGTAAGCAGCTTGAACGATGGAGTTGCCAACCATGGTCACTAACCTGAGTCCTTGCCTTCCGTACGCTATATAAATAGAGTCCTCTGCTGTGGGGTATGACCTGGCTGTTTTCTCAATTCTCCTCTCCAACCGACCCCACTATACTCGCCCCCAATGGCCCCTAAGACATGGTTGATCACAGGCTGCACTTCTGGCTTCGGCGCAGACTTCGTATACGAAGCTTTGAAGCGAGGAGACAGAGCCATAGCTACCGGTCGCGGTGACATATCCCGCCTCTCTGCGCTAAAACAAGCCGGCGCACATGTCTACACGCTCGATGTGACCGCGTCATCAGAGGCGATCAACGAGACCGTTGCGAAAATGATTGAAGAGGTCGGTGACATTGATATCCTGGTCAACAATGCGGGATATCTGAGAATGGGCCTCGTGGCCGAGTTGGAGTAGGTTTCCAATCCCTTCCCAGTGTTCTCCGGCTTACGTGTCCCAGTTTACAAGCGTGGCGTGATATTTTCGAGACCAACTTCTTCGGCGCGCTGAAAATGACACAAGCGCTGCTACCGCACTTCCGTGCACGCAAGACCGGCGATTTTGTCTTCATCGGAAGCATCTACGGTCTCGTAGGCAACATGGCCTGCACGTCATACTCAGCCACGAAGTTCGCACTCGAAAGCCTGCACGACGGGCTGATACAGGAGGGCGCACCTTTTGGTATTCGATCCCTCATGTTCGAGCCAGGAGTCTGCCGTACAGAAGTTGTCAAGAACTCGAAGGAAAAAGTCGATACTACGCATCGAAAGATGGTGGAGGAGTTGGCGCCCATCCGCTCCTTCATTGACACGGTACACGAAGCTATGCTAGGAAACGAAGTTGGCGATCCGAAAAAGGTGGTTAAGGTAATGGTGGATATAGTGAAAGGAGAGGGCGTCGCGGAGGGGAAGGAGATACCGAATCGATTGCCACTTGGCAGCGATGCTCTGGTCGCTGTCCAGCCGAAGTACGAGACTATGTTGAAGCAATGGGGAGACTGGAAAGACGTTATTCTGAGCACGGACTGTGATGATGTGATAGAGCGAGGGAACCCGGAGTATGTGACGATGATGCAAGCATTCACGTAGACGTAGATGGAACTAGTATTAGTCTCTGCACCTCCCTCAGTCTCTGTGTCAACATTATTTGCTGTGGAGCTGTGATATGTCGCAGGCGATATCAGACAGCTAGCATTCGGTGTTGTAAGTTGACGCACGCTCTGTAGTTGAATTTCATGTCGCATTAATCTTCACTTTTAGGTGAGGTGGCGTCGTGGCTCGTTCTGTTTCGGTAGCCATTCAAACTCACGTGCTGCTCCTGTCACGACACTCTTCTCGGCTTTTGCCTCGGACACGCTCATCATGAAGCTCGCTTTCGCTGCAGTCATTGTAGTGCTTGCTTCAGTCGCCGAGTTCGCGGCAGCCGCGGCGGCAACAGCATCTTCTCCGACCCCCACGCGCCGCCTTGAGGGCTATGGGCGATATGTACCGTTCTGGCGCCCTCGCACCCGCCGACGCGCCCTCTCTCCCGTCACGCCTGCTCCGATAGTAGTTTCTCGCAAAAGTGACGATCTTACCCCATCACTTGCGCCTGTGACTGACCTATGGGAAATCGTCGAACCGTTTCCCCTAGATATCGAGACTGAGTCAGCCGGGTCTTCTCCGAGCGCAAGTGGGACTGTCGGACTCTCGCAGAGCGGACTACCAGGCTCAGCGACCGAATATACATGGGAGGATGCAGCGAGTCATGGCTGCCGACTGGTTGATGCCATGCGCGTGTCCGACTATGATGCAGGCCAGCTTTACAGCCCTTCGAAAACATCAGCTCAAAGCTCGCTGATGAACTACGAAGACTTTACAGACTGGGGATGGAGTGCGAATGAGGTCCATGGCGGCAACTTCACTGATTTGGATGGTGGCCAGAAGCAGCCAGATCCTGGCTGGGGTATCGGAAATGCTCTTAGGGATCTAGGAGTTTCAGACAAGATCGAGGCACAAGGCGGCAAGAATATTATCATTGATGCTGTCCACGGGAAGGAGCCTTTCACTCAGGGCTACACCAAGGATGGCAAGAATTATCCGGTACGTACCGAAAGATGAGCGGATAAGAGCTTGACAATCCCGTGACATTCGTTGCTCATTCCGTTCTAGCTAACCTACACTCCAGGCAACCGGTGCAGATTTCAAGATCGGTATCAACACTGCCGATGGAGGTGAGACGCTTGCTTTATTGCTACAACCATCTAGGCTTACTGAACAACAGTTCTGATGGCCGTGGATCGGGTCTCTACCGCCAGCGCGGCACAAAAACGGAATCCTCCCGTCTCGGATGATCAGCTTCCGAAAGTACAGTCTTTTTCGGACATTGGCTACTTGATCTACAAGCATATCCTTGGAAAGGACCCAACAAGCCTCAAATACATGATGTCCCTGATGATCACAAACGAAGAGACTGCAAGCATCATTGCCCGGGCCTTGGGTGATAAGGATCTGGGTCCATGGCCGGGCACATCCTTCAATTGGCGTTCGAAAGAGTTCAAAGCGCTTCTAGGTGAGTTCCTCTTTTATACTATCGACCGGCTAAGAATATTGTGAACTGATTTTTCATTCGACATAGGATCACCCAACGGTATGGGCTTCGGTTATCTCCTCGTGCAACACAAGTCCCAGCTTGGGAAAATGTTCATCAAGCAAGTTCAAGTCTTCCACGGCAACACCTGGCACCACCTGCCCAACATGGTCTTTATCCTAGAAGAACAGAGTGGTACGGAACCACCGCCAAAGCCTTCGGGTTCACCTCCTCAAATGGAAGAGCCAATGATGACTGGTGTGCCAAGCATACTCCAACGCCGAACAGCAGAGCCAGAAATACACATTCAAGGACCGAAGAACTTCCTCAGGGCTCACATAAAGCACGTAGAGCTATGATTCGTGAGTGGGCGAGATGGGAAGTCACAGGGTTGAGCGCATGAATGAAGCTTTCGACTTCAGATACACCTAGCAATGGACAGCGTGCTTGGGCTCCGGAAACTGTACTAAGGGTTCACAATTCATTCAAGAGGATATGTTCGTTGGCCGGATCCTCGGCAATGGCGAATAACAATGACAATGATAAACACATCCCGATGATTGATTCAGCCTGCTTGAAGCGATCTGCTGTGGTTCTGTCAGTCGAGAGATGCAGGAGCGTGACGTCATGTGGGCACGCGACAGCGATTGGACTGCGCTATGCCACGAAAGCGAAGAGATATGCAATGTGCACACCGAAACCTGCACAAGCCTCTTTGAGAGACAACATGTGAGCTGTTTACCATACCCTTGATAATGGCTGCCTTGCAGGTCTCTCGTACCCGCTCAACACAAACTTCATCTGAAGATCCTGTTTACGTTCACAGTCATGGCTGATGCTCCGCTCCTCGGGAGAGGCAATGACCCATCACGATCAACAGGTAGCCGTATCAAGAATGCGCGCAATGTAGATACTAATGTAACGTTTTCTCCATTTGATGTGTCCGTCGCGATGCACTTTCAGGTTTAATCATCGCCATAGACAAGCATCATTCGATCCATCTTAAAGATCTTTAGCGGCGGACTCATCGCCCCAGCAGACACCACATATGCCACCATCATGATCCTGTTGAACAGCACAAATGCGGAGGAGCAAGACAATCTCACGACGCAATGGCGCGACCACAAACTCAATGAGCTGAGTTTCATCGGCGTCGTGGTACGCTCTTCTCCTCTTCTCCCAACTATATGCAGGACTAAACACAGTAGAGTCCCCTCGTAGCAGTGTGCCTCGTGAGCACCGGCGCCTGGGATGAGATCAGCGGCAAGGGCTGGTACATACGCGCCATCTGGTACTCTGGCATCGTCTTCGCGCTGTTCTCAGTCCTCACCGCCACGCAGCAGACGCTGCGCCTGCACCGTCTCTCGGCACACAAAGATGGCTTGCATCTTCTCCGTTTGTGTCTCGTGCGCGACCGTAAGCCGCTTGACAGCGAAGAAGGTGAGGCCAAGCTCGTGCCGAAGCCGTTCCAGATCTGGAGTTGGCAGAGCTCCATGATGTTCCTCATGATGGCCGTGGGATGTCTGCTTGTGGGGATGTTGGTGCTGGTGTGGAGTGCGGTGATCAAGGAGACGAAGAATGTGGAATATGATGAGAATTTCAAGGTAAGTGTTTGAGCGATGGCGAGGGACCTTTGCTGATAACGGTAGCTCGCGATGTCATTTACGACGGTGCTTGCTGCGACTGTGGTGTACTTCTTTGCGACGCAAGTTAGTCTCATGGTTGGAGTGAGCGTGGAGTAGGAGCAACCTGAAAGGAAAATGCGAAGGTGCTACACTGGTAAGCACATGCGGGCTGCTAGGCTTTCGCAAAGTCATCTTTTCATCTTGAACCGCGCAGTTCTAGCGATGTCTGGTTTATTGGAGGGAAGAGTAGAAACAGCTTGCTGGGGCTTGATTAAGCAGATCCAGTGAAAAACGAATCAGGTGCGTAGATTCTGCGGCGGCAAGCCAATATGGATATAGAGAGGTATGGGCACATTAATGATCTGTCTCTTGACCTGTCTCTTCATATAAAATGGAGCATTTCAGAATCTATAAGCTGGAACAAGCTTTATTGTAGTGAATGCAAGACAGAAGCCCACGAATTTATAAAGACGCTGTACCGGGCCCAAAGCACGACCAGGATTTTCATCGCTTCCTGCAAGGTCTGGCCAGCCGCTCCGCACTGGTGTCGTCCGCGTCTGGATAGAAGGGCACGGCCCTCTAAAGGTCGGCGAATACGACGCAAGATCCATAACACTTCTCGTTGGCATATGAAGACAACACCTCGTGCACGAAGGCCGTCATGTCGTTCATCTTCCTACCAAGATCGGCCTAAAAGTCGCACAAGATATCTTCCACTGGGTGAACAACGCACTCCATCCCACAGCCACCGATTAGACCACACCCGTCATGCCCTCCTATTTCTTTCATGAACGCTCCCAGTACCGCCTCAGCCTCATCATCAACTTCTACATATCGTTGCAGTACATCGGAACGCGCACGGATGTTCAGTTCGATCTTGCTAGCCACTTCTTCCAGGCCTTCAAAGAGGATTGGCGCACCATGGACCAGGACACGATCGAGCATATGTGCGACTCTATTCAGAAGGTATGCGGCATGTTCGACGGCAGTGGGAGAGACCTGCTCGATGATCCTGTCATCCGCACTGTTGCGCTTACTTTTATGTACGGCCTTCACAATAACTTGTTCCCCGACTTGGACAGAATAGTACGGGCGCGGAATCGGAGGGGCCGGCCTGATTGGCTGAACGAATATCTGAGACGTGAAGGGACTGGACGTCACATCTGCAGCATTGCCCCCAACCATGCGGTCTACCCACTGCTCACGCGTCTACGAATGGCCGGGCGTCTTATGCTGTGGCTATAATCTTTGCTATCAAAAGAAGGACCTTTCGGTGCAAGCGCGGTGTTCTGCGGCGAGGGCACAGAGCCCAGTCCACGGCACTTGCAGATGAGTAGCAATATCGTATTTAAAGAAATGTATGGTTGGGTCATGGTCGCGGGTGTCGATGCAGGTGAGTATGCGCAGGATGGAAATGCTGATGATGGCATGAATGGGGGAACTATGGATGCAGTGACTCCTACTACAAGTGCGGGTGAACACGAAGTGGCACGGGGCCTGGACAATATCGTTCAGATGCTTATTCGTACAGAACGCTGCCATCGGGAAATGTAGAGGGCGATAGTGACCTTCAATCAGATACATCAATGATTTCTTACTGTTTCGATGACTCTCCGCTTTCTGTGCTGAAGATTTCCCGACATATAGACCTGTGATGCAGACGCCTTGCGCCGGCCCAAGTCCAAGCGAACAACTTCTTCACAGAAAGTTCATGACACTATCGACAACCAAGTTAATCTGAGTACTTCGTAGGATGGCCGAAGACGCCCATGAAAGTACTAGCTGTCTGTTTAGATACCATCCTACTGACCCATAGCGGTGCTGAAATGAGATTTTTGAGCTTTCTGGCCAGCCTCAAGCCATGCAATGGAAGGAGTGACATTTTAACAAGATGAGAAACTCTGAGTACCAGCGTGGGAATGTCTGGCTTATGTAGACAATAGACGCAGGCGGCATGGCCAAGTTGTGTGGATTAGTAGACTGCGCGACGGGTAAGGGATTATATAGACAACGTTGACCAACGCAGACGCCATAGCTACTGGCATACTCGCTCTTAAAACTCTTTTTCTCCAGAGACAGACATGAGTTTCAATTATCAGGCTTCAAAGAACCGTGGACTGCCCATGAAGTTGAATGGCTCCGTCTTGAAACCAGAGGACCGCTCATAGCGCACATTGTCTTCACCTTTGGTCCAAAGGAGAAGACTCCACGCAGCAGCTCGGTTGTCTTCTTGGTACCAAAGTACCCAAATCGGAAGTTGTATTAAGCGAAGGTTTCGACAAGATCTGAATCTGTATAGACGGCTAAGATAGCGAGACATACATGGTTGACTGGCGAACTATTTTAGAAGACAGGAATCTTCCGTTTTATTGTAAATTTGTCCTCTCTAATTACAAGGAGACCGCCTTGGTACACGGTTTGCAGCTTTTTCGGTCCGAGGAGGCGGATCCCATGGGAAATCATTGTTCCCGTTCTCATATTCAATTATACTGTATAGTTGTGTGGAGGAAAGGTTCAGCGATATTCGAAAGGTTATGTAGATGGCCAATGTAGCCCACATCCCGAGTGGCAAAGTGAGTTTTGGTGTTGCTCTCATCCCACAAAGCCACACATTTTGAGATATTGCGACAACTTTCGAAGACGGAGCACCAACCGCATCAGGCGTGATACGACGCTTTGAAGCCCGAGAGACCGACCATAAGATCTTCAAGTGTTGGCTATCAGTCCAAGAAGACGCACCCCATATGTGGGTTAGAATCTCTTTTTAGCAGCGATATGCGGGAATGTGCAGTTGTGTTATGACTAGAAGTGAGTGCAGCCGCACGCTTCATATCGACGACGCACGCAGCCCACGTAACAACAGCAGGAACATCTTGGTTATGATATCTTTCCGCAAAGCAAAATATGTGGTGAGCTCGCGAAAACTTTCGGAGCCGGAGAATCGCCCGTTGGGGCTTGCAGTTGAAGATTTTGGAGTGCACGCACGAAGTTGACCATGACACTTGTACATTTATGTTGGTCTAAGAAAGACACACCACATGACTTGTTGAGCTCGCGATTTTTAGTAGAAATATGCTACAATGTGCAACTGTGTGGAGAGTAGAAGTGAGCGCAGGTACACGGCCATGCAGATCTGATCGGATGAAGCACTTCAAGCTGAAGTCACGTCCTTCATGAGATGATCATGCATGCCACATGACAGCGAATTGAACTAGAGATGAAGACACAGACATCAGAAAACGAACGCCATGTGCAGTCAAGGACCAACTGCCATCTCTCCGACACTTGAGCATCTCATTCTGTCATCTCCGGATTTATCTCCGCAACCATCTCCGAACTCACCGGCTTGCACAATCTACCTGAGCTATCCTTCAATAGCCCATCGCAGGATTGTGTTGTAACGACAATCATCTCGCACACGCTGTACACGCGATCCGCAAGAACATCGCAGCCAATCAGTAACAGGTAGTTACTACCCCGCGCTCCCGACGCGGCAAGTCCATGCGACGTATGTAGCGTACAATTCACGTGTTTACGATGACCAAGCTGGAGTACAATGGTAGGGGGTTGATGTAATGGGGTCGAGTGTATAAAGTAGAGGATATCGTATCGAACCTTCACCACAGTGAGCAGCTAGTTTTTACTAATTGCTACCTATGGCACTCAAAGCTACATCACACACTTCAAATATCAGCAGCGAAGACACACCAAACAGTAGCTCATCATGTCCAACGCAGAATACCCCAAGACAGCAATAAACAAGCTCGGCCGGCTGCCAAAACGAGGTCCTACCCTAATCCAGCTCCATGCCACGAATACTGACAACAGAGTCCAGGCAAGTACGACTACGAAACCGTATACAGCATCATCGATGAAAGTCCTATCCTCCACGTCTCCTTCAACGACCCTGAGCATCCCTTTCCCGTAGTCCTACCCATGCTAGGTTGCACGATTAACTTCGAGGACCCGGATGCCGAAGAGCGGGACATCTACATCCACGGGTACGCACACTTAGCCACTATACAAACCTCCAGATGCCACGCAGAGACCGACCTGACAGTCCACCAGCTACGTAAGCGGCCGGCTCTTCCGCCACAGCAAAGAAACCGGCGAGCAAGGTCTCCCCGTCACCGTCGCCGCATCGTGCGTTCCTTCCCCGAATTCGCAATCCCGTCTGCACGCTGACCAAAGCACACAGCATCATGGATGGCCTCGTCCTCGCCCTCGCCCCCTTCCGTGCGTCTCTCCCGCCCCTCCAGAACCACACCCACCCCGCCCCCGTAAACAGACTGACCCCCCTCCGAAACAGACAACTCCTGCAACTACCGCTCCGCCACCGCCTACGGCCACGCCAACCTCGTCACCGCCTCCGAGGAACGTCTCCACGCCATGACCCTGATAACAAACTCCCTCCTCCCCTCGCGCTGGGAGACGTCCCGCTCGACACCTACGCCCGCCGAGCTGTCTTCTACGTCGATCCTACGCGTGCGCATCGCGTCCGCGAGCGCAAAAGTGCGCACGGGCGGGCCGAGCGAGGACCGCAAGGATCTCAAAGACGAGGCCTTGAGGGGGCGCGTGTGGACAGGTGTGGTGCCGTGTTGGTTGGCGTGGGGGGAGCTGGTGGCGGGGAAGGACAATGGGGCTGGGGAAGTGGATGGGGGGATTGAGCAGTGGAGGGTGGCGGAGAATGAGAGGGGTAGAAAGGTGGCATATGCCGCTATTGAGGAAGGGGGGTAGGGGAGTGCGGTGGGACAGCGACGGCACGAGTGGTTTTGGGTTACTCCTTTTGCCCAACTCAATGGGTCCCACGTAGACAGGCTCGAGCACAGCAGGTACACAGCACGCATTCAATGAAGAGGGGTTGCACATGATGCATTCTATCAACACTCTCCATGCTGTCCCGTTCCTCCTACCAACCCTCGCTCAAAACCATATGCCCAAGCCACAGCGGGTCCGCAAACGCCGGACGTGTTGAACAATATTCCGCCCAAAGCCCAAGAGCCGACCCAACCCATGTCGAAAACGCCAGCCATGCAGTAAGAATAGAGAAACACATAGACGCAAATCACCCTCGCAATGCTAGCCCATTATCTAAACCCCCACGCGGGGAACACGCCTCCCCTCACACTCTCCAGCTTCAGACACTGATATGGGCTGCTCTGCGGGTCGAAATACAGACCCTCCAGCTTCCCGTCGCTGCGTCTCAGACACACGTAGTAGAACCCACTGATCGTGAGGCCACACCCTGAGTCGTCGAAAGAGGTGTGCTCAGGGTCTCCGCCGCTGCGGAAGCTACTGCCATCACCCCAGATATGCGCCGGGTCTGAGGAAGACGCAGAGAGCGAAGTGTAGTGGCGCGTAGGTTCCGGTGGTATGGTCGTTGATGCCGGGGGTTGTATCGAACCTGCCGTGGAGCGGTTGAGGGACTTGACGAAGCACCTTTCTTTCCAACGCATCAAAATCCATTCCTTGCTCAAAACCTCTTCGAACCATGTCCTACTAGTCAAACAACGCACCACATCGTCGTCTGTCATGCCCTGGAATATAGGTAGTTTCCTCCAATACGTCGCATCGTTTCCAGCGGTGGATTTGAACGATTCTGTGAGTAGGGTATGCGTGCTGAAATCCAGGATCTCGCCTTCGAGATATGTGGTGATGGATGAGGTGCGTGTAAAGGAGGGCGCGAGGTCGGAGCTGCTGAGTATAGACTGGTGACTATGCGGATGGCTAGGAACGTTGTACGCCTCCATGGTCGCGGAAAGAGCCATCCGGTCGTAGTCTACCGAGTGGATGGTGACCTTGACAGGCCAGCGGTCTTGTTGTGGGGAGTGCGACGTCACGACGTCGGGTGGAGAAAGCGAGGTTCGATTCCTGGGCGAATTGTATATAGTACGTGCGTCGGAGAGTCTATTTCCGGTGTGGGTGAAACGATACAGCGTTGTGCTGGTGCCCGAGCCAGCGGTCGTGACAGTTGACGTGACATTTGTAGCGTGCTGGCAGCCGGATAACACGGCGCCGGGTGCCAACCACGATGTTTCCGCGGGCGGTGGTATCGTAAACGGGTCGAGCACAAAGTCCTGATGGTCCTGTACGAAGTAGTCCTTGGCGAGGAAGCCTGCATCTATGGCATAGTTCAAGCTATCGTCATTGTTGCTCGAATGGCGTATCTGCGAAAGATACTTGATGGTCTGTTCCAACATGGGCGAGATGGTGGACGGGGGGTTTGAAGCACGTTCCAGATAGCTACGACGATACGAGTCGACCCGCTGCAGCATGTCGCGATCTCGATTCTGCTCTGCCGACGTCCGTCGCTGCGCCAAGCGGTCCATGGCGGCGCGCGTCGACTCGGATGTCAAGTAGGACCTGTCCCGCCACTCGCTCGGATGGGGTGATCTGTTGGTCGCATCTCTGTCAACATAGCGCTGGGCAAGATCGCGGCTGCGGGCAGAGAATCTGGGGTTCCTCCGCACAGATTGGAGGAGCGCAGCAGACCTCAGAGAGCTGTCGGCCGACTGCGATGGCTGCGAGGAATGCAGCAGCCGCGACACAGCAGCGCGCGAGCGCTCTCGCTCCGAGTCGAGCTGCGAGCGGCCCAGCACGCGCAGTATCTCGGGGTGGGTGTTTGGCTGCTCGCGGCGCAGCTCGGCCAGGATGCCCTCAAGCTCGGTGTCGTCGTCGCCCTCGGTGGCGGGCGACCAGTCGTAGAGGCTATTGCGGCTGGGGACCCGGTCGCCGTACGCAGCAGTGCGGGCCTCGCGGTGGAGGGATGCCAGGCGGTCCTGCGCGGGGACGTGGTCGCTGGCAGTCGCCGTGGTGCGATAAGGGCCCTGCAGACGCTCCAGGCGGTTCATCACCCGCCGCAGCCGGTCGCTCTGGTCGCGCCGCTCGAGCTCGTTGCGTTCGCGCTGCTCCAGCGCCCGGTCGCGCGCGCGGTCCACGCGCGCCTGGTGGCGGTCCAGCGTCGCGTCCAACCTCTCGACGTCGAGGCTCACGCCGATCTGCGCGAGGGCGGCCGTGTGCTCGTCCAGGTCCGCGCGCAGCGCGCGCAGGGCGGCGTCGTACTGGGCGTCGTCGTCGTGCTGCGTGGTGTGTCCGAGGGTGGCAGCGAGGTTGTACACGTCCTGGGTGACGGGGCTCTCGAGCGCTTCTGTGAGGGCCTGCGAGATGTACGACGGCGGAGTCTGCGCTGCGGGCGTGTGGGAGGCGTCCTGCAGTCGGCGGCGCACAGTCAGTACATGCTAAGGTGGCGAACGGGGCTGCCCATGGGCCGTGGTCTGTGGTCCCATGGGCCAGCGGACGTACCTCCCGCGCATCGTCGTCTGGCGGGCTGGGATACCGGGAGCTTGCGGGCGGTGGCATCGTCGTCCCGCAGTCGCGACCGTGCTCAAGGACAGTGACGCTGTCTTAGTCGCTGCTGCCGTCTGCGCGCGCAGGCATCGCCATCAAGCAGGAAGGCGGCGGCGGTGCTGTGTCTGCATGTACAGATGTCGCAATGGACTCGCTGAGGTCAGGTCGCACCTTCGGCTTTGTTTCTGCCGCCGCAGCCTCAGCCCGGCTCTTTGTGTTAGACCACCGCAACGCCACATGAAACAGGGACCAGCATGCACGAGCGTCGCAGCAACCATCACTCTCGCCGTACCCCAGCATCGCGGTCCCGACCTGGAGAGATCCGCAGAGCCGCTGCGAGTCAGTGCTGCCCTGTCCCCAGAGCAGCTCGGGCTCTGCACTACCAACGTCACATGCTTTGCGTAACAGGAGAACCAACGTCAAATGTATAGTTTCGTTTTTTATTAATTGACGCTATAAAGAAGCTTGCTTCTGCCCAGCATCCTATTCACCCCACCTGGAGGCGCTTCTTCCAAGACACGGTCCTGAAGAGTAGGAGATGACCCTACAGTCCCTTTGTCCCAGCGCTGGATGCGATGAGCGATGAATCAACTCCGCGAGCACCAGGATGTGTTTGTTCCGCAAGCAGAAGACCACACCCTCAGAGCAGGCACGCCACGGGCGTGCTCCTGTCTCTTGCTCGGGGAATCGTTCCTCCCTCATCGCTGCCAAGGCTGGAGCGCACGGACTAAGATTACAGTACAGCGGCATCGCGGATGCTTGTGTGTATCTTGTGTCGTTGTCTCTCAGCATATCCTGCTGACACTCAATGCCAGTCTGGGAAGACATGAACGTAACTGCGTAGCATCAATCATGAGTGGCATGCCATGCTCAACGAAGAGATGCCCAGCCATCGTCCAGAACGACATTAGGAAAAGGAAATGAACCCAGCCGAGTGTACCTGCTCGTAGCCGTGAGGCTGATCCGTCTTTAAATGCCCGACGTGCATACCTCCCAGAGATGCAAAAGGAAACAGACCTGGTCCGGCCGCTGGATGCATAAAGCCACAAAGGAAACGCTCGCTCGAAAAAAAGATCAAGGAAAAAATCGGATATCAAGGAAACTTTGTACGAGAGAAGAGAGTAGAAAAAGCAAACGCTCGCTAAAGTCGATCAAAACGCCGTCCCATGCCTTGTGGTATATGATGTGGGTGTTGTACATCACTCTCGTGAATATCGCGTATTTCGTCTCGTGTCGTGCTCAAGCCGCTCGGTTGTGCGCATCAACCTTGTGCGACGTGGGAAGGTCAGGGGGACTGGCCAGGTCCGCGCTTCCCAGGCAGGGTGACAGAGGACAAGTACCACGTGTCTGGCTGCACGCGCTTACGTGAAGGCGGCGTACTGTGGTGCAAATCCAGTCTCCCATCCGAATCCACTGCTGTATCCGCTGTGCACGGCGCTTGACCCGCACTGCTGGGCAAGCACACTAGGCAGCGGGAGAGCAGGTATCGGAGCGACTGCCTGGGGCGGGCTGTAGTACTGACTCGTGGTGTTGAATGGCTGGCTGTAGGAAGGCGAGCTGTAGGACGGTGAGCTGTACGAAGGTGTCGGCGACGGCAACTGCACGTTCTCCATGCCCATGGTGCTCCAGAACGATGGAGAGGTTTCCCCGCAGGTAGTGATGGTCGGGCTTGGCGTCGACGACAGCGCTCTCCAGGACTCGACAGGCGCCGGTTGTGACTGTAGTACGTGCGAGGGCCACCAGTTCGTGGCACCTGACGAGCTCGGCAGGAGCGGAGCCGGCCGAACCACGTCAACAATCCTGGGTGGAGGAGGAAGAAGCGGGTGGAACAGCCCCATAATGGCGCCCTTGACGTCCTCACCTCGGCCCTCAAGAAGCTCTCCCGCTCCTTCCTCTTCCATGCCCTCGAGTGCGCGTGCTCCGGCGCGGAACACGTAGCGGTTGACAGCCTGGATGAACTCGTCCTGCAGCTTCTTGAGCTGTGCCTCCTTCTCGGGCCAGTTCCAGGTGTTAGCGGAGACGTCGACCGAGTAGATGTCCTTGTGGTACTCGGTAAGCGCCTCGATGGTTTCGGGCGTGAGCTTGAATGCAACCTCATGCTGTGAGACCATGTCAACGTGCACGACGTACGCCTCGATGTGGATGACCTGGTAGTTGAAGATGGCCTCGACAAGCGGGTTGGCATCCTTGCGCAGTTCCGAATCCGGCGCCTTTGGCACCATTATTGAGCACAGCGACCAGATGGCATTGGAGCCCGACAGGGTTTCGGTGAGACATCGCGTATGTTGCTGGACGCTATTGAGCGGTCGCTTAACCCGATTTATCCTCTTCAGCGTCTGTGTTAACCACGGCTCCACTTTTGAGCTGAGAACAATGTTGACGGTCGAGCGCGGCGCAAAGGCGGCTGCCGAGGCAGGCAATAATTGTATCGGCATTTTGCGACTGGTTTGGGCGTGTGCGAGACGATGCGATATTATGTGGGACGGCGGATCAACCTAACGAAAGAACAAAAGAGAAGGCAAAGAGGTGTCTCAGGCGGGATTGCGAGTCTGCGATGCGCCTTGTATTGAGGAGGAGACAAGAAAGGGACGGACGAATGAGAGGGGAGGAAGGCGAGGTGAGAGGTGAGGGTAGAGAAACTAGCCGGGTGGAGGGTGGGCATACCTTAAGAGCGCTGACGAGGGGACGATCACTGGCCGGCTCCGCCGTGGCCACAGGGCCCGCCAGGGTATCATGCACACTGCCCCGTTTGGCTGCACTGCGCATCTAGCTTGTTTAATCGTGCATGTATGGCGACGATGCAGCTGCAGCTCTAGTCGGATCCAAGCTGACCGACCGGCACGGCGACCGCGCTGCTCGCGCCGTTGGAGCCCGTGGATAGGTGGAGCCTGTGCGAGCGAATATTGCGATGCCCTCATGGCTGCCTCCAACCCGTCTAGACTTGCTTTACGTGCAGGCGGAGATGAAACTCATACAGAGTCGCGCCGTCGCCTACGGCGTAGAAAATTGGAACAGCACTATTGGGACTCTACTTGTCTGTCCGACTGGTTCAAGGCAGCTGAGGCCGCGCTCACGGACGACCTTGCATATGGGGCTTCCTACAACGTGATCTGGTGCGAGCAGGCGGCCTGCGGCGGCAGAGCGAGCACTACGCAAACGCCTCATGCGGTCCAGCATGCCTGCCGTTGGGCTCCAGCATGTTGCCCCGAAGTTACACTGCAACCTCTCTGTTCCTGATGCTCGGGTTGCTGGGAGTTTTTCGCGGCCTCCAAAAGCGGAACGCACCGCAGCGGTCTTGATGCCGCTTTGGGCATGCGCGGAAAAAGGGTTCAAGGCGGATAGACCGCGGCCTAAAAGGTTTGTCTTTGGATGTGGAGGTTGGTGGGAGAGTTGGACGTGGTCTTGGAGCGATGACAGGCCGACGTTGCTTGGGGCTAAAAATGGGAAGCAAACACTCTGCCCAATCATGCAGGCTAGCCGGGGTGAGAGCAGGGTTTCGGTACGCCACCAAAACCCTCCCGCGGACTCCTCATGTGATGGAGCGGGTTTTCAGACGCGGTCCAGAAGAGCATCAGGGTGCCATCGCGAGTAGCTTCGGCGCGTGCTGAAGCAAGATTTACATCCTGCTCCCCTATCTCTCACGGCCATGACGAGGAAGCCCACGCGCTCGACGCCATGTGAATTCCTTCGACGTCGCTGCACGTGCTGTAAACGTGGCGCCACGCTGTGGCAGTGCGAGGCGGTATTCTGTGGCGGACCAAGGCGATCATTCTCGGCGTCGCCTTTACCGAAGTCGCCTGTCTCCGACCTCTACACACAGTCATCGCCTGTTTGGGTCGGAGTGCCCACATCTTCCCAGAGCCTCGTGCCGGCCGAGACTCCACTTGACGCGCAGATATGGCGTGGGAAGTGAGGCTCACATAGAGCATCTAGAGCTGCTGGGTGTTTCAACGCTTGCCCTCTCCTTTTGCGCTGCCGTCGTGAGTGGAACAGAGTATCCTCCACTGAGGCACACGAATGCGATTGCGCAAGCGTCCAAGAAAGCCGACCCCGGATTAACCTATCAATGACCCATAGCAGCGGTGCTATCGATAGCAACCCACGTCTGCTCTGTTTCAAAATCTGCAATGGCGACGCCGAAACCTCCGAGTCGGATCTGGCTTACTGCGCCTCACAGGCGACAGTAGACGAGGGTTTACCTTCGCTTCCGCGCCGGTTGAGGCGGTAGAATTTCGACACTTTTGTCTTGGTCCTTCGCTTGCTTCGCTGGGTAGAAAGTCCCCGTTATTCTGCACGGTTCATCGCGCATCTTGCGCATGAAGCAGAAAATAGCCCTTACCGTATACGGCGAGATCTGGTGGCTTTCAGCTTGATCAGGGTGCGACTCGACTCAGGCTGCCGCTGTCGTATGGCCGGATAGACGGCTAACTGCGGCGAATTCCAACTCCTACAACTGGGCTCCCAAGATCCGCACATCTCATAATCCTATGTCTCCTCGTCCGCAAGTTAGATACGCGCCAGCTGCCAGCTGCAAAGACTGACGTGACGTTTACCTTCGTTTCAGAATCTGCTGGTCGGGGTCATGGCTGCATACGCGGCTGCAAGCTGCATGCGCTTCGACGTGTGTCGCGGTGACTCATCCATCTATTGCGAAAGACCAACTTTGAAGTGGACTGTGGAGCATTGAGGGCCCAGCCATCTCAGATGGGCTGTGGACATCACTCCCAGCCCGCTCGCTTTGCGCTTTCTTCCCAGCCGCGCCCGCATATTCTTGTTTGATGCTTCCTGCATGTTTGTCTCACAGCTGTCCAATGTTATCGTCTTCCGTAAGCCTCGGGTTGGGCATTGAGCCGCCGTGGAAGGAATGATCACGAGTACGTAGTCCGATCCCCAGCTTTGACCATCGGACACGATAGTTTCTCTCGCCGGAAACGCCACTGTGCGAGAATCTGGGGAAGTCGGACAGGCTCGCAAAAGTCCCGCAGATCTCGTTTTCACGGTCGCATCATCACCTTCGCCCTCGTATGCTCTTGTCCAGTCGAGGCATCTTCACTTGCATGAAGCTCGGCTCAGGTTTCGATGATGTCGGCGCTTCAGGCGCAGTATCAGGTCAGCATAGTCGCCGAAGCCGCTCCTCTGATGTCGTTGTCTGGTTGCTGTCAACTGCTGCCATTTGACAGAGTTTCAATATTCGTATTATCTGCTGATTATCCTAGACGCGATTTACGAACGCAGCTCGTCCTAGGTCAAACATTCAGCTAGCATATCGTCTTGCATTGTACCGGTGTCTGATTTTTGGTGGACACGAGCGATAGAAGCTGTTGGAAACAAGCTGAGAGAGGAGGTTATAGCGCGTGTTGGGCCATGCCCGAGCGAAGCAGCGTCCATCATCCATTGGAAGGCGCCACATACATTTATCGTACGCCATTCAAGTCAATCTGAGCTGGAATCAAGGTTTGAATCTTTCTTTCCCGTGCTGGTGAATACCTCCCAGAAGATAGCTTCTGGGATCCAAAGGTGCGATCACCGTAATAGGCAACCGTTAACAGGTACCCTAGACGCTGATCACAACGTCAACACACAGCAACTTTTGCAATTATATATATCCTTTTTACTCAAGCTGAATCTTTGACGAGAAACCCTTATGATTGCGACAGCTCAGCTTGCTGTTATCAATTCTGGCTGGTTTCCCTCTACATCTGGACAAGTATGCGTTCATTCACGCGCTCTTCGGCCTGTATAAGTCGATGAGTAACTACCTCATCTGATACACGGAGCAGAAGTCTACGTTTTGCCGTCACTGACAACGAAATACCATCTGCTCGATGCGATCAAGGACTGGGTACTCACAAGGGCGACAGTTGACGTAACGTAGACACTGCTCCCTAGCAAGTCGCTCCGTATCGCGGAATGGCTTAACCGTTGGGGCTCGGCAATTGGCCGTATTGGGACCGTCTCTCAACTGCCGACCAGCTCTAAGACCTCGACCAACTCCTATCGCTCGTGCGCAGCTTAGCCGCTGAATCGGCAGTTCATTCTGCTCAAACAATCTCTTTGTAAATGACCGAGCGTGCCATCGGCCGACGCAGGGTTGATGGACTGCGATAGGCGTACTGCATTACACAAACCCGGGAAACGTCAGATGTAAACTTAGGATCAGCGCCATCTATATGAGAAGTTCAAGATGAGAAGCACAATTCAGATCGCGCAATGCCAGATTGTTGCGATGGCAGAGGAGCGCGGCGTGGGATCGTGGTTCCCGCCCCCGCGTTGCCCGTAGTTCGCAGGCCAAGTACCCCATGCCCCGTGAGGGGATGGTGGCTTTTTCTCCGCTGATCTGATACTGCACTACGAGCGTTGCTCAACTGCCGACTCGCATCATCACGTTTCCAACGTGGCACGGCTGCCATGCTAATCCCCGTGCGATCATGGGCGACTTTGGTACATCCACGGCAATCATGGCTGCAGAGCACGGCTGCTGCACCCTCATAAACGGCCCGCCGCACCAAGTAGATATGAAAGCTAAGCCGTCCCTTCGTTGATTGCATCCTCGATTCAATTCAACATTATAGCCACAATGCTGCTCAACGGAGTGTTGCCGCTGCTAGCACAGTACTGGCCAATTGTCTTGGTCTCGCTCACCCTCGGATGGCTGCTGAACAATAAATTCTGGAAAGGTTTGAATCGGTATCCGGGTCCCCGGTTGGCAGGTTACACAAACTGGTGGAGGTTCTGGGACGTGTGGGGAAGGCAGCACCATTGGACCATCATCAAGCTACATCGCGAGCATGGAGATGTGGTGAGATTGGGGCCCAACGTCTTGTCCTTCGCAGACCCAAGGGCCATCAAGGTCATCTATGGATTGAACAAGGGTATGGTCAAGGTATGCTTGCTTACGCCCTGCTGTTGCTCGACCGATCAGTCTCTGACATTGTATAGTCCGACTTCTATCCTGTCCAGAATGCCGTTTCCAAGGGTCAACGGCTTCAGTCACTATTCTCTACTGTGGACGAGGATTACCATGCGAGGTACCGTCGTTGTGTTAACAGTGCGTTTGCGATGAGTTCGCTCGTCAACTATGAGCCGTTGGTCAGCTCGACTGTCGGCGTGTTCCTTGACAAGACGCAAGAGATGTACGCAAGCACCGGGAAGAGTTGCAACTTCAGCCAGTGGCTACAGTACTTCGCTTTCGATGTCATCGGAGATCTGACATGGAGCAAGAGACTGGGTTTCGTCGAAGAGGACAGGGACGTTGACGGCATAATTGCTTTCCTGCAGCACTTCTTGAGCTATGCAGGCCCTATCGGCCAAATGCCCATCCTCGACCTGTTTCTAGAAAAGAACCCCATCTCCCTCTTCTTCCAGCGTATCGGCCTCAGCAAGACCGTCTTCCCCGTCACCCTCTTCGCGCAAACCCGCTCCAACGAGCGCTTCTCCGAAATCCAGAAGATTAAAGCCCATGGCCTCCCCGAAGACCAGCCCAACCCCCGGGGTGTGGACCTTCTCTCCAAGTTCGCCCAAGCCGCCCACGACCACCCCGAATTCATGGACGACACGCGCATCCTCTCCTCCTGCACCTCCATGGTCTTCGCCGGCTCCGAAACAACCGCAATCTCCCTTTCAAGCGTCTTCTACTTCCTGCTCAAGCACCCCACTGTGTACACCAAGCTGATGCAAGAGCTGGACGACGCTGTCGTGAACGGCACCATCGAGCCCCGGGAGGATAAAACCGTCTCGTGGGCCGAGTCCCAGAAGCTACCCTACCTCGACGCCGTCATCCAGGAGTCGTTCCGCATGCATCCCGCCGCGGGCCTGATTCTCGAGCGCATCGTCCCGCCGCAGGGCATGGATATCCTCGGCGACTTCATCCCCGGTGGTACCATCGTTGGCTGCAACCCCTGGGCTCTGCACCGCCGGCCGGAGATTTTTGGCGCGGACGTCGATGCCTTCAGGCCTGAGCGATGGACCGAGGCGCCGCCGCATAAGCTCAAGGAGATGAAGGCGACTATGTTCCAGTTTGGCGCTGGAGCGAGGACATGTATTGGGAAGAACGTCAGTCTGTTGGAGGTGTATAAGCTGGTGCCGAGTTTCCTGAGGAGGTTTGAGGTAAGTTTCTTTCCATACGGCGTGTCGTAGACATGTGGACTAATGGCGTTCCAGATTGAGCTCGAGCGACCCGATGCCGAGTGGAAGACGCACAATGCATGGTTCGTGCGTCAGATGGATTTCAACACGCGGTTCAGACCCAGGAAGACCAAGGCGTGAGTGGGATGGAGATTGTAGCCAGAGCAAGACATGGGATTTAGTCAGCGATTTAGCGTCTCATAGCATGAACCTTTCCTACACATATCGAGTACCAGTCCTTTGACGCAATGTGGCCATGATCGTTCGTGGATTTTGTTTACGCATTTACCTTTGAAGTGTCGAAGCTTCAACTAAGCATCCCTTGGACCTGTAGCGACTACGAAGAAAAGTTGGAGGATGCATGACACAGGGTGAATGCAATTTTCACGTTTTTCGACCAGCCTAGCATCAGATCTTGTATATCCATATTCTATCATACTAAGCTATTCAATTTGCCCAATGCGTTCTGCGATGACACCTTGTGGACTAGTAGACTGGTGACATAGCAGACGTTGGCGAATCCTCTATCACAAACAGGAATAAACGATGTTTCTCGAGATGTGACCTCCTCGAGACTTAAATGAGGAACGCGCGTTCCTCGCTGCCGTCGAACATGCGATCCTCTACAGTCTTTCGTCGGCTTCTTGCGGCCAAGCATCTTGCTGGGATTGTAGGCGATGGATTATGATACATCCGCATTGCCGTACACTTGCAAAACGCGTGGGCAAACGTAGCAACAGTCGAACTCGGCGTGTCCCCAATCGGCACCTAATTTTCACAGACTCACCCCTTCCAAATGTGTTTTACACCGTGGACTTCAGGCCAGGGCATATCGCTCCGCCGGCCGGCACTTTGAGTGACGAGAGGTAGGAAGTTGGCGGGTGCTATGGCCCATGCCCACAGGGCTCAAGTGTATACAAAGGGTACTCCGCACAGCTGCCACAAAACCCTCGCGCATTTCGTCTTCGACCTTGAGTGGCTTTCGTAAGTCGACAACAGCTTGCCCATATATCAGCCTTGCGGAAGTCATAGACTAGAAACCCCGAGAAGTCGTAGCACATTTTCACCTGCGGTGCTCCCAAACAATATCAACCTCGCGACCATCCCGACGACCCCGACGACCCCGACGACCACGACTCTCCGGCGTAAACGTATTCTGCTTGTCGAAATGGGCCTCCGAAGCTGGTTTCGCTCCTCCGCGAAGCAGAAGCTGGCCAGTATCCCGCTGAGCAAGCTCGACATCGCCGCCGCTCTCAAGGAGAACGTAAAAGCCAACGCATCAATTTCAGCGATCACAGCCCGCGCACATACGGCCACTGCTTCCATCGATAAAAAGTCAGCAGACAGTAAGGCATCACCTCCAGCTGACAAGGCCCATTTTGAGTCCGTGGCTCCAGCTCGTCTAGGCCCGCACCTATTCAATTATAGCGCTTCTCCTTCGGCGGAGACGCAGATTGCAACAGGCAATGCGATACGGTCGGCTGATGTGTCGCCGGATGATGGCAGCGAATGGAGCTTCGTCATCATCGACGGAAACGACGAAGAGAGTAAGGTTACCCATCCGTTGAACGAGGCGCATATTGACTCAACTTCCACAGCTGCTCTAGATCCGCCGCGCCGCCTCAACTCCAGCGTTGACCTTTCAGAAGAGGAGCAAACCGCAAATTGCAATGCGATGCCGACGGCTGATATATTGCCTGACGATGGCACCGACACGTCACACCCTCTCAGCTACAGCGGCGCTACTTTGGTGGAGCCACAAACAGTAGGCAGTAATATAGCGCCTTTGGAGGACCTTTTCCTCGACAGAGGCAGCGTGTGGAGCTTCGAGATTAACGATGAGGAATACGTTGCGAAACATGCACTGGTTGCGTCGAACGAGGTGCCTACTGCTCCTGTAGTCTCTGCTCCTACGGGCGCAACTCTCCCTGAATACAAACACGTTGACAAGAATGTCGGTGACGCCGAAGGTGTCGTTGGAGACGCGGAAGAGGCTGCCCAAGAGCATGAGGCTGACGGCCAACCTCGTCGCTCCGATGATACCTCTACAGCGGACGGCAAGCGCGTTACCGACAACGATGCCCTCTTGCTACCACGCGTTGAACATTACCCAGAGTCCCCAGGTCGAGTTGTAAAGGAGCCGGTAGAGTTCGACGACGAAGAGATACCATTGAAAGATGATGCCGATACCTTCATTATCCCGATGCTAGACTACCCCTCCGAGCGAAACGGTGCATTACAGGACGAATTGGCTGCAGCGGTCCGAACGCCTGTGGTTGCTGCAGCGCTGGTTGCTGGGGCTGCGAAACGAATGGCTGAGGACCTGCTGGCACCACGTACGTTGAAGCGCGTGTTCATGGATATGAAGGGGACTTTGGCGGATGGTGTCGTCAATTGCTTGAACACCGCAACAGCGGGCTACGATGTCTCAGAGATTGCGGCCCGCATAGTCGAGCCCATTGTCAATATTAGAGACAAGATGCCCACGCAAGAGAATACAGATAAGCTAGTAGACCAGGCCGCTGATAAAGCCCAGGCAATGCTCCGGATGCGCAAGGTGCGCTGGTTCATGAAGATAGATCCCTTGGATGCCAGCGGCATGGCTGACATGGTAGATGCACACCGCGTCTTCGCTCATGAAATGTGCTTAGGGGCGCTGCAAGCGTTGGTCGATGACGGCATCTGCCTCAAGTGGCAGATTCATGGGGACCCGCCGATATTGAAGTGTCGATATGTACTTGAGCAGGCTTTGGTAAGAACTCTCGGCGATATTCAAACAAAGTCGAGACTGACCGAGCGGCACAGGCGACTTTCTACCTCCAACATAAACAGAACATGCAGCCGGAAGATCTCATGGCCGCGATACCCTCCTGGTTTATCGATAAGAAGAATGGCTGCTTCATCCTGAAGCTGTTCGCCACGTGGAACGTATACGACGATCCTGACGTTGGATCGCGCAGCGAGTTCCTCGCGACAAACTTTACGCTACCAGAAACACTCTGCAAGATGTCGACTGCGACTGTTTGTGCTGACTTGTCTCCTATGGCCAAGAAAGAGGACGACGGCAAATCTGATCATGGGCTTGAGGATGGCAATGTTGTCTTGCAGGATGTTGAAGTCAGCGATCATACCGATGAAGATGAAGATGATGGGGTGGTCTGGCTGGATGATGAGGACAGCGAAGGAGACGTCGAGTGACGGCCTTCCTTTTCCGCGTCGCCACAACAATCGTTCATAAGGCCTTCGCACCACCTACGACACTGGAACTACTGCACATGTCTACCCCGGCTCCCATGCTCTTCACAATCACTCCAGCAGCGCATAGGATCATCTTCCCCATGTTGTTTGGGACTACTAGCGGCACGGTATAGACCGGACCATAAATAGAGAAAAGTGATTTTGTTGGCGAGATTGAATCTGATGCGGCTTTGTGTGATGATGATCCCGTGGTCTGCTCCCACCTGCATCTGGTATGTATCCTCCTCGTACAGCATCCACCTGAATAAGCTTGTGACGGCACGCAGCTGATGGGATGACGAAATGAAGGCATTCTCCTTTCCTCGCTGGTCGTGACATGAGCAGTTGAGACGTGAAGTAGCTGTAGTGGGGTCGCCAACGCGGATCCTGGGTTGCGGCTCTGCGCCAAGTCGCACTGACGCGACGCGTGTGCAGGGGTCTTTGTTTGGGGACGGACCTCCGCTCCTTCCAGCCGGTGATCTCATTGTTTACCGACCGACTTGGACATTTCACACCACCCGAATGCACAAGGGACATGCACTCCGGCTACGCTTACGACCGCTAGTCCCTCTACGCCAATGCATGCGGCCGTCTCCTCGGTAGCGGACCATGCGCGCAGGAACCACCACATCGTCGTCCCGCTGCTCTTCGTCGTCCTCGCTGCAACCGCAAACGTCCACGCTCCTGTGCAGCACCAGCTGCTCATAACCTCCGTGTCATGGCTCGCCGTATGCATGGCCACGCTCTTTTGGGCCGGCGCCAGAAGAACACACGGACCCAAGAGAAGGACAAGTTGGCTGGCAGGTGGCTTCCTGGCCCTGTCACAGATATGCGAAAGGGCAGCATGCGACAAGGAGGGCATGTGGTCGACGAAGGTACATTTGGTGCAGGCTGTAGATGAAAGATACTGACAGGGCCTAGGGACTGCTTCCCTTGCTAGTTGTCCTTTTGTCTGAGATCGACGTGCTCCCAGCGCACCTTGCATTGCCAACCCATGCTTCACCGACCAGCCCTTCCAAAGAAAGCGCACCTACCACAGAACAGCACATCCAATCGCCGTCTTTCCGACTGCTCTCCATAGCCACACTCTCTGCGAGCCTCGTCCTGTCTACAGGCTTCACTGCATCCCCCACGTTCGCCCTCGGTGTCAGCAGCGTTATATTCGCTGCCGTCGGCTTTGTGCTGTTCGACCAAGCTTTAAGGACGCCGAGCGACGGCGGAACCTTTCACAAGTCACCACAGATTACCGCTGACGGCAGTCTCTCACGTGCTGGCACAAGCGATGGACCTACCAAGAAACAGCAGCTCGCTGTGCTGAGAGATCTAGCTTTAGTCATGGCCTTAGCTTGCGGTCTGGCTGCTTACCTGATGGAGCCACGGATAACTTCCTCCACCATCTCGTGGGAGCCTGTCTACCGGTTTGGAGGTGGTTCGGTGAAGACGGTCCGGCATTACAAAACAGTAAAGCTTGTTCTGGTCCTCATTCTTGTCAATGTTCTTGTCAACGGCATGACCTTTCTCATAGTACGTCTACCTATCTCTCGTCTTTGGTAGAAGCAGCCACCCCCTTCTCTTACATCCCGTCCCAGATATCGCTGTTTTTGACACTTTTGCTAATTATTACCCTTAGCTCTCGCGTCAAAGCGTTGTACATACTTCTTGCCTTTACGTTTTCGCATGCATCTGCTCTAGGTTGCGCTTGAGTGCCACTATTTTTGGTGTCTGGCTCACGTTTGTTTACGGTGTCTCGGCTCTCACCTTTCTCAATAGTAGTTCTCCATCTTCTTCGATCATCGATATGCGAAACTCTGTACGACTTAGGCGAGCTCTGCTTTGTGTTACGGCGTTATCGGTTGCTTTCTTTTTCCTACATGATACCCTCACGGCGCGATATGGCCTCCCCCAGGGCCATTTGACCCCTCTTCATACGTCCTCGCCTGTGTCTCCTTATGGCCCAGTTCAGATCGACATGACCAAAGGACACCCCGCTGCACAGTTGATCGAATCTGCCGAGAAAGACTTCAGAGATCTACTCAGGAAGCAATCAAAAACCCTAAAAGAAGCAGTAGTGGAGTATCGAAGACGCAACGGGATCGCACCACCGCCACATTTCGACAAATGGTATGAGTTCGCCACTCGGAATGGTGTAGTGCTCATTGATGAGTTTGACACCATTACGGATTCACTACTCCCATATTGGAGCTTAAAGCCTTCCACAATTCGGTCGCGGATCAGGAACGCCCTTGGCAATGAAGATAGTGCACTGATCGCTATCCTCATACGAGATGGCAGCATAGCCAAAGCAGAAGGTGATCCTGAATGGCAGCGAAATGCTACCGCAGGAATGCTGGAGAAGTTCGTGCAGTACCTCCCCGACATGGATCTGGGTTTCAACATCCACGACGAACCACGGGTTGTAGTGCCAAACGATCATCTCTCAGCAATGGTGGCGAAGGCGCAAAAGGTGTTGTCCACTCTCGCGAAAAACAATCTTCCCAAGAATAGCTTCTCTGAGCGCCCATCAGATGTCAATAACGGGCATCGAATTGAAGAAGTGAGCTACAGTCGCTTCAATAGGTTCGCCCACCAGCAGACATGGACTCACTCACGCCTGTCCTGCCCGGCGCAGAGTCAAGCGCAACAGTTCGAGGATCAGGTTCCAGACAACCTGACCGCATACGCCGCTGGTCCGTTGAACTACGTTCTGAATCAATCTGCGTTCACAGACATCTGCAACTCGCCATCTTTTTCGGGATCATACGGTTTCTTCGAGCGCCCGAATTCCTTCAGCATTGTTCATGAACTCACACCTATCTTCTCGCAATCGAAAATCTCAAGCTTTCAGGATATATTGTACCCAAGCCCGTGGTACTGGTTTGGCAAGGTGGGCTACGACGACTGGCACGACACGAAGTGGGAGAACAAAACGAATAGTCTCTACTGGCGCGGCTCCACTACTGGTGGATTCAGTCGAAAAGGTGGTTGGCGTCGCCAGCATCGCCAGCGCATCGTTCGTCGCCTCAACGCACTCGACAAAGCAAACATTTCTGTTCCTGCTCACAGCGCGGAAGATACATCTCCAGCACTAGCGCACGAAGTGCAAGAAGTCGATCGCACGCTCTACAGGTCCCTTGTCGACGTCAAATTCAGTCATATAGGTCAGTGCGATCCTGGAGACTGCGATGCGCAGAGGGAATTCTTCTTTGTGGCCGAGCACGCTGATGGCCAGGATGCCTGGTACTACAAGCACCTCCTCGACATGGACGGTAACGCTTTCTCCGGTCGTTTCTACTCGTTCCTCAAGTCCCGTAGCTTGACGTACAAGATGGCGGTGTTCCGCGAGTGGCACAACGAGTGGCTCAAGCCATGGGTACACTATATTCCGTTCAGCCTCATCGGAGACGAGCACTTGGATCTAGTGCGGTGGTTTTCCGGCGAGGATGTCAGGAAAGGAGAAAGCGAGGCCAACAAGGAAGCCAACAAGGGTGGCAACGGCGACAGCTTGGGCGAAAAGAAAGCGAGAGAGATTGCGGAGAGAAGTACGCAGTGGTCAGGCAAGGCGCTGCGCAATGTCGATTTTGAAGCGTGGATGTTCCGGCTGCTGCTTGAGTATGGGCGGGTCATTGATGATGATAGGGAGAATATCGGGTATCCGGGGCCTTGAATGCAATCGTTGCATCGACAGGCGTTTTGAGGTGTAATAGGGATTTGGGTGGGTAAACTAGAAGATGTTAATGATTGAACGATATTTGACGCAAGCTTCCGCTATCAGCTACAATTCTGAGTCTGCGCAGGCATCGAGATATGTGCTCTACAAACGTATTCCTCATGTTTGGAGCAGTCTGTCGCGTCTTTCGTACCTTTTTCTTGGGTAGGTGTATAAACTTAAGACGCAGGGTTCGAAACATTGACGAAGGCGCATCCTGCTAGTCAAAACTCCCTAACCTTCAATACCAACGTCCTCGATAACGTTCCTCGATGGGAACTCATCTCGAGGACACGCTGATTTCCGCGGCCGTACTCCAATTCGCCCAAGCACCCGAGACTCATGCACATACCCCACCTTGGCAAGGACGGAGTTACACGAGATGCAAAAATGGGACGCGGTGACTAGGCATGTGGCAGTCGCGATACAGGTGTCGTACGACCATGCGCGGTATAAAGACGCCAGTTCCTGCACAGGGAGATATGGAACTTTCTTCGCTCGTCTTCAACTTTGAGACCTCATACACGATGGACGATGACACTTCCTGCAATATCATGGAATTCGGGTCACTTCAGAAAATTATCAAGCGGAAGACTGATTTAGATCTTGTCCCGGTTCCTTTGCCGAGTATGAGAGAAGTGATAAACGGTGAGTCCGGGAGCTGGCTTGCAAACACTTCCTGGAACACGCGGTTCGAAACACTTGACAGACTTCTCAAGCGAAAAGCCTATGCAGATCTTGTTGCCGACTCCATTGCTGGGCATAGGAAAGATGACAAGGCCAGGGTCAAGGATGGCGGTGAGCACGAAATTGCTTGTGCACATAAAGAGCTTGGGAGTCTTTGGAGCGGCCAGCCGGCGGAAGTGAAGTTCAGTATCCTTGGATACTTTTAAAAACCTCCATGACGAACCCCAGCAACCCAAGAGGCCGACTTGTGTTATGCCATGGATGGACAAGCTGGAGCTCGAGTATCACATGAAGAACGAACTCACACAATACTTCTCCGAGACATTTGAATTTGCGCGTAAGATCGACATTGAACAACCACATTTGAGTGACCAGAACGTGTTGCTCGTGGCCACTTTCGAAGAGATTCATCAGGTGCCTTTCTCGCTATAGTTTCTCCTCTATGTGTATTTGCCGTTGTTACAAACGGTTTCCAGCTCCTGAACTTAGCTCAGTGCGGGAAAGTCGCCTGCCCAGTTAATTCTGGGTCTTGCATCCAGAACTTCTGTTTTCAGAGTGTGCCTTGTAAACCCATCACCACCTGCGTGTTTCTTCTCAGTTTTCGTACCGGGACAAGGTCTCAGGACCAGGACCAGGACTCTTGACTTGTAGCCCAGACTAATGCCCACACATTTCCGGGATAGGCAGGATGTGTAGGTATATGTCGTATTGTGTATGTATGGTGATCTATGGAATGCCAGCTCCCGCCAGACCCCTGCCGGGCGTTGCTGCCACATCAGGTGCAAGTCCAAACACGTGACCGTGACCTGGAAAGTGCTTCACCAACGCCGAGGTGGTTATTTCTTGAACCGTGCGTTCTACGCGGCAGTTGCTTTTATAGTAGAATAAAGCGTAACTTCCCCAAACAGCAGACACAACGACTTTGATCAACTCGACGCTTCACTGGCAGCACATGGGCGGCTGCTGCTCGATCGCCATGGCTAGCGAGGACATCTCGTCGCTGAAGGACTACGACTCCTTGGCCCACAAGTTGAAGCGCTACTCGACCGCATTGGTTGATGAGGATACATCGTTCTTGCGGGGCTATAACTCCCTGCCGGATGAGTTGAAGCTCAAAATCTTTGGCTACGCCCTTTGTAAGGATGCGTCAATCGACCAGAGGACTGCCCAAGGTCTCCTCGACGGCTCCGATCGTCGCGAGTCGTCAACATATTACTTTATGTTGACGGGTCTCACAATTGACGATCGCGACCAGTCGCTCTTTAGCACTCAGCCCTCTTCTCGCGAAAGTTCAAGGATGCTGGTAAGTTTTTGTGACGATTTTAGGACCGTAGGTATCGTGCAATGGAAAATATTGAAGGTTCACTAAAGTTGTATTACTGTGATTCTAACTGAACTATATAGCCATAGTGAGGCGATCGTCATGGGAGTTGGCTTATTCAGAGTTTCCTAATTCAGTAGCTGAATTATAACGATTGTCGCGATCCTCAGGAGTCCATGAGAACTCGGTCCGAATAGGATCGATAGTAACGTAGATTGAACTGCGACAGTTTTAATATTGAACGCCCAGTTTACATAACACTGCTGATACGGCTGCGCAACAGAAATCGCAAAGGAAGCCTTCTTCGCAAGCAACACCTTCCTTGTCGATATTTGCAGCAGCGACCAATCTGGGGCCATGATCCCGCCTGCGCTCTACCGCCGCTTCGTCCGCAGCCTCCACCTCTACATCCTCCCCTTGAACGTTGCGTTGGAGATGCTATCAACCTTCCGCATCAACACTGTGTTCGTGGATGTTCGCAACCTCGCCTTCAGCGTCAACTTCCGGTAGAAATGGTCTTGCAAGGAATGTTCCTGTCCTCAAGATGCCGCAGCCATTTACCGCATGTACGAGGCACGAAGCGATTGCATGCGCTGCCAGCTCCCGTATCTTGAAGACTTATTGAAAGCGGATCTCGTGGCGGTGACAAAAGTTGGAAGTGGAGTTCATCCGGGTCTCCTTCCCAATGTTATACGCAAGCAAATGCCAGGCGTTACTGCAGAAGAAGTGGATGCCAACCTTGACGAGGCACAAAACAAGGTGTTCGCCCTGCTTGGCCTCGCGAACGCTGGAGTCGGTCTTGATGAGCCATTGTAGGAGTGGGCCGACAGCCATGTCGTCGAGGATAATAGCAAGCGAAGCGTCTGGGGCAGCGGGCGTTATACCCCGTGCAATCACAGGAGTCAAAAGATTCGTGATTGAACATCGCCCGACAGGTCTCCTCAGTTGGTGTTCTTGATATCTAAGGAAGGTAAGCGTTCCTCATCACTGGCCAGGTATATATCTTTGTCTTCAAAAAATTTCGCATGAAGGCGGACTGGTTTGTGAGAATAGTGTTAGATATGGAGCAATCAGGCGGACATGTTTACCTTAGCCCAGCCATGGATGAATAGGTAGTGATAGCAAAATCAAAGACCTGAGTATGAGCGGGATATCTAGTGAGTTACAAACAACTAAATTGATATGATGTGACCTCCTTGCACACCTTGCTCTTGAACAACAGCCATGCCCGACGCAACTCCTCTCTACCACCCATACTCCGGCAACTTCCACTCCTCCTTCTCATTCCTGTTCATAATCCACGTCACCAAATCCTGCAACCTCAATGCTGCAAACAGCCCCACTACAGTATGAAGCACCCAATTGCCCCACGCAGTCTGCGGATTCGCGAGCTGCGGCAACAACGCAAAGTCCAAATTCTGCGTCTTTACATACGGCCTGTACACACTCTCGTAGCTCTGCAACGCTTGCGGCACCTGCTCCGAGGACGCGATCTTGGACAGCTCGCCCGCAATGCAGTACGCGCCGGCCATCGCCAGACTCGTCCCGACGCCCATGGTCGCGAACGCCGCATCGCCGAGCGTCACACACCGGCCCTTGGCCCACTGCGGCGTCCGCACCTGGCACCAGTGCGTCATGTAGAAGTCGTCTGTTGCGTCGAGCCCGTCCATGAAGCGCTTCATCTGCCACGTGCACACGGAGCTCTCGAAGCGCTGGCGCAGATACTGCTTCTGCTGAGCGACATCCGCGTGCAAGATGGCCTCGAGATCCGGGTTGGGCTCCTTCTTCGCGTTGCAGATGCTCAGGTACACGCCCATGGTCTTCCCGTTGCGGTGCGGGCGCAGGTGGATGGCGAGGCCCGGCGGGAAGGTGGCCCAGTGCCAGAGCTGGTCGTCGCCGGGGATGCGCGGGATGGAGTAGAAGCCGATATAGAGGCCAGAGGGGCGGATGTGGCTGGCGTTGTCTTCTTTGCCAAAGATGAAGCCTCGCGTGGGCGAGCCGATGCCGTCGGCCGCCACGACGACGTCGTAGCGCTGGTCCTCGAGCTTGCCACGGGCGAACTGGACGTCGACGCCTGTGCCGTCTGCGCGGTCTTCCATCGATTTGATGGTCTCGCCGTAGACAACTTGGACATGGGCACCCTTCTCTTTTGACTCCTTGATGCCGTCCAGTAGCAGTTCGGTCAGCTCGCCGCGGAGAATCTCGTACTCGCTCGTCGCGCTCTGGGCTTTGGCGTCGCCTGAGGCAGGGAGAATTGCCATAGTCTTGCCCTTGCTGTTCTTGAAGGCGAGGCCTTTTTCTGTGGTATGTCTGGCTTTGATCTCCTGTTCCCAACCAAGCTTCTTAATCATGTCAACAGCAGGCCCACGGATATCGATAGACTGGCCTGTTATGCGCGGTACTGGAGAGCGCTCGATGAGTGTGATAATCAGTTGCATTTTGAACCCAGGCTGGCGAGCCAGCACGAGGGCCAGCGAGGCCCCAGCTACGCCCGCACCGGATATGAGAATGTTCAATGGTCGTTCAGACATTCCAGTCACCTCCAAAAGGTCTTTGTGTAGGTAGTGTCTGACTGAAGGACCATCGACGTGTATTTATCAACTATCTACAGCTTGTATGAATCTTCTAACCTCCGATCGGTTCAAACTAACCGCCGAGCTTCAGCCTAGACACCCTTCCAAGGCCCGAGCACTGGTGTAATAAGGTCCGCTCCCCAGCTTCGCACTTTGTCGCTTGTCCAGTTGTTAGCTCGGGGCCTGGAGCCACAAAATGCGAGGGCATGTCACCAGCGTCCGGTGACATCATTCACTAGTCGCGTGTATCGACGGCGTGTCGAATATCGTGGGCGCCTGGAGCAGACCCGTGCCCCTCGGGCCCAAAGGACGACCGTGCAGCAGGGTTTGCGAGTGCTATGTTACACTTGGTGTACACGCGTGGCTTGATCTGGACCGCGCGAAGAAGAATCGGAATCGGCGCGGCTCGAGAGGTGAACGCGGCGGGCCGATCGCCCGACTACCTATCCTGGTAAGATTGCTGGGAGCTCATTGGTTATCGGTCAATTTTGGCCGTCTTCAAGTCAAGTCACGACAAGACCAAGACGAGGATCTTCCGTGCGTTGTGAGAGTAAGGGAAATGTTGCTGAGCTTCTGCTGCCGACACAGGAAGACCCACCTATCAGCCATACCGCTACTGTCAAGCAGCTCATTCTGCTGCGCTGTCTGGCCAGCGGCAGTCTTGTTTGAGAGAAAGGTTGTGTGGGTACTAAGTAACAATTCCACGAACAAATTTCCTATTCAAAGCATGCCTCCGAAGCAATAACACTGCAGTAGGTAGATGCGTGACTAGTGGTTCCCAACAAAGTAGGTCTTCCATTCAAAAAGATTCAAGGTCAGATGTGAGCTCATCAGCATCCTGTGTACGGCGAGCTCGGAGGTGGGTATTTCAGTACAAAGACTATAGTACAATGATTCCAGGTCGCTCTCTCGATGTGAATATGTCCTACAACACTCTGCCCTCCACTGTGCCGACGGGCCGCTCGGTAATACCAATGCATCCATCTACAATGTTTTTCCTCGCCGCTTCTGAACTCACGTTCTGACCGCTAAGGTAGAGCTGCCAGACAAGTCTGCTGACCCTCTCGTCCTGCACGCTTCCCAGCTTGGTCGTCTCACCCATCTTCTCCCCCTTTTTCGTGTTGATGGTAGGCTGATACCATACACCGAGTTCTCCGTTTTTACCGCGCGTCAGTGTCAGAACACTGCCTTTAGGGGCCTTGCCCTTTCCCTGGAAGAGGCCCTTGAACTCCTTCATCGCGAGCCCGAAACTCTCATCTCCAAACTCGCCCTCCTCCACTGGCTTTGGCAAGGAGATCTGCCTGTTCTCCGTGGCTTGCTGGCGGAGGAGATCGGCCTGTCGCTTTCGCACTTCGTCTGTGCGCGAGGCGATGCCGCGCATCCATCCGTCCCTGAGATGTGCAAAGTCTGTGCCGCGTGTTGGTACGACACGGAATGCCATGTCGACCGCATCGACGCCCTTTCTCGCTAGAATCGCGTCCCAGATCTCTGTGCTCCTTTGTGGGTCCAACAGAGCATTCCTCAGGTCTTCTTTTTCGCCAGGGATCAGAGCCGAGGCGGTAGGGTTGACCGTGTTGATAAGGTGGTTTTGCAGGATATGCAGATCTGAGCTGCGCACATACAGACCAACGACGTAGACCTGGACTCGCAGGAAGGAGACTTTTCGGATACCTAGGCCGAGTAGTTGATATTCTGCTTCGCTTTCGACGGCTTCGGGCCCAGTGGGAACGGGCAGCGTAATCGTCTTGGGAAAGTACGGCACGTACGATGTGCCGGTCTCGACCAACTCTACGGTGTCTACATCTGTGGCCATGGGGTGTTCAGCGTCCACAGGCGCGGCGATGACTTTATCTCCTGGGGCTATCACAACTTTCTTGCCCTGAAACTCATCGACTGCAGCGCGGGGTGAGTCGGTCTGTGTCGGCCGTGGAGTGATGAGGTCTAGGACGCCTCTGCTTTCTTTCTTCTCTTTCTGGTCATCCTGGTTTTGTTCTTCTGGTGGTGGCAGGTCCCAGAAGCGCACAAGGATCATTGGCGCAATCATTGACAGCGCAGCGCCCAGTGCAAGCCAGTTCCGCCTTCGTTTGAGCTGCGCCAGGCGCAGTGCCTCAGCGCGGTGCACGGAGACATATTCAAGGTCGGAAAGGTATTCTCGCTGGGGCTTCGATTGTTGAGCTAGACGACGGAGCTGTGGGCGGGGCGTAGGCGAATTGAGACACCTAAAGAGTGGGCGGCGGGCCGTGAGGCGTACGGCTGTCATGGTGTTCTGTTGCGGCGATGGGCTGGCCGCATAGGTAGAGGTGGAATGATGGACGTCTTGACTAGCGGGCAATGATGTCGGCGCCAAGGGCGGAGTTTAGCACGGAACGCGTCCAGTCGCGTTGACCGCGCAGTGCCCCACATTCAAGTGATTCACTACTCTGCCAGGTCCAATATTCACACAATGGCAGCCTTGTCGCGGAAACGGAGAGCGGTGAGCAAGAGAAATCCTTATGGTGTTTTGGACTGATCACCGTAGCCCATAGCGGACGACGACGACGAACCTACTCCCACGCAACGGCGGCAAACGCAGGTCGTCGACGACGATGAAGTAGACGAAGCAGAGCAGGACCATGGCAGCGGAAGCATTGCACAGTTGTCCAAGAATCTGGTTCGATATGCACTTTCCTGCGAATTTTCCCGAACGCCCATAAAGCGGCAGGATGTAGCTCAGAAGGTGCTTGGGTCGCATTCGCGAGCATTCAAAGAGGTCTTTGCGGCCGCAAACACACATCTCATGGATGTATTTGGCATGAGGATGGTGGAGCTACCCAACAGAGAGAAAGTCACATTACGCCAGAAGCGCGGTGCGTTCACTGGGTTACTTTATTCCACGTCCGATCTGACGATTACCAGCGGCCGCAGGCTCAGAATCACAAGCCAAGAACAGCAACATCTGGGTATTGCAGAACATCCTCCCCGAAAAGTATCGTAGCCTCCCTGTCATGGGTCCTGGCATGGCGCCGGCGCTCGAAGACAACGACCCCGACCTGCCCGACCTGGAGAGCGCGTACATTGGTCTATACAGCACTGTCATCTCCCTGATATTGCTGTCCGGCGGCACGCTGTCCGAGGGAAAGCTCGATCGGTTCATGAAGCGCATGAATGCCGCAGACACGACACCAATCGATACTACAGACAAAGCCCTCGCGCGCATGGCCAAGGACGGTTACATTGTGAAGGTCAAAGAAACACAGGGCGGGGAGGAGCTTGTGGATTATATAGTGGGACCGCGTGGAAAGGTCGAGGTGGGTAAACATGGCGTGGCGAATTTCGTGCGCACGGTATATGGCGATAATGTCGAGGATCTAGAAGAACGGCTAACGCGTAGTCTTGGGCTCGCCGAGGACGGTGAAGCGGATGTTGTGGACGGCGAGCCTGTTGCTGCGCCTGTGCAGAACATCGAGCGGCGTTCGGGAAGACAATGACGACGTGGACGGGACTCAGACGACGACTAGGCGTGATGCGAACGACGGGTGAGGGTTGCCAGTCGAGATAGGGAGCGTCGCAGTCGAAGATGCGCCACACGTGTGTGCCGACATGCAGGTAGTACAGGATACACCATGAGATACCCAGGCATTTGTCAGCGTGCTGCGATGCCACCAACATGGGCGTGGGGACATGCCGTGAGCGTGAGGTCAACTAGCCGCTGTCGCTGTGAGCGGCGCCGCCCTCGGTCCCACCGCCAAGTCGTAGCTCAGCTACCAGCCCATCATTGACCCAGATTCAGTTTCCTCTCCAACCGTCGCCGTTGCACCTTTTCACCTCGCGTCCGCACACGCTGCCTCTGCCCTTCCTCGCGCTCCATGACCAATTCCGACCATGGTCTTCGCGTCGTAGACACCGGCACCATGAGCAGCATCGACTCCCTCCTCAACTCAGACGCCAAACAGGGCGACCAGCAGACGCGCACCGAGCACTCGATCGCGCCTACCACTTACGACGCCGCCGACGCACTTGCAGCCCTGGCAACACTGGGCAGCGGCCAGCAGTACATCTCGCGCGAGCTCCCATCGCCAACCGCCTTTACACACGCACCGCGCCGCAGCAGCAGCTTTAGCTCCCACGCAGCACCCGTCGAGCCCTCGCCGCCCATCGAGCAGCCCCAGGCGCACTCCCCAACACTCGAGCAGTACCATCACGGGTCCAATTCGCCCGAAGCACAGCGTCGCCAATCTTTAGCACTGGCTCGCTCATCGCCCGCGCCCGTTCTGGCGCCCATTCAGAACCTTTCAACTAGCCTGCAGGACCAGATAAGCGAACCGCCAGTCTCACATGGCCACGACGCCTCGCAGGTGGTGTCGCCACCGTCAAATCCCGGTGAGAGCGCGGGTCGCGATGAAACGCAAATTCGCGGACCGGCCTTTGTACGCGACGAGCCGACAACATCCCAGATCCGCGTGCCCGGGTCACCACACGATACAAATGATCCGCCTGCATTGACGCGTGAGGCCTCTGCGCCGCAAGAGGGTCTGTCTTCCGCCGTTCCCACGCAGTCAGTAGAGCATCGGCAGTCCATCACATCGGAGAATGTGGACCCCGATACGCTGAAGGCCATTGAGATAGCAAAACAAAGCGACTTGGGCCTACGCGCAAAACGGAATGCCAGCGTCGCCGAGAGCGTGACCTCGCCCACCGAGCAGTCAAAACCTGCACCGTCCAAGAAACGCCCTGCACCGTCCGGTGCATCGGGGATCAAGAAGAAGGGCACTGCAACAGCAAAAAAGCCGCCGTCCAAGAAAAGAAGGCTCGATACTGAAGGAGATGGGTACGCGCGATCAGTCACACCCTCTTCGAAGACTGCGAAGAGCAAGAGTGGCAAGAAGGGCTCACAAACAGGCACACCGGTTGCAGGATCATCGCCGGCGCCCGATCATTCCTCCCAAGTACACCCTACCGATGATGAGGGCGAGTCGTCCGATAACGAATTGTACTGCATATGCAGGAAGCCAGACAACCACAGGTGGATGATAGCCTGCGACGGCGGCTGTGACGACTGGTTCCACGGCGGTTGTGTCGACATGGAGCAGGCAGACGAAGAACTAGTGGACAGATTCATCTGTCCGTCATGCCAAGAGAAGGGCCGGGGGCAGACAACTTGGAAACCCATGTGCCGACGCGACGGCTGCCGCAAGCCTGCGCGTACTGCTAAAGGGAAAGAGAGTAAATACTGCTCGGAAGAATGCGGAACCATTTTCATGAGCGAGCAAGTACAACGAACGGCGGGCGCCAAGGCACCAAAAAAGAAGGGCAAGAAAAAGAGCGGTAAGAACGGGGAAGAACCTACCTCAGACGATGACCAAGAACCGACTCCCCTCGGCGGGGTTCTGCGTGCGAAAGACCTCAAGGCTCTCATCGACCAAGCAAAGGACATCCAAGCCTTCAAGGGTCTCGGTGCCGGCGTTCTCTCACCTCCACGGACGGCGTCACCTACTAAAGGCTCCTTCGACGGCGTCAATGGCGCACGGCCCGCAGACGACGGTCTCGCTCTTACAGCCGGCGAAACCGAACGCCTCAACGCCCTCCACAAGGAGAAATCCCAACTCAAAGATCGCCTTGAGGTCCTGAAAGACCGTGAAAAGTTCGTCAGCATGGTCAAGGACCAGGTAGCCCGCATCGCCGAGCGCGAAAAAATGAAAGCAAAAGAACTCTGCGGCTACGACTCGCGTCTTTCGTGGTCAGACGCGGAGTTTCTCATCTGGCGAAATAGCAGGATAGGCAAGGCGAGCTTCAAGTTCATGACGCTTGCGCCGTCGTCGGATCAGCTTGCTGAGATCCCTCCTGCCAACAGCGAGGACACCGATATGCCGATGTCCGACGAGCAAGCAGCCGCGTCCGAGTCTATATGTCTCAAGAAGCGCTGCCAGAAGCACGCGCAGTGGCAGAAGCAAAATCTCCAAGATGCGCGGTTCGAAGAGGTGGAGATTGCCGAGTCTATCCGGGAGTGCGAGAAGGACGAAAAAAGCGTGCGTGAGCGCGCGCTTCGTCGAGGCACGAAGGACAAGATGGCGAGGGAGCTCCGAGTTGGCGATGCAGACAACGGCGAGCGGAACGCAGAGGGGTGGGTCGAGGTGGTCAAGTCATAACACAGCGCGGAGAGAGGGACACAGCCCATGTTTACTGGACGCGTCTTGGAGAGGCTCGGATGGATGCGCGTTCTAATTGGACTGGACTGAAGTTGATTATACCCCCGTCCGAGGCGTTGGGCACGGCTCTCCGACGTCTGGGACTTTTGCTTTGGTATGCCTCGCGCTATCATTGTCATTGTCATTGTCATTGATAAAAGTAGTTAAGCTCTTCTTGTACTGCATGGTTTGCATTCTTTTGTGACTTTTTGAGGGAAGGGCTTGGGTACAAAGCATTTAATGAATGGACTGGTAGGGTGATCAGGGGTTCGCTGCTCAAGCAATTTTCGCCAATTTGGCTCGGTGACATGGTGTAAAGGAGTTAGTGCCGTGCGCGGAAGGTATGACTTCTGACGCGTACGCCGTTGTATCGCTGCTGATTATAGCCTCGGACGTCATTTGTGCCGCTGCGGGCATCACACGTCTTCGACGACTCATGAAGGCTCCCTCTCGCTACAAGGCTTGCTACTCTATACAGGTTTAATAGTTGGCTCGCCATATGGTTTAGTAGTCACAATATCGAGCGCTTATCTCGATCTTGGGTCAGGCGAGGTTGCTTCACCGACCAAAGATTTACGGCGCAGCCATGCCGAGATACAATCAAGCGGGAATCTCAGCTGCGTCGTAGCCGGCTCCCCCGGCTGCTCTTTTTATTTAATATACAATCAAGGTCCTACACTCAAATTAAAAAAGTCTGCTCTATTAGGCTACATGAATCTATGTACGGCGCCCTCGTTGCCCTGAGCCGCTTTCACCTCTTACCAAAAGCAGGACAGAAGTCCCAAAAGAGACAGCATGGGGAATCAAACGCCCACTCAAAAAAGAACACACGGTCAACCCTTCCTCCGGCCTAAAGATCAGATCAGCACCAACTCGAGCAGCAGACTACCAGTTCGTACGACCAACTACTCTCAGATTGTACGAGCCATACCTGCACCGTTCAACTACAACAGAGACGCCTCTGGACAAGATGAACGAAGACCAAGCGATAAAAGACTTCAGTATTCATACAGCTCCATCAAAACTAACAGAGCAAAGTACCTTCTTACCCAAACGTAACGTCGTGAACAAATACACATATGCCTGCACCGTGCCTCGGCCTTCCCTTGTTCCCCCAACAACCTAACCTTTGCAATATACATTGACGATTACACAGCAAGGCATTCGATCCCTGCCAAACGCCTTTCCATTACCCTCAATCATGATTACCCTCTCACTGCCCCCCATTCATCGCATTCCCATTAAATCCACTCGTCCCATGACCCCCATTATCACCCCCAAAATCAGGCAGCACACCATTCATGCTAATCCCCTCTTCGTACCCGCCCGTGAAGCCGCCCGTGCCCGTCATATCCGCCCAGTCCCACTCGAGCGTCATGGGCATCTTCCACAGGTCCTGCGGCACATTGTTGAACGTCTGGTCGAAGGTGGTGCCCATGGACATGACGCCGTCCATGGAGGTCATGGGCATGTGTGCGGGGTGGGACGAGGTTTGCGGGAGCATGGAGGTGGCGAGGGAGGGGGAGAAGTTGGCAGAAAGGTGGGAGGGTTGTTGGAGGTTAGCGTGGGAGAAGTTAGGTGAGAAGGGGAAGGGCTGGGTGGAATTAGCATGTGCTCATGAGAAAGGAGGGAGAGACGTACCTCGCTAAAGCCGTGGAAATCCGGGTTGAATATCATGGTTTGATCCTGCTGTGGGTTTGGCTGCGGGCTTGGGTTCTGGGGCGGTGATTGCGGTCCGTTACGGCTGGTGGAAAGTAGTTCGCGTTCGGTGGCAGCGATCTCGGCATCCTGTTCACTGTCGCCTTGTTTGCGCTTTCGTCTTGATGCATGCTCGCGGTCCGCTTTGTCGAGCACGATCGCGGCTATGCGCTCGAACTCGGTACACACACTCAGCATGCGCTTCACGCTTCCGTTGCCTTGCTCGTTCTTGAGTAAGCTGAGGAAGCTGACAACAAGCTTCATGAGCTTGAGATCCGATCTTGAGCGCGTATCTTGAGGATTCTGCAAGATATTTGCGAAGAGAGTGACGAGCGCCGTGACAGGGAAGTAGATAATGAGCCAGACACAGGACTGGTCACCTTTGGGGATGTATTTGAGGAGATGTATTGATGCTCGTGCCGCCTGTACGCAGAGCTGGGCCGACATAAAGACACGAGGGTTTAGTGGCCGAGCATTAAGGCCTTGGATAGCGAAATTGGAGAGACGACTTGTCCAGTAGCCGTGATGGACACTCATACGATGGATGGTGGTCAGACAGTTGTAGTAACCCAGATGAAGCACAGCAACGTGGAGTATGAGGGGCGTATGCGAAGCTTTGATGTCGTGCTCCGGCCTGTATTCAAGCGGTATCTCATCTTTCCATGTCTCTAGCTCTTTGTCGAGTTCGCCAATAGTGTTGAGAAGTTCTCCATCGGTCTGTTTTGTAGCTTTCACTGAGTATAATCGCTTGTATACGTGACTCTGAATGATGGAGAAGGTGCACATCAGGCGGAACAGATTCATCTTGCCTTTGCCATCGGCTAGTGGAATGTTGCCGATATTATCTGGAGGGTCTTCGCTGGGAAGCTCAACATTCATGTCATCGTCATCTTGGATTGGTGGTCGACCAGATCGTAGGCATATGTCCCTGTCCAACATATAAGCTATCCAGAACACTCGCTTTCGTTGCTCGACTTCGGACGTATTCAAGTTGAAGGCTGACCCCTTCTTGTGCAGCCCAATACTATGCGATAGTCGGATAGCAGCTGCTACGAAGAAATATGTTGGTTGGGGATTGGGCGTGCCAAGCAGAAATAGACCCTGTCAAGGTTAGTCACGTGAGCACATTGACCCGACGGTGGCTAGCTTACAATCCCGAGCAGTGCTTGGACACTAAGAAGGTCAGTGTTGCGCATCGTCAGTTCCACTTGTACGCTCATAGCGTTCTTAAGATACTGCCATGCCTTCTCATCTTCCTCTTGCGGTACCAGATTGCTCATGACCCTCAGGCGATGCGCAAAGGCCAATGCGACGTTCAAGCTAGCCCACCACCCTGAACCCTCGTACGGGTCTTTCGAATAGTGCTTGTCGACCAAGTGCATGAATGTGGGCTCGTGGAACAGGGGAAACATGCAGTTGAAATTTTCAAAGTAGTCTTTTAGTAGAGAAAGCGCTTCGGCCTTGGGCGGAAGTTGGCGGTAGACTCGCCGCTTGAAGATGTCCTGGAACACGTCGGGTCGCCATTGTATCCACTTGTTGTCCTCTATTGCGGCTGTCGATATCATATCCTGGAACGAGTCGTCTCCAGTCTTGTCGTTGACCCATTGTATGCCCTTTGGTGAAAAGATGGAAAAGCCGGAGGATGATCCAATGTAGCGCGTCTCACCGCAATTGTTCGTGACGAGCGAGCACATCATCTCTGCGAGCGCATCTTCGTCCTTCTCGGTCTTGCTTCCGTTCTGCTGCTCCGGCTCGGGCTCTGGCGACGCTGTGCCACTTCGTGGGCTCGGAAGACCCGGCTGTGTGGCAGGTGTTCCATCCGGCTGCTCCGCTGATGCGTGCACCGAAGATGCTCTTCTTTCGTGCGGACTTGGTACCTTTGGTGTCCCGCCCTGTCTAGCTCGGTCTGCTAGCCGTTTCTCCAAGGTAGCCAGATCGGTGCTACCATCATCGTCGTCGGGGAGCACGCCCGACAGGCGCATTAGCGACTCCATGCGAGCAAGTCGGTTCTCGAGGCCCTCGATGTATTTGGCGCTGTGTGTGTCAGCCATGGGCCGTTCCTTCCCTTCCGGCGTGGTCCATACCCTTTCGGCGGCTGGCGCTTCTTCTCCACCTGCGTGAAGATGCACTCGGTCTTATAGTTCAAGCAGTGGGTGCAGGCGGGCATCTTGCCGTCGCATTTGATTTTCTTCTTGCGGCACATGTCGCATGCCTGTGTGAATCAGCACTCGCTTCCAGCGGTCGCTCCTGTCTGTGCAGCGCGTACCCGTGCGATCCTGCGCCTCTTGGGGTCGCCCTGGTCGTGGCCGTCGTCCAAGTCGTCGGCGGAGAACATGCTTGCAGCCAATCCTGCGGGGATGGGCGAGCCATTTGCAGTCATGCTCCCAAAGATGCGCGGCGGGGGGTTCATGAGCGGCGGCCCGCCGTAGAAGCCGTTGGTCTGATCCATGGCGGACATCTATCGCGAATGCAGGCGCGGAATGGGTGCGGCGTATCTGTCAATTGGGGGGCCTGCGCGGGCAGCTGTGGAGTTTTGATAGCAGAGTGTAGAGGGCTTGTCCAGGCCTGAAACGCAGCCGATGTGCAGCGGCCGGGGACGTGACTCTCAACGGCACCCGGCGTTAAGGACGATGCGCGCGATGTCGTCCGACGGTCCCGCTGTGCTTCGTAAGGTGAGCTAAAGTGGGAACGCGCCGCGCCCAAAGAAGCGTGCAAGCCACAGCTCAGGGAACGATGCAGGCGCATCGGGCACATGAAATCACCGCCCTCGCTACCAAAGCGCAGCCTACTCTATACCGACGTCCGCACCCTACACTCCGTCCACAGGCAGCTCGCAGTTTCTACGCGCCCGTATTTTTGTGCGGCCGAGAATAGACGGTACGTGAACCTTTTGGCCCTCGTGCAGTAGCTCTTGGCGTGCCCTGCGTTTGAAACCGGGATGTGCCATACCTCCTGCGCCGTCGTCAAACCATGCTAACTTTATCCAACGGGCACAGCCACCCTCGCTTCGTATGCCATCCCATCCTGCTGCATCTCATCTCGCCGTTGACGAGTGTGCGGTAGAGGCACAGCTAGTAATCGCTCCACAGGAACTCGGTTTGACAAAGAGTAGGAAACCTTGGCAACATGGCATCCAAGCCTATGACAGCCGACGAGCTGCCCAAGCATCCCGAGTATGAACACACCATATGGGACCTCAAACCGACACTGGCTGGCAAAGTTGCCGTTGCTCAAGGCAGAGGTGGCCCTCTCAACATAGCATACGAACTCCATGGCCATGGTAACATCCACCTTGTCGTACGTCTATCCTCCCATTATTATCTTGTCGCCCCCTCCATCTATAACGGTCCTGCATATATTGCGGTCTGGACAATTGCCAGAATAGGCACACCGTACAGGTGTATTTGTCAGTCTTTGTACGAGCGCGCATGCCTCAATCCTCGCCAGTCGAGGACTAGCGAATACGCGACAAGTACGACTTGTTTGTTTCAGTCGCATTGGCCGTCTCAAGTCGGCAGTCCCTGTGTCTCAGTCTCATCACTACCACATGTTCCACACCCTTTTTCGACGACATCACCATTGAGACTCCATTTCCAACCCTATGTTTCTGACTCACAGAATGTAGTTTGTAATGGGCCTCGGTGGCATGAAGTATGCCTGGCAACGGCAGACCAAAGATTTCGCACATATACAAGGCGACAAATACTCTGTCCTTACGCTTGACAATCGTGGCATCGGAGAGTCGGACAAGCCATTTTTCCGCTACTCGACGTCCGAGATGGCCAAAGACGTCATCGAGGTCATGGACCACGTTGGCTGGACCGGGAAAAGGGAGTGCCACGTTGTGGGGGTCAGCATGGGGGGCATGATTGCGCAAGAGATGGTGAGTCCCTTTGTTATTCCAATTATTTCTTAACTGCTTCGACTGTGCTTCAGCGCACGGAGAACCTTTACGAGCTCGGATCTCGGATTGAACGCTATCCGGTCAGGCACGTTGGAGCGGCTGTGGTTCCACCTGAGGCGATTATGAGGCAGAACACTTGGCAGTGAAACGCTTTCGCGTATCAACGTGGGGACCCCTGTCATATCACCAATGCTTGGCTATCCGCTCCGCTCCACCACTGGTCCAGAGGCACTTGGCGAAAGCCTCCTCTTTTTATCGCCTGAGCGATGCAAGCCGTTGTGCATCGCATGAAAGCTGACAATGACAGGCGATGCTGATCCCTGAACGCATTTGCACCCTCTCACTATTGTCAACAGCAGCCGGACTATTCCGAACAACGGTAAGGATTGATTCCCAGTTGATTCGAGCAAGATTCTCTTGCTAGATCATAACCAAACGGTGCGTATACCTGACGCTGTCTAGGGTTTCTTGGAAAACCTCTACGCTCGCGCCAATCTTTTCATCCCCAAAGCCATCGACGTTCAAATAGATAATGTGAAACGCAATCTATACACTCAGGAATGGCTGGATGCTCCGGACACGCTAGAGCATGTTGTCAAGCCTTTTCCCACGAACGGCGATCGCTTTGCCGCAAACGAGTTGTGGAAGCGCACGCATCCGGACTATTTCCAGAAAGGCGGCTTCATCTTGCAGGCAGCTGCCGCCTGGCTGCACTATAAAAGTCCGGAAGATCTCCACACGATGGCCAACACTATCGGAAAAACCCGCATCATGGTGGTGCACGGTACCAAAGATCGCATGATTACGTTTCCACATGGAGCCGTCGTCTGGCGAGGCTTGGAAAAGGGTGAGGGAAGGACAGGGAAAGAGAATTGGCTCGGTATCGAGGAAGAGAAGGATGTCTGGGAAGAAGGCGAAGTCGAGAAGCACTTTATCAAGGATCAAGGGCATGTGCTGCCGATTGAGATGAGGGAGGAGTTCAACAGCTGGTTCGAAAGCTTGATAAAGAGAGGCGAAGCATTGAATGAGAAGGAAGGCGTTTCCAGGTAGGTGCGTGCCTATTCACAACCGACCGATCCCTCCTGTGCATTCAGCGACCCCGCGAATACCCGTACAATACACCACAATAGATTGTCACGATGTTTGGATTCGAGAAAACTTGCAGAACCAGCCAGTGCAGACTAGATACGTGCAGGGACTATGTCAACATCACACATCCACATTCATCGTTTCGGCCACCACCCACTCTCTCAGCCCAAATGCCGACTGCCGATCTCCCGTCTCCTCTTCCAAAAACTGCAGCACTATCAAATATACATCTTCACGCTCTGGGCACCCTAGCATATTGCGGCTAAATCTTGTAGAACGGGCACGCAGGGTCTGCGAACATGCATGCGATATTAAAATGTGGGGGATGAACAGCAACAAAGTGTCGCATCCACTCCTCCACTCCATAAATCCCGGATACCCACTTAAATTTCACAGCAATCGCAACACCTCCGAGCACCATCCAACCACTGAAGAAACCCAGCAGCCATGTTACCCTACGCGTCCCTCACTTTCCTCTCCATCGCGACAACCGCAACCGCCGCCTGTTCCCGTTCCACACTACAGTCCGCCACCACCGCCCTCCTCGCCGCCCAAACCGCCGGAAATCTTTCCGCCCTCCCCCTCTCCCCAAACACATCCTACATCGAGAACGATGCCGCCCTCGCACTCTCCTCTTCCATCCTCACCAAATCTGTCCCCATCGACCTCTCCCGCTCCCTGCACGACACCACCCTCTGCGCCACCTTCACCGAGATAATCTCCGCAACCGGGTCACATCCCTATGTCATTATGACACGCATGCTGTTCACCGCGGACGGGGCCGCGATATCGCGCATTGAGAACATAGTCGCGGACAAGGGAGATTGGCTGTTCAATGCGCAGGCGAGCCTGAGCAAGGCGAAAGACGAGGTATGGGTTGATATCCCGGAGGGGAAGAGGGATGCGCGAGATGTTATACAGGCGGCGGGGGATAAGTATCTGGATAGTTGGTCGGACGGGAAGGTCAGCGTACCGTACGGGAGTCCGTGTGCGAGGTTGGAGGGCGGGAGCTACACGACGAATTGCAAGATGCCGGAGTTTCCAAAGGAGTTCAAGGATGCCGGAGGGTGAGTTTACAGATTTCTTTTGCCTGTTTTGTTTGGGGCTGGGGAGTGAGGGAATTGTTGCTGACGCTGCGTAGTGCGAAGAATCGACGCTATGTTGTGGATGAAGAGGTTGGAGCTGTGAGTATCTTCAATGACTTCCCGTTTTTGGATCCGAAGAAGCCGAATGGGACGAGTAGCACGAATTTTGTGAGAGTGGAGGGCGGGAAGATCAGGTATATCCATGAGGTTACTATCTGCACGCAGAACAACTGCGGGAGATGATGAGCGAAGGTGTGGAAGAGACGACTGTTTGAATACCGGTAATACTGGTATCCCCCACCTGAGTGATACCATACAGGCATTTCAATTGAACGACTGTTCCGGAGATTGGCTTCGTCGCTTACTCGCAACCCACTGTCATGCGTAGATCCCGGAGGCATTAAAGAACAAGCAGGACGTCACTCGTTCAGGTACCTAAAGGCGCCTATGAAAGTATAAGAGTATTAAGATAATTAAGCAAAGTCACGTATAAATTCTAGCTTTAGAAGTATTGTTATCTTAACTGCCTTCTTCTGAACCATCCTAGCGATAGAACCAAGCGGATCTTGCAGACAACTCCTTGCCGTCCACCACTTCCTCGACACATAAATGGAACTCCAGCGCAAATAGTTTACCTGGCGGCTTTAAAAATGCACGACAGTCTAAGCCCCATGGTACTGTCGTAGCTCCTCTCAATGCCTGGATAGGTCATGGTAACCTTGATGCGGGAAGAGTCATCCAGCAGACGAAGCGTCCCTTCAGTCTTCCACCCCATCCCTGTGTATTCGTAGACACCTGGGTTCGACTGCTCATGGACAAAGACATCTTTTCCGAGGATAATGTTGTATCCGAGCCACTGCATGTAGCTAAGCATTGGGGCAATTTCCATTGATCCTTGCTCGAGCATCAACCCCATGCGCACCCTATTGCATGGCACATCGAATGGGCGCTGGATGAGGAGCTGTTTGAGGGTCTTCGGCTTTGTTGCAGGGGTTGGCAGGTCGGAATCGCTTGAGGACTGGAGGGAAGAATCAATATTTGGGACCCGAAACTGATGCACGAAAGACAAGGTACCATATCCGGAACAGTATGGAATCGATCGCTATAAGCACGGCGAGGCAATGAGGAAGACTCTAGGTCCTCTCATTGCAACGGGCAATAGCGAACTTGCGGCTCTGGCCCAGGAAATTTACTACGGCAGCAGTTTCTTTGTTATTGAATGTCGCGAGACGTCCGTGTCGGGACCCAACCTATCAAAAGCACACCTGATCCGAAGGTTACTCGTTGCAGTAGGACGCTTCGAGATTCCAACTGGAGTACGGTGCTCTCAGGTCGACGACACTCGGTGCCTTGGTTTGCTCGGCAATCACCAAAGATTGCATACAGAAGGACAGCTACGAGTATTTCATGCGCAACGTCAAGATGAATCTGGAGGCACGAGTCGTTTCCTTTCGATTCTATCCATACGATCATGAGCACTGGAACGATTGCGTGCCACCTACTCTTCCAGACATGGACGGGGTCATTCGACATAGGTGCATCTGCGCACAGAAGTTTGAACAGGCGTTTCATGGATTGATAGAGAGCGCGAAGGCTGAAGGGGTGAGCTGGTTCGAGTAATTATCGTTGCTGCGTTCCAAGTGGAGCTGCCCAAAGGGAGGAAAATAGCATGGTCTTAGCTTTATTGCGGCGTATGTATGTAGAGACATCAGTACCCTGACGGGACACAATCAGCATCTCCTCACCTAGTCTACCGGTCATTTCATTGCTCGCCTCGCACATGCCTCCCCTTGATTCACCTCTCTCACCTCTCACCGAGCTCGCTTGCATCAATTCATTCGCACGCAGTGAGTGCACCACTTCAATGAAACTATTGGTATCAGACTGGTCGAAAAAGTTTCGACTTGCTGCTGCACCTGCTTCTGGTCCGACTCGCTTACGTAACGCATCCGCGCTCATGTCAAGTAAACACTCGTCACTCAATCACGAGAGCCCCACCCATAGATTTCAAATCTACCGCCCTCCAGCATCTAAATTTGACATTTTCAAGTTTGCAAGGACATGTGCAGTATCTTCAAATCTTCCACTCAGCTCGAGTTCCTCGATCCGGTAGGTATATACTCCATGTGAAGCCTTGGGCGCGTAACTGAATAAGCAGAAGCCTACCGTGCGTATTTGTGCATTAGAGCGCCCGCAAAAGTCCATGAATAACTAAGGCGATGCCCCTGCACGACTTGGAGCCCATGGTTTCCACCAAGCCTTCTGACCATGGACGTAATTGCTCGCAACTGCCGGTCGAGCTCAAGACCGAAAATCTTGTCCTACGTCGTCGCGAACGACTCCAAACCTGGCATTAATCGCAAGAGCCACCGAAGGGAGACTAGCAAAATATTTAACCCGCTCATAGGGACCGGTAATCGTCGCTTGAGTATCCTTTCCTACATGTTACACAGCTTGTGTTGGGGATGAATCAAACTGACGTTACAACGATTGCAGTAGACACATACGAAGCATCTATAAGGGTTACCTCGGAGGCTATTTTCTTGCTTTCAAGGGCGTTGAGCTCACCGCGGACTGGAGCAAAACTGGACTTTGGCCTAACCTCGAACCAGCAGCGGCGGCTCCGTCAGCATGCTCTGTCCAGATGTAAGGCATATCATGGCAGCCTTCGATGTCTATCAGATTAAAATCAGCTTGTCGATGTAAAATAAATACTACCACAATGGTAAGGCTTAAACAGTCGTACATGGTTTTGTGCTAACACGGGTCAAGCAGAGCAGCCTCAAACGAGAAGACATGCAACTTTTGAAACTTAGTATTACGTCGTGATGTAAAGGCCATAAGATACTGATGGTGACAACGCATCCAGAGCTATGTGTACGAGGATACAAGCATCTTGAAAACTGGGGGAGGGGACCATATAATTGGATTTGGAAGGTGAGGAGCAGATATTTGCCTACTTGTTATTGCGTGCTGATCAAGCAAACCAACAGACCTTGAGAATGATCCAGACCCGGTTTTGCCTGAGGAGTCAGCTGTATGACAGTGTTCGCGTCACTGTTCATCCTAATTCTGCCGTTGATTGAGTGCCATTCGTCCATCTTCCAAAAAAAAAAAAAAAAAAATTGAAAACGAATTCTGCATTCTGCCGTATGCCATCATCATCACCATTCGAGAATCTCGGGAGTAATCAACCTTCTTCCCGAAAGCCTCAACAACATTTTCGGTTTGACGGACGTTCACGCACTTAACTCTCTTTTGTCTGGCTCCATGGATAACGTACGCGGTGACATTCCTGACACCTTTCTTGTTGACTTCGCCAAATCTCATACGCAAAGCGTTTGACGATGTGGGTAGACCATTGATGTGTTAGATACGTTTGGCTTTGGCGGCAAGTGCTTCTACTCTCAAGTCAAGACTTGAACTTCATCGAAACAATTCGGCCTACCAGATATTGCGCGAAGCGTAGCATCTTAAACTTAGTCCCGATAAGGGTGAACAGCATTGTAGTAATACAGGACTACTGGGTCGTCGAGTGCTGTGTCCGCAGCGTTGGACTTAGATATTTGAGATTGATAGACAAAAGTAAGGGTTAGGAGAGGTGGGGAGCCATGTTATACAGGCGTGGTTTATCAATGGTACTGCTCGCAGCTACAAACTGGCGGCAAATCAAACTTTTGCCTCAACGCTTTTATCTTCCATCGCTTGCTCTTTCGTAGTCTCATCTGGCACAAAGAGTCATTCTCGTTTCATGAAGAGGGCGGCTCAAGTTTTATGAACGCCAGCGATCAATACCGCAACGAAACTCCACACGGAGAGCGTCAACGACACCAGTCTCGACTCCCAGCCGTACCTGCTCGTCCATGAATCCCTGGTCGACGATACGACATTGCCTTTGCGATCGTTGCTGGCATTGCTCGTTGGTACTTTCAGCTCGTAGTAGGTATCGTTGCGTTCGGCCGGTAATTGCAAGGGTTCCGCTCTCGACTTATATCTATCGCTCGCATACTCTTCCGTTCGGCGTAGCTTTTCAAAGCTTACGCTCGAAAAGACGGCGTTTCACGATCGGGTTTTACGAACTCCAGATCCGAACAAGTCGTCGGGATACTGAGATTGCTATGAAAGCAATTCTCATGGGGTTCCGTGGATACTGCGTACGTGTGTCGCAAATTTGGGATGCGTTCTCCACCAACAAAGTGTCCGTGTGTTGTGGAGTGAAACTGTGAAACAGTCGGAGAGATTAGAACACGTCATTAGCGAGCCGCTTCCTAGGACGCTAGCTCCACTTCTCATCAATACGGAGCACCAGAATCCCAGATGGTGGGTGTCGGAGGATTTATTCCAGCTACCACGCGAGATGCAAGGTGGGACCATCGTCAAGAGGCTTAGTATATGACTGCGCTGATCGCTAGCAACGCGCTGCTCTCATCGCCGCACCCGCTCCTTCGGCTTGTACATTGCTTGACCTGCATCATCTACTAGATATCCGCTCGCTACTTGGATCCTCAGTGCATTGCCACAATGCGCAGCTTCGCTCTTGTTTCACTATTGGCTCTGGCTGCGAGCGTCGGAGCAACCCTCGATCCAGCGGACACGAACACCAAGGGGAAGTATCCCAGCAACCCAAGCTGCTCACGTAGGTTTCACGCTACTATTATCGATACAAGTTGGATTGATGATCATATAGCTGTGAAGACATCCAATGCCATCCAGGCTGCCGAATGCTCTCACAACACTCGCACATCAAAGCAGACCTTCGCCGTCTTCACTACCGATCACCAGTATGACAAGGTCAACGGTGCGCCATACGGCACTTGCATGGCGTATAACTGCGATTCTGGAACTTCCATGACCGACAGTGCGGATGCCTGGACGTTCTTCTGGAGTGATGCTGGGGAAAGTGAGGGCGAAGGTGTAGGATGCATCAAGAATCCCGACGATGGTGTATGTGGATGCGAGAACTCGGACGGCACGTTTGTTCCTGGTGGTTCAGACTGTGTATAGGTGGAAGAGAACAAGCGCATCAGGTTCTGTTTGAAAATTGCACGAAGCATTGCATGCAACGCTTTCCTCAAATACATCACGACTTTTGCCCTTCCCGAGTGTTACTTGTTCTGCACACTTCCGAAGATATTTTCCAGCAATACCCGTGCGTCGCTGTGCAGATACGGTTTGCCACAGTATCCACGTGCTACTCATTTACACGTCTGCCCTTCATCCCACTAAGGCGATCCACACCCGGTACCGGTCGACTGCCAAGTGCACGTTGTTTGGCAGAGATAGATAACGGAAGAGGCATCCGGTTTCGAGAAGCATTTGCTGTACACCACGTTTGGCGCTATACAAAGCTTAGCAAAGCGGAAGGCCAAATCGGACAGAAGTTGACCTACGTGTACCGCAAGCGCAAGAGGAACCAACTGGAGGAGCCGGGTCCAAAGCAGCAGCTGGTTCTGGAGTGGGAGCTGGAGCAGCAACAGCGGCCGCAACGAGGGCGGAGATGGCAATAGTGGAACGCATCTTGTAAGTTTTCGGGAATGAGGCTATGCTATGAGCTCAAAGAACTTGGCTAATGGAATCATGCGACAGTCTGTTGGTAACAACCTTCGAAAGGCGATTGCGTGTCCTTATATACCGTTCCCTTCGAGGTGCGTGCTCAAGATTAAGAAATTATTACGAGCCCCAAACTCCTCAGCCCCCCGGAGCTCCCGCTGACAGCGACGTTACATTGCCATCGGGTTTGAGGACTTCCCACGCGGCAGACATCGATAATGGCTTAATGCGTACTAAAACACTGAGTACCTGTGTACGCTGCCCATCCAAAGTGATTTGTGTGGAGGAGCTGTTCCTGTAAGCACTAGCTGCAGGACGCCTAAGATGATGCAGCTGATGGAAAGCAAGATACCTCGCCGGCTCTGTTTTACTTCAAAGTGATTCGATATGTTTTACAGAGGGTTGTAATACTGTTAATCGCGGTGTATAGCAGTGGGCTTAAGGCAACTAAACTAGAATCAAAATACGGTGCAAGGTAGAGAAAACGAAAGAGGATCACAAAGATCACACATCCGATAACACCCATTGGGCATATGGGGATTCTCGGTCATGTGGCCTGGTTGAGTTGGTGTTAAGGTGCGAGAGAGCCGTATGGGTGAAGGATGTCATTGCGCCACGTGCGGATTCTCATAGCAGGCCACCGTCAAAAGCAAGCAAGATTTCAAGTCGCACAACAAGCTGACTGTACTCCCACCTCCACGTGCTGGATACTCCTTCTCGAATATTGAGTAGGGTAAAGTTACAATCCTGTTCAGGAGAAGACAACGTTCCTCAGTAAGGCCCCAAACATCATCCATGTGTCAAGATTTTCGCTTGAGCATGTAATCGGAGAATATCCGACCTCCGTCATCATAGCATACGGCTTGCTCCCGCTCAGTCTCCCGCTTCCGCTGCCCGCATCCTTCCAATCATGGATGAGCTCTGATCGCGCATTAGGGGTCCGTGCAAACGCTTTTCTCAGCTATTCGATAATAATCCTGCATCCTCCTCAGCTTCTAGACTGAACACTTCCCGTGTCCGATTACGGCACCGGAAATCGTAAGACGCATGTAGCAGATAATCTGGTTACCTGAGACTTGTACTAGTCGAGAGCATATGTGTCGACGAAGAAACGAGGTTGTTTCTGTAATCAACAAATGCGCACAGCCCCCTCTTATCCGCCTAGGCCCGCTGGTGATAAAGAGAACGTGGATTAATGGGACCCAGAAGAAGGAACCGAAAATGCGGGTTGCAATCGGGAGCGTTATTCGAGAAGTAATGCCAATGGAATATTCGTCCCGTGGTTTCGTGCTTTCGGAAGCAATTTTCGCGGCGACGATGCATCATGCGATGGGGTTGAGGGCGCATCTCATCAGAAATACTAGAATCTGGTATTTGCCACCCAACCTCGTCAACAGGAACTACATCGTTCGAATGATCCACCCCTTTGCAGAACGAAGGCAACTTTAGGTTCCCTCGTACCCTTCGCACCCTCATCCCATAGCATTTGAGCTTGCTCACACCATGAAACAGATACATGCGATGTGAGTAGACCATGTCCCGGGCGACACCTGCCCATTTCTGGCGAAGACGACTGACTACGTCCGCCAAAAACACTTGGCAGCCGGCACAAGATACACCGTATTCGACTTGACGGCTCTGAGGATTGTACCTTGGCAGGGCGCAACAGGCCATACAATTTATGGCGTACGCTCGATGAGGTTGGGAGAGGACTTTTGAGATGGGCTCGCTGCTCGGCCACTCCTTTTTGTACGCTGCTATTACGTTGCGAGTGGGTACACATATCAACCGTTGCTTGTAGGACGATTCAGTCATGGCGTAGATACCTGGAATGGTTTTTATTTTTGGTAACTCGCGTAAGGAGTCCTCCGAAAGGTCAAGACTTCTCGTCATGGAGCGGAGACTTATCATATTCGTCGCAGGATTGTTGGAATAGAGCCAGGAGGAACATCATCGAGCCCAGATAGGTAAGTAGACGAGGTCGCCGTACTTACCGCATAAATAGCACTCCTTGGTGCAAAGGAGGCTGTAGAATTCTTTTAGAGTCACGCCGGGTATCGTCCGCGTACTGAGTAGCGCCAGAAAAGCGTTGAGGGCATGTTGTATGATGACGCGATACTCAGGGATTGTATTGACAACCTGCTTCCCACGTGCATTGACGAAGGGATCTTTACCAGTAGGTTGCCACCTGAGCTGCAGTATACGTGTCGCTACTGGGTCGATCATCTCGAACAAAGTCAGCAGGAGATAGCTGATGGGGATGTAACACATGTCTTTCTCCAGAAGCATTTCCTGCATTGGTTCGAAATTATGAGCCTTATGAGAGAGTCAACCAGATGCGTTTACTTGCTCAAGAGGCTCGAGACTCTTTTAAATGTACTATCTCTACTGAAAGTTCCTAGTGCTGTGCTAACACGCAATACAGCCATCAGCAAGCATTGTTTCTACCTTCCTTCTAGACGCTAGGCGATTTGTACTGCGCTTCCAATCTATAGCAGCTGATGCTCCACTACAGCTCTATTCCTCCGCACTTATATTCGCACCAGAAGCGAGCATAATACGAGAGAAGTTCAAGAACCTAGCTCTACGGGGGATTAAGATGGTTCTATTTCATACTGTGTTCGACGTATAACTACTTCCTTCTCCCTGGCCCATAGTATGAAATAGAGATGAAAGGAAATAAAGAAGAAGAGAAAAGGTCAAAGAGCTTATGGTATAGAAAAATTGAGGGACATGCAACCTCAAGAATAGCCCAAACAGACCATTTGTCTGTTGACTGCAGAGCAAGTCCACCGGTATTCAGGAGGAAGCCAGAGCAATTGCTGCTGAGTAGGCTAGACTGATATTACTGCGTTCGGTATCTCCGTGTAGGTACAAGACGTCGGATAAGGAGAAAAGGTCCTCTTTTCCTTGTTGGAAGGTGCTGCGGCGCCAAGTGGCAGGTGCCCGATGGTGTAAATAGCGTCATCCTTCCGACTTCAATCGAACACATTTACACTCCACTTTGTTCCTTTAACACCTCTTAGCCAACGTGGATCTATCATCTCGCTTCGTCGCTTGCCCTTACCAAGGGTAGCTAGCGCCATGATTCGACCAATCAGCTAGTAGACGGGTCACCCGTATGCTATTCTATTGGCTGGCTGCCAGCGCGCGATACCTCTGAGATATACTGCTGCCAGCAGTATATCCATGCTTGTCAGGTAGCCTGGGGTTACCGTGACACTTAGTACATTGGAGGACTGCCAGCCAATCACATACTGATTATAGTACACACACAAGCGTGCCTTGGCACCGTATTATAGCTTATCTTGTCTAAGCATTGCCAGGGACTTATGACACGTGATTTCCAACTTCCTCAGCCACTAGTCCTGGTGGAACAACGACTTAAGATTAGAATTCCAGCTATGCCTTGTACGGTCTGGACAAGGTACCTCCACATAACATAGGGATAGGTAGTTCCCTAAGCTTGTCACGAGAGCAACGAGCAAGATGTCTGAGGCCCAGGTAGGCTAGATCAATATACTGCGTTCGGTATCTACGTGTAGGTACAAGACGTTGGATAAGAAGAAAAGGTCCTCTCCCCCCCATCCGGCGTGGATCTATCTTCTCGCTTCGTCGCACGCCCTTGCCAAGGGTGGCTAGCGCCATGTTTTGACCAATCAGCTAGCAGACGGGTCACCCGTCTAATAATCTATTGGCTGGCTGCCAGCGCGCGACATCTCTAAGATATACTGCTGCCAGCAGTATATCCATGCTTGTCAGGTAGCCTCTGAGGTTACCGTGACAAAGCTCACCTATTGTCAGATAATCGCGTGATTATCGTCAAGTATCTGATGAAAAGTGATGATCGATTGTTCGTTGAGTGCTGGTCGTCTAGATGGTTTCTTGTTTTCTTGCTCACATGCCTTCCAAGCAAGGGAGAACCCCGTTTTAGGAATAGGTACAGGTGCGCCAGCCACCTCGTAGTGCCAATGACCATGTAACTGGACACCTATAGTATCCGCTTTTCTAGGAACTATAGTAAGAATAACATGAGCTTGAATTTAAAGACATCTCAAAGGTTTGGCGTGGCAAATTAGTTAGCTATATATTCATAACTCTCCCTAGACCCCTCACAATTAGAGAGTATAATAAATATAAGAGAACAAAAACAAAGTCCTTATTTCTCAACTATTAGTGTTGCGCAGTTCTAGTAATTGTAGGGTTTAATATCGCATATCCACACCCTTCCAGTCCCTACACCTATACCAATAAGACTCTTAGAGATAGTAGAACAGTAAGGGCGGTACTCTGAAGGTAGCCAAACTACGTTCTCTAAATTATACGTTATCCATGTTTTATCTGAGCTTAGTGCAGTGGCTTGGTATTCAGGGGATTCAAGCTCTTGGGTGGCGGTGGTGATGTTCGATGATAATAGTGGACCAAGGTTGATAACACCAGTGTTTGTTAAAAGGCCGGAGCCAGAAGCATTAAAAGACACGGAAGGAAGTGAAAGGCCGATCTCGAGTGTCTGTAGGCACGCGCCGCTGCCTGCGTCCCAGACCTTGACCGTGCTGTTGAACGACACCGACGCCAGCCGCCTCGAGTCAGGAGAGAAGGCTACCGACCTGACCCCACCGCTATGGCCCTCGAGCGTCTGCAGGCACGCGCCGCTGCCTGCGTCCCAGACCTTGACCGTGCTGTTGAGCGACGCCGACGCCAGCCGCCTCGAGTCGGGAGAGAAGGCCACATCGCTATAGCCCTCGAGTGTCTGCAGGCACGCGCCGCTGCCTGCGTCTCAGACCTTGACCGTCTTGTCTACTGACGTCGACGCCAGCCGCCTCGAGTCGGGAGAGAAGGCTACCGACCTGACCCCACCGCTATGGCCCTCGAGCGTCTGCAGGCACGCGCTCCAGTCCTCTGTCATCGGTGGCTTTATAGAGACCCATGGCGGTGCCTCCCTCTCGAAAAACTTCCGGACCAAACTAAGCCTCGGGCTAAAGACCATAGCTGACACATATGCTTGGAGAGGCGCTGCCTCTATCGCCCCTTTAAAATACATGATAAAGCGACGTGCGTCCTTCACTAGATCAAGTAATATAGGAGTGCCTGTTCGTTTCTAGGTAACATTAGTCTTCTCTTTATGTATGCAGGACTTGATACTTTATATAAATAAGAGCTTCAAGTTCTGCCATTAATACTACTCCCTTTGGTATACCCTTGCAAAGGCTGAGCGCCTCTAGCCAATATAGATAGAATGTTTGAAGGAACACATAGATTGCACCACCATCTTGTAGATCTTTGTTGCAACGTGCGCTTTCGTTCATAGTAGACTCGCAGAGGTGGTCAATCCAGTGAATGCATGAGTATCGCGTTGTCGTAAGCGGGTTGGTGGTCGGCGTTATGACTTCATTAATTGGAAATCCTGGAGCATTTAGGCCATATATGTTACGTTTCAGGGTACTAGACATTAGCTTGAGTGACTGAGAGAATATGTCGTAGTGGACCTCGCCTTTGTGACGGAAGACTGTAGCCCGTGCCTCATCGCTTATGTAGTCTTTGACTGATTGGTGGATAAGGTAGACCTGATTATCGCGAATGGTGAGGAATGAGCCGCACATGGCTATAAGCGTTCTCGTGTTTCTAATTAGCGTCGATACTTGGCCTGACAGTTTACACAAGCTGCCAAGCTCAGCTAAATGAAGCGGGCGGTACGCGACTGAGATGGTGGAAAGTAGTAATTGGCACTTCTCTAAGTTCCTCTTCGGAAGCTTCTGAATCTGATCTACCATACGATCATACAGCTGATGTAGCCCGACTGGAGCCTCTTGTACCACCTCTAGTGGGTCCCAGCTCTTAGGCTTTTCGAGCTCTTGCACAACGAGGGCTACCTATAGGAACGTGCCATTCGCTTTCTGTCGCAAAACCTCTCGCACTTGACTTCGTAGGGTAGCATCCTCAAGTGACTCGATATAGGACAGCTTCTCGTCGATATACATGTTGACAGCATGAGTGACCTGTTCCGCGTTCTCTTTTAGCTCTAGGCTGAGCCTTGCCTGAGCGTTGATCGACTTTAGCTTTTGTTTGATGGGAAGTTCGTTCCGGCTCGACAGGAGCCACTTGATGCGGTTTGATGACGATAAGGTAAAGATGATTAAGTCTAAAAGCTTAGGCAAATCTGCGATGCATTCATTAAGGGCGTCGACAACTAGGTAGGTCAGGGTCAAGTATAATGCTCGTAAACATCTCTGACATGGCAATCCAAGCATTCGTATCTTCGAAAAGGGATTGGCCTACTTGATCGTACCTCTTCCGCAGGTGCGACGCCAACGACGGCTGCTGGCTAACGAGCGAGAAGAGTAGGCCGCGTAGCACAGCAGTGGCGTTGTTGAGAGCCAAGTTTGTACCTTGGTAGAAGAAGAAGGATAGGCTGTGGGAGCTCGACTTTTTGAGTTCATCGGTAAGACCGCAAAGTAGCATTGTCTTTCCTTTACTGGGATCACCTTTAATCCACAGCAATCGGCCTTGTGAATCACTACGCCATTTCTTGAAGCTAGGATTGTTCAAGACCCAGCGGTACGACCCCTCCAGTAGGCCTCCCTTTGTGTTAATGATGCGCTTCTTGTCGTCAAGTGGATCTATAAGGCGTACGTCTTGGATATATCTGTCCAGCTTACTAACTTCCTCACGGAGCCGCTAGAATGCACTTGTGGTTCCTTCTCCGTAGAAAGGAGTTATATAAACGTTGAGAATGCCCAACAATAAGTATATTTTGTCTTCTTCAAACTTAGTCTGGTGGTGCTGTATCCATAATAGTCGTTCATTGATGGAGAACTCAGATAGTCGCGTTCCCGTAATTGCTAATTTGGGGATCCCGGTTATCTCATGAATTTGCTGCGCCAGTGATATCTTATTGTCTAGCAACTTGCCTTCACTACAGAAGAACTCGACCGCGCTTGGGGCAAGAAGCTCCTGGAGAGTCCAGCCCCGAGTGAACCAATTACTCGCTCGGAAGTCTTGCTCCCAAGTTCTGGTGTATTCATCGCTTACTTTCCGCTTCTCTGATGGAACATCTAACAGATAAACGTAGCATTTTACTGCGTTCTGGTACCAGCGAAACATAGAGTTGATGGCGTAGGATAATTCAGCCCTATTTAGTTTGTTGATGCAACAGGTGTCAATCCAAAAGTATTCTAACCCGTTATCCCGTGCCCGTTCTCCGCAGAAGATAATCTTTCTATAGCCTGGCTTAGTCCTACTATCGCCTGTTTCGACGTCGGCGAACGACACCTCGTCTCCATCTGCTCCCCAGGTGTGTGAAAGTATCGCATAGGGAGGTATTGCGCCATCGTCGAAGCTATGTATACTAAGCTCTCCGCTCTCGCTGTACTGCAGGAGCCGCATGGGGTAATGTAGACGTGGTAAACATGGGTGATAAGAACGGGACTCGTGAGGCTGAGCTTCGTAGCCTAGTCGCGTAGGCGCTTGCTATCTGCTGGCTGTTATCGTGCTACTGATGGATGGTCAGCATACAAGAATGACAAACAGATGCACCAGCTCAGGTACCAGCAGGAAATTGTGGCAACATGTCGCGAGCTGAGGCTGCCGACGGTCGCTGTATTCTTGGGTTGATGATGAAGACTGACTGAAGCCCTAGGCGGGGTAAGTTGTAGCACGGCTCGTGAGGCTGCATCTTCTTCGGACAGGGTAAGGTACTAGTGGCCTTGGCCTTTTCTCTTCATCCATTTCCCCGATACCATGGAGTAGTACTTCGTGCAAAGGATGTTTTTACGTAAGTAGCAGAGGTTCATGCACGTTTGAAGACTAGCCCGATCACCTACTGTGTTAATGCACAAAACAAGACCAAGATCTGTCCCCAACTACGGAGGTGCATTTCAAAAGTTCTTGCCCCCCCCCCGGCACCTTGGCGGAAGGGGTTCTCAGCCGTAAACTCAATGGGGTAATTGACTCCGGTTTTGACAGGGGGTTTGACAGGGGGTTTGATAGGGGATCTATGAATCTATGTCCATGAACGATCTCTGCCCTCCTTGTACTCATTACCTCCTTCTAGCTCAATGATCTTTTGAATATGAATTGGGATGCGCTCAATCCAAGCCTGAATCTTATCCTGAGGTAGATCCTTCCAACACTTCTCCCATACATGAATTGCCTCAGCTCTAGACTTTGGAGCTCCTTTCTTTGTAGTTTCTCTTTTCATCCAAAATCAACAAGGCTTAATTGCATTAAGATCTGGTGAGTTCCCACACCAAAGAAGCCTCTCTATCTCTTGTAGGCTATAGATATAGCTTTGTGCATAGTGACTATATGAAGGAGCCTTATCTTCTTGGACTATTATTGCTGGCCTTTTCTTTTGACAAGATTGTGCAAAGGGGAAGAGCTTTAGAAGTAGGATTTTAGATTGATAACAATACCAATCAATTCCAGATCCAGATCCTCGTGATAACTTGCCATTCCTTTTTGTCCATTTCCATTGAGGTTGCCGCCCAGGTTGGGTACGTAGAGACAGACGCCGCATGCCATTTTCTATCTCCCATTTCTCTTTCATGATAGGTTCAAGTTCTTGATTCAATCTCTCAATCTCCTTTGTAGCCTCCTCTTTCTCTGCCTTTGTCTCTGGTAGCAAGCAATGACAAGGTCCCTTCTCATCATATGAAAAGCAGCCCCAAAACATGAACTCAGAGTAGCCTTTCCACATCTCTCGAATACAGCTTCTTACAGAGGCTTCATCTACTTTGCGCCAAACTCGATAGCCTCCACGTCTATGGAGTAAAACAACAGAGGTTTCATCAGACCAGATCACATTCTTCCAGTCCTCTATAGTCCAATCTTTATGTTGAAGACACCAGTTTAGCCTCTCTGCCCTCATCTTCTCCGTCAGTCCAGGCTTCCTCGTTGGTTTTGTCTTCTTGAATCCTGCAATCTTGAGGACCCGCCAAACTGTTGTAGATGATACATTCACTCCCTTTTGACTAAGGTCCCCAGCAAGATCAGCACAAGATTTCTCTCGCCCATAGCGATCAGTGCGTACAGAGTTAATCACACTTTCAGAGATATTAGGTTGTTTTGTTGGCCTGCCAGATCGTGGAGCATCTTCAAGATAGCTATTTTGAACTTGCAAAGGCCTTTCATCTGGATCAAAACCTCGTTTAATTGCCCGTGAATAGATTGATCGAATTGACCGTATAGGAACATGAGTAATATGATTGATCTCTGCATTTGTAGTGCCCATAGCTTTTAAACAGACAATAAAGGCACGAGTAGCAATAGAAAAGGACACATTAATCGCTGGAATCCTCGTCTGCCAGAATGCTAGCAGATTAAGCATAGCGTGGTTTTAAAATACAGGACATAATGCAGCCATTGCCGCTAGTCCCTTAGGCTCGAGAAGACCCCCATCCTTCGGAGCATTCGGACTTCGCCATTATTCGCGTTAAAATATCCAAAATCTATGATATTGTAGTTACTGAGTCGTTATTCTATCTCTGACCTCCGGATTGCAGTATGTTCTGAATTAGCTACCGAGGCAGGAGCCGCAAGTTGAGACACGAAAAGTAGCCGCGAGCAGAACAAGCAACAGCATGCTTAAAATATTGTCTCTTCTTAAGTAATATGCTGTAGAATAGTAAGTGTAGGCTGCGCTATGCAAATGCGCAATTTTAAGTTCTATAAATCTGGGCAAGTCTCTGCAAAAGGCTTCAGAAGAGGATTTTGTTCCGGTACGCTGGGTGTTCCGGGAGGCATGGATGTACAGTACATTTATAGTTGTGTAGCACCTGGGCCCAGTCATCGACCGAAGAATTGAAACCATGGCGGATACAAAAGTTCTGAAGCTAAAAACCCCCACCTAGTGATTCTCTACTTCATAGATCTCTTAATGATGGAGCTAACTAAACGCTGACAGCGAATTATCTAACTCCCACTTGGAATCACTTTGCATTCACCCATAGCTGGGGCAACAGTGAGACAGACATTTTGAAGGCCTTGAATGATCGCACTTGCATTCAAATACGATCTGTCCCAAAACTAGCGGTTTCGTGAGCTTCAATACTTCGGTCACGACTTCTCCAAGTTGCTGAGATAGCGTTTGGAACGCTGGTCCATGTCCGACGTAAGGTCCGACAGATTTCTTTTTCCCTTCGTATTGCACGGTGTCAAAAAATCGATCGTGCGGGCAGACAGGTGATTGCAAAGTAACAATTGGTCTTCGTCATCTGTAGACTCTTCGCGAGCTTCTCCAAGCACGGGCCAAACATGGTCTTTGTTAGCCTTCTTAAAACTACCGCGACAGCAATAATAGGCCAGGAGCTGATGGAGTTGCTCGTGAAGGATAGTTGCAAGCATGTGCTGGAGTGTGTCTTCTTCCTCAACTTCTGAGACGAGCCTGCTATCCGTGCAGGATTTTGGATGCCGGTTGGAAGAACGAAGATTTGATCAACGTAGTACTGTGATGCGGGAAAAGAGTTGTGGGCTCCGTATGCATTGAGTCTATTGGAATTATCCATGTGGGTAACCCATGCGTATTCGTAGATACGATCTAGACAGCGCTGAAAGAAAATCGTATCGAGCGGCTTGCACAGTCGATTAATGTCAGGCCATTTCCTCCAACTCTTTCGTAGCTTCGCTCACTTCTTGTAAGACCTGTTCCTGAAATGGTGAAAAAGAACTTCTATTCAAATCGTCCCAGTACGCTATAATATGCATCATGACATCCAGAACGTCATAAGCCCTTTCTATGGGTAGAGGAGCCCATACACTCTCTCGTTCATTGTACGAAATCGGCCGGAAATTAGAGCCATGCTTAAGCAGATATTTTTCCAGAGATCTGGTACACAGTTCGAACATACACATTCCTTTTCGAGATTTGCTAGAGTGATGCCATAGGGAAGATCGTTCGCGTAGTTCGCCGGGAATTTAGGGTATTGCGGTGTTGTTAATGGGCGACATTCGTCGTGGGAATCTCCCGAGATGCACATATCGCGTTTCAGTGCGATATTACAGTCGGTCGAGTGGATTGTTTCATGAAGCTCCAGTATGCGAAACAATAATTATATAAACCAACTTAGAATTTTATAATATAGTTCTGAAGATAGAGAATGCTACTATAGATAAAGATTCTTTATATAGCGACTAAACAAAGAGTTAGATCCCTTGTACTCTAAGTGTGTCCACAATGCAAGTCTAAGATCTTCTAATCTTAGTGTGACACCGTATGTGAATTAATTTACGTGTTGGTCTGCATGTCTGCTGATCTTGTAATGTGACTTTCACTGCAAATGGCTCAGATTGTATGTGGTGCATCACAGGGGTACTTCTCGGATAATTATAAGGCTCTCCAGACATAGTGGCGTTGCTAAGGCTCGCCCTAGGACTTGTGCTCGCACGATGCCAGCGAACTAAGCCACGATGAAGCCTTTATAATTGCCCACATCCTTTCTTTTACTCCGGTTTTGAACCCACAATCTCCTAAGTTCTAGCTTAATCTCGACATTCACTTCTAACACATCCGAATTTACCTACAAATATCAGCATAACCAAACCTTGTAGCTTCAACTCGTTGCCCCATCATGATGGCGTCCCCAGAGATAGAGTGGATGTGTACGAGTATTGAGGCGAAGACCCAAAGAAGTACCTTGAATGAGGGAGCAGCGGAGGAGACCAAAGAGCAGTCACTATTGGAAGAAGGGCTGATATCAGAGGAAGCTGCGATAAACTTAAGGGCGACACTAAATTTTCACCAACGCGAGGAGAAAAAAAAGTCGCAAGAAGAAACACAAAGAATCACGAGCACTGATCAAGAATGAAAGGCGGACTTGGAGACAGTACGCGCCGCCCTTGTTTCGCCCTGAGAACAACAGACGTTTGAACTTCTACAATTTTATCGAAGTCTCCAAAGAGACTTAAGTTATCAAAATCTGTACCAGATGAGCACCACTATCCGGATTTCAGGAATGTGGTACTCCGCTAACATTGATGAAAATCGCAATTCTTCCATCGACTATAGGCTTCTCGCGGAATGTTCGATTCGGGGCGGAAAAGTGATTCCGAAGCATTCAAACAGCGGTTTATTTTCGACCCAAGGTTGGACGAGGCATCACGCGGAGAGCTCCAAGGCTTTGTCATTGACATTCGAGACCGTCTTCCAGCCTTGGGAGCGCGATGAGGACCTAGACTGTCCCACACATTGTGCGACAGGCGAAGCCGAGATCCAATTGAGCGTGGAGAACATCAGTAAACCCGCAGATGAGCCAAGCGGTGATTACCATATCACGCTTGGAAAGGACGTGTTGATAAATGAACAAGCAAGAACCTGCGTGTGTGTCGAACACTACAAGACGAATTTCTAAACCGAGGGTACTATGCGATTGCGAGATGGAACAACGATTGAGGTTAAAATCACATTCCCATACAGTTCTGCGGAACAGGCTGTTTTCAAAGACTTGAGCGAGAGCCCATTACGATGGTGGGACTGCCAATTTGCTGCAATCCCAGATTGAATTGATAGTTGGCCAAGAGAATGTTGCAACAGAATAGGGTCATGTAGGAACTTAGGAATTTATTCTTTACACAGTGCATATCGATGGTCAAGGGGAGAGTAAGTTCGACGACAACATACGGCATGAGAAGGAAGCGCGCGAGCAGAGGTAGAAACGACATGGTGAGATTTCGGAACTTCACCCACCGCCAACTTCTTCCCAGCCGCGATTGAGCCGCTTAGTCCCCAGCAACACCCACTTTATGCACGAAATTTACGCCAAGCTCAAGATCTCCACGCAGGTAACGATCGCTGGAAAGGCATACACAACGACGATCAATACTAGCCAGAACTCAATGATCGATGCCTGGCTAGTCTCTGGCTTGGGACCTATGCCATACTCCTCAGCGGGCGTCACTTCCTGCTCTTCGTTCCCCACATCTACCGCCAGCAGGTGCCAAAGAAATCCTAGTTTCAGTTCGGTAGACAGCTGCGGCCAGCTTGTGATGGTTGGAGTTTCACATGTAGTCATAGCGCGAGAGCTAATAGTAGGAGGAACCTCGCGACGTCGATGCTCTGGAAAAGTGATCAGCTTAGGGTTCTTTGTCCAAGGTGATGTGCTCACTAAATTCTAACGATCAAGAATACTAGCTTATATTTCCATGGTCTGTGTGACGTGGAGCCACTTCAACGACGCAGTCTGTGGAACGTGACAGCTGTCGAGGGGCAACGCAGACTTGAACACCGTGAAGGCGTGCCACATAGGCAGTCGCACCTCACGCCACAACGCATCGTGCGACCTTTGGTCAAGGCGACTGCCCTCACGACCAATCAAAGAAGGAACTAAGGCCCCTCTGCTTAGATTAAGAAGCGCCAAACAACAAAGAGAGTAATAAAAGAGTAACATAGATCACCTGGGCATGATTAAGATGTATTCGACGCACGACCATAAGTCATCACAAGTATCGTAATCCACGATTTGCTTCCCTGCAGCCAACTGCAGCTTTCGTACGCGTACCCACATTGGCAATAGCGGGCAACCTGAAGCACCGAGATTGGAGGCACGTCGTGAAAAGCAAACGCTGTAACATGATCGGGACATTTGCTGAAACAGGCGATTCCAAAGATTACACAGGAACGTAGGCTTAGCATGGCTGTCTGCCGCAGATACTTGAGATCACTCTCTAGGTTTCGGCATAGGATAGCCACCCATGTCATCAAAAAATTGGCCGCCTTTCGCCATGACATCTGCGATATCTTCTCCTAGCCACTGTTTCGTCAGGGCTGTCCTGGCTATTTCGATCTCCTTGATGAAGGATCCAGCAACCTGTAATTTTGAGTAGTGCACTTGTTGTGCGAAGCTGTTCAAGACTTACCATAACGTGATGACCCTTTCTCGCTGGGTCTGTACTTGTTGATATTACCGCATTTGCAACGTCTTCGACAGTGTTCGCTGGCAGGCCTCGTTTCTTCCACTCGTCCGAATAGCGGCCTGTGATATAAGTGGGCGTGAAAAAAGGCGCTAGCACATTGACACGGATGTTCAGCTCCTTCGCTTTGCGTTGGGATGCACGGGCTGCTCCTACAACTGCGTGCTTGGTCGAAATGTAGGAGACGACCCCAGTGCCTCCAAAGTAACCAGATGTTGAGGCAATCAGTATAATAGAACCTCGCGCACCATCAGAGTCCAGTGGATTCGACCGCATCGAATGCATAGCCAATCGCAAAGCTTTATATTATTAGCGTGTGCTACGCCAATGTCTGACGCATCTAGGATCTTACTGTTCAGCGTTCCCTTCAGATTGACATCGATCACCCTCTGAGAATCTCTGCTCTCTACCAACTCTCCTCCTTCGTCTTCCTCAAAATCAAAGAAGTTACTGCTCTCCATCATCCCTGCATTGGCAATCACAATGTCCACTTGTCCATACATCTTCTTACTCTCTCGGAATAGCGCACGCATATTCTCCCAATCCGCAATGTTGGACGGGAAGTACATTGCGCGGCTGGAATTGGACAGAGAAGAGATGAGTTCGTGAGCGGCATCTCTGGAGAAGGGCAGATCTGCGATGACAACGTTGCAGCCTTTTTCGTGGAAAGCGCGAACGGTCTGGGCTCCAATACCGCCGGCGCCTCCTGTTACTATGACCGTCTTCGGCTTGCCGTTGGGAAGTTGGAAGGGAGATGCCATCTTGCTACTTCAACGCAATCAAGAGTATTTCTCTTTGTGATGTACAAACACTGCCTCGCTGGTCAGTTCTTTCAACAATCTATATGAAACGAAACAAAGAGTGAAAATCGGCCGCACGAGGTTCCAACAAACTAACGCCAATAAACGAGTTGTCATCATAGACGCGTCGGGGAGGAATCCATCTCTCCGATTCACTGGTGTGGGGATCTACCCCGCTTCGTTCCTAATTCGGCCCTTTCACGGAAGCGTTCCGAGAGGATCAGCATACCTCCTTCCCCAAGCTGGATACCGATTGCCGAGATACTCCAACAATGGTCGCAATAGCCTGACCACACCAGCCTGAACACAACATAGTTACGAACTGGTGAACCAATTCCTGTAAACATGGCTGCAATTGACGTCCCACGAGATCCGACTGAAGAAGAAGCGCTGGCACTCTTCGAGGTAATTGAGGAGAAATTTCCGTCGACGACCATTGGCGATGATAAATGGTATGTCCTTACGGTATGTGAGGGCTTATAATAAAATTTCATCAAGAAGCTGACCCGATCAGTTCGCTGCCATGGTTGCAGGCGGCGGTCATGAATTCGCTCCGCTCTTGTACAAGGAACTCATCAAGCGGCCGGAATACAAAACGTCTGAGCAGCGACAAGCATTGATGCGCCGTATCCGCGAGACTCTACTCAAGCTGGTATCTGTTGCTGGCGTTTGCAAGCCACTAGACGCAATCTTTGACATCGATGCCATTACAGCGCCTGAGGACAAGGATTATTCATTCTCGAGGTATGCATCAAGATGAACGAAAGAGGGTACGTTCAGAAGTTGATGTCTAGACAGAGAGGGGTGGCAGTGCGACGAAGAGAACCGGAAACGCGGATTCGCGTGGCAGGACAGACTTTACAGACACAACCAAGGTGCTATCGATAACGCACTTTCATCGCAGAAAGACTTCGGTAAGATCACACTTTGGTTAGTGATCGCGAACTGACTTGCTTCGAGATTGGATCAGCAAAAACATCAGCTACGGACTTTACCTGTCCGACCATACCATTCTCAATGATGTAGAAACTGAGCTCACAGTACTCGGCGGTATTATGATTCAGAATCTGCCTCGTGAGACAGGTTGGCATTTGAGAGGTACCAGAAGGATTGGAGTGAGCAAAGAAGACGTTGAGACCATACAACAATGTGTGAGTATACATATGAGACTGGGCCAGCTCACAGCAAGCTGACTATGCTTAGATTGAACTGATAGGCAAGTTCTGTGGCCTGAAGCTACATAAGGTGCCCAGAGTCGCAGACATAGAACACGAGGTGTGACGGAATAGATGCAGTTTCAGAGCTCAATTTACTCACTCGATAACCTTACACTATGGAAAACACTGCGACGTGATGCTGTGAGAAGTGAATACAAGGCTCACTACGCGACTAATGTTTGCAACCAGGATCCGATGCTCTCCATCGGTGTACTTGCGTCTGGTAGCCACCACTTTCGTATCTGGACTCGTAGTGTATCAGCGCTAGCGGTCCTTTCCCCACTCTTTTCGGGGGAGCCATCGCGTCTCCGACCCTTGACTACCAACATCAGGAATGATGACGCGGAGTGCGAAGTAGTCGCGCAGCAGATCGCCGCACTTACAGACGTGGGAAACCAAACCCGAGTTTGCGGGGAAATTCCCCGTGGAGAAAGGGCGCTATTCGGCACGAGGAAGCCGGGATGCTGGCGTTGATGCGCACTAAATTGGTGGTGCGATGAGCTGTTACAGCATTTCTCATAAACGGATCGACGAGCTGCATATATGAAGCTGATCTTTGCATTCATTTCCTCCGCACCATCTCACGAGTGCAATCATGGCTACCCATACCGACGGACAGAAGAGTCGGGTCGAGACAGTTGACAATATTGCAGCTCTCGAAGTGAAGAAAGATGTCGACTGGTCTGGTTTCATTGAGGGGACCGAAGAGGAGAAGAAGTTGGTGCGGAAAATTGATTTGTTTTTGATGCCCACGATATGGGTGCTATACTGCTTCAGCTATATGGACAGGACCAACATCGTAAGTACACCACCTGCACGTATTACCAAGTCGAAACGATATATGTTTTTGTGTATGAACTGTACCTGCTTTACTTTTGGATTACATTTGGAAGTATTTTCGCGCTCTTAAATACTCTAATTGATCTGATATGCGCCTTAGGGAAATGCCAAAGTCGCTGGGATGGATAAGGATATCGGCCTCAGCTCGACGCAGTACTTTCTCGCCATTGTCGTTTTCCAGGTTGGATATGTGATTGCAGAGATACCTTCAAAGTAAGTGTCTCTAATCGAGATTGATATGCAATCAATTGCTAATACTCTACAGTATGATCATGTCACGGTGGCGTCCTTCACTTTACGTCCCTTTTCTAATGGTATTGTGGGGTACAGTGGCAACGCTGATGGCGCTCGTCAAGACGCCAGCTCAGCTCCTCGGTATGCGATTTCTTCTCGGTATGATGGAGGCTGGCTTCAGTCCAGCTATTCTCTTCATCATTTCAACCTGGTACAGGAGAAAGGAGCAGTCGAAACGTTTCATGACCTTCCTTTCGGCTGGAATACTGTCCGGTGCGTTTGGTGGCATCATCGCCGGCGCAATCGTCGATTCACTCGATGGTGCTCATGGCATCCAAGGCTGGAAATGGTAGGCACACGCTCTCTTCGGTCAATCAAACTCTTTGAGGCTAACTTGATAGGCTGTTCATTGTTGAAGGCGTTTCTACTATTGGTTGTGCTCTCATCGCACCCTTTTTCCTCCTCGATTATCCAGCTACCACGAAACGACTTTCTTCTGAACAACGTGCGCTGGCAGTAGCTAGACTTCAAGCCGACGGCATCACAAGTCGAAGTGCAGATGGAGAAGTCGCATCCATTTCACACTGGCGAGCCTTTGTTAGTGCGGTCAGCAACTGGCGGGTTTGGTGGCTATGCGTCGGTTACATGACCATCATCGGATGCTACAGCTTGAGTTACTTCAATCCGACACTTGTTCAAGGCCTAGGATATACCGGCTCCGAAGCGCAGTAAGTGCCATCATGCCCTTCCATCAATGAACGGTTCTCACGGATATCAGGTACATGACCGTGCCACTATACGTGGTTGCTTTCGCTATTGCCGTACCAACCTGCATTGTCGCCGACCGTATCCCTTCGTACCGCCCTCTAATGGCTATGCTCGTATTGGTACTCGGTGCGCTGTTCTGTGCGCTCACCGCCGGCATTTACGCTTACATTCCACGATACGTGTTCCTTTGTTTCATCAACAGCGCGATTTGGACTGCCAATCCACTTGCTCTCTCGTACGCCTCGGTGTCCCTGGGGCCGCTGCATCCTGAGACACGAGCCATCTGCCTTGCTATGATCAATGGCATGGGAAATCTTGCGCAAATATATGGCAGCTACTTGTTTCCGGCCGACGATGCGCCCAAGTACCTTGTCGGATTCGGCACATATGCTGGGCTGTTGACATTCGGGGCGGCTGTTTACGGAAGCGCATGGTTGATGTTTCGAAGGTTTCCGTTCCGGTCCGAGACTTGAGCGATGAACAAGGCTTTCGATTTCATCGTAAGCTTGCATCCTCTGGACTGACTGTTCCATAAAAACTCTCGTAGTATATAAAGAGGGCATTTCAAAGCAGTACGGCCAAAGGTTACTCTAGCGACAGAATCAGCTTTAACACAGTCGTCTTCCATTATCAAGTTGCACAATATTCCGGTGCCGGAATATTCGCGATCTAATCTGTTGCCGCACCCCTCCACACTCAGCCTCAGCCTTACCCCACCCCTTGAGCACGTCCCATCGCGCACCAGCCTCTCCATTTTACAAAGTTTCCGGGGATATTCACACACGCACCTAGATTCTCGTCTCAATGGAATCGAAATGCAGTGAGAGCGCAGACGGCGACGAAACGTTCTGGTACCAACCGCTCGCTAACCCCGGCTCATCTATCCGGCTCATCGAGATAGACCCGGACACTGCAAGCGACGGCACAGTCCAGCTCCATTTGTTCGAATCGACGTTCTTAGAAGAGTACACATGTCTTTCGTACGTTTGGGGGCAAGAACACGATGGAGGAGGCCCTTTCCGGATCCTTGTCAACGGAAAGACCTTCAACGTACGCTGCAATCTGAATAACTTTCTCTGTGTTGCGAGGAGGAAATATGCCAAGCGTAGACTCTGGATCGATGCAATTTGCATCGATCAAGCCAACACACCTGAAAGAAATCACCAAGTGCAGCAAATGGGCAACATTTATTCCAGAGCGAAAGAAGTAATCGCGTGGCTCGGAAATAATTGCCTAGCAGCGGAAATCATACCTCGCATCGATAGTCGCGCTCGGCATACTGCGAGGCATTTACCTGCTGATATTTGGTTCTATCTCTGGTTATTTATGAGCACAGTCCGCCCGGATTGTTGGGGTCTGTGTGGAAATCCAAGTGGCAAAAGGAACAAACGATCAACAGCGTTGAAAGAAGCCGTCCGCGGGTACTGGGCACGCGCATGGGTGACACAAGAGATAGCATTGGCAAAACGCGTGCGTCTCCTGGTACATGATACAGAATTTGATTTGACTGCCCTGGACTCCGCAAGAATGCGGAATTTCCGGCCGACTTTCAGAGCGCTCGGTGAATTATATGCCACCAATACTCGACACTACAAAAGCCAAGATCAACATCTTGTAGAGCTTCTCAACAACTATGCATGGAAAGAATGCGCGATCGAGCGAGATCGTGTGTTTTCTCTTCTATCGCTCTGTGTAGAAGGAGCAGATATAAAAGTCGATTATGGCCTTTCAGACGAAAAGCTACTCAGTACCGTTCTACGAGCCTCACGTCTCAATTCTTGTCTCTGCTCTGCACACGTCGTATCTCGATCCATCAATACCAACGCAATCTCTAGTAGAGGTCGTGGCGCTCCGTATTTTGTCAACATTACAGTACAAGCTGCGGATGTCTACTCGTATGCCGCGACACAGCGGAAGGGACGTCCGTGCTGTCCAAATTTCCAAAGCAAAGCCTTCTCAGAATCGAGTGATGGTCATCTCTTCTGTCTTTCGAATGTTTGCTCACGCATGAAGTGGCATATTTTCGTGTCATCTCAGCAACTAGAAAAGAAACCCGTAAAGGCTATCATGCGTTCCAATGAGACCACAGACTTATACCTGGGTGAAAATGGAGGACTGGTGGATATACATGGTTCGCCAAGTGGGCACTCATACACGATCAAGTTTGATATCAAAGTGTTATTGAGACTATCTACAGGGCACAATCCAATTTTGGGGGCATGGTGGAGATTCATAGGATACACAGAGGACTTGGACTGGCCGGAGTTGTGCGAAGTAGCACAGCAGACGGGGGGCAGCAGTAGCGTAGAATTTTTAGATCTTGGTTCTTGAACCGTGGATTAGGAAGGGTCTGTCTTCAGCGACTCACGGATCTCCCCCATACAGAAATGGTTTGTTGCCGTATAGGCCTATAGCACTATGGGCAAATAATATCCATATAATTTCTAGGCATATGGTACTGTAGACCACTATTATGCTCAGAATATCGTACCGAGCTACATCACTTGAGAGAAGCACGAAAGTTTTTGAAGAAATTCTGTTAAAGCCGTAATGCTCACGCCATACCGAATATATGGAGCGATAGATGCACCGGTCAACTATGCACGCGCACAGACCGCGAAGTTGAACAACAAGAAATGTGGATGGAGACAACTCTCCACTAGCCTTGCCCATCTAAACTGGGACTTTTGGAAATGTAACAACATACCGTTCTGGCATCGCTAATATAAGTCAGATTTGATCAGAAAAGTGTGAGCAGAACATCACGTACCGATGGCGGGACAGCTTAGATCCCAAGTTCGCGACGCAGCTCGCCCTCCTCGTGAGTAAGAGAGACGACGCCACCCTTGGTTTGGTTGAGCTTCTTGGTGAGGGCACGAACGCGAGCATGATACTCTAAGTCCGCCTTCTTCTCCTGCTCGTACTGCTCACGCTCTTTAGCACGGGTGGCCATGCACTCGGCGTTCTTGCGGGCGTTGGCGTGCTTTTGATCGATGTCGGCCATGGCCTGCTTCAGGTTCTGATGCTGATTGAGATAGCGGGCGAACTCAATCTCATCCTGAGCGGTCCCAATGGCGCGCTGGAAACGACGGCGAGCGAGGTCGTTCGCGAGGTACTGGAATATGGGATCAGACGTGCCGAGCGAGGTCACCATGGCTGTGAGGTTCTCATATGAAACCAGCTCGTTGGAGATGGCGACTCGAAGGAAGCGGGCAACATGATCGACGTGGGCCGACATGCCCAAGGCAACACCAGCGGCATAGACCTGGACGTTGTCCAGGAAAGACTGTCCGCCCTTGATGCGAAGCGGCTCAGCGTTGCCGATAGCCTTGTTGGTCGTGGTAGAATTGAGTACATGCTTCAAGGCTTCCGCAGTCGCGCATCCAGCGGGAAGATTGACCTGCTTGCGCTGAGGCATATGGCGGAAGTAATCGTTCGCCTTGTTCGAGGTAGCAATGAAGGCACGGACGGGGACATTAGGGTGGACCATCTTGCCACCCAGGACAACAGAAACCTTGGGACCGCGAAGAAGACCAAGGCCTTGATCCACGGTGAGCTTGTTGAGGTCGATAACTCCAGACAGCATGCCATCGACTGGCGCCTTGGTGTCGACAAGGGCCGCGAGGCCGGCGTTGTGAGCCTTCTTGTTCTTGGTGACGGTACGAGAGACGACGCTCTGGAATTCGCTCATATTTGGAGCTTTGCTGGAAGATTCAATATTTTGAGTGTTGGAAAAGGTCGGAATATTTGAGAGGTTAACGGCATGTATTTCGAACCTAAGTAGAGTGTTGGATGGTGTTCTGAGTTTTTGGGGTTTCTCTATGTAGGAGCTAACGAACTTACATAGTCCTGGAGCGGGTTCATCATGAAGAACTTTGACATGCGCGTACGGGGCCACTGTGAAGTCACTATGTTGGGACAATGCTCAGCAGTGAAAGAATAGACCTGTGGTCCAGAATGAACCTTTATCGTCTCGTGGCGCAGCGCAAATTGTATGTCCATAATGCATGGAGCATGGTTATAACGACTTGAGGCAACACACACACGCTTCCGCTGGAATTTGTGTTCTCGGAGCCTACCAAATGAGATGAATCGAGCGTGTTCGCCACCATCAGAACTAGGCCACAAATGTCGCGGGTGATGTCGGATGGCAAAGGGCATACAATGATGCCCATATAAAGATAGTCAGGTCATAGAGGAGTACTCATATAGCCTGGCTTTATACTTTTGAAAATACAACCCAATTTAAAAAAAGACCGTTTCAAGCTTGATAGTTATATTTGTAAAATTTAACCGACTCTCCAATCTCACAATCGTAGAGCCAAACGCTTCATGATTTTGAAAGACTAACTTACATAACCGATTCAGTGTCATATACAAACACCGACATGTCTCTTTGGCATGCTGAAGAGCTGGATCACATTCGTCATATCAGTTTACTTCCCATACACATCGCTAGCCAGATTGCTGTCTGGCTCGCGCGAGATAACGCACAGGAAAAAAGCATCTTGGGCATCTAGTCTACTAGCTCGCCCAAGGTTCATTCGAGAACAAACGTACATCACCCTGTATAATATGTAAGATTTTATGATAATCGATTCGAAAAAGCTAAAGTATGTGTGTAGCTTAAGATTGTTCTCAAGCGGCACGCCAATTCCTGGCGCATGCGCTTGAGAAACGTGAATTCAACAATCATACTCCAGTCTCAGGCATTCGCACCAACACTGCGAAGCCTCATGCGCGAGAAACCATTTGGCTCTCTGATACCAATTCATATAACCAAGGGGAGATCAGGATGGACCTAAACGCCCATGCCATAACCACCAACACGCCCACCACGAGCAGCCTTCAGACTGGCCTCGAACTCATCGATACTGCGCTTCTCCTCCTTGGCGCGGCGCTCCTCAATGATGCGCTTCTTGTGCTCAGCAATCGCAGCCTCCTTAGCAGCCTTGCGCTCGGCCATGTACTTTGCGTCCACCTCGTCCATGGCGCGAGCAAGAGTGTTATGATTGGTCAGGTAAGCCGCGAACTCTTCCTTGTTGGGGATCTCCTTCTTGTGGCGGCGGCGAGCCAGATCCTTGACGAGGTGCTTGTAGACAGGGGTGTCCGGGTGGAAGGCGCCTTGCATCGCGTCCAGCTCGTTGAAGGTCGGGATGGTGGAGTGGTCGTCCATGTATGCGTGGAAGTACGCCGCAATGTGGGACACATGTGGGCGCATGTCGAGCACGGTAGCGGCGTGATAGATCTTGCACGCCTCTACAGTGTTGTTGCCCATGGGGATGGCGCGAACCTTGTTGCCGCCCCAATATGCGACAGACATCCAGCCGATGATGGTCTTGAGAGCTTGAGGATCAGCACGCGCAGCCGAAGGAACAAGCTCGAGCACGGAAGTCGTACCACGGGACTGAATGCAGTCGTTGGCCCAGCCGGATACAGCCATGAAGGCGCGCTTGGGGACTTCGGCGAAGCGGTTGCCTCCACGAGTCAGGGTAATATTAGGGCCCTCCAACAGGCCACAACGCTGCTCGCGGGAGAGTTCACGAAGGTCAACGGGGCCCTTCATGACCTCGGCAACGGGGTGCTTTGCGGAGACCAATGGGTTGAATTCGAGTGCCATGGGATTAATGGGCGCGGTCTGCTTGTTCATGGCCGAGGCCATAACGGATGGGCGGAAGTAAGACATCCTTGGGTTGCTTCTGTTGGTTTTTTGTTTTGAAATTGTGATTCCGAATTCGAATTGGGTGAACAGGTTTGTGTTCGGGATACTGGTGAACAGTCGAGTGTGGATTGGAGCTATGTGGACGCCAGACGAGGCGTTTACATACGGACTTCGCAGATCGACTTCATGGACTCACGAGCTATGGCCTGCCAAGATGCTTCGTCAGTGAAAGAGCAAGTACCATCTAGAAACAAAGGCCATAATAAAATCTAAACTAGAGTTTAGCATTATGGCTTGAATTAAAGACATTGTGAATATACGAGGCCGGACATGAAGCCCAAGTGTAGTATAACAGACTAAGTCCTCTCAACCGTCATATAGAGTTCGCGGAACAATGGCCAAACGCGCAAGTAATTCTGTCCAAGAGAAATCGCCTGCCAGATGACGAGGGTTTCAACTTTGGGAAGGTCACCCTTTCAGCCAACATATCGAAAGGAACATGAGCTCATTTCGTGCATACATCCTCCATCATTTTATGCTTATACCTACAGCTCATGTGTTCTGAGAAATCTCCTCGTAGTTCCTAGACTGGCCGTCTACAGCGAGATACAGTCCAAAATAATGACCAATTGAACGCAGAAAACTTAATATTTACCGTCGATAACATTCATTTGGCCATGAAAATTATGCTACACGAGATCGAAACTCTTCTCATACTTCGCATATTATCTGGTATTTTATAGGGCATGTCTGCAAGCTGTTCAAAGAGTTAACGGACTTCTCCCTCTAGCTCAGAAAATCCCAATCCACTATCGCAACTTATCAGTTGTATATAGCTCAAAACATTCCAAGCAGTCCTTCCGTTAGTGTCACAAGTGATTGGCAGGTTTTAAAGTACGAATAATGGGCAACAGTGTTGAACCCTGCTCCCAAAGTGCTTGGTACAGGACCCTGACGGGGTCAGGGCTCTCAATCCACATCAAGATGGCTTCCTTCGCCGAAATATCTTCCTCTGGAGCCGGCGTGTAGTCATCTTCTGGTGCTGGCGTGAAAGCGCCTTCTGGTCCCATCTGGTACTTGCCATCTTGTCCCAGGTAGTCGCCTTCAGGGTGCACCTGATGGTCGGAGTCCCGACGGTTGCTCGCAGCCCTGCTCCGGAAATATTGATCAGCGGATTCCATGCGGTTAGAAAGGTCGGGGTGCTTCTTGAGAAGCTTGAAGAACTTCTTCGAATTCTCGATCTGGTTGTTGTATTGCAGGTATGCTAGACGATTTATCATTGCCGTCCAAAGAGGATCCTTCGGATGGGTTTGCATTGCTTCAACATACGCAATCTCCTTGTGCTGGGGCATGCCTGTTCGAATGTAGTTGACGTAGTATTTCATAATACTTTTTGTGTACTTCTCCATGCCCAAGAGGCGTGAGGCCCGAAGAACTGCCACATCCAGTTCGAAATCGCCGACCTTGATATCTTCACGTGCTTGTGCGATATTGCGCTGGTAATGGTTGTGGAGCAAAACTTCGCGCGCTTCGAAGGTTTTGCATGTCTCACGCAGCCAGTGCTTCAGCAGAGTATGAATAGCCTTCTTCGTCAATTTTCCGGCACGGAAATTGAACCGGGTACTCTCCGGGTTAGCGGTGAAGTGGGCGTTCAGTGTTCGGGACACTGCCATGGCTGCACGCTTTGAAGTAGTCAAAGCTGGCGTGGCGCCAATGTAGATAGTGATCTTCGGTCCCTGCATCATGTACATTCTTTCCTGTCGTATCATCAATCTCCAATCTTCCAGGTGCTGATGCACGATCGCATCGAGCTTTGGCTCCGTGGAAGAGGAGGCGAGTCCAGGCGGGATTGTACTTGGTATGGCCTACACAGTCAGTTCATGAGCTATGAGACAGTGCCCAGATATACTCACAGTGCGTTCAGCTATGGCAGCCACGGGCTCCGTACTGGAACATGGCAATGACAAGGCTGATGTCTCCATTGCCGATCCGGATACGCGGGGTCTACCCCAAGAGATTTCGGGCTTGCTACGCGACGCCATTCTGTGCTATGATAAGGTGTTTGCGGAATAGAAGTCAGAAGAATGCTCCTGAGGTAGGCTCAGCGAGTAACGAGAACGAAGTCGTGCACAGCGACACGCGCGAAAACGAGATGCAACATGGTGTCAGAACCCAAGCAGAAAAGATGGTTTGGAAAGAAGGTCTGATTGCTATCTCACGTCGAGCGTTTGCAACACTTAGCGCGTTTCTATGGTGACGGTGATGGTGTTGTCACGAGCCAGAGAAGAAGTTACGATGTTCCTGCCGAAAGCAGATGCAGTTGCGGATTCGAGAATGTTCGTCGCCAGCAAATCCGTACCACTGTAATTCTAGTCCAGAAGACTGCACCAAAACAAAATCTCTAACCTCTTCTTTATCTGTATCTTTCGCCCTTTCTTCTGCTCTTCTTTCTATCTATCCTTTGCTCTGTCCATTGCTCTATCTTTTCCTTATCGTTTTCTTTATCCCTCGTCTACCCCTGCCTGAACTCCTCCAACCTCTTCTTCTGCCTTCCCCCCTCATCAAAATTCCTCTCCTCCAGCCACCCCTCAAACGCCTCCCTCACTCCCTCCCACTCCCCATCCACGATACTAAACCACGCCGTATCCCTATTCCGTCCCCTTGCAATCATATGCTGCCTAAACGTGCCTTCATACCTAAACCCCAGCCTCTTCGCCGCCTTCATACTCGGCTTATTTAAATCATTACACTTCCACTCGTAGCGTCGAAAGTGGAGAGTATCGAAGACATAGGATGCGAAGAGGTACTGGACTTCTGTCGCCGCTGGTGTACGCTGGAGAGAAGGGGCGTATAGGATGGACCCGATTTCGATGACGCGGTTTGGAGCGTCCATGCGCATAAGCGAGGCTAGACCGACGGGTTGAGAGGTACTGTTCAGGAGGATGGTGTAGGTCCAAGGGTTTGTGGTCTCTGCCTTCTTGGCTAGGGAGACGCGGAACTGGTCGAGGGACTCGGGCGGGTCGTCAAACAAGTAATCGAATAGGGAAGCATTTTCGGGGCCGGAGACTTGTGCGTAAAGGGCTTCGGCGAAAGAAGGGTGTACAGGTACGATGGTGACATGTGTGCCTGTGAGCTTGATGTCGTAGGTTGGGATGATGACGGGAGTGTCTGGAACCGCGGCGCCCAATTTTCCGTCGTTGGAAGACATTTTGTGGTGATTGTTCAAGCCAAGATGTTGTAAGATGCAGGTACATATACTGGACCCTTGCTATGACTGTATTCGTGAAGACGTTCGCTAGCGCCGATATCCGCCAATAGCCCACTAACCGCGCGTGTATAGCGTCAGAGCTGTTGCGACGTCAGAACCACGAACCATTGAGCAATATCAATACGCTCCACTTCACTTTCATGGTCACAGGTGTAGAGGTGGGAGTATGCGGAGTCAGCCAGCACTGTGCTTATATAGTCGTAGTCAGCTAATCCTCAGAAGAATCAAGTCCACACCTTCCGCAATAGCTCATCGCATCTTCACTTCTGTCCCCAACCTCTTTCGCATGTACCAACTACCCGCTTCACCCTCCGACTCACACCGCGTGGGGTCCTACAATTACATGGGCCCCTCACCACCGGAGGCCCTCCCCAAGCAGCACTCCATACCAACACATACCCAGGAAACCGATCAAGTTCACCAACGAGCTCACGCCATGCAAAATACCAAATTGCCTGTTTAATGCCTCCATCTCCTTGCTATGCGGTCCCTTATCATAGCTCTTCTTCCCATCCTTCGTCTCCTGGTGCTTCCTCACTTTCATGATCCTCGTCGTCTCCGGCCCTACATACAGCAGATTAACCAACGCAGTAGTAAACATGGTGCTCGTGAGCCAGAACGCCAGACCGTCGCCGCTGGCCTTGTATGTCCACAGTGCCGAGGGTCCGCCGGGGTAGGTCAGGGCCATGAGCGCGGGTGTGACGGTTTGGAGCGTGAAGTAGGCGGGGAAGGTGGCTTTCTGGAGGGTGGAGAACATGGGACGGGGGAGGGCGCGGAAGGCGACGATGCCGCCGATGAAGGACTGGAAGAGGGTGCTGCCGAGGAGAGTTCCATAGCTGGAGTGGTGTTAGTCAGAGATGGATAGAGATGCGGGCGCGCAATTTGAGGATAGCATCGCAACACACCTTAGCAGATGATACGCCGCCGGGTTCTTGAAAGAAGCAAGGGATGTCATGGTTGTTAGGCTAGCTCAGTTCGAGCGAGCGGACTGTAGATGTCGACGTGTGACGAGTCAAAGGGTAATACAAGATGTGTGCTACCAGCCAAATCTACAGGTCCAAGTGCAAGTGAAAACGTCCAGCTACGCCACAGCTGTTCAGTGGAGTGATTGTGGAATGCTGAAACCGAGGCTGGTCCACCCGATACATTATGATACATGACGCGTTGACACGCGACAACCACGCTAGTCCTAACCCCGGCCACATTTTCTTATCCCCGCATTTCCTCACTGCCCCACCATAAACACCCAAATTCTACCACGGAGCCTCACATCACTTGTCACCTTTCCCCACGGTCTTTTCCCTCCGGTAGTATCCTCACGTACATACCAATGCTCCTCCCCTCCCTCGTCACCCTCCGCCACCCAACCTCGCACGAGCTCACGCCCGAGGACATCTTCGAGAGCAGCCTGGGTGGTGTCTTTGTGAACGATTTGTACGACCCTTTCCCCTAATACACGCCTTGTCTCTCTCTTCTAACTTAAAGCAAAGACAAAACCAACACGGCGACGACCCCACAACCACCATCCTCTACCGCCCCTCGAACCCCGCCTACGCCGAAATCGCCCTCCACCCCGCCGATGTCACCGGCGAGGAGCAGCGCCGTAAATTCGCGCACTACCTTTGGAATGCGGGGATCTTGATGGCGGAGCTGGTCGGGGGGCGGCCTGCTGGGGACATGAAGCATGATGTAAATGAGCTGTGGGGCGAGCAGAGCCGGTGGCGCGATGGGGAGTGGTGGACAGGGGAGGAGGAAGAGGCCAAGTGGGCGGTGAAGGGAGAGACAGTGCTGGAATTGGGCGCAGGTGCGTGAGCAGTGGAATTGGAAGAGATAGGCAGCTGATGGATTGTAGGGGTTGGACTGGGCGGGATTATGAGCGCTGTAACTGGGGCAGCGGAGGTGTGTATTTCTTTCGCACACAATCTATTTAAGTAGGGGAAGTAGGCTGACTGACGTCCTACAGGTCGCTATAACAGACTACCCCGCGCCCCCGATCCTCGAGACCCTCCGGAAGAACGCAGAGACGAACATCCCCGCGGAACAGAGGGCCCACACCGCTGTCTACGGCCACCAGTGGAACGTCCTAGACGATGAGTTTTCAACATCCCACGCGCACCACTACACCCGCATCCTCGCCGCAGACTGCCTCTGGATGCCGCACGAGCACGAGAACCTCGCACAGTCCATGCTGCATTTCCTGTCCGACTCGCCAGACGCCCGGGTGTATGTGATCGCCGGGTTCCACACGGGCCGCGCGAAGGTGGCTCCGTTCTTCGAGGAGACAATACCAGAGGTCGGGCTGGAGATCGAGGAGATCTATGAGATGGATGCGGAGGGGAGGCGGCGCGCGTGGGCGGCAGAGCGCGACGGCGGGAGGGAGGACGTCGGCGAGCGGAAGAAGTGGTGTGTGCTCGCGCGGCTGCGTCGCCGTAGATAGCCTCTCCATGAATACCCTCATCCCAACTTTCCAAATAGACTAGCGTACGACCAAACATGCGCATGTCCTTTCACCTCCTCTTGAAGCACAGCGTGCACACGCTGCTCCCCGTCTTCCCCCCAAACGTAAAACTCGGATACTCGGCGCGATCCTCGTACACCAGCTGCCCACCATCGAACCACCCCTTGACCTCGTCCTCCGTCCAATTACAGCTCGTAATCAGAAACCTTCCCCCCTTCTTGACCAGCTTCTCCACGGCCTCACGATACCCCTCGGCCACCCGCCGTCCCTGCGCATCCACCTCCTCGCTCAAACTAATCGCATCAAACGTCCCTTTGTCAAGCACGACATCGAACCCCTCGCCCAGCCACTCCCCCTCCGCCTTCCCCTTCAGAATGTCGAACTCGCGGAACTTCACGTCTTCATACTCCTCTCCCTTTGTGGCTTTGATCTCCTCCGCCAGCCTCACACTGACCCCCGAGTAGTCCACGCCCACCATCTCGCCCTCCCACCCGTCCTCCCTCAGCGCAAAAAGCAGGTGCCCGTTTCCCGTCCCCAGATCGAGGAACCTGCTCGGCGCCACGAAAGCCTCGTCTTCTGCGCCTTGCGCGACTTCCCCGTCTGCTTCTTTGTGGAGGACGTCGGCGTCGGCGAGCGTCTCGAGGAAGGCGAGCATGCGCTCTTCGGCGCCGGCGTCGGCGAACCAGACGGTGCCTTCGTCGGCGGGGTCGGCGGTGAAGTTGGACAGCTCGGTGGTGTAGGCGGTGTCCCAGTAGGCGCGTGTGCCGAGGGCGGAGGTGTTGAGGTGTTCGGGTTTCTGTGCCATTGTGGGCGGTGGGTGTGCCGACGGCCGAGCTGTGGACGTGGATGCAAAAAGTTGAGGTGTATTATGGAGGGGTCGATGCGCGTAGGAAGAACCCCGGCCCCTGCACTAGCTAGCTCAGCCGAGGGGCAGATTTTCGCGAGACCCTAGCAACGTGACGTTCGGCCGATTCACCCTTCGTAAAACACTTAATACCTCAATCCAGACATCAATCCGTTCACTCCCAGTCCCCCAGGCCTTCTCCTCTCCCCCAACACATCCATCCAACCAACCACCAAAATGGTCCACTGGCTCGACGTAACCCCCGAATACAACACCTCCCCGCTCATCCCCCTCTGCTTCGTAACCGTCCTCTCCTCCTACGGCCTCTACATGTCATACCAGAACATCACGCGCCTCCAGGAGTACGAAGACCAGGCACAGAAGCTGTCGAAATGGAGCAACACCGTTGCAGCGCGGTTGAACAAGACGAGGACGACGCAGACTAGTGGGACGATCGCCGTACGTCATCCCCTTCCCTTTCCCTTCCTCCAAATCTGCACAGGCAATTCCCAAGAAGGTTTTGTTTCTGTGGATAGCAAGATTGAATGTTAGCTTGGTCACGAGTTAAACGTAATGGGAAGAAAGACTGATGTTAATGGTTCCGTGCGACAGATGGTGCTGTCCACATTCTGCTCGCTGCTGTTGTTGCTTACCAAGTTCGGCATCACGACGCACGTGGTGCTCGCCCTCATCTGCACGGCTGTCAGCGCGCTGGCGCGACTGCACATGAAGACGTTCTGGAACGAGAAGGAGCAGGTCAGGATCCCGCTGATGGGCAAGTTCAACGAGGCGGTCAGCGGGAGCGAGGAGGTGGTGCAGTTGCTGGGGGGGATCACGGCGGCGTGGATTGCGGCGGGGTTGCTGTCGTTCTTTTAGGCAGGCAGAGGAGTTGGGTAGATGAGAATGGTATCTGCTTTTCCACTTGTCCATCTGAGCCGCGCTGTCGGAAGAGCCTGGGGTACACGACCGTCCGTGGAGGGAGAACTCGCTCTTTGGATTGGACAAGCCTCCTCCTGTCCACGTCATACCTCAACCCCCTATCCTCTCCCCACCCCTTCACATCCTCGCTCCTCCCTCTTTGGTAGACTCCCGCTGCCAAGACTCCCTCACTCCCCTCCAACGCCGAAACGTCTTTCACAAATTCTCCCCACCTCACGCCCCCGACTCTCAACACCCACCACACCCTCTCCCTCGCTAGCTGCCTGTCTTTGATGACCCAGTCCTCTGCCTCTTCCTCGCCATCGCGACTGGGCGATGGGACAGTGAGGGGGAGGTGCAACCGCTGCGTCATCCCCCGGGAGACGAGGAGGCGGTATGCGTCACTGTCTTTGTAGCTGCAAATAGGATGGGTTGGCGGCGGTGATGTGGGCGTATCTGGATGTGCGGCTAGTGCCAGGTCTACGTTATGCTGCTTCGGTGGGAGAACGGGCCATGTGGTGGGGGAAGAGAAGGACATTGCACGTTTGGAAGTAGAACGGTGGCGGTGCGGCACGGAAATGGAAGCGAGACGATACGGTGCGTTGCAGTGCTTGAGTGTGAGGCGAAGCAAGGTCGAACGACGCGATGTGGGATGTTGCGCTGCGGAGCGTGAGGATGCGGAGCGAGGTGATGCGAACCGTGCAGTCAGTCCACCATGCTACTCTGCCTCGCATAGATACTCTGCCTCCATCGTTCGTTCCTGTGGTCAAAGTGAATGGTCCTCACCAGGAAACCGAACGCATTGCTCCACGCCTAGAAATTTAGCGTCAGGTGCTTGGTCAAATGGATTTGAGCATCACGGAATTCACAGCATTCCAGCATCATCAAGTCGCAAATTCACACTCACACATGCAAACCCCAGTGCATTGGTGAGACCTTTTGCTCCTTCAATTCCATTCCCCTGCAACTGTCACTCCCCATACGCTCCGTCCTGTCCCCTTCTACCCCGTGTCTATCTATATTAGTTGGTCGGATTTGTCGTATCTGTACTCCCGCCCACTCGTTCGATCTTGTGGGGGTCGTGAATGATGCTCTCTAGGGCAACGGACGCGGCGTTACAATTGCCCCTACGCGGCATCGACGGGCTTTCCAAACGATTCCCTGCACCTTGGCAATGCACTTAAGCAGGACAGGCATTCACACTCACACGTCAGACTGAAGATAGTTGGTGCGAACTTTTGCTCATTCAATTCCTCTTCACACTCGCCCCAAGCAGGCCCTCGGCTCTGCTTTCTCTTTCAGATACACACCTACACATGAAAAACTACATAACGAACATCGCAAGCCATCGCGCCGGTGCCCCCATTCGCAGACGGGCAATCCAAATATACACAATAAATCCAACAAAACCGGCCGTGAACAGACCAGGGTATGAAGCCGCCGCTCTGGCGAGGGTATGAGACACGTTGCGCCAGAATGCACATCTAGCGGAAGAAGCTATCGAGAAGAGAACGGTGAAGTAAAGTTTTGGCAACAAGAATAGAAGACATGGACATAGCAATGAGGAGCAACAGACAAAACACATTAGCGCGACCGCGCGGTCGTATTAAGGAGAGTATGTACCGGGTAAGCAGGTAAAGCTGAAGGCGCGACGGATCGCGGTGGAGTAGTGCAGCGCGGTGCTGAACTGCGCTGTTGGGCGAGAAGCTGTGGTGGGCGTCTCGCTCGGGTATATGGCGCGGATAGCCCACGTAAACAAATGCTGGGTGCTGGGTCACTATGCACATGCACGCTTGTCGTGAGTCAAACAGGACACGGGAAGGACAGTAGAGAAGACAACAGCAGTGCGCATCATCACACGTTCTCGGTGAAGCGTGAACTTCTCGAGATGGTAGAGCCGTCTCGCGAGGGATGGCTCCTTCCGAGCGAGCCTCGTGGAGGAAAGTCCGGGTTCGGCGTCATCGGAGGACTGAGCGTGTCTCCGCCGTTGCGGGGCGGCGCACCCCAGACAGGGACATCATCCGCAGCATGGTGGATGACTGGAGTCTGGGCCGGACTCGGTCTCACTCGCGCCGCGGTGCCCATCGCGCCAGTGTTGGACGTATCCCCAATCTCTTTCGCGAAACTCGATTCTCCAAAGTCCTTTGATATGACGCCTGGTCCGCCATACCAGCCTTTGTCGTCGTGATAGAACGAAGAGCCTGACATTGTGCTCTCTCCCCGTCCTGAAGCGAATTGCTCCGACGTCATACCCTCGCTAAAGGCTGAGGGCAGCTTACGTCCTGAGATGCGTTGGAAGCTCTTCTCACCGGTACTGGCAGTATCGACAGTAGATCTGGAGGCTCCAGAGAAGCGGTTGAGGAAGGACGGAGGAACAAAGCTGGTGCGTGCTGCGTTTTGCGTCATGGGTTGGCTGATTTCCCGATCAGTCTGATCATCTCCAGTAAGCTGGAGCGCGCCGCCACGCTGCTTTTGTTTGTGACGCTTGATGAGAAACAGCATCAACCATAAAAGCAAAGCGAAGCCGGCCAAGCTACCAACAACAGTTCCCACAACCTGAGGCGTCTCCAGCGGGCCACTCGACCCTGCATCTGTGACGGGTGTCACTGTGGGCGTGGATGTAGCGCCTGTGCCTGCCGGGTCGGCAAAACCACCAGCACCACCTCCCCCTACCGTGCTGGAAGCTACCCACGCAAGGCTGGTAGTCTGTGCAGATGTGGCGCTAGACGTGATGGAAGACTGAGTCGATGAAAGTGTTGATGAGTGTGATGAAGGCGAAGATGATCTCGATGATGATCTGGATGAGGTTGAGTTGAGTGACGAAGATGCAGAAGGTGATGTGATCGACGTTGTGGAGTTGTTGAATCCTGAAGCAGTGGGGAAAACGCCGACGCTCGAGAGACTGGCGGCAGGCGTCGACTCGGGCGCTGCAGCTTGCGTGGTGGCGGCGACAGCTGCCACTGTTGGGACGCCTGACGGCCACGGGTACGCTGGAACAGATGGGACATTCAAGTCGCTTGGAAATGGAGGGACCGCAGGGACTGAGGGTACTGAAGGTAGAACGACAGCATCCGTGGCTACGGTTGACACAACAGCAGCAGGAATTAAGGTGGTGCCCCCGATGGCGGGCGTGGCGGTGGCTTGTCCAACGACATTTCCGGCAGAGTCGAGTGTGGCGACCACCTCGACGTTGACCGTCAGTATGTTGGGCGTGACCTGCGCCGCGCGACGATGGAACAGACGGTGGGCCTTGCCCATGACGGCGCGTCCCCTGTGCTCGCGGATCAAGAGCGGCTCCCCTGCGTCGTCCACCGAATCCTCCTCTTGCACCTGCACGGGGTCCCTCTTCACAAAGTCCTGGGCTTGGTGGCGATGGCGCGAATCGATCCTAATCACTCTGGTCGGTAACGGTACCGTATCCATACGGTTTGGGAGCACTCGACGCTACTGGGGCGCGAGGGCGTCTCCGAAAAGCTGGGTGGCGAATGGTATGCTGTCGCAAAGCATGTAGTGAGCGTGTCGAGTTGGCCAGGGTGGTGGTGCATGCAAAGGAGCGGAGGGTGAGGCTCGGCTCTAGTCAAGGTCCAGTCAATGGATGCTGTGGTGTTGTGGCTGTGTGGGTGGTGGTTTGGAATGAATGGACGCCAGGTGCGACTGGCAGGTGAAGGCGTGGCCTGGTGACGGTCAGCGATCTGCACTCCAATGATAGCTCGCGTGGAGTTGCAGGTGCAGGTCCGCAGCACAGCAACTCAAGCGACCTTCAGGTGCAGAAAATTTACCTCGACGTTCAACGGGCCAGCATGCGAGCTCTGGACGGGCGTCGAGAAAGGCAGTTTTGGCGACGCCTTGCGTGTGTCGGTGGGCGTGGAGCGTGTGTTGCAGTTGAGGATGGTGCTGTCGTGCAGTCGGGGACACAGCGTCTTCGGCGCGCGACTCTGGCTGTCGCGGGAGGGCGCGTGGCGGGCTCTGTTGCAGTCCTGCTGTCGCACACCGTTCCCTTGCGGGCAGGCGATTCAATTGTCGACGTCGCAGCGGAGGTCTGGTAGAGAGGAGCCGGAGACGGGCGCACGGCACACAAGTAGCGCTGGAGCGTAGAGCGGCTGGCCTGCGGTTGGGGGCCGCGCCGGCGAATCAGAGAACAGGCGAACCCTGCAGCAAATTTCGACGGGCAAGCCTCACGAGATTGCGAGATGACGAGCGCCCGACGGGGAAATGGCAGACGCGGGAATCGTTGCGACAGCACGCGCAGCACGGCGATTCAGCTCGCACCTGGGCGGCGGTGGTGTGGTTGGAGGCTCCGCGCTGGTCGCGCCCGCGTCTGCGACGCCTGCACACGGCGGATGGCTCCAGACGGCGGGCAGGCTCAGTGTGCTCGTCCCGCTGCTGCAGGGCCGTGCCGGAGTCGACGCCAGAGCGCCCCGTGACCGGAGTCGTCGCCGGCGCGCAGCTGGCTTCACGCAGCAGCCCAAAATAGCGACCCCGTCTGCGCTGGTGCCGGGCGCCATGGCTGATTAGACTCGCTCGCAGCGCCCAATTTGCGTCGTCAACATTCAATACTACCAAGCTTCCAGAACTGCCTAGGCGGCGCAGGGATGCCTGCTGCACGCTGCGGGCCTTGTCGCGCACGTGTGCGCCGTTGCGCGGGCCAGGAGCGCCATTGGCCTGCCCCCGTTTCGTGGGCCGCCGCGATGCCCTCAGGCACCGATGGTTTCTGCTAGTCAGGAACGCTCCAGATGCTTGCGCGTCGGGTGCCTGTGCGCCATGGCCCAAGACGCTCGCTGCCATCGGTCCAAACAATCGCCGCCCCGGTCGAGGGGTCGCCTCCAACAGTCAGCGCGCGCGGGGCAGCCCCGGGGCACCTGTGTCGGTGGAGGTGTTGTCGAGGGCACGACTCTCGTCGCTGCGCACGCAGTGCCTGGCCGGACTCGCAGTCGGTTGCGCGTGCTCTGCGCATGCTCGACGCCTGGCTTGCCTGCCCACCCCACGTCATAGCTCGCATACCTGTTTCCCCGCAGCCAAGACAGTGTTCTCCCACGCCCCAACCATTCCAAACGGTGATATCTGAACCCTTGCGCAAGACACACAACACTGGCCATGGCGTCACCACCGCCGCCGCCCTACACCTTGGAGGCTGAGGGTGCCAGTGCATTCCCTTCACCGCCGCCGCCCTTGCCACCGCGCAACAGCTCTGCTGCCACCACTCATGCCCATCCTTCTCTTACCGCCATGTCGAGCCATGATCCTCGCTCGTCCTCGCAGCAGTCGCTGGGCGCACACATTGACGATGACAGAGCAGGCAGACGCCGCCTGCTGCTTGTGTATATCCACGGTTTCATGGGCGATGAGACTAGCTTCCGAAACTTCCCCGCTCATGTCCACAACCTTGTCTCCATCACGCTTGCCGAGTCCCATGTAGTTCATTCCAAGCTGTATCCAAAGTATCGCTCAAAACATGCCCTAGAGGTTGCTAGGGACGACTTCTCACGATGGTACCCATGGCCACGTCCCGTGGAACTCGTAACATACTGACTCATATCAGGTTGAGTCCACATGAGGACCGGTGGACCGATGTAATCCTTCTTGCCCACTCCATGGGTGGCCTGGTGGCTGCCGACGTTGCACTGCTCTGTCGACACCGGATTATAGGCGTCATCAACTTTGATGTCCCTTTCTTGGGCATGCACCCTGGCATCATCAAAGCTGGGCTTGGAAGCATCTTCAAGCCGTGGCCTGAGCCCCAGGACCAGACTCCCGAGGAGCCTGACCCAGCTGGAAAGAGAGTTAGCCGATTGAACACGCTCTTCAACCCCAGGCCCAATGACCCCAATTACAACCCACCCTTTCCCAACGATGTCCATCTCCCTGTTCGAAAAGGATGGGAGAACACATTGCACTGGCTGAATAAGCACTCGAACGGCATAGTCCAGGCTTCGAAAAGCCTCGTCCGGTCACATTTCGAGTTTGGCAGCGCCATGGCCGACTATCGGACCCTCAAAGTACGATATATGAAGATCCGAGCTTTGGAAGAAGAGGATGAGCGACAGAGGGCGTCTGCATTGCAAGAGATACATCATCCGCCGCGAATACGGTTCGTCAATTACTACACCACAAGTACAGGACGACCTAAAAAGCCCAAATCTCCGAAACCGTCCTCACCATCGCCTTCCCGGCCCGCAAGTAGAGCTTCTCCAGCCCCGCAAGCTCCCGCGGACAGCGCTACTGCGCTTGCGTCGTCAACCTCGCAACTCAAGATAGACTCCCAAGGCTCGGATACATCCGCCGTCAGCCCTAGATCATCGATTGAAAGCCCTCACGAGGAGGACGTTTTGGACGTCATACCGCCAACGCCAATAGAGGACGACAGCCCCGAGCCATCGTTGCACATTGTGGCAACAGAAGGTGGATCTGGACCAGAGCTACCTGACATCCCGTCGATACCCCAAGAACCACCATTCGTCGACTTGGCGCAATTCGCAGACCGAGGTCAGAGGAAGGCTGCCGAAAAGGAACACGATCAGGCTCTCAAAGAGTATCAACGCGCCGTGAAAGCACGCAACAAGATTATCAACGACCGAGACAAGATTCAAGAGAAATGGGAAAAGCAGCAGAAGAAAAACCAGCAACTCAAGGAGAAGCAGGCACAGCAGGATCAGCAAACTGAGACAAAGCAAACAGGAAAAGAGCTGCAAAAGGAGGACAAGCAGGTACGAAAAGAGCTGAAGAATGCGGAACGAGCCAAGGGCAAGGACAAAGCAGGAAGCAAAGCACACACTGAGCTGAACCGCGAAGACGTTGGGGCTGTGCAGCTTGGCGGTGACAGTTCCCGCAGCACGTCGCATAACGGCCCATATGGGAACTACGACTTCTCTCAAAGTGCCATCATGAACCACGCCGAGCCGGACGAGCACGCTTCCTACACGACAGGGTCCAATCCCCCGTCTTCATACAACGAATCCACATATTCGCTCACCACTGCAGATAGCAACGTCACGAATCCGGGACCGGAGGCGCCACAGAAGGTGAGAAAGCTGAAAAAATTCTGCATGCTCCCGCCAGAAGACAGCAAAGGGAACAAGGATCCCACCTGGATACGCGTGTTCATGGAAGGCATCGACGAGGTTACAGCGCATACATCTTTGTTCTTTGTCAACGATACGTATGAGCGGTTGGTTGGGGAGGTCGGCGCTCGGATCGAGGACTGGGTTTCGGAAGCGGATAGTCTGAGGCTGGTGAGAGAGATGGAGGGCCTGTGAGGGGCAACAGCATATGCATAGAATACCATTGTCTGCAGCTCTGGCTCACGGTTCTCGCATACAAGAACCGTCCGTGTCCAGTGTGTGACCATTTGCGGGACGCCGGCAGAGTTGGGCAGATCCCACCGTTCAGCATCTCACAACCTCCACATCCGTCGTCAACGTCCACGCCGCCTCCCCCACGCCCTCCGCTTCTCCAAACGCGTCGGTCTCGTTCACCGCCCGCGCCTGGAATTCGACATCCAGCTCCTGCACCCCGCCCTCACACCCCGACGCCACGCCGCCGTCGCTGCCCTCCACCGGCGTGAGCAGATGCGCGAAAGGCCCCGCGAGCGGGCCCGGCGTGTCGAACATGCCGACGCTCTGCGCATCCCGTGAGTCGCTACTCTGCATCCCAAGCAAGACGCCCACGCGCACTGGACCCCCGGAGCAAGCGGTACGGCCCGCCTGCCACGCGGAAAGGAAAAGTGCAACGAGCGCGGAGCAAGACGTACCTGGCGGCCCATATCTTCCGCCCACGCCCAGCTCCCCCGGAGGTAAAGCCTCGCACCCTCCGGCACCTGCGCGTCGCCCTTTGCCGCGGTGCCTTTGCTGTTGACGACGGCTTTCCAGCCCTTGTCCACCGCGACGAAGACCACGGCGTTGCACATGCGCAGGCTGGAGCCGAAGGAGGAGAAGGTGGGGCTGAAGTTGGAGAGGGTGAAGGCGAGTGGGACGCTGGCGGTGCTGGCGTTGGAGGGGGCGGTGGTGTTTGCGGGCGGCGGGAACGTGTACGAGAGGCCCGAGGAGGGACACGCGGAGCCCCAGTACGATATGTTTGTTATTGCGGGGACTGGGACTGGGGCGGGGCTTTGGTGTAGTGTTAGGGCGGTGGTCGTGCTGCTCGACGTGAGCAGGGCGAGGGGGAGGCGCATTGTGGTGGCTGGATGTGCGTCGTGGTGGCGCTGAGGGTTCGAGGGAGAGACGCTGTCGACCGAGCTGCGCGAAGTGGACGTGCGTTCATTTCTTTGATGGTCGTTCGAGAAGGCCCCACCTTCACGTTGGTGTGGTGCGCATTGCCGTATATTAGGGACGTTGGAGGGTGAGGCGTGGGCAGGGGTGGTGATTCGCGACTTCATTAACTGGAATCTGCGAGCGTGGGGAATACCCGCGCGGGACTATCGAAAAGAACATCGTGGTGGGCAAGGAGTTTCTAGAGCGGTAGAAACCGAAGTGCGACCCTTCGCCGATACGCGGTCTAGTCTTTCTTTTTCTTGCGTGTGAACATGCCGTCCAGTGTACCCTGGCTGGCCTCTCTTTTATGTCCGGTTTTGCCCTGCTCAGCCGCCTTCTTGGACGTTGTCTTTCCGGTCTTCGATTTAGTCGGAGCCGCAGAATCCTCCCCATTCGTACCGTCTGCTTCCGCATTCTCATCCTCGTGTTCGACCTGGGCCCCAGGAAGCCCCTTTGATCCCTCCGTCGGCCCCTCCGCATTATCATCGAACAGCTTCCTCCACGTCCCATCCAGCACCTTCGGATCGTTCCCGTAGAGCCCAATCTGATACGCATTCTTCATGCCCTGTATGCAGACCTCCCTCTGCGTCGCAAAATCAAACATCGGCTTCGGATACATCTTCAGCTTCCCATCCCCAGTCTCGATCCCATTTCCCTTGACGAGACAGCCCCATTTCTTTTGGTCCACAATCGGCGCCTTCCACGGCTCATAGATGTACTTCTTATCAAAGTGTTCCAATTCTGGGACGTACTTCCTCACAAAGTTACCGTCTTTATCCCACTTCTGCGGAAATGCAATGGGGCTGTAGCACCTGTAGAATTGCGCGAAGAATGCCGTGCACGAAAGCCACTGCCAGTTGCCAATGTTGCATGCAGCCTCGTGGTCGATGAGCCACTCCTCGAAGACTTCTGCGCCGCGCTCCCAGTCGACGTAACACCCGCCGCGGGTGAGGAAACAGGCAACGGCGTGGCGGCCGAGATGGTGGATCCAGCCCTCTTGCTTGAGCTGTCGCATCAAGGCGTCGATCCAGGGGAAGCCGGTGCGGCCTTCTTTCCAGCGCTTGAAGAAGATTTCTGCTTCGGCGTTGTCGACGAGATATTTGCCTGTGATAAGGCCAGAGTTTGGGTCAATTTCGGAGGGTAGATGCCAGGGGATAAAGCGGCAGCGCGGGTTGTTGTAGGTTTGGCCGAAGACGTAGCCGAGGGCCGCTTGAGCGCCGAAGTACATATCGCGGAAAAGGAGCTGGCCTGTGAGACTGACGGGCGGCTGTGAGGCCTTGCCCTTGTATTTGGAGACTATGTCCTGGGCACGCCAATAGAATTCGCGACAGCTCAGCGCGCCAAAGTGCAGGTATGGTGAGAGGAGTGTTGTTGCTTGCGGTTCGAAGGCTGTGGGTGCTGTTTTTGGCTTCTCGAACGTGGCGGTGTAGTCTTCGTTTGCAATGATATCGTCGAGCATTTTCAGGGCTATCGTCTCGCCACCGCGGTGTGGAGTAGTGGCGGGTTTGAGGCCGAGCTCATCCATCGTGGGTACGGCAAAGTCTTGATTGGGACCTGCTAGTGCATGGTAGGACTTGTCCTCCGCATCGCGTTGGATGGAGTTGATATCCGGGCTACTGGCGGGCTTCTGCTGGTTGAAGCTCAAGGTTATGAGCCCTGGGTCTGGAAGGGCCTTTGGGGCAGGTATTGGTCGCACAATGTCTCCGATTTTCGCGCCAGCTGCTTGAACTTGGGACATACTCATAGTGGGCTTGTTGTGGTTCGCTTTGACGAGCTCATCCGAGTCGTATAGTGTGCGCCCAGGTCGGATGACGACTTCGACGCCAGCTTCCTTTGCCAACTCTTTCACCTCGTCATCTCTCTCCCGGCCATAAGCATCCGTGTCTTTCTCGAACACAAGGTGCGTGATCTTCCATTCTTTGAACAACTTGGGAAATAACGTCTGAGGAGCTTCGCGGATGAGAAGCAATTTTGATTTAGAGTTGAGTTTGGTGATTGACTTGGAGAGGTCGTTTTGGCAGTCGAGCAGAAATTGCCAGCGATTGGAGCCAACACGAGCACGGTATACATAATGAGGATCCCAGGTCCAAATGGGATAAAGACATTCTGGTTTCAGATCCAAAGCTGCCTGGAGGGCTGGTGAATCGTGAAGTCGGAGGTCAGTTCGGAACCAGTAGATGACTCTTGGTTTGGGCATGATGCTACAAGGATTCAAGTCAAGATGAGGCGAAAGGTAACGGGAGACATGCGCATTGTGTAAAGACAATGGCAAACACACGGTGCCTGGGACGGTTAGCTTGCGGTAGTGGAATGCATCATAGATGTCAGGATTAGGGTTAGCTCCGCGCCAGTCTCAATGAGGCGTGGTGAAGTGGATCTAGCCAATGGCAGTCTTGGTTGGGTCATGCAAGTGAAAGTGAACGCTTCCGGCTCAGTATGTTCTTTTGGATCTGGGCAATGCTTGTACCGAGGGGCAGGTTAAGCAAGAATACCGGTATACGCGGCATGGTTTGCTCTCAATAGTCGAAACCCGGGCGTTGCTACCTCTAGGCTGGGGCGCTACGTGAGCTAACATCACATCAGTTGCTGTTCCTGTACTAAGCTCATACGCCCAATGCCCAGCAGATTGCCAAATGAATCAACGCGGCGCGAGAATTCCTGAATTTGATGGCTGCAGCGTGTACGGACTCAGGCACGGCATAAGCGCCATGTCGAATGACCCCACGGTCCTGGGAAATTGGGCGCTGACACAGACACGATAACGTGCCGCTGTGGACTGTTGCAAGCGAGAGGACAACATGCCGTGTCGAGTGTCGACTGTCAAGTCTGTACTGATCGCGTAGGCGCGGGTGCTGCGCGAATCGGGTCCACTTGATTTGTTTATATGTCGAAGCTGCTGTAAACGAGGTTTGCTATGATGTCCTCGTGCATGAACCGAAGATGACGCAAAGTGCAATGAGTGCGGGTCTCGCGGCGCGCACTTTACCGCTTCGACTGCGCTACTGCCCCATGAGACATCGAGGTCGCTCCTGAAGGCCCGAGCTCCAGTTCGTGCGCCCGGCGCGGAGTGGTGCAGGAAAACATTGTGAAGTGCACCTTCTCCTCCCATCAGCTCAGCTGGACATCAATTGAGCCGTCGTAGCATTCACTCACCATCGCCTGCAGCTTCCCGCGTCGTTATCATGAGAATTGCTTAAGCGACGCACCTGCCTGCACGCTGTTAAGCCCTGGACTCGGCATAGGTGCGCTCGTGAACTCACGCGCCGATCGCACGTCGCCGCTGCGGGGAAAGCTCCCACGCGCCCTCTCCAAGTCACCCGCCCTGTGACCTGGCGCTATTGAGCCCCTCGATTGGCACTGTTGATTGAGAAAACTCGGCACCGCTTGTTTCTTACTGTCTTGTCATCAACATGGCGAGACCTTTGGAAGATGTCTACTGCACGGTAGGTCGGGTCAGGTTGCACAAATTATGTCCGCTAACCGCCTGGCAGCTCCTCATGAGCGACTCCTACCTACCAGGTATGCCTCGAACAGTGCCTACACCATCACGCACAAGACCACCTTCGTCTGCCTGCCGAACACAACTTTTTCGTCCTTCGGTGACGGATGATCCATGGCTAATCGTTTGAACAGGAGCCGCAGTTCTTGCACACTCTTTACGCGATGCCGGCACGGAAAAGAAGCTGGCTGTTCTCGTTACGCTCGAGACGCTGTCCGCCGACACGATAACCGAGCTCAAGTCGCTATACGACTACGTGATCCCCGTGGACCGTATACGCAACCCAACTCCCGCTAATCTGTATCTGATGGGCCGCCCCGACCTCCTCTATGCCTTCACCAAGATTGCCTTATGGCGGCAGACACGCTTTCGGAAAATTGTATACTTGGATGCAGACGTGGTGGCATTACGGTCGCTGGACGAGCTTTTTGACATCGACGCACCCTTCGCCGCGGCCCCAGATGTCGGATGGCCGGACGCCTTCAACTCGGGCGTGATGGTCCTCAATCCTGACATGGGCGAATACTGGGCGCTCCACACCATGGCCTCCACCGGCGACAGCTTCGACGGCGCCGATCAGGGCTTGTTGAACCAGTACTTTGAGAACCGTAATTGGCATCACTTGAAGTTTACATACAACACGACCCCGAATGCTCAGTACCAATGGGAGCCCGCATACCGATACTACAAGCGCGATATCAGTGCTGTCCACTTCATTGGCAAAGACAAGCCTTGGACGGCTGGACGACATGGCCCGGGCGGGTATGGCGTCTACAACGAACTGCTGGCTCGATGGTGGGCTGTTCACGACAGGCATCTTAAGAAGGAATCGGCGGCTCCTACATCTGGGTCGGGCACAGCTTCAGAGTACCCTTCTACAGGTGAGACGAGTACCACCGCTGCTGATACAACGACCCAGCATAATGGTCCCATTGCCCATGGTGTAGTTGAGCCAGAAGCCCCTGCTGCGAGCACAGAGATGCCCTTATCTGAACCTGGAGAAGCGGTAGAAAATATTGATCAAGGTCTGACAGAGCCGATTCCGACTTCGCAACAACGCAAGTTCTCGGCACCACACATGGAGTGGGACGCGACCCGGTGAGTTTGATACGTCGCGTCACTTGGTCACGCCCATGCGCATGCTCTAACGCCTTTAGGTTCGAACCACCGGCCACCTCGAAGCCAGAAGCTGCAAACTTCCCATCCGAGCAGTATACCTTCAGCGACAGCCATGAGCTGTTCAAGGCACCCCAAGCCTATCCAGAGCCTCCCAAGGATATGTGGTATCAGGTGCCAGAAGAAAAGCCCAAGCCAGCGGAGCCACCGAAACCAATATTCCCATGGGAGCAACAGCGTGATCGACCCAAGCCCACGCGTGTCTTTGCCGAGGACCTTCCACCTCCAGAGCCAACGCCGCTTACGCCGACGATTACGATCAGTCCATCTTCAGCGTTTGGAGCCCCGGGAGCCCATCCGTTCTCCACAGTGCACTATGATGAGGAAGAAACTATGTCTGAAGAAGTAGTAGCGCCTGGGCCCAACAGCCCTGAACGCGTTTCTTCGCCGAAGACTGCTGACCAACAGTGGCAGGACTTCCAGCAGAGCAGCATTAATGCATGGGACAGCGTCCCTGGAATAGAAACCTACGTGCGTGCAATCATGGACTCGCAGACCCGACGTGGAAAACCGCAAGTCCTGAGTCAAGCGGTAGAACAGGCCAGGTCGCCCGTGACCCGCCAAGAGCGTCGCGAGAGTCTTATACTCACCGATTTTCCTTCGGCGGTCGAACGACCGAGTCTGCCCGTCACCCCAGCGCCAGTCGCAAGGCCTACCTTTTGGGGTGAAGAGAGGGATGAACAAAGGGAGCTACCTCAAGCGGAGGGTGTTCCAGATCAACCAGATTGGGTATGTCCCCAATGCGGGTTTTCCTCTATCAGCGCTTCAGACTTTCGTCCCGCTCGTGGACTCCCTGCGTCATCTATTCCTATCGAGACTGCTGAGCCTTCTCCTCGGCCTACTATTCCGCCGTCCGCTGAAGCTCCATCAATTATGACACAGCCATCTACAAGGAAAGAAACAGTCCCGAAACCTCAGCCTGAATTGATCGCATCGGAAAAATCGACTCATGGCACGACGTCATCGCCTGCTCCACCCAAGCCCCACCCTAGGAGAGGTGTCAGCTTTCGTGGAGCACCCCTTGTATCTTTGACAGACCCAGAGCTTCTTGACGCCCATCCTCACACTCCTGGATTTGACCCGCCTCCACCCTCTGCATCTGTTGTTTTCAGTGTTGCTTCAGCATTGCATTAATTACTTGCATTGAGCGCGCATATCGTTACTCAAGATTTTCGCATTTGAAAGCTGACACCACCTCGCGTCTAAGAATCCAGAAGAGAAGCTCGAGCAGCTACGACGGTCCTCGCTTATCGAATTCGAGCATTTGAAGAGTCCCAATCACCCGAAGGCACCCCTCAGGAAATTACCAGAACACTCTGTCGATCTGGGCCCTCCAAGCAATCCTTCCCAGGCGAAGACTTCAGATTCGAATCCCGCAAATTCAGGTGATCCGGAAAGCATGGGTGGAATTGAGGCAAAAGACTTCGCGGATTCTCGCGATGGAAAGGAAGAGGAGAGCAAAGAAACCCCAAAAGGGTCGGCGAAACCATACAGACCGCCTCATGGCTACTTTGCCCTCGCAAAGCCCGAGAACAAGGACGACTTGGCTGCCCAAACACCTACCGGCATGCCCCTTTTCGTTGCACCCAATTTCGGTAAAGACGGTACCGGCGATGAGCTCGACAACGCGCCTACTCTGCCTCACGAGCAGGCGCTGCTTCACGACGACGACTCTTTGAGTCCGACTACGACACGATCATAGTATGGCCTCAGGTGGTGGATGATTACTAGTTTGGCATCTTCTTGACCCTGTTCGTGTGGGGGTACTTCCTTGACGGGTTCATCCGAAGCATTTATCGCGATACCCAGTGTATTATTAGACTGTGTTTGGACACCTGCATATTACGTCTCATGCATCGATGAGAGGTCGGCTAATCATATGCCGGCGTGAGGCACGTTGTTTTGCGCTTCAGAGTCCCTGGCTAACATTTTCAGTGGCTAATAGAAATAATCAGCTTGCATGCATGCTCATCTTTATATTTGAGCTACTCGTGCATTCCAACATCATGCTCAATTCCTTGACGTCAGAGCCTTCCCATCTTTCGCAATCAACGGGTCTGGATGGTGCGTGCCTGGATGGTGCGTGCCTTTGGACACCCTACATCACCCCAGCCACAGCCATTTCCCTCTCCAATCCTACACTTTCCCATCCACCCGCCGTGACTCCGTTCCCTCCCACGCAGTAGTCTCAACATGCAGCCCATCCCTACACCTACACAACAAATCAGCATGGCACGCAAGGTGCTCCTTCCACCAGCCCAAAACGCCAAGCCCGTCGTCCCAGTTAGGAAACCGCGAATACTCACACCCTGAACAAGCGCACCACGGGATCGCACACCACAAGGGGCGGCGCGCCCGCTTTCGGCTTCTCGACATTGCACTTGTACTGCACCATCTCCTTTAACGCACAGTCGCGTAGATCGGTGATCGGGGGTTTCCGCGGTTTGCCGTTGGCGAGGGTGTTTATTTCTGAAGGCAAGGACGAGGCTGGGTAGATTGGCGTGTGCGGCGCCATCTTCTGAAAACGGCGAATGAAACGGTAGAAGAGGGACTATTGATGAAAGGAAGAGAAAGGAGGGATGGCGGATGTGGGTGCGGAGAGGTTGGGGATGAGATTGATGGGTGAGGTGGAGGAGTTGACGTTGGGCGAGGTAAGTGTGATGAGGTTGCGAACGTATGAGCTCAGAACATCGGAAGGAAATCTGACCAGATACATGCACAGCTCCTCGCTTCTCTCCACGCGCTCATAAATCCGTCTGAGCAAACTACAATCTTCAATGTCCCAGAACTCGACGCTTTACTTTTCACACCACAGCCAGCTCCAATCCAGATTCCGCAACAGCAACAGCACCACCACCACTCAGACGATGACACATGGAACCATGCCCACGACGCGCGGAACGAAGTACCACGCCCTGTTCCTGCGACAGTAAAGCAGCGTAGCCACCCCATCATCGAACTCATCTCCCCACCCCCGGCTTACCACCCCTCTCCCGCAGGCAAAACCGCCCTCGTCCACCTCCTCACCACACACGCCGTCCTCCCCTCACGCCTCGCCAGCGTACCCCTCTCGGGCCTCACCTCCGCTGTCGTCCTAATCGACCCTTTGCACCACTTCTCCGTCAGCTACCTCGCCTCCACGCTGTCCTCGCACATCGTCTCGTGCTTCACGGCGGCCGGGCAAGACGCCACCTCCCCAGACGCTCGGAGGGAGGTTATAGCCTGCGTAAAACAAGCGTTGGAACACGTGCACATCTTCCGGCCCAGTTCGTGGGACAACCTGCTTGCCACTTTACAAAGCCTAGAAGACTATCTTTTCGACAAAGGGAAGCATGGGAGCATGCAGAGACCGGTACATGCGCTTGTCATCGAAGACATCGACACCTTTATTCCCGCCCTCCGGACTGCATCGGGCTCAAACGCTATTTCTACGGCGTCTGCGCTGCTCACGCGCCGACTCGATACGCTCTCGGCGACGTTGTCCTGCGCAGTCGTAGTGACAAGTCGCTCCGCCACCGCAGCGGGATTCCGCCCAAATATTCCGCTGAGCTGGCCGACACACATGCAGCTTACGCGGCTAGCGGTGCGGCGGGTGGAGGTGGTGCCGTTTGCGCCGGGAATGAGTATTGTTGAGGCGGAAGCGGAGCGTGGGCAGAGGGGCGAAGTGGTGAGTAGGGGACGTTTTGAGGTGTGGAGGGTCGGAGGGGGTGGAGAGAAAGACGGTGCGGTTATCAGGATTGGGAGGGGCGTGGTGGTTGAGCGGGAAGATGGTTAGGTGGAGGGATGGGGAACGATTGATGGGCACGGGGCGTCCTAATTCAAGGAAGACATGGAGACATGGAAGCGCTGGTGAGATGCCGGGATATGATGTGATGTAGTATGCTTTGCATTCGAGGCGCTATGATACAGAAAATACAATTCTTTCTTTCCTTCCAGGCTCCGTGAATGCATGGTCCCATTCCCCGTCTCGGACGCTAATCGTACACTTGTGATCCGCTCCGAATCCTCTTTATACAATGCCAGAAAGCTTGCTCCATCCGGTCGATGATGTACAGTGTCTCCCTCTCGTGTTCCGACCACCGCTTCCCCACCTTCCAACACCGCTCGCTCGATGAGCCGTGTCTTACGCATCCCTCCCCCAAAGCTCCTTCCGCCTCTCCCGCTCATGTCTCGCCTCGCGCCTCCTTTCCCCCCACCTTGCCCTACTCCTCTCATGCTCCCTGCTCACCTTCGCCGCCTTCTCCTCATTCTTCGCAACCATCCCTACAAAGAACTGACTGCACCCAAACTTCTCCGCCAGCCTCACCCGCGTCCACCGCTCGGGATCCTCCTTCCGCAGCCGCTGAATCTCCTTGATCTCCACATCCGTCAGATGGTACTTCTTCTCGTACGGCTGGCGCAGCGGCGGGGGCAGGCTTGCAGAGGGCCTGGGCGGCAGCAGCGAATTCGTCGAGAGCGGGGTCCCCGGCGCGGCGACGGGCGACGTCGCAGTGGCATGCGCGCGGGCTGTGCTCGTGGACAGGAAACTGGCGTACAGCGCGCGCCGCTTGTCGTTGGCGGGCAGGAACTTGAGCGGCGTGTGGTATGCGCTGGGTGCCGAACTCGGAGGATTGAATATGAGCGTTGGTTCTGGCCGCGTGGGTGCGTAGCTGGGGGCTTGCTGCACGGTGAGCAGCTTCTTGTGCCGGCGTGTGGTGGACTCGTGGCGGATTTGCGTCCGAGGAAGGAGGGACGGCGGCGGCCGCACGGCGGTGCTTATCCGCGCGGCGGATTTACATGTCGACATTGTGGGTTGGGGGAGCGGATGGCGAGGACCCAATGCCAATGGATGGGATGGCTGCGCGTGGAGAAGGGGAGAAAGATTTAGTCCGGCTAGATGTTCCGATCCGGGCGCGTTGATTGGCCCGTGCTGTTGCCCTTCACCTTCACCTGCAATCGACGGATTTCGAGCTTCCACAAATATTACCCGATTAGGCATGTTAGAATTGCTACCCTGCATCTCTCACAGACGTAAGATCAACAGCGTCCATCACTAAATGTCGGGTATATTTCCATTATTTATTTGGCCTTTCTATGACCTATATGAGGTACAGAGACTAAGTGTGTCTACCTCCTAATTACCCTTCAGCTCACCAGCGACGTAGTGTAAGTACGCGCCGAGAAGCTTGGTTCCCTCAATGTAGTTCCGCTTGTCGAGCTTCTCGTTGATAGAGTGTGCGGCGTCAGTCGAGCTACCCATAGGCAGCAGCAGGACGTTCTTGCCTAACTCTTCCTGGAAGGTCAAGGTGACGGGGATACTACCACCTTCCCTGGTCATGTCGGGCTTGACGCCAAACACGCGCTCGACGGCCTTGGCCGCAGCGGTGTAGTTGGGGTGGTTCGGGTCCTCGACCCACCACTTTCCGCAATGCACAATGTGGAACTTGAATGTGTTCTTGGACTTGAGCTTCTTGAATTCTGCGTTGACGTGCTTCTCAACGAGCTGCGTGACTGCGTCGATTTCCATGTTTGGCACTGTGCGGATAGAGAACTTGCCGATGACCTTCGCTGGGATGACAGTCTTGGCACCGGGGGTATAGAAGGCACCCTCGATACCGTGGAGGGAGAGCGAAGGGTATCGCATCTTGGCCTTGAGCGAGTCCTCCTTGTTATCGTAGATCGAGACGGTGCTGCCGAGCGACTGGTGTAGGTCGTCCATGGTGAACGCAATGGGAGGGTAGAGAGCGGCCTCGGCATCGGTGAGGGGTGCTACAAGGTCTTGGATGCCTTCGATAAGGATCTTGCCATCTGGGTCGACGAGGGAGTTCATGATGCGGACCAAGTCGGTCATGGGCTCGTGGGTCAAGCCACCGTAGACACCGGAGTGGAGGTCCTGGCCAGGACCGGAGATCTCGAGAGCGTAGTAGTTGCATCCGCGGACGCCGTAGGTCAGGCAAGGCTTCTCGGTGCCTAGCCAGTAGTTGTCTGAGATGCACACGACGTCGGCGTCCTTGAAAAACTTCTTTGCTTCGGCGCGAATGGTCTCGTCCAAGCCCTCGGAGCCATTCTCCTCCATACCCTCAAAGCACATGATCAGGTTGACTGGGAGTTCCACGCCCGCCTTCTGGTGAGCCTCGATGGCGTTGAGCCAGCCCAGCACAGGGCCCTTGTCGTCGGTGGCGCCGCGTCCATACATGCGATCCTTGTCGTCGATGCTCAGCGTGAACGGGTCGGTGGACCAGCCGTCTGACAACTGGGCGGGCTGTACATCGTAGTGGCCGTAGACGAGAACGTTGGGTTTCTTGGGGTCGTCGCCGTAGCGGCCGAGCAGGCAGGGAGGCAGATCGAGGTGCTCACGGCCGGGCTGCTTACCGAGTTCACGGAGCTCGACGGTGCCACCGAGGGCCTTGATCTGGTCTGCGAGCCAGTGGCCCATCTACCATGAGCGTCAGCAGGAGCTCCAAGCAAAAAAGGAAGAGCATATGCACCTTGACAACGTCTGGCCTCCTCTCATCCTCAGAACTGATACTGGGAATGGCGACGGCCTCCCGCAGCCTCTCAATGAAGTGGTCTTGCAGGCTGTCAACCTGCTTGAAGAAAGGGTCTAGGTGCGACATCTTGTCGAATGGTTTGTACAGGTATGGCCAAACAGGCTTTTCGAATCGTGTGCGGGTGGTGGAAGAGAACGCGCGCGAAGACGGCAGGCGACGTGCGGTTACCTGCGGTGGCTGCGGCAGAGAGCACGAGAGACGTAGAGCGAAAAGGGAAGGTCGGGGTGAACTGGGTGCTCGATGCAGGAAGGTGCGAAAGAGGGGCACAACCGCGGTGCCAGAGCGGGGCATTTTCTGTGGCACACGCCTGGGGCAGTGGCAGAGAAACGAACGTCAACCGGTGCAGCCAACGGACAGACCCTCGGACCCTGGCCCAAGCTCCATGGCAACGGCCCCAACAACATGACTATCTTCATGGTCAATGCGAGTTTCGAAAAGGTGGCATGGCTCTTGAGTTCCACAGACTCCTTGCTAGAGATCGGCACCGGGTACTTTCCGCGTAGGAACGACTATTGTCACATTTCACGTCACCAGATCGTGTCCTTGACTATTGGCTCTTTTCGCACAGGACTCGACTGAAGCATAACGCAGAAGCGTACAGGCATAGTAGAATGAGCAGTTGTACGATATGGATTCGACTGCACAGCTTGTTTTCAGAAGCGTCTGCTGCATCTTCCGAGCCGCTACCCTCATACAGCATAAAATTATGATACAACTACCCTCGAACGAGGACAATGACAAAAACGCCATGGAAATGCTCATCAACCCTGCAAGCCCAGAATGCAGATATGTTACCCAAACGCCTCGCTAGAAATGCTTCGAAGAACTTTGAAGAACTTTTACGAAATGTGCCGTCTCTTGTTGGGAAGGCTGCGCTCGCTGAAGCTGCTGCTGGGTGTAGAATATCCAAACCGCGAAAATCTCTGTCTGGAACGCGATGTGCTCAAGGACGCTGATCCTCACTGCTTTCAAGGGTCCCTCTGCTTCTGGCGCCAAAATTTGCGGCCGTAATTAACGGTGACGCGCTGCTCCATACGTTGCTGCAGGTATCTCTCCCTGCGTCTTTCCGGGGTTGGAGGAGTGTACGCCTTCCCAGACTTCTTAGCCTCTTCAGCTGCTTTTTCATCTTCTATCTGCTCGGCAAGACGTCTTTCAGCCATGGCCTTGTTGTCCTCTTCAATGAGGCGAATGTCGGCCTCGCTCGCAAAACCCTGCTCGTCTCTCCGATGCGCCTGGCGTAGCTTGTTGGCCTCATCTTCGTCCTCTTCCTCTAATGACTCTCTCAGAGCCGTTCTCCACAAGTTCTCGCGCTTGATGGCAACCTTGCTCCGTTGAGCTTGCGCACGTGAGGCATTCTTCTTGCGGTCGCCTTCCTTCTTTCTTTCCATGAGCCTTCGCAAGCTCTTCTCTGCCTCCACACCCTCCTTCGCGGCTCTCTCGCGGATGGTGTGAGGATCGACTTCGCGCTTGGCGTATACTGGGGTTGACATCCATGTGTGCTTTGGTGGGAATGCAGGGAAGTGCTCTGGTATATATTTCCTGCTTTCTTTCTCTGCTCTTCCAGACAGTTCAGGGCCGAGCATGCCCTCTAGGTCGGGTGGCGGAGGCTCCGCGGGCTCCGGCGGCGCAAACGCTGGCTGCAATAACGAGGCTGGCAAGTCGCCAGTGTCGAGGTGTGGTTCGAGGACTCCTGAGCCGGTGAGACCCACAGAGTTGAGGGCGTAAACAAAGTCATGAGGTACCGGCGCAGTGCGTCGGCCGCTAGACATAGATTTGCGAATATGGTCGGTAAAGTTAGACATGTCTAATCAGCACGTTAGCGGTCTGCGAGACACAAAGCTGGCAGCACGCTGCTGGGAGCGGCGTGGGCGAAGCCATACAGTTGTGTACCTGCGCGACCAAGGCCTCCAAGGCCTCTGGCCTGGACCCGTCAAATCCAACCGCTTTGCATTGTACTCCGATCGCGCGCCGCAGCTGATGGTGGATGAACTCCTGATCGCCTGCTGCACCATGGCCCCCGGCGATCGGTTCTACGAGCTGCGAGCCGGGCTGCGTGTGGCGAAGGGAATGCACGACCTTGCGCTTCTTGGGGTGCGGTTGGCCGTACGTCGGGGCCGACACCTCCTCGTACGGGCGCTTCATTCCTGCGACTGTGCCAGTACCTGAGGCACTCAAGGGCGATATGATTCCGGGCATATGCGTAACGCGGGCGCGGGCGCGGGCAAGGGTGAGAGAGGTTGGTACGTGTGCGCGGTGCGGTCGCGGGTGGTTGAATAGCGGACGAGGGCGGTCGCGTGCGCTTTATTTACCGGCCGTTAGCGCGGTGAGGGTAGAAATTGGGGTGAAGATGAATTTCGGCGGCGCGGGGCGTCGGCTCAGGCGCCTTCACTTTGTGCCAGTGAGAGTCGCTGTCTTTGATGCTGTGACCTCCCAAAGCGCGGTTCTGACGCACGGCCCCTCGCGCCAAGCTCGCGGTCACTCCACTGTCGGCACCTCACGTCAAACCAGCTCCAACGTCCTTCACAAGCTTCACCACCCGCACACCTGCACCACCACCCTCTCCACTCACCGCAAACCACTCCGCCATGGCCATCAAGCCCATCACCGGCGTATGTCTTGCCATTGAGCCCCCGCGCGCCGCGCGCCCGCCCCTCTGAGTCGAAGCTGACCTCTGGCCCTGCAGATGCTCCGCCGCACTATTGTGCTCGACCTCTCCGTTGCCATGGGTGCGTCAATTCAAATACATCTTGCGCAAGCTTTTTTGGGCTCTCCTCGAGCTTTGGAGCTGGTGCGGTTTCCGCGTGGAGCTTTGCTAACGGCATAGACAGGCCTCGGTGTAGCCGCCGGCTATGGCTGGTGGTACGGTACGTGAACCAAGAGTGGAGCGTCCATTTCGCAAACCCCAGAAGTGCTGTTGGACAGTCAATTGACTAGGTTTTGAAGGTTACCACGTCCCTGCCGTCCGCCACCGCGACGCATACTACCAGAGGATCGAAGACGAGCGCGCCCAAGCTCTTGGCCAGAAATAAGCAACCCCACTGTCCCAATCGAATTTTCCTTTGTCGCCTGGTGGACCGAATGCATGGACAAGCTGGATCTGGGGAACCGATTGTATCATAGCGGGGTGGATCCTCGATCAGCAGACCAACATCAAATTCAATCGAGCCTGTACCAAGTATGCCTTTGAGTGTCACCATCAGTCCTATCACATGCTCTCTCTTGCTCGCAGAGAGCACTGCAACCGCGTTTCTGATGTTTCGGATACAGGACCCCTGGAGCGTCGACGATTGCACCGTATCGTAGTTCTTGGTATTTGTGAATTGGCAAACCATCGCAGTGAACCCTACAGGCACATACACTGTCCTTGCACATGATCTACACCTGATTTAATGCATACATATTGCCAATAGACACAATCGCCCCCCTCGGAGTCACCGGTCCAAAATCAGAAACAGTCTGCGTATGCACACCAAGCTCGATTGGCAAAAACTTACCAACCAGGACCCAGTAGCCCACCCAAGTCGTTCGAACTTGGACCTGTCCGCTTGATTATAAGACAGCGAGCAAGCAAACATTTTCATTATCTCTTTCGTTGCTAGAATACACTTTGTTGTGCCTCAACTTACTAGGTTTTTCTGCTCTCCTCTAGAGGATGGTTTGTTCTGAAGCTGCACCTTGTAGTTTCTACCTTCTCCTTCCTGGCCAAAAGTAAGACATGAATACACAGTCTCTACCTCAGACATACACGCATCTTTGTATAGTGCTACACTTTAGCTCATTGGTGTGGGTTAGATTCCATGCTACATACGACAGCACAGCATACTTCTTCTAAGCCTCGATAATTGCCTCCATTGGACGCCGCCCACCCGGCTATTCTCATCGCCTGCTGAGTATCTGTAGCGGGAGCGCTTGAAAGGGTTTTTGTACTATGAGGACGGCAGATATCTCGAACGTCTGCATGCTATATTCTAAAGTTAGACTGACTGGTACCCTACGCGGCTTAACGTACGCCCTTTGTTTCTACTCACACAGCGCGCTGTATTATAAACAGAATAGTTCAACACTAGAATAAGTGCTGTAAATTTGGTCACAGACTAACGTATAGAGAGTACTGCGGTTCCGTTTCAAACACCTGCATGCTATATAAGAAAAACTAGTAAAGCAACAACAGAAATCGTACCACTTGAACAACTTTTCGAGAACGCTCGCAAATCGAATGTCCTTGTCTGAGCAAGTAGCTAGACACCTATGGTAGCCGCAATCTGACCAGCTTTTCGCCGCTACAGCATATCAGTTCTTTGCCGTTGTGAAGTAGACCCAATAAAGCCTGTCTAAGCCACAAAACACGCGATGAGTCGACTAAGGCTCAAATATCGTAGTAAGAACCATGCACGCCTTGTGTAGTCAGCACTCCATGCTTGCCTCAGCCCATTCCCTGTCTACTGGTGGTTCACATGCCCACGAATACTTCGACATCAAGGGTAAGTGTGCTGCCTACCTCCATCCAGTTTCTTCTAGGTAGATTCAATACCTGCAATGCCCTCACCTCCGCATCACAGGCAGGCAGACTCTCTCAGTACGTGATCTCTTTTCGTGGCCTTTCCGTGGTCGGGAAGCCCAAACCTCCACAAGATCCTACGCACATATTTTGCAGGGCGATTCCGATGTCTTTATCTGATTTGATACAATGTAGCAATGCTGAGGGCTACATTGTATGACTTTTCGTTCCATCGAATGTGAACGAGGCCACATCTCAACCCTCCTGAATATCCAGACACCACATCTGCCAGCCTTACTTTGTGGAAACAGGCAGGTTGTTTGATCAGATATTGTTGCATGTACATCGCTCAGCAAAGTCGTTTGGGTCTGCAGACTCTACTGGTAAGTCGCCTGTTCTACTGCTGTCTCCTTCGCCGATTCCATCCCTCATGGGAGAACCGTGGGTATGTTCTAAGCCAGCTATGTTATGATTGCAATTATGATGCCGAATATCCAATGGTGCTATCTTTTGGCTTAGCTTTGCTAGAAATCTGAACGACATGCGCGTGGTCCATGACTTCTCATGAGGATCATAAGGCATTGGACTTCTATTGTTAGCGATATGCGGTATGTCCCATCTACAGCGTCAAATTGAAATGCGCTTACTTGGTTCCTTTCTTCAAGTCCATTTTGAACTTACTATAGTATTGTCGACGTCGCTCCCAAAGTTCAGCCAGCTTGGTTCTTCTTTGCTCCAAAGTTGCGGGTGGAACTTTTGCGAGGTCTAGGATCTCGAATCCGTCCCCGTAGGAGCAAACAAAGATTTTCATAAAATATGGGTGGAATGCACAGATAAGAATTTCTTCGCAGCAACTGCTGGGCTCATTCCATGAGACCACCAGATCCATTTGACCACAGAGCTTGATCTTGATACTGTAATCAAAGCTTTTGCCAAGAAGAATCTCGGATACCCTAGATTGGGCTTGTTCGCTATGATCATCTTGCGTACTCGATCCTATCTGAATAACTCTTAGAGGCTGACAAATGTAGCCTTCAAATCCCGAAGGGCTGCCTGTTTGTTCGACAGCATTCTCTAGTTCCAAACTGAGGGCGACCATTCGTGCTGTACAAAAGCACAGCCCTCGAGAATTCCGTTGCAACACATGGTACATGAGTTTCTGGCTGGGAAGCTCGTAATCGACCTCGATCCCATGACCACCTGAGCATATCGAAAGAAGCGAATAGATTCGGTCCCGAGGTATACTGCACCGTTTGCCGTAGAAACGAGCCAAGAGACTTGTTATACTTTCAGCTGACGGTGCATGTTTTTCCACGGTGATCTCCTTGAATGGTGTGCCGCTCTCATAAGCTGAACCGTGGACGGGGGATCCTCTCAAGGCTTCGTCCAACTCCTCAAGTTGGACTGACTGATCATTTACGGCCAATGTTGTTTTCTTCGCGAGAACGACCTCCTGCGTGATCCAAGCACGGTTCCAATATTCCTTCCTCAAGATGCACTGCCGCAATATATGCTCGACCTGAAGCTCATGGTCGAGGCCATACGATCGCATAGTAGATACGAGACGTTGGAGACTTAGTGATGTTGACCTCAGGAAGTGATCAAGAGCAGGCTCTTTACCGAGCCATACGATCACCTCCTCAGCATTCGAGTAGATTTGACCCATCTTCTGCACCTGATGATTCCTTTCTGCCGCATTGGTTTGGTCGATACACAGGGCGTCAATCCAGAACCACCGTTTCAACTTCCGTCTCCTCCTCCTCCCATGTTTCCACATGTCGAGGAAGTCGAACAGGTTCTGGCGAACACATCTTATCTTTCCGTTGATCAAAACTGTGTGGGTTGCTTCATCATCTCCCCAGCGATAGGACAAACAAGTGTATTTGGTCGCGGCCTTCTTGTCATTATCCCAGTCCTCCGTGTGGGACATCGTCATACTAATCGGGTTTTCTGGCGGTCCGTCGTCGCAGAATTGGAGTAGACGAATGGTCACTTCGCCATGGTTTCGGCGCAAGGGCGTGTGCACAAATAGATTAGTTTCTTCGACTGCGGGATTTGCCGAAGAAGTTCTAATACGCTTCGTATGCCCATTTTCCGAGGAAATGCCCCTTTCTCTCTTCTTTGAGACAGCTTCTTCCATCGCAGAATTGTGCAAGGCCAGACAATTGCGCTAGAGATTCGGATCTCGGAAATTGTAGACAAGTAACGATGCTTCGGCCTCTAAATGTACTTCAGAGGTTGAGGGAAGCCTGTGATGGGTTCAAAAATTGAGAAAGAACGGACAAGAGGCATGGGAAGTAGGTGGCAGTGATAAGCGACCCTGCGAGGCTGAGCTCTCCGCCAATCCATCGCAGCTTACCCATGCCTCAGGCTGCAAGACTCGAGCTATTCAAGCACCATGGGCCATCGGTGATATACAATCCACTACCGAATGGTATTGAACACTGTACAATTGCGAAGCACGTTTCTGGGTTTTACATTTCTGTGGCGACATCTCGACGGTTATTCGAACGACAGTAACTCACCACGGATTTTTTTTTGGAGTCACATGCAGTGATAAGTAACGGGCAACAAGCGGCACCATACTGCTAGGTAGCGACTACACCAAGGACATGTTGCACAAACCCGCATCCAGCCTCACATGATCTGTGCTCCGTCTTGATTCCCGAGCTCTTCACAAACAAATAGCATCACACATCAACTTTACGAAAGCAGAACATTAGATAGAAGCGTCATGGCACGCGCAAGATTTCCTTAGAGACGTGCAAGAAGAAGAGCTCGCCCTTTACACTACACGCCTGCTCTATCCGTCACTCAGCCCGGCACTTGACTTGTGCTGCCCCACCACCTCACACCCAAGGTCTTCGACATTAACAGTACCCTTGGAATCGCTCCCGCTCTTTCGCCAGAATTCATGCCTCGCGGTACTCACAGAACTTCAGTGTTTCATCTCGGGCTTGTTTCCCCGTCACCAGTAAGCCCTCCTCACATTACTTCTCTGTAGCCTTCATCTGACAGGGTCCTGAAATAGCTGGATGCCCCCTCCACACACATCCCTACCTTCCATGCAGCACACATATCATCAGCTAGATTCCCTGATTTCAGATTCTACACATTCAGGCATCCACGCATCCAACACACCTCAGTATAAATCTCTCCAAATTAATCTACGATAGCCCTCTTTACGCGCAGCTCTATAAAGCCCTGCGCACTATATACATCTATGCATCGCATATCCCGTAGTATGCACAGAGCAGAAACAGATAAACACCATCGCTGCCCTCCCAGCCAATCTTTGCAGACAAACGCCCAGTAGCCCATGCCCCGTACCCTTGGGTAGACAGCAGCAATAACATAGAAAAAACACTCCGAGAGAAATGAGAGAGTTACATATGTAACGTAATGCAGAAAGATGCAGCAATGCCATGCCATGCCATGTCGTCCACACCAAACTCTTCTCCGCAAACCCACCCATCCACACAGACGGTACTTCAGCTCTTAACACCCAACCTCCTTTCTTCACCCCAGAACAATAGGTAGTTCGCAAACGCCTCCTTCTCGCGGTCTCCAAACTTCCTCTTCGTTCCCCTTCCCCGGAAACTCTCATACCTCCGCCGGTGCCTTTGCCCGGCGGGATGTCGGCTAGTCGTATGTACGGGCATTCCCTTCCTGCGCACGCCTTGTCGTCAGCGACCCATCTGCCCACGCGCGTCGCTCAAGCACGCATTGCATTGGCACAATGAAATGGACTAAACTGAAGCGAAGCACAGTACACGGCGCATAATCGCAGCAACAAACATGCATGCACAGTGAGGCACTCACGCATGGCTCACGAGCGCTTCCGCACCCTGCACGTTCCATCCAAAGTCGAGGATGAGGGTCCGCCCGTCTTGGCTCGTAGCCACGACACGGCGATAGTCGCTCTTGGCGCTGAGGATCCAGGAAGTGGTCCAGTTCTCGTAGGTTGCGAACACGGCGCCGGTGGAGTAGTCGGCAACACGGATGCTCTGATCGTAGCTGCCGCTCACGATTCTGCCATTGAACGCATCGAGGAAGAGGGAGCGAACGAGGCCACCATGCCGCTGGGATGTGTGCAGTGTGTTTCCAGTCTGGGCGTCGAACTTGTACACGACGTGGTCATTGCCACCGGCGAGGACATACTTGGCATCGTCGGAGAACTCGACGGCAGCGAGACCACGGTCTTCCGAGGGGAAGTCCTTGATGCAAACACCCGAGTCAAGGTTCCACAGCTTGGCTACACCGTCCCCGGAGGCTGAAACGAGCAGGTTGCCTCGGAGTTGCACGGCGTTCACGGGACCACGATGGCCTGTCAGCGTGCGGAGTTGCCTACCAGTTTGGCGATCCCAGACAATGATTGCAGAGTCCTTGGAACACGAGATGATGTGTTTGTCGTCCAGGCAAACATCGAGAACACCGGCTTGGTGACCACGCAACCTGTACATTGGAACGTAGTCTTTGCCGGTAATGTCCCAGACGATACATGTGTGATCCGATGATCCGGTGACCATGATAGTGTCGTCGTACTGCAGGCAGAGGATGGAAGCGTCGTGGTAGTCGGCAGGCACGTGGTACATATCGTTGCCTTTTTCGGTTCCATTGAGAGAGGGGTTGTTAACGACCTTAGCTCGGTGAGTGTCCATCGCAGGAGGTGTGTTGCTGACGGGACGATGAGTAGGACCGCCAATAACCTTGATGCACTCGTAGGTGTTCATGTCCCAGACGCGAATTGTACGGTCACGCGAGCCGGTGATGATTTTGGACTCGTCGAACTGGCAGCAGTATACGGAATCGGTGTGGCCATTTAGGTAGATCGCGTTCGGCGTGGCAGCTTTCCATCGTCTGTCGATTGTCTTTCGTGTTCTGTACATCTGCTTCCAATTCTGTGCTGGCGCATGCTTGCCATTCTTAGTGAACATGCCTACGCCCACGCCTCCCATTTGGATTGGTGTCGGTGTGACGTGTACGGTGGGCTCAAATCGGCGCAGGAAGACGTCTTTCCAGACATGCGGAGAGGTTGCCAGATTGTGCCAGTGTTTCGAAACTAGCTCTGCCTGGATAAGGGATGGGGCATCGAGGTTGGAAAGAATAAGGGTAGTGATTTCAGCGGGTAGGGCTTGTAGAGGGTCGACTGGTGGTACCATTAGCAAGCTAAACAAGTTTTGGTGAGAGCGAAAGGATTATATGAAGGCCGGGCGTTTTCAAGATATTTCTTTCCACGATCAGACTGGTGTAGCGAGCGGAAGTTACTTACCCATCTTCTTCTCCTGCAAGACGCTGTCGGCGCGCACGATGGGTGAGGAGCACATCATGCCTACTCCACTCTCGTTGTCATTGTCGATTTCCTCAATGCTGGACTGCGACATTCCATTTTCCAGAAACTTGCGTGTCTGCTCCTGCTCGCGCCGCAGCTGTGACAAGCGGGCATCGTTTGCCGCAGCGGCTGCCTGGCGCGCAGCTGACCCGGGCACAAGTAGAGGATAGTTGGACGGGATAGGCGGCGGCACAGGGTTGTACTTTGCGAATTCACCCGAGGGGCCCGACGCGGCTGGCCGGCGGCGGAGGCTCGAGAAGCGTTTGAGCATGGAAATCTTGGAATTCACGGGGGGCGTGGCTTGGTCGGATTGGGAAAGCGGGAGCCCCGAGTCGTGGTGCGGAAGGGGCAGCCGGAGCATGTCTGAGCTGTTCTTGCGGGCGGCGGCGGCAGACGAGGACGGTCCGGGCGCGTTGTCGAAAATGGCAGTCAGGGAGGGCCGCCGCGACGACGACGAGGACAGCTTGCGGCGGATCTGCTTAAAGCCGCCCTCGAACATGGACGTCGCGCGCGACAGCGACCGCGAGCCGGACGGGGCATGGTGCGAGTGGTACTGCTCGCTCATGCCCTCGTGGACGGCGCCCAGCGCGTTGGGGGCCTCGCGCGCGTCGCTGCCGTTGGTGCTGAAAGTCTGCGAGGCAGTCCGCTTCATGCTCGGCTCGAATGGCCGGGGCGGCGCGGCGCTGTCGTCGGCGGCAGACGAAGTCTTTGGGCGGTGCGTAATGGACGACCGATGATGCATCTGCGCAGCGGCGGAGCGGTACTGGGGAAAAGGCGGGTGGGCAGGCGTCGGCGGCCAGCAGGGCGTCTCGTTCGTTGCCGGCGAGCGCGCGTGGAGCAGGCGCTGGTGCAGTGCGGGTAGCAGCAGAAACGCTTCGGAGAGGCCGGCTCTGTACGCGGGAGCGAGCTGGAGCGGCGGATCGCAGGTTGCACGCCGGCTGCTCGACGATATTCTTGTACGACTGGGCGTCCGGGGCGGTTTGGGATGGGCGTAGGGAGCGTGGCGTCGCGGCGACAATGCGTAAAGTGCACGTAGAGGAGAAACACAGGGCTGCAGGGAACGACAATGGAAACGGCGGCAGTAGGGAGCGGACGTGAGAGAGCGGCGCACGCTTCGGTCTGAGAGGTGCCAGGAGGATCTGAGGGAGAGGCCGGGGGCGTGCACATGTTTTACCTTCCTTTATGCTGGGGCCGACCTGGGACCGCCGGGGACCGCGCCAGGAAAATTAACGGATGCTGCAGATCTCTCCACGGCGACCACCCGCCGCCGCCCTGGACACGGCAACGCACAGCAACACAACCTCCGCCGCTACTTACGGTGCGCCCGAGCACGCATAGACACGCCGCCGTTGCCATCGCGTGTCCTGCCATTGCCCTGCCGCGCCCAGCACTTGTGCGTGCCGTCGAGGCTGCCCTCGCCCGCGCTCACCGCCCCCGTCGCTCCAGTTGCCATGACGAAGACTTCGCCATCGCCGGCCATTCCGTCATGGTACCGCATCATCTACCTCTACATCGAGCCCATCTCGACCTTTGTCGGGGCCGTCTACGCCCACCACTTCCAGTCCACGTATTTGCAACTGCAGCACGCCGACTCCGCGCCCCTTGAGCCCCTCCCCCTGGGCACGTCCATCGTACTGACGCAGCTGGCCAACCTGTACCTGCTGCTCTGCATCAACGAGGCCCTGGTGCTGCGCGCTACCACGGATCTCAAGGTCTGGAAGACGTTTCTATTTGGCCTCCTTGTAGCTGATTTTGGCCACTTGTATTCCGTGCACCAGGTCGGCAGTTGGGTCTACTGGCGCTTCTGGGACTGGAACGCCATCGACATCGGTAACGTGCCCTTTGTGTACCTCCTAGCCCTCTCGCGGGTGCTCTTCATCTTCGAAGTGGGCTTCGGTGGAACGAGTGTGGACGGCAAAAAGAACGCATGAAAGCCGTCGAGTCGTACCCATGACCATGCTGAAACTCTAAAACTCTAAATAAACAAACAATCTTAGCATGAATCCCGTGTATACTGCACAATGCATCATGAACTCGTATTCTGTGACCGTCGGTCAGCTCCAACTCCCAACAGCGTACAAACGAAAACCCCGTCCTACCCTCCCCGACCATTACCCCAGACCTTCTCCACCGCCAGACCCACTCTCGAATCCGCACTCACCGCCAACTCCGCCGACCACCTAGTTGACTCGCATCTCGATCGAGTCGGATCCTCCCTTCCAGAACCCTTCCCTACCCGCCGCGTCGCCGCCGCGAACCCCGGAAGCGAAACTGCCCGGCGACGCACATGCACCGCCATCCCCATCAAGCCATCACCTAACATTCCGTCATCGCACTCCCGCGCGATACGATGCGGTGTGCACATTCCAACCTTACACCCTGCGCTCTGTTTTGCTGTGCTGCGCACACTCAGCATCGCAGCCAGTTCAGCCCTACCGCTTACCTCACCCCAGCGTCTCCCAAGCTCCCAAAATAACCCCTTAGCCTAGCACCCGCCGCGTCTCGTCTCGTCTCAACTCGCCTGCCTCACCCACTCGCCACATCTGCCCTGCATGCTGCAGCTGCGTCCGGCGCCCTCACCGCCCGCCTGCGCGCTCGCTAGACCTACCACATCCTCGCAGCCACCCACTCGGAGAATTTCCAGGCCTGGCACCATCGCTCGACTTTTTCGCTAGGCGTGCGCGCGCGCGGCGGGCGGCCATGTGGTATTTTTTTCCTTCTTCCCTGCTTGGAATGTTTCCTTACAACCTGTGCCTTTGCCGATGCAACGCATTTGCATGCGTTGGCAGCGCGAGAATACGCCGAGGCCGGAGCTGCCGCTTCAACGTCTACTGTAAAATGCAGGATAGAACTTCTGCCCGGACTGGACTAGGCCCGACGCTTGCTCTGCGGACAAAGAAAAAACATGTGAGCCCTGCCTGTCTCTCCGCCTCAACAATTCCGTGGTCTGCGTGGCGCGGGCAGACCCTTCGTTCGCGATGGGTGTTGAGGATGGTAATCATGCGGTCATCGACTGCCGGCTCCGAACCAGATCCAGATCCAGATCCAGATCCGGAGTTTTCGCGAGCGGGCGTTGGAGCGGAGTCGGGTTGGGTGTTTTGATGTTGCGTGACGTTCTCCTATCGGGTCGACCTTTGAAAGCACGGAGGGGTAAGCTGGCATCTGCTGGAGTCAAGAATACCTTTACAGCGACTTGGTGATGTTGGGGAAGAAGCTTTGAAGGGGGCACAGACGACTAATTTGAGATACTAACACTGCTTCTGCTATCTCCTTCTGCCTTTCCCTTCAAGCTCCATTGGCGATTACTCCCAAGTGTAGTAATATGCAGTGAGTTCAGAATTGCATATAATGCCAGAGTCATGGACTCACATCACTGCCCACATGCACCTGCACGTCATGCACTCGTACACATTGCTTCGAACATCATGTCATTTCGTCCATTCCACCCGTACAACTCCAGGAGTGTCCCTATCCACAACTAAATCAAAAAGCCACTCCACCTCGTCACCATCACCTAGACCCCAAATCCCTAGAGGATACCAGAAGATACAATCCAAATACTCAATAGATAAGAAATGCCACCCTTGAAAAAGGGGTGTTACGTGGGTATAATTAACCGCCTGCGTGACAAGTAGAATAGGTCCGCAATGATAGAAAATGAAGGAAAACGTGCAAAAATCAATCTTCGCTCCATACAAGCATCCGCATAGATGCGTAAAAGGCAAGCATTAGATAGACAACGCCCCTGCATATATAGCAAAGCTTCCGCGGGTCGTCATCACCCGGGTTTTCCGCGCCCACCGTCCTACGGCGGGGCTGTCCCAAAAGCGCCGTGCCGATAAGTAACCAAAAGCCGCTGATGCACTGAGAGAATCTCATAGGTGGTGGTACAGACGCAAAAGAAGATCGAAAACAACAACATGCGGTTAGACAGAGATGCCAGGCATCCCTCCCATGCTGTCCATAGCCTTGTCGATGCTGTCAAGGTCCATCATCACGCTGTCGGGGTAGAACAGCATCATGTCGTCGTTGTCCATTGCAGGCAACGTGACACCTAGTGCTTCAATGTCTTGGGAAAGCATCAAGTCAAGAGGGAGTGCGTCGCCGGTCATGTTCAACCAGGCTTCGGGCATATCGGCGTCCTTGATATCAATGTTGATCTGCAAGTTGTCGTTCTCGGAAATGTCCGATTGCCGCGTGGACGGAGTGTCCTTGGATGTAGAGTCCGGTGTATCCAGCGGTGAGCTAGGTCGGGATCGGAGCGCCCACGAATTATCCTCGTCCTTCACGTCCAATGTAGTAAGCGGCCCGTTCGTATCCAGGACAGCGTAGATGTCGTCGTACGAGAAATCGAACAGCGAGACGGGGACGAGCGGCGGCACTTCCTCCTCCGTTTCGACTTCGACTTTGGGCTGCGCTTCGGACTCCTTGTGTGGAGCCTTGTTGCTGGCTGGTGTTGGTTTGCCAGGAGCGCCGGTGCTTGGTGTCGCCACTTTGATGGAAGTTTGAGGCGTCTTGAGAAGGTTAGTCGAAGGTGAACCTTTGATACCTGTCTGCGTTGGAACCCGAGCCATGGGTGTAGCAGCAGCCTGGCCAATTGGAGTAGCAGCTGATGGCGGCATGCCGGGAGTGTGTCCGGCTTTGATGGGTTGCGGAGGACCGCGGGGCGCGGTAGATGCCGGCTTGCTGTTACGCGCAGCTGCAGCGGGATCCTGCTTGGGCTGACCAGTCTTCGGGTCGACGTCGACATACTCCGCCATGGCGTCCAAAGCGAACTGAACGGCATCGTCGATCTTGGAATGGATGTGGCTGACGTGTGTGTCCAACTCGGCTTGCGTGTCAAATCCACGCACAGCGTAATCACATTCTGAGAATCTGCACCTGAACGTCGGTTTCTGGGTGGCGGGCGGCGCCTGTCGTTTGATCTCGGGAGAGTTGCCTTTGCTAGAGCTGATGCGTGGTGACTGTTTCGACGCAGGAGTTGATGTCTGGCTGTTGGGATCCATCTTCTGTCTCTTCTTCTCGGGCAAGGACAAGTGTGTGAGTTGCTTCGCGCCCTCGAAGTACTTGGGAGCACCTGAAGGTGAAGCACCACCAAGCTGGAAGGGCGGCTGACTCGCTGTCGGTGCTGGGGGAGCTTTCTGCTGGCGCTGCTGCTGCTCCACGATCTTGAGGTTGGCCGCGTTAAGCTGCGGTGCAGGCGGTTGAGGCTGCTGCTGGTTTGGCTGCCCAGGTTTGGCTTGGGCCTGCTGACTTGCCATTCTGGACATGACTTTACCCACGAAGGAGAGAATGTGGCGGATGTTCATGTGGAATTCCGATTCAGTCAAGGTCAATTCAGGATGTAGTGTCCCATCTCCTGGGTTCAACTGCCTCAAGAGCAGTATCCGGGCCTTGATCACAGTCCGTGCAAGGTTCTCAGACTCGGGCGATTCGTACGAAATAAGGAAAATGCGCAAGGCCTGCTCCACCTTCTTGATGTGGGGCAGCTTCTCCTTGATGGTTTGCTGTAGGGTGGCTCGTACATCGGGGGATATGGGCTGCACCTGTGCCTTTGGGAGTTTACTCTCTTCCTGCTGAATCATCATCTTGAACTTCCTCTCCCTGTCAGGCTCTCTGAGCTTAGCAGCAAGCTCTTCTTGGCTCGGCAGACGCGGTGGTTGTGCCTGCTTGTTCGAAGCATCCTGGGCTTTCATGAGGTTGGCACGCATTTGCGCCTGTTGCCTCACGTCCATCTTCGACATCTGCTCCTGGGTCAAGCCTGCCCCTTGTTGTGAACCGGAGGGAACCATGGCTGGCGCTTGCGGTGCCGCATTAGCAGGCTGGGCTCCAGTGCCAGCATCAGCACCATCTTCGTTAGGTCGTTTAATGCCCTTGTTCATATTGCCCTGAGTATTTGGCAGCGTCGGCTGAGCTGGTTGGCCTGCTGGTTTCGCGGGCGGTGCCGCTTGCCCTGCTTGGGCTTGCACCGAGGGCGGTCGCGTTGCCTGTGCCCCCTGTCCGACCATCGGCGCCTGGGGCTGACCCTGATTCCGTTGTTGGGTTTGCTGCAGAGTGAGCATTGACGCTTGCTGCTGCCTCCGTGCATTCAATTTTTGTTGCATGATGAAGTTGCGAAGCTGGTCATCGGTAGCGTTGGCTTGCTGTGGTGGTAGTCGCTGTCGCCATGCTTGCATTTCCTGCGGAGTGACCTGGACAGGGCCGAGGTTGGGCATGTTCGGTTGCTGCTGTGGTGTCCGGTTAGGAACAGCGCCAGGCGTCATCTGAGCGGGAGGCGCGATGGGTCCCATGCCGTTCGGGGGCTGCTGCGGACGCTGTCCAGGCATGCCACCTTGCTGTGATTGTTTCATCAAGTCCTGGAAGTGCAGAACCTGGAGCAGCAACAGCTTCTGACTATCAACACCAGGAGTAAGATTCGGATTTTGCTGTGTCCAATTCTTAAGCTGAGCCCATGTCTTGACGTCGGGAGGTAGTATCTGCCGAATCTGAGCATTAAGAGCACTGGGCGGGAAGATTCGGTTGTCAGTCATAGAAATGATCCCTGGGTTTTGTTGCAGCGTCTGCTGAGCATGGAGGAGGCGGGCTTGGTGTGGGAGTTGTCCAGGACGTTGACCTATGGGCATCTGTTGTCCACCCATAGCGCCTGGCATGGGTTGTCCTAAGCCCCCGGGACGCATGTTGGCTATGTTCTGTGCGTTCATGAGGCCATTCGCCATGCCTCCCATCGGCATATTCTGTCCGGGGTTCATCATCAGGTTAGGCTGACCGTTCGGAGGCTGACCTCCAGGGAATGCTCCGTTCATCATGCTTCGTTGCCGGGCACTTGCCATGTACTGTCCCAAAATGTGGCGGAACTGTGGCTCCGGCACCTTCAGCAATTGTTGCTTCACCATAGGGTCCAGTTCGGCAGGAATCAATTGCATCCGGCTCTGCTCAGTCAGAGGCTGACCTTGCACGCCAGCAGCCTGCTGAGCTCGCTGCTGAGCCTCTCGCATTAGCTGAGTAATCTGCGATGGATCAACCTGGGCTTGAGCTTGCGGTGTCATCTGAGGGACGTGAGCCTGAGGACGCTGTTGAGGCGTAGAAGGGTTTGGCTGGCCGGGCGGCACCATAGGACGGTTCAGCATCGACATTGCGTTGGGGTTAGGAGTACCTAGCGGACGGTTAAGGCCCCCTGGCTGGCCGTGGAGATTAGGAGTGCCCATCTGCTGCTGCAGGCTTTGCTGCTGCATCTGCTGTCGAACCCGCGCATCGGCCTGGGCCTGAGCAGCCTGTCGTTGCATGTTCATGTTGGCGTTGGCATTCTGGAAGGCGGCTGCTTGCGCAGCTTGGCGAGAGGCCATGGCAGCATTCTGTGGCTGGCCAGGTGGGAAGTTGCCCATCTGCGCGGCGACGTTGCTGTTGTTGTTGCTGGCCGGAACAACTTGTTGCCCTTGATCCTGCACGCGCATTGCTTCGCTTTGTTGATTTGCCAGGGCGTTGAAGTCGAACTGCTGACCGGGCTGGCGCTGTCCCGCGTTCATCTGCTGGTTCTGCATTTGCCCTTGCTGCATCTGATTGGGCTGACCCTGGTTCTGTAGAGCCAGCAGCAGGTCGCGGGAGATCTTGCCGTTCTTCAGCATGTTCTCGGCTTGCTGTCTGAATCTGAACAGGAGAGGGTTGATGCCTCGGTTTAGAAGTTGCTGCTTCTTGTCTGCAGGCCAATTGTTGACTTCATTCTGAAACTGCTCTCGGATCTCGGGCCGTGCTTGGTCCATCAAACGCTGAGTTAGGCGCCCTATGATGATGTTCTGTTGTTGCGGTGCCTGCTGGCCTTGCTGCATATTTTGCTGAGGGTTGTTAGGCGCTTGTGTGGGGTTGCCCATGTTTCCACCCTGCGCACCCATCTGAGACTGGCTCTGCGACATTGGAATGGTAGACGCTTGCATCTGCTGACGGAGCTGCGGGTTCGGGAACCCTTGTCCGACCTGCTGTGAGGTGTTCTGGCCGGGGTTCTGAGGGTTTGCCTGGCCCATCATGCCCATCTGCGCAGCATTCATCTGGTTCATCTGGTTCATCTGACTCATGGGGTTGTTGTTGCTTGGGTTCAAGCCCTGTAGCTGCTGCTGGCGGAGGCTCTGCATGGTGAAGAGCTTTTGTCGCAGGGTGGTGTTGTACTGTTCTTTTGTTTGCGACTGCATGAAGGCCGCAGTCTCAAACTGCAACGACTGGCGCAGCACATCGTTCTCGTGGGTCTCGGGTTTAAGCAGTCGGTACGATGTGAAGAACTGCAGGGCGAGGCCTCCACGTTCCTCGGGAGTGATCTGTTGCTGCCAACCGGGCGGCGCTTTCTCTTGCGCCTGGCGGTAGTGCTTGAGCAAGACCTGCTGTATGTTCTGCTGGCGGTTGGCCTGGCTCGCCTGCATCATGTTGGGGAAGTTTGGGTTGTTCATCGTGCAGCAAGAGGCCGCCTACGGGGCAGCACAACGGCAAGCGACGCTGAGGGAGCGGCGCAAGACCACGTTTGGCGTCGTAGCACTCTGCGGGCATGCAGAGGCTGTGTGCAGTCGAGGCAGTCGGGCTGCGAAGCGAAGATTAGCGAGAGGGTAGCGGAAGCGCCGTCTCAGGCGTGGGTGAGGATGGCGGCGAAGAGTGACGAGCTCGTCGTGAGCGGCGGGCGACGGCGAGAGCAACGCTCTGAACAGGTCGGCGGCTACTGTGCCCGCAGCATCCGCGTGGGAAGGGTGAGGTGAGTGAGGCGTGAGGCGTGGGTGCGACGGCGAGGGCTCCAGGGTGCGAGCGAATGGTCGGTGCCGATCTCTCAGGCGGAGAGGGCGGTATGGCGCAGAGTGCAGGCCCAAAACGGCGGGAGAAGCCTCAGGACGGGCGTTTGCGTTTCGGCTCCTGGAGTCTTCGCGGCGAGCGCAGTGCTGGTCGCAGTGCGTCGCTTTTGCGGAGCCTGGGGGTGTCAGTGAAGAGAGTCGGGGGACGCTGAGGCCGCTGGGCTGGAGTTGTGGCAGATGGCATGGGTGGGCCGGCGGCGGCTGCAAGACGTCCAAGTGCGAGCGCAAGTGGGCCAGCAAGGACAAGGGCCAGGGTCACCGAGCAGACCCCGGCAGAGCGTCAGAAGCACGCCAACAAATGCCCGCCCGCTGCTGGAGCGTCTGGCAGGCTGCGCGGCTGGCTTCACGGCGCTGGACTTCGCTCTGCACACTGCAGACCAGCGATGGCGGCGTCTCTCCTGCGCGAGCCGGCCGCGCTGCACGGCCTGGGCTCTGCGGCAGGCGCGAGCACGACGACGGTTGCGCCCGCCGCGTCAAGGCAAGTCAGGTGCGGTGCAGGTGCAGGCGGCCAGAGTGGAGCCTTCCGGCAGCTTGTCAGAACCCTCGCCCGCCGCCTACCATGGACCAGCAGCGCCCACGACGCCGACGTCGCGCTGTGCCCAAGCACGCTGGCCCGTCTCTCGCGCAGTGCGCCGTGCCCACGACGCCGAGCCTGCTGCATGCCTCTGCAGCGCCCGCGTCTCGTCGGCCCAGGTGTGCGCGTCGCAGCGGGGCCACTGACGGTTTCACCTTTACTCGGACGCCGGCTTGTCTGCTCGAGAATGCCATGGATGGCTGCAAAGGCACCAACGCACGCCACCGTAAACAGCCAGCAGCGCAGCCAAACACTGCTCCATCTGCCCCAGGTCGCCGTCGCCCGCACACGCCATCAAGCCCACGCCTATTGGCGCTAGCCCATCTGCCTGCCGTGCCCTGCGCCTGATCTCATGATGCGCTGCTCACGTTCTACAGAACCACGGCTCGTCCAAGCCTTTGGCCAGCCGCGTTGCCCTCGCAGAAATCGCTGCCCTGCGCGGACGCTGTGGCTGCGTCTGCCGACGCCCTTGACAAAGGCGGCGTCATCCGCCAGCAAGCCCAGCCCAACTCCGATGCCAATCGCTGCCGCAGCCCGCGATCGCAGAGCACCACCTGGAGTCCTGCTCATCGCCTGCATCAATGGCAAGTGCCCGCCATCTTCCATCCGACGGTTCGCCGTCGACGCTGCCCAGCGCTGCTTCCTCCCCTTGCGCGCGTCTTCGTCCAAACAGCTGCACAGGCCATGGTGTTGACGACCGTTCAGACTAGTCCACACCAGCTGAAAGCGGTCAAGTCGAGAGCGGGAGCTCACCAACGGCGGGCACTACGCATGGAACGAACGCGACCATGCCTGCGCCCACCGCGCTGCCCTTTTCTTTTGCCTTCTGCTGTTGCCTGGACACCCGCGATTTGAGCTGCGAACACTCGCAGGCTCTCTCCGCAACTCATGCCCTCTGCTCTCGCTGGGCCCCCGGCGATCATCATCGAGCAGCTTACCCGTGTCCCCTGCATCGATCTACCTTAGCGCGGCTCCTGCGCCCGCTCTCGTAAACTTCGATGGTGCGCCGCTTCCGTCGCCCACGCAAAGCCTCAGGCGGCCTTCATTACTTCCTAATAATGCACGCTCCTTGCTTCAGAAATTTTACGTCGATAGATTGAAGATCGCAACACAGTCGTAGGCGCCCGGATGCTATTGCCCCGTACATACATGCGAAACCCATCACATCATCTTCGGGTCCAGTCGCCGCTCTTCATGCACCGGGGCTCTCAAACATTCTTGCGCAATGCGTGATCTGCGGACGCGTCTAGAAACACCATCTATGGGTGACGCGAGGCACAATTCGATACGCGGTTCTAGATGAAGTTAATACAAACATCTCAGCGTCCCCTTTCTTGTGGCAAGCTTCACCCGATGCAGCAATACAAAGATCGTATTATTGAATCTCGTCTTGGGCTGGAGGGCCCCGAGATTGTTCAGGGTCCATACGGCGGTGATCCCTGTCCGTCGCCGAGGTGGGCTAGCGCCATCACACTTCACATCTATCCACACCAGGCCGCAGGACGCGATATGTGGTAGTATTTGATGTATGCCAAGGCGCTCCTACGCCACATGAGTCGCCGTAGATCTTGTCGTTCCACCTTTGTTGCGTGTCCAGAGTCTTGTGGCGAGCGGTCTGGACGCGGGCGAACCTTATCCTCTGATGGTTGGTTGCGGATCCCCAAAGGTCAGTGCTAAAATATGTGCTAACCGCTTCGAGACACCTCGAAGTTCGAACACTGAGGCTGAGGAGACTTTGGAGGCTAAGCACGCGCAGTCGTCTACACCAGCACCACAAAGGCTTCGTTCTCTGTCTGGATTTAAGCCTTGCGATTTCGCAGATAGCTGGGACGATGGATTCCCTCTGCCGAGCTGGTCTTGATACTGCTTTAGAAACACTGATCAGCGCTTCGAGTACCTATCCCCCACCGGAACGATTCCAGCTAACGGCCACGTCCTTCTTGGTGAACAATTTTACTATGTCATCCGCATGTTGCTAGCATTCCACAACCCTGATTTGGAGAGGCAGAGGTGACGATCTTCTTGACAACAGGGGCTTTTGCGCCACCATCCGAAAGCCCAAGATGAACCACACAGAGCTCAACGCTCGTGTGGCCTGGCAGAGTGGCCCCAAGAAACGTGGAGGATTCAGCATACTCTGGACGGGTTTGGCCCTCATCATCACGTGTACTTGGACAACGCTTCACCTCAACGTCCCGGGACTGTACGACACCTCGAAAACACAACTTTTACGGAAAGTCAAATGGACGTTCATCATGGTGATCTTCCCCGAGTTCGTGTTGGCACGCGCGATTGTCGAGCTCAAGACTGCGCTCGATGACGACGTCAAGATGGCCGGTCAGGCGGAGCAAATGCGCCGCTTAGGATGGTGTGTGCATCCGAGCAGGTCAGCGCTGTGGATACAGCGGGTTCTCAAGAAACTTAATTTTCCGTTGTCTGTAGCTCAAGACTCTGACGTGCGAGATGAAGAGGATGCGAGGTCATGTCGTGCTCCAGTCATGAGCGAGGGCTCTGCAATGAATGGCGATCCTACTACGAGTGACAGGACTCCTGGAACCGACAATGATATCACGGACGATGACCTGCCTACGCACGATAACGTCCCTAGAACCTGTTATCGTTCCGTTGAGAACTTACCAGCGCGGAAACAAAATTTCTCATTTTCGGATCAAACGGACGCTGAAGCAGCTTTCCATCCAGCTCGCAGAAACTGCAATGATCACAAGTGCTATTTGTGGACCCTTACCCACACCGTTTTCGCTAATATGGGCGGTTTGATGTTACCCTTACACGACGGATGTGAAATCACATACACGGGACGCTTTCTAACTTCGGGCACACCAGGTGTTGCAGGCATACCAAGGGATAATCATTTCACTGAAGATGACATCGTTGACAAGAGTAATGGAGATGGTTTTGTCCGCGGCATATGGCTATTGCAGATCTTGCGGTTACTCCTGGACTTGATCGCGCGGGCATACCAGAAGTATCCGATGACGCCACTAGAGATCATCACTGCTTCTTTTGCCGCGTTGTCTTTTACAACAGTCATTGTTCAGTCCAAGAAGCCGCTGGATGTGCGAAAGCCACTGTACGTGCGACTCAGGGATGGTCCACACTACTCTTACCAACATACCCTGGACGACCTAAGAAGTTTCACCAAGAACTTCCTTCGGCGAGAAATCGATACGTCCTATCACTCCAAACCCAAACAAATTTTGAATGACCAGTATCGCAGTGATACAAAGACGGAAGCTTTACTGTTGTCTATGCTTACGGGATCGACAATACTATTCAGTACCATACATTGCGGCGCGTGGGCTTATGAATTCCCATCTCTCGTGGGAAAATGAATATGGAGAGGTGGAGCACTCACAGGCGTGGTGCTTCCAATGCTAGTGCTCGCTTTCACAATGCTGCTGAACCCAATATCTCAAAAGCTGGACGCAGAGCTGAAAGGCCTCTCAAACGCGCGACGCACGCTGCGGAAGGCAATGAAATGGAGTCGTTTCCATGGAGAAAGCGCACAAGAACGTACCGTCTACAAGCAAGAAGACGAAGAGTACTCGCAACAGATCAACGAGATCCTCCCACACTACAGAATGGTGGTTCGGCTCTTCGACGTTATGTAGTACGGGCTATTGGCGCTGCATTTTCTTTCGAGGATAGCATTAATTGTCATCGTTCTGGCGAGTTTCCGATCTGCACCGCAAGGGATATATTTTGATACATGGGCTTCGTTCATTCCTACTGTACAATGATCTTGAGTGCCCGTTAGACAATTGATTTCTGTCAACTGCGTTCTCTTCAGTCATTCTTGCGTCATGCCTACCCTCCGAACATCCCCTATTACCTAAAATGCTTGGGCGCATTAACAAATGAGTAATAACCAGAGCTCTACCATCTGCAGTCGCCGGCGCGGACTTCGGCCACCCAATCGGGGTTCTCGCGCATCATGGTTTGTGGTCCTTCTCAACACCACACTGATGAATCAGCCGTGCCCGCGTACATACGAGTGCCCGGTGACGTATCGCCTTCGCGCATACGTGTAATCCCAAAGCTCGGAAAGCGCTCAGCCTTGCTGGAATGCGGAGAAACAGAGGTTACACTGGGTAGCGAACACGGCATGCCCGAGCCCACACGGTCGAAATTCCGCCAATGCAATTCCGCTGTGAGCGCCAGCATGGCCTTGTCTAACATAGTTCCGAAAATGCTGAGCAAGTTTTCACATGCCTTGGCTTCTCTGGGTAAGTATCAACCAGGCTTAGAGCTCGATGGAACTAACAGTGATGCAGGCTGCCACCGGTTCTGCACCACAACGATGGGAGGCTGGTAATGGAGAGGCTGTGGAATGAGATGCTTGCGGAGCTAGAGTTCGCAGGGGTGAATCAGAGCTTGAATTCGATGAAGGGGTGATATGAAGCCGAATTCTAATCGAATGGAGTCTCCCTCGCTTTTCCCCCTTCCAATCTGATAGCCATATACTCAGCCGCTATCGCTCAGCTTCAAAGACCGGCATGCTTGCTTGCTGACGCCGAAGTCAAGATGTCTGTGTGTCTAGAGTTAAAGTGACTATAAATACAGTACAAAGTAGTGGTACTGGCAGCGAGTATTCAGACTGAGCTTCAATTCTTCAACTAACAGCTTCGCTAACTATATCAATGATTAATTCCTCTTTGGACTTGCTGTCAATCTCCCCAATCTTCTTTCTCAACGGAATTCTCGATTGTCCAAAATGTACGTCAAGCCTCCGCTGTGGTTGTGGAACAGCGCTCAGCCTATGGCCAGGTAGCGGCGTTCCATACGCTGTGTTACTTCTATGTTCTCTATAGTCGAGCCAGTTATGCAATCGATAGCTCTCCCGGTCCGTTAAAAGCGCCTACTCAGTGTGAGGGGCCTGTCTGGATCAGCTGGCTAATGGAAGTCTCTTCCACGATGGCTGACTCTCTAAGCGCTCCGTAAAAGTCATTTCGAAGGTGAAGTGGCCGCAGGGAAATGTCCACGAGACTATTGAAAATCTGCAGTGCATCTGTACAGATGCATAAAGTAATAGTGCTGTAGAAAAAGCTGTGGTCCTTGGATGCTGCACGATATCTGGCAGACAAAGTACGTAGAGGCTTTCTCTGCGAGCGCACAGCAAGGCCTGGAGAAGGCGAATTGGTCAAATGAATATGGTCATTCAGATCTGTGGCCGTTTTGTAATAAAGAAGTACGCCAATGAGCATTCACAGGCCTTCCCATCCTGGCATAGGCGTAACCGGAAAGCTGTCTAGAGCCGAGCTATTGAAACCGTAGAATAGATCATCCAGAGACATCATGCCGTCGCCTTGTGGTTGAATCTGGCCTGGAGCACCCCAGCTCGCCGTGTAGTCGTAAGGCATAGCGCTGGTGGCGTTCTGCTGGTTGGTAGATGTCATATCTGGAGCAATAGTAGAGCTTTGGAGCTGGCTAGTATCCAGAGGACCAGGTAATGCCCCTCGATTCGCTTGCTGGCTCTCAGCTTCCCGAACGAAGCTCTGTATGATGCTGTCGATGTCGAGGCCTTGAAGGCCAGGCTCTTGACTTAGAGATCCATTATCAGTTGTGGCTGGATGTCCAATTTGTTCTCCAGTCTCGGCGTTCTTGTCGATGTGAATATCGCTGGTGTTCGGTACCGTCACGCCCAGTCTCTTCATCAGGTTCTGCACCAGAGCATTGGCGCGCCGTACTGCTGAGTTGGTATGCTGGTTTTCATTGAAAACTGCCAGACATGTGCCAAGACTATTGTGTGCGTCTGATCCAGCAGTCCTCTTCGCGGCGATGCGCACGTAGATGGTTGCAGCCATGTATGTTGCGTACGAAATAAGATAGGGAGCTCTTCTTACACTGAAAGCTTTATCATAAGCGCGTACTAGTTGCACAATGGCATTGGCAGCTGTTGCGCAGGCCTTGAGGGACTTTGCAGAGATGTTGCGGTACGCGTGATAATGGTGACCATCGGTGATGAAAGGATGGTGCAACAGGATCACTAAGACGTGATACAAGGCTCTGTCGGTAATCAGATAGAGCTCATAAGAGAGCGTGTCGACTACTTACTGCAAGTTCAACACGTGTGGGGGAGGGGTCATCGCTGCTTTTTGCGAAGTGGCAGAAAGGTGACCAGGCAGAGCCTCGTGCCATTTTGCCAACCTTGCATTGATTGTTTCTAGCTTGGCTGAGAGCTCTCCTGGGGTATTTTGGAAACTCCTCTCTGTGTAGATGGTGCTCAATATATCACTTAGAATCACGGACAACTCGCAAAGATATCGGAAAGTTGATACGGTATATGACGGAGAACCTGGATAGTCCACGCTCGGTTGGGTGGAGTACGCCAGAGGTGTCCAGGGCTCGAATTCTTCGAACGTGTCTAGGAACTTTATGGGTACAAGAGTGTCTGATTCCTTGATAGTGACTGGTCGTCCCTGGTAGAGGCTCTGAATCTTGTCGACCACTTTTCGAAAGTTAGTCTCTAGTCATGTTTCATAGACAATCGACCTACCGAAGGCAGCCCAAAAGACGCGCCTTCGAATCTCGGAATCCTCGTCCGAGAACTTGCGATGGCTTGTGAGCTTTGGCGACTCAACATGCATGCCTAGATCGACGATCATGCGGAAAGCTAGACCAGCATACAGCCATGCGGCACTGCGCTCGTCACCCAGCGCGAATAGAGAATTGGTCATTACCAACAAGGCCTGGATAGTTGTAATGTCACTCTTGTCAAGCGCTCCGCCTAAGAGCTCCCGGACCCTTTCGCGGAACCGCCAACCCGCGGTACGGACATTGTCGCGTTCTCGTCTCAACTCGTGCCGTGGACTGAACTTTGCTGCACTAAAGTATATGGCATTCAGAAGCAGCTTCGAAAAGTATGGACCGTTGCAAGCCATATCCCGCATGAACGCCGGGCGATACGTGATGAGGAACGAATGATGTTGTCTGTTCCAATGGAGAGACAGCAAGTGAAGGCCAAGTTCTGGCTCCACGCCGTCAAAGTCCAGCTTGCCCAGACGAGCATTGACTTGCTCAAACTGGCGCTGGCGTGCTGCCTCTGCAACAAGACCTTTTTCAGCCCACTCTTCTGACTGCTTCGATATAGGAGAGTTCCCTTCGGACAATGTAGTTGCTTCCGGAGTTGTTGCCGCGGGAGAGGTGTACTCGACCGGCTCCTCCCGACGAACAGTTCGTACGCGCACGCTACTATCGATTGGTGCATAATGACACGTCTTACCGTGCATCTTGCAGTTCATGCATGTCGGCCTTTCTGTGCTGCATTTGATCTGTGGCAGTTAGGCTGGGATCTCAAAGTCACGTGCAAACAGGCTGCCCGCGGGCCGGGTTTTGCGAACCTTTCGTCGGCGACAGAATGTACAGGCCTCAGGCGCCCGCTTCCATTTACGTCCTGCCGTCGGACGCACGCCCTGGCGACTTTCCATGATGCACCGATCTTCTTGGAGATGGATGCAGATGGTTGTGGAGTAGTCTGGGGTTGAGGGTGATGGGCAGGCAGGAATTGCTGGGAGCGCTTGCCACGGGAAGCCGGCCTAGCCGCGGGAGCGAGCGAATCTGACCCCAGCCTCAACATCAACTCCGTTAACCATCTCAACCTCACGTCGCAAAGTCCGTATCTCACTTTAAAGGGGTCGCTGCCATGATGTTCTCCGTATACCAGAAAAAAAATTCACCTTGCATCCAACATGGATATGGCTTCACCCACTATTATCCAGCTGCCCTTCTCTACCTTCATCAGCTTCAGCTCCACCCGGTCGCAAAAGTCTTTCCGACATGATGCTGCTACCACGAAAGCGAAGAAAACCTCTGCCGGTGTCACAATGGCTTCGGCTGCAATTGCCGGGGCTGTGGAGTCTGCTGTAACCTATCCGTTCGAATTCGCCAAAACCCGCGTGCAATTACACACTGCTCCAACCAGCCGCAAAAACCCATTCTCAGTCATTGCGAGCGTCGCGAGAAACGAAGGCTTTAGCGCTCTCTACACTGGTTCATCTTGTATGGTCCTTGGGACTGCATTCAAAACCAGCGTTCGCATCCTAACCTTCTATCGTCTTCGCAATTATCTCTCTGACGAGAAGGGTACTTTGTCACCAGCACGGGGCATACTAGCCGGAGTCCTAGCTGGGACAGCGGAGAGCATCATCGCTGTCACACCGACCGAACGTATGAAAACGTTACTCATCGAGGATGCGAGAAATTCGAAGAAGCTGTACCGGTCGGAATTTCAGGCCTTCAAGTTTCTACTCCGAACGCACGGTCTTTCAAGTCTTTATCATGGCATGGTCTCCACGACTCTCAAACAAGCTTCAACATCTGGCATCAAAATGGGATTCTATAACGTAGAGAAGGAGATAGCTCGCCGAAGCGGCTTGCAACAGAGTAGTCCTCTGACCTTTGCGATGGGGGCCTTGGCAGGTACTGTTACAGTGTACCTGACGCAGCCTTTTGATACAATCAAGACAAGGGCGCAGAGTGCGAGTGGCAGTGATATGCGAGAAGCATGTCGGAGAATCTTGTCTGAGCATGGCGTGCGAGAATTTTGGAGCGGAAGCACGTCGCGTTTAGGCAGACTGGTAGTCAGTACAGGGATAGTCTACACAGTGTTTGAGAAGACGTCCAGTCTACTGACGATGGGTCTGAATCAAAATAAAAACGAATCAAACTAAGGCTGCGCTCTTCTACATACGTGAAGTGAGGTTAAGACTGGGCACTCGCCTGTAGAGTGTGACAAAGCAACTTGGTTGGTTTCCATTGCATTCATTAGGCTATGGCCTGGGAAGATCTAGTATTACTCGACTTTGGGAGAAGTATCTGGACCACTTGGATGTAAAACGTACAGCGATAAACTGGCGAACATTGTAGTTTCGGTGTCGCGGTACACGACTAGCTGCATCGTTTCTTGATCTTGCCCTCGACAAGACTTTGTACAAACGCTGCTACACGCTCACAGTCGCAGTGTACACGCACGTCAACGTTTTTTGCGCTGACGATTATCTCCGAGGCGATCATCAAACGTCTCACACTGTTCGTGAACATCTGAATTAGCTCATGTGCGGATTGAGTACAACCCTCGGAGCATCCGTCAAAGCCTGTGACGCGAAGGCTGATCTTGAGCTCGTCGAGCGACTGGAAGTGATTTTGCCAATCTGTAGTGCTGGTGCCCAAGCTACAGCTCTCTCCGCAGGCACAGTGACGAGTATAACCGCCCCCATTCATATCGAAGCCGAGATCGTCTTTATCGTCTCTCTTATCGTGCTCGTCCTGAAATGCTGAAACATGCGGTCGCGGACGGAAGAGACGGCACCAATCGGTGGTCTGACAACGAAGCATCTCGAGCCCATCATGTCCCCAATCCAATGTGAGTTCGACTTGAAGTTTGCGAATGAAGTGGCCATTCCGTGCCGCTGGGTACACAAAAATTGGGCGATCCTCCTCCAAAGGGTTTATCCAGATTGGTGCGACAACGAATGTGTTGCTCTTGTACCAGACGTCTCTGTACAGCGTTCGAAACTCTTTATTTACAAGGCGAAATCTGAGCGTTTCGAGGTGATATCTGCTACCTGTCGTAGCTGGATGGCGCACAGGGTCGCCCATAACCTGCAGCGCGATGCATACTTAGTGATTGGCTCCCTAGAGCAGGTATCGCGAGTGGCATTGTGTCTGTCTACTTACAATTCCCAGGAATGAAAAGACATGTAGCTTAAGTTCGGTGGGCAGCTTGTTCCAATGACACCTCTGCGCTCGCTTGTCCGCACCTGAATTGAGGCTTAGCTCAAGAAGGCTTTGATCAATCTCCTCCAGGCCCGTTTCTATTCTTTTTGGCCAAGTGATGCTCTGGCGTGCGATCGTGCTGGACACGTTTCCGATCTTTCTTTTCTTCTTCGACGAGAGCGAAAGCTTTGCTCTAGGTGTACGCGCCGGATCTTTACTCAACGCTGTGCCCATGGCGAGCATGGAGCTGAGTAAAGCCTAGCCTACCTGAAGCTCGAAGTACAGAGGGAGTGTCCCGAATCCAAGCGGAGTTATTCAGCGTTCTGTGTGTTGGCATGGTAAGGCTACACTTTGGAAAGTAGCGGAAGGCGCTAGTTTAAACGCTAATCTATTTATGTATTAGCAGTGAGAGCGAAGTGTAACCACCGCAACAAGTCCAATGTTAAAACAATCAAGAGAATACCATGCCGGTGCATCATGACAAGCAGCTTTTCCATATCAGCTTGAAGAATAGCGCTCTCCAACCCTGAATACGACAAGATTCACACGCGATTCTTGTCTCCAGGGCGTGGAATCTTATACTGAAAGTGTAGGGTACGTAGGGTACGCCACCTCGATCCAAGGTTTTTCGGGGCACGTACAATCAATTCCAGGAAATCATCTGCAGGGAAATTCCAACTCTACCTTAAAACGAAAGTACATTCAATCTGCAGAGAGGCAGAACATTAGTTCGTGCCAGCATTTGAAGTCTCTCACAAAATCGAAAACAGGGTATCTGCAGATAGACCCTTCTTGCTCTCACTCTACGGAAGGCACAGCTTTAAGTTGGCTTCTAATTATCGTGGCCGGCCGCCGATGCCCTCTTTAGTCAATGCTGTCTTGCAAAATCATGCTCTGTTTCTTTTGTCTGGGCAGATGCAAGACAAGTGACACCAAACTCGGTCTGACGATTAGATACTCATATTTGCTCACTGGACTGTGTGCTACGAGTACTTAATATCAATTCCCCAAGGTAAATCATCACGGCTGCCACTTTATGCTTGAACATACGTGGGCTCACTGCAAAAGACCTTCATTGTCATGGCTGCCAACCTGGAGTAGAGTGTGCGCCAAATATCTGTCCTGAAATTCCAAGATTCACTTCAGCAGAAGTTCGGCTCATGGTAAAATAAGTCTCATAAGCTTCTAGGGTGGGGCTTGCGGATATCGTATGACTCCTGCGTGTCGCTCTACTACGTACCCCCATGATGATAACAAAATGTTCTTCGGTCTCGACAACGAACACAGTCCGGAGGATGTAGTATATATCATGTTGATCATAACTTTGAGGTTCTGGCCAATCAAGGCGTTCACCATTATGTCGGATCTCGCTCTTCGTTGAGAATAAATACGACGATCGAAGCGTTTTTTGCATATATCCATTTGGCTCCTTGAAGATCTTCACTTATTTCCACACGCGTAACGGTGAACAAAGGATATTTGGGACGCTTTGATGATACTGAACCTTGCGGCATCACGCGAATAGCCCTTCGCTGATACTAGGTTCCGACCGTCTGGGCAGCATTGTAGAGAGAATAATCTTCCATCCAGTTTTGGGCCTATTCTCGTCGAAAAGCTGTTTCAGACATATCTTGCAGTGTTCCACATAATATCACGATGTTCATTTGACCACATTCAAAGCAAAGAATATAACGCAGGAACATTCGAAGCATTTACTTCTTCCAACATCCGGATTTCATAGAGCAAAGGCTCGGTGACTGCTTTTTCTACGCTATACCATCTCGGCTTTTTAAACAAGATCGACATTGACACATGCTCATAGATGAGAGAAAAATGACGAGACCGCAATATTTGAACCGATGTTTCGCATGAGATGTCCTAAACAAGTGAGCGTTGGCGATAACCTATTCGGCGGCAGTTCTGTTGGAGTTTTATCGATTGAGTTCTTAAAGGATATATAAACCGATTAGTGTGATCGATACAGACAAAAATTATGAAGAGTAATTTTGATATACCGAGGTTCCAATAGGTGTGCACAATAGCTCAGTGTGTGTTTTAGAGCTCCAGTGGGCTTGCGTCGGCTATCGCGCATTAGGAGATCTAATTGCGTAAGCGGTGCATTTTTCCAGGCAGTCATTTCATATACCCCTCTGGTCGTACGTCAGATCTAGTCGGACCCGATTTGACAATTCTAAGAGTTCGGATCACGTGGTTGCCGATCTCAAGCTCCTCAGTTCAGCCTGGCTTACTGGACTGGAGTTCGTGCGACTACGGGGTCCACGAAACAGCCTGAAACACGGTCTGATTGAAGGTAAACAAATAATCCTTCCTTTTGGGCAGCATGTATGCTTCAGCCTCCTGCATGTCATGTTATGATGTCTGCACCATAGTTCAACATGCATGTGGAGACTTTATTGGTCTAGCCTTGCGTGTCTCCACCAGTACCCGTGGACATATATAAGCAGATTAATTACATCATGCACAGAACTCAGCCTCTTCGACTTGTGGAAATTCTCTAACATCGGCATGAGGGTGCGCCTATTGAGTCCCTCGTCGCTCGGAGTTTCGTTTCCGGATCGAGAAGATCAAAGCTTGGTAAGTTGCTCTTCTGAACTAAACTTGAGGTATGAACTGTTGTGAATGTCGCTGCCTCGGAAAGCTTCACGATTGGGTGAGATGTTGATCTGCAAGCCAATCGCAAATTGATTATATTTGGTCGCACGACCTTAGCAACAATCCCGTGAAAAGGCTATGCGTAGCTTCGGTGAGAAATACTTGAATGACCTTGCTGGAGGACCTGAGTGAGAGATCGACATTCACCGGGTATCACGGCCCGGACTCAAGGACATGGGTCGCGATTTTTGGAGGAATAAATGAATAGGTCACTCAGTAAAGGGCATTGATCTTCTGCTACTTTCTTTGAATATGTTCCATACCATGCCTTGCTGTGAGACATGGACCCCAACACTATCATAGTCTCTTATTGGGGTCTGGAAGAGCCAGTCACAACAGAGCATAAGCACAAGATCGACGATTCCAGAGACAGCAAGGTAGTGCTGAAGGGCATGAATGAAGGTGGAGAAGCTGCAGGTCGCCAGAAACAACGAAGGGTGAGCTGATTAGGGCCTCCAAGTGCACGTCAAGAGATGATCAGTAGACATATAAAGCATCGTCCGTTGCCATCAAAAACCTTTCATCGCAATCACTCTCACCCCTTCACTCTGATCATCAATTCCAAAAAGCAACCTATTGTCCATACTTTGAATTTGTTGAAAAATTGTTATGATGTAATATACCCATTATGACAGAGGGAAAAGAGCCGTGACTAATAGATACTCTCCTAGGAAGCTCACACTTGTAGCTCTCATCTTCGCCACCCTGGGCGCTGCTGCTCCAGCTGTCCCCGAGTACTTCCAGCTTGAGAAGCGCGTATGCCAATCGTATCTGCAGCAACGTATACCAGACTGACCATATTTGTAGTGCCAAGGCAACGGCGACTATTGTGATAATGCTGCTATCAGGTGCTGTGCTGGCGTCTGGTGTTAGTGCCACTTCTTCCGACAAAACGATCAGCTTGCTAAGAAAACAAATATAGGCTGCCCGTACGGAGGCGCAGGGATCCATCACTGTGCTGTAGACAAGGTCGACGGATGCTTCTAAGTATATGTTTGTCCAAAGGGTGCTGTGGTAAACAGTACACAGCTATGGAGCGGCGTTGCAATGGAATAGTCATGACGGGCAACCTAGACGATTCGCATCGAAGAGCTTGCTTCCCGAACATCTTTATGATGCTATTCCAGGTTTCTTGTTGAATTTAGTCCGTAGTCACTCGTTTAGGGGAAAACAGCCTTGAGACAAATAAATGCTTAAGATGCCTTTTGGGCAGCAAGGTACTTATGTTAGCCAACTGTGAGACGTGCCCGCCAAAATCACAGCTGCTCATTTTGGTGCTGACGTGATGTGTAATTCAGCAGCACTTCGCAGGAGATGAGTAGGTTCCTCGAGGAGCATGGCCCAGAGACGCCAGAGGTCGTTGGCACATGTCGTTGCGCTCAAATCGACCTACCTAACCACCAGCCTTGCCACTTGCAAGTCCTCCTTCATCGACACCGGCAGAAGTGTTCGACTATGCACAAATAATGCGGGGAATCACAAAACTCTGCGCTGGTAATTGGATGCGTTGCACGCATACGATCAATTTCAATCAGATGAATCAGAGAATAAATGTTTATCTCGAATACTCGGCCCTTTCCATTGATTCCATATAATGAACATGGAAGGCATAATTCGACTAAGGGTGGTAAGGTTGGGAGCGGCGCGTTGCTAGCAAGTGAGTACACAACAGGAGCAACTTGGCGAGTGGTGAACTTTATAGAGAGCTATCCGAAGGGGCTGCAGGATAAAGTGAATAGTCACTAGGCGGCCATGCGTTTCGAGGAAACGGCGTGAGAACATGATCTGGCACCTTTGCCTGAAAATTAGTCGGTCAAACACTGGACGGATTGTGCTAGATCAATGTATTTGGTCGGAGATATTGCCTATCTTCATATATACCGATATTCCTAAATAATTATGCTTATCTTTGGCCGTCAACAGCAAGATTCTAGCATTCTGTAATAGCAGTAATGCCACGCCCTCAAAATCTCAATTCTACCAAACCGATTAATTTAGGTGAACTTGGAAGCTATCAGACTGCTTAACTTCCCAAAGCATCCGCATTCGCACTTGAGGGTTGGATTTTCTGAGTCCACGTCGACGATGACCCGTTCAGCCTGAATTTCTGCATGTGATTCCTGCGAACATTTCTCGAGTTCGTTCAAGTGAGAGCTGGGAGCGAATCTAGCACCACTATGGGTAGGAACTACACGGCTGTTTGCGAAGCTCCGATTCAAGCAAGAGGTCGGGACTTGGTCTAGGTGAATTTTGAGAACGATTTTGAAGATCCTCAAGATCATGAACTGCAACTGCCATAGAGTGGGGTCTGGCTCTCTGGATGACAGATTACGGTCTCAGGACGGAGAAGTGGGTTGATGAAGATGATTGTGGTTCGGCGGACAGAACAGATATAATTGAGTTCAGAAATTGATATTGGACCGGGAAAATCTGGATCGAAGCGGGCTTAGCTGTACTTTCAAAGGCAAGTCAAGGCACCGTATCTGTTGCGCCATGCGCCGGCCTGGTGTCCGGTATTTTTTTTTTAGAGGAAATTCATGTCAATCGTAAAGTTACTGGCGGGCTCACCAGCGATCTGGAAGACGTTCTGCTCGTGGTAAGATTTGACCACAAGCTAAACCCAAGGGGAGCCAAATGCTCGCATCGCCTTAACTGTTCTCGGTTTGAAATACATGGCATGAAGGCGACCTATGATCGGGATGTTTGCCTTCACAAATTCCTCTATGATCATCTTCAAGAGCTCAGTTGGCAGGTCGCCGCCCTTGATCGGATTGGTACTGTCGGTGGGTGCGTTGTTTGCAACTGCGGCGCAATATTGCTCGCAGATATCTCAATATAATTTAACGACTTAATTAAAGAGATTAGGCTCTTGTCTTAATGATTGGGGGAGATATATCCATGGAAGACACAATCGCAATAAGCTTGGGATGCTTCAGAAGCTGCTGTGTTGTGGTGCAAGCCAATCTTGTCAGATCTATCTCGTAGGTTTCACAGTCTTTTGGTAAGTACCATAGTCTCTAAATACCATTTACTACGTGTCAGTCTGATTTGCTTTGAAGTTGTCCCTGCAGGAGCCGCAATTTGATCTACGAATGTTGGCATAACATTATGATGACATAAACCCTAGTCCCGCAGTCGATTGTCTCGAACTTATAATTCTCTTTTGGCAAGTCGTAGGTGTGAATTAGTCAGTTTTACCCTTCGCAAATGGAACAGGTGTGATCAAGCGAAGGAGCTGCAGTGGGTACTGTGATGTACCACGCTACCTGACAAGCACGGCATGCGTGGATGGAAGTTTGGTGTATTGAAATTCATTCTAAAGATAGTACACAGGTGGTACACATAGAAGCGTGCGGCTTTTCTTTTCTATAATGGTGCCTGTGCTTGGCGATATCTTACTTGAAATGGTGAATGCCTGATCTGGTTAGCATCACGCTGATTCAGAAAGAGTTTAGCGAGAAAACGTCCTCCAGCCAAAACATCTGAACCTTCCTCACGAGGTATCTATTCATCAATTGTTACTGCGCGTCATCGCTTCTTATCTCCAGAGAAGTACCTAATGGTTTGGTGGGTTCTTGCAGCCGTCGGGGCCGGATTCGCGTGGTCTGTGAAAGACACGCCACCGCAACCTGCACCAAGCATCGCCTTACGAAAACCCGGGCTATGGGCTCTCGGCGCTACCACAACAGCTTACGTCGGGCTGGCTGCGATGCAGGGATTGCACGACCGTAGTACTGATGGTACCTACTCTCGCAATTTGAAGAAGAAGAAGGAGGAGTTCGTGCTGAACAGGTCGTCGGTATTGGTGTCCCACAGGGGTTTGTCACTGACCGTGGTTGGCCTCAACCTTGCTGTCTTCTTGTACGGTAGAGAGAACCCACGCAACTACTGGAAATTGTTAGATAAGCCCGGCTGCACTTGGACTCTCTTGACGACCGCATTTTGCCACAAGGATTTGCAACATCTTTCCGCCAATATGTTTTCACTGGTTCCTGAGATACCGCAGGTGCTCCAAGTATGCGGCCAAAGTCCCTACCAATTCGTTGCCTTCTATATTTCGGCCGCGATAATCAGCTCGTACGCGCAGCGTGCTGTGTCGTATACCAGATGGACGCAACAGTGGTCTTCTCGATTCTTCATCGGCGAGCCGATCAGCATGGGCGCTAGCGGTGTTGCAATGGCGATATTCGCGGCGTCTTGCTTCGCAGAGCCTCCCTGGGCCTCGCCATCGTTCCTTCTATCTGCATTGACTTTGGTACGGCAGGTCACTCTTGATTTTGGGGGACTGATCCATAATAAGGGAAATATTGGATACGCCGTAAGTTTGCCATAAACGTCGCGGTATTTGCTACAGCTAATCGATTCACAAGGCGCACTTAGCTGGTGCCGTTTTTGGGGCCATGTACGCATACTTTAATGCCGACCGCTACCTCTGGTCCAACCTGGTCCACCTATTCAGCGTTTATCTTCCTAAGTCTCCTCCACCAACTCCTCGTCACAAAGACCTCGATTTAGATGAAATCGTTCGTCGACTGAACGAATCAGCCTGAAAAAATGGCCCAAGTCTATAACAGCCAATACTCACACTGTCTTATCCCCGTATACTCGACTCAGACCTTTCTACCTCTCACCATCGCAGCCTGGAGCACCTCTCCGATCATCTGGGGACATTTTTCAGAGCATCTCCGGCCATAACAACCCTGCTGCGCCTTTTGCAATCCTGTTTTGCTCGACCATCGTCCCATATGTCCAGAACAGATCACGTGCCAAACTTGAACGTCGACCTCCTCAAGGTTTGGGAACGCAGTCTCCATCAATTCCAGCATTCGGATGAATGCCGCGCGTCCCTGGTCGCAGCATGCACCCAGGAAATGAATGTTATTCACGGCATGACGACGATCCAGTTGGTCTTTGGCCAAGCTGAAGTCGAAATGGATGTTGAGACGGCGGAGCTGGGTGAATGAAGCCTGCCACGCGATGCGGCGAGCGCTTTCTGCTTCGAGGACAGCGGTATTAGGGCCAAGAGCGCGTCTGAGCCGCATATTGAATTGGTATCGGAAAAGTGGGGCCCAAGAGTCCGAATTCTGAAGCACAAGCATGGAGCATATGAATTCGGGAAAGAACCAAAGCGTCAGATTCATAACATCCTGACAGAAGCGGGCTTTTGGGTGCTTGAGAACCCTGGTGTGGATATACGGCCTGGAAAGTCCACAGAGGATGTTGTTAGAGGCAATGCCGTGACTGAGGGAAAACCGATTCTGCTTCTGCTAGAGGTAGCGTGCTTGTGAAGACATCCGCTTGTTTACAAGGAAGAGCGCAAGCAAGTCTTTCGAAATCCTGGGATGCGAGATAATCGAGATGGGACACTCAAAGTTGACAAGAGGAGCAAGGATATCTTGCTGGATCTCGCTGGGCAGAGTGCACCATGATACTAACGGACGTCCGTCGGAGTGGGTCCTAGATGTGAGTATGGGGACAGCCGGGTCTCCTGCGTGGAAAGTAGATGGAGGTGGCGATGGTGGCGCCATAGTGGCGGAACAGCTGGCGGCAGCCGGTAAGGAGAAGGGTGCCGATGGGAATGGGGGATTTGTCTTACCTATGACGCTGGGTGGGGGTAGCACTTGAGAGCTTTCGCGGTGTCAGTAGCTAGGGTGCTTGGGGTCGCGTGCTCAAACTCAAGATGTATTGGTCATGATGGGGCGGCGCAGCGGGGGGAGTTTTCTTACCTCTATCCGGCGGCGAGCTGAAGCAGAGCTTTGTGCGTCGAGAAGCTGACAACGAGCGACGTGCGGATTCAAAACAACATCGGCAGCGATAGTCTTGGGCAAACGAACGATATCTCGTTCACTTGAGAAGTCACGGCTTGCTGGGTGCGTTGGCTGGTCAACACCTGATCTACGAGACAATGGCAAACGCTTGCCCGTTCGTTCACAAATACTGACACGAGAAGTAAACTCTTAATGTACACCTCATCCTGCAATGACTCACTCTATAATACCTCTATAAAACGATGAGCTTATACTCCATCGTGAATGTCCATAAACAAGAGGGGCCATATGTCCCGCTCAAAAGCATGCACAACACATCGGCTAATCACCCCACCACCAACTTCAAGAAGCGACGCAGCATACTCAACGATTCCCTTATTGGGTTCACACTCCTTTCCCTGCTCCGACATAGTTCACTCTAAGAAGTACTTCCTCACAACCTCAATCGTGCAGTTCGAAGGTTGGTTCATAAGACGGTGCTATATTCAATGTCAGCCAAATCCCCTCAAGTCCACAAACCATCGACGAATGCAATACTCACACCATGGCTCTTGTGCGTCAACAACACGCTCTTGTGAAACCCCGCTGCAACCTTTCATGCCTTGTTAATCAGCGTGACCGGATCATACGCACTATTCACAAACAGAATCTGAAAGCTAGTATTAGCATTCGTCAAAGTCCACTCGGACTGCTCCGCCGCTTTATACGGTACCTGCGCGCACGGCCAGAACTGCGGGCCGAAGAAGTCCGCAAAAGAGCCCTGCTTCGACTGCGCGGCAATGACAGCGTACATGTCTTCAGGGTTTCCCGCGCGGAAGAGTGAGTCCGATCAGGCGATGCCATGGAGGCTGTTGGCGTCGAGGTTGCACGGGAGCTCGGTCAGAGTGGTGGGCGTGGTTGCGATTTCGGACACGGCAATAATGTAGGACTTCCAATGACTGGCCAGGAGCGTCGTGAGGACGGGTAGGAGGTATATCAACGCCTGTCTAGGCGGTAGAGGAAGCGAGAGATGTTGTACTTTGCTTCCTGGAGGAGGGAAGGCCGCCGTGGCGAAGCCAGTAGTAGTCCCGACCCGGGAGATAGTTCTCAGGGAGAACGATAGGGTCTTCTTCGAGCTTGCAGAATAACAGCTGCAAGCTCGGGCATGATGTCTTGGACGGTAGTGCCTGACCTGATAAAATCCGCGATGCCGGGAGAGAGGGAGGGGCCTGTGGAGATGCAGTTCAGGAGCCAGTTCTCGAAGGCCTGTTCTGAGACCAAGGTGGCGGTTAGCCAGGAGCCGCCGTAGTATCGTTCGCTCGCACATTGCTATCGAGCAGCATGCGGTCGACACGGTCGGGGAATATGGCGGCAAAGGTTTGGCCGAGAACAATGCTGTACGAGCGTCCCCAGAAGCGGTGCTTGTCGTCCTCGGCCAGCGCGTCGATGAGGCGGACCATGTCGCGGACGACGAATGGCGTGTCCAGGAAGCGACCAACATCGACGTTACCTTCGGTATTCTTGCATGAGCTGGTGAAGCACTTTCTGTCGTCTCGGGCTTTTTTCTTGAGAACCTTCCACTTGGCGGCGGAAGCAAAGGTGGCGTCGTTGTTCCTGATCGGGTGCGCGTTGGAGGTGAAGCTAGTTGTCACATTCGAGCCTTTCGTTGGGTCGAACGCGAAACGAATAGTTCGTCCAGTGCCACTGTTATATCGTTATTTCAGCATAGCGATCCGGGGTTGCGTTGCCTACCGTGTGTCAAACCCGACAACATTGCACTGTCCGTTGAACACCTCATCGCGGTAGAGATGACCTGTCGTAGCTACTTGTTCAATACCAGAGCCTCCCGGTCCCCCTGGGCTGAAGATGACAGTGCCCTTGAATGGTTCCTTGGTTGCTGCGTGTCTGATCAATTGTAGTTCCAGAGTGCTGTTGATGGAAGACAAAACCGTGTAGTGAAGCGGTACTTCTAGGGTTGCATAGTCGATTGGGCCTGTAATTCTGTCGACGGTGATCTTCGGAAAGTCAAGATCGCATGGGGCCCATGCTAATGTCCGGTCGGATGGGTTGGTTGAATCATACGGTAAAGCTGAAGCTGGACCCAAGGAGATGGCCAAGGCTGCGGTTCATTTCAAGGATGTTGATATCATGATTCGAGGAGTTGTTGGTTTAAGCACCAAACAACGGACGATGGTACGATCGTGCACCTCTTACACACAATGTACATCGCAATGGGTGATGGTTTCCGTGGCATTGCCCGTGCGTATGGGACGCTATTGCTGTGCCTTGGTAGTAAGCACAGACAATATGCCAACGGTGGTGTTCACAAGGTACCACATGAGCCTCTCTGTGTGTCGATCGTTCTCCTAATTGGGTGAGAACCATGTTCAGATATCCTATTGGAGGCTCACGGGGCGACAAGGCTAAGTTTAACCCGCAATGACGGGCTATGTCGATCATTGGGACTAAATGTTGGACGTTCTACCCTCTACACTAGGAAATGCTTATGGCTAAGAATCTCGAGAGGCTAAGTTGCCTGAACTTTTCAACATGCGATTTCGCTCTATCTAACTAGAGATGCACATCATCATAGAAACTGCTGTTTGTGCTTTCATCTCCGGGACATCACCTTTCGTGTACGCATTTTGGGTTGCTGGAACATGAAAATGAGGCTCGAGATTGCTTTGCAGATTAAAACCAATACAGGGTCGATCTGGGCGCCTATTTCGTCACGGAAACAACATGAGTTATTGCGATGTTAAGAGGCAATGCAATGCAAGGTAGCAGGAGCATTCCACTTCGGAAAGTGGCGCTTTTGGGGAAAACTGACTCACGATAGGATTGAAACAGCGTCAAGAATGCAGCGGTGCTTTAATTCCAGTTGTCCGGTAAAAGCACTTCCATTCTTTCATGTGAGTCAGTTCTGAGTTTTGGCGGAACACTGTCGTGGAGTAGAGATGTATGTTGTAGGGGTAGGAATGGTACCCACCAAAGAGGCAAGCCGAGGCAAAGCGGCTCTGGCGGGGTACTCATCCCACTTCAGGCCTCGTTTGCAAGCAACACAGCACTACGGCGAGCTCCGACGCCCAAATCCGGGCCGTATCGCGTGAGGTACGTCTACACAGTAACCCAGTGGTCCTCGATCCTACCGCTACAGTTACGCCCCAGAAACTTACTACTCACGACACAATGGCTCAGACGGACGGCCTCACGCCTGAACAGCTCGCGTTCTTCAATGACAATGGCTACCTACTCGTCCCCGACGCGCTGTCTCAGGACACAGTCAAGGAGCTGCTACAGGACACGAACAAGATGCTGGATGAGTTCTCGCTCGACGACCACCCCATGACGAAGTTCGCGACCGGGGGCGACGACGGCGACGGACACGTGGGCGACGCCTATTTCCTCGAGTCTGGGGACAAGGTGCGGTTCTTCTTTGAAGAGGGTATGCATGTATCTGAGCCGGTTCTACGTGCGCAAGTCTAAGCAGATGTCTAGAGGCCTTCGACAAGTCCGGCAACCTCACCAAGCCGAAACAGCGCGCTATCAACAAGATCGGCCACTACCTGCATGAGCTCTCGCCTTCGTTCCGAAAGATCTCGCTCTCTTCCCACAATGCCGCCATCGCGCGATCCCTCGGCTTCCGCGACCCTCGATGCCTGCAGTCGATGGTGATTTGCAAACAACCTCAAATCGGGGCCGAAGTCCGCCCACACCAAGACAGCACTTTCCTGTACACTGATCCGCCAAGCGCGGTCGGCTGGTGGTATGCCCTAGAAGATGCGACGGCAGAGAACGGCTGTCTGAGTTTTGCAGCTGGCAGCCACAAGCGGGCACCTGTGGCCAAGCGATTTGTACGGACAGGGAAGGACGACGGCGCCGAAGGCACAGGCTTCATCGATAACGAGGGCGCACAATTTCCCAAGGCGCTGCAGCGGGAGCAGAACGGTGCGACGAACGGCGAGTCGAAGGAGGAGCAGTATACGATGGGCGAGGTCAAGGCGGGCACGCTGGTGCTGATACACGGCAATATCCTGCATCGAAGTGAAAAGAACAGCAGCGACAAGAGCCGCTTCATATATACGTTCCACGTCATCGAGGGTGACCAGACGTATGACAAGAAGAACTGGCTGCAGCCGCCAGAGAAGGGGTTCTCAAAGCTGGCACCGTAGTGCTAAGAGATGAGAATCGCATTACTGTCAAATCTATGACTTGGCTTGCACACATAATGCTATACCGGCGAGCACGAAGCCCATGCCTATCCACGTATCTGCGCTCTGTTAGCTTATGTCGCACGGTACCGCGTCCCTACTTAAACGATACTTGATTGATGTATAGCGTCCCACTATCAACTCGGGGTGGCCGAACGTACCTCTGCTTATGATCTTCTTCTCGGCCCACCACTCTCCCAATACTGTAAACAAAAACGCCAACGAGTTCGTGATTGGAACGGTAAGGCTCAATTCTATCGTCATCAGTACCATCCCACACACCTCCTCTCGTCTCGAGTCTTACCAGCTTGCCCAATCAATATGAAGAACCAAATGCTCCCCGTAACGTTAAGCAAAAATGGCACCGCATACGCCGGCCGACTAAGCGTGCCGATGACCGCATACCATATCCCCAGAGCCTTCCGCTTCAGCCACGAATTGTTCGGGTCTGTAAGCGATGGTCGCGCTGGGGGCGTATAGTTTAAGGCTGCACGGCGCATAAAGGGTGTCGTAAGACCCCAGCATGCGCCAACCATCAGAAAACCCAGAATCCAGCGCCAGACAGATGGCTGTGGGGCAGGCGTGGTGGGCGTGTCGCGATCCATCGTGCTGGTCTGCGGGTGCTAAGCTCTGCAAGGTACGATGCGGTGCTATCAAAAACGTGAAAAGCAAGAAAAGGATGGGCGGTGCGACCCAGAATGTTGCGCGCGGGGGCTGCTGTGCGTCGTGAACCTCGTGTTGTCGATGCCGCCCACCAAACGTATGGGAGACGTGATGCCTTCGTTCGGAGCGGTCGCGAAGATACGGAGCAGGCTAGGTCTGTGCGCTGAACACCTTCATTCATCACCAACCTCTCCTCTCCATGGCCATGACCGTCATATCATCCGTCGAACCACATCCGGGAACACAATCCTGAGGGTCATGCGCTAGTTTCAACAAGTGCTGCTACCCAATGACGCACAGAACCGTGATACTCTGCTTCGACAGCTGAACATTGACCCTGAGGGAGCTAGTCTTACCCACAGTAGCAGAGCCTTTCATCCATTACCATGGACCTCCCATCGCCAGATTGTGTCCTATCGACTGCCCCTCTGATTACATTGCGTTGAGTCATGGCTCAACCTTCCATCCTCTCGACTCGAAGTATTGCTCGCCAGTCGCTTGGGCTTCCGACTGTTTGCGGCCTGCCATCAGTTCATTCCACCCAGCTGGGACAGCAGCGGCCGAAGATTCGCCAGCCACCGCGACACTCGGCATTCGATAGCGGTACGCATTGTCAAGAGATATTCCAAGAGGAAATCATGTGCCTGAATGCCAGCGCACCGTATGAGACTCACCTCAGAGACTGCAGATGTCTGTCACTGAAGCCCCCAGTACGACACGCGCCTATCATACGCGCACCAAGCGATCAGAACTCTTCCTAGCCAAAGGATTATCCTGCAGTGTGCCCCGCGGTTGCTGAGTGACAAGCGGCTGGGACTTGGAATGCAACGTGGAGACCCGCAAAGTGGCTGTTTGCGGCATGCAACCCACATCGCCACACCTGCAGTATTCCCAGCCTCCTGCAGGTCTAGCCGACCGTTTGACTTGCAGCAGACTAATGCAAAGTAGCCAAACGGCAATACTATCACGGGTTATCGGTTCATGTCTACACTCATTCCACACTCATTCGCTAAGTATAGCACGGTGCATTCCAGGAACCGATGAGGCTGGCAAGAAACCCATCGCACGACCATGCAGCGATATATATCGAGTATAGGTTTGTTCGCCTATTTGTTTACCATGTTTGCTTTTCGTACCATTGGCGCGTTCGTCCCAGTTATTGCTGCATCCCTCTGCAAGGTACAATAGCCACTTTTACACGCTCTATTTCGCGCCCCCCCGTCGCGCAGAACTTGCTTCGCGTCCCACTCCCAGCAACCTGGTATTCCCAGCACACGTGAAAGTCAGCACCTCCATGACCTCCATCTTCGCGCCATCCAGCTTCCCAATGCGGACAAACATCGACAAAGAGATCGAGGCTATCGACCTAGATCAATTATTTGACCAAACCGTTGAGACAGGCTTGTTTCAGCAGTATACCGATGCTACCACGGGCCCTTCCAGCTCCGAGGATCTTTCGTATCTCTTTGAGGAGCCTTCCTCGAACGGGAGTAACCCGTGCGACACGACAGCCTTGCCCAATTGGGGCACGTCGAACGAGGGCGATGCTTGGCACAAGGCTATCCACCGACTGGGGGAACAAAACGTAGCCTCGCCCCTCATTGACGACAGATTCTCCTCCGTATACCCTCAGAGCGACGGCAAGGCCAGCCTGAGCGATCCACTGTTGGGCAATTTCGAGGAACTGCTCATCTTGGACGATTTCGATTCACGACCTGCCTCTCAGCCTTCCACACCCAAAGCGCAGGTTGAGAAGCCTACCCGGAAGGCTAGGTCTAGTCCGGACCGGTCAATCCGCCACGGAGTTCACAAGGTCTCTCACAAAAAGTCTGCGAGTGCGGGCAACATCGTCAAGATGATGCGTCCTTCGACTTACCGCGCTGGCCTCCAGGACATCTGGACACGCAAATTGGACAACGGCGCCGAGACCTTCAACCTCCATATGCCACCACATAACATACACTCGCCGCCTCCGACCGGCAAGCTTGTTCCAGACGAGCACTCCAACAACTACTTCTCTCGTGAACCACAGCCTTACACCATTGCCGTGTCTCCGTTAGCGGGCGAGTCTGGGTCTTCACCAGGTATTCACTCTGCAAACTACCAGCTCACACCTCAGTCATCACCAGCGGTCGATCAAAATGGCATGTCCAACGCATTCCAGTTCTCCAACGATGGGATGAATGGCGCGTACATCACCAATGCGGCTCTCTCAGCCTTGCAGACCCCGCCCCCATCTAATCGGATGCCCAGTTCAGCGTGGGGCTCCGACACATCACCCAACGTCGACTTCGGCTCCTTCTCGTCATCACCTGATTTTCACTCCACCACAAAAACCACCGGGTGGTGGAACAGCCCCAACTCACATCCCAACTCCATACCCGTCACAGGAACCTCCACACCATCCACATACCAAGGCTCACAGTCACGGTCCGCCAGCAAAAACATGGGCTTCAGCTCCTCCTCCAGCTCGGTAGCCGGCCTAGGCATCTCCTGCGACAGCGCCAGCTTCGGCGCGTACGGCCCCGACCTCAACGCCAGTCAAAACGGCATGTCGGCGCAGTCCTTCGACATGCCACCCTACACCGCCGTCTACCCCACCACCCCCGGCATCCCCATCGGCCACGGACCCGCGAATCCGCCCTCACGCTCACCCTCTCTCAGCCCCCAGCCGCGCTTCACGCGCCGCCGGCACTCGTCGCACCCGCATAACCGCGCTGCCTCCCGCCGCAAGTCGTCAGGATCCAGCCAGCACTCTGCGCACGCCGGGCAGCGGGGTGTCTCGCTGGGTGGCGGGTTCGTCAACTTCACGCCGGACGACAGCAGGAAGATACTAACCGGTGTCGCACCGAGCGGGAGTTCGAAGACGAAGGCTCGGCGGGAGAAGGAGGCGGCTGAGAAGAGAAGGAAGCTGAGCCAGGCGGCGGTCAAGGCGGTTATGGAGGCGGGCGGAGATTTGTGGAGGCTCGAGAAGGAGGGGCTACTTGCGCTTGAGGGTTAGAGTTGCGGTGCTACTCCCCCCGGTCCTGGGGGTTGAGGCGGCGCTGTTGGACTCGCCTGATGGGTGCGTGGCTGGCCTTCGTTTCCGAGCGGATGGGCACTGGAGTAGGTGGAAGGAAAAGGCTTTCTTGTATGGTAGACTTCGCGCACGTACAGCGCTTGGGCGGTTTCTGTGGTGTTGTGGGTGGGAGCGCCGAAGAACGGCTGCGGTTTGCACGTATTTCGTTATGGTTGCTGTGCTGGGGTGTAATGCGTCTATAGCGCGACGAATAAATACTGCTTCCCTCTACTGCCGACATGCATCTCGTCTCCGTCTGTGTTACCTTCCTCCGGATTGGCTTGGCTGCATAATCCATTCAACCATGCCAACCGACACGTAGGCCAGCACATCACTCGCCTCTCCCCCTCCGCTCGACTTCGCCAAACGGAGTGCAAACGGGGCTGCACTACAAGACAGCATGGCACCGCTCATGGGATATTATTCCCACCCACGCCCAGATACCCTCCGAAGCCCCTATCGTGACCACACGTGGACCAAATCACAAGCAGCACACCCTCTTTAGCAACCGCCTGACCCAAAGATCCCACAATGCCGCCGTACCCACAGGAAGGCCTGAAAGATCCCGCTTCGTAGGCCACTGCATCTATGCCGGATTCGTCTACTGACATATATTCCGCTCCGATGAATCCAACCAAGCCGACGGCAGTGCATCCGTAGCCATAATCACAGGCATCGTGTTTGGTACGATCGCGCCTTGGCTGCTAGTATTCTTGCGTAGGTCCTCCAGTGAATATCCGGTCTTTCAGGTTGGATGAGGGCTAATGGGTGTGGCGATGTAGGCTTGTGTTTTGGAGAGGAATATTGGCGTGGGAGAGGGGTGGAAGACCAGGATGGGGGTTATGGAGACGGGAGTTGGGAGAGGGAGATGAAGGGACATGGCAGAGTGATAGCAGAAGTATAAATTGGAACTTGGTGTGGTTGATTCACTGGCCCACAGCCCGAGCGGCGATGCGCTCGCTGGGGGGGAAGTGCACTTTCTGCTACGTGCAGTCCTGGCGTGCGAGCAAGCCGTCGGCTACAGCTTGCGAGGTGCCTCTATCTGGGCGTGTGATACGCTCTCGTGCCAGGCAAGCAGCCGTCAAGCTGGATGTGTTTACGGATCGATCAGCCATCCTCTCTTCTTCACCCGCCCATCTCCAAGCGCCCCAGCACGGCTTCCACAACGCCCTTTGCGCCCCCCGCCCGCTCCGAGGCCCCCATGACCTTCTCCTCCGCCTCGAGCTCCACAGCGCCCTCGTACACGCGCACAATCATATCCTCATCCACGCGCCGCCCACACGCGACCAGCCCCTTGACCAGCGTGCTCACCCTCGTGATCTCCCGCGCGACACCGGGCTCAATGTCGTCGTTCTGGCTCGAATACAGCGTCTCGCTCACGCCCTGGTCCAAGCTGGTGATGCTCACATCCTTCTCATCGTGCCCGCTCTTCTTGTGCGCCGACACAAAAATATACCCATTCACGCCCAGCACGACATCGATCTCGCCGGCGCTCGTCTGCAGCGTAAACGTCTGCCGCTTGCTCCGCACGACCCCGCCCCTGCGCGACAAGATGCCGCCGCCTGCCCCGGACAGCGAGGTGAACAGCCCGTTGCGCAGCTTCCCGTACTTCAGGCTGCGCGTGTGCAAGCTCGCCGTGTTGTCCCCGTGCAGGCTCTGCACCTCGGCGACCAGCAAGTCGCCCTCGCTGAAGAAGGTCCGGATGTTGAGCTCGTCGACCGCGGTCCTCCTTCTCAAGATGCCACCGGGCAGGTTTATCGCAGAGAGCGGCAGGCTCGCCAACATGGGCGCGGCGATGTCGACGGTCCACTTCTTGGTCTGCACGCTGACGATGCGGCCGACGACGAGGTCGCCGATCTCGGGGGTGTAGCGCGCGCGGAGGGGCTGGACCGAGAGCAGTTTGTTGGTTTTGTGCAGGTGGCCCGCGACGGTGGAGATGATGGTGGTGGACTCGGCGGGGACGTACGTGCCGTGGCCGCGCATCCACTGGGGGTCCGACGTTACCGTCTCGCCGGGCGTGACGATGGACGTGGCGCTCTGCACGGGGAGGCCGTCGTCGTCGCTCATGTCTTCGTCGGAGTCGTCCTGGCGGAGGTGCGCCGCGGCGATGGGCGCCGACGGCGGGAGGATGGAGATGGGCATTGCGGGCGCAGGCGTGTGTGCGGCAGTCTGGGTTGCAGCGCCCTGCCAGACAGCGGACGTGTGTATGCGAAGACGGGTGCGATCACCAGGCGTGCAGGCTGTCGTGGGGCGGCTCTCGAAATTTTGGCGGCATGTCTTTGGGCTCGAGCTACCCTTGCACGCTGGACACGCAACGAGCCTAGCGGACAGGGCGGGCGCCATGGTGGTCCGCCATCAGCCACCCGTGGCACGCTGGCTCAACGTCATCCCGTCCAACATCAACTCCTACCACATAACGTTCTGCAGGGGCAACGTCCAGGTACTGGGTCTCTCCAAAGAACGTTCTAGAGTTGTCTCCCGCCTCGAGGCGTCTTGAGAAAGCCCCATAGCATGCCTTCACTTGGGCCTCTTCCTAGTCCATTGCCATTCACAGAACCGTTTGTTGGAAGTCTAAAGAAAGCAGCACCCTTCAACCACCAAGATGACCCGAACTGGTATGCCCACGACCCGCAATGCCTCATCTCCGAGTCTGCCGTCAACTCCTTCGTGACCGGAACTGGAGATGCCATTTATCGGTCGCTTGCACCGCTGCTGGAAGCGACAAACCATGAGCTCATCCTGGTTACCTGTTTCTGGGCCCGCTCTTCCAGCCTCGACTCACTCAATGCGCTCCTGCGGAAGCTTTCCGAAAAAGCCATCTCGCGTGGCACGGGAAAAATAAAAGTTCGATTATGTTTTTCCTCGTCGTCACTCTTCCAGAAACTGTTTCATACGCAGTCGACACAGGGCCAAACCTATCCTTCCAGTTCATGGACGAAACAATTTGGCCTGCCAGAACCAAGCGAACTCGAAGGTCTCGATCTCCGGATCAGCTCCATATTCATCCTTCCTTTCAGCGTCATGCATCCCAAATTCATCCTTATCGATCGCCGAAGCGTCGTCCTGCCTTCCTGCAACATCAGCTGGGAGGAGTGGTTCGAAGGAGCCATTACATTCTCTGGGCCCATCGTCGAGAACTTTTTCCAGTTCTACAAGAGATTCTGGTGTCGGATGGACGTACAAAGCCTCCCCACGTCAACAATACATTCCGACTACCCCAGTCCTCAGCATGTCAACACCGCAGCTCCGCAAGACCTGCGCGACATTGTACCCCACGGCCACACCATCACACCCATCTCTACCACCTCTTCCACCATCCCTACCATCTTCCTTCCCTCCCCCCACAGACGGAACCCAAACTTCCATCCCTTCGCCTCCTCCTCCGCTATTTCTGCCCCTCCAACACCACTCAACGTCTTCGTCCTCAATCTGCTCGCCCAAGCAGCGCGAACAATACGTATACAGTCGCCAAATCTCACCTCACCGCCCGTGCTCTCCGCCATCCTAAAATCGCTCGGACGCGGCGTAGATGTGCAGATCCTGACGTCTGAGCGCCTCATGATACTAGAGCAGCTCGTCACCGCCGGCACCACGACATCCCGCTGCGTCAAGACACTAATCAAACGGTACAAGAAGCTCGCGCGGGCGGAAGCCGCTCATTTAGCCACGGATGAGGAAGCTGCGCTCTCAGCTCCGCGGATGGGCGTCTTGAAGATATTGTACTTCGAGCCTCTGCATGGGAGCAAGCCGCGCGGGAAAGAAGAGGGCGAGCCGCAGCAGAGCCATCTCAAGATGATGATTGTAGATGGCGAGGTCGTGGTCCTGGGGTCGGGCAATCTCGATCGTGCGAGCTGGTTCACGAGCCAGGAGCTGGGCGTTGCGTTCTTTGACAAGGGACTTGTTGGACAGGTGGAAGAGGCAGTGGACCGGGGGATGAAGGGGAGGGCGAAGCTGGTGTTTGATGGGTCGAGGCTTGTTGAAAGGCCAAAACAGTGGACTTGCATGGCTACGTCACGCAATCGAAGCAGCTAAGTGGCGCTACTTGAAGTCGCTCTTCAAACTCCTTCGGTTCGGCTTGATGTACATACCTGCACTGCAGGCTTTTGACATCGGCACCTACTTTTTCTCCCGATGAAACGCGCCACGCTCAATCCAGAACCCCGTTTGCCGTGGCGTCCGGGGAGGTGGCGCTAAATGTGGGGCATCTTTTACCCAACTTGCTGAGAACAGGCATTTGCGCGAATTAAGATCATCATGGCCTTCGACGATGCACCTGCAGCGCTTTGCCGGATAGCTCGGCAAGGGCCGTGCCTAGTTCCGATGAGGCTCTGCTTGCATTACCGGTAGTATCTCGGGACCTGCCTCGACAGTTTTGTGTTTTAGCCCAGCCTATTGGCTTCACGGCCACTTTTTGTCATGTACACAGTATGGTGCAACGATGGATATGTCATATATCATCATTCAAGTCCACGGGAACCTGCAATGCAAAGTTGGGGGTGTGGGAAGAAAGTGATAATGCTTAGGAAGCTTGTTTGAAAGCTTGACTTGGTACCCTGGCTTCGCTAGCGCATAAGCAACCGCTACCCCAACGTCTCTATAACATTGCAATCATTTGCGCCCGATTTAGTCCTAGCTAATCTAGGTGTTACGCGGCTGCCCTCCGGCCGGGTTTTATTGGCCCTATCGGTGGTACTTGCTTGACAGTCAGTCCAACTGTCTGACTTCATCACCTGGTCATCACAACGAATTGATTGGCCTCATCACTCACTCCTGCCGGAAGGCCCCGCAAGCTACCTGCAGCAGCGCTAATCTCAGGCCAGGGCCCAATACTTACCATGCTCCACTGGGGGTATCGTAGAGATGGCAGCGATCGGTCATGGGGATCGAAATTGTTCGGGCATATGCGAGACTGCCCGAAACTCGGCGCCGAGGCACGCGAACGCGTTAAGACTTCTTCTCGTTATAGAGGATCTGGGTATAAAGATCAAGAGCATCTGCAGAGTACACCGTCCTGCAGCTTCATCAGAAAGCCCTCCGGGAGACTACCCGAGACCCTTCGTTCGAACTCTCCTCCTTTCAAGCCTCCAACATGAAGACTTTACAGGCATCTTTGCTTATCTGCATCTCACAGGCATGGGCCGCTCCAGCTCCGCAAGCTTCTTCCTGCGCGCTCGACCCCGTTAATGGGCCACCTGGAGCTTCAGGTAGTTTAAGACCATGTCCAGAACTTGTAGGATACGACCCATCGAACAGCGTTCCGAAATCTCCATCGACAGTGATTCCACCTGACGAATTCGAATTGGCACCCGGCCAGTCTGACGACGCGGAGCTAGGCCTCTTCATCGATCTGTCCAAAGTGAAAAATCCACAACCTATCCGGGGTGGAACAACTGGCCCAACTGATCCCGGACCGAGGTGAGCTCGTTTTCGTAGCATGAAACTGGGAAAGAAAGTTGACACTGCTGTAGGACCGAGGCCTACGATCGCCTGAACAGTGATCTCTTCATACCGCCGAGCACTGACTCTGGCGACGTTTCGAACGCCAAATGGCCCTTCTCTCTATCGCACAACCGCCACGGCCTTGCAGGTGCCGGATGGGCCCGAAATCAGAACCAAGACCAACTTCCCATCGCTACTGCCATGGCAGGTGTAGACATGCGCCTATCACCGAACGCATACCGCGAGCTCCACTGGCATAAGTCAGCTGAGTGGGCCTTGATGCTTAATGGAAGTGCTCGTATTGCAGCGGTCAATGAAGACGGCCAAAACTTCATTGATGATGTGACCGAGGGTGATGTCTGGTTCTTTCCCGCAGGTGTTCCGCACTCGATTCAAGCTTTCGAGAACGGCTGCGAGTTTCTGCTCGTATTTAACGATGGGGCCTTCAGCGAGGAGAACACGTTTTTGCTCACCGAGCTCATCGACAGGACTCCCGAAACTGTTGTTGCCAAAAATTTCCGCACTTCCGTTGATACTTTTAAGGCTGTTCCGGACAAGCAACTCTGGATCTTTCCCGGCACCCCGGCGCCTGCAGACATAGAAAAGCAGAATCAAACCGGTCCTGCTGGATTGATCCCTAAGAAAGACACCTACAGCTTCCATTGGTCTGAACAGCAGGTAGGTATCCACTACCGTCATAACAGTCCTTGGCACTAACGATTCATTACTAGCCCTATCGGGTTCCAGGCGGGAGCATCAAGATCCTAGACCCGGAAACATTTCCCATTGCTGCCGGATTTTCCGCCGCCCTAGTAACGGTTGAACCCGGAGCGATGCGCGAGATGCACTGGCACACAACATCGGACGAATGGGTAGGCCACTCTATGCTACACTCACGCCCGCACTGACATTCTCCAGACATATTTCATCCAGGGCCAGGCCCGTCTCACCGTCTACCAAGCCCCCTCCTCATCGCGCACCTTTGATTTCAACGCTGGCGATGTTGGCTATGTCCCTGTTCCGAACGCGCACTACCTCGAGAACACTGGAAACCAGACCCTTATCTTTCTGGAAGTGCTACAAGCGCCGCGGTACGCGGATATCAGCGTCAACCAGTGGCTGGGTATTACGCCGAGACAGGTTGTAAAGGACCACTTGAAGGTTGGAGATGCGTTTTTGGACACGTTGCCGAAGGTGAAGCCGTTCATTGTTCCTGGTAACAAGGACCTCCTTGCTACGAACTTTACTGGAAATCCTTTGTAATACCCCTAGTTACTAAGGCGTAAGTACTGGTGAGAACACAGGGGCTCGATTGGTTACGCGTCAAGGCTACCATCACTCGTTATGTTGGTAGATGCCCACTGCATTACCGTAAGCATGATTGCTACCGATAAAAGGGTTGCCGACTTACACATAGCCTTAATATTAATATCTCTCGTACGATCTGTTGCCAAACTCAATTCCAAGCTCTTACATGAGACCGTACTAGGAAACGTGAATTGGCCCCGTAGATGTCGCAAAATGTAGAGTGTTCAAGGCAACGAATACTTGCATGCTTCTCAGCTTTGGGCCCTCATCGTATAGTCAGGAGCCATCGTTAGTTGCAGGCCGCCCACACTTGCGCAATCCTTTGCAGACTCTGGCGCATTCTCTGTGGAGTCGGTGAACGAAGAGAGTCTGTCGACACACGGTCCCAGTCTTATTCATGTTACAAACAACAAAACCAGAGTGAAACATCTTCCCACTGACTACTGTCAGATTGTTTTTGATTTGTAGCAGAGCATAGCAGTTCATTACCTCAGGAAAGGCGACGGTAAATTGACGACGATATTGATATAATAACATGGACTGTGGCTGAACAATGGTGAAGAGGACCTCGAGCCCACTCGGTGGTTCAGGATTCTGAAAGAAAAGAAATCTACTTTCGTCCGAACGGGCGTGTCGAAATTCCGGAAATACCCGGCTCGGATCATGGCGGGAATTTCGATGATGACCTTGTAGAGCATCGGAAACAGCAAGTGATTGAAGACAGCTCTTTGATCTCGGATGAAAGCGGGTACGAAGGGAATGGGAGGGAGTTGATGGGGACTGGCAATGGGTGTGGTCCTGATCAACCCCCCTCTTCGAGTACGAAAATCAAGTCCTAACGTTCACGAACACGCACATTTCCCCTGGTCACGGATTTATACCCCACACAACTCCAGACAAACTCAAAGTATTGGTCCCCACGCGCTCCCTTGATGCAGGCACTTACGATATAACGTACTGGGTAGAAAGGGCTTTCAATGTCGAAAGTCCTACAGGAGGCTAGAATCGTTTAGCCACGGAAATAATCCATAAGCCTCGAATGTGCAGGATCTCGGAGCAGAAGAGTTTAATCCTGAAATCGTGTATCATGGCGACCAAAGGGCCTTCCGTATGTTTTTTTGTGAAATCTTCACTGAAAGGGAACGCAAGTTATCAACAATTGACGAGCGACATCTGTCCTTAGACCCTGGTGATCTAATGAAGCTCGAAACCCTAGAAGAAGCCTGCAGCAAATCGAAGGATCATAGGGTTGGAAAGTATGAAAAGAAAAAACTCCATGAGAAGCATGAAAGATGAGGGAACTTCCATGAAACGTTCCATGAATCCCACCTCGAAGGGTCGATATGCCCAACTAGTCAAGATGACAACTCCAAGTCCTATCGGTGCAAGAGAAGAAAAGCTTCTCAGGCTACCGTTAAATCTGATACAGAAGAGGGTATAGTGGCTATCGATGATGACCAGGGCATCTCGCTTGTTCAAACCAACGCAGAAACGATGGATCTTCCCTATATTACTGAAATGCATCAATTGATAGCCATTTGCACATACATACACCCTCGAATCCAGTCGTGAGATACAAGCCAAAATAACTGGAATTGCGCTGAACACCAGCAAAATGACTACCATTCACTCCACGTAAATACCCAACCCAATATCAATTCACACCATTTCGCCAGCAATAACTTCCCAACAGACTTTAAGATCTCGACCCTCCACAGCCTCAGAACCCCTCCCCACACATCCCTACCCTCAAGAACCTCATCATCTATTTCACTTTCACCTTCTTCTCTCTTCTCTCTCTATCTCTCCTCAGCCCAGCCATCCCCAAAGCCACCACACCCACCCCAACCCCCGCTACGAGGACCGCAACCCAAAGCGGAAATAAAAAAAATCCTCTGGACCAATCCCATCAGGAAATGCGCGATCTCTGCCCTCACCTCCAGCCGCGCGTTGTTCCCATCCCATATCTCTTGCAAGGCCATCTTCTAGGCATAAAACGTCAATGTCTCTACACAAACCATCCGCGACAGCCAAGGACCTTCCAGACCACCCTCGTATTCTTACCAATATGTGTAACTTAGTGCCCGCACAATTACAAGCAGCGCGTCGCCATATTTTAAGGAGCGCTGAAATTCCAGCCAAACAGACAAGACAAGAGAAGCACCGACGACGGGGCCATGCTTTCCCGAAGTACTTGTAGGGCACTCCCACGGAAACCAAAACTCACTCGCGCATACGCCCCGCATGTTCACAAACGAGCTACCCGTCAATGATCAACCCGGCCTCTACGGAGGGTGGAGTTGGGCATAGTCGCATTGACGGTGCACCTCCCATCAGCGCACTGCATGCATACTCTGCTCAGACCGGTCAGACAACCGCTGGTTTATCGCCTAATTAAGTTGTGTCAGCTAGCGATGGTAAAGAGGTTCACAAGAATATTTTTCAAGCTTTTAGTATATGCAAGGTTCAGAACGTTACACTCTCTACTATTCGGCGATATATGAATAAGATAGTGGTATGGTAATATGGAGAATAAAACCTGCTATCAGGATCCTATACTTATGCATTTTTGTCCCACTTTCGCAAACAATTTTACCTTGATGGACCCGTACCGTGTGAAACTGCACGTGCCCAGGTGCTAGCGTGCATGCATGCAAGTGCGACTTCTCCTCTTAGGCATACTGCGCCAAGCCACTAAACCCACCCCCTGCATTGGTTGCTCTATGCTGCTACACCGACTTGTCGAATGTCATTTCCACAACAACTCCGCCACCGTTCCAGCTCATCTCTTTGGCTTCACAATGAACAGCTTGCCTCAGGAGTTGGTGGAGCGCGTTTGCGTCTTCCTAACCCGCGACGACCTGAAGAACACGCTTACGCTTTCGAGAAGCTTTCAATATGCTTCAGAGCGAGCATCCAAAGCATACACAACGTTCGACCTGAACTCTTCGAACACAGAAGACTTTAAAAAACTATATGCTGGCCGTCGGTGGGTGTATCTTCGGCATGTGCGATACCAGACTTACATCCCACCATCCGCAGAGGTAGCAGACGCGGAACACCTAGCAAAGCACAATTGCCGTGAATCGCCTCAAGAACTTCGGGAGAAAGACGAGCTATTCACTGAGCAAATCAAATCCATTTTTGATACTATAAAATCGTTGGAGGACAGCTCTTCAGAAGGAAAACTCCAACTGACCATCTACGCACCGGTTCGAGAGGTCCGTGAGACTTGCGCCCATCGCAAGTGTATAAGCTGGCGACTCCACCTACTTTCTCCCGACTCACTTCCGCATCTCGGCTCAGTGCGAGCCTTGCGCATCGAGGATCCTAGAATCATCTATCCATTGGAGGACAATAACTCACTGCTGAAGATTGATCTGCGGGTCATTGTGGATCTGGCTGTGAAGTTCCCTCGTCTGGAATACTTGGGCTGCAAACTCTTCGCTGGCAGCGGATGGACGCCCTACTACAACTCAGAAGTCGCTCGAACGTATAGTCGCGATTGCGATCGACCAGGCCCGCTTCGGGATACGCGTCTGGGATTCGCGAAAGCTCTTGATAACGCCTCTCTCCCTTCAACCCTCCGTGAGGCGCAACTTGACTTCCTGTGGCCCATGTCGTCTGCAGAGCGTATCGACCATGACGAGCGCATACCGAACCTCGCAGGCTCGAATACTTACGACCTCTTTAGCAGCAGCCTGAGGGCTCTGTCATATGGGTTGCGAAGGCTGGAGCTTAAGCTGGTCGCCGACGCAAGCTTATTCTGGCCCTCTGCCGGCTCAACATCTTATCCGAATCTTGAAAGTGTCTGTATACTATTCCATATGTCAACTCCAGCCGGACGTTGGTACTTCGATGGTCCCGATGGCCTTGGTAGCGATGCTGAGGGATTCCAAGTCGATGAGGGATCTTACCCTCCGCTAGAGGACACCTCTGATGATGAAGCACTCGATGAGGAAGTCGATGATGAAGGCCTGAATACAGAAATAGTCAACAACAAGCGGTTCCGCGTCCGACCCAATAACGAAGTCTTGTCTCCATTCCTCACCGCCTTTGCTAAAGCAGCGTCTGAGATGCCGAAATTGAAAGAAGCTTCCTTGTGGTCCCCGCTCAGATGGCAGACGGGTGATGCCTATGGAAACAGTGACGAATTGGGCAAGAATATCGCAAAATGGCCTGATCGACCTTTGGCTTGGGGCATTACATATATTGCACCAAAGACTTTCGGATTCCATTTTGAGGGACAGCATTATTCGCAGTCGCGACAGCTATTCTGGACTACCGGCACGTGGCGGCCGAGTGACGAACTTCACGATCTCTTCGGTCGGATCGGCGACCAGAGTGTGGAACTGCTGGAGTATTGGGGATTGGACAATTACGGCAAAGAAATGTTGCCTCTGCGCGAAGTCTTCGACCAGTTCCAGATCTATGGACGGCGTCACCCAGCTTGTGCATGGCCTGTGGACAAGTCGTTCATTATACACAAGACGCTACAATAATTAGTCGCGTAACCCAAAATCGACATGCGCACATTTACAATCGATGCAATTATGACTCGAGTATTGATTATCACAAAGCAACCGTTTGCGACACATCGTACTGCTAGACAGATTGCACCCCACAGTAATGGACGCCTGATATCGAAAGGCCTGTTTCGAGCCTCGTCTTGAGCCATGCTAAGCAGCATGGGCCAAGATGGAACATTTACCTTACTGGGAAATTGTAGATCCTACCATGGCCAGGATGGACGCTGCGTTCGCGTTCAAAATAACCTTTGACAACGCCTGGCCGTTGCAGATTCAAACGTGGGGCAAATTCTGGACCTCAAGGCGTTCACACAGGTTCAACAGCAAGAATACATGACTGAGACCTCGTTCCAGACATTTGTTGCTGATATAAGCCGTGGAGTCCGACTGAGCGCACTGAAGATGTTCTCCGATGACGACGCAAGACACGCATGTAAGAGTCGGAAGCGCTCCGTTCGTATGCCTCATGTCAGGAACGCACTCATCGGCGCGTGCTCAAACACCACGCCATATTTCGAAAAAAGCACAGGGCTGAGATTTTTATCGTCCACTCACGGAGTATTGCGCGTCGTTAGGTCCTAACATCCATAAAGGATCCTTGATCGTCGTTTCATATTGCGCATCAGTGCATGAGCATGGGGCGGCGTTAAAATTAAGCTTACTGGGCGCAGTCTAGCGCCTAAATGTCCGATCCGATGTCAGAACTTGGGGCGGGTGGATGTGCGCAGGGGGTTGGGGGCCGAAGACCACTAGCGATGGGAACTGGGCATAAAGAAAGAGGATGTCAACGATGTCTCTATTGAGTACGGCGTCCAGTGGCCTCATCCCTTTCCCTTTACAAACGTTTTCCTTCATTACAGTCATTCGTTGAGGCTCGGTCGGAGCATTACTATCCTTTACTACATTCTTCACGATCGCTTGTATTTTTTTTTAAAGGTTGAACTCTGGGGTTTGCGTGCATCATGAGATTGACAGCTTCGCTGCTGCTCCTTAGTAGCAGCTTTCTTGCTCCTATAGTCGTTGCCCAGAACTCCGACTCCGAAGTCGCCGCTTCATGGACCGAACAGGGTGTCTGCGGTTACTTCTATGAAAAACCGGGCGCGTGGAAGTCACTGGCTGAGACTTGTGTCAAGTACTGCGAGAACAATGGTGGACACGGGTACTCTGAGTGTGATCACACTCCCTACGCGGGCATGGACCTTCCGAATGGGATCGATCAAAGCACCATCATGCAAGATGACTCAGGCGACGTATTCGTCCCTTGCAAGTGCAAATGCGACAACCCCGATGTTGAAGGAATCGCCAACGCTATCTTGGACATTGTTATCGAGGGCTTGAGTCACCTCGATGAGATCATCTGCGGTGTCTTCATGACTGCAATGGTGAGTACGATCTTTATTTCAACTACTAATTGAACGACTCGATTCACGCGATGACCTACCAACGTCTCAAATCATCATCTGAGCCTTTCTCACACTCGCCAGGTCTCCGTCGTCGAAATCGGCATCGATCTCATCCCCGGCGGCGCCGAAGCCACCGCCGCCGCCCGCGGTGTGGAAGCCGTGAAGTCCTTCACCGAGAATGCCCTCGACGTCGCCGACTCCATGGGCAACTGGGTCGGAAAAGCCTGCGGTATCCAAGACCCCAACTGGCCCAACAGCATCTTCGACGTGCTCTTGACATCCCCCGATTCGTATGGTACGAGTATCGGCTGCAAGAAGAAGAACAAGGCGGACTGCAAAAGCGTCGATCCGGTGCCTGATAAGCCAAAGACGAAGGGGCCGGATGACCCAGCCACGAAGGGGCCCGACCCCGTTACGAGTGCCCCGGAGGTGCAGCCGACGAGTGCGGAGGCGCCGCCGGCCACGAGTGATCCTGCTCCACCGGCTTCGACTGATGCACCTCCGGCTTCGACTGATGCACCCCCGGCTTCGACTGATGCACCTCCGGCTTCGACTGATGCACCCCCGGCTTCGACTGATGCACCCCCGGCTTCGACTGATGCACCCCCGGCTTCGACTGATGCACCCCCGGCTTCGACTGATGTACCGACGGTCTCTAGCGATGTGCCTGTATCAAGCGAGGTGCCAGTCTCAACGGATATTCCTGTATCCAGCGACGTTCCTGTATCCAGCGATGTTCCTGTATCCAGCGATGTCCCTATCTCGACGGATGTCCCTATCTCGACGGATGTCCCTGTTTCGACGGATGTCCCTATCTCGACGGATGTCCCTATATCGACGGATGTCCCTATCTCGAGCGATGTCCCTATCTCGAGCGATGTCCCTATCTCGAGCGATGTCCCTATCTCGAGCGATGTCCCTGTCTCGAGCGTTGATCCATCCGCCAGCGTTGACCCTTCTGCTACCCCTTCGGTCGATCCGTCAGCTACGAACAGCGTTGACCCTTCGATCACATCCAGTGTGGATCCGTCGGCGACTAGTGGCACAGCCACAACTTCATCCACGGAATCTTGTGGCGTTGGGAGCACCGTAGTTCAGAGGCGTGGCGCTACACAAACCGCCGGTGCTCCAGCATGCGAGGCAACCAATGGCTGCACAATCACTAACCCCGATAAAGGCGGCGAAGATGCTCTCGATGACGCTCTTGACGCTGTTCAAGATGTCACCAACATCCTCCGCCTTCGTGGTATCGACGGCCATCGCTCCCCACGCAGAATACTAGCCAAGCGCGCCCCCAAAAGCGGTAAGCCCTGCTCCGGCAGCCCGGGCAATGAAGACTTCGTCCTCCAGTCCGACGATTACCCCAGCAACAGTGAGCTCGCTGCAAACGTTGATTCTTGGGGTTACAAGCTGCAGAACAACAAGTGCGACTATGGCTGGCTCGATGGAAAGACGCAGATCGTGGGTAATGACTACGACAGCGAACATGTGATGGAGTGGCAAACGGTCACCGATTTCTTCTCAAAGATGAACGCAAAGGGCGGGCAGACATACGACCACCCGGATCCCAACCAGCCCGACGGCACGAAGACGGACTTCTGCACGTACTGGATCCAATCCTGGAGTCTGGACGCAGGCCAGGAGTTCAGCGTCAATGGAAGCGCGGCGTACACGCCCTGGAACCACATCAAGACCGTATACCCCGGCAAGACGCTGGGAGCCGCGTACAAATCAGAGATGATCCGGTTGCAGCGAAACATCAATTCGACCCCAAAGTCGAACGTAAGTTCTTCTGTTACCATGCCACTGTAAGCACCCCACTGACCAGCTCTTAGATGTTCACCGACAAGGTCGAGTACATCTGGACCAAAACCAAAATGGACAAGTACGTCCTCGACAAAACCAAGCGCGACAAAGTCCTCGAGCGCATGCGCCTCCTCCTCGGCGCCCGCACGTACCTCGTCGACCCGAAAGTCAAGGAGATCTTCAAAAAGCAGAAGGAGCGCATGGGCGCCATGATCGACCAGCTCGACACCGACATGCAAACCCACACGCGGTCGACAACCGTCAAAGATCCCGTGACCGGCGCCGTCTCCACCGAAACCTTCCGCCCGTGGGTCAAGCAGAATTTGCTGACGGAGTGGAACACATTCATGGACCAGAAGTGGATGACGGCCACGGCGAAGCATACGAAAGTCATGGATTACTTCATCAACGAGTTGGATGATAAGAATTGTCAGAGCCAGCCGAAGATGAGCACCGCGGACAAGACGTTCTGCGCGAACTTGAGGACACTGGAGAGAAATTATCGGTCTGCAACGGTTTTCACGGTGCCGTGGTGAGGGAGAGTGTGTCGTGAGGGGCTATGGAGCCGGTGTTGTGATGTATACTCTGATACACGCCGCATGATAGATTTATGGAGAATGGGCTTTCTCCTACGATGTGCGCAGAATTTCAGCAGTACTAGCTGGAAGAAAAAATTTGTAGCTTTCTTAATGTGTCAACTGCATGGCGTTATGGCTTCTCGCTCTTTCTGAACAACTGGCAGGTGCACCCCACTTCATACCCTGATGTGAGGTTCACCAACGCTTTCGTACCACGACTCTTCATCTCCCATTAGGACTTAGTCCCAGCATTCAGCCTGTTTGTCGCTCTAACGTCTGTCCAAGCGTGCCGGGACGCACGGTGTACCGGGACGGTTTTCGCTCAGGAGCCTCGCTATCTCTCATCTGCATAATTATCGACCTGCATTCAGCGTATTAATCTTCTAGAGCTGTCTCTCTTCAAGGGCATCAACCTCCAGTGCGAATCTTCGCGATGTTGCCCTTGCTGTCGATCGTTTCGTCAACGCTGTCAATAGACCTTTCGTCGATTACCCCCTGTCTATTCGCGATGTAGAGGGCGTCTGCAGAGACTGGAGCATCTGTTAGGAAGTAGAGCTTAGAAAGAATGGATCCCCAGGATCTGAATGGTATTTCAGCATAACAAGTACACAGTCCGGTAGTTTCGCCGATAAAGACGACGATCGCCAAAAGCGTTCCAGCGTAATAGGACTCTCTAGCGTCTCTTAGCATGCAGGCTGCCTCCAGTAGCGTGCTCAGATATCCGCGTATTGTGTCGTAACGAATTCGACGCTATGCCCGCAGCAGGTGAAGTGCTAAGAAAAAATTGTGGCGTGTACTGGCTGTCAAGCGGCTGCCCTCGCGCACCCGATGTGCGCTATAATGCAGGGCGGCTTAGCGCTTTGCCAATCTGCTTGAAGGCCCAACGAGTCCACCTATCGTCTTCGTGATGCCGCCTTCACACCGAGAATGCAACAACAAGCGCTACTTCTAGGTCCAACGCGGTCGCACCTTGCATTTTGCTTTATACCTGTCTACTTTTGTACTATACTAGCTCTTTATCTCCCCTTCTGTAAGCTGACCTAGAAGGAGCAGGAAAATTGGTTGCTGCACTCCCATCAGGCTGCCGCATTAAGCCTTATTTCGTTTCCACTGCGCGCCCATCAGACACCCACATGAGTCGATGCGTCTTCTCAGGTACGAAGACGATGGCCGCCTTACGATCACTAGCTTCGACGACGACGCGATACCTCGATATGCGATACTTTCACACACCTGGGGGGCAGATACAGAGGAGGTGACTTTCGCGGAACTTGCACAAGGCGAGGGTAAGCACAAGTCTGGCTACAAGAAGATTTGCTTTTGTGGAGAGCAAGCGCAGCAAGATGGTCTGCAGTACTTCTGGGTTGACACATGCTGCATCGACAAGTCAGACAAGGCTGAGCTTTCTTTTGCTATCCAGTCCATGTTTCGCTGGTACCAAAACGCGACGAAGTGCTATGTATACCTATCAGACGTATCAACAAAGGAGAGGAAACTCGAGGATATGCTTACCCAGCTCAGTTGGGAGTCAGCCTTCAAGTCAAGTCGATGGTTCACGCGTGGCTGGACACTTCAAGAGCTTCTCGCACCAAACATTGTGGAGTTCTTCACTCAAGAGTGGGAGAGGCTTGGTGACAAGATATCGTTGGGGTTTTTAATCCAAAAGATCACCGGTATCCCATGCGAAGCACTCGACGGAGCTCCTCTTTCCCGCTTTAGCGTTGACGAGCGGCTGCGGTGGAAGGGCGACAGAGAGACTAAACGCGAAGAAGACGCGTGGTACTCACTAGCGGGCATCTTCGATGTCGAGATAGCGCCAGCTTACAGTGAAGGGGCGGCCAGCGCATTTAAACGTCTAAAGGGCGAGATCGACAAGCTCGAAATATGCATTCGAGACATACGCAACACGGATCCGCGTCACGATAAGCAGCGCATCGAGGATACAAAGGGCGGGCTGCTAGCGGACTCCTACCGCTGGGTTCTGGACAACACTGCCTTCCAGCAATGGCGAGAGCAGCCAAACAGCCGACTGTTGTGGGTAAAAGGCGATCCTGGTAAAGGCAAGACGATGCTCCTCTGCGGCATCATTAACGAGCTGCAAAGTTCGATGCCTCAAAGTGCCCTACTGTCGTACTTTTTCTGTCAAGCGACCGACGCGCGCATCAACAGCGCCACAGCTGTTCTGCGAGGACTGTTGCACATGCTCGTTACTCAACAACCATCGCTTGCATCGCACATCCGCAAGAAGCACGACCACGGCGGCAAAGCCATGTTTGAAGATGCGAACGCCTGGGTAGTCTTAGTAGAGATCTTCAAGGCTGTGCTCCAAGATCCAAGTCTAAGGATGTCGTACCTAATCGTCGACGCGCTAGACGAATGCGTCACTAATCTGCTAAAACTGCTAGAATTTATCGCCAAGCAGTCATCTGCGTCTTCTCGCGTTAAGTGGATTGTTTCCAGCCGTAATTGGCTAGATATTAAAGCACAACTAGAGCAAACAGGATACAAAGTAAAGCTAAGTCTTGAGCTAAACGCGCACTCAGTCGCAGCAGCGGTTGATGTCTTTATATAGTGGAAGGTGGATCACCTAGCGCAGGAAAAGGGGTACAAGGCAGAGGTCCGGCACGCCGTGCTCCAGCACCTAAGGTTAAACGCTAATGACACCTTCCTCTGGGTAGCGTTAGTGTGCCAGGACCTGAAAACGACACCAAAGTGGAACGTGTTGAACAAGCTAGCCCTATTCCCGCCTAAGCTAGACTCCCTATACAAGCGGATGATGGACCAGATAAGCGAGTCCGACGGCGCCAAGATCTGCCGGCAGGTACTAGCTTCAACTGCGATTCTATATCGACCTATTGCGGTCCCTGAACTAGTTGCGCTTGTAGAGCAGCTTGAGGATTTAGATGACCTAGAGTCGGTGCGGGAGATTGTCAGCTTATGTGGGTCATTTCTCACCCTGCGAGAGGATATAGTCTACTTTGTGCATCAGTCCGCAAAGGACTTCCTCTTTGCAAAGGCTTATAACGAAGTGTTTCTAGACGGAAGCGAAGCCGTTCATCAGACAATGTTCTTAAGGTCGCTAGCGGTGCTCTCTAGGACGCTCCACAGGGACATGTACAATTTGGAAGCGCCAGGATATCCTATCAAGAACGTCAAACTACCCAAAGCAGACCCATTGACAGTGTCACGGTACCCGTGCGTCTACTAGGTCAATCATCTGTGGGAGTCGAAGCCCAAGTCATTGGGAAGCAGTGTCGGTGGCCTGGAAGCTGTAGACGTTGTCGATAACTTTCTAAGAAAGAAGTTTCTCTACTGGCTAGAAGGGCTTAGTCTGTGCAGGGGCGTAGAGAACGGTGTGGCATCAATGAAAAAACTGTGGTCGTTAGTGCAGGTACGTCGTCCAGTGTCTGTGTGTCCGCATAGCGTAATCTCGTTGCTAATGCTAGTAGGAGATGCGTGACCAAGACAGACTTACTCTACTTGTTCAAGACGCATGGCGATTCATCATGTACCACAAAGGGGCAATCGAGGGCTACCCTCTTCAGACCTATGTATCCGCACTCCTGTTCAGTCCAACAGGTAGTCTCATCAGACAGCTGTTCCAGCACGAAGAGCCAAAAACAATCAGTATTAGACCAGCTCTGAGCGACGGGTGGAGCGCGTGCCTGCAGACGCTCGAGGGCCATGGCGATTGGGTCACCTCAGTGGCCTTCTCCCCCGACTCGGCGAGGCTGGCGTCGGCGTCCTGGGACTCAACCGTCAAGATCTGGGATGCGAGCAGCGGCGCGTGCCTGCAGACGCTCGAGGGCCATGGCAGTACTGTCCGCTCGGCTGATCTTATCTCTATCCTTGCGTCGTTACACCCTTATAAGACTGTAACAGAACCCCAGAAACCTGTCTTTCATGGAGTAACGATCAGTCTAAATTATACCTGGATTTCTAATAATGCTCAAAACATGTTGTGGCTCCCTACGGAGTATCGACCAGCGTGCTCAGCTGTGTCAGGCAGATGTGTTGGCATAGGTACAGGATCAGGAAAGGTTTGGTTCTGTCGCTTTCTGTGATATCTGTAGTCGTAAAGTATTACTCCTCCTTCTCTTATATTTTATACATCGGCACTCAGAGAGGGACGGAGATGGACATGAATATATATGTCAATTCTTGCCACATCGAAGCCTCGAGAATCGCTATAGATAGCCATTACCCTGCTTAATAATGTTCACGCATCAGGTTCTGGCTGTTGGTAGGTTGTGTAGGTATTGCATACCATGTAGGCAGACTAAATGCGAGATCGTAGACGCTTCTAGAAACCCGCCGTCATGCGCCACACTGCCGCCATTTTTAGGATGTGATCTGCTACAGGCATAGCGTCGAATTCAATACGGTAGGATACCGTTACATCTGAGCACGCTACTACAAGCTGCTGCATGCCAAGTGCTGCGAGCAGCGCACGTCCTGGGGAACGCGTTTTGACGATCTTGCTGTCTGCGCGGAGAAACTGCCGGCATCTGCCTATATTACCCTAAGTCGACATTGCGAGGCTGCAATCTTGATCTTTGCTATTTTAGCCTCCTTCTTAGCCTACCGAGCTTTTCGCAGATATGTACCGTCGCAAACAGACAGGGGTTCACTGAAGAGAGTCAAAAGATAACGCTAATAAAATGAGCGACAGCACGGTCAACAGCGCGCTTTGTAGCGTCGGAGACTAATATGCCAGGAGAACGAGAGTTGCCGAATAGATGCGTATTGCATTTGTTTGATATCGAGGACACTAGAGACAATCCGAGGGTCCGGAAGAGGAAGAGTCCCGTTACACCGTGCGTCCCGGCACGCTGGGATGGACGTTAGTCCTGTCTGCGCAAATATGGTGTGATCTGAACAGCTGCGCACCCACTCACAGCCGGTACCGTCCACCTGGACGGGGTGATCCGCATACGTGGCGCACTGCTGCCTAATAGATTGTGTGATGCGGGTACACAGGTCGAGAACATTCACGGCTTGTTCGTACGAGTTGCAAGTCCAGAGCGCACACCATCTTCACAATATTCAGCAGGAATTCCAGCGCTACCAGGGCCACGATCGGATCTATCATCACTCGCTCCTCCATGCGGGCGGTCCACGAACTCTCACGAACGCCTCTCGATTAACCCAATTATTTTTCTAGGAAACTATAAAGACTTAGGTTTATATATGGTGCTTCATCAACGTGATGACGATAGAGCGTCGAGGAGACGTCGTTGAGAGGCTCGGAATTGGGGCCATCCTTGGAAATGCCTGGGTATCCGCTAACCCTGTTCTCAGGCTTTTGTTCTTAGTGAAGACTAAATAAAGGTTCTCGGTGCATTCAACAAATTCGTTATGTTGGTGTAAAGGATACTGTACGCGGAAGTTTACCGATTGCGAAAGTTGCCGAATGAGCATATAGACTTGGCGCGTTGCATCGACCTGTCTTTTACTCGAGACCGCATCAATCAGTTGTACAGCAATATATACTGGGCTGTCTCTGGACGCACGCTCAGTGTAAGGTCAGAACCCTAGCTGCGGCCCTTTGATCTAGCGCTTACTCATGGATTCGAGTATACGATGACGTACTGATGGCTCTACAAAAAATCGACAAGATCTAATTCCAAGACATGTATCAGACTAGCAACTACGACAGCGTGCCTGTCACCATCGACGTCAGTCTTCCAAATTTTTCAATGTTTTTGCACAGCAGGCATAATGGTGGGGGTGGCATAAAACCGGCATATAGAGTAGCAGTCGGCTGGTTTTCTGTGACCGGGGTTGAGAACCCGTATTTCGAGAGCATCAGAGGGCTACTCATGAACCTTCAGTGAGCGCATTTCATCCGAGTTCTAGTAATTCGAGCTGACTGAACTAACGTTACAACCCACTAATTGTCTTTCGAAGTGGCAGCGACATGAGCAAGCACAGTTTATCCCTTTCAAACCCAAGGGCGCCTTCTGTTCACGGATCCATAATTTCTCTCTCATGTCACCATCCAGACAATTTACTCCACGTAAAACACCTCCTCTGTCTGCCCCCACCACCCCGGCCCACTCGCACTCCCAACCGCGCCCTCCACGGGAGACTCCTGCATGCCATCCGTCATCCGCCACCTTGGGACACAAAGTCAGTACAATACCATTCAAAGACAAAGATCTCAGTGCGGAATTAGGAATTCTAGCACAAGCCCGTCGCCAGCGTCCAACAATAACAGACAGCAACAGCAACAGAAACAAGCACTTCACAACCCGGGGGAACTCACCACTCCTGCACCTTCTCATTCTGCGCCATCCTCTTCATATCCTCATCGAACGCATTCCCCACATACTTGAAACTCGCAAAAAGCGTGGGCCTTGGCTCCATACTCAGGAAAATCGAATCTACGCTCATCCATCAGCCCCTCCGTCAATCAACCAACCAACCAATCACATTCGCACATCTTTCAAGCGAAGGAACGTACAGTCTTTGATATTCGAGTCCTTGATCTGCTCCAGCACCGCAGGCCACACGGCCGCGTGGCACTTTTTGTACTCGTCGATCTTCTCAGGCTTGAGGTAGAGCCATTGGCCGATGCGGCGGGGGCCTTGGTGGGGAGGGTTTGAGGAGGCGATGGCGGGCTTCGGGGTCCAGAGGCCTTTTGAAGTCATGGTTGCTGCGAGGTGTGATTTAGATGGTACAACTAGAAAGGGGTATGTGTAGGTGGTATACAGGAGTAGGAGCAGAGGTCGTAGAACACGTGTTGGGTGGGAGGGAAACTCGAAGCGATGGGTGTCACACTACCCGTGTCTGGAGCCCTCGGTGTGTTTTACGCCGAGCGGGGCCACGCTTGCGCTTGCCTGCGCACACCACACGACACAGAAGTACATGTTTGACAAAGAGGAGAATTTATACTCGCTAGCAGCATCTACACCAAAATCCTTTTTTCCACCCTCCCTTTCCCGCCATGCACGACCCCATTGTATAATACAGCATCGTTAAACCCAACCGTTGTGGACGTCTCCCACCCATGCACCCTCCATGCCCCATTCCAATCCCTCCCATGCGCCAAACCAGCCCTACATCCAAACACAAAAGATGATCCGCAGCCGACCAAGGTGAGATGTTTTCGCAAAGACGAACAATCCAAAGAATGCAGCGCAAGCGTACAAAGGGAAGCATTAAATGGCTAATGTTACAAACAAGTCAATGTCGGCCGTAAAATCAAAGCAATGTGTACTTTTGGTCATGTCGATATAGGTTGAACGGATATCGATGCTAAAGTCCGCTATGAGGAAGCCTTGCCTCCCCTCCGCTTAGGGTTTGCCGTAGGAGTTCGCTTCTTAGGCGTCTTCTTGGGACTCTCACCCTCGATGTACTTCATAAGCTCTTCGATGCTCCGCTGATCGACACGGTTAGTGCCGCTGCGCGGGCGGTTCGCAGTCGTTGTCTCGTTGGTAGTCTGTCCTACTGCGGCCTGCGGGCGCAGAGCACCGCGGTTGCCGAGCTGGAGGCGGCGGAGGCGGCCAGAAGCCAGAGCTTGATTTTGTTTTGCCTGTGTGACGGCGCTGGTAGTGAGCTGCTCCAGCCATTGCTCGGCCTCCTTGGTGTTGCGGTCGTCAGCGCCTAGGACGTCCTTGAAGATATGGAATGACTCTCGCATGCGCTTGACAGCGCCAGACATGTCCTTAACAAGCGCAAGAGACTGTGCGGTCTGGAAGAGGAGAGTAGCGGTGTTGATCGAAGTCTTGCCAGAAACCTCTTCGCAGATGCTGAGCGAGGCTTCGAACCAAACCTTGGACTCAGGGAAGTTCTTCAACGTCTGAAGCATCACTGCCGCATTGTTGAGCGTCGTGATGGAGTCAGGGTGGTCGACACCGTACACAATCTTCCAGAGCTCCAGGGCATGGCGGACGTAGACAAGAGCAGTGTTGCCGTTGCCGGTAGCGTGCTCGAAGAGAGCAAGGTTCAGGTACGCCAGCACGGTATCGGTGTGATCAACACCAAGGGTGCGCTCAGAAACGATGACTGCCTTGTGAGCGAGCTCAAGAGCTGCCGCCTTGTCATCAAGGTTGAATAGCAAGTTTGACAATGTGTGGTAGACACGTGCAACTTCTGGGTGCAGGACACCGTAGATCTGCTCGTGTAGGGTCAGAGACTCCAGGAGGAGCTCCTGTCCCAACTCCTTCTGGTCCTGGGCAACCGACATGCGGCCCGCCTCCAAAGCCTCCTCGGCCAACAAGCTCTTTGGCGACGCTTCCTTGACGATCGGGACGATGTTGAGGATGTCATCAGCGTGGAAAGTCTGTACTGTCTTCTGTGGCGCAGGACTAGCAGCGCGAGCGGGTGACGCAGTCTTGCCCTTCTTCTTCTTGCTCGAGGTCGAAGTGCCATTGGTGGCGGGGGCAGCGGTCGACGTTTCGCTTGCCGCGGTCTCCTTCGTGAACGCGTATTCCTTGTTCTCGAGTTGTAGACCAAGCTTTAGAGCTACCTCACGAAGCATCTGCAGCTTCTTGCCAGGCTCAATCCAAGCTTCATCGAGTTCGAAACGGTATCTCAGAGCAACTTGCGCAGTGATCTCCTTCTTGACATCCTCAGGCGTCAACTTCTCGAAGCTGAAGTCGTTCTCAGGGTAGAGTGCCTTCAGGTCGGCATCGCTCTCAGCTACAGGCTTTGCGTTAACTTCACCACCGAGAAGGCAGTTGAGCAAGTGCGCAACGCAGGGCGCGGCGAAAGGAGCGGACACATTGCGCAGCTTCGAGTTCGCGAAGTGCTTGAATCCACGAGCAATCATCTCCTGGATTACAAGGCGCCTAAGAGCCTGGAGACGAGGGTCCTCCTTGTCCGAGAGTTCCGCCAGCTCGCCTAGGTAGCGGATGTTGATACCACGCTTGTGCAACAGAAGGCTCAGCGACTGGCCGTCCATTGGGAATCCAACATCGCCGTCCTTGAGCTCCTGGATCAAACGCGGCATAACCTCAAAGAGCAAATGGTTGCAGGCAGCGCGAACCTCAGCCTCATCCTTGGCCCATTCAGCCTTGTCCTCTTCGGTTTGAGGATGTTGACCACAGAAAACATCCGGGTTGAGAGCGTAGCTGAAGCCAGAGATATCGACGCGGTCTTGGTCAGCAGCCTCAGCTTCCTCCTTGGCGACCTCGTCCGACTCGCCGTCAGTCTTCTTGTTCTCCTCCTCCTTCTCCTTCTTGGCCTCGCCCTTCTTCTCGAGCTCCTTCTTAACGTACTCGCGAAGCTTCAAGCGGCCGAATGACTCCACAAGCTCTGGTCGCAGGGTTGCCATGCGGTGAGGGTAGTCCTTGCCTTCCTCCTTCTCCTTGCCATCCTCAGATGGTTCGCTCCAGTGCTCCTCAATCCAGCTAACATCGACGGGAGTAAGACGGTAGAGGTCGAGAGCATATCGCCTTCCGTCGGTACCGATAAGACCCTTGGTCTCGACGCTACCCTCGAGCTCATGTCGTACGTTGTCCTTGTCCCAAACAGGATGCTTCTTGACACGGAGTGCCTTGGACATCTGCTCAAACAGGGGGATGAAGGACTTGTCGTCCGCGACAATCTCCTTGCCCTCAACTGCGCCATAATCGATCTGGTGCTCTCCAGGGTCACGCTGCTTAAAGATGCCTGGAACAATGCTCTGGCCAACGATGCGCTTGCCGAGGTAGTCTACAACGACAGTACCGGACGTAAACAAGTTGGGAATGTCCAAGTTGTTGACGGCGCGGACACCGAAGACGTCCTTGCCAACCGCAACACGCGCAGCCTCGTCGCCACCCTCGGTGCCGAAAGTGCCAACACCGTCAGCACCGAAAGAGTAGAAGATGTTGTTGTAGACGAAGATCTGCGCGTCTCTGGCCTCGGTAGGGTTAAGAGGAGCAATCTCTCCGCGGGCTACGAGCATAGCACCGCGGGTGGCGGCATCATTGTAGTCGGCAAATAGTTTCGAGGTAAGTCGCTCGCGGAAGACACGGTCCTGAACCGCCTCCTTGGGCATCTCTCGGGTCGACTGAAATTCCTCATTCCAATCACGGAGCGTCTCCGTGTTCTCTACGCCCGAAATCAGATAGCTCTCCTGAGTCCGCGCAAGATCGGGCTGATGTGTGGTATGCGGGGAGTTAGCCGCAGGGACCAACCACGGGTTGGCTGGAATCGCGTTGGAAAGCTGGAAGAAAGTGAGTGGGTCTCGCTTCTGGGTGTGCTCGAGGTATGACTGGAACGCTTGAGAGAATGAAGGAGAGAGCTCTTCCAGAAGAGTCAGGAGCGAGTGGGCCGAGTGGGCCTTGGGTGCTTGCCGAGGAGACGGGTCAAACTTGGCGTTGGACGACTTGTTGACGTAGAAGCCAGAAACAGTCGCTGTGATGTGGTGCTGCTCGTTCTCGTTGGTGGTGAGGAGGAGGTATAGAAGATGGCCCTTGGATCGCAGGTGGTACGGTGGGGGGTTCCAGGGTGAGACGGAGATGGACTTGATCGTCTTTGGCGCAGGCTCCTGGGCCGGTGCTTGCAGTGTCTTGACTGAACCGCCAGCCTTGAAGTCGTAGGTGCTCAGGGGCGTCTGCTCGGTCGACTCGTCTCCTTTGCCTGACGCTTCCTGCCCAACGGTGTCGTGCAGCGACATGCCAGCCATGATGCCGTGGAGGGCATCTGTGCGGTCTCCCGCGGCGCCAATGAGCTCGCGAACGCGAATGACGTGCATCCGTGCCTCCTTCTCGGTGTATGGGTCCTCAACGAGGGTGAGGACGGCATCCGCCTTGAGACCCGGGACCTCGGATAGCTCCACATAGTCGTTGATGCGCTGGCCATCGATCTCCAGATGGAAGCAGGAGTACTGGAACAGCTGAGGTGTCTCGATGATGGCCTGGCGGAGGTCCTGCACCTGTTCGCTTGTCGAAATCTGTTCTCCATCAGCGCTGTTTACCCCTCCAACCGTGACTCAACCTACAGTGATGGCGTGCTCATACGGCGCATGCGGCAGCTTGACCGTTATCTGGAATATGGCTGCACCTCCATCAGTGCTGTCCATAGCTTCAGGTATTCCATGTTCTGACATACTGTCGGCGTGGCCGTTGGCGACCTCGTCTCCCTTCGGCTCCACGGGGCCGTCTCCGTTGGTCTGCTGGACGGCATTGGCCTCGCCGGCTTCTGCTCGACGGTTGGGGTCAGCCAAAAAGTCCCAAAGACGCATGCTGGCCCAAGGCTGGCGGGTTTAGGGGCGGTGTGGGGGCGTGGGTGCTCACCTGGCTTGGAAGCGTCATTGTTGGACGACATGATGGCGAAGAGGGAAAGTGCAACTGTATCCGATCGCAACTCCAAGAGCGCAGCTGACAAGGAAGGAGCGGGTTTTTACTGTAAAGATAATATACAGAAAAGGAGCATTAATGTACAATGGACGCGTCAAGTGGAATGCGAGAAGGGAGACAGCTGCAGCTCGATGGTCCAAAACTTTTTCGAGCCGAGTCGTGCACACGGGCCCGCATCCCGCTAACCCGGGGCTTCTCCGACGCAGCCGAGCAGCCCTGGCCGTCTTCCCAGGCACGCGGATGATGCGCCCCCAATCTGCTGGCCGGCGGATCGGACGGCATTGCGCGCTGCTGGCTGCGTGCTGGGCGTGTATATAAGTCTCGGGCACCGCTGCGTCTGCGCGACGCCGCAATGGACCTCCTCGACGGCGGCGTGTCGCCCGCGGGCGTGCCCGTCCCATCCCGAGCGCTGCAGGATGCACTGACCCCCGTCCCCAGCGACGGACGCCTTGAAATTGCAATTCGGCGTCATGGCAGGGCAGTCCGCCGATTCACCTACAAGACCGCGCCGGGGCTCGCTGGCCCTCGACTGCTGCTGGTAGCCGCGCACGCATGTTCCTCGTTTGACATTTGATTGCCGTCGCCTCAATTGGCCTCGCCGCGACCCGTGTTGGTGCGCGACACAGCTGCGCGTCAAACATGTTCATGCACAGGTCCGCCCTCACCACTGCCATTGCGCGTGCCCATGTCCCGCTTCGACGCCAGCACCCACATCCCTCCTTTGTGCGGTTACAGCCGGCTGGCCGCGCAGCCTTGCAGCCCTCATTCGCCCGCGCCCTGACCGGTCAGAGTGGTAGGACAACCACCGTGTCTATACCATCATGCAGCTCCTGACGTGCGCCCGCAGGCCCACCCACGCCCGGCAACGATGCGCCCAACCCCGTCGACGATGCCACCGAACAAGCCAACGAAGATGACGGAGGGAAGTGGCACAAGTACAAGGGCACGGCGTTCAAGATGTTCGAAGCGGCCGCGACCACGGGCGCTTCCATCCTGATCCTCGGCATAGTCGGCTACAGCTACACGCGGTACTACAAGCACAATGTGCTGTCCAAGATGGAGAACGCCTTTACCCCCGGCGATCCCGTCCTCGAGCTGGCCGCCGTCGGCAAGGAAGTCCCCAATGCGCCGCACGCGAACGTCTCCGTACCGGGCTCTGAGGACGGGGGCGAGTACGATCGCTGGATACCCCGCGAGGAGCAGGCACGCATCGATAGAATCATGTGCGGTGAAGAGAAGGGCCGCTACCATCTGCTCATCGGCGAGAAGGGCACCGGAAAGAGCTCCATGCTGATCGAAGCCATGTCAAAGATAGATGGCGAAGGAGTGGCTATGCTGGAAGCCCACGCTGATCCTGAGATCTTTCGCATCCGTGTGGGACGCGCCCTAGACTTCGAATTCCACGAAGACAACATCGGGGCCCTGTTCTCCATCCGCGGACCGCGCGATGCCTCCGCCCTTCTAGACATCGAGCGCGCCTTCAACAAGCTCGAAAAGGTTGCATTGAAGCGCCGTGCGCGCGTCGGGCGACCACTTGTCTTGATCATCAACCAGGCCCATCTCATTAGGGATGACGACGACGGCCGCGACCTCATCGAGCTCATCCAGCAGCGCGCCGAGCAATGGGCCGCCTCCAACCTCGCCACCGTCATCATAAACTCGGACAAATACTGGGTCTATGAGCGTCTCAAGCTCCACGCGACTCGCATGGAAGTGACCCAAGTCTCGGACCTCCCCAAAGACCGCGCCATGCAAGCCCTCAAAAACTACCGCATGAAGTACTGGAAAGAAGCCACGCCGGATTCGGTCCTCACTGAAGTCTACAACAAAATCGGCGGGCGTCTCACCTTCCTCAACCGCGTCGCCAAAGCGCAGGACATGATCCACAAGTGCGACGAGATTTGTGAAATGGAGAAGACGTGGTTCCTGAACAACTGCGGCATCCTCGGCAGCGAGATGGACGACGACGTCATGGACCAGCAGAAATATGCGTCCACGGCGATGGTGCTGGCCTTCGCCCTCCACAAGAAATACGAGGAGATGGACAAGACATACGACGACACCATCGGCCACATTCTCCCCGAGATCCCGCTCCACCAGGCGCGCTACATCATGACGCGCGCAGACTTCATCCGCCAGCACCACGATCTCTCCATCTTTGCGATCGACCGCCACGCAAAGGTCCGCGCGGATAGCGTGCCCATGCAGCGCGCGTTCAACCAGATCTGCAGCGAGCCGGGCTTCGAGAAGTTCCTGGAGGCGACGCTGGATCGGATCGGCGATATCGAGAGCTTGGGCCGCACGAAGGAGCTTACCTTCAAGGATTTGTGGGAGGGCGGGAAGTACAAGATTACGAGTAGGGACAGGAAGGGGAATGAGGTTGGCGTGGTGGAGATGGAGACGGTTGCGCCGCCGGAGAAGGAAGATGATGGGGATGACAAGGACTGATCGCTACCGAGTAGCAGATCATGCACAGGATTGGGTTATCTGGGCTGGGAAACGTATCATGTGCTCCATGGAACGCGGCTGTATGACCACGCTGTACGATACGGATGGGTCTGGGCGGGATACGTCGGTTTCGGTTGGAGGCTACGCCGGGATTGGATTGAGGGACGAAGATACCCTTCCTATGTCACTGTTGTACGCCTGTTTTTCCTTTGGTCTCGAACCATTTCATTGAGTATCTTATTGTATCCAACATCTCTTTGCGTCCTGTCTCGTATCAATGCATGTCCATCTTCTTGCATAGAACAGCAAATTATGTGCTCTCGACGTCCTTGTGTCTGCTACGTATCAAAGCTCCCTGTAGAACAGAGTCTCCCGCCTTGCTCACGGTTCCTATCGTCGGTTCTTATGTAGAGTTGACCCAGCGCTGCTTTTACTTTGGGAAGCCGCGAAGCACTGCCTAGCCCGTATGCTGTGCGAACAATAAGAAAGCAATGCATATGTCGTTCATTTCGAGACTAATCGCTATCCTCGCGCGCACACCGTGCGCAGCCTGTAAAACAGAAATTGGTATCTAGAGTAACCAGAGAAACACGCCCTATATCCCACCAACTCGTCTTCGACTGTGGCCCCCGACCGTCCACGTTCCACCTTGAACTTGGGCCGTCCATCCCATGAAGTCATCGATGACACAACCTCAGCCCCATCCCCGTTCCATGGCAATTATTCTCCAGTTCTCGCTCTACGGATCGGCATCGCCAGTCCACACGAACCACGCAGCGCAGATGTTGGCTGCGAGGATCCACACACCAGCGTACCCAGCAGAGCCAGCAATCTCGCTTCCCTCGAGCGTCGCGCCCCTGAGGACAGTGTTCGCAAGTAGGAAGGTGCTCAGCACAGCGCTCCGCTGAATCAGCGTCCGCGTGCGCCTGCTGAAGAACCAGAAGTTGTGCTTCAGCGTCTGCGGGAGAGTCGCGGTGGCAGGCTCGAATGGGCCTACAGGAGTCACCGCACCCGTCTCAGGCTGCGCGCCGATGGCGGGATCCAAGAGGAAGGCTTTCGTGGCGTAGCCCGCGACGAGGAGCTTCGGGATAAAAGTCGCGGCCTGGACGTCGTGGGCGAGCTCGACACTGGGGAGGTCGAAGTGGTTGATGAGGAAGATGGTGAGCCAGTTTGTCTGCAGGGAGCTGTACAGCACGGTGGCGTAGACGCCAACCGCGAGCGCGGTGTTGGACCATGAGACCTGGAAGCTGTTGAGAAGGTAGCGGTTGCGGATCGGGACGGCCGGGTTGTTGATGTCGGCGATGGGGCGGAGGAGGTACGTTGGGAGCGCGATGGAGATGACTTCGATGGCAACGTGGGCGGCGGCAGTCAAGAGGGAGATGTTGTAGAAGGTGGTGAGGAGGAAGGCGAAGGGGATGTTGATGACGGCTGTAAGCGCGCCGATGTCGAAGTCTGCGTAGATTAGCACGTTGTCTTCGAATAGATATTCCAGCGCGCGTCTTACAGTCATATCGCAGCTTCCACGCGACAGACACCAACGCGATCTTGCTCACAAGCCGCACGATGGGCTCTGTAAGCTCCCCGAACCCTTCCTGCTCTTGCCCGGGTCGCGGAACCTTGCTCACAGCGCCGAGCTCATGAGAGAGCACGTTTTCCGCACCCGTCCAAAGCGCGCTTTGCAAGCAGATGTTCAGGATGATCAGCATGGGTAGGCGCACAAACGAGGGCAGCCTGGCGCGTCGCGATGCGCGCGGAACAACGGTGGGCGGCGGGCGGTCGGCCATTGCGATATTATGCAGAATTAAACCGGTGTATAGAAGGAAAAAGCGCGATGTGAATGCGCGTGTGGGGTGGAGTGCGCCGCGCAGGCTGGACGTGGTGCAAAATGGGTGTTGATGTTTGGTTGACAGAACGTCATCAACACGCGCGAGCACGGGCCACTCCACTTTCCCAGCCATCTTGTCTTGCTTCAGTGCATACTCGTTCTTCGTACACGTCTTCTCTTCAACTCTCCACTAACTATCGCTGCGAGCAATTGCTTCGAACGTTCTAACCGTTCTTCGGTCTTCACCATGTCAGCTTTTTGTAGCCTCCATTTGCTGTGTTCCGTTACTGTTTCCACATATAGGGTCGAAAGCCTGGAGTAACCAATATATTTGCGTCGGCATCGGATTAAGTTGTCTTGATGTGCAGACCAGACTTCGCAAAGTCCTTGGGAGTTGACTTCTTTCTGCCGTGTTTCCTCCAGTGGCGTTTCGGTGCCAGCAGGGAGTCCGTTATGGAAATGGACATCCCATGCCCGTCAGCATCGTGTAGGCTTGTCTTGCCACTTTGGTCCAGACCGAGGCCATACTCGCCTCAAATTGCTCGACGAAGGCCAGCCGCGGCGAGTAATGTGGCAACTCGTCCAAGGACACCAATCGTATACGCAAACTTGTTGATATCTCCGCCTGCACGCTTATGCTTATTACCTGCAGCACACGAGGTAGACTTTGTTCTTGTGAGAAGCGTCGCGCATTATGGAGAGGTTTTACCACGACTTCGGAACCTGACCGAAAACGACGCCAAGGTGCGAGAAGCTCATCCCGCGATGTCGCCTATGTCTGGTCTTCAGGTTCACTAAACGTCTGATGAAACCATAAAAGGCGGTTTCTCCCGATAGCACAAGCTCACCGCTCCAAGACCCGAGATTGCACCGCGTGGTTTTGAGCCTCATAATGCGGCTCAATATTAGTCTGCCATTGCCCCACTGCGTAGCGTGTTGGGAACGTAACCTTTCACCCTCACGTGCGTCTTCCCGTGATATCTGCCAATCACGACCGCTGGTGTTGCATCCGATTTGGCGTAGTAGTGTCGCACCCCCACACTATGCGTGCACCATCATCCCCACGTCTGCCGACGACAAGCATTCGCAGCGCAGCGTCGTGCCGACAACCTCTGCCGCCACGTCGAACTCGAATCGATTTGCAAACGATTGCAACATGGCTGCTTCCCCGCATTAGCGCACCGAGGCGACCGCTCGATGCGGTAAAGATGCGCTGTCTTGGCTGACACTGTCTGCGCGCGATTCAAGGAAACACCTCGCGATGTGACCGTTTGGTAAGCGGAGGACGGCTCCTGGGGTGTGGGGACTCCATGGGCAAAGCCTTCTCCCGCGACTCCGCGAGCTACCCCGAGACGAGGCAATAGGAGATAAAGGCCAGTCGCTGCCCTCCTCTCGCGTTCATCCCGTTTCTCGTTTTTCGTCGCGTCATGGCTGCCTCCGACGTCAAAGACCTGGATGCGCAGGAGCTGGAGCGGGTTGGCCAGGCCATCCACGCGAGCCAGATGGATCCCGAGAGGCGGAAACAGGTCGAGAAGAGGCTGAAGATGAAGTTGGACCTGCGATGCTCGATTTTCGTCCTCATGTACATCATGAACTATCTCGATCGAAACAACTTGGGAGCTGCACGTCTCAAGGGTCTCGAAGCTGACCTCCGTCTCGACGAGACGCAGTATGCGACTTGCCTCAGTATTCGTAAGTATACCACCTGGGTTATTTCAGAAGGAACAGGTAGCTGACCGCCTGCAGTATACGTTGGCTACATTCTGATGCAAATTCCGTCCAACATGTAAGAGATAGGCCGCCCTAACTAATTGGCCTGCATGCTGACACAGTCCAGGATCATCAACAAAGTCCCTCGCCCATCATGGTACATTGGTATCGTCATGCTCATTTGGGGAATGATCTCAACGCTCTCCGGCAACGTTACGTCCTTCGGCGGCATGGTGGCCATCCGTTTCTGCATCGGTTTCGTCGAGGCCGCTTTCCTTCCTGGAGCCCTCCTCATCCTATCCAAGTGGTACACTCGCCGCGAACTCACGAAGCGCAACGCCATCCTCTTCTGTGGTAACCTGATTTCGAACGCCTTCAGTTCCCTCGTCGGCGCCGGCGTGCTGTCGAACATGGAGGGCACGCTCGGTCACAGGGCCTGGAGATGGCTGTTCTGGATTGAGGGTGCAGCCACTATGTTCATCGCGATCCTCGCCATCTTCATTCTGCCCGATCTGCCGCACAATACCAGAGGCTTTACGGAGGAAGAAGGCGCCGTGGCTGTGCTGCGCATGACGGAGGATGTTGGTGAGGCGGACGTGGACTCCGAGACCATGGGTGCATTTAGCGGACTTCTCATGGCCGTCAAGGACGTGAAGATTTACGTTATGATGCTCACCTTCACTGCCTACGTCGTTGGGCTCTCCTTTAACGCATTCTTCCCCACGCTCACCGGCACTCTCGGCTTCGGATACGTCCCCACGCTTCTGATGAGCGCCCCGCCGTGGGCATTTGCCTGCATTGTCAGCTTGATCAACGCATGGCACGCGGATCGCTGTGAGGAGCGCTTCTGGCACATCGTCGGCCCCATCATCGGCGGCATCGTCGGCTTCGTCATCAGCATGTCTACTGAGAACGTTGCCGCGCGATATGTCGCGCTCTTCCTGCAGGCCTCCGCCTACGCAGGCTTCATCGTATTCTACTCCTGGATCTCGTCTTCCTTCCCGCGTCCGCCGGCGAAGCGCGCAGTCGCTATTGCCATGATTAACGCGTTCTCGCAGCTTGGCAACATTGCGGGGTCGTATGTCTGGAACATGAAGGCGAACGGGTACAGGAAGAGCTACGGGCTTGTCACGGCCATGTTCGGCGTTACGATCTTCGGATGCTGGGTCTTCAAGATTATCCTCCAGCGGCTGAACAAGCAGATCGACGAGGGCGAGGCGGCGTGGGTGACGAGCGGGGATGTGGCCGAGCAGACCGCAAAGACGGAAGGTGTGTCCGTGGAGGAAGGGACGAAGTTGGTCAGAGGGTTCAGGTACCTCATCTAAGAGGCTACACTGTCGAGGTAGTGGTGACTTTGTCCATCGCCTCACTCTTTAGACAATTATGTGCATATTCATGGAACAAGTCAAAGCTCCGTCACAATCGTACTCTGTACTATAGTTGCGCATTCGTGTAACTCCACTTCTCCCTTGAGCATGCGCTGCCGGTCAGCGGTAACCGCAAGGCGCATTTCGAAGCCTTCGATCCAGATACGGGATGGGCTTCGCACTGACACTTGTGACGTTCAGGCTGCACCTCAGCCCACCCAGGTCTTCAGCTGTCCCTCGGACATAAAAAAAAATAGAGCCAAAAAAAAAATAGAGCCTATGCTAGCCTCCTGGCACTCCATCACACTCCAGAATCCCCATGTGTCGCTTGCTACTATGGCAGCGCCCTTCACCACCTGCGTCGAATGCTTCGAGACTTTCTCCCAGGGAAGGGATTTCAGTCATCTTCTCGTCGAGCTGGACTTTGAGAAAACACAACTACTGTTATGGGGAAATTCAAGCGGTATCCTCAAGGCCGTGAAGAAGGAACGCCATCCCTCGTTTTGCAGGCTTGATCATCGTCGGAGAAGTTGACTTCTGCACACCACTGCTACAAGCTGAACCATTTCCATGGACGCCGAGGTTTCCAAGAGAATGCGAGGTTTATGAAATTACTCAAGTTGGTTTGACGCACAAACGAAAGTACATCAGTAAATTGACTCTACGCCAGCCTCCACCAGAAACCGCCACGGCTTTATCGCAAAGACAGGCTTCAAGGAAAGCGACCCTTGGGGCCGAGAGCTCCAAAGTTGCCATTAGGTAAACGCTCCGCTTCACCATTGGCATCTGCAAGTGGGAAGCGAGCCTTCATCCTGTCAATGACATCGGATCGTAGAAGTCCAGCGTCCAATTCTTCCTCTAGTTAGGCGTACAGTCAAATACACATTGACTTGCTATGAGAAGGCAGAGGAATAAGAAGAGGTCGAGAACGGTGCCAATGGCGCTACAAGGCTACGAAAGAGGTATAGAAATGATCCAGAAGGTATAAGCGTACCGAGCAGCTCTAATGCTGCACAGTAGTATCATCAAATGACCCCATAGCTGGCTAAAAACAACCAAAACTCCTCACAACAGTCGAACGTCAAAGTTTTGAGCGGTTAGCTTGTACACGTTCTAGAGAAGCCGGTGTTCCAAAGGACTGTACGTTGTTGGTTGTCACTCGTTCAAGCCTGAGATAAAAGTGTTCTACATGAGATTCCTGGAGGAGTGACGTCATGCCGTCTTCCGCACAATTTCGGCTGACAGTTCCGAATGTTTGTCAACAATCACGACACTCTGTGCTCACCACCAGCCGTACGATCACGATGGCAGCCGTATATTCCATAGTCGTACAGAGAAATTCACAACTACCGATATGACGCCCATCTACACCGTTTCTCCCTCTCCCGAAAAAGGTCTCGGCTGCTTCTCTACCAAACTAATCCCGACTGGCACCCTGATCCTCAGCGAAACACCGCTCTTCAACGTACGCGAGCCGCGCACCAATGCCGCCGTCCTGGCCGCCTTCTTGAATATCACTAAATCCGAGCAAGAGAACTACCTCACCTTATACGCTCAGACCGCGACAACCCGAGACGCCAAGGTTATCGACATTTTCAACTCCAATGCTTGGCAGACTGGATCTCGCACGTCGATTTGTCCCCAGGCTGCGCGGTTCAACCATTCGTGCGTGCCGAATGCGAGCTTTGCCTGGAACTCACGATTGGGAAAAGTCACAGTACATGCTGTCACGGCGATCCCAGCGAACACGGAGATCCTTCTGAGCTATGAGCGACCATATCAGGTTGGAAGTGCGCGACGTGAGAAACTGTCCGCGTATGGCTTCGTGTGTTCGTGCGTGGCATGTGGCTCCGGGGCTGAAGCAAGTGACATTCGCAGAGCACGAATGGTTCTATTGGACGCGCGGATTCGATGCCAACGGAGACAGCTGTGGAGGTCGGCTATACCAAAAGCCGAGGTCGAGTTGGTAAGGATATTAAAGGAAGAAGCCATCGTAGGCGAGGCATTGGGGCTTGCGCATCACGATGCAGCGGTGGGTTGGAGGAAGTATGGGAGGGTGGACTTGGCTGTGAGACACGCCGCCAAGGAGCTCGAGATCTGCATTATTTGTTTCGGCCCGGACTCTTCGTCCGTTGATACGACGAGAGCGTTCTTGCTAGAACTGAAGGCGCAGCTTGCAAAAGAAAGTCTCTTGGTCTCAGAGCCAGTTCTGTTAGCAGAAGGTGTTTCGCACTCGACCGGTAGGCGCCCGCCTAGGCCTATATGGGCAGTTTATCGCGCCTAAACAATCCATCACTCTTACTTCATTTGCGTTTGCATCGTAAATATACTCGAACAATCTTGGCTGCAGTCCGCTCTGGTTGTCTCACTTTGAAATGAACATAGGAAGGATGTGTACTATTATGGTTTATAACTTGTCTTCAGTCGTGAGTCGATGCTCTTCGCGCGAGAGGTGTGGCATGCCCGCCTATATACAATAGCTCCATCTTTCGTCCGTACGCACGGACGTTTCCTGACCAGGAGCAGCGGCTTGACTTCACTCCGCTTCTGCAACAATATTAGCCCGATGGTCGATCAAAGACCCTCCGAAATTCGACTTCTACGCTCAAGAGCGTTGAAATGTCACTGAATGTATGGCTTTGTTGTCGCAAACTATGGCGCGAGGGTGTATGAGCGATGGGTATAAATGCGGCGAGGATTCCTGCTCATTCAGAAGGGCAGAACGAGAGACTGGACATCAGCGACTCAAAGAATTGCACGGCAGATCAAATTCACCTCACCAGGCCTACTACGAAAAAAAAATCAGTGCATCATCAGCTGGTCAAGCCTTGTCTTCTTGACCAACCCGACCCCTACTATTTCTTCCACAATGCCTCTCCCGCTAGTCCACTACCTGTACCGCTCAGGCCTCCCCAAGTATTTCCGCCAGGACTCTAATGGAGAATCTAGCTGGGCTCTAGTCACCGGAGCCAGCGACGGCATCGGATGGGAGCTCTCACGACAGTTAGCTGAACGCGGCTTCAATGTTATCCTCCACGGCCGCAACACCGCCAAACTCTCCCGCTGTCGCTCAGAGCTCGAAGCTAGCTTTCCCGCCCGCCACTTCCGCACCATCGCAGTCGATGCCTCCGCCTTCACTGATGCCGATATCGACCGCATCGTCGCGACCACAACCGATATCCCCCTCACTATCCTGGTCAACAACGTTGGTGGCACGGCACCGCTGTCGTCCAACTTCAAGCACTTCGAGGACTACACCACCGCCGAGATCGACGCCGTGTTTTCCCTGAACATTACGTTTCCCCTGAAACTAACGCGCGCTATCCTGCCACGTTTCCAGGCGCAGTCCTCCCCCACGCTTGTCCTGACATGCGGCTCGCAGTCGCAGATCGGCCAGGCCTACGTCGCGGGGTACTCTGCGACCAAGGGCGCGCTGCACACGTGGAGCCGGGCGCTCGCCGCCGAACAGTACGAATCTAAATCCCAAGTTGAGATCTTGGAGGTTATCGTGGGTGGGACGTACACGCAGCAGCTACAGAAGGATCCTAATATGAAGCCGGGGGTTTTCATGCCCACCGCGGAGATCATGGCGAGGGCGGCGCTAGCGAGGGTCGGGCATGGGCATAGGTGGGTGGTTGGGTATTGGGGACATTGGGTGCAGGGGTTTTTGCTGTATACGTGCTTGCCCGGGTGGATGGCGGATAGTGTTGTGGCGGGGATCCTGAAGCCGAGTGTAGAAGCGAAGAAGACGTAGTAGTTGAGCTTGAGGGTGGGGGAATGTGAAGATTGTGGTGCGTGCTGGGAGTAATACGGATGGTCGGCCTTTCGCGCGGAGATGCGATGGGCCTTGATTTGAGAATGGATGGTGTCCGTGGGTGTGGTTCTAGGCTGAGATTTGAGCGCAAATTCGAATATGTGCAGGAACCAAAACAACAGAAGAGCCACGGAAGCTTTCAACAGACTCATCACATGAATTTCATTTGTATGTTTGTCCAGGTCATCAAAATTCGCATCTCCACCAATCCGAGGTACTGCCCATAGACAAGCCATCGACCCCTGCCTCACACCCGCGTGACGACTAGACACAGGGTCTGCAATAAGCACCTCGCTTCGCTGAAATAGCCAGCTCCAGATGTCAGAAACCGACGATATTTTGATTTCCAGTGGCGGGCAAAGTAGCACGCACTCTGTCAGCACGGCGGCGGCACCAAACGGACATCGCGCGTATCTGCGTCAGATCTAGCAGCTTAGCGCGGTCAAGCGAAGACAAGCTTTAGCAAAGCCTAGCAAAGTCCCCGCCGCACCGGGGTGCATGGTGGCGCACTCGGTCCCGCTGGGGGCCGGTCGTGCGAAGGATGTCTGCTTCGAGAGTGCCCGTGTCTTCGATATCGCCGATGACTAAATGCAAGCGCGAGGATTTGCTGAGTTGCTCTGCAAGGCATGAGGTTTTGCGCATTACGGAACATCACGCAATGCGGTAATGTCTGGGAATAAGCTAAGATCTACAAGATGCGCGATATGGAGGTCAGGGACTAGCGACGGTGTGTGAGGCATTGGTTGATAAGTAAAGTGTTTTCCCCACAGGTGTCGCATCTCGCTAAGCAAACCGTCGGATGCGCGCGGCGATGAGCAATGCGTACGTGAGGGTTAGTTCGCTCGTAGGTGATCATGATGATGTCTACTTGTATCCCCTTCCGATGTTGATTTCACGATAGACGGACTAGCGTGTAGGAGGGCTGGTAATGCAAATGTGCATGTTGGATTAAGGTTGAGGTTCAAATTGGCATGTACACGACAGGCCCGCTATGACATCGTCGCGCTAGCGCCCGCTGGCGATGACGTCGCGCCTGTCAGTCCGCATGTAGTGTTTTGCCGGCACGCGCATGCTACTGGCGCGCAGCGGCTCTCGGATGCCGTATGGCGCTGATAAATGTGGCGAGCAGTATACCAAGCGGCAACAATAAGCATTGATCGGCCGAATGCGCCTGCGAACAAAAGTCGCCCGCCGCGCTGGTTCATCTCGCCCAACTTCAGCTTCTCGAGAGCAAGCAGCCGTCGACGTCCTTGGCTATTTCCGAGTAGCACGGTCGTCATTGCTTCCACAGCTCTTGCAAGGAGGAAAAGTATACAATCACAGGGCTCATCCCGACTCAGTTCTACCAGACATCCCATCTCCACGCGCCCCGCCTACGTGTACACAGTACCACCACACCATCCCACTCCCCAGCCATCCGCTTTTAAATTCCAACTCCCTTCTATATCCCTCCATTCTGTTTAGCTACGCCGCACACATTCTTCACCCCTAGCAAGCCATGGCCGTAATATGGGGCCTCGACCTGAAGGAGATGCAATGGGGCAAGTTCAAGAACAGCTACATGTGGAACAAGGAGTACCACCTTCGCCGGACAAAGTTCATTGTATACCAAATCGCCATGATCTTCTGCGTTGTGAGCGAGAGTCTGGGCACCGCCGCGCTTAGTGGTATGCATATTTCCCCCTATATTACCACCACCTGATTTGCTTTGCATACTAAGTTTCTGTAGATTACGTCGACCAACAAGACTTCGTCGCAGCGCACTCTCCTGGCCCGGAATCCGCCACCGTCCACAACAACGACTACGTCGGCATCGCCTCCTACAACATCTTTGTCGGCGTGTATGTCGCCACCATCTTCGGCTCTGCTTTCTTCTTCGACCTCTTCTGGCCCGAGCGCAAGGAGATTCCCTCCGTCAAACTTGCATGGCGCATATGCTCCGTCCTGGCATGTCTGTTCACGCTCTCCTGCGCGCTCGCATACACGGTAATCCTCGCGACGCGGTCCGCGTATGTGACCGGGACCGATGCGACGACGGCTTCGCGCCTACTCGCTGAGTATGGAGGGAGTCCGATGCGGTACCGGGATAACGGGCGGGCGGTTGCGAGCGTGGTGTTTCTGTGGCCTGGAATGCTGGCTACGTTTGCGAGGTACGTTATTCTCCTGTTCCCCTTTCCCTTTCCTCCTCTCTAATGTATACTTACGAGTCCAGTACCGCATTGCTCTGGCACTCCCTCTCCCACATCGACGCGCACGGCCCCAAGTCCACACATGCCCGCACCCGCGATGGCCTCAGTGGCGACGCCGACGCCGAGAAACCTGTTAACGGCAGCGCGGACGGCATTGCGGGCACCGGCAACAGATACGCCCCGCCCCGTATTTCTGAGTAGTTTACAGATCATCGGCCCAACTTTGAGGATATCAGGCATTCTGTCGAGCGAACCGCTGCCGAGTGCAATATGCTGCTGAATGCGGCACAGGAGTATAGGGATAAGGCTAAGGCTAAAGCCAAGGGATGTCGTGCGACTTCAGCATTGGATGGGGATACGATCGTTAATGATGGTGGTGATGGTAGAACTGTGGGAGCTGGTGAGAGTATCGAGATGCAGGATCTGGCTGAGTCGAGGAGTATACAAAGTCTGACCGGCCTATATAAGGCTGGGAGGGGGTGAGTTGGGGGGTGAGCGACGTGTATTGAGCGTTTTGGTTTGGTTTGGCTTGCATTAATACCCCGACGTATGAGTGTGCGGCGTTAGTCTTGGGTTTGAACATGCATTTTTGGTTGGGAGCGTGGGTTAGCATGCCGCAAGGCTGTATGAATCATGGATACTCTGCAATTTTTGTTGTGATTATATGTGTCTCACTGATGCCGTGTATATGCAATGTGCTTGGAACTGCGTGGTGCGTCCGAGTTCATCTGAGCCTCGAATAGATTGGTGGCAAAGGCTCGTAGTTGTTAACGAGCTCAACTTCTTTTGATTTACAACCAATATCTCTGTGCACGTCGGGCCTGTGCGCAGAGTAAATATCTGTTGGCTCGTGAACGGAGCCAGAACTGCGGCGGCACAGCATCCTAGAGGACTCATTGTAGAATGAGCAGGCCCAGACTATCGAGTAAGCAAGTTCACCAAGTGCTCAACTTCCTCAGGTTTACAGTGGACTAAGATCGTTGCGGTCCATGGCCTCGGCGCCCATCCCGATGACAGCTGGTCCAAGAATGTGGGGACTGGGAGTCCTCATAGTGGATCAACTGGCTTGAGTGCAAAAGCTTGCTCCCGGCTGTCGCGCTGAATGCGCGTATTATGCGATATGAATACGAGTTGTAGTGGTTTGGCAAGGAGGCAATGCAAAAACACGTATCTACGGTGGCAGAGTAGTTACTGCGCAACTTTACGCGGAAGAGAAAGGTACTAATGTTAATGTTTCCCTGTAAACATACGTCCACTGATTTAACTAGGATACCAAGTCCCAGCCGCCACTATTTATAGCGCATTGCTTCGACGGCTTGGTCGTCGTACTCAAGGTGAGGATGAAAAGTAGTCTAGACGATTTGCTAGTAGCTAAGTCGTGTAGGCACTACTAGAAGCTAAGCAGTATCTATGCGAGTGGCCTGAGATATTTCAGTCCACTACTGGCGTGATCTTCTTTGGTGTGCCGTTCAGGGGTGCGGGCGGCATGAACCAGATGGAGATGCTGGAGGCGGCACGGCGCAAGTACCACGAGGATCAGGTGCAGGCCACCGCGCTTGAGATACTACAGCCGGGGGACGCGTATTTGCAGGGTTTAGTGGACGGGATTTGGAAGAAGATGCGAGGCGAGAAGAACAAGACGCAGCTTGCGTGCTTCTATGAACCCAAAGCTAGCGACGTAGGGAGAATTGTGGGAGGTCAGGAACGAACAGTAGGGATCCCTAAATGCTACCGAACTTTTGAGACTGATGATATACAGAGGTTTGTGGTTAGTCAAAGCTCTGGCTGCCTCGACCTGTCGGACGCAACGAGGAAGTAACCGCTCTCGCGCGCCCACTTCAATATGAACAAATTCGGAAAAGCAGCAGAGGAAGCATTTGAAGCAGTAGCAGAAGTCGTTACGGAAATGATCGATGCGTCGCATACGCTTCTGCGGGCTCGGTCTCAGTGTAACAATTCATCCTCGCAACGAATGAAACAGTGCAGGAGTTGACTTACATGGCAGACCACGGGAAGCACAAAGTTGACTCACATCTCAAAGGCGTGCCAATGGTGGGCAGATTCGTCCAACGTAATGCAGAAATGCAGTACTAGAGCACTTCCTCATCAGAGATACAGCATCCACCAGTCGACAGAGGATTGTCATTCTCCATGGCCTTGGAGGTATAGGCAAGATAAAGCTAGCAGTTGAATTCGCAAGGAAACACCGAGGCGATTTCAGTAGCATCTTCCGGTTGGATGGGGAGTCGGAGGTCAGCCCGAGGCAGTTCATTCGCGAACATAGTGCAGAGGTTACCGCAGGACGAGCTAACACCGGAGGGTAGGAGAAAGCTGGAGCAGTCGACGATGGAAATCGACGCAGCGCTGCGTGAATGCCTCCGATGGCTGTCTCTCGACACCAACCAACACTGGCTTCTGGTCTTTGACAATGTTGATCGCCACCATAATGATCAAAATGACACGCAGGCGAACAATGTGAGGACACCTCCCCAGCGCAGAGCAGGGTCCGTTCTTATCACTAGTCGACTTGCATGTCTGCAAAGGCTGGGCTCAGGGCTCAAGCTCGGGATAGTCGAGCGGGAGCAGGCAAGTGCGATCCTAGAAACCAATGCTGTGAGAACAATTGAGGGTAAAATTTACGGTCTTTTCCGTGGTATTGAGGGAAAAGGGCTAACATTGGTAGACGCAGACATAATTCTCAAACAACTAACTAGGATTCCTCTGGCACTGACACAAGCCAGGTTGTATATATAGGAGATGAACCTATCTGCGTCGAGTTACGCTGAGCACTACAATAAGACCTGGGAGAACCTAATGCATTGAGGAGAACGTCTTGAACTGCAGGAGTACGGCGACCATAACGTATTAATGATGTGGATGATATTGTACGAATAGGTGCAGAAGTAGAGCGAGGAAGTGGTATGCCTACTCAAGCTGTGGGGGTGCCTAGACCACGGCGAGTTCTGGTACGAGCTGGTTGCACTTGCAATCAAAGATGCCGAAGGTGATAATGAATATGAATAAATCAATACTCTAGTATGCATACTTCGTGTTGCAGGATGAACTAGCGTACGCAGATGCAGTTGGCCTTCTCACATGCTACTCGCTTGCAGATGCACGGAAAGGTAGCACCAGCCATGCAATGCACTTAGTATTGCATAAATAGTGTATATGACTGCTAGAAGGTGAGGAGCGGCGGGTTGTCGGCCGCATTGTAGCGGTATAGTGGCGTCGGATGTGCTAGATGACTATGATGCAGATGCATGGAAGAAGCGGAAGCGACTGCTGGGGTATGCTGCGAGTGGCTGACGCGAGAGCACCCTTTGGGAGAGTCGAGCATACGCAGGCATGGGTGGATAAATAACGATTGGGGGCTTCTACTCGCGGTCGAGACTCGATTGAAGGAGGCAGAGACGATGTACCAGCGGGCGCTTCTGTGCTACGGGAAGGCATGGGGACCGGAGCACAGCGGAACACTCGACACATGCCATAACTCAGGCAGCCTGTATGTGGGCCTAGGCCGGCTTAGCGAGACAAAGAAGATGTGCCAACGAGCACTCCAGGGCTACGAGAAGACATTGGGACCGGAGCACACCTCAACGCTATAGATGGTTAGCAATTCAGGTCTTGTCTACGCGAAGCTAAGACAAGTTTTTGAAGCAAAGAAGTCACTCCAGCGGACACTGAAGGGCCACGGAAAGGCAGTCGGGACCGGAAACCTATCTTCTTATGGGCCTGCGCTGGACACCATGTTGGGCTTCGCTCTCCTTTACCATCGCCAGCACCGGATGAAGGGTGCCAAAGCCTGGTTTTTAGAAATTCTCTCATGATTCGAGGATACTGTTGCAACTGACGATCCCGGTTACAAGACGCTAGCTACGACTTAACTTTGCCATCTCAGAGGGTTTAGAAAATGAGACGACGTGCAAAGGGAGTGAAACATGTGAAAGCGCAGATATACACGATGATAACGATGAAGAAAAAGACGACAACACGATCAGCCGGGCCTGGAAACTAGTCTAAAAGAGAAGCTGTACGATAGGATGTCGATAAGCGATCGAAGGAACCTGGGAGGTTGATACAGCATAAAAATGGAGTATGCAAACGGTGATGGCTTCACTTCCAAGCTGAGCTCTCTTACTGATGATCGAAAACTGGTTCCCTGGATATTAGACATGAATTCTAGTTTTGATCAACGAATGGTGTTCATGACACAGTATCCCGATCCAAATACGTTTCACATGTCACTTCTCTGTGTTTACCCCCTCTTAGCGAAAATAAGCCATTAGGCCGGTCCACGCACTAAATGAGACCTTATGGTTCTATAACAGGTACGAAGACGTCGAAATAAGCGTACTGTAGTGGATAGGCTAATGGGGAGGTTTTCAGAGGCGATCTACGGGCTGGGGGTTTCAACTTCTAGACACTGCACTCGAGCCAAATCTGGGTTTAGCGATGTAGTCCATTACGCCTATTTCTGACGCGTTAAGCAGGGAGGTCACCTTTTATCATTATTTTTGTATTCACTCCTTCTCCTGACCATACCATGGAAAGGCGGATTGGAATTTTAGCAAAGCAGCGATAATTCGACAGGAACGGCTCGACGCTGCGCGTTCATCAACTTATGCTACGCTAAGTATCTGGTAGGATCTTCGAAAGGACCGTATTGGGACAAGTACTTAGGAAATTTGCAGCATCCTGGGACGCACTCAACACCGCTGGCGCAGCAAGGGAATCAATCCGCGAGACGATGCAATAGCCCACCCTATGACTCTACACTTCGATAAATAGACTACACAGAGGCATAACGCAACTACGTAAAACGACACTCTGCAAGGTCCACGCGTGACTCAAAACATACCATCATCACTACCGTCCCACAGGTACGCTGCATGCATGCTGAGCATCTCCTTCCGTCACCACCCGCATACTAGCGGTGTCGCGAGAATGCCTCTCCTACCCGCATTCCCAAAACCCCCTCATGCACTCAGCATCAGCACACCCCCTACCCATCCTCACTCACCTCAGCCCTACCGACTCCCAGCACGTCATGCATGCGCGCTCCAAATTTACATATCTACCCCAATCTCACCTTGTAGATACTTACGCCCGACGGCCTCATCCGCAAGGCGGAAAGGAACAGACGACAAACATGTGGGTCCGCACGTGGACGGGCAGGCCCGCACCGTTCACGCCTACTCACGCGTGTGCCGGTCAGCACCACGCGTACATCTCAGCATGCAGTCTGCTCACCGCTCCGGGAATGCACACATACACAGCGCTGATGTAAGAGCGTGCCGAAGAACTGGTAGAAAAGTGCGTGAGCAGTGTCCTGGAGTGCGTAAACGAGGCTGATGTGTAGGATTGGGTGCGGATGAGGAATAATATGTAGAGCGTATGTAAGCATGTAAGTGCATGTATGCAGGCAGGTGTAGGGATGGGGCAACCGAAGCGAAGCGGTAGGGCTGAGTGCTAGGCTGCTGCGGGCGATCAGTATTTGGAAACTCTCGAGAAGGGCCGAGGTTAGCGCTGCTTCTTGGATGCTGCTGGCGGACGGTATCGTTGGGCTGCAGGTGAGCTGATTGCAGGCGGCCAGGCTGCATTGTTGGATGTTGGATGTGCGGTGCTATCTTGGTGCTCCAGTCGACGCACTGCGGACGTCGCGCCGGGGCTGCATGGCACAGGATTCGATATCTGTCGTCGTCGCAGACATGTCTATTTCGGTATTCGAGTAGGTAAGACGAGCGATACGATAGATCTGTCCTACTCCTTTCCTCGAGCGGCCGTGCGCCGTGATTTGAGCGTGTCGAGTCGAGAGTTTCGCAGTGCGTTTAGACGTGCGGCGGCGCGTCGATAGTTGGGTTAGCGAGGCGCCGTCCCACATCCGCGATGCGACGGAACGACGAGCGCACGTTTTAGGCAGCCGGATCGTACAGTAGCGGCCTGTAGAGCGCAGTGTGGCGTTTGTTGACCCCTGGATTGTGAAACTATGTTTGGAGGTTGGCTTTTGGACAGGACGAGGACCGATGCGGATGGAGTGGCAGCCGTTTGGGTGGAGCGCAACATGTGCAAGGCGTAGCTACAGGAACGCCTCCTCAGAGAGAGAACGGGTGTTCGCCGTCTGCCATTTCGACTGCCGGCCGGATATTTGCAGCAGCAGGCACTCAGATCTCCATGCGGTGATGATGGGTTGGCGCAGGATACCGAGCCTGGCTGGCCGCAGCAGGGCGCACCGCAGCTGCCGACGCACACAAAAGTACCTGTTACCGGGTAAACAGAGTTGTAGTGTTTGACTCGTAATTGTTGTGATGAGTGTGCTTCGCACAGAGACGCAATACTGGCCGAGCACCAGGGGGTTGGCGATCGATTTCGCCTGTGGCTGATCGTAATACAGCCTGACATTTGGACACACGACACCCGACACAGCTTGGACTTGCACAGATGGCTTGTCTGGCCGTTCTTTGGCTGGAGATGACGAAGCTGAGAGTGTTCCGCTCACCAGGTTCTGCTTCGAGAAGGCAGGTTACGTCCCGTTAGGCCCGTGGAACGTTGCAAGAATGCAACTTGGGCCGCATCCTCCCAAGCCATATTTCCTATTCGGGGGCGAGCTCCACCGGCTAATGGGCGCGGTTGTCGTCCCGACAGCCTGTGTTCGTGGACGCTTTCGAGGGCTGGCGGCCGGTCCGAATGAGACGGGAATTATAGCTCCGTCGAAGATACACATCGTCGCCGTCGTGCGCAGCGTGCCACGACTCATCAGGCAGCGCAGACAACACAGCGACCATGAGCGATGGCGGCCGGATCCTCGCCCCTTTCCCAGACACAAGGCGATCCACGTGTCGGCAGGGTTGCCTTTGCAGGCTGCGATCCACGGGGATGGAGCCCGCTACCTACGCGAGTTGATGCAGCACTTAGCGCGGCCTATCTTTTGGCTTCCGCTGCGAAACCCACACTCCCGACTCCCCGCGCAGACGCCAGCGCTGCAATTTCAGGAAGAAAAGTTTTCTGTGGAGAAGGGCTTCGAGAGCAGGACGCATTGGGGACGCTGCAGCCAACGGCCGCAGGCGAGCAGCGATGGAGCTGGTCACACCAGCCGCGCACTCGTCCACACCACAATAAAGCCGCCAGAGCACCGTGTGCTGCAACGGGAGCCGCGTCGGGGAACAGGTATCCCTCGCCTTGCGGAAACACAGCCGCCGAGCCCAAGCAATGAGCTGACGGCACGCTGTATTCCCTCCAAAGCAAGCAATATGGCCTGGCGGAACACAGTTTGGTGGTGGTGTGTGCCTGTCTCAGTCTGCTGCTGCCGGCGCCCCTGTCGACATATGCCCAGCCAAGCAATATTCGGATGCAGAGGCTGGTCCTGGCGAATCGCACGGAGGATGGGGTGCGAATTATGCTATTGGCAGCGGAGCGATTGCGTTTATCCCAGGACCATGTCTGACATGCTTATTATAAGTTTATCGATATGAAGGAGTCGCTGTAAGCCGGATTCCACGCGAAGCGCAAAAGGAAGCGCAATCGACCTCCGTGATCAAACAAGCAAGCAGGCAGGGAGGCAGTGCGGCCACACGACGAGCAGGCGAGCACTCGTGGGCAAAGGCAGCGGTGACTGTGCGTGAAACGACTCCAGACAGATGCAGATCCATGCGCTGCAGGTCGGAAGTGTGCAGCGAGCTTAACCCATCCCCCTGGGCGGGCTTGCAGCGATCGCTCCCGCAGACGAGCGCAACGTGCGACCACAGACGATGAAGCAGGCAGGTTTCGCTGGCCTTGGAGGCTCCATGCCGGGCCACGGGCGCTTCCCCGTCGCATCTCAGCGCAACCCCTCGGCGTTGACTGGAGCGAGAGTGACAGTCGATTAGGTGCCACCTGGCGCGGCTGATCAAACGCCTTCTAGTCGGTTTCTAGAAGGCTACAACCAAGCGAAGGCGACAGGGTCCCGATGCGGCAAGACGCGATGCACCCTGCCCGTCGCACTCTTACGGATGATTACACAGATGCTTGGGAACAGGTGTGGTCAGAACGAGAATGCATCGCGAGCGCGCCCGGAATAGCAGCGCGAGGTTGTTGGTGGTGCAGTGACAGACGCCCACGTGGAGCCCGGCGTCTGCCAGCACGGCACAGAATCTAGAGGAGGCGGCTGCATCCAAGGGCGAGCAGGACGTGTGCGGCGGAGGCGCAAAAGCAACGCTCGCGGGCGACGCCGTGCAGCCCAGGGCCAGGGCGGAGGAGGCTGGAGACTGGTCCTGGAGGAGCGCACAAGTGCACTCATTCCAACAGCCCGGGACAGGGCAGTGCGAGAGAAGGCGACGGGGAACAGGACCCGCGGCTCGGCGGGTCGTCGAGAGTTCCAAAGGCCTTCTGGCGCCGGGCGGGCGAGTCACGCAGGTCGGTCGGCATGGCTACGGCCACGGCTGGTGCTGCTCGGGCTGGTCGTCAGCGTAGGCACTCACACGGGAGCCGTGTGGCCGGCCGTCGCTGACACGGTCTCATCTCAGCCCAAGGTCATCGACAAAAGAGCCACACCGCCGCGCGCCCGCCCGCGTGGGATGGGACTGTGCCGTGAGATATCACCGGCGAGGGAGAGTCGTCAGCCGTGCGGGCGCGCTGTCTGCTCCGTCGCCGTTAGCCAGCGTCTAGCGTTGCTGCAGCACCCCTGGCTAGCAACCCTTGTGCTGGGACTCAGCTGCAGATCCATGCTGCACAATCTGGCAAAGGGACTCTCTCGGGGCTGTTTCAACGTGTTCCCTGCCGCGCTGCATCGGGGCCTGTCTCCCGGCACGTCATGGAGTCGCGCTTGGATACCAAAAGCACTGTCGCTCATTTCCATTTGTCTCGTCGCTGGCCCAGGCGAGAGAGTCAGTAGACAGGCCCCCTTAACGAGCGCCGCCTTTATATGAGGAACGCCATGCCCGGCCGGAATTTCCTGCCTTCACTATTCCACACTCTCACACTCCTTGACAGGCACACAGTGTCCTCGGTCCTAATAATTACCAGCGCTGCCCGGCTGTAGTCTCTGGAACACGACCCTGTACACGTATCCCAACCAACACTGCGCCTTTGCTGCCGACACATCACTCTCGCTCGCTGTCCCTTTTCTTGTCTGCTCCCTCGCACGCCAGATCACACGTCTGACGCCACGCTCTCGATCCCTTCTGCACTTTTATCCGTGAGTCAATCCCGCCCTGCCGGGTGTCTGACGCCTCGTGAAACCCATCACTGACATATAAAGCAGCCGCCATCCCCACAGTCACCATGATCCTCAGAGACTCCGAGTCGACCAACATGGGCCGCGGTGCTTATGATACAACGGGCACGCCGAAGCCTCCGCCTCCGCCTCCCAAGAGGCGATAGCTGTTCCGGCCAACGACCACCTGCTTGCGCACTCTCTCTCTCTGCCGCCATCCTTTTACCCATGTCGGTTGACAGGCTCGATTTGGCCTCGGTGTTCGTTGGAAATTGGGATCTGAGGGATGCCAACACGCGCATTCGTAAGTGGCCAGGGTCGGCAACGCCTTGCATCAACACCCTGACTGACCAATGTAGCTCTGCAGCCTTGCCCTGCCACCACACCAAACGACAACGCAACACCGTACACCGCCGCACTGCTCCTCGTACCATCATCTTCTGGCGCATCGGCTCGGTTCCTGCCCTCCCCCGGGATTACGCCCATTTTAATACCTAGCGACTCTTCCTTTCTCAGCGTGCCATAATACCCCTGCGTTCCCGGCTCCGCGTTCCTCGAGCGACTCAGCGACTCCCTCTCGGCCTGCATCTCCTTGCTTGCCTGCTTTAGCGACAGCATCTCCTTGCGAAAAGTCTTTCTCACCGGCGTTTTCATTATAGACTAGGAAAGGCCCAGGCATCGGATACCAAAATCGGACTTTATTTCTTTTCTCTCACAGTAGCATATCTGGATAGACCTTCCACGCCTGCCTTCACTGGCGCACCCGGGGCGTGGACTCTTTGTACTATATAGCTCGCGGGCTGGTTGATCCGCAGACGCACGACCAGCTCACGATTTGCATTCAGCGGAAGGCCGCCTTGGGCAGCGCGTACGATGTACACTAGACGGAGGAATTGCCTGGGTTCTGGTTCCTGGTACCTGCGTCCGTGTCCCGCGACACGGCCAGGATGGATAGACTTATCATAATTGACCAATCTACACGAATACTTGTCTTCAATATCGCGTCCATGTTATTGCAGCGCCGGTGCAGTAGTCGCGTCGCACCCGCACCGCCGCACGTCTCCGCACTCCCGCCATCGATAGGCTTTCCGCAGCCGACCGTTGTGCTCCGATCTGTTTCGAGACGCAGCAGCGCGCCGACCCTTGCTTGCGTGACGTGCTGAGGTACCTGAGCTGGTTGGGAAAGCTCCGGTGCTGGCTCGATGGCTTGGCGGCCTGGTGGAGCACCCCACGTTGAGCTCCCCCATCCCAACGCATGCTACCTCGACTCACGACATCAGCGCCTCCGTCACCGCCACCGCCTGCAGCTGCACGCCCTGCGACCGCCGAATCGAACCGTCTCGCCCCACAGCTTGCTGCACCGTAGCATCCCGCCATGGCCAACGTCAATTGGCGCACCATCAACATCGATGCGCTGGACCCCGACTCCCCCGCCAACTTCGATCTCAGCTCCCTCGCGCCTTCCGTCGCGCCCGTATCGACCGCCGATGTCCAGTCGCTCGCAGGCCAGATCCGGCAGCTCTTGAGAGGCGGAGACAGTGCCGGTGCGCTCCAGGGCGCGCTGGAGAACCCGCCGTACGGCGCAGATGCGCAGGGCAAGGTATGTCACGGCATGTTGCGACCTCGTCGCTCCAGAAACACACACCGTAGTCCCCAGACAGTCACGCACGGGGCTGCGGTCCATGTCTCTCCCTAATCGGCCGCTCCCGTGGCCATGCCTCCGTTGCATTGGGAGCCGGGCTTCCAGAAACCGGGACAGAGCGTTCTCGCGCTCGCACAAGCACACAAGAAGGGAGTCTGGGCTGACTTGTGTCTCACCACTCTACAGGACGTCCACTTAGCTACCGTCATCGAGATCCTCCAGTCCATCCGCCAGGCCGACATGTCACCAATATTAAGCCAAATATACAGCTCACCAGGTGGAACTGAGGCACTGGACGTGCTCATGAAGTATATGTACGCTCCACCTGCCAAAACCGACACGATGCTATTTCCATCCCCCTTTGGCGTGACGGTTTCGATTGTCATGCCACTCTCTGTGTCCGATCAATGGTCGCGTGCCGGCACCCTGGGTAGATCTGGCTAACGGTGTACACAAAAGATACAAGGGAATGGCACAGACGAACGCAGCGACTTCCGCCCGCAACATCACGCCCCAAGCTACCGGTTTCTCCCAGGTCCACGCCCGCGGCGGCGGTGAGGGTGGCAGCCAGGCCATGAGCGTGCTGCTGAGCTGGCACGAGAAGGTATGACTAGCGTCCCGTCCTGGCCACACACGATCGTGACTTTCTGAGCCATAGCCGTACGCACTGGTCGCAGCTACTGACACAAGCGCAGCTCGTCGAAATCGCTGGGCCAGGCAGCATCGTGAGGGTCATGTCAGATCGTCGTACTGTTTGAGCGGGCAGCGGAAGAATCCCACGCTCCATAGCTCTCCACCAACGTGCGACGAAGGAACGTCGAATGTTAGGTGCGCAGTCGAAGGATTGGATTGCTGGCACAGCGAACGGCAGCCTACTCGCTTCCGCGGCCACCAACACAAGCATCAAAACGGCTCGAATACCAAGCCACGAATGAAACAGTTATCAAGATATCCCACGTCACGTTTCTTTTTCCTACCTTCCGCTTCCAAGACCAACTGCGAACCTGACGCGTATCACACTACAAGGCGTTTTTGACGAAACAGGCATCTTGAGGTTTCTTCCAATGTACACGCGACACCACAAACCACCTCGGCATGACACATGCCTCCCAAAATTTCTCTGCGCCCTTGCACTGTCGAAAATTAACAGCCAGCACAGACGCACCCCTTTCCCGCCTCTCTTTTTTCCAAAGTTCTTCAGCCTTATTCCACGACCCTTGACCCCGGCCAAACATTAACTATTATTCCTGCTTATTGTCCGTACCGCGTCTGCGTGGGTCCAAAGTGGGAACGTCAGCGAGGAAGCCGCTAGCGACCCGCTCCCTGCCAAATAACGGCTGCTTCCTTGACTGGATCCTTCCTTCGCGCAGCGCACCGCCTCCGTCGCGGCCTGAAGCCGTTAGAGCTGCGAGGGATTGCGGTTCAGGTTCCGCGCGCTCGGCAGGGCTTAGTGCAGGACTTGGGCACTCCTTTGGGAAAGTCCACAGGAAAGTGCTTCCCGAGCCGTGAAACGGGTTCCTGACTTGCTTGGTCTGGTCTGCGACCGTCACAGCACAACCCGTATGAAGCATTTCCACTACCCACCTTGTGACGGTTCCGTGTCGCCTCGCTGCGCGGAGTTGGCCGTCGCCTTCCGCTTGGAGTCAGGCAGGCGGTAACATATTGCATCTTCCTGCCGTCCGGCGTCTTGGCCCTAGATACTTTCGCAGAGACATGCAGGCAGACACGTGCGCTTCATGCACTGCGGCCGGCCTGTGCATTGATGTTTCAAAGCCAGCGGCCAGCCCAAGGACGTGGATGTCGGGCCTTCTGGAAGCTCCGCAGGCTCTGGTGGCGACCCACTTTGTGAGCGAGCGCGGGCTTTGACGTGCGTGGGATGACATGGTGGTGATGCGGACCCGAAGGTGTGGACGGCGAGGTGCGCTGCGCAAGTCTTCCCGGACACGCGTGCAGTAAAGGGTGCTTGTCCGGTCGCGTGGTGAGGGTAGCTGCGCTGCGCGCGTGGGATAGATGGGTGTCATGGATGGCATTGGGGTTGTGTACACGTCCCGCGCGAGCGAGGGCTGAAGATGTAGTCTGATCGCAACCTCCATCGGTACAAACTAGCCAAATCACCCCTGCGGACAACAACATCCAATACACCATTTCCCTGCATCCTCTACGAGAATTCGATACTCTCTGACCACATGTACCTGCATGCCCGTTCGCTTCTGTGCAGCTTCCAGAAGCGTGGACGGTTCGCGAACCGGGCGAACGGGATTGGACGCTGCATGAAGTTCGGGCTGAGTTGCATCTCCGTATTGCCCACGTGCGTCTGCGTAGCTCTGCGGAGATGACGGTTGCGGACGGTGCGCAGGAAGTGCATGCAGCAGGTGGGTAGGCTGACAGGCTGTGCGATGCGGCGTGTGCTATGTAAAGGCAGCTAACCCACACACCCGTTTGTGAATATGTATAGTAGCCCGAGGGGTGTGGGAGGGGTCAGGTGTACATTCCCGAACGCCCGCAGTAGGGCGTGTAGTGTGTGGTGCCTCGGGTATGGTAGGGATGGGTAGACACGTAGTGCGTTGCGGGAATGTTATTGGCTGTACGTGAGGGTAGTCGTGGTTCGGGTTGTGATCTGGAGCCAAGATGGTGGGGATCCAGATTATAGTATGGGTAAGTGCGGTGATGATGATGGTGCTGATGAACTGCAGTGGACGATGATGGATGGGATGTATCCTGTCATCACTGCCAGGTCATGCTGTCCATTTCGGATGAGTAAAGACTTCCAGTGCCTGCAGCAGTAGTATTCATGCCCCCCCTGCTCCTACTCACCTCGCATGATGAGTTGCCACCGCAACTTCAGACCATGTCTTTCCTCATCTTGAAGTAGGGCATGAAGGATGCGACACAGGGATGGGGCTTGGGCATGATGGTTTGAGTGTCCATATGGCTGTTGCAGAAGTTTTTGTTGTCAAATGAGAGAGAGAAGCACGTATACCCTGCGCAAGGGTCCTTTGTGACACTGTTCTTCCGGACGACAAACACATCGAGGTCTCGGCGCGTGGGTTTGGAAGCCCGCATCGAGTTGGCGAATCCAGTTTTGCGGTTTTGTAAGGCGTGGCGAGCCGGAGACAGCACAATTTTCCAGGCGTTGTTAGTTCATGGAATGTCCAGGAGGAGACATCGAACGCGAAAATGGCCTTTTGAGAGTAGGGCACGGGAGAGGAAGCGCCAGCACGTGCAGCACAGCTCGCGTGCACACAGGCTCCCCAGGACATACCTCGAGGGCTAGCAAGTTTCTGGAAGGGCAGCGGAAGAGACATTTTGCGATCGATGCCTCTTTTTGAGAGAAGGTGGAGGACGTGGAGTGCCAACATGCACGACAAGTTTTCTTTATTTGGTGAACGAAGATCACTAGGACATGTCGAACGAGCGACATGGTTTTGGAGAGGCCAACGGAGGAGACACTTTGATGTGCTTTCTTGGAGGTTGAGGTGAGACAGATGAAGATACTCGCTCTCATCCGGGCGGGGAAGCGCGTCTTTTCGTCCACCGAGGCCCAAGGACATAATCACTTCTTGCTTTTGAAAGAGTAGCAGAAGAGACATGGTGTGCTCCTTTCGGGTTTTGGGAGGTTGAGACGGGAAAAAGGCTTCCCAACATGTACAAAGGACATTGAGATTTTAGACCACAAGAGTCCCAAGGGCATGATTAGCAGCTGAAATGATTTTGGGAAGGGCAGCAGGAGAGACATGACATAGTCGCCTGCGACCTTTTCGGATAGTGAGACAGAGGAAGCAGCTGGCCAACATATGTTAATGCCAAATCCTTTCTCTTTTTGTCCACAAGGGTCCTACAGACACAGAAGGGTGCGATGCTTGTTTCGGAAGAGCAGTGGAGGAGGCATAGGATCGTTTTCTAAACCCTTTCAGGAAATGGAGGCGAGAGAGGAACTCGCCACCAATTTTTCTGAAAGCATGGATTTACAACACACAGGTCCTAAGGACATGGCGGAGACAGTCGTCATTTTGAAAGGGCGGAAAAGACGTCCCGATCTTTTTTTTTTTTTTTTTTTTTTTTTTTGGCAGACTGAGAAGAGAGCAGGGAGTTGCTCGCCGACATACACCGGTAAAGCTACCTGTTTTCGTTCATACAGACTCCAAGGACATGAAATCGTTGTCGTCATGTTTTGGACAGAGCAGAGACATGGCCCGGTCTTATTATGTTTTGATGGTAATAAGTGATAAGGCCAGGGGCTCTTCAGCATAGGAGTGTGGATTGCATCCTTCGGTTTATGAGCGGAGGACCGGATCCAGCCAACTCTTGTCGTAGAACTCGCGATACCTCGGTCAGGGGTTGGTGAAGGAGGCCCCAGACATCCGGTGGTGCAGTCATGGTTTTAGGAGGTCCAGCGGACGAGGCGTGCAACTCTTTAAGTACCACTTCGAAAGACTGAGGCGAGGAGGAGGCTCTCCAATATCGAAATGGACACACTTCATTTCAGGTCGCAGGCGGAAGAGTGGATCCGGCGCATAGGATCACCGAGAATGACTTTTGACAGACGATCTGGCGGAGGAGACATAGTGTGCATGCTTCATTTTGTTTGAAGAGGATGGGCCGAAGGAAAGGCTCGCCAACATGAACTTTCTTGTGTCTTGATTTTGTTCGGGGCCGCACCAAGGGATACAGTGGAGATGTTCTTGAGAAGCTCAAAAATGGGACCAACACTCGTATCCACCTAGCAAATAGTTTTTGGTCAAGCCCAGCCAAACACACATGCATGCCGGGGGACTGCTTTTGGTAGTGAGGTGGAAGAAGAAGTCCGCCAACATGCTGGCATAGGACAACATGTTCTTTTCTATGCTCGTCCCAAGACCAGGCCACATTCAACATAGGTTCATTGAGTTGCTTTCTTGGAGCGCCCCTAGTCGAGAAGACATCAGTTCGCAAACTAGGTTTTTTGCGAGTCAGCTGGCGGAAAGAAACTGCATGTGTTGGATGTCCAGCATCAAGATTTTCTTTATATGGAGCTCGAAGCTGGATCTGGCGCGCATGTAAATTGCGGTTGTTGGTGCGTGCAAGCCACAGCAAAATGTGCACAAGTATTTTCGCTGCGCTGGATTTTTAAAGCGAGGTGGAGGATAGAGCTTGCTAACATGATGTATAATACTCTCATATCTCGGATTTGGAACCGGTCATAGCTCGGGAGAGCCCATCGGGAGATCTGAAGTTTTACCTGATGGAGTGCCTCCCAGCCATTGGGCCTCAGTTCGCATGCTTCAGTCTAGAGACACCCTAGGTCAAACGGCACACATTATCGCTTCCAAAGCGAGTTGTACTTCGGTTTAGCAAGAATCCATCACCTGCATTTGGAGCGTGACGATTTCTTGCTTCGAAGCCCAGAGCAGAGCGGACATATGTAATGCAGTTTCATGCTCTTAGAAGTTGGCCATCAGGCGCAGATTGAAAGAAGCAATACAATGGTTGGTGAGGTTGTTACCTTTTCGTTGATAGTACTCTGACACCATTCTGGGAGGACATGAGGTTGTTGAAAGCAAAATTTTGGGTAAGGGTGCACACAGGAAACATTACACCGCTCAAAGGTATGTTTACCATCGAGGTTTATCCAATTCATATGTAGAGGCACACGTATTGGGCTCTTCCCAGTCTTGGAATGACGCTAGTACGGGGACCCAACCTTAACACTGTGTATGACTCCAATGTCGTGGGCAGAAAGAGGTGCCGCTTTGAGAATAGAGTCCAGCACAGAGATTTGATATGTCATTCAATGTTCAATAGTACAAGATACCTGGACATAGTCTGACAGATAGCATGCTCAGATCATAAGTCAGAGCTATTCTCCTGACGACGAACGCGGTCGCCTGCACTCTCCACTTCCGCACCCTTCACGACAACAATGAACTCGCAACCCTCCAACAACTCACCGAAGGCCCATTTGACTCCCTTTGCCTTAACTTGCTCCAAGGCAGCCATAGGTTCGTCGTGATCAACCCAGAAGCCGGTGTCAGCCGAACAGACGCTGCCGTCGTCACCCTTCTCACCGAACAGAGTTCCCTTCAGCTTGCAAGACTTGACATAGTCGACTGGGGATGCGTCTAAAATGCCTCTAGCGTGCAGTTTGACTATGTCCATATCGATCTCCTCAATGCCTCTACCGAAGGCACGGAGAGCGGCGAGGATGGCGTGCGGATGGGAGGAGAGAATGCCGAAGCCGCGATCCTTTTCGCCGTCGCGCAATGCGAGGAGAATCTAATCAAGTCAACCCAAGGTCTTTCACGGAATGCAAAATGACTTACCTTGGTGGCCAGCTTCTGGCTTCTGAGCTCAGGATCAATGCACAGCTGGGTGATCCAGCACACTTGGCGGCCTTGGTAGTCCCAGCGGGTTGCGAAAGCATACCCGGCGAGCTTGTCCCCGGAAACAGCGCGAACCAGGACACTGCGAGTGCCTGGAGCCAAAGACTGCTGGCGGAGGCGTTCTGCAGACATCTTCACGCGATGACCTTAATTCCATGTCAGCTAGAGTTGACTTACAGTCATGAAACGAAAAAAAAAAGAAAGTAAAAAGAAAAGAAAAGGAAGACATACCTGGTTTGCAGAACTTGCTCATTTTCTCCTGCGCAAGTGAACCCCAGATACCGTAGGCGGAGGAGAAGAGCGTTGCAGCTTGCACAAGCATCTCTTCAGAGATCACATCGGGTCCAAGTTTTTGGATTTGGATCGTGGAAGAGGACATGTCGGGCTGGAAATTTTTCAGAGTAGCCTTGTAGAACTTGAGGAGTGGAGCAGATGCAAACACATGAAAAGCCTGTTTGAGCTTTCAGTGTGAAATAGCAGTGAGGATAGGAAATTTGAAATCTGGACACAGAAAGAGGTTATATTGATATTGGTTAGGATACGCAAGAAATTGATTGGTTTGAATGTTTGGGTAACTGTTGAGCTTCAGTCCACCCACCATTATTCTTTGGTGATGGAATCCGGTCTCCTCATTTTCGTGGTATGCCCTCAGCTCACCAGTGCTGCGCCACAGTGGCAGCCTAGTCTACTCCAACCACCAACCCACCACCTATCATACCCTCCCACGCTCACGCCAATCACGCCTCCTCCCCAAAACTCACCATTCTATCCTTGCCAATCTACAAATGTCCGACCTCAAGCCTCTTACAGCGTTCATATCCGGCCCCCTCGACCCCACACCCGCCTACTTCGCCATCCACTACGCCCCCAAACTCGACACTGCCATCGCCGCAGGTCACAACTTCATCATCGGGCCTGTGCGCGGAGTCGATGCGCTTGCTCTGCAATACTTACTAGAAAAGGGCGCGGAGCCTAAGAGAATCAGCGTGTAGTGCGCCTCTCCCTTACCTTCCCATTTCCCCATTCCCTTTCGTCTTGAACTCTCATATTTGGTAAGGGCACTGATGCAGGATAGCATGGCGCGCTTCGAATTTGCCTCGTCCACCTGGCGCACTTCTTTCACGTCGCTTGGGGTGAACGTGGTGGAAGTGGAGGATGCGGTGACGACGCGGGAGCGGGATGCGGCGATGACGCGGGATAGCGATTATGACATCTTGAGGTACAGGACGGAGGAGGAGGCAAGGGCGGCGTATGGGGCGGGTTGGTGGCCGCGGGTGAGTAATACGGAGATGAACGAGAGGAGGCGAGCGGGGGATGAGAGTCAAGAGTATAGGCCAAGTGGCGAGGTAGAGGGAGGAAAGGCTGTTAAGCAGGAGGAGACGAAGTCGAAGGTAAGGAAGTTGTTTCGACGGAAGTGAGATGGGGGGGAAGATGAGTTCGTGCTGAGAATGTAAAAAAGCACGATGGATCATGAACACGTTGTATTTGCTACAGACGACAAAGAACGCCGGAATCGTCATAATCATGTTCCAGTCGTTGTCCCGCCCCAAAAAATCAATCGTACAGATTCGCCAATTTCAAACCATTGCCGGACGCCAGGGAGATGACAGAAAGAAAATGACTAGAGCCTAGTAAGAGAGTAGGAAAATTCGACAATGAAACTCGTTATAATGATGCTTCAAACGCCGCAATGAACATGCAGCATTCGGATCATATTACAGATGAAGGGAACTGTGTTCCGGAAGAGAAGACAAAAGCTGGGCTGAGTCGTCAAGGGAAACAAGAGTCAACAGATGTTGTAAAAGGGACTTCCCACGACAAATCGTACGGGCTCAAGCCTTGCCGCGCTTCGGGGTAGCCAAGAAAGCAAGCCGGGACTTGGTGAGAGAGCCTCCGCGTGGAGTGCGGCGGGGCAGCTTCGACGCAGACTTCGCTGGCGTCTGCGGGACTTCTGCGGGAGCAGTCTTTACTTTCTTGGCAGATCGTCCAGCATCCGGCGCAGGCTCGCTGTTCTCCTTGTCCGAGCTTTCGGAGACGGTATCGAGCTTCCGTTTCTTGCCCTCGGCGAGTGATGAAGCGTCGCTCTTTCGAACCATGCGAATCGTGCCGGTCGAAGGCGGTCCGAAGTCGATCGGCTTGTCGGACTGGAATGAGAATGCAGCTGGTGTGGTCGCCGTAGCACCGCCGAATGTGAGACGACGCGATGGCGAATCAGGAGCCGAGTCGTTGCCCTCGGGGATAGTGGGATATTCGACCGAGTTGCCCAGGCTGGGATAGATGACTGCTCCAGAGGGTATCTCGGACCCAGCACGCAACTTCATTGGCGAGGGAGACTTGCCAACCTCGTCCCAGGCTGCTCGCTCTAGAGTACTATTTGTAAAATTGACCTGCTTTTTGACCGGTGCTGTCTTAGGCATCGCAGGGAGGACATGGATCGTGTTCAGGGCGGAGGGCGGAGACATGTGGGTGCCCGCAGCAACCTTTGTGGGATCATCGGAGAACTTGCGGCTCGGCGTGCGGAGGATGGATCGAACGCGCTGGAGGGAGCTGCTTGTCTTGCGAATACCATCACGAACACCGTCCCTAACGGCGTTGCTAATGTTGGTAGGCGAGAAGATGTTCTTCGTTGGGGAAGGTGTGCCAGCATTCGTGGGCGAGAAGAGGTTCTTAGTCGACGGCGAACGCAGTAAAGACGGGCCTGGAGAGAATGTTAGCTTCATCTACTAATAACACTTGCGACGTTCGACTAACCCGATATCATCGACTGAGACTTGAGTGGCTTTACACTCTGTGATCGCGCGATGGAAGACTTGGTCGGTGTCATCAGCCTATCTGCAAGTCGAGGCAGGCCCGTCTTCTTCCGAGCCGGTGTTGGGGTACCAGCAACAAGTGTGTTCGTTGCAGGACCATCGCGAGAGATTGGGCGCGTTGTAGCAGCGTCGTCGGCCTCGGTGCGCTTGACACGCTTCGCGAAGGGGTTGGCCTCTTGCGTTGGGCGAGGGCCGTCACGAGACGGCGGAACAGCTCGGATCGTTTGCGCTCGGGGAAGGCTGCTGCTCGACATATCCATCTTCGACTGAGTCCGCTTGAGCGGTGTAGGCGCAATTTTGGTAGTGGTCTCCGCTACGTCCACTTTCGACTGAGTGCGCTTCAATGCGGAAGCAGGAGCCTTGGGCATTGACTCTAGCAGATCCATCTTGGACTGCGTCCGCTTCAGTGTGTTCGGGGTCTTCGCGCTGGTCTCAGCCTTTGTAAGGTCGGGCTTAGATGACGACGCCTGCAGTGCTTTGGCGCGGAATGCGGAGGGATGGTTTGCGATCGAGTCCATCTTCTTGAACTCTTTCTGTGATGGCGCGTGTCAGCTTCGTCATCTATATCGTACCAACATTATGAGATTAGACACTTACCATGTGAATATCACTGAATCGCGCCATCTTCCCCTTGGGAACGACGGTCTTGCGCTTGGGGGTCATGTCGACGGGCGCAGTGAACTCATTTGCCTTGAAGAGACCGCGACCCTCTGTCGCCTGTGTGGTGTCCTTCAAGATGCGGCTCGAAGACGGGCTAAGAGCATTGAGAGGAGACTTGAAACGGAAGCGAAAGCGAGTGTCCGGCGACACAACGTCGCCGTCGGGCACCTTGCCTGGGGTCGCTTTGGTCGGTGTGTCCTGGCCGGCGCTCATGCCCATAGGCTTCGGCGGAGCTGTGTGTGCACCCAAAGCCTGGAAGCCGAGCCACCGCGCTTCGTCGAGGAACTTGGCCGTGCTGGCGTGATGGTGCGCAGGGTGCATTTCGGTGCCAGCCGGCTTGATCGGGGTGCGATTGCTGGGGGTTCGGGAAGGCGTCGTGGCTGGCTGTGGAAGCTGCGAGGCCTTGGAAGTCTTTGCGGCGGCGGCGCGCTTCTGCGGGGTCTTCATCGTGGGCTCTTCGGCTTCTGCCACGGCGGGAAGCTGCGCTTGAGCAGGCGATTGCTCGCGCGAGGGAGCCGTCTCCCAGCTGTCGCGGGAGTCGTCCGAGCGCGCGGATGTGGGCGCTGGCGATTGCTGCAGGCGGTGAGCACACGCACGTAAACACAACAAGGGAGGGAACGCGACGGCAGCATACCTTTTGGAGCCTGGCTGAGCGCCGCGCCATGGTGTCGATGTGCAATTGACGTCGAGTCAGGGATTTGCAGTCGTGCTAGGTCAAGGGCTGGTGCATCGATTATATGTAGTGGTCTGTGGGACGTGGGGAGACCGGAACCCGTTCGTCATGTGCCAAGACAAAAGTAAACAAAGTCCATGCACACATGCAAACACAAGGTCACGTGCAAGGCCCCGAACCTTGCAACGACCGCTTGCATCTGCCGACTGACGCAACCACAACACCTCGTATCACCATACTTTCCACACCGTCTGATATACTGTCCCTTACTTCTGATCAGGCTTCGCATAACTCGAGGGTTTCGGGCAATCTCTCGACATCTTTTCAGCAGTGCGTCGCAACTTTCGAAGGTCGGAGGCTCCAAGCTCGCCAAAACTCGACAGGAACAATCTCGAAGTCTGTAAAGGGCAGGGAACGAGTGGCGTAGAGTCGAATACAGCATCTGCGTGCAATCTGCAGTTTCCCGTCCACGAAACCTCTTACTGATACCCAGATGCTCCCTCGACAACACCATAAGCGCCCCCTCCTTTGCCAAACATGATCCTCAAATCCCCCGCGATGCTGTCAGGTATCTCCCACGCAGCAAAATGCCCACCTCTATCGTGCTCCCACGTATACACCACTGGCCCCAACGTGGAGCCCCAAGCCGCGGGGCCGCGGGGAGCCGCACAACTTCTTTCGCAATATACCCCAGACCCTCTTGTTTCTCAGCATCTCGCTACAGTATGAGGAAGTACGCCACTCACTAGTTTCACACCTGGGACATAGCCGCCAGTTTTTGCAGGAAGGCGCCACGTTGCGATTCGTAGTAGACGCGCAGACTGGCCGCGGGACCTGCGGTGCTGAACCAATACAGACTCACACACGTACATACCTCTTCGGGCGCCAGGCGTATCCGTCTATTCAGTCATGCAGCTTCTCGTGCATCCAGGCGAGCAGTCCGATCGGGCTATCAGCCAGAGCATACCTTACTGTCTGGGGCTTTGTAGTTCGAAGGGCGTAGTAGCCCATTCCGTTCTTCTGGAAGTCTTGTGTTCGTTCCAGTCCTGCCTTCTCCGCCGAGGTGTACAACCCCAATAGATGCTTCGTCACGAAAGAAAGGAACGCGAAAGGGGCAATAGGTGGAGGTGGGAGCGATGGAACGAGGCTCAGATGCGAGGCTTTGAGATGCTGGGGGTGTAGTTGGCCCATTACGCGGGTGATGCTGGAACCCTGAGCTGGACTTTAGGATCTTCGCTCATCTCCTAAGCAGCACATGTTGTAACATACCTAGTCTCCGCCTTGAGAGATGTACTGGGAGTAACCTAGCACTAACATGAGTTTGTGGCAGACTTCGGCATGTTGCTCCAAACCGAAGCCGGATTTCTTCATGCCGAATGAGAAACCGAAATTGGGCAATCATGGCGCGACGACGTGAAAAGCTGGACTATCGTTCTCTTCTCCCTCGTCCATAATAGGTAGACACTGTGCCTCATGTTGATATTGCCTCAATGCTCGGTGGATCCTGTGAAGTGAGTGAGGAGAAGACATAGGAGACCTGGAAGGGATTCAAGGAGTGAGGAAGACCTCATGGACTGGCCGAATGCCCCGGTGAGCAACTGTTATTGATTTTCCGCGTCGCAGAGGTCATTTGATCCACTCGTCAATTTGGCAATTTCCCTGCCTCTCGCAATACTGCTCTCTACATACATCACCCACTCATTTATGAGATTTCAGAGCGTCAACTAGTATCCAGTACAATAATCGCTGCTTGGGCTCAACAGAAACGAGACGGCTTGCACCGAGGGCCGACATCTCGCCGCCACCACAATCCGCCCCAAGCACAATACACATGGTACACACCCTTATACACCTTCCCAAAGAGAAAATGCACTTGCACTACAAATACGCCACGGGTAGAAAGCAAAACCAAGTGGCCACCTCGAACAGCAGCACAGTTGACTTCTCATCGTGAAGTGTGCGCAAGTCCTCAATTTAGCCTATTCTGAGGTCTCGGTACGGCTCTTCTCTCCGAGTCTAACCTCGCCGCCCCATAGTCGTTGCGGCCGGACGGAGCAACGTCTTTGCTTCCTCCGTGGTCATGCGGGGTACATGTGATGTTCGCCTTGGCCAACTCAGCGTAGTCGTGGTACTGGTGTGCGTTCAAACTGTTGGATCGCGCAGCACGACAACATCAACTACAACCGCACCGCATTCTACCGATTACATCTCATCAATTCCACATGCTCCATATGATCTGTACAGCACCAATGCATCACCGCCGCATCCCAGCAGCGTTCATCTCGATTCAGAGCTCGCCACTGCATCGTGAACGCTTTTTGGGTCTAGCATCTGGGCATCGCCCTTAGTCCATCGTATATCCTGCTTGTACCTGAATTTATCCGCGACGATCTCCCACCCAGGCCTGGGGTTGAACCACCACCCACGATGAGCATCTCGGCTCGGGTAATTGCAGACCGCATTCTAGAAGGCCAGAGGACGGGTGGCTGGGCCTGTTTTCCTGGGAGAAGGTAGGGGTAGCTGCACGACAGGTGCCAGTTCATATATAACCTCGCATGCACCGCATACTTCGATTCTTCAGCGCCCTCGCTCATTGTGCCTTCCCTCCCATCTTCCGCGAGCGTCCGTGGTGTTAATTGGCATTCTCCGAGAGCATTGTCCGATAATGAAGACCACGCTCCTCCTCGCGGCCCTGCCCGCCGCGGCCACCGCCCTCCCAACCTGGCCCTGGACCAAGCCCCACCACGACAACCCCAAGCCAAACAAATACCCAAACAAATACCCCGGGCTGAACGTCCTCGCACAGAAGGCGGGCCTCAAGTACTTCGGAACCGCCATCGACAACGTCGTCCTCGACAACCCGACGTACATCGCCATCGCGCATAACCGCTCCGAGTTCGGCCAGGTGACCCCCTCCAACGGCCAGAAGTGGGAGCTCATCGAGCCCCAGCAGAACAAGTTCAACTATACGCTCGGCGACCAGATTACCGTGCCCGCTACTAAGGCCAAGCAGCTCAAGCGCTGCCACAACTTCGTCTGGCACAACCAGCTGCCGCAGTGGCTGACGGGACGCAACTGGACGAAGCCTGAGCTCATCAACGTGCTCGAGAACCACATCAAGAACGAGGCGAGGCATTATTACAATGATTGCTTTGCGTGGGATGTCGTTAACGAGGCGTTTGAGGACGATGCGGTGGCGAGTCTGAGAAAGGATATCTGGTTGAACACCATTGGGAAGGAGTACATCGAGCTGGCGTTCAAGTTTGCGAGGAAGTACACCAAGCCGGGAACCAAATTGTACTACAACGACTACGCCATTGAGCGGGTGAACAACAAGAGCCGCGCAGTTGCTGCGATGGGTAAGTTGACCTATGTCTCTCTGAAAACAGCCAGCAAGGACGAAATCAGCACAGAAGCTAACAAACCACACAGTCAAGGACTTCAAACAGCGCCACATCCCCATCGACGGCGTCGGTCTCCAAGCGCACTACACCGTGGGCCGCGCCCCCACCTACGACGACCAGCTCGCAACGCACAAGCTCTTCAGCGACCTCGGCGTCGAGACCGCCCTCACCGAGCTCGACGTGCGCATCCAGCTTCCCGACAACGCCACCCTGCAGGCACAGCAAGCCGCTGTGTACGCCAATTCCACCAAGGCGTGCCTCGACGCCGACGACTGCGTGGGCATCACCGTCTGGGACTTCTGGGACCCCGTCAGCTGGGTGCCGGGCACGTTCCCGGGCTTTGGCAACGCAGACATCTGGGACGCGAATTTCACAAAGAAGCCTGCGTACTATGCGGTTTCGGATCTGCTGAGGTCGTATGATTAGGGGTTGGCTGAGTGGTATAGAATAGACAGATGAGCGTGTTTGTAAATATCCAGTACCCGTAATCGTATTCGTATTTCAGAAGTTCAGCGAAAAGAATGTTCGTGTCTCTCTCAGCGAGCCGACGCCGCCAGCAAATCCATTGGAAAAGTTGCGTCGGGGCCCGCCATCGCCCAATCCGGTCATCTCCATCGAGCTTTTATTTTGCTCCATCGACGAGACGTCTCAAAAGGCTCTGAACGGTTACAGAGAACACTTATGTCCGATGATAGACTACCCGGTAGTTATATTGTATTGACGCTACTCATGGCAGTTTTGAGACTGATTAGGGGGTCGCGGTCGCAAAAGTGACCGGCAACTATGATCGCCAGAGTTAATTGAGTCTTGTGAACGGTCGACCTGAACGTGATGTTCATGACTGAGCGATAAACAAACAAATGTTGCTGACATATGTATACCGCAGTTGTATTTGGTGTCCACGGAAGATCGATATTACTGACGCGGGTCTCAGACATCGCGTTCATACATCCCGTCTCCTTCCATCGTTCAACCCTCATCCTTCTACCTTCCCCGACCCTACCACCCCCTCCCCGCCTTCACACCCCCCAACAACACCCCCGGCGGCTTCGCCAACCCCGCCTCAACATCCCTCTCCACACTCTGGCTCACCTCCCCCCTCTTCCTCTCCTCTTCCACTCTTCTCCTTTCCTCCTCGTCTTCATCCTTCCACACAAAATTCCCCGCGCCACCCCTACCAGCCCTCCCCACAGGCATCTCCTGCCCCTCCGGATGCCACGGCGTGCTCACATTCGGCCTCGCATTGTTTGTCGGCGGCGCCGTGGCGTCCGCGGATGAAGGCGAGGAGAACGTGCCGTCTTTCGCGAGCTTAGAAGGCTCGTACCAGTTCCCTGCGCCGCCGCGGCCGGTGTGGGCGTAGGCTTGTGCGTTCGTGGAGGAGGCAGATGATGTGGGTGGCGGGGAGGCGGTCGTGGGCGTGCGCTGGGCTTCTACGTCCTGGTGCAGGTGTTAATGAGTGATGAGTGCCCAGAGCTGCTTGACTCTCGGGGTGGTGTGGGCTAGGGAACACGCGGCGTTGCCACGGAAGAGCGTGCGTACCTCAACAGACTTCTTGCTCTGCTCCTGCGCCCGCATGATGTTACCTGCGCCGCCGCGGCCGGACATGATGAGTCCTTTCAATCGCTTGGTTTAATGTTCTGTAGTAGGTCGCATGCGCACTCGCTAACCGTGCGTGTGGTCGGATAGATTCTGGGTGGACGCGATGCAGGGCGAGTTGCAGAAGAGGCTCAGTCTGGCGCAAGAGGAGAGGTGCGACTACCCATGTCAGTCTTTGGATCGTCCCCAGATCGCGCGTCACAGGCGCGGGGGACGATCAGGTGAATGTGGGGTGAACGCGTAGATGCGCCAGGTAGCCGCATTAGTCATAAGAATTGGCCATCGATAAGGCGCACCAGCAAAGTCGCTTGCAACATACATTCCTGCACAAAAAAGTCCGACTGAGAACATCACATGAGTCAACACCAGCTTCAACTTTGAAGAGAGGAAAGAAAGATTCATTGAGGATCTACTCTGAGTTTCATCGTGTGAAACAGTGAGCAAGGATATTGGGATAACAACAAAACACCTTCGTATCCTGCGTGAGACCGCCAGCCTCTGGTCATACCGTTGTAGGTTCGGTAGAACTCCTAAACGCCTCATGCACACCGGAACCCTACAGATTTACTTGCACCGACTGTTCGAAAGAATTAAAACATTTACTCCCGCCCTTCTTGTACAGCGCGTAGCACAGGGTACAGATCCCGGGCATCGTCGCTCATTCTGCTCTCGTCCTCGTGCTTGATGTCCTCGTCATCTGAAGAGTAGTCATGAGCCTCGAGCCTCTCCTTCAGATACGCTCGTAACCTCTCAATCGTACGGATGTTCTCCACCCACGTCTGCTGAGAAGTCTCATTAGGCTGTTCGGTAGATGCCGACGAGACAGCACTCGGAGAGCGCATTGACAGAGCAGGATCAACCTTAGGCGAGTGGATCGCCAGCTGGTTGACGTTGTGATGCAGCTCGTCTTGCTCAGATTCAGCAGCAGGCTTGCGATCTTCCATGTCGCCAGAAGTGTCCATCTGATCATGCTCATGGCGGTCTGGAGCTGCCTTCTGCAGAAGGTTACCAGAGTAGCGCCGGCGGCCGTCGGCATCAAAAGCAGGTGCCAAGCCCGATGAAGGTGCAGCGGCTGACATGTCTGACATGGCACTGACCGAAGGCAGTGTAGGATACATGCTGCCCATTGACGTCCTGGTGGTGGGAGAGACAGTGCTACCAGAGTGATGCGAACCGGGCGAGTGCTGAGAAGCGTAAGACATGACACTCGAGGCGGGAGTCAGTGCCGGGGTTTCAGTGCTCGAAGAAGCGACGGCAGTAGCGTGCGAGGACTGGGGATGCGTGGATGGGTGCCCTGGCGGCGAGTGGCTGGAGCGGTATGTGGCGCCAGTGTGGACATAGTGGGCACCGGCTTGCTGTACACCAGCGGCCGCCGCATGGTTGGGGTTCTCATACACAGTACTCTGAAGCTGCTCCAAGAATTGGTCGATGTTGAGGAGATCACTCTTGGTGCGCAAGTTGGGCAGCGGCAACGAGTAAGGGTGCATTGGGGGGTGGGTGGCCTGAGCCATCATCGTGCCTCCGTGTCCATACTCGGACATACCGCCTTGCTGGTAGCCACCAGCACCGATAACGGGCAATTGAACGCCCTGCAGGCCCATGAGTCGTTGGCCGACATCGTAATAAGTCGCAGGGTCAATGGCGCGGCGCTTGGCATCGCCAAAGAATTCGTTTAGGGCATCATACGCAGCACGCTTACGGATCTCGTAAGAGTCGTTCAAATTTTGCTGGGCTGGGTTGAGAGCATAATAGACAGGGCCATATGCAGAGTTCTGGGGAGGTCCACCGTAAAATCCGGCTGGGGCACCACCGGGGTGTTGCTGGCCATAGCCTCCATTGGGGCCGAGACCACCTTCGGGATATTGATATCCGCTGGCTGTAGCGGCAAGCGCCTGCAAGTCAGCGACCACTGTGGAGCGCGTGTTAGAATTGAAAAGAGATATGAGAACATCAGTGGGCGACGAATGGGGGTCTGATGGGTCACAAGACACCGTCGGGGAACTGGGAGGAGACGATGAGGAAGAGCACTTACGTTTGCCGCCCTGGCCTGGGTAGCCGGGTCCGCCGTGAGGGCCGCCACGGTTTGGCTCGGGGGAGCGCAGAAGGACAGAGTCGTCCGCATGGGTCTTCACGTGCTTCTTCAGATCCTGGGGGCGCTTGAACGCCTTGCCACAGAAGTCGCACTTATGCGGCTTCAGGGGGACGTGGACGCGGATGTGCGAGGTGATGTGATCGCGCTTGACAGTAGTAGTACGGCAGTTGCCCCACTGGCAGGTGAGATTCAGGTTGTTGGTGCTCTTGCGCCCAACATGGCGCTCACAGACGTGGTCCTACAACACGTTAGTGATGGATCACGTGGATGATGTGACGCGTTTTTCGAGAACGCGAACATTGGCCTGTGTAAACTGGGGCGACACAGGCCATTATACGCGTCTTGCACGAAGTTGCGGCGTGAAAGCGACTTACATAGAGCTGCTCGGCGGTCGGGCAGCGCTCGCCGCAGTTTTGCCACTGGCAGACGAGAGAATCAGTCGCGCCGGCGTTGGACTGCTGGGGGATCTGGGCAGGCTGCTGTGTTGGCGTGCCGATGGCGGGCTGCTGAGGAGCGGCCGCCTGGGGCACAGTTGCTTGAGGTTGTTGTTCTGCCATTGCTGGGGTCGGTGGAGGTGTACGGTTCTTGGCGACAAGAAGAGCCAAAGAGCGCGTGCTTAGATAATAGCAGCAGCGCTGAAAGAGAAGGCGCGCTCAGGTGAGTGGAAAGCGCGTCCCAGAGGCCTCGAAATGCGGAGAAAGAGTTCAAGAAAGCGAGGACGGGGCAGGGCCGCGTGAAGTATGAAATGAGCGGGGGAGGAAAACCTGGGCAACATCTGGGCGCCAATTTGTCCCGGAAAGCACCCAAGAAATAGCACGGCCAGCGCTCAGCCCCCCGTCACCCATGGTGAAAAGGGCCAGTGGCAGGGACGCGCCCAAAGTACACGCCAAACCCAAAAGGGTGTTCGCGAGCGCTTTTACGCACCGCCAAGCCCTCTGGCGGCCTTGGCGCAGGCGAGTTGTGAATGGCGTTGACTTGTGGACCGTCTCATCCCGGCGAATCTCCCAGTTGCAGCAAGCTTCAGCTACCCCGCCAGTGCCTGCCTGGGTGCCTGCTGCGTGCGCGAGCTTTCCGGCCATCCGTGGGCTCGCTGCACCGCAACAAGGAGCGTCCAGAGACACGCGTGGCGGCGCGAGAACATTTCCTCGGCGCTGCATTCCGCAGCCCGGCGATCAGCTTGTGACCCATCCGAAACTCTCCCGGCCTGGGGCCAAGTCCGACAACACCCAAGACGTGCCCGCCCACTTGGCTTCAGCGGAAATGCTCGTCATTCATTGCCGACGCCCAGAGCTTCCGCCTGTCCCTCGTCGCGACGCCTCTGTTGTCTCCCGACACGCCCCGCTCTGGTTTCGTTGGCCGTTAACGCGCAGACAAAGGGGCGCCTGTGCACCAGTTCGCCAGGCGCTGACGGCCTCGCTCGTCCGTGACCTCGGCCAGACTTGGAGCACATGTCATCCACGGTCCACGCTCTCCTCTGTTGACATCTCGTGGCCAGAGGCCTCGTGTCTTCGCTGTTGAACCCTGGTGGAGTGTATCTCCGTCATGGCTGCATATGAGCCAGCCTTTCGACTATGCGCTTGCGAATCAGCCCAGCAGCCTGAAGCAACTTTAGAAACGGTGCTATGTCAAGCATCACGATTCAGGAGAAACGACATGTGAGTGGTAAACAGTCTCGCATTGGATGCATGTCACTGGGCCACTACCTACACTTTGCAGGCCGTCTCAACTGCCGACGGAAAGATGGCTTCCAAATAGAGTATCTCAACACACTGTATATGTGGACTCATCTCGTATATTTCCAAGCTCACCTGCATCTCACTATGCACATCTTCTCTTACATGAGCAGCACACCAATCGTGAATTTGCCTCCAATGCGACTGCACGAATCGCGCGCCACTCCAAAGTATGCCTCCACGATTGGCATGTTTCAATCCCGCTGCAAAGAATATTGAAACTCTGTAGATCCACCCACACAATGTCAACTTGAGCTACTCGCTATCCAGAAGAACACCTCTACCGCCATGAACTGTACGATCAAGACCCCATGGCTCATTTATCCTGGCCAACGACTTGCTCAGTACTGTCCAGTTGTCCAGCTTGCACTGATCCACTCCATCTTGGCTCTGTACGGATGAGAAGAGCGGGACGAGCCCCGTGCCTTGGCACCAAGACCTCCCCAAGAAGATGATATTGCTTGGCTGGAGGCTGTGCAGCGCTCCTTACAAAAGTAGCTCTACCATCACACCATCTGTAGCAGTGGAAAGCCGCTAGCCCCGATGATGCACGTCACTTGCACCTTCCGTTTCAACGTCGTGCGAGAGACATAAACCAAGTTTGGGCGAGATATCCGAACAGCAGTCTCCCTTAATAATATTAGGAATAATTTCATTTTGACGGCTCGAGACGAAGCTGCTCGGGCACACTGTGTCCCTTTCCGTTCAACGCATATGGTTGGGGCAGATAATATGAGCCATCTATCGCCCAAATTGGCCATCAGAATGGCGCAGCCTTCACCTCACACTCCCAACCCTAAACCTGCACGCGCGTCAACGCGACCATCCAACCATCGCACACCTCACTACCTCGCGCCGCAGTGTGGCGCCCTGCACCGTGACGTCCCAACAAGCACCTCTCCCCTCCGCAAACCCGCTCAGCAGCAGCGCTTCGCCATCGCGGCACAGGCAAGCTGCTTGGCCGCCCCAGCCACGTAGCTGCTCTAGCCACAAACCTGCTTTGGCCACGTCCAAGTGCGGTGCAAAACAGGATGGGGAGGGTGTTGGGGCGCCGAGACGGAAGCCGGCGGAGTTGCGATGGGTGTGCCGAGCGTTGCTGGGCGCTGCACTGCGCTGCGCTGGGGACAAGAGCGGAGATGCGGTGCCAAGGGGCGCAGGTCTGGGGTGAACAACAACGTTGCACTTGTGGAGTGGAGAGGAGGTGAAGGGCGCGTAAGCCGTGCCGGTATAGCGGCTGGAGGATGGGAATGACGATAGCCTTCAGTCCGACGTGCATCTCAAGCCCCGGAGCTGGAGAGTAGGTACTCACGGGTGCCGCCCAGCATAGCGCGCAGTGCTTCTTGCTGTGACACAGGATGGAGAAGTACACGCCGTCTCGTACCGCTGTATCCATTCTGAGGCGCGGTATTCAGCTCATCGCGCGCTTCTCTATAGCGATTCCTGCGCTGAGCCTTCCGATGACGAGCGTGTCACACGTAGACAATCAAGCCTTGAAGTCTCCTCCATGTCGGTTTTCATCCAGCGCCTGAGATCTCGTCCGTCCGGCGACGGAACAAGATGTGCAGCTATTATATCCTGGCCATATAGACTCCACGGCAGCGCTCGCTGGTACTTGATGCATGTGTCGGAGCGCGTGATCAAGTGCGTCTTCTTGCGCCGGCTCCTTATATAGCCGTATCCACTAATCCTATCACGTCTTGTGACATTTTGCATTATGGCTAGGATTATATAAGTTTTTGTGATGACTGTCACTGGTGCAAGTGGAAAAAGCACATGCAACACGTTGACGAGGTGGATCGTGCAGGTGCAGACTCACGCACGCCGACAAAGCAACCCAGCCCAACTCAACTGAACAAGCCACCGCGTAGACGCGCGCAGGTCGGAACATAAAAAGGGCACCAGCTTGGTGAGATACATGTCTATACACGCCCTACTCGCATTCTCCCCCAACCAGCACCCGATCTACCACCCAAACGTCTCCTCATGCCAGTACACCTCCACCCCCTGCCTAACCCACTGCTCCACGCTCTCCCGCAGCTTGCCCGTCAGCCGCTTTGGCCCACACGTCACCACCGCCACCCTCGTCCCCCGACTAAACACCTCGTCCACGATCATGGGGATCTTTGGTCGTCCGGTCTTGAGCACCATGCCCGGGCGCGGTTTCTTCATCTCCTCCTCCATGGAAAGCAGCTGGTCGTCCTCTGCGAGCTCGATCTCCTCGCCGTTGTCGCCGAGCGGGATTGCGGACGCAGCGCCGCGCGTGACGAAGACTTCGATGCCGATGGGAGTTGAGGGCGCGAGACTATGTGCGACATCGTCGTCTCCGGCTTCTGCGTCCGCGTCACCATCTTCGTGAGCGGGTGTTGCAGCAGAGACACCAGACGTTGAACGAAACGCCCACTGCGTCTCCGCTAGTCTCTGCACCGCCCATATAAAGCGCACCTGCGGCTGGCCAGCATGTTCGGGGTCGCGGAACTCGATGATACTTCTGTAGATGGGGAGGATGAACGTCGCGCCTACGCCGCCGGCGACGAGCAGTATCTTATCGTAGGATGCGAAATCCGGCAGATGCGCCGACGCGCCGTAAGGTCCTTCGAGCGCGAGGGGGATGCTGGGTGCGTCGCCGCCTTCTGTGGCGAGAGCCTTTGCGAGTTCGGACATTTTCTTCGTGTTGCCTCCGAGCGTCTTGGCTACGAGTAGGAGCTCCTTGTCCTTGACCGGGATGGATGCGATGCTGAAGGGGTTGGTCTTGTTGCGCAGGGTGAACTGGTCGGACAGAGATGTTGAGTAGTGCTTCCCGGTGGGCAAAGAGAGGTACACGTGCTGGCCTGGGCGCCATGAGAGTGTTGACGAGAGTGAGGTAAGCGGGATACGGATCTGGATGAGGTTTGTGCCTGGAAGGACGGAAATAGTGCCAGTGTAAGTCTTGTGTGCAATAAAGCGGGAGAGAAGATGGAGAGCGTTGACGATGACGACCTCCCACACATAAGGTCGGATGTGGTGTACGTGCAGGTACAGTGGCACGACCAGTATGTTTGCGATACCAACGTGACTGATGTAGAAAACGCGGTAGTTCCAGCGCCGTATCTGGGAGAGTGCAGTGGTGCTGATGGCGGTAAAAAGAGTGATGCTAATGAGACCGAAGATTACATCGGGCATTTGAATGCGCTTGGCGAGCACATTCATTTGAATGAATAGGTTGAGATAGCACGCAGCGTGCAAGGAGAACAGGAAGAACACGATGCGGCCAAGAACCTGATGAGACGACTTCAGTTGTTCGTGAGAGAGGCGCGTGAGGAGTTGTAATGGTGAGTAGGGTGTGCGCATCGCAAGGAGGTAGTGTAGAGGCAATTGGGATGCGCCGATCGCGCCAAAACTCTTGGTTAGGTGGATGTAATCTGACGAAATTTAGTCTTGTGCAATGTTGGTGCAAAGTAGGATGGAAGCTCACTGTTCCCAGTTGGAGCGATTGACAAATACAACAGCCAGACTGTCCAGAGTCCACCACCAGTCCACTCGGCTCTGGTTCCCCATCCGCTGATGACATCTTTCTTCGCCCACCATGCGATGCGATTCCCAGCCTGTGTTGATTTTCGCAACCACGTCCATTGACCTTCCAGTCTCTTGTTGAACGATGGCGATCGCGGCCGCTCATATTCCAATCCTTTGCTTGCGATCCATGAGAGTAAAAAGCCAAGCTGAAAGGCAGCGAACACAACCAGAACGGACCATTGCGCGACAAGAGGATACCAGTCAAGCAGTGCTCTCATTGCGTGCTTCTCGTCATCGCTCGGGAACCATATCTTGTAGCCGAAGACCATGGCTGCGGGGCTCGCGCTCTGCGCGCAATCTATCGGACGAAGCTTGTTTTTTCTCTCTATCCGGGGCTACGGGCCATGCAGATGCGGCAACAGTCGTGACTATCGGATCTCAAGACTCAATGAGTGGCTGGACGTCCTCCTGGCGAAGGGCATGTGGAACTGGGGATGACAGGTGTGCAAAGAACGAAGGCGGATTGAGCGCGGGCGGCGGTTCAGGCCCTCGTGAAGCTGACAACAGCAGTCTCGGTGCTCGGGCGCCGAAACGTCTTCCTCGTGGCTGGGGTCGGAACCAGACGATGATTGGCCGACCACTGCGAAAGGTCAGTCGTGCATTGCGCCTCTGTACAAATTGGCAGGTCAATGGGCGACCTTTAGACCCGTTGGGGGCTGTCAAAGAGCCAGCACTGTGGGACGCATGGCGTCGCGGTCGGCGATAAGCAGGCGGGCGGGTGGTGCTAGACCCAGAGCACGTTAGCGAACGCCGGGCGTGCCTGCCCCGCGGCGTGCTGCATGGACCCTGTGTTTGGCTGATTGTCCAGCATCTGAGAGGTCTGAATCGTTCCTGCCGTCCCATCTTCTCGTATATCATATCCATTGTGCTGAGATGACGGCGCCAAAAGTACCGCTCTGGTTGGATTGCGTGTGTAAACACCCCGCTTCCGATGTTACGCGTGCAATACTGACCAGGGCAGGATCCAGGACACGATGTACAAACCCCACACTGTCGCACATATGCCCATCTAAGCCTCTTATAGGATGCGTACGCCCTCCTCCTCGCCTGTCACGATCCTCGCGTCGAGCTCCTCGGAGTGAGCACCGTCCACGGCAATGCACCGCTCGACCAGACCACACTCAATGCGCGCGCAACACTAGAAGCGATAGGGAAGCGCGACGTCAAGGTCTACATTGGTGCCCACAAGCCCATCAAGCGGGTTGCTGTGTCTGCCGTCGATATCCATGGTAAGAGCACCATCACAGAGTAGACCGTTGTTTGTACTGACGCGGAACAGGTGAATCCGGCTTGGACGGTGTAACGCTGCTCCCCGAACCTGTGCAACCGCCCGCGACGGACGCCGATACCCTCGAGGCCATATACAAGGCGCTGATCGCCACACCGCCCAACACAGCATGGCTCGTGTCAACAGGCACCCTCACAAACATCGGTCTGTTGTTCCAAAAGTACGATGACCTGGCAGGACACATCAAAGGTCTCAGCATCATGGGCGGTGCAGTCGGCGGCGGCTTCACAGATGCGCCCATGGGAAAGACAAAGCTTGAGGGCGTACGCTTCGGCAACTGGACTCCCTACGCCGAGTTCAACATCTACGTTGACCCCGAAGCGTCCCACATCGTCTTCTCGCACCCAGTCCTTAGATCCAAGACCACCCTCATCCCGCTCGACCTGACCCACCAGGTCTTAGGTACCAAGGACGTACAGCACACACTGCTGTATGGATCCGACGCGCCACTGGACCCCGCTGCAGCGGATACCTCCCACACACCCTCCCGTGTGCGCGCTCTGTTCAAGCAGATTATGGTCTACTTCGCCAGCACCTACGCCGAGGTTTTCTCCATCACCGAAGGCCCGCCGTTGCACGATCCTCTTGCTGTGTCCGCGGCAATCTACCCCGAAATCTTCGACGACAAGGACGGCGAGCGATTTCAGGTAGACATCGTGACCGAGGGCATCCACTCCGAGAACGCCGAAGAGGTGGGCGAGCTTGGCAGAACGAAGGTGACCAAGTTGCCTCCTGGTGAGGGTGGCTGCAGGATACCCCGGGGAGTTGACCTGGCCAAGTTCTGGGCGAGCATAGAGAGCTCTTTGAAGAAGGCAGACGAGGCCAGTCCGATGCCACCGATTAGTCGAGAGGAGTTAGTGAAGCTTGGGGTCATATAGATCTGGGTGTGTTGGATAGGACTTGGTTCCAATTGGTCTCGTACCCGGACAGTGCGCGCAACAATCTGGCCGAGATGTAAGGCAAGCGCGAAAGCAGGACCAGGAGCTCATATAAATGAGCACAGAATAAATAAAAGAGCAGTCGACGATGCATACACTCCACTATTACGACCTAAAAAAACTCACCACTGGGAGCAAGATAATCAACAATGGTATCTTGCTGAGCGCCCCTCACTCCAAAACCACGCTCCCAACCACCGGCCCAGCTTCCACCCACCTCTTCAAATAAACAACGCCCAACCCCAATCGCTGATAAGCCCCCGTCCCCTTGCCTTGCCCCGTGCTCGGCGCAACCAGCATAACGTGCACGACGGGTACATCGTGCCAGTGATGCATCAAGCCGCCCCCAGCACCGTAGTAACTCACCCCTGCATAATGCCTCCAAATCGCCTGCATATCAAGCTCGTAGTGCGTCTTGTACGTCCCTTGCGCGTGCTCGGCGTCTAGTTCGGCCTGGTTGGGGAGGGGGGAGGTGAAGGAGGGGTGGTGGCGGCATTCGGCGATGTGTTGGACGCGCCTGTGCGAAACGCTGGACGTGTTGCTTGCAAAGCGGTGGCAAGGACAGCCGTAGTCGGCATTCGACCAGTACGCGTTTTCGTTGAAGAAGGCGTGGTAGTTCAGCAGGAGGTCGGTGCCGGCGGCTAGGGAGAGGAAGTCTGCGTCCGATGGGATGTAGGCTTGGTACGCATCGAGCAGCAGATGGCCGACCAGTCTGCCGCTGCTGTTGCGGATGTAGTACGTGTTGAGGGTCTCGCTCTCTCCGTCGTAGAAGCCGCCGATGCGTCTGGGACCATCGAGAACGAACCTGGCTTTCTGGGTGTGAAGCAAAAGGCGGCCGTCGCGCTCGCTGAGATCGATGTCTGCGGCGCTGAATAGGTCGCGCGGGTTGTGTCGTCCAAAAGCGTCACGCCAATATGCGCTGTAGTCTGGCCATCGGTCTCCCAGTCTCTCGGTGTACCGCTCACGCGTGCAGTCCGCCGAGATCTCGCGGGGACGGTGAGATGTGACGCAGCCTTCGTGCCACGCCAGACCCGCAATAACCCTCGCTTTCTGCAAGTACTCCGCATCTCTTTGCGCCGTCTCTTTCATCGACGAGAACAGTCGGAGGTCATTTTCGTCAGGTCTCGCAACGACGATCTCGCGGACAGGAAACCCGACATCATCCAAAGTCTGCACCCGCGCCCAGTACGCGAGTCCGTAGGGCCGTTCGGCGTGGAACGCTTTCTGCCCGGGCGCAGAGGTCCAGGACCACGAGGGGAACACACCCGCCCCCGGTGGCGGCGCCACCATGCCGTCCTCGTCGTCAACGTACCACAAGACCGCGCGGTCGAAGTCGGCCCATGGCAGACCAAACACGGTCCGCGACTCGTAGTTGTCGAAGAGAGCGCCAGAGAATGCACGGAGGATGTCGCTTGGAAAAGTTAACGTCTTCGCTGTGTACTCGTGCACCATGTTGGTGTAGTAATGCGTTCGGTTGCCGCGGCCCAAGTAGTCGCGGACGTGGCGGCCAGTGGACTCCTCGTAGACGCTTAGGGGCTCTGCTCCGTGTCGCTCTCTTTGCGTGTAGTCGATGTGAAATACACCTTCATTTGTGAAGAACAAGCACCTCGAGGACGCGTGTAATTCCTGGAACGTCCCTGTTGGATGGATTAGATTTTAGCAATCGCGCGGGATAGATGAATAGGGTACGTACAACCGCGATCGTACCATTCACTGTAGTGTATATGCCACCTGAGGGGTCGAACACCCTGACACATGCACATATCCGCAAAGGTGAAGATTAGCTGGACAGAGGTCCTGGGCTCGCTGACGCCGGGGAGGCCACAGTCCGCATCGTCTCCAGCGAGTGCGACAACGGTGAACGCAGCTCCCCTATATATCGCACCCATCTGATTCAGCTGTACGGTTTTGCGCTCAGGTTCGTCATCCTGCACAATACAAAACCTATCCACCCATAGGTATCGATAGCCTAGGTTGTGACAAGCCATTATGGCATCGGCTATTGTTCTGGGTAAAGCAACACGCTTCAGACTACCCGCTCTGCTTGTGCGAGCAATTGATGATTTGGTAAGTTCGAAGTGATCGGGCTGGTTTCGACCCCACTATAATTCGGGCACGATGTCAGTCATACTCATAGTAGGTTGAGAACCTGACTTCTCCTGTCTCACGAAGCAACCTCTTTAGAGGGAGTGATTTGGAGGATCATACAAACCTAACATACCCTGTCCGCAGTTAGCAACATCTAGAGTCGGAACTCGCTTTGTACGCTGCACGTACACGTATGATAGCGTTACATACTCGGCGTCCTGAGGCAGGCGTACGATGCAGCTCCGACTAGTATCTATGACACGGACATCTATCAGTGAACGAACAGGTCCCCTCCTTGACTCCGCAGACTCCGGTTTCGAAATCAATACGGTTGACAACCACTGACGCGATAGCTCCCAATTGACTTTCCTTACTAGTCCATACCTGTGCGCTTCTGGAGAACCAACATGAACCTCGCTTTAGCCTCATCAAAAACCAATCATCAAGAGCTTGCTTTTCGTCGACACGTCTCACATACCTGTGCGTGATCCAGTCCACTGTTTCCGCAGATCTAAGCTGAAGCGCAGGAGAGTGCACGTAAAATGCGGTTGGACGAACGCCAATCAGATGTGGTTCGCCCACAGAACCCTCAGGGAACCGAACATTGAAGCCGGATCGCGATTCACCGATGTAGTTAGTGCTAGTGTCTGATCTGGCATCGAGCTGTTGTAGGAGTCTACAATAGTCGCAGTTGAGTGATAGCTGGCGGGCAGGGTCGACCCTGAATCCTGTGAGGCTAGAAGGCGCCCGGCCCAGGCATACGAATATATGGTATAAGCGCTGGTGCTGGCACCATCCGCACAAAATGAGGGTGCTATCGGTACTCGCGTGCTCACACTGTTCGCATACTCCGTGAAATAGCTCTTGCTTGAGACTCGAGATGTCGCTGAGGGATTCGTCATCTCCATGCCAATAACCGAGAGTAATTGAGAGACAGTATGGACATTCTGCTGATTGCATGTCTGGTGGTGCTTGGGTCCTGTATGAGGAAGCGCATGCAGTAGCATTAGTGACCATGTGCTGAGGCGGGGTGACTACCCATGTAGAGTCTTGGCTAGATAATAATAACTGGCGTAGTCATCTCTCGTGCGGGTTTTCAAAGGTGTGTAATGAACATACCGCCCTCCAGCCATTCAGCGTCAAGAATGAAAAAAATGGAACATCATTTTGTGGCGAACTTGGGCGGATGTGATATCCATGGCAATTGGCACGCATCTTGACCAAGCCAGCTGGTCAGGGAAAGCCGGCAGCGCAACACAAGGACAAGCACAGCATAGAACATGTGAGGCGTACATCCTTTTTTTTGTGGAAACGAGCATTGAAGCCGTTATCTAAATCCATGCATCGTGAACGATCCATCAGTAACTTCATCCCACATGTCGTCCCAGCCAAATCCGATCCATCCTGCCGTACTCCAAGCCATGCTAGCCGCAGCGTAAACCGAACCGATAAGAGTTGTCGAAGACGTGAGATATCAAGTCATGAATGAGACGTCTACTGCTCGGTCTGGAAGTAGTTGAGGAGGATGCTGCGCTCCTGGGACTCCTCACCCCAATCGCGGACGACAACGCAAGAGCAGTTGACGACCTTGCGGGGGTTGCCTTCGCGGTCGATCTGGCCTGATGGTTTATTAGATTTTGCCCACATGACATGTCATGTCAGAGAAACTGTCACGTACAGAGACCGGCCCACTCGCCAAGCTGCTTGCCATCGGGGACCTTGATAAGCGGGATCTTGTGCTCAGAGCAGAGCGCAACGACGAGCTTCTTGTACGCCTCCTCCTCGCAGGCCTCGTTCAGGACGCACATGTGCGCCTGGCGACGGTCGAGGGCCTTAGACGCCTCGCGGAGACCGCGGGCAAGGCCGTCGTGGATGAGAGCGAGCTTCAGGACGCCCTTGAGAGCCTCAAGGACGGACATCTGGCCCTTTCCGGCGGAGGCATCGGCGGATACCTCGACCTCCTCGGCGGCGACGACGGACTGGTTGTCTTCTCCGTCCGACTGCGGCGGGTTAGCGGATGGTGTGGAGCGTGTAGTGCGGCAATTGCATTTGCATTTGCGCGCGGAATGAGCGTACCATGATGATGGCTGAATCTGTCGGCTTTCCTCGAAGATTGCGGGTTGTTGTTGGTAATGAGGAAGTTCGAAAGTTCGGTGCGAATTTCAAAGCACAGTGCGCGGGGCTTTCCGCGTTAGCGAGAGGCTATGTCACGTGGCGGATCTAGCGGCCGATGGCCCACTTCCAACGTCGTCTGCTCAACATTCAACGCAAGAACATGAGTTGACATACTTGCATCTTTCCCCTAGTCAATAAGCGTGCCCCATGCTTTGCAGGTTGTGCGCCTGCGGGCTTGAAGCTGAGGTCGTGGCAGACCATCGCAAGAACACTAACTGGAAGCCTTGCAGGGCTGGTGAGGCGGTCATGCATCACGCGCGGTGCGCAAAGAGATCATTCGTACAAACCACGCGCCGCCGATCCCGAATTTCCACGAGGTCGGGCACAAACTTCCGCCCCTTTTCGCAATTGAAAACGTATGGTTCCTGTTGAATTGGTCCAAGTCTGGTAGTCCACGATATCTTTTTGCCGATCTCACCCATTTAGTACGCGACGCGTGTCGTTTTCCCAACCAGAGGATGGCTCGTCACCGAACACCCTATGATGGGCTTTGTGATCTGGAAGACGCAAGCATCAGTGCAGGTACCCGCCAGCACGGTACGACCCTCCCGCCAGATCTAGCCTGGATAACGTCGCCGACCATGATCATCCAGTCATGCGTCCCCATAGCTTCAGGGACCACACGCAAGCCCTAGGACCCTGCTGTGCTCTAACAGTCTTCACGAAATCGGATATGAGATTTGCAGACAAGTGTGTGATAGCTCGTTGACGCGCAAGCTCTGCCCACCAAAATCAATTCGTACTAACAATCTCAACTAACTATGTACACGAACAGATCTCCATATCCACGAAAGTAACTCGCCGGTGTCCTGGAAGCACTCTTCCGAATCTAGTTCGACGAAATGCCCGGTACATTCTGCGGGTTGGACGGAGGGTTGTTCCTCAGGATAACGGGCACCTGGCCAAGGCTGGTGTCGTTCCAGTACAGAGCATGCACACGCTCGCTGACCTGGAGAGCATACCACGGGCTCTCCAACTTACCACCCTCAACCACAAAGGCGGTGGAACCGTAGAAGTAAAAGCCTGTGGTGACGACGTCCGAATCCGATGTCTCGTTAGTGAGAAACCTGACACGCCTGTCGGAAGAGGATACGGTGGGAACAGCAAAGGTCACATCCGACCACGAAACAGTGTAGTTTGTGAGCGTTGTGTTGGGGTTGCCGATCCAGCTCTGGGAAGTGCCAGAGCCGCTCGGGGTGACTGATGAAGGAGTTAGTTTCTGGTTCAAGATGCTAGTGAACGGCAAATTTTCTTACAGGTTACGACGCCAGGATCCGAGCTGTTCGAAGACGACGGTTCACCCAAGTACGCATACCCTGCGGGCTGTTAGACATGTTGTCCTCCAACAATGGTGGATCCTACCATCAGCATAGAACAACGGGAACCCTCCAAATCCTTGGCCGTATCCGAAGAGACCAAATTCATCAGGCGTTGCACGTTTGAACTTCGCGCCCAGAGCGAGCAAAGGCAGAGTGCAGAGCAGAGAAAGCTTGGTGAAAGACATGATGCAATGAACAAATAGGGAGCGAATGGACGATCTTGATGTCGACGGAAGAAAGAAGCGAAGGACTTATATCTAAGGAGATACTCAGCCTACCAAGACTGGATGTAGTCTTATTTAACTGCACAAATAGTCTTCGAACAGGCCCACCCGGTCCGATTCGCAAGCTGTTCGTCAGCGATGGACGACTCCTTTCACAGCTGTCGCCAATGGCGGTCTTCTCGCCGATGGACACCGACGATGATCCATGTTCAGATCAGCCCTGTTTGCATGAATTGTACCTGACCAGTCGAAAAGGGCCGATGCGCGCAGCCACAGTCGCAATCGTTTCATGATAGCATACCCCTGCATGTCATGGTGGTGAGCCCCACGCTAACTTGTCTGAGCGTGCTGTTTGTATGCTTCCGGTAGTGCATGAGCTTGCCTTTGGTAGACACGTTCGAGCTTGCGTTGGCATGGACCGAACCCTTGTTCTCTCAGAAGTTTCGAAACCAAATCGGGCCGCGTATCTGGTCGACGTACGCCAGTGCGCAGGCATGATGTGGGACAGCTAAACTTGGACTACGATGTACGAAGCTAGCGATGGAAACAGAGCTCGAGTAGACTTTGGAGGGATAGGAGAGGGCGTCGAGCGAAGCATAAGAGACAGAGACATCTCGCCACTGTCAGCCATTCACACAGTGCATCGACACCTCTCATTACCACCACATTCCCTTTTCATTCTTTGAGTACAATGCGTTCTGCCTTTCTTCTTGGCGCGGCCGTCTTTGGCACCGCTTCTGCTCATCCACGTGCTTCTCCGCTTGTGGAAGACCTTCTTTCGCCCCTCCGTTCCAGTGTTTCCAAAGTTTCCTCCGGTGTTTCCTCCAACACTATTTCTACAAGGGCGACCTGCTCTGGGAACACGGCAGACACTCGTTCAGAATGGTGCGATTACTCAATCGATACCGACTACTATTCGGGTAAGTGAAATTAGTCCTGCGGGCTTTGTACCGAAGTCTGAGCACGGTACCAATCCCCGAGCGGGCTGGCTCAGTACACATTGTTCACATCGATGGTATCGCCTTCAAATGGTCAGAATGCTGACATCATCCAGAGGTTCCCGATACTGGCGTGACGCGCGAATATTACTTTGAACTCACAGACGTTACGGTCGCTCCCGATGGTGTCTCTCGCACTGCGATGGCTGTTAATGGGAGCATCCCGGGGCCGACCATTTTCGCAGACTGGGGCGACACCGTCGTCGTCCATGTCACAAACTCCTTGACTGATTCACAAAACGGTACCAGCATACACTGGCACGGAATCCGCCAAAACTATACCAACGATCAGGACGGCGTTGTGTCTATAACACAATGCCCAACTGCACCAAGCGAGCAGATCACTTACACCTGGAGAGCTACGCAATATGGTTCTTCGTGGTACCACTCCCATTTTGCTCTGCAGGCTTGGGAGGGCATCTTCGGAGGGATCGTCATTAACGGGCCTGCTACCGCCAATTACGATGAGGATCTCGGTATGCTGTTTTTGAACGACTGGGACCACCAGGTACGAATATTTCGATCCATAAACCTCTACTTCATGCTGACTACCCTCATAGACTGTCGACGAGCTCTACATCAGCGCGGAAAGCTCTGGCCCGCCAACGCTTGACAACGGCTTAATCAATGGCACTAACACATATGACGAGGGCGGCTTCCGCTACAATGTCTCCTTCACCTCCGGCACATCCTACCGCATGCGCCTTGTCAACGCCGCCGTAGACACACACTTCAAGTTCAGCATCGACAACCACACGCTCCAAGTCATCGCATCCGATCTCGTCCCCATTACCCCCTATGAAACCACTGTTCTAGACATCGGCATGGGTCAGCGCTACGATGTCATCATCACTGCCGATCAGGCCTCTGTCGCAGACAACTTCTGGCTCCGCGCAATCCCTCAGAGCGCATGCTCGGACAACGACAACTCCGACGACATCAAGGGCATTGTCTACTACGGCGACAGTGTCGGCACCCCTTCCACTTCCGCCTACACCTACGACGACTCCTGCGACGACGAAACCGCAAATATTACCCCGTATCTCTCCAAGACCGTGGGCGATTCGTCAAGCACCAACACCGAGGCCGCCAGCGTCGCTTTCAACGACGACAGCCTCTTCCGCTGGTACCTCAACAGCACAACCATGGTCGTCGACTGGGAGGATCCCACGCTGTCCCAGGTCCTGGCCGGTAACACCTCCTACGAGACATCTAACGCCGTCATCACGCTGCCCACCGCCGACGAGTGGGTCTACATGGTGATCTCCACAACCATGTCTGTCCCGCACCCGATCCACCTCCACGGGCACGACTTCTTCATCCTGGCACAAGGTTCAGGGACCTACTCTTCATCCAGCGTGACGCTGAACACGGATAATCCGCCGCGCCGCGACACGGCGATGCTGCCGGCGAGCGGGTACCTGGTCATTGCGTTTGAGACCGACAACCCGGGGGCGTGGTTGATGCACTGCCATATCGGGTGGCATACAAGCGAGGGGTTTGCGCTGCAGTTTATTGAGCGGTATGATGAGATTGCCGGCATCACAGACAGCGATAGACTCAGTGATGGCTGCAGCGCGTGGAGCACGTTCCAAGAAGAGAACAGCATCGAGCAGGAGGACTCGGGTGTGTAGATGGATTTGCGGCATGGACTTGGGAGCTGGAGTCGGAGTTGATACTGGAGTCGCGAGGTCCGCGGTATAGTTCTTACGGCCTGTCTGTCTGCCACTCGTTTGTCTTTCATTGTTCCTTTCTTAGCATGTCTATACTTTTCTCGCACATACCTATCTGTACATAGAATATTCTACCAGACGTTCATTCACTACGATTTTACAACTATGAGCGTTACAAGTCACCTCTCGACCCAAACCCAAACCACGCAGTTCTCACTATCATTTCAAAGTTACATTTTATGGTATTGGCATACATGTTTTCCAACCTCAAAGCATATCCAGCACACATCCCCAGAGGGTCGTCAGGGTCGGCATCCTGCGGGGTCATACCAGGGAATGGTGCTCAGGTGCGTGTTCTTTTTTTTTTTTTTTTTTGGCGGGAGTTCACATCCGGCGAGTTTCGCAAACAACTTTTGGCTTGCGCGGTGTTTTTGTTTGTGACAAGATGATTTATTGAATGGCTTGTAGGCAATGGTATGTCGTGCAGCTGTCCATGGTTTCATTGGCCATGGGGGTGAGGTGTCTAGATGAGAATGTGTAAGACTTGATTTAGAAATGGAATGGGACATTAGTAGAACCACTTTTCCGAGTCGACAGCCAACGTACTGCGAAATGCGAAGGGAGTAGGCTTGTTTCAGTAGAGCAGAAGAACCCCTACAAGGCTCACTAAACATGTCTCATTGCCAACCCGCAACAATGGACCATACTACGTAGGCGGATATCTCGTCTACAATACCAATCAAAGCGGCGAGACCAAGGAGGGCAGACGTGATGGTCTAATAGAGATGGGCCGAATTTTTGTTGGATATTGGTGATAACCATAGAAGTATGGTACAAATGTACGGAGGCCATGGCACGTGAAGCATCAAAATACGCAAAGTGATTGGTCAAGCTGTGTTTATTTTTTTGCATTGGGGTGTTCCGAAAGTACACAGCACATAAGACTCCGTAACTGCCCTTGGTGATCATTGACATGACATGACACTTGAAAGTTTTGTACCCACTCGCCCATCCGAATGCAAAGGAATTTGATATTGGTCGCCTGGTCCCTACTCCGATCCGCCGACACACACGCCAAACCACACGACTTACGCTTTCATAACGTCCATGGGGAAGATGAAATGAAAGCAGGGTGCAAGAAGGCAGCAGGGAAGTGGGACACGAACCGTTTCGTGATACCAGCGCGCTCATTCATCAGTCCGCCCCGCTCGCATGCACGCGAATAGAAAAAACTCGTAATCCGATCGTAAAAGGGAAATATCTACTGCTCCTCAGCGTAGCTCTCTGCGGGCGCAGCCTCGCCCTCGCCCTGCTCCGCCTGCCGCTGGGCCTCGGCGGCCTGCTGCGCGGCGATCGCCTTGGCGCCGTAGTCTTGCGACATGGGCTGGACGACGGGCTGCTCCTCCTTGGGCTCGATGATGGTCACGGAGTCGGGGAGCGACTTGGCGGGGCCGGCCTTGCCCTCGGGGTCTGCGCCACGCATAATCTTGACCTTGATACCGAGGACACCCTGGCGGAGGAGAACGTGGCGCGTTGCCTCGTCGATGAAGTCCTTGGCGGGTTGACCGGAGTGGATCATGAAGCCGTCCTACTGCCAGTTAGCGTTGCAGTCCATAGTTGTGAGAATGTGCGAGTGCGTACAGTGAACTTCATGGACTTCGCACGGGCAGCCCTGAGCTTTCCGGAAACAACAACCTCGCAACCCTTGGCGCCGCTCTCCATGATGAAACGGAGGACACCATAGCATGCCCTTCGGACGGCGAGACCGTTAAGAAGCTTGTAGCGGAGGGACTCGCACTGAGCGACGGCGGAGAGACCACGGTTCTGGACCTTTGCGGCGTACAGGGAGACGGAGTTCTCGGGGAACTTGAAGCGCTTCTGGATGAGAGAGGTGAGCTCGCGGATGCGGCGGCCCTGCTCGCCGAGAACCTCCTGTGTGTGGGTGGCGCGGATGATGATGTCGGTGACGGTGGGCGTCACACGGACCTCAACGCCGGAGTAGCCCTCCTCGGCGAGCTCGCGCTGGAAGAACTCGTTGAGCTCGGCGTAGAAGACACCGTCTGTGAGTGCGGGTTAGCGACCTGCCCTCAGTATGCCATTGTGCGCAATTCCCAATATTCCTCATCGTTCTTGCCAATTGTGCGCTACGGCGACACTGCCACTTCCGCACGCAACAACAATTATTCTGACCCGCCAGAGTGATAGGGAAAGGGTGTATCGTACCAGCAACGAACTTCCTGCGCTTAGAGCTGTGATGCCATCAGTATTCTGCCTGTCGGTCCGAGGTGGTGGGCGACACTTACATCTGACCCTGTGCGGTGGCCATGGTGTCGCTGTGGATTAGTTTTCTGAACGCCGGAAGTTCAGATGTGCGAACCTAAGTTGTCGTGTAGTCGTTGGTTGAGGTCGATGGGCTCGCGGGGACTGTTCAAAATACTGGCGTGCAGTCGTGAATTAAGCGAGTGCGCTGCGCTCGGACCAACAGAGCCAATCTTGGCGCTACCACTAGGGCATTCAGATCGTCCTCAATCACCATCTCGGACTTGCAGCCTGGCATCATTGCGGAAAACGTTAGACAGTACTGACTTAGTCGAAAAAGGTTTGGTTTGATTGAAGTACGATTCAAAGTGCTGTAACAATATCGCTCTATGACCCCGGTTCTTCCGCGATCATACCCAAACACCAATCTCCATGCTGCAGTCAAACTCAAATATTTACAAGCCCATTGCGTCCCGCTTATCTACAAGTGCTCAATGGGGTCCTCGGCAAGGAGAGGTTCAGGCTTCCTCTCGACGCAGCTCTTCAGCGGCGGCCTGACCAGGTCGTTGAAGACGAAGGTGCCGTACACGAGCAGTGCGAAACCCAGCACCTGGAGCCACTTGAAAGTCTCCCAGCCAAGCCCGAGAGAGACAACCCAGATGAAAAGAGTGCGGCAGGTGTCGATAGTGGACCGCGAGGTCGCGGAGACGGTGCGCGTGACGCTGAGGCCGAAGAAGTTGAAGCCACTATGTCTGTTAGCACAACATACGGTTTCGAGGGCATACGACTCACCCAATACTGATCATGATGAGAATAGAGCTGACGGCGATGGCTGGGAAGTGCGTCATCTGGTACAGACCCTCCCTTGCGTTGAAGTACCCAGTTCCGATGGCGAAGTGCAAAATAATCATAACGAATAGCGTGACAAGGAAGCCGAAGACGCCTTCCCAACCGACCACTTTGATGGGCTCCATCGAGTACTTCTCCATGATGCGTTCTTCCAGGACAAACTGGGTGGCAGTGAAGATTTGCGCACCGGCAATTAAGAGTACACCTATGACAGTCATGACAGCCTGGCTTGGCGCGGTCATGGCCGTCTCTTCTCTTCTGAGGATGCTCATCGCATTCTCCGCAAGCGCTGCGTGTGATGGAGTCGCTTTGTCGTCCTTGGTGATAGCGCCGGCAAGACCAACTATCATCACACCGAAGACTACCACGAAGAGAGAGAACCACTTGTACAGGCCTAGGTGTCTCTTCAAGAACCACACGCTGAACAGGCCAACGAAGAGCACCAGTGCTCCTCTAGTCATCTGGTAGATACTCGCAGCGACGAACAGTAGACCAACATTCATAAGCGTAGTTCCTGCAATGTCGCAACATGCGGGCAGAGCCAAGAGCAGGATGTTTGTTCCGGTAAGCGCCACGCGCCCTTCCTCATCTGGATGCGCAGGCAATAACGGGTTTGCGACATCGGGTGTGTCGCTGCCATCCGACGCAGGCGTAGCAGCTCCGTCCTCTGGAATGGCTTCGTAGCCTGCGCGGCGCGACGCAAAGCGCTGCCACGCGGAGAACACGCCGATGACGAGCCAGCAGCCCGACTCGCCGATAAACATCTGGAGTGTTTGTAGAACGGGCTGTTCGAAGTGCTTGCGGTACTCCTTCGAGGGCGCATCGCAGTTCTGGACGCATTGCATGTCCTAGCGCACGGCGGTTAGCTGAAGCGCTCCGTGTGGCCCGCATTCTAGGGGAAGGCAGTACCTGATACTTTGTCAAGAGCGTGTTGCACACTCCAGTCAGCAGCATCATGGCCACGAGAAACGGAACGACAGCTTTGACCGCCATGATGGTGACGGTGTCCTGTACCGGAGCAGTGGCCGATCGGTGCTATCGAGAGTAACAGATGTGAGTTTAAGGGATGCAACAAAGAAAGACGCTCCCGGAAGAGGAGCTATACAACTCGAAGAGAGTGAAGATCGGATGGAAGGCAGAAGAGCGAAAACAGGCAGCTCGCGCTGCGGTAGGGTGGTGGTTGACTCAGGCAGGGCAGCGCGTGGTGTTGGACATAGCTTCCGGATAACGATAGCGAAGTGGGTCCAACCACGACTGTGGGAGACGCGTGACGCAGCGGTATCACCTGCGCCGTGGTCGGCCGCTTCCGTCAACCAGCTCCACAATTCGATCGTCTGGGTGCTCCGCGCGCTTTCCTAGAATACACGAGAATGCGAACAGTGGCTCTTACGTGTTTCCTTTTTCTCTGTGTGGTTGAGCTCTTCATAAGGCGCCTTGCTCTTATCGCAAGCATTCAGGCTCACGTCATTTTCAGTAGCACATGTACCGTGGTATATGTCTGGATTTCGTCTAGTATCCGTCGTCTCAAGTAATCTCTCATTATTAAGTCATGATCCTGGCTTTCCGTCTCAGAAAAGGAAGAAAACATGTGTATCTGATGAAAATGGAGTCTTTAGGGTCATTCCATACAATGTCTCGTAAAATCGTCGTGCGGAGTCAGACACCTCCCAAATGCACAGACGCCCAATGCAGACAAACACCCAGCTATGCATAACTTGACATAACGCAACGCCTTGCCACTACCGCCAGGAACTCGGCCTTCCCCGCTTACGCTTCTTGCCCTCCTTGCAACCCTCACTTCCGCCATCATGCCCCTGGGATTCACCCGATTTCTTATCCAATCAAAAGCAGGCCAGCTCCACCTTGGTAAAGGCTCGAGGAGCTCGGATATGAACCCTCGCTTGAGCTAGTTAATCTGGACGAGCTGGACAGGATTGGGTCGCCGTGGGCTGTTGGAGGGCTCGGGTGGTCGTTGGCAGAGCCGCACAACAGACACACACGGCCCGCTATGTATAACATAGCGCGACAAAGACTTGTGCCACTACGGCCAGAACTCTACCCCAGCCTTGCTTCGCATAGACTCCTTATCCTCCTTCCGATCACCACCTCCGCCACTCGATCCCTCACCCGCCTCCGATGCCTTGGCCGAAGCCGCGCAGGCCAGCTCCACCTCCTCGATAGACGAAACAGCGGTACATCACTTCCTGCGTCGTCTTCGTGAGAGAAGGAAGACCCGCTTGAACTGGAGGAGCTGGCGTAGCTGGCGTAGCCGGAGTTGATGGAGGAGCTCGAGGATGGGGGATCGCTCGAGCTAGAGGAGCGGGAGTCGTATTCCAGGCTCGAGGCGTATTCGGAGGAGCTACTGCTGTCACTTTCAACGGAATCGGCGGCGATGGGAACGAAGATATCGTTGGAGCTGTCTTGATGACTGGAGAGCAAATCATCAGAAACTACACCATCTCAAGCTCAGCCATCGAGTTTTGATTTTAGTGGTTGTGTATCTTGGCGATCTGCCGCTCTCTTCTCAATAGCACTGTCAACAAAACCCCATTCCCCGTCATGGAGCGGCACGTTCGGATCGTGTTCACAAGTATTTTTGGGTTTCGAAAATGCTATGAATCGGACGTTTGTGACGCGAGGGATTTGATATTGGGGTAGCTGATGCGAGCTCCCTGGCTCCTCGTCGCTGGAATTCGTCAGACTCAGAAAGCGAGTTACCCCATATTCGTTTGTCTCCGGGTCCAAGTAAGACGAGGGCGAAGATATCATAGGCGTCATTATGGTTGGCTCTTCTTCAGATAGGGACTGGGTCCACTGCGCCAAAAGCTCGCGCCCTAGTTCTATGACCCACGTAGAAGCGTTGGGCCCATTCAGGATGATGAGCTCCTACTGCATCTCAACCTCTAACTCTTTGCGGGCCTCAACTCGGCTATGCGAGCGAGAGCGACTGCGATTCTCGACAGACTGTGCGGAGGGGCTAGGACTGCGAAGACTTTTGCCGAGCGAAGACAAATTCGCTGTGAATTGCTGACTGAAGTCTTTGACAGCGCCGAGGGGGTCCGCCATCTGCTCGGCCTCTACACTGGGTCTTGGAGAGGCGCTGTGTGTGGTTTCAAGAGGCGGATCAGCGTTTGTACCGGCTCCTGTAGCCTTTGCTGCCGTCTCGGTTCCCGTAACGATCGCCTCCTGGGGAATTGGCGTACTTGTTCCGCTCCGACCGTTGGGCGGACTGCTCATGTTGGACGTTTGTGGGGTGAGCAGATTAGGTGGCGCTTGCGGACCAAGTCTGTTCATTTCCTCATCTGTCCTGCCGAATAGTTCTGCCCACCACCGTGCTTCGCCTTTCTTGGGGAAGATGATGCGCTCTTTCCCGCGAATCGAGTCGTCAACGGTCGAGTCGTAGCTGGGATTCAGGAACTCTTCTCGTCGACAAAGGAAGTAGTCCCATACCGACCGCGTACGATCGTATGCTCGAGCCTCCACGCGTTCCTTTTCGTTGTCGAAGAGAAAGGTTCCATACTGGCATGAGTGCAGATGATAGAACAAGCGGCGTAGGAAGCGTTCGTTGAACTCGAAGCGGGTGGGATGCTGGTATAGTAGCTGGTAGGTGGCGTCCAAGAACTGGTGAAAGACGGGTGAGAGCTCGCTGGTCTTGGTGATGCGATGCTCCTCGGCAGGCCCTATCTTGTTACCAAATGGCTTCGCCGGCGTCTCTTTGCTCGGATCGACATCTGAAGTATTCAATTCAGCCGCAACGGCCCCGTTAGGATCAGTCATCTGAGTGAGCGACTCATTTGAGTCGTTGCTGTGCCGGTTGAAGAGGCCCTTTGCGCCACGCAAAGCATTTTCGAATGCATTGCCAGGCCCTGATCCATCCCGGTTCCGGTCGATTCTCTCGTTCTCGATAGTGAACCACTTGTCGCTGCTCAAGAATCCTGAGCGATGACGGAACATGTGGCCGTATGATAGCCAGTCTTTCTCAACAAGCACGATGAACCCTTCCAGTGTCCGGTAGTACGGATCGAGCATTATCTGGCTGAGGGCGCTAAGCTGACTGGTCCTATCCCAGCCATCGGAGCAATGAATAAGAACGTGCGAATGCATGATGCCCACAGTCCGTGCGATCAAAGAAGTACCGTCCAAAATGTTGGCAATGTGACGTATCCAACCGCTCTTGCGCAGCATATCGTAGTTGGGTAGGACGTTCAGATAGTCCGACTCTTTCAATGCGTCGACCACACATTCGAGGGACTTCCGCATGACGTGAATATTGTCGATTCCAAGGTAAGCCTTCTCCGCACCAGGGTAATAGTCCATTTTCTCAGAGCCTAAGCCGACAGCTTGCATAGCGTACGCATTGACAGTAGGTCTCGCATCGACGATAAGATTTCGTTGCTGTGCTCCGTATATCTTCGGCGCGTCCGGGTCAGTCTCAGCTGAATTAGTTAGGTCGTCCACTGTGATTTTGCCAGAGTTGATAGCGTCCGCATCGTCTACACCAACAAAAGAACTGTCAGCAGCAGACTCATTCAGATTGACAACACTTGATTCTGGGGAAATATTCGCCGGAGTCGCAGGGTTAGGGGTTTGGGTTGTTGTCCACCCACGATTGGTTGAGAATATGGCCGCGACAAGGCGCTCATCTTGCGCGTTGCGCTTTCCGCTGAGACCGGGCAAGGGTTGCGAACTGCGAGTGATGGAACAGTTGTTCAAGGGGTGGCGGTACACAAGAGCCGGTATGCGCTGGCGAGAGCGATAATCACCCGCGTATCGGAGGACGCTGTCGGATACCTTTGTTGGTACCGCAATGAGTGCAGGGTACGTTTTTGAGTACTATACACTTATGTCAAACCAGCAGCTATGCATAGTCTTGCCAGACCTACCTTGTAGTCGGCGTTGATTTCCGAAATCCGCCAGCCCTTTTCTGAGTCCTTGGGGCTGATGCCTAGTCGCTTAAACTCTTTCCGCGCATCGTAGATCTGCCAACCGTTGACGTCGCTCTCTGGCGGCTTTGGGTTGTACGCAAAAGCGAGCAGTCTATCCAGGCGCCCAATCTTGCAGGACAACGCCCTTATACTATCGTATACATTGCGTGCGTCCCTCTCGTCCAAGAAGTTGAAGGCAAACATCTTGAAGTCGCGACACCGTAAGCGAATCGACGGTTTGTAATGCGAAGCGGACGGACATGGCCGCAGACAGCAGTAGGAGATCTGGGGATAAGTAATCCATATTGTTTTCTCGCGCGGCGGGTTTGCGGTCGGGTCGACGCCTGGAGGGCAGGGCGGCAGGTATCTGAAGACGATGTGGTGGGTCGTGATGTGCAGCGTGCCGTCGAAACTCTGGCCGCGGGAGAATGCCTGGACGTTCTCGACCTTTAGACGTTCAGTCTCGTCCCCTTGCATCGGAGCGTGCAGGGGAGTAACCTTGCTAACTTTTATCTTGTCCATGCTGCGTAGAGAGACAGTAGCGGGGTAGTGTATCGAGTGAGCGTGTGTGTGCCTACCAGCCCCGCGTGGTAGCGCCGCCCGGATGGTCGTGAAGCGAGAGGATTGGCAGTCACTAGTATGGATAGTGGAGCGGGTATACGGGTCGAGGAATAAGCTGAGCGAGCGGGTTGAGTCACCGCGCGGGTCGCGTTGCGTGTGCTGGCAATGTTGATGCTGCAGTGCGCTTTTAGGGCAGTCGCCGCGGTTCGTCATGGTCGCTTCCGCGCCCAACCCTGCCGCACCTGACGCCTTGGCGTGATCGCCGCAGCCAAAATAGCAAGCACGCACCTGCACAGGCCTTGTTCAACCCCATCATAGAGGGCACATGGCATTGGGCGACGCGAGAACACTCAGCAAACACAGGTAGGGACTCCACACCATCGACTCGTGCACATCACGGAAAGTTGAAAACGAAACAAATCATGTATTGTCAAAAGCTACTGTACGGGAGCAAACCAGAGGCAACTACACAGTCCAAGACAGCCTCTCATGTACTTACGCGGCAGCACCGAAACGCGCCATAGATACACTCCTTACACTTTTCAAGTTCGAAATTGGTCTTCTTCCGAGGCGTCGCAGTTATCTGACATGTTAATGAAAGTAGCCCGGAACTTCAGTCATCACAAACATCGGACCCGCATTGTCGTCTCATGACCGATTCCCACATGCCCGTATCAAAAACGTAATCTACTGCGGCGGCGGGGGAGGCGGCGGAGGGGCATCGGACGGAGGAGGTGGGGGCGGCGCATCACCCGGAGGCGGCGGTGGAGGAGCAGAGCCAGGCGGCGGGGGAGGCGGCGGGCTTCCAGCACTGCCGTAGTTCTGGAATAGTGGTCCGAGGCCAGGAGGTGGGCCTGCCGCAGCAGGAGGAGCACCATATCCGCCGTACGCGCTCATGCCAGGAGGAGCGGCACCCGGAGCAGCGGGCTGATCGTAGCCATAGCTTCCATAGCCGTACGATGCGTTGGCACCAGAAGCCCAGGGAGCAGCAGCAGCAGCACCGCCTCCGTAGCCTCCAGAGTTGTACGAGTCTCCACCGGCACTAGCCCACGGCGCGGCAGAGGAGCCTTGAGCGCGGTCATCGTTGCGGTCGTTACCACGAGCCCAAGGAGCAGGCGCGCCAGATGGTCGCTGTTCCCAAGGCTTGGCAGCGCGTGATTCCTCTCCACCATAGCCGCCTCCATTTCCATTGTATTCGATTGCTCCAGCTGCGCGGCCATCGCCACCACCGCCCATCTCGTTGAGGAAGTTGTCCAGGTCGTTTTCGGCGCCACCAATCCTGGCTTGAGGGCGGTCTCCGTAACGGTTATCGTTGCGCCAGGGCTGTCCAGTCTTGCGCTGGGGACAATCGCGGGCCATGTGTCCAGCTTGTCCACAGACACGGCAGATGATGCTGGCCGTGTAGTTTTGCTTCTGGGGACAATCGTACTTGCGGTGACCGATCTCACCACAGTTCTGGCATGCCTGGTTCTCGTCATCACGGAGGGTACCGTTGAGAGCGGCAAGCTCGCGGAGCTGGTTGCGCTTGAGCTCGTTCTGGCCTTCAGGAATGGACGCAGCCTGCAAAAAGTCAGCATAGAATGCGATGAACGCTGAAAATGTACGTACCGTCTCAATGACGTTGTGAATCAGCTTCTTCGCCTTGTTCACTTTGTCCTCGGTATCGGCCATGATTAGACAATGCAGGTCCTCCTCCTGGTTGCTGGTGTGAGCTGCGTCAGAACGACCTTTCCCCTCCTTGACGGAGCCCTTGCCACGGATCGCAATCTTTGCGCCGGACTCAGACTCCATCTTCTTGAGCGTGTTGCCTCGCGGGCCGATAAGTAATCCAACTGTTAGTGCAGAAAAGCTGTGGTTAGTTATGTGATCAAAGGTTTGTATTGCGCAAAAGGGGTGGTTCGGGTTAGTGACTTGGTTTTGCAAAGAGGCCACCGATGCGATGCTACACAGTCGGCAGGTTGTGCAAAACGGTCAAGACGAAGGCAAGGGAAAGGAAGTAGACGAGTAAAGAAAGTTAGAGGGGTTAGTATCATACTGAAGTTAATCTCCGGGTAGTCATTGACTGGCACATAGACTTTCTCCTGTGTCTTAGTAGGGCGCCTGTAGTCTGCCGGCGGGTGGTAGTTAGGAAGCGTCTTCATGGCCTTCTCTACAAGTTTGTGGCGCTCGTCTTCAAGGCGCTTGCGGTAGCGGAACTCGCGCGTGTTGACACGACGGCCGTAGTTGTCGTACTGCGGCGGAGGAGACGGCGACCTGCGCATGTCAGTGGAGGGTCGGTTGAGGAAAAGAGTGTGCGCATACCTGTCCCCATCGGCTGGAACAACGTCGTTGATCTTCAGCTTCTGAGTGATCTCCTCGATACGCAGATGCAACGTGTAGGCATCAAGCTGTTCGGTAGTCATGGCCGAGTAGATGGCAGTGGGCAAGCCCATCAGACCAGCAGCCTTGTTCTCACTCGCATCACCCCAACGGTTGCGCTTCTTGCGGCGCCTCGGGCCATCGGAATCTTCTGGCGGTGTTAGTACAATTTTACTCGTGGGGGTGAAAGATTGCTTACCGCGTGTCGGGCTGCGACCGCGCTTCAAATCGAGGCCAGCAGACGGCTCAGAAGGATTGTAAGCTCCATCGTCGCCGCTGCCCTCACCGCCGATACGTCGACGGTTCCCGAGAGGGATGTTGTTGGAGCCGGTGATGCCCTGGTTGCGCCACGACATAATGATGAGTTGCGCGGTGGTTCGGTGTCGAGGTTAGGGGTGTGCAAGTTGCGTTGCAGAAGAAGCGGAGAGAGTGGCGCTTTCTTAGCGCCGTGAGCTATGGCCCGATTTGGTCTGACAAGATCACGTGCCGTTCGTTGCCTGGAACCTGGGTGCGCATGCAGCTCTTATCCTTCCCAGTCGAGAGAGCCCGACTGTGGGCAGTAAGACGAGCCACAGCTATGCCATCCTTCTGGGAATTTTACTGAGTTACGTTTTGGATCGCTTCTAGGAAGTCGACATACGAAGTGTCAGAAGCGTTTTCACCCTCACAGAGTTTCCAATACTCCATACCTCTGGGAAGCCTATGCTGAAAGTTTTCTCGTCTCGACACACTTGCTCCACAAGCCCTGCATACTCAGCCATCAACGATAATGCATGACAACCTGTCATCCGTGGAATTATGTAGTTCTAGAGAACGCTTACCGCACGCAGCCTTTACTTTTTTTAATATCCGCCATACAATGGCGCTCTTAATTTTAACTGTACCTTTCGAGTCTATTTTTGATCTGCTCTGAACCGGTCCGTCTCCGCGCTACCCCAGGCTAAGGCGCAGAGTATGACCTCGTATTCCGTGTACTTTACCGAATCCAGTGTATTTCCAGCCTCGGCGACGCATTATGAAACAAATGCTAGGCTGGTTGTGGTACGAATCGCCTACTTCTTTATTTACATATTCTCGCTTGTTGTATACGAGCGTCTCGATGCACGGTCGAGTAGCACACAAATCCAGGAATACGAGCTACAGATCTTCACCCCCTCAATCTACATTCCCCTGAGCCCTGCCTACCTCCCAGTCTTCGGTGTAATAGCCCCCAAACCCTTCTCAGATTCCTGTATATAATGCTCGTCATTTCCCCAGACTATGGCGATCCTACATCGTACCTACACACAAATCCATTTCTCCGGTACCACCAGTAGCAGATGCTTACACCATGAAGCTCCTTCCATCCGTCGTCCTCAGCATCGCCGTTCTCGCATCAAGAGTGTGGGCTGAGAGTTGCAGTTATGATGGCCGCTCAGGAACGTGTATGACGCCGTCTGCGTGCGCGAGCGCAAATAGGTGGTGGGTGCCGAACCAGTGTTCTGGGGGTACGTGGATCCCTCTATCCCCAAGTCTATGCTTCTTGTATCTATCGCTTATCCTATTCTTCCTGTAACTCTTTTCCGTCCTTCCCGTCCAATGTCTAAACTCTATCCCCCTCTCGCTATATCTGCTCTCCTCCCTCCTCTTCCTCTATTTGATCTCCGTGCTCTTCCCCTCTGTCGAATCTATATGCCCCCTTCCGTCTCTTTGCCTTGTCAGCTCTCTATATCCTACTCTTGAAGCATATCTTTTATCATCTTCTTCTATCTGCTTTCTATATTTCGCCTCTATCAATTTAATGTCCCTGCTGCATCCCGTCCAACCCACCTCAACCTAACCCACCCCAGGCGACTCGAACCGCTGCTGTCTTTCCTCCACGCGCTGCAATGCCTCCCCCGACAATGGCGGCTACTGTCTACGCACCGACACGCCAGGAAAGAACAAGTGCGCTGCCAATGGGGGCGCGCAGAGAGCCGGGTGAGTTCTCCCTTCCCTTTTCCGCTCTATTCGAGCAGAAAGGACAAGCTGACCTGTGCAAAACAGATTGTGTCCAGGCCCGGATGAGGTGCAGTGCTGTGTTGTACGGGGTGGGTAGAACGTTTGAGATGGGCAAATGTACTGGAGTTGATCATTTGTGCAGAGACTGAAGGGACGAATGGCAATTCTACCGCCTCTACTTCCCACACCACTACTTCTTCCGACTCTGCTTCTTCCGATTCTACTTCTCCCGCCTCTGCTTCTCCCGCCTCTGCTTCTCCCACCTCTGGGTCTTCCACTTCTACCTCGCCCGCTTCTGCTTCTCCGTCCTCCAAAGCCGGGTTGAATCTGAACAGCCAGAGTATTTCCGCCTTATCGATACTCTACTGGGTCTTTGGGTGCATCGCGCTATCCTATATCTTCACACCGATACATGCATAGTCCAGGATATAGCCTTCCACCCATGTTGACTCTAGAGCAACTCTTCAGACAAACGTGAAATACCAACTTAGAGCCATGTAAGCTGTTTGCCTATCCTCCCACCTGTTCCATCCACTGGTTGCTAATGTCTCAGGCGAGCGAGAGCTATACGTAGACAGTAAAGTCTATACAACGAGCTCAGATGCGTAAAGCAGACTAGACGATTTCAGCTCTTTAAGCCTATGCTGCGCACGCTAGATACCAAGAGTAGAAAACACGCTATACCTTGTCATTTATCTATGCATTAGTCCTCAGCCATCAGAACTTCAACAGCTACATCTGCATATCATTAAACTCTTACGCCAAATACGCGACTCAAAACGCCGCACCGTCCCATCTTCCCCGCCCGAAGCACCCAAAAAAGACTGCGAAAATCAAAAGCCACTTCGGAGTCCGGTTCAGAGAAACCAAGTATGATTTTTTTTTTTTTTGATTTGACAACCAGATTGCTAGCATAAAACTGTATATAGACGTCTGTGTAAGAGACATGGATGTGTTAGCGGCAAGTCAAAGCGAATCGCGACAGACAAGCAGGCCTGCGAAGCCACCACCCTCTGTTCCAAAGTTGTTTGTCTAGAAAAACCACGCCTATCGCAACTTTAAAGACTCCAATCGCATTCATATCCTCCCTAATTTTGTTCCTACAGCCTACGTCTCTACTTGTCACCTAGACGTTGAATTTCAATATACAGCCTGTTCTTGAACCAGGGGGGAAGAGGGAGAAATAGAAAGGCGCATGTAGGCGAGCACAAGAGATATAGGCCTATGATAGTGGATAGCCCGAGATGAATGTAATGAAATCAAGATAAACGCCTTGAAATTGCGAAGAGATGGTTAGCCCCCGCTCCGTCTGATCTTAGACTCCTAAACCTGCCATCATTTCCCGCCCAGAGTAAGATAAGAAAAAGACTAAAAGTCATTCCGGAGTCCGGCTCACAGAAACCAGAAGTCTGGTTTTTTGTTTGATGTCACGGGAGATTTGCAGAGCTGGAATATTTATAGATGATTGTGTTGGGAAAAGGGGCGAGTGAAACGAGCGATGCCCAAAGTTTACGGTGTATAAGCTTGGGCGCCTTGGTTATCTGGGTTTTAGTGAATGTGGGTAGGAAGGGTCGGGGTGGAAATTGAAAGACGCGCGGGGGATTAAGTGCGGTGCATGGAGAGATTGGGTCAACTGGGCGAATGATGTGTGTGCAAGACGACCAAAGGTCGTCGGACACTCTCAGGCGCGGTGATGTATATATTGCTTGCACTCTGCGTTCTGTTATTACACTATATGCGCTAAATTCAAGCCTTGCTACATTGCGCACACTACCAGGGCTCCTTCGCGAAGATGAGAGAAGTCGGAGTATCTATGTGACCAAGGGAGACATCCAACTATCTCTTCTACTCCCCGCCGCCAAAAAACCCCACCGTCTTCCTCTCGTTCATCTTCCTCAGCCGCAACACCGTCTCCAGATGCCCCATGCCCAGACACTCATCATACCTACTCGCCAACAGCATGGCCGTCTTGACCACGTTCTTAATCTGCCTCCCATTCAATTTCTCTTTACTCAACCTCTCCAACTCCGCATCGCTGAACCCGCCCAAGGCCACGTTCGCATTCTTAGCGCGGGCGTGGGTGGAAAGGAAGGTAGTCCAGACGTGTTTGCGAGAGGGCTTGTCGAGGTCGGCGTAGTTCAGGGTGAGGTGGATGCGCGATTCGAAGGCGGCGTCCATGTTTTCGAGGCGGTTGGTCGTCAGGAACATGATGCCGGAGAAGTATTCGAGCAGGCGCAGGAAGATGGAGACGAGCTTGTTGCGCTCGAGGTCGGCGGTGGAGCGGGCTTCCATGAAGACGTCGGCTTCGTCGATGAGGAGGACTGCGCGCCGTCTTCGCTTTAGCACCCAGCCAGTCCTGCTCTGCTATGCGTGGGGGAGAGGGAGAATTGAAGGCAAGAAAATAGAGTGCACGTACCGGCATTCCACTTGGAGCACATCTCGAGGATGTCGTGCAGCTTGTTCTCCAGCGCTGCAGGCTTACCTGCATCGCTATTCAGCACTTGCCTCCGATTTCCGAGTCTTCGCACAACGGTTCGATTCTCAAACGGGGACGACTCACTGCCCAGATCTGCAGCCCCGATGCTGTACAGCGGGGCTTTCATCGCCTCCGCGACGCTCTCCGCTGTCAGTGTCTTCCCTACCCCCGGCGGGCCCGCCAGCAGCATGATAATGCCCTGCCCCTTGCCCTGGATGAAGTCATCAAAGTCATCGCGCGACTTAACCTGGCTTTCTGCAAAGGAGAGGATAAGGTCTTTTTGCTCCTGGGGCGCGACGAGCGAGGCGAATGCGTCGAGGTTCCAGACGATGTCGCAGATACTGTCGATGAAGAAACTGCACCACTTTTTGTCGCGCAGGGAGTACCCCCGAACGGTGGCGGAAGCCACAAGGTGCTGCTCGGCCGTGAGGACACAATCGGTGCTGGGTGCGGGTTTTATCCCAACCGGCACGGGCTCTGGCTTCTTGCCCACGTTTTCGTCGAGCATGACGCAATCGTCGTCGGTATCGTCGGGGCTCGCTGGGCCCGCGATGTCGTGAACGACTTCAGGGGTCTCGAACAACTCCAAGCTGGGCTTTGTCCCGTAGCGCGAAAATGAATGCGCGTCGATGATGATGCGGCTCTTGACGTTGAACCTTTGCTCTCCACGGTTGACCTTGCCCATCGCAATGCCGTTGTACGCAACGAAGCGGTACTCCTTGTACGCCTCGAACATGGCGCCTCTCTCCATCAACCTGGCTTTGAGCGCCTCCACACCTTCCACAAATTCTAGCGGATATGCCTCGAACTTGGCAATCTTCTTCGTCCCTTTGAAGTCCTTAATGATGATGGTCTCCTTGTTGTACCCAAAGTTCGTGCCGTCAAAGTCAACATACTGGCATTCAAGATTATACACCCGCCCCGAAGACGCATTCTCAATCTTCGCGCTTTTAAGCTTATACACACGGTCATGCCCGTCGCGCTTTCGGTACACAAGACACCCGGGCTCGAAAAGCGTCCACAGGTTCTCGAACCGCATCACGCCATGGGCAATCAGATCGTCCTTCTCGCGAATCAGACCTGCGAGTTCGCTTTCCAGCGTCTCGCACAGGACCTCCAGATGAGCCACCGCATCTTTCGCCACCTGCGCCGTGACCGGCGCCGCGTTCTTGTTTTTGCGAGCAAGAGCCACGCGTTCGGCTTGAAGGCGGTCCCAACGGTGCACGAAACACTCGAATGGCGCAGTGAACTCGACGCGCTGGAGCTCGATTGTGATGCCAGGGTATCCATCCAGCACTTTCCCAAGACTTTTCTTGAGGAGCGGGCTCTGCACTACGATGGAGTGCAGGTCCAAGGTCTTGTTAGGGTCATCCGAGAGCTTGTAGCGCGCAACGAGAGCGTGCTGGAGGGAGTAGGCATCTTCCGCCGGCGGACTAGCACGGGTGGGATATGCCGTTGTCCACTAGGTTCTCGTTAACATGATTTGTGAAGCACTAGGGCCTGTTTAGGATGAGCATTCTGCTCTAACCCACTGTCCTTTCTCCTGAACTCCTACCTTGAAGAGAAGGACTTTGAGCTGACAACGTACCTTATTCGGCAAAGACGGATCTGCATACAGATTGTGTATACTCGCCAGGCTTCCCGCAGGCCCAGCAGGCTCTTTGGGCGTAGCCTCAATCCCAGCTGCCGGCGCCGCAGCCACGTTCTCCCAACTCGGTCTTGTCGTCGAGGTAATCCCAAGGGTGGCATCGATCCTCGCCTGTCTCTCCTTCCAAGTCGGCTTCGTCGGAGCATTATCAAAAGGTGGTTGTGGTTGAGCCATGATTGAATTGCCAATTTCAACACATCGCATCCAACAACATATATATTCGACCCAGTGTTGCAGTACACCACCGTAGGTGTGCTTGCATGTTGTTGCCTAGCCAGATCCGGGTGGGGAAGGCACGCCTGAGAGGCGGGGGTGTGGCAAGTGCGACTCACACATTGGTGCGGGTGCGACATGTTGTGTGACGGGGCGCACGCGAGACGGCTGCTGGGTGGCCTCTGCTAATGGGCAAGAGGAGTCATATTGTGGATGGAGTAAGGCGAATGGTGGGGGGAATCCCACTGCCGCGCACCCAGCGTATGACTGGATGGTTCGGCTACAACTAACGGATAGTCGATCGTACGTAGTAGGCGATGGTATGTTGCCAACCAGATTCGATGACTCTTAGTGGAGAGGCGTGTGTCACGAGGCGCTAAGCTCGATACGTGAAATGTCTCTGCAAATTGACCAGCGAAAGGAGTTTGACCATGCATTCTTGGGTATCTACCAGCAACTTCGCCATGTACTTCTCCGCAGAATATCCAGCCCATCCACGTCCGGAACAAATTCATTTACAAGAACCATCTAAAATCCGGGCTATTCGGCCCCTCCCTCAACTTCTCCGTACTCACATCCCTCGCACTCAGGTTAACACCCTGCTTCTTATTTCTGCGCTTGTTATCGAAGATCATGTAGGTCCCCAGCAGCAGCGCAATGCAACACCCGGTCGCGCCAAACGCCGCCGTCGTCGCCAGCGCAGGTGTGTACTTGGGCTTGTCCTCGTCGCGGAAGATGTTGCTAGACACAACGCCCATGAGATTTGCGAGCGGGACGCCGACGGAGGTCAGTGTGACACGACGCCCCTCGTGCGCAATGTTGTTGTTGTACCAGGTAGACAGCAGTACCGAGGGTGCGGACGTCCCCCAGACCATCATGAAGGCGGCGAAGTAGGCGGTGGAGAGGTGCGCGGGGACATCAATGGCGGCGAATATGATGAAGCCGCAGAAGGTGAGGGCGAAGCCCAGCGCGATGAAGGGGAAGCGGATGCGCGACAAATCCGACGCGAACGCGAGGATGAGGAGGAACACCGCGCCGACGCAGTTGGGCGCGACGGTCTTGAGGTTGACTTTCACGACGTCTTTCTCGAGGGCATTAATGATCTGCGGCATGAAGAGGCCAACGGACTGGATGGGAACACCGAGGCAGATTTCGATGGCGAGGAAGCCGTAGGTGGAGGGCAGCTTGAAGATCTGTAGGGCGTCTTTGAACACGAATTTTTCGCCGACGATGGCCGAGGAGTCTATTTGGATGCGGGTGAAGGCGAGCTTGCGCTCTTCTTCGGTGAGAAACTTGGCTTCGTAGGCGGACTTGGGGAGCCACCAGTAGGCGAAGGCAGCGACAATGATCGTGGCAGCACCTTCGATGATGAAAAGGTAGCGCCAAGCTTCAAGCTTGTTGTTCTTGATGTGGAAGACGCCGAAGGCGAGGAGGCCAGAGAAGGCGTTGGCGATGTTGGAGGCGGCGTAGAAGAGGGCCAGGCGACGGGCCAGCTCACCACGTCGGTAGAACGTCGTGAGGTAGTAGATGACCAGCGGGAAGAAAGCAGCTTCCGCCATACCTGTCGCGTGTCAGTTTCCGTTGCCATATATATCCATGATGCTTGCTACGACACAAATGGAAGTAAGACCGCACTCACCCAAAAACCATCTTAAAGCCATCATCCCACTCCAATTCTTCGCCGTCGCACTCAGCAACGTCATGGAACCAAAGCAAGACATCAAAATAGGCAGCATCCGATGCGGCCCAATCCTCTTTCCGAGCATCGCAATCGGAGGCGCAAACAGCACATACGGGACGAAGAAAATGCTCAACATGGTATTATACTGCCCCTTCTTGAAGTGCAAATCCACATCCATCTTATCCGTCTTCGCATTGCCCAGATTGCCCTTGTCCAGCGCATTGAAAAGATACATGACAGCCAGCATGGGCAGGATGCGGACGTCGAACTTGAGCGCGAGTCTCTTCTCGTGCTCGAAGGTGGGGAGGTGTTCGGTCTGGCCCTCGAGGGGGACGGGGTTGTTGCCATCGGAGGACGATTTTGAGGCGGTTACTTCAAGCCCGTTTTTTGTGTCGAGCGCGTCGTGCTCGGGACTGTGCGTGTTGGACGCCATGCTGGGCGGGCGCAGAGGAGGCGTTGAGCTAGCGGGTGAGGCGCTGATAAGATGCCCGATGGCGCTGCAGAGACGACGTCAACTTCGTGCGCGATGAGAAGCCTAAAAGCGACTCTAAGTCAGGACGTGCTGATGCCGTTCGACTGCGATGTTGTCCGGTAGTTTTTCCGGAATATGTGACGGAAACCTGGTGCCGCGGTCGCGTAGACGAAGCTTCGAGGACAGGGCCTTTGTATAGGCGGAGTTGCGCCCACGTTACAATGTAACGTTCTATCAAGCTTCTAGCCACCAAGAGGAACACTCGTGCTGGCGTTGCAGGCCTAACACGACAGGCCAGGACACCCGTTGACCGGGCGAAACCGACGTGCAACCCTGCCTTTCGGCTGCGTGATAGGACGCCGTCCAATCCGCGTGACAAGCTGGCGAGCGGTGAATTACGTTTGGGCGCTGTGAGTGGTCCGTCGGTGCGTGCGGAGAGGGGATCGACGGCATCCTGGTCGGTATGATAAGGATGGGAAGCCTTCAGTGTTCGGCACGCTCGATCGAGTAGCCCGGACGGTGCGTGACAACGGCCGTGAAAGGGTCTTTCGTATGTCTTACTCGCAAGTGCAGTAGGAGTGTAGTATTATTGCTTGTTGGCTCCTTCCTGAACCGACACTGAGGTTACCGCGCTCCCCCGCAATCCCCGCGTTTCGGCCACAAATGGGGGCACGCCAAGCTCCGCAAAAGATGGGATAACTCCTACTTGGAGGTGTCTTACCAGAAAAACAGAAGAGCATTCGAGGACCCATTTGCTCTTGCAGTGCATCTTTCAGCAACATCTTGGTCCTGGAGACACACAATAGGACCTCAATAGGAGAGCACACCACACCACACTCTCCTCTCGCACGTGTAATCCCTACCGCTGCCTCCTCACTCCTACCGCTCTCCCACCAACGCAACGCCTAGCTTAGAACGTCCCGGAAAATCATACAGGCAAACAGCCTTTCAAACAGGCACTCTCGCAGCACGCCCGCGGCGTAGCAAAAAGGAGGCTGCTTACGCCTGCCGTCGTATTTAGACACTCCTGCGCTGCTTGAGATCAAATGCAACGCTCGCGCACAACCCGCCCGCTCAGCTCTGCCTGGGCGTAAGCGAGCGTACTCCAATCAGCCGAGCTAGGTTGGTTCCTGGCGAGTGCTTGATATCAACCTGCCAAACGTTTGGCTACCTCACTGTTTGCTACATACATGTGAGTCTTCTGTCGCGTGGTCCATACATACTTAATTGGACCTGCCCATCGTACACAGTATGCTGTATGGCAAACACTCTAAGCGGTACGCGGCCCATCACACCCGATCCAGCCTAAGCCCAGCGCGCCCAGCCGCCAAGAGAGGTACGCTCGAACAAGTACCCAGCTTATCGCTCGTGCTCCGACATCGTATCTTGATCCGCGTGTTTGTAGGTTATCAAGGGAACCTGCACGCTGGCGTAACGGCTCCGCAGATAGAGTGCCAGATCGATGCCTCGGCACGCAAACTCGTCCGAGTGTTATCTGCGTCGCTCTGGGCAAGGTCAAGTCGCTGCGGCATTGCACGTGTCGAATAGAACAGAGTGGAAGTGTACCGAATATGCATCTCACATTGTGCGACTTTTTCCACTCTAACGTGGGAGACGCAGAGACCGTCTGCCAGCACACAGCAGCAGCCGCCAAATACGAAAAGAAGAGTAAAGCTACTTCTAAAAGATGCTCGCCGAAGCGTCGAAATCTAATGTAACGTGCGAAAGGAAGCAAACGCCAGTGGGTATCCCGTCCTTGCCAGGCTTTTCCTTTTCGTTGGAAACGCCGTGCCTATGAGCAACTAGAAATCTTGAGATAGGGACAAAAGAAATGGGTGAATGGTGGTACATTGCACGAAGCGCTCACTCCTGAATGGCTTCCTTGCCCTTCGACGAAGGATGCAGGAGGTTCGGCCGCCATTTAGTGACATTTGACACATTGAAGTGCAATGGCTCCTTGGTGCCCTTCTCGCGGACGGGCATCTTCCGCTTCGAGCGGCCGGAGAGGTAGATGGGCTGCGGCGCGTGGCCCGCGCCGTTGGCCCCAGGCATCGAGTGCTTCGACCTGAGCTTGGGCTTCTTGTCGCAATGCTCGTCGTCCTCAGTGCCTTCGAAGCTCCTCGTTTCTTCGGTGGAGAAGCTGCGCAGGCTGCTGCGCTCGGAGGAGTAGTGGCTTGAGTGCGTCTGCACACGCTCGATGGGGCTCAGCAGCGAGGCGGAATCGGCAAGGACATCCAGTTTCGAGGGCGCCCTATCCGCCATCGAGTGAGTTCGGGATGAATAGGTGGGTGGAGGGTCCTGGTAATCGTACATTATTTCCGAATCGAGGCTCTTGTATTTGGCGGTGCCGTCCAACTCTTCGTCGTGCTTCCAGCAGGAGTCGTCTGCGCCGAGGATTGCGGGCAAGAAGCGGATCTCGTTCCAGGTCACGTCTTCGAACTGTAGGGTAATGTAGAGTACATCGCCCTGCATCTTGTCGTGGGCAATGCAGTGGTCCTCAAGGAAAGGGTAGTCCCAAACGCCACGGTGGGTGAGATCCGAGGGAAGCAGCGCAAGGGCCATCCGCCCGAAAGGCTCGTCTTGAGGGCGGTGAGCTGTCATTGGCATCCATGGTCGACCACGTAAGATGCCTTTGAACGTTGTCTCGATGCAATTCGCAAAGCACGAACTGTCCTGACTGGGGAAGTTCATGTTCTGCTGTAGCTTGCGCGTGGCACAGCGCTTGTAGCCATTACTATCTGGATCGTAGGCAAACTTCTGGCCTTTACGCGGAACAAAGATGACTCGCGCGCTCCATGATAGTGGATACTTCTTGTCGTTGCGAATTGGGAGTTGGCCCAGTATGGATTGCGACTGCATGAGTAGCGGTAATGAAGGTACAGGAGGCACCGATTGGGGTGATGAGAGCAAAGGCTTTGGGGTTACTGCTCCGGGTGTTGGTTCTCTGGATGTCCCGTTGCTCAGTTCCATGCGATCTATCCTGTTCTCAAGTTCCATAGTGACATCGTCGACAAGGGTCAACCGCTCTTGCATGGCCTTCATCTGGTCATTGAACTCCTGAGTCTTGTCCACGACTGCCTCGACCTTGTCGTCCATGTGCACTTTTAGATGCTGCATGTTGGCATACATCCGCGCTTCGATGCCCTTGTAGGTGCGGAAGTGCTCTTCTCTTGCCATTCGCTCCTTGAAGAGCTCCTGCTTGAGCTGATGCTCGAGATGCTCATGCTTCCTGACTTGATCTCTCAAACGCTTCAGCTCGGCTACGATAAGATCATGCTGCTCTGCCAGGGCAGTGGAGACTGGTTCCGGCTCGTGATGCCAGGCCTGGTGGCCGCAGCCGCATTGCGAGCGGATCAGCGAATCCGGGAAGAAGCTACGGCATGAGCACCGCTCCCGTGCAGCGCCGAGGGTTGCGGCGGGCAGAAGGAAACTGCATTCCCCACGAGGAAGCTGTGTGTCGTGAGCACGAGGGATCCGCGAGTCATCCCTCGTTGCGGGCTTCACGGGCACGAGGTAGTTGTGGTGGTTGTTATTGAACATCAGGGGAGGGCCTGGTCACACGGCCACGGTGTGCTTTTTGCTGGGCAGACTGGCAGTTCATGGAAGGCCCTCAAGATGGGTCGAAAAGGAATCAAAAGAAGGGCTGGGCCAGTTGACGCAAGTGGGCCAAGAAGCTACCAGATGTTGTCAGCGGGGGCTCTGTGAGCGATTTATATGGGCGGATAAGAGGGTGTAGGGGCTTGAGGCTGGCGTACGAGATAAGACGGGGCTTCACAACCACGGCGCCGGTGCGCGCGGGAGCATCCGAAGGCGGTAGGGCAGCGCGGCCGTCGCACAGCCAAAAGGAGAGGGTGGATTTGTGTGCAACCGTGGGCGCACCTTGGATAATGGAGGGAATGGGCAAGACGGGGTGCGGAGCGGCGGCGGGTGGCCTGCGATGGGTACTTTTTTAGTGCAGACTAGCCCCCGGCGCCCGCGCTGGGGTGGGAACGGGGAGACTCGAGGCCATGCTGCCGTGCACGATGGCGGTTTGATGTGCTGAACAGACAGGGCCGTGGATCGCCCGCGACCCGCCAAGGACGATAAGGGCGTGGGGAGGAAGCGCCGCTGCTGATTTGGCAAGCGCGGTGCTGCCGGCGCAGGGAAGCCGCGCCCGGCAACTGGCCCCAGGAGCGTGCAGCAGTCTGCAGCCGCACGCTGCTCTCGCCCAACCGTGGAAGACGACCTGGCTGGCGACATTGTCGCCGTCGCTGTCGCAAGATGAGATGACACGACTTGAAGCCTGGGGGTGCGCCTCCCACACGCCTCCACCGCTTCCGCCGCCACCACGGTGCTCCGTCTGCGCGACCCCACTCGGTGCGCTTCCCCGCCGCGTCTGCCTTTCTCTCGACACCATCTTCGCTGTCATAGGAGAGCATGCTCGGCGCGTCCGTTCCCCAGCGCCAGCTTGCTGCTCCACGTGCTGAAACGGCATCATGGGCTGGCAAAAGCACCCTGCACACCGCTGCTGCTTATCAGCACCCGCAATGCTGGGCACCGCATCCTTATCGCTCTCATATGATAATGTGCCAATGCGCCCCCACACGCTCCCGCGCAGCCCCATTGGCGTCCGCGCCCCTTCCCAAGCACCACCACGATGCCGCTCGCAGTCCTCCAGGACGGATCAGGATACTTACAACCGCCCGCGACAGGGCACATCCTAGGGTCTCCGCCCTGCCTGACTCTCCGAGCAACCGTCTCCGTCTGCAGCTCGAGACTGCGTTCGAGAGCTGTTCGGCACGTCTGCCGCCCACTCGCCGCCGCCCGCAGTGGCCGTCGGCCATGTGAGCGCTCGAGCAGCGACGTAGCACCGTAGACCATCACATGCCGTCACCTTCCCGGCTATAGACGGTGCTCCATATGGCAATCGCTGCACGCTTCCATGCACCAAAACTGATCCACGCCGGTGCTAACGGTGGCAGCCTGGCCGCACCGAGGCAGCTGAAACGATACGCATTCTAACAGACAGGAACGCGCCAGATCGAGTCAGTTGTCAACGTGCCTGCGAAAACGTCTGGAAATTACATGGTCAACCCAACGTTGAGGCCAGCAGTAGGCGCCACAGGGACAGCCTTCCGCATGCGCTCAGCGCCCATGTCTTGTTCTCGAAAAATGCGTTGCGCAACGTAACCACATCCCGCGTTTTGTAAGACCCATTACACTTATGTTACCACACTTTAGCCAGGAACGGATTCATTTGCCACCACGCCAATCAGGCACTGTCTACTCCGAACACCTTCAGGAACCAAACATTCGCCACTCCCGGCCTCATGCCATCTCCGTAGTCGTTGCGATGCTGATGTACCTAGAGCTGTCTCCGACTCTACGTCAAATGATCTTGCTCGATCCATCGCATGATCATACCAGCCGGACGCTCTTCTGTCTCTGAACATTACTCTTAACATTGCGGCGCGTACTACTTCCGGCCAAGGCTCGATAGCTTTGTAACGCTATCCGTGCGCTGTAGCTGTGGCGCCTTCGAAGCGTTTCTTTGTTCTTTCCTTCAATTTGCCAGAACAAGTCTAGCGTCATCCACCAATTTGCGATGTCCCTGGTCCCTTCCTCAAATGCTCGATTGCATCTGCGAAATTCCCAAAGCGCTGCTGTAGCCACTGCATCCCGCCGCATTGATACGCCTCGTACTTGCGCTTCATAATTACTTCACTCCACGTCTTAATCTATTCACTTCCGTCCGCATGTCACGATTCTATGAAGTCCGTCGCACCTGACCCCCAACGAGTTGTTCGCGTCGCCAGTTTCACCACCCCGCTGATAAGAAATATCGACGCACTCAATGGCCAATCTCTCGACATCCACGCCGTTCGGACACTCTTGAGCAATGGTAATCGAACGTTACCTAGAAGGGGCACGCTCTCGTATTTCTGTTCTCTATACTTAGGCTGAACGCATGTCTACCAGAGCGGATGCGTGCAGCAACGTATGCCGCCATTGAGCGATGCGACAGTCATGCAACAGAGGTGGAGCAGTCACGTGCCCCAGACTGAACAGCTGTTCCTATTCCTCCGTTATGCTGGGACTCGTACTCTAGCTACACCGGAATAGCATCTGGTGCTATCAGCGCCAATCGATTGACAGGCTGAAGCGACAGTGGCACAGCGACCCAGGCCTCGTATTGCGCCACACTCGCCATGTGTCTAGCTTTTGAAATCCCGTATGAACCACCAACGTCCTCTACATGATCTACTGGTATCACTGTCATGCCTTGTCGATAGCTTACTAGTACTAGAGCGATGCGCGACAGACATTCCTCCGAGACTTCGTCGTCGACCCAGCCTCCGACACTCAAAGCCAGCACATACCATACAGTTGAATATCTTTGGGGGGCAACATGGTATCGCCAGACGAGGAAGAAACCAGGCCCATTGTCGAAAGATATGGCCCGCCCTTGCCTAGACACCTTTTCTGCCAGCTATCGGATCGTCTCGCAGACCTTCGTGTAGGCGCACCAGCAACTGATCACTTCTATATGTCAATTCGCCAACCCTTCGAGTACTCCCCTACGCCAGGACCAGACTACATCCGGCTTCTTTACCTGCATCCTATCGCTGAAAACCCTGCTGAACTGAGAGGCACTCTTAAATTTCACAAACTCAATGAGCCCATGGTGTATGAGGCCATATCGTATGCCTGGGGCGAATTTCCAAAGTTCAATCAAGTGATTGTCCTGGACGGGAAAATTCTGAAAATCACGGACAACCTATATTCCGCCCTCATGGCTTTTTCTCGCCCTTACGGCGTGAGGGTGCTATGGGCGGACGCCATATGTATCAATCAGACAGACACCACCGAGAAGTCCCAGCAGGTCGCGCTCATGGCTGAGATTTACAGCAAGGCAAATCTGGTCCAGGTCTGGCTCACATTGCACTCTGAAGCCGCTGCGGATGCGATGAAGTATCTGAAAGATCTTTCCTCAAGAGCAGATACGTTCGGCATCAGCGAAGATGTGGGTCACCCTAGAATTGTGAAAGGTTGGCCCAATGTTGACATCCCAAGGGATGAAGCGGACAAAATGATCAGTGATGCAATCAAACACCATGTCGATTTTTTACTATATCGTTCTTGGTTCAACAGGGTATGGGTTGTTCAAGAAGTTGCTTTGGCGGCGGACCTTGTCGTTTCATGCGGTCATGCGAGGTTGACCTGGACTGAACTGGCCCGCGCATTGGAAGTACTACGTGGCGTGTATAGGAGGATGCCAGCTGGGGAAGATCGATCACGTATGGAAGGGCTCAAAGCAGCTTGGGGATTTGTCAAGCATCGAGACGAATGGAGGATGCTCGACGAACATCTCGGTCAGAATCACCATGCCTCAACGAACACAATCGGGGAACAGATGAGGAACAAAGCCTGTACCGACGATCGCGATAGAGTGTACGCGATGCTTTCCATGACCAAGTCGCCCTACGCAGGCATGGTACCGGACTATACGAAGACGGTGGCGGAAGCCTATACTGAGTTCACGAGACGATATACGCCAAATACGCAAATCTACTGGGCAGGCCTGGCCAGAAGGCTGATTACGCATGACCAGGAAGCTGTCGATACATCGAACATTGCGGTGTCCAGTCCTAAAGCAGACAAACAAACTGCACTCAACATCACAGATCGTGACTACCTTCCTTCATGGGTCCCAGAATTCCGGCCCGCAAGGAATCTCGCATGGGCAGCACCCTTCACAGGATCCTACGACACCGCAAGAGCAGCGCCATTTTTCTTTTTCTCGCTCCCCAAAATCGAAAAGGTCATGTTCGCCACAGGAGCAGTTATCGACACGATAGCACTCACAAACTGTGCATTGGACATGAAAGCGCCGCATTACTTTCAGCACCCAGCCTTCTTCTTCCCGCTCATCGATTATCTGACCATGCTTCTGGACCACGCGCCACCCCCCAGTCCCGATTCCGACCCATTCCCAATCGAACTAGCCAAAACTCTCACCTCGGGCATCGGCGACTGCCCGCACGCAGAGGACCTCTTCTCACGATACACCTTCATAGAAAAGCTAGCGGCCTCCCGCAATCTCACCCCCGGCTCCACCCCCTGGCTAACAACCATCTGGACCGCCTTCAGCAAGCACTACCTCTCCCCCACGGGCTCCCTTTACCAGCGCATCCTGCTCCACGCCATCACCGGAAACCGCACGCACCTTGTCGTCTCCAACGCCGACGGCGATGCCCTCTCCCCCGACGAACAGCTCGCCTTCGCCTTTCTGAACTACATCGGTAACATACTCATCTCGAACCGCCTGTCTGTTACGTACGAAGGGCGCATGGGGCTGGTGCCGGGGATCGCGAGGCCAGGAGATGGGCTGGCACTGATCAATGGGTGCCATATGCCGTATGTGGTGCGCGGCGTAAAGAGGGTGACGTACGAGGGCGGCGTCATAGATGAGGCGTTGCAGGTCGTGGGGCCGTGTTACTTGCACGGGGTTATGCGGGGTGAGCTTTTTGGGAGGGTCTATGGGGAGAGGGTGGGGGAGCGGTGGGACGGAGCAGGGTGGACGAGGCACCCGGGGGATCAGGCGGATAGTTTGGGGGGTTGGTTGATATTTGTGTAGGGGTAAGGATGGGGATGGGGATGGGGATGGGGATGGGGACGGGGTTGAAAGAGCGGGATGGGTGATTCGGATGGGGCGTCTTTGTCGTGATCCGAAGCATGGGTTGTGAGAGCGGGAATGGACTCGTGCATGTCTCGTAGTAGGGAGGAGCGTCGCTGCGAATAGAGAACCTGTTCGACTGCATGTGTGCATTTGCAAGGGGTAGTAGCTAGTCGCAACACAAAGTCTTTGTTATAGTTCTTAGACCGCGGACCGCCTCATTCACTTCACCTCCCCTGCCTGCCTTGACTGCACCGAACTACCCATCTACTTCATCGCCGCCACGTCTTTATTTTACTAGTTATATATACCGTCTCCGTCAGCAAAAGCTTGTCAAATCAAACAAAAAACCAGCATTGGTTTCTCTGAGCCGGACTCCGAAGTGGCTTTTAGTTTTTGCCCTGTTCTGGCGGTGGGCAGGGCGAAAAGGGGATGGGGAGGATGGGACGGTGCGGCGGTTCGAATCACCGCGCTGTGGGCGGATTATGGTATCACTCTCGTTACAATGTGATTCAGTTCCCTGTGCCCCGTCCGCGATCGCTCAGCTCCCGTGCCCACGCAGCACCAGCACGCCCTCACTCCTCGCCCAGCGCCGTCCAGATACCGTCTTCCACGTCTGCCCTGACCCTCGCCGCCTCCTCGCCGTCAAGCCCCACCCCGAAGTTCCCCGTCGCGGCGAGAAACTCGAGCTCAGCGGGCGTGGACACGCGTCCCAGCGCCGCATTGCGGTAGGGATACCGCGCAAAGCGGCGGATGATGGGCGTATGCGCCTCGTTGACGCGACACCACCAGAACACGGTGCGGGGCATGTCAGCGCCAGGGGGCATGCCGACGCGTATCAGGCGTGCGAATTCGGCCGTCGCCGTGGACGAGGTCGCGAGGTGCGGGTCGTGCAGCTCGTCTCTGACGGCGTAGTGCGACTCGACGAGGGCCCTGCGCGCCGCGATCTCCGGCAGGAGCAGCCCTTCGTGGACCGCAAGGTCCTCGGCATGCGCAAGCGGCGCAGTCACAAAGTTGGACAGCACGCTCCAGTGCGCGAAGCTCCAGCCCTCGCGCTCCCAGCGCGCCCACGTGTGCACCGCCAGCGACGCCGGCAGGGCCCTCAGCCGCCTCGCGAACCCCAGCGCCAGCGGGTCGAAGAACGCATTCCGCCAGCGCTCGTGTGTGCCCGTGCAGAGGTGGCGTGGCGCCTGGTCGAGTAGGACCGTCAAGCCAACCGCTTGGACGGGGAAGTCGGGGGATGTGGGTGCGGGTAGGATGGCCAGCCAGTCGAGCGCTTGAGCTTCCGGTAGAGGGATCTTGGAGAGGGCGAGGAGGACGGGCCAGCCGAGGGCTTTGTATTCTGCAAAGTTGGAGTGCTCGGCAGCCCAGTTGGAAGGGGTTGGCGGGGTGGACTTGGGCCAGGGGACTTCGGAGGTGAAGAGAGAGGTTAGGCGGGTGGGTGTGATGAGGGTTGCCATTGCGGGGGGAAATGAGGTTGTGGTGGACATGGTGGAGGGGCTGCTGGTGGTGGGATGGAGCAGAGATTGCACGCGAGGCGGGGATGTGTATGTAGATGTTCTTCTGAGCCTTTGGATTGCGTTTAGGCAGCAGCGCTGTCGTTGATGATATGATTTGATGAGGAGAAGTCGTCGAGCGGGGATGTGTATCAAACCGACCAGGTTCACTAGCGAAGCTGCGTTGGGACGATGGGCTTTGGTGGGGGCGACTGCTAGTAGTGATATTTACCCTATGACACCGACACTTTACTGCACAAAGCGAGCAGTGTACTCTCCGTCTCTGCCACTTCTCTGCGCTTGCCTTGTCGCCAATGAACAGCACGTGAATCAAGCCAGGGATTCCAATATAGCTTGGGAGTAAGCCTCAATCTCGGAAGAACCCGTTAATTCATGTTGTTCACCGATCATCTCCTTGACACCACCGCAGTCCGATGTGCCACACAATTCGAGAAGTTCCTTCTGCCGGAGATCGATCAGATCCCGGATGGCGTGGCGGATCCTGGGCCTCGTTGCCTGAAAGTTAAACTTGGCCTTTCCTTTCTCGACAAATCCTCGGTACCCAAGTGCTTCGTTCGGAGGTTTGCACCATTTTCCTGATGAACTGGTCTGCCAGAGCCCAGATGAACCGACTGCAAGTACCCGCATCGATTTTGAACGTGTTGTTGAACTGATTCGCGGGCCCGATTGAATAATCCGAACTGGTAACCCTCGAAAAGGGTGCAAGGCTGCTCAGAATGCGGGCACTCAAAAAAGCGACGCAAGCCATGCATAACGCGTTCAGCGACAATTCTGGCATCAGTTATCTCGTTCATGTTGTTGCAATTGAAGTGTCTTGCATGAAGGATTCTCTCGCCGAGGGCAATGCAATGAGACTCCAGTGTCTGCCCCGACCGCTGCCGGGCAATTCTTGAGAATCATCTTCCCAATCATTTTCCCTATTGGTAAGCGCCTACCGGAACGATCGCCAGGTCTTTGTTAGCAAGCACGTCATCATAGAGGGTCTTGTACTAGACCCCGTCGTCGAAGTCTACGGCTGTTTCTCCGACTCCCATCTCTCTGACTGTTCAGCACCACTGTGCGAGAGGGTACTGAGCACCGCAATGCATTTATCTGAACACCGATGCATGTGCTCCAGAATGGCGGAGGACGCGAATACCATGTTGTCATCGAACCACGAATCGGTATCTGAGGCGGTACTCGTAATTTTCGAAAGATCACCGACAGTCAATCTGGCGTTTGGAAAAGTTATGGCGGTCTGGTTTAATTTGTCAGCCGAAGTCATGACAAAAGCCCTGACGTTAGGTGGTTAATGTTAAATGGCGATTGAAAGCGAACGTTCGACAGTGAACAAGCTGTCCAGGGCCATGCTACAAGCAGTCTGGGTAGACGGTATGGCAAACAACAATTCGAATCTTGTCTGTCAAGCGCCTGTTGATCTAAGCATAGCAGCCTTGATTAGCATGAATCGAAATCATTTGCGGCGAATGTCTTTACAAATGAGCACATGTCTCAAGGGGGAGGATTGAACCTCTGAGTTGCAATGAAGTTTCTTTCGATGACTGAAATTTGGTATAGTACTGAAATTGAGTCCGCGCAGCGTATTATTGCTTGCAACGAATTCCTTTACTTCAGCGACCAAGTGCCGTTCTCTTCTACAATCTCGATCGGCCTGTTCTCGTCCAGCGATCTTCGGCCGGCCTCCAGAATGGCGGTTGTGGCAATGGTATTTTTCAAGGTTGGAAGCGGGCGGCTGTCTAGTTGGTCAAGCGTGACCTTGCCCTCGTTCAGCTGGTTGACTGCATCCACAAACTTTTCAAATGAAATGTAGCCGTATCCGATCTGACCAGCGAAGTTGCCTTCCTCGTCCGGGGCATACTTCATGTAGAAGCTGGTGAACGTTAGCGCTGGTTCTGCATCAAACATGGGCCACACTTACGGGTTGTACCACAGAAGGCCAGTATCGTCGTCGGTTACGTCGTAGCCACGCTTCGCCTGGTTCACGCGGATTTCTCCTTTGCTGGCCATGTAGTGGAAGTACTGGTTTGAGTGAACACCAGCCTTCTGCGGCGCGGCCCAGCCAGCGGTGTAGACGCCAGTGGCGCGCTTGCTAGGGTCATCCTTCTTGACCCAGTCGACGAGCAGTGTAATGGTGTCCTCGGTGGCTGGGTCACAGCCGAGATCGGTGGCGATACCCTTTGCGGCACTGCCCATGACCCTCACAGGCTTGAAGCCCGGGACCATGGACTCGTTGATGTCGATGTGGTGGGAGTTGAGGTAGTATGAGATGTCACTGTCCTTGCCAGCCCACGCCTTGAAGGTCTCCAACTGGCTCTTTGGCTGCGACATGTACGAGTAAAAGTAGTTGAAGTCGCCCAGCTTTGTGGCCCGGAAGCGTGCATCGGCGTATGCGGGGTCGAATCGCTTGTGGTGCTCCACGTATACGAAGACATTGTGCTTCTTCGCTGCCTCGTACAGTTTCTGATGGTGCTCGAGCAGCTTCACAGCGGGCTTGGTAACCAGCACGTGGTGGCCTCGCTCGATGGCATACAGAGCTATTGGGTAGTGGGTGGTGTCAGGGGTGAAGATGGTGACTGGCAAGCGTCAGGAAGGCGCGAGGGATGGGACGCGGCTACTCACTGGCACTGCCCTTGGGCAGCGCGTCGATGGCTTCCTTGTAGGCGTCGGGGTCGCGCTTTCCTTCCTTGGGGAACTCTTGGAACGACACATCCAGTCCGTTGTACGCCTGCGAGATGTTCTTGTCGAGATGCTGGCCTGGCCATGGTCAGCGCTCGCTTCTGCGCTGTGCATCTTGGATGCGACATACGAATGGCCGGGAACTTGTCTCCCGACACGCCCACCATGCTCAGGTTTCCCACCTTGCCGCGCCGGCGCAGGTCAAACAGCGTCAGTCCAACCACGCCCACCTTCTTGTCCGAAGTCGACGCACCGCCACCGACGAAGCCGGTGGTGTACTCGCCCGTTCCCACCTGCGTCCACGGTCAGCGGGCGTCCTCGTTGGCGCAGCAGGCGGTGCGATGGCTGCAATTGCTGACCGCAAAAGCAAAGCCGGCACCTGCAGCCATTCATCCTGCGACGGCAGCCACGGTGGTTCTAGCCGTGTTGGGGGAGCGACTCACCATGAGCACTTCGAGGGGCGCCATGCTTGCCGTTGCTGTTGGTTCGCGGGTGGAGCTGTTGGGAGACGCGCAGTACGTAGACAACTAGGGAACACACCGTGGGGAGAGCAGTCGAGGTTGCTTTGAGAACTGGAGGCTGCTGCCCGCGGCCGTCGGCGTCTGCGTCGGCTTTTGAGCACGCCTGCCGCACGCCATGGCGCCTCCATCGCAGAGACGGAGAATCCTGGTCCGCGAAGGAGGGGTGGAGGGGCAGCGTGGAGGGGCCGAGGGGCAGCTGGGGCTCCACCGCAAGCCCCATGATTTGCCGGGCTCCCGTCCAGCTCACGGCCGCGCGCAAGCAATCTGCCTTCCCCAGGCCAAGACACGACAACTGCACCCCACGGCGCGATGCACGCTCCGATTCGTGCGAAATCTTTCCGCCGTCTGGTACGCGTGCAGGGAGGCGCGCCATGTTCGACGTCCACTCATCCACAGGTGGTATTTCGTCCCATGAGCTCTCGATAATTTTAGTCACCTTGTAGAAAAGGCCGCAACCTGTCCCGCTTCTCGCGCAATGTGTCCCGAGCACGCTGCGACCTTCGGTCGGCCCACTTCCATGCACGCGACGCCTCGATGAGGCGGCTCTAGCTCCCTTTGACTCGAGCTACGGCTTCGCGGCGAATGGGAGGCTCCAAATCGTCACTGTTCCCGACCACCGTGACGATGGACGAGCCAACAAAGGGTGGGATGTCTTTGGGCTGCCGCCGAGTCCAGATGCCCTACTTTACACCGATGCCCCGTCTCGCTGTTATATTAATCGCTGGCCCGACCTGCGCACCGCCTTAGCTGCCATTGATCACTCGTTCCCTCTCACCCGGAGTCCCAATTACTGTCATTGCCTCTGCCTTCCCTCCGTCTTCTGCTCACACCTCCACCTCCACAATGGCTTCAGGCGCTGTCAACGGCCACGCCAACGGCACCAATGGCCAGGCCAGAGAGCGCACGCCGCTCCGACCCGGCATCTACTCGCCGACCATGACCTTTTTCGACCCCGAAACCGAGGAAGTCGACATCCCCACAGTCAAGAAACATGCGGTCCGGCTTGCGGAGGCCGGGCTTGTGGGGCTCGTGACCATGGGTTCCAACGGAGAGGCCGTACACTTGAACCGTGCTGAGAAGGCAGCCATCACGCGAGCAACCCGTGAGGCTCTGGACGAGGCAGGATACCAAAACGTGCCCGTGATTGCCGGTGCTTCTGAACACGGCATCAAGCTTACAATCGAATCGTGCAAAGATGCTGCCGAAGCAGGTGCCGAATACGTCCTTTTGGTCCCCCCGAGCTACTACCGCTACGCCATTGACGAGGACGCCATCGTAGAATACTACACCAAGGTTGCCGATGCCTCGCCACTTCCTGTCATCCTCTACAACTACCCCGGCGCCGTCTCAGGAATTGACATGGACAGCGACCTCATCATCAAGCTCGCCGAGCACCCCAACATCGTCGGCACAAAGTTTACCTGCGGGAACACCGGCAAGCTCACCCGCGTAGCACTCGCCACCAATGCCGTGACTTTCAAGAGCAACGGCAGCGGGTACATGGCGTTCGGCGGAATGGCTGACTTCACCGCCCAGACCGCAGCCAGCGGCGGCTCCGGCATCATCGCTGGTGGCGCCAACGTCATCCCCAAGACGTGCGTCAAGGTGTGGAACCTTTGGGCAGAGGGCAAGTACACCGAGGCCTTCGAACTACAGAAGGTGCTCAGCAAGGGCGACTGGGTCCTAACCAAGGCCGCCATCCCCGGAACCAAGTCCGCCATCCAGTCATATTACGGCTACGGCGGCTACCCCCGCCGGCCGCTCAAGAGGCTGTCAGACGAGAAGGTCAAGGCAGTGGCGGACGGCATCGCGGAGGTTATGAAGGTGGAGAAGAGCTTATAAGCGTGTGCAAAAGCGGTCTTGTTCCCTTTCCCTCCCTCCCTCCTCCTTCTGATGCATTTATGATCCTTCTTTGTGGCTTTACGATACTTGCGTTCAATATCCAACTTGCACAATTCAGCTCCACACATTGCATCCATTCGTCCGCCGCGGATCCTGCTCTGTAGCAGTAAAATTAGCTAAGGAAAATTAGGTCATGTTATAGAGATATACTAAGTCACGTGCACGTCAGAGGTCCACAGCTATACGTGGAACCTTTATTTACCACTCCAACTCCACCTTCAAATCAGCTTTTCACATCCCAAATCCAAAATCGTGCATCGGACTTCAATGCTCTCTCGCCTCAAAGTTCTCTCATATATTGAGCCATCTCGCATCTCACTTCTCACTCATCGAATTCCTCTCACATCCAACTCTTTTCTTGCGTTAAACTTTCTCTTATATCAAATCTCATACTAGGCTCCACTCCTACAGCAACCATCTCTCAGATCCTACCTCTCACTAGCTTACACCCCCAGCCATTAACCGCCCACATCTATCCCCCGCCCTTCCTCGAGCGTGCCTCACGACGGCGGACATTGCAGCACCCGGACCCATCATCACATCCGACATTTTACCACCCATCATACCACAATCTACCCTTCTGTCCAGAGTCCTCCATCCCTGACATATCGATAGGAAAATCTACAGAACAAGCTTTGTGAACATGCAGACAGAGTTCATATATACGCAATGGTTCATTTGCCGCGACTATGTCCTCCTCGCAGTATCTCATATTCCAGCGCCGAATGCGCGTGTGCCGCGCCGTCCATCATAATCTCACATTGCCAGTGAATGTAAACAATGCGGTAGGCTAAGGTCATGGTAAGAGGTACGCACCGTGCCTTGCTGGATCGAGTAGTCTATAATGACCGATTGAAAAGACTTCTTTGTGCTATTCCAAAGCATCTCATGCCTCCTGAATGAGTGGTGTCGTAGCTGCATTATTGTTATGGCAGATTTTTTAGATTGGGATATAAGTGAAGGTACTATATACATAATGATACTAAAAGGTATGAAGTAGAACACGACCATCAATCACAGTGGCCGACAATAGAAGATAAGGGTTCCAGCCTAGTGTAAACATCCACGGTAACGTGATACTGTACAAGTATACGGACGCATGGAAGTTTAGACTAACACAAGATAACGTGCGCCGACATTCCTATTTTTCAAGTCAGCCATAGTGGATTTTGGACAAGTACCGTGCATTTCCTAACACTTAACATCGCCATCCACCCACAAATGCAGAGAGACATCAACAGCGCGGATTAGAAACTCAATAGCGTCCAGGACCCAGATAGCATCGCGAAGCTCTGCGACGTCTTAATACCGAAGCGAGCCATTAACTACCTTATGTTCAGCCTGGAGACCGCGTGTGGCAACAATCCTAAGACAACACAGGGGACTTATGTTTTGGACAGAGCAAGATATTTGCGAATGTTAGCAATTGGAGCGCAGCGCTTCATCTAGTCTGTTGAGGATAAGCCATCATAGTTATCTAATGTGTTGAGAACGCGCAAGGATTACCAGTACCACAGGCACCGTCCCCATCGATCAACTAGGTAGGCCCTACCTTAACCCGTACCTCCTTGGCGAGAATTCGAACCAGCCTGCATGTCTATATACGAATCCTTGGTCATGTCGACAGCGTCTCGTCCGTTCCCACTTCACCATTACGATCACCAGGTCCGGGGGCCGCCCTACAACATACACGCAGACTCATGGGCAGGACTCGTTGTATTCGCCACTGGTTGCAACGGAAACTACACTTTCTCTTCTTCGATAGCTCAGCAGCGCTAGAGCAGTCAATGATAGAAGACAACCTCGTGCAAGACGCATCGTAACCGCCCTCAAACCACCCGCAACGCCGATGATTCAATGGCGTGGCCGCAACTACCCAGGAGACCCAGATAGAGCGCCATCAAGGTGGAGGGGGCCGCATGTGTACACATGTACAGAGTACGCGAATCCTGGCAGGGCAAACCGCCATGATGTAATCGTGGTCACCAAGGCATCACTAACAGAAGAGGCCGCTTTGCGGATCTTGGCAGGACGAACCGCCATAGTGTAGCAGTGGCAACAGGACCTTGTGCCATCAAACCTGAAGATAAACGTGACCGGGGGTCATCATCACTGGCCACCGGCGAGGCGCTATGAGCAAAACATGGTTTTCGGTGTGCCCCGATGGAGGGCGAGGGTAAAGAATGATGAGATCTGCAGGTATGGCCATTCAAAGTCGTGACAAAGATGAAGAAGTGGAGCAGTAGAGAGAGGGCGACGGCGGGGTTATATAAAGCTGTGGAGCGCGCTAGTGGCTAGGCAGGCGCGCGAAAACCGTGACCGCGGGTGAGGGTTCGTGCACTCACTCGATGGTGAACAGCACGGTGCCAGAGGCGTGGTGAATGGCGAAAGTTGTTTGCGGTGATCAAGTAGCAAGTCACACCTAGAGGGAACCGATATCCAAAGTCTCGTCTCTGACTAGCCTTGTTCGGACGAAGCACTTGCATAATGACAGGGTTCGATAGGAGGTCGTCGGTGCGCCCCACGGATTGGGCCAAGCTCGACTCCAGACCGGGCGGCCGTTTCGCGAATGTGAAGCTGCGCTGCCCCGATAATAACAAGACATCGCCCTCGCTCGCCATTCTCTGCAGTAGCACCGGTCAGACAGCGACTGGGAGGCGAGCTGGACGTCCACAGCCGGATTCTCTCGTTCATTTGTCTCTTCTTCCCTGTGCCTTTTTAATTGACTTCTTCCGAGCTGCAGGGACGCCCCCAAGCACGAGCGCATTCAGTCCCCTCCCTACGCCGACCCCAGCCGGAACAACCGCTCCAGCTCAGCTGCAGCAGCCGCTCTTTTCGCTGCATAACATCATTCACCGCGCCGTGGAGAGCGTCGACTCGAGCCTCGGCCGTTTGCAACTTCCCGCCCTTCGCACTGGACCCGTGGTTGCGGTTGCGCCTACCCGCAACGCCCCTTCCCCAGCCGTGAAACATTTTACCACACCACACCCTCTCCGTTGACCGCATTGGCTTGCAACAAACGCAAACACACCCGAGCTGTGTCTGCCCTGCGCAAGCGCTGAAGCTCCCCTGCCATCGGCCCGGGATCACGGCTTGCGGCACGGCATCCCATGGCTGTAGCGTCTCGACAGCCGATTGCAGCTGTCCAGCAGTTGACACCGCCCAGCAGCTCGCACGGTGCGCGAGGCCTGTGGGATTTTGCAGTGCCTGTAGACTCCGCGGTGCGTACTTCTTTCCGTTCCAAAATTCATGTCACATGGGCAGCGTCACTGGGTGGGACTACAGGGCGCTATCTACACTATGATCCGCTCCCGCAGGTAGCGCCAGCTACTGGCGCGCCTCGTTCTCGACTCCCAGCCCAGCACTTTCCGTGCCCACACGCAGTCGTCTGAGGACACTTTCGGCCACTTTGTACTGACTGGGTGCGACACAGAAGACTGCATTCCCCAGCTACGAGCCTCCCATGTCCGACGACGTTGCCTCCGCGCATCCCTACTCTCCGCGCCAGCCCCTCGCGTCGCAGCCAAATGGCATGTCAAAATCCAGTCGTGCGAACACGGTCGATTCGCAGAACCAATACTCAGGCGAGAACTATGCGCCTCACACTTCCAACCAGGGCCATGAGCGGGGCAGGGCGCTTGGCGCTGAGGACACCGTCGACGGCAACGAGGAGGATGGCATAAAAGAATACTACAAGGCGCACGAGAAGAACGGCAGCAAATCTCGAGGCAGGAAGAAGAGTACGAAGAAGCATCCACCGGGCTGGACCGAGGCGGAGAAGGACGAGAACAATTGGATCCATCGTGACAAGCTGAAAGAGATTGAAACGAAGGAGTTGGAAGAGTTCAGCATGCGTGTGGGTCGTCAAAGCCGGTCGAACAGCAGGTCTCAGAGCGCTGCCAGGAATCAATCCAGGGGTCGCGCCAACTCTGAGCTCACCGACACAATGTCGAGTGGAGACGACCGCCACGACTATCCCCGCATGATCTCTCCTATACCCGCCGAGGACGAGGAGGAAGAGCCGCCGCATACGGGCTGGGACATTCGGTCGCCTGCCGAGATCGAAGCCGAGAGGGAGCAGTTCGCAGCACGCAACAACAACGTCATAAGACCTAGCACGTCTCGAATACCTATTGCCAAGACCAGTCCTTTGCCCGTTCCCCACAATTTTGTCGACCGAGACCAGCCTCTCCCGAGACCGAGAAACGGCAGTGGCAGCTGGGAGTCCATCGCCGCCAATGGAGCTCGCGTGAGGAGCGGAAGTATGTCCAGTCAGATCCTGCTGGACGACCCAAACGCTTTTGGAGATGCTGGGAGGAGCCCTGTCAAGTCCAACTTCAGCATGCCAACGTCGCCCGTCGACGCCAAGGCACCAAAAGCGAAGACACCAGCCAAAGCCACACCTGGATCTCGAAAGACCAGCGGACCGAAGTCCGGAGCAAAGCCGCGCAATGCTTCAGCTGGCCCGCGAAACACATCGGGGACATCGCCCGTCAAGCGTCCTGGTACGAGCGGTGGATCGATTTCTAGGCCCACCACAAGCCATCGGCCAGAAGGTGAAGCTCCATGGATAGCTACCATGTACAAGCCCGATCCCAGACTCCCACCGGACCAACAGATCATCCCGACGCACGCCAAGCGCATGCAGCAAGAGCAGTGGGAGACCGAAGGACGGGTTGGGTCCATGTACGACAAGGATTTCCGGTTGCTCAACACAGATGAAATTTCCAACAAGAGAGCCTCTTCGATCCTCCCGCCCATCGATCTCGAGAAAGCACAACAGGATCAGACCTGGCCGCTACCAAGTCCGGAAAAGCCGAAGCTGGACCCCATCGAAACCACGATGTCCAAGTCTCCCACCAACGAACAGGGCAAATTCAAGCTTACCCCAACTATATCCCAGGGCCCCACATTCCCTCCTCGTGCACCCTCTCGTGCCCAGGAACCCAAGGTCGCACCTCCTATAGCACCGGTCACACCCAAGGATACGATCCGTCTCCCCGAGCCACCAGAGCCCGAGAAAGAGAAGAAGGGCTGCTGCTGCATCGTCATGTAGCATTTTCATTTCATATACCCAGACTTTGCACTTTGCTGTCCACCCAGCATTTCTCAATCAAGGGGTGGTCTTCATACTTCTGGAGTCACCGGCGCAGACTCCGTTGTTTTCGATCAGATGTTTGGCTGATAGCGTACAGCGACTTGCTGATATCCCATTCCATATTTCCTTCCGTGTCCTGTCGTTTGTATACCTGCCTACTCATCGCGGTTCGGCCGCCTGCCTCGGCTAGTCATTGCTGCCTTTTCTTATCTTGGTCTTGAATGGAGTGGGGAGTTTGCGAGTCGAGCTTGCGAAATTCGGGGGTTCGGGTGTGTTTCGCATAGTGTTTGATTTTTTTTTTTACCACTCCTACGATATTATTGTCTAAAGTGACGGGCTGAGTGCTGGCCATTTCGGTGAAGGGATAGATAAGGTGGCTTGAAAATAGCACGAAGAGACTGTTTTGACTGTTGATTTTAGAGACACGGTGCGCGACAGGTTGAAGTCCTTCCACATTACTGCCTTTCTATTCCTCGCCTTGTAAGGAACTCGGCATTACCAGCTTGTCAAATTCAAGGACTGCTATCTGCTCTCCTGAACCCGGCCGTGGGCCATCTAGGTCCCTACCACGCTGTGCCAAGCCGATCCCATCAGGTATGCAGGAAACGCCACGAAAGATATCGTCTTAGTCGAATTTATAGATCTAAAAAGTCTAAAGAACGCACATCTACCATGCTTTATTCGAAAGTAACCTTCAACATATCCGTCAACGCCCCTCCCGCCATTGTATAACTCAGGACCAACTCCTTCCCACTCTGCCCGAACGTCGGATACGCATGTCCCGCATAGTTATATGGCTGTGGCCCCAATCCAGGTTGCGTAACAGCAAGCTTGATCTCGTCGCTCCACTTACCCGTCACTGTCCCCTCGAGCGCATACCGCATGTAAAACGTGCTGTCCGCGAACGTGTTGAAATACACCACCATGTACGTGCTGTAGTATTCGCTCCAGAAGACATCGCCTGTGGAGAGACTCGCCGAGAAGAGCAGACCCGCGGGCGCTCTCGACGCCACGGCCAGATCGGGCGTCCAGGAGCTTCCGTCCCAGTACGTGTACGTCGCGCGGTCCTTGTACGACGAGGTTGGCACTTTTGCGACGCGCATGCCGCCCGTCAGCGTGGATGCATCCCACTCTTTACTGAAGAGGTAGAGCTCCGACGACGCGTGGGCCACGACGGTGCTGAAGCCGCCGTAGAGCGGACTCTCGTCGGCGTAGAAGAGCTGCGGCACCACGCGCTCTACTTTCGGGCCTGCGACCGGATCCGCGCTGATCTCGACGAGCGTGTTGTACAAGTCGTTCTGAATGTTGCTGCTGTAGAGCGCGACGGGGTACACGGCGATGCCGAGCTCGCCGCCGTCCAGCGTCGGGATTGTGGCGATGGAGGCCTGGGGCCACAGTACGCATCGTGTTCCATCTTTGTCGAAGTGGTCGGCGGTGTACTGCGTTTCGTTTTGTGTGAAGGGGATGGGCATGTTGGGGACGCCATTGGCGCCGAAGTCGGTGGTTTGGTGGAGGGGCGCGCCGTTTTGGCCTACGTATGCGATGGTGTTGTCTGCGAAGCCCTTCATGGAGCCCGTCACGCCGCCTGCGGTTGTCGTCGTGTCGCTGAACGTCATGATGTTGACGCCGTTGATGGTACCGCCGCCACCGCCATCGCGGTATACGTCTGGGAAATTTGAAGATTGTATGCCGATTGAATCCACTGTGAACTTTGGGGGTAAATTTGCGCGCGCTACTAAACCGAGCGCCGGGCTGGTTAGTAGGGAAGCGGCTGTGGTGTAGAGAATGGAACGCATAATGAATGAATGCCGCCACGGGCGGGAACGGAAAGAGTGACTATGAGAAAGAACGGAGATGCGAAAGAATCAGAACATCGCAATGAGGGTCGTAAGGCGCAAGATAAGAATCCGGAGAGGCGAGTGCGGACAGGATCGCGAACGGTTCTGTTTCAAAACGCAAGTCCGGCCCCGGATTTCCCTGCCCCAGGCGGCCAGCCGGGGGCGGCCACGGTGCTACATGTAGAAAGATGTAGAATGTCGTTATCGCTTGGGTTGTGGAGTGCAGTAGATGAAACGGACGATGATGAGCCTGAGTGGACGATACTGTACAAGGTACATGTGGCGCGAGATACTTGAAACAGTCCTACGCGCGGACTATCATTACCGAATGTGGGAATGGGTCCGAGCTACGCTCTCGCACGTGAATACCGCGGATGTAAGTTAAGGTCAAGATGTAGCCACTTTTTCGAAGTCAAAGTCATCTTAGGGTCAACGATTAGAGCTTCGTCTGGCATGACTTTAGGTCTTCACATTGACCCAAACACGCTGCAGCGAGTGCACGTGGTGACAAATACGGCCCCCAATCCCGCGCACTGTATGTGTTGCGGCTGGGTATGAGCTCGCGAGGAAGCGAATAGCTTAAAAATCTCGACCTACAATTCATGATCACTTCTTTTGCTATTGGTTTCCAGGCTAAGAGTATAGAAGTGGCATGTCTCGCTGAAACTCAGGATAGAGAGAGATACCTAGGTATCGTATCATATTTCCATCTGCTAGCATAATATTACAAGAGAAAAACACGAGTAGTTGCATACGCTACGCGTGTAGAACATAGAACAGACGAATTTCTTGCATGCATCGGTCAGGTGACGCTTGTGAGGATCCCGATGGGGGCACGAATACGAACGATCCGAACGGGAGCACAGAAATACGAGCTATATCCCTTCCCAATCTGCAACCAACGCGTTTTCAGTATATTCGAGAAAAGTCCCTTCTGATATCACCCGCTTCTATTGGACCACTTCTCAAGTAAACCCCACAAACCTATTTACATACTTGCCTGCGTACGCATCGTACTCTGTCTACACGCACCACCGCTTCCCCTCACCATGCACATTACGTATAAATCCGACCGTATGCTCAGCTCTACGCGGACTCTCACCCCTCTAGTACCCATATCTCAACCATGCACAACCTCCTTTTGCCGCTCCTCGCCCTCCCTCTCCTCACCCACGCCGCCCTCAACGGCCACTGCACCGGCTCCGAGGACTTCTTCTACGACGGTATCTGCGTCAAGACATCGACCTGCGCGTCGTACGGTGGTACCACCATCTCAGGCCACTGTCCGAACGACCCGGCCGACGTAAAGTGCTGCTACGTCAACACGTGCGACCACAGCCACCCCCAGGGGTATAGTTACTGTGCGTGGACAAACCACCCGTGTCCCCTGGGCAATCCGGGCTCGGGATTCTTCAAGAGTAGTAAGTGGCTACGTTACTCAAAGCTTTTGAAGGGACCGTAAGGGAGGGTGATGCTGATGAGTGGTTGTTAGATTTGTGTCCGGGTGGGTCAAACTACAAGTGTTGTGTCTTCGGGTAGAGACATGAAGTAGACTTGCTCTCACGTGAACATGTTCACCAGAGACAATGTACGAAGGCTGAACTTTCAGACACATATAGGAGTCTGAGATCGACCAGGCTTAATCAGTAAAAATTTGATTAGACCTTGCCTTATATCCAGTCTTTTGGTTGACGCGAGAGCCTGGGAGATGGAGTGTAAATGGTGTATTTGCTGCGCGTGTATGTAAGGGAGTTAGATTCGGAGGCCAGTACGTTGTATTGGGCAGCGAAAAGTGATGCTGCATTTCGAGGCCCATGTCCAGTCATGGGCGGCTTGGGAAGAACGGAGGGACTCGAGCACTGTAGTCCAAAAAAGCAAAATCGATCTTCATCTCTCCAAAGAATCTCCTTGCAGTCATCGAGGTCTCACGATGTATAATTCGTACCTGGGCAGATTTCTAATCAAGCGTCCAACTGCCCCTCTTCGCGACCCCACTTCGCGCGGCCACTACGTCGACGTATGTAATCATGATACTACAAAACGCGCCAATATCACCTCTTAACACCAAGACATTGCGATTACACAATTTCCCAGCCACTAGCCCTCCCGAAAACCAAGAAGGAACAAAAAAGATAGCCCACACACGCGATGGCGGACCAATCAGACATCACGCTCTACACCACCCAAACGCCCAACGGCATCAAGATCTCCATTGCGCTCGAAGAGCTCGGGTGCGCCTACCCCACAACAAATCTTCTGAACTGTTCCTAATAGCACCGTAGCCTCCCCTACAAGGTCCACAAGATCGAGTTCTCAAAGAACACCCAGAAAGAGCCATGGTTCCTGGAGATCAACCCCAACGGGCGCATCCCCGCGCTCACCGACACTTTCTCAGACGGCAAGACTATCAACCTCTTTGAAAGCGGCAGCATCATGCAGTACCTCGTCAGCCGGTACGACACCGAGCACAAGATCAGCTATCCCCAGGGCAGCAGGGAGTGGTACGAGATGAACAACTGGCTGTTCTTCCAGAACGCGGGGGTGGGTCCGATGCAGGGGCAGGCTAGTACGTTAGCTCCCTTACTCTCCTCGCATCGAGCACGAAGCTCGATGTTTAGAATGGAGAATCAGAGCTGTGCAGCGGTGAAGGACCGTGGCGTGGCGAGCGATCGGCTGACATGCAACAGACCACTTCACGCGCTACGCACCCGAGCACATTGAATACGGCGTCAACCGGTACCAGAATGAGACAAAGCGTCTGTACGGCGTGCTCGATACACATCTGTCCGAGAAGAAGATCCCCTACCTGACTGGCGAGAAATGCACGATTGCTGGTAAGTATCACATTCCCCCTGTTCATCCAGGCCAGCCATCCTCGGGCGATGGCTGGACCTCCGCGTCAACCTGAGAAAGCAGACCCATCGGAACGCATAGTAACATGCATAGATATCGCACACTGGGGCTGGATCGCCGCCGCCGGCTGGTGCGGCATCGACATCGAGCACTTCCCCGCGCTGAAAGCGTGGGAAGAGCGCATGGTAAGTTCCCTTTCTCACCTCCCTCCGTTCCCTTTAACCTTCCGCCGACACCTCCTCGTCTCCCTCCCTACCATCGCCGTCACCATCATCAAGATCTTACTCTTTCCCAACGGCCAAATCTCTGTCGCTGACAACGCTCCCAGGCCGCACGCCCTGCCGTCGAAAAAGGCCGCCATGTGCCCGACCCGCACACCATCAAGGAGCTCCTCAAGGACAAAGAAGCCATGGAGAAGCATGCGGCCGAGAGCCGCGCTTGGGTGCAGAAGGGGATGAAGGAGGACGCGGAGAAGCTGAAGAAATAGATGGTTCGGTTCGGGCGGGATGGTTGACTTTCGCAGACGAATGGAGGAGGGTTGGGAGAACGTGAGGCAACTCACACTCCGGCACGTGTCGAATTCGACAACATGATTGTCGCGCTGAATACGAGACAAGACATTTGACTCCCCTCTTCGTCCTTCGCTTTCGGCTTCGGCGAGAGCAAGTGAATCGTAACCCGCGCCTACCCGCTTGCCCGTCCACCCCGCCATCCGATGTGATACCTCCTTTCGAATCAGGTCGCGGGCTGCAGCAACGCCAACTCCCCTTCATGCACCGCACCCCTCCTCGCTTCAGCCTCCGATTCCAGAAACGGCCCGGAAGCGCGATCAAGCCTCGTATACCAGCGTCCCAGACCGCGGCTGCACCTTGCGACTTACCCACCACACGGAGTTTTAAATCTCCAGGTGATAGTAACCTCATCTGCGATTCCGTCCACTGCCTGCGTATAGAGACCTATATTGTGGGTCAATAGACTATACAGAGAGAACGTTTCCTGGTAATTCGACCCTGCGCGCGCGTAGAGGCCGATATGTGGGTCAACTAAGCCCACAAACCCACCACGCTGACAACGCGCTCTTGACTAAGCTGCTGCGCTAGCAGACATCCGCATCTTTCCCTTGCGCACCGCCCGGAGGAAGCATATACATCATATGTGTGTAATACTAATGCCACCCTCGGTCGAGTACACGCGCGTAGAAAGGGCTATACGTGGGCCTACTAAGCCCACACTCAACTCGCTTCTCCACATCCCGGCTGCCCAGCTCACCACCAGCGCTCAAGTCTTAAGCTGCCGTGACTATCAAACCTTCTTTTGCGGGGAACAGCATGTACCCCAGACGTTCTGGCCCCGTCCGCCAACGTTCGCAGCGCGTCAGTATGATCATGCCATGATCATACTATACATCAATCGTTAAGATAAACGGCGATGCTAACGACTGCCTGGACAGGCGGCAGCAATGGGCATGCCGCGGCGTAGTGAGCTTAAACCTGGGGTCGCTTAAGCACATGTTGTCGCACGAACCGAGATGCGGCGCGTATCGCATGCGTAAAACATGGTGGTGCGGTTCGGGTGGGTGGGTCTGCCGTCTGGTCGAGACGAGATGAGCGAGCGGCACGTTGCTGCGTTGAACAAGACGCCGTGCATCGCAGCATAGTGCACATGTTGTTGCCGTCGACAAGCGCCGCGTTGGAAAGTGAGTGAATTGAATTAGGAGGTGGCAAGCATTCTTTGATTAAAATGCGTCGATTATTCCGAAGAAATATACTGCGCTGCATGCACGACGTGCCTGGGTGATGCTCTTCGCCCGGGATCCAATTGCGCTTCCCAGAAGCAGGTCGCTTTGCTGCTCGCCTCCAGCTTTGGCGGTGTTCGCGTACGAAGGCAGGCCAGCTGCAAGAAGTTCAATATACCAGTACTGACAGTACCGGCGCTGCTGCATGTCGGCGTCACACGAGCACCAAAGCAACCAAGGCACGTACCGCCATCTACCTCGCATTCGCATCATCGCCGCCCCGTCCTACACAGCTCATCAATCCAACACTGCGCCAGCCTATAGCGCCCTCAAATACTCCAGATATGTATTCGTTCCCCACCCGTATCCCCTTGCTGCCCCTGCGCTTTTCCCCACACTTTCTAAAGCACGACAATAGAGACTGCAACACGCTGCAGCGTGGAATCTTCCAAACAGCTTCTGGCCCCGATCCCCAAGGCCTGCAATGCGCGCCAATCTACCCGAAGCGGCTATTACAACTAGGCGAATTATGTGCAGTGCCTTGCTGATCGGAGAGGATCGTACGTAGGAACCTTACTGCCATTATGCATAAGACATCGGATTAAACGTCCTCGCTTGGAGTAGTCTTCAAGCCGTCTGCACGTCAATGGGCCTAAGAAGGATCGCGAGGGAAAAAGGTCCGTAAGGAGGTTATAGTCCGCGGGAGGAGCGCTATACCAGGAGAGGCGCTGGGGTGATGTATACGAGGTGCGTATCAACACTCGGAGTGACAGGTTGACAGCGTCTACCTAGCGGGAGCCGCAGTCGTGCAACTTCGGTTCCGGTAGCTTCCCGTCCCGTGAGCCACTGCAAGTACCTTCATGAAGCGCCGACCAGGTATCAGGACTTGTAGAAGCGTTAGCGAAACCAAGAAACAGTTGGTGGCGGTACGACCTAATTGCACTGTCAGCTGGTACCCTCGGATTGGTCCTGCTCATATTAAGATGAGTCGAAGGGGGCATGGATGGACGTTGCGAAGACCGAAGTGGCAGTGGGCGCATGCAGCCTACTGCACTCCACAAACGGTCGTGCGCCCATGCTGCCCTGGCGCACCAGAGAAGACATGCATGGCGCAACGACTTTCTAGAAGCCTGCAGGCTTCGTTCAACCCCAGCCATTGGGATCCGGCTCTTTTGACACGGATGGAAAAGATGGAGTAGGACGAAGCATGCAAATGAGCCTGAGAACCCACCATATGGTGGTTGCGGGGGATGTGTAGCTGATCGACACCGGGATGGTGCATTCAGGCAGAAAGGACAATAGACTCTACACGTAGTCGAGCGACCATTCCCGGCATTGCACCTACAGCAAGACCCTGCTTTTGGCTTAGAATAGTACAGGATCTTCGTGGAGCCGGACGTTACACGAGGTAGTGAAGGTAATAAGGCCCAAATGAGGACTGTGGAGTGCATGTGAATCGACCAATACAGAGGTCTTGGGTCCTGGTGCCAGCCCAGGCCAGCATTATCGGGATGTGGGGGAACTGGCAATATACTTTCCGAGCTCCTGCGCAAGCGCGTGTCGTCTGTCTGAAAGAGTTCAGGTGCGGATGTGCGTGGTGGACCACAACGGCCAAGGCCTACCGGTAGGGCCGGCGAATCAGCGCTGAGCATACCGCATCTACGGGCCGGTGACGCTGCGAACATAGCGTTTAATTGCGACCATGCGACCAGCAGGATATTGTCGGAGAGACGGAAGGCTGTCTGCAGTCATAAGGATGGCGTCCCTCGACCTGAAATGACCTGAAATGCGCGGTTTCAAGTCACGTTGGAGGCGAGACTGATCAAACGTGGTTCGTGCAGGTCCACGGGTATGGAGACCCATCTGGCGAACTTCCGAGCGAAGCTGAAAGGCACATCGACTGCACGGTGCAAACCCTCTGGAAAGTAGGTATATTACGTAGGGGATAGTAGATGCTAACCATAGCAGGCGGGTTATAGGCTGGGTTCGGAATGTGAGGCACGCCAGTGCGAATGCTCTTGGTGGAAAGTAGCATCAGCATCAGCAAGGGTTGACCAGGTTGGTAAGACGAGTGACCTCACTGGCTTGTTGCCGCCATAGTTTTGGGGCTGGGTACGCGAGCAGCTGCCGTCGTTGGGGTGTGCTGGTCGCTGAGTGGACGAGGGCGGCGAAAATCACTGCCGCCTGCATGGCGACTCAGGAGGAGTTCGGCGTCGCTACCGGATTCCTGGATCACGTCGCGTTGGATGCTGACAGCGCGACGAGTGAGCTGTACACGCTACTGCGCCGTGTAGAAAGCACTGTGCAGTACATTCCCGGGGTACATGGCGGCACGTGAGGCCGAGAAGCGCTGCACGTACGGTGGTGTTTGCGAGTCATTCACCGCCGTTTCAGGAATCGCGCCGCACCGCAGGCAACGGGATCGATCGCCAACGGCGTTTCGTGGTGTGCGGCGCAGAGCTTGCCGCAGTGGCGCTTGCTTGATGGTCCTGCGACGCCAGATGGCGTCGAGGTGCGCGCATGGGCAGGGCGACACTCGAGCACCTGAGCGCGTCGCCGCCCGGAGCAAAGGATCCTGGTGCGTCTGCGCCATGGCACGGATTTCTCAGAAATGAGCAAAGAGAGGGCCGGGCGCGCGCAGGCCGCACCGTTGGCCGACGGGTGCTGAGTGCGGGAGGGGACCGGATCAGAGTCGCAGAGGTCAGGCGACGGCCGCTGGGCGCTGGGGGGCGCCTGGCCGCAGGTACGCTCATATAGATGGCCATGGGCGCGGTGGGCGTGGTCGCCGCGGAGAGAATGTGCGGAGCGGGCGTTGACGCGAGCGGTGCGCGCTGTAGCCCTGGCGGCAGCAGCCAGCATCATGCGGGGCGCCCGCCTCGACTTTAGCCGGGGGCAGGCGCGGCCAACCAGCGGCGGCCGGCTAATCGGCTAAAGTCGCGCGTCGCCCCGCGTCCCTGCACCGACTTGCCTTCCAGAGACCAGGTGCCGTAGCTCGCTGCCCCAGATCGTCGAGCCAATCCCCCCAGTCTTCAATTAACGGTGCGGCTTTGTGATATTGTCTCCTACGTGATCTCGCTTCTCGAAGCCCTCGTGGACGCATGGAAGACTCAAGCCACAGATCCATCCCTGGTTTCGGCCCATCCTGTCCAGGATTCGCAACTCGGTCCTTGTTCCTCGGCACTCTATAGTGTCCTCGCCGGCCCACCTGTGAAGCCCCAAGTATCCCATGACCGCTCCAGTCTTTTCACCGTGAACGCACTCCGTCCCCGCTGCCACTCCCAGCTCCAATTCTTGTGCCCTGGACCAGCCGCCATGGACACCCCCACCGCAGAAACCACAAAGCTCGAGCGCAGAGGCTCCGCTCCCGTCAAGCGCAGAGTCAGTCGCGCCTGCGACCATTGCCACCGCATGCGAACGAGATGTAACGGCCAGGCCCCGTGCTCGCGATGTGTTGGTATGCTGCGGTTGCCTGCCCTAGCGCCATTGCCACTGACTTGTCTGCAGAACTCGAGTACGTTTGCCAGTACAACCGCGAGAAGAAGCGAAGAGGAAAGGTCAGGAGACGCCGCCTCGCCTACCTCGTGCGTCTGACTAACCATGGCCCCAGGTACCACGACATATTCAGAAGCAACGGGAAGAGGCCGCTGCGCACCAGGGACTGCCCAATGCGCACCAAGACCAAGAAAATGGACTCTCCATACAGACTCAGTTTGAAAATTCCGAAATGGACGAGGACCTCTGGTCGCCCTCGGAGCCAACCCCAATCGCCCATCACTTTCCAGGCAAAGAGGACATCCACCACGTCACATCACCGAACCTGCACGCCCACATGATGCCACCACCAGAGTATCAGCAAGATCCTACCCACATCAAATCACCAACACATTGGCACCAACTAGCCTCCTGTAAGTTTGTCAATAGCAACATTGCTGGAGTGATGCTCACCACGAGGCCAGCCATGAGCTTCAACTCACCAGTGACGCACATCATGATAGATCCGCTATTACTGGGACCAGGAGAAAGGCTTGCCCAGCCCCAGATGCACGGCTCAATGGGAAGAAACGAAGAGCTCATGTATGCCATGAACGACATGCACCTCATTCCGGACACTCGCACCCCAATATCCGTCCCCTCTCAGTTCGACAACGTGGGATACCCAATGCACTTCGCGCCCGTACGACAGTCCTCACCCCGAAGCTATGGTTCGGTCGACACTGGATCGCCTCAATCCGGCATCAGCGCTGCGTCTTCACACCCAGGAATCTTGCCTTGCAAATACCCAGTTCTGAAACCATTGCTTCCACACATCAGCAATATTATGACTGTGCCCATGGCCTGCGACTTGCTCGAATACTACTTCCAGAGTTCGTCTTCTGTATTCATGGAGCCAATATCGCCATACATTCTCGGAACCGTCTTCCGGAAACGCTCCTTCCTGCGACAACACAAACCGCGAAAGTGCAGCCCCGCATTGCTTGCGAGCATGCTTTGGATCGCAGCGCAGACCTCTGAAGCAACCTACCTGACTTCCTCTCCATCGGCAAGAACAATCTTCTGTCAAAAGTTGTGGAAGCTCGCAATCGATCTGTTGAAACCGCTGGTGCACTCACCTGCCTCACACGGATTTGCCCACAGCCATGGAACCGTCGTTAGCCCTGCAGTACATGACGCGTTCGGAGTGGAACGCGCAATGGGACAACTCGAAAACAGGACGGATTCCGCAATGCCCCCGACCAGCACCCTTGACGACGTGGCGACGTACATGAACCTTGGTGTGGTAACTTCGGCGAGCGAATACAAAGCCGCCAGCCTGCGATGGTGGAACGCTGCCTGGAGTCTAGCAAGAGAATTGAAACTGGGACGGGAGGTGCCGCAAGACTCTACCAAGGACCGACAGACGGGCGACGATGCCGAAATTGGCATGTCAGACTGCAGCAACTCCGGCGCGCATGTTCCCGCGGGCACCCCCGCAGCTGCTCTAGTCGAGGAAGCAAGAGAGGAGAGACGCAGACTGTGGTGGCTCTTGTACATGATTGAGTAAGAACCTGTCGCGCTTATATCCGCATTTATATGCTAACCTTTCCCAGCCGCCACTTAGGACTGTGTTACAACCGTCCTCTAGCGATGCTCGACAACGAATGCGAGGATCTCTACCAACCGGTTCCGGACACGCTATGGCAGGCCGGAGAATTCTACACCGGGAACTCTGGCCCTAAAAGGAAAGGCCTCTCGTTCCAATGCACGTCGCATGACGTGTTTGGCTTCTTTCTCCCGCTCATGACCATCCTTGGCGACATTGTCGACATGAACGCCCAAAAGAACCACCCGCGCTTCGGCCAACGTACATCCTGGGAATCTTTCGAATCGGAAATAACTCACCAGCTCGAGCAGTATGCGTACAGTCTGCAAGAATTCAAAACGCAGCACGGCTGCGGAGCACCAGGAGATGACGCTGCGGATCCTATTCGTGGAGAATGTGCCCACCAAACAAGGAAGGTCGTCGCCTACGCGACGCACATCATGCATGTGCTGCACATTTTGCTGCACGGGAAATGGGATCCCGTTGCGCTGCTAGAAGACGACAACATGTGGATCTGCTCGCAGTCGTTCTTGGCCGCCACATCGAATGCGATTTCCGCCGCGCATGCCGTCGAGGAGATTCTCGAGCTCGATCCGGACCTGTCCTTCATGCCGTACTTCTTCGGCATGGTAAGTTCCACTGCGCCCCACCCCGGCCCGACATGTGCTAACCGTTATCCAGTATCTGCTGCAGGGAAGCCTAATTCTCCTTCTGCTTGCAGACAAGCTGTCGACCGAGACAAATGAGGGCGTCATCCGGGCGTGCGAAACGATTGTGCGCGCCCACGAGGCCGCCGTCGTCACGTTGAATACAGAATACCAAGTACGTCTCCAGGCTGCTCTGTCTCACTCAAGCTAACCCACCGACAGAGAAATTTCCGAAAAGTCATGATCTCCACGCTCGCCCAGATAAAAGGGCACTCCCACTCGCGCGAAATGTCGCCCGCGAAGCGCCGCGAGGTCCTGTCGTTGTATCGCTGGACGAGTCTCGGCAACGGCCTCGCGATATAGCGCATCCACCCTTAGCCTTTACCCACCCTCACTCTCACCACGACGGAAATGAAATGAAAACGGAAACAGGCGTCGTCGGCGCCGAACTGGACTGTACTATTATGTATGCATCCCGGGACGGACGTGCCCAGGGACTTCTTCTGCATCGGACTGGATCGGAGGGAGGAGATATGTCTTGTCTTACTTTTTCGAACCTTGATACCAGAGACAAAAGTCGCAACTTAACCTGTTTGGAATCGGAATGCATTGTTAATAACCTTTTGATAGCGATAAAGTACCTGTTTACCCTCACGCGTACTCCTGCTCCTTAGACTTTTACTGACCTCTTGACGTTTATTTCTAGGACTTGCAGGTTAGGTAATAAGCACACTGCGCGCCTTCACTTGACACAAAAAAGATAAAACAGGAGGCGCTATAAGTAGGGCCTAGCAAACATTACTAACAATTCTGAGGGGCAATCGCCCAAAGGCTGGCATTGGCAAGGAGACAATAGAAGCGGGTTGTGGTTCGAGCTTGTAGAGCGCGTAGCGGATGGGGCGATGGTATTTCACGATTGTTTCCGCAGAACAGGTCCGGAGAAGAGATATGAAGACGAAACGGAATCTAGAGGAAGTGGCGGGAAAATGGTGAGCAGAACAGAACGCGTGATCGAGGACTAATAGTACTTCATATCATATGGAATGATGCCAGTGGGAATCAACATTGGCCATGGGAAAATGTCACAGGAGAATTCACATCATCAAAGCCCTATCGTAGCGTGGCTCGCAATAGAAGGACTCCGGAAATCTGCACCACAATTGTTCGTTCGATGTGACATGTGCCACAGGAGCTGCTAGGCCACACTAACTCCCTCGAGCCTCAAGTCGTTCGCCACAACACGATAAACTCTTGACAGAAAGGGCAGTACACTTCTCCTGATCTTACTCTCCTATTGCAGCCTCTGTCGTCACGAAACTTTCTCTCCGTCCATGCCTACTCCACCTCCTACCATCTCACCAGCCCCTATATTACCTCTCACTGCTTGCATAATACCCTGTATTCACTATCCCTAGTCTCTTTGGCTTCAATGCCCCCCGAAGCTTTGTATCGAATTGTCATTCCACTACTCGCTCCGAATGATACCGCAGCAACAACTTACTGCAGCTACACGAAACCATATTACGTCCGGTGAAGACAAAGCTTGCTAGTTATGTACAACACATCGAAGTCGAAGTCAAAAGCTTCACGAGGAGCTTTTCCAGGGAAAAGGATTGCGGCACTTTTATCGAGACACGCAGAGATCTAGAGAAAATATAGAGTGGTAAGGGAGGCTCCTAAACAAGCCTGGTCTGTCTAGTTCACATGCCGTCGCGGAGACCATGTCCGGGTGTCCTTTTCTCCCCCTTTCTCCGACCAGTCCTCTGTACATCACTTCGGAGGCTGTCCACTCTTTCCAAATCCAATCTAATCTCATACAGTTTCCCACTCCCGCCCTCGCCCCCCATATTCACCATCCCCACCTGCTCCAACGTAATCATATCTGCCTTTCCCCCTATCGGGACAGCGGCATCAGCATCGAAGAAAAAATTTGATTTTGTTTACAAACGCCTCCATATTCAAGAGTTCTGGGAACGCTTTGCTGATCTAGAGTGACGAATGATGTGCATATACGGATATAAGATGTAGTGCCTCCTTCTTGTATGAATTCCGGAGAGAGGAAAGTCCTTAGTGGGAGGAAACAACACGCACCTACCCAAGTCTAATCCACATGGCCCAGCGGAGCTCATCCCACGAAATGATCAAGGTCGTTGAAGCGAGTTTGCCAAATGCAAATCACTCCAAGAGTCTGCAAGACACTTACTGCTGGGCATTGGAATCAGCCGCGAGCTGTGGCCGCCTAGATACGGTACAATATTTAACTGAGCGTGGCACGCCGGCTGCGGGGCGTCCAGATGACGAGAAAGATGATTTCAGATTTTACTGCCAGTACGGCGGCAGTCCCCCAAGAAAGGACACTGTCAGACTGAACTGATCCCCTGTACACAGACCTATCGAAGCCGCCGTATATTTCGGCCACATGGACATCGTGGAGTATTTGCTGGAGCATGGTGCGGCGGAAACAGCAGCGCTAGAGTCTGCCGCGTGCGGGTAATACGAACTTTGTGAAAGAACTCTTGCATCGGGGAATTGTATCGGACGTGGCTATACTGAAGGAAGGAGAATAAAACTATGTTCAACATTTTAATGGAACGAATGCCGCAACCACGCTGTGAGAAGGCGATAGAGCAATGTGTCCTTCGAGCCAAGGCCGACGGACTAGGGTCGATGTTAACGCTGCTATCTTCGCACGGCGTCAACGTAGACCAATACAGATCAGTCCTTCCAATGTCGCAACATCAATACAAAGAGTACTGGCTGCATGGCTTTGACACAAGTAATCAGAGCTTACAGCACGCACCGAGCAATAGTACAATCGGGTAGAGATGTAAGCTGCGTTTGGCGGAAGATTTTCAACGCAAACTATGCCATAACATTCCTTCTCTTAACATAGGTATCATTATGACGATGTGTTCTCGGGCCAATCACTTAATGAATGCATCTTCCTGTGAGATAATGAAGTATATTTGCGAACACCAACCGTGTCTCACTGTTCATTTCTGGCTTACGTTGCAAGAAACGTTTCTACGGGCATATGGCACTTTCCAGAGTGATGGTTACACCGGCACGAATGAAGCCATGCCTTGCTCAAAGATCAGCCTGGGTTTTGCGTGCCGTTCTGCTCGTCTTAGGATAACACAGAGTACCCAAGAATTTGACAAACCCGCGCATCTACAATCATTCGACCATGCCGTTGTATTGTACAGAATCGACCCCATCTCATTTATCGAGACACGCCCAAAGCTTGTGATTTTCCTCGCCGCGATACCTTTCGCGCAGCCATGATCCTTAGTTTTAGCTCAAATACTGCTGCCCTACCTTTAGCTTCTAACAGATCCGCAGCCTTCCTCGTGATCTGCACTTGGCACGACTCCGCTTCCGCTCAAAGACTGAACCCCGCTTACTAAAGTTAATATAGGCGGCTGACAATACCTGTGCTTCGCCCGAGGCAGCTGTGTAACACGATGCAATCCTTCCAATAACGTCAGTCTTCACGAGCTAAGATAACTTACCGATGATCGTTCCTTCGGAGACATATCACCGGACACAAGTCTTACGCATTTCTTTCCTATGGTAAACTTCATGCAGATCTGGTTTCGATCTGTCTCATAGTACATTTACTCCTGGGGTATACGGTAGTACGGCCCCATGCTATCCAGGTCTCTTTCCATCCTCCAGCTAATCGTTTGGTTATGGGACCAAGAAGAATTGAAAATTTATTTGGTAACAATTATGCTCTCGAGGTAACGAACCGTTGAGCCAGCTAGGTAGATACCGCATTTTGGATAAGGCTAGCCTCAGGGATTATTCACGCCTGTACATACGACGAGATCAAACGCAAACCAACGGGTACAAAGTGATGTATCTTCCCTTCATCGCTTAATCAAGACAAACTACGATCCTGCCCCAACTCACGCTGACTTCATACCTGCAAATCATGTGCCGCATCCCAGACGATGAAACAATAGTAGATCTGCGCGTAGTCTACCGACCCACTGCCCCCAAGCGGCCAATGTACCTGCTGTCTTACATTCGCCTCAAACCCCGTTTACTTGGGGTTGCGTACGTAGATGCTGACAAGAACTGTGCCTCGCGCGAAGCAAGCTACAGCCACAGCACCGCACCAATTGTACTATCACATCACTTCCAGCATCTCTTTATGAGGCAATTCAGATCCTTCACTAGCTTGACGCCCTGCATGGGCAGTGCAGATTCAACTCGTCTACTGACGTCAAGCACTCCGATGTCTCCCTGTTCTCCACCAGAATCCTGGATCAACGACCCCAAGGAAGAGAAACGTCTCTCACCACTTGCCCTGTTCGTCGCGGGTGGCGGGATTGCATCCAACGCAGCATCCAGCGCAGCATCCTTCTCCTCTGGTAATGATTCTCGGAGGTTCGAAGTGCCCGAGGCCTCATGAACGCTATAAAAGACGGACAAAGCAACGCGATTCTGGATATCTGCATCTCATCATCATCTTCACAGTACAGAACCACAACTTCTCAACCAACTCTCGAACCCAAAGCAAAGCAAAGTAGATCAACATGAAGTTCCTCGCCCTCGCCGCAGCCCTCGCCATTCCCGCCCTCGCCCTGCCAGAGCCCATGTCTGGCGGTCCCTCTCTGCAGTCCAGAGACAATGTCAAGCTGAACCAATACCGCAACATCGATGACTGGTAAGATCCGGGCCCCTTCCCGTGAGAAGCAAAGCTTTGCCTGACGCGCAGACGCAGCCGAAACGACAATGCCATCCTCTTCCACGCAGCTCCAGTGTCTGGGACCTGTTACAACCTTGATAGCCAGACTGGCGCCATGTTCATCAACACGGCTGGGTTCCTGGCTAGCAAACGTATGTGTGCTCACTTTTCTTTGCGGTTCTATGCCACATGCGTCCTTCCTGGGCGAACACACGCAAGTCTACTTTGGATGACGACGGCTAACTCAGATTGCATCGAGCAGTCTACAACCAAATCAACTGCGGCGGTGACTGGATCGGCGTCACGGGTGGGACGTGCCTTGAGAAGAGCGGCTGGAACTCGTTCAAGCTGCAGTGATCACTCTTCCGTGCCATCACCAACCGCCCAGTCTCGCATGGAATGGAATGGAACGGAACGGAATCGTACACATGGTTTTGTCTGAAGCTCTTTGAGCTGCTTACTGTCGTTATGTAGCTCTTGCAAATTCAAATCTAGATCGTACCCCCGAGCCCAGGCTTTCTGTTGCCTCCCCCACTCATGCGATTGTGCGCCACCACGCCCGTACCGGGCTCCATCGTACCATTGTGCGAAGACTTCACGTGCCGTTGCAAGGCGCGGAAAACCGCAGTGCACAAACTAAGTCGGGTGCTGAGAAATGTGGATATTGCAAAGCCAACGCGGACCAAAGCCATTTTGCATCAAATCATCCCCGGATCCAGAACCACAGAAACAGACAACGTGCCCGGATACCACCATTCCGCCGCCCCACCTAGACACTGCTGCATATGTGTTGAGTGGCTCCAATCACATGCGCGGAGATAAGGCGGCACCCGCGCCTCAGTGAAGGGACCTATTTGTTTTTGTTCCAAGACGGAAGCAGAGCCACGAACGCGATCGGACTCGACGTGCCTCAAGCCACCATTCAAACACGCGCTTCGCGCTGAATAGCCGTTCATCTCCCACCTCTCGTCTGGTCTGGCTATATACCCGCCCACCCTCCTCACCCCACGCTCCTATGTTACAAAACCCACCGCATCAAACATCCCTAACGCTGCCCCTCCCCCCGCCACTAGGAATCTCCCTCTCCACCATCTCCAACTTATTCAAGCTGGGATACCTCTTACTGAAACTATCCACATCCCACTCGTCCTCTCCTCCATTCCTTCCTTCCCCAAGCCCCCCAACTCTCGGCAGCGGCTTCTCTACCCCCCTCCCAGTCGTCGCCTTTGTCGGACTCTGTCTCGGCACCGCGAACTCCCCCGTACCCCCAGTCCTCAACTTCGTAGGTTTAGAGGGCGGCGGCGGACCCCTCCCACCCGTTAGCACACGTGTCGCCGCCGCCACAGCCGGGGGTGCGGACGCGCTCGTCGGGAGCGGCTGCGGCTGAGAACCAGGCCGTGGTTTCGCGTAGCCTAGGTTCAGATCCTGCGGCGCGTTTTGCTGCGGGAAGGCGATGGGCTTTCTCGCTATGGCGGGTGCGGGCTGTCGTGCGGCTTGGTCCAGCGGGCGCTGTGGCAGAGGCTTCCCCGTGTCGCGCTCGGTGTATTTGCCGTAGCCCTCTGCTGTGCGGCTGGTGGGCGGTGGCTTCTGGGACTCGTCGAGGAGGTTCTTGACGCGGTTCTGGATGGTGGAGGCGCGGGTTGGGCCGGCTTTGCCTTTGGCATCTGAGGACGCGAGGCGAGCGCGGTACTCTGCTGCGGCGGCTTCGACGCGGCGTTCTTCTTGCGAGAGGCGCCGTCTTTCGAGCTCGCGGCGGACTTCGGGAGGGAGGTCCTCTGTTTCGTCGAGGGTGCGCTCGTCGTCGGATATGCCGCCTGTTGCTTCGGACCCGGCTATGGGGGTCAAAGCGTTGGGATTGGGGCGTGGTTCAGCGGAGAAGTCGGTGGGTGTGCGGGGGCTGGAGTCGGAGCGGCCTCGGTCTGGCGCTGAGGCGGAGTTGCTCTCGAACATCTTGAAGGCGTCGCCGAAGCGGCCTTTTACGATGTTCTTTGTGCCGCTGGTTATGGAGTGGAGGCTGGAGCGTTTGCCGCTCTTGGTGTTTTGACTGCTGCTCCGCCGGTGCTTCTTCTGGTGGCTGTCTTCATTCTCCCGCGCGCGAAGGTAGTCCATGTTTGAAGTGATGTTCTTCTCATCGTCCGAATCAGAATCCAGCACAGCGGGAGACTGGCCGCCTCGAGCCAGCGACGGCGCATCAAAGTTCCTCCCAGGGGCCGCCTCCCTTTCACGTAGGAAATCCAGGTTGGATGCAACGTGTATGCTGTTGGGTCGATTCGACTGAGCAGACTTTGCCCTGTCAAGGGAAACCCCAAGGTCCAGTGCAGAAGGACGGTGAGTTTCGAGTGATGGTCGTGATGATGCAGGCGACTTCGGGATTTGGAGTGCAGTGGCATGTGATCTTGACCTGGTAGCGTCCAGCGATGGACGAGTTGGGAGAGTATGATCTGGCCTCAATGAAGATGGGCTAGGCTGGGCCTTCTCGAACGTCCGCGGCTGGCTCATTGTTCTATTGTGGTGGCCCACATCGGGTACGCGCCATATGGGCTTCTTGTTGACGTCGGGGAACTTTAGCTGCGGTTGAGATGGAACAGGAGATGGCGCGGGCGAGGTTTGCACTCCAGTCGAGACCATCGTGGACCTTTGTGGTGTAGGTTGATAGAGTGTTACGTTAGAGGTGCGAGGGCTGTCCTGAGGTCCATCGAATCTTTGAGGTTTCTGCGCGGATATAGGGCGAGACGTGCTCGTTGAGGGAGTAGTCGAGACTGGTTTCGGTGGTGGTGCTGACGCTGCTGGCTTCGCTGGAGGTACTGAAAATGCCTCATCAGCAAGAGCTTCTGTGACCCGTTTGTTTAATGGAGGATCCGCGCCTCCTGGCGATTGACCAAACTCAAACTTTTGACCACGATCATGCAACAACGAGAACTCGTCCAAGGAAGGGTAACGAGCAGCAAGCTCGTCAGCTGCAGCGATCCTGACTTCAGCCTTGTCCGAATCAAGAGCTGCGAAAGGATCAGATGCTGCGCCCCTCCCTGCCGGGGAGCGACAGGGTTTTGCCATTGGCGATGCTTGCTCGGGACGTTCTCTTCCTCTTCTCATCCGCGCAACTTCTGGGATGGACTGTGTTTGCTGGACAGGGGCCACCTTCTGTATTCCTATGATCGGTGGAGAAGACACTTGAGGCTCGGGGGACGGTAGTTGCTGGTTTCTGCGGTCTTCGGATTGCGTCCGGTGGGAGTAGATCTGGACTCGTCAACGGGTGTTCTACGAGGGAGCTACAAACTTACGTCTTTGATCGGTACAGGTCTATGCCGCATAGAGCACACCTCGACGACTACCTGGTAGATGTTCGGTCTGCGCTGAGGATTCTCCTGCAACATGGACGCTGCTTGCCATTAGCCCAGGATTCAGCACAGCCCAATAATTTGGGACGTACATATAAGCTTCTTCAGCCGGTCCGAGAACTGGGGGTAGGCCGGAAACTTGAAGGTTGCGTTCAAGATGGCCATCTGGCCGACCTCTTCGAACGGCGTGGTGTAGTAACACAGCTTGTACAGCAGCACGCCCAACGCCCAGATGTCGCTCTTCTCGTCAATGGGCTGTTTGCGGTAGACGTCGATCATCTCCGGGCTGCGATACTGCAGCGTCGTGTGGCGCTGCACGTCGTCCTCGATCAGCCTGCCCTCTGCGGCCGTCTGGGCAGCGGGCCGGGGCGGCGCCGTGGATCCGAAGTCGCAGAGCTTGTATATGCGGTTGGACCCCACCGTCGTGATCAGGACGTTCTCGACCTTGAGGTCGCGGTGCAGCAGCGGGGGCCGCAGATAGTGCATCGTCGCAACCCCCTCGGCGACATCGGAGAAGATGTGCAGGATCTCGGGCTCGGTGAGCCTGTGCTGCAGGCGTGTGTTCATGAAGTCAATCAGACCGCCGCCGGTGCAGTGCTCCATCAGCAGAAAGACCTCGTAGCCGCCGCCCTGCAGCTGCGACGCGTGCGAGTCCATGTACGTGACGATGTGGCGGTGGCCCTTGAGCTTCTTCATGGTCTCGACCTCGGTCCGCATGTTCGCCAGCGCTTCCTTGTCCGGGACCGCAACCCGCTTCAGCACGCCGACGTCCGGGAGCCCTTCGCTGCCCTTGGGGATGCGCACCACGTAGACATGCGCAAAGCCGCCCTCGGACAGGTAGCGCTCAATCGTCACGCGGTACTTGCCGACCTGGACCTTCGTCCCCGGCGCAAAGGTGCCGGGCGGGGCATTGGACGACGACGCCGAGGGGCGGTAGGCATGTTGTTGCGGCACTGATGTGGAGGGAGCGTAGCGCGCGGAGGACATTGCGGGCGGTGTGAGGCCTGCAGCGGTGCAGGAGCAACGGCGGTGCTAGCGAGCGTGCATGTAGGTTGCGGCGGGCGAGGGGGGCGAAGTGGCCGGGCGGGACGCGTGCAGAGCTGGGTCTGTGTCTGTGTTGTATTGGGGGGTCATTAGGTGTTGATCTTCCGAGTTTCAATGTCGGCTGCTAGGCCGTCACAAGCAGAGCCACACCGCACGTCACGGCCGCAGTTGCCCTGCCGCGCACGAGTCGTGATGGGTGCACGAGGGCGCCATCACGCAGGGCATATTGTCATTTTTGGAAACACCCATTTGCTTCTCATTCCAGTCCTAGACCGACATCTGCAGCACTCACTTTGATCACTCCCGCTCTCCGCCCGTGAAGTGTGTGGCGCAAAGTGTGGCGTTCCAGATCGCGCTACGCCCTTCTAGGCCAGCTCTACCCGAGACAGATCCGGATGCTCGCAGCAGTGCCTAGCAACCGGCTGCTCTTTCATGTTTCAGGCGTGTGCCATAGTTACGCTGGGTCAGGCTGAACCAGAGAGCGTTTGTATCTCTCTGGAAATTCTCTCTCGGCCCATAGGTCGAGCATGTATATCCGCGGGCACCAGGCCTTACTCACGGGGACGCTTTGGCACACGGCAAGCATGCCAATCTGGATCAAGTTATTCTAGATCTTCCGAGTATGCTAGAGGAATGGTCGAGTTGAGCAAGAGTCCCTCATCGATGCGGCGAGCCGCGGATATACTCTGTACCGTCATGCAAGACGGTGTCGTGCAATGACAACGTGTCTCTGCTGTGAGTGGAAACATGCCAGAACGGAATCGTTCCAACAAGACTTGTTTCTGCCAAGAGAAGCGTTCGTGTGCATCTTATCTTCAATCTTGCGGAAGGCTGAGCTCAATGACAGCAACACACAGCTATACGCGAATGCATGAGAGGCGGCGGATGGATCATATACTCTGTCCTGTCGATCGAACATAAGGAACCAGGCGGGAACATCAGGCAGGAACATGTTTCTCACCAGTCTCGGGGCCGAGCAGCGTCCTAGGTTTTTGATGCACCGCCGTCACCCGCCACGCGGACATGGACCCAAGTGACATGGTTGGCGTCGATGTGAACCAGAGTTCCGAGCGTTGCCGCGGGGAGCAATCGACCGTTGTAAGATGACCCGCTTCCCTGCGGCTGCTACCGCTACGTCGGCCAGTGAGCAGATGTTGTGGTCCGTCGGTTGTGAATGGTGCGCGTTCGAGAGCTTAGAGACCAGGTCTAGCACGTGCGGTCTTGCTGGAGACGGCGACTGCGATCTGCAGCAGACGCAGCGAAGCGTTTCAGACCAAAGAGACCGGAACAAGACTAGAGAACCACAGCAGCCCAACACACGACGCTTCGTGCCTTTGCGAAGGCGGTCAGGTGGGCGTGGTGGAGCAGCACCTGACTGGTGTAGCGTGAATGTCGGTGGTGAACAGGCCGCGACGCCGACTGAGCACCCTCTGGCCTGACGACACTTTGAGAGCCGCGGGAGAGTGGCTGTTTTGCTAACAACGCCTGACGCAGCGCGAGGGACAAGAACCAGTTCTCGGGATGACGGCAGTCGTCGAGCGTGTCTCAGATGCCCTGCGCGGCGGGATTGGTTGTTGGCGATGCGCCAAGGGGGAACATGCACGGCCACAGGCCTGGTGCTGGCTCAACCCGCATCGTCGTTGTTGTCCTGGTGCTGCTGCGCATCTCCTCTTGCTGTGTTGCTCTTGCCTGCCGTGCACCCAGGCACTGCCTACTTACGCTGGGACCTGCTGCGCTGCACATTGTTCCTCAGCCTCGCATCTGCTTGACCACCTGGACCTTACCCTGGAGCTTGCCCTGACCCGTCTGCCCTGCCCGCTTCGTCATAGGCTTTAGCGAAGGCCTTCCCAGCTCAACCAAGTCCGCCTGCCAGCGTCGACGGCCGCAGTGTCTCTCACCACCCCGCCCGCCAATTCCACGACGCTCGGTAGTCACCCGCACGCGACGCGCGACGCTGCAAGGGGTTCTGTGAAGCGTGACAGCACAGTAAGCAAGCTGTTGCTGCGTCGCTTAGAGTCGACCCGCCAACCGCCTGCTTCACCACCTGCGTCCAACAACACGCCCGATCCTCAGCCTTCTGCCCAAAGACCCCGCTCCGCCGAAACCCGCGGCCGCCTCTCGCCAAGAGAACCATCAACCGCAACCACGTTCACCAAACTTCACGCCATGGCCTCGCGCTCTCGCTCTCGACGGGCCGAGCGCGACATCAGCGCCTCCCGCTCCGACACCTCCGCGTCCACCTCGCCCGAGCGCGGCGTCGAGGATGACGACAACGATTCTCTCATGTTCCAGACCAACGACTCGCAGTCCTCGCTCGCGCCTTCCATATCCCCCAACTCGGACGAGGATGCGCTCCGGAGGGCCATAGAGGAGCGGTGTCGCGTGTCACCCATCTCGCGCCTGCCCGCCGAGCTGATGATTGCCATCTTTGCCAAGCTCTCCTCGCCCGGCGACTTGAAGCACTGCATGCTCGTCTCCCGGGAATGGGCAAGGAACAGCGTCGGCTTGCTGTGGCACCGACCCCAGACGGGCAAATGGCAGGCGATCAAGAGCGTCATTGCTACCGTCCGGAGAGGGGACAGCTTTTTCGACTACCCCACTCTCATCAAGCGGCTGAATCTCTCAGCCTTGGTACGTTCTTCATCAGCAGACAGGAAAGCCCCCGCTGACCCCGCTACAGGCCCCCGAGATCAGCGACGGCACCCTCCAGCCCTTGTCCAACTGCAACAGAATCGAGCGTTTGACCCTGACCAACTGCCAAAAACTCACCGACCTCAGCCTCACCTCCATGCTTCAAGGAAATCGGAGCCTTCTTGCACTGGATGTAACTGGCTTGGACTCGATAACGGACCGCTCCATGTTTGCGCTTGCTCAGAACGCGGTGCGCCTCCAGGGGCTGAACGTCACAAACTGCAAGAAGATTTCAGACGAGTCTTTGGAGGCTGTGGCCAAGAATTGTCGCCATTTGAAGAGGGTAAGCGCTGTGATATGTCACTTCAACAATGGCTAATGGTTGCAGCTCAAACTCAATGGCTGCCAGCAGCTGACCGATAGATCTATCATCGCATTCGCACGGAACTGCCGTTATATTCTAGAGATTGATCTGCACGACTGCAGGAACCTCGAAGACGAATCCATCACGACGCTCCTGGCAGACGGACCGCATCTGCGCGAGCTGAGGCTGGCTCATTGCTGGCGCATCACAGACCAAGCGTTCCTCCGCCTGCCGCTGGGTGCAACATACGACGCGCTCCGCATCCTCGATCTCACAGACTGCACCGAGCTGCAAGATGCCGGAGTCCAAAAGATTGTGCAAGCCGCGCCCCGCCTGCGCAACCTCGTCCTCAACAAATGTCGCAACATCACAGATAGGGCCGTGCTAGCCATAACACGGCTCGGCAAGAACTTGCACTACATCCACCTGGGTCACTGCTCGCGTATCACTGACACGGGAGTGATACAGCTTGTCAAGCTGTGCAATCGCATCCGTTATATTGACTTGGCGTGTTGCACGAACCTCACGGATAACTCAGTGACACAGCTGGCCACCCTGCCAAAATTGAAGAGGATAGGCTTGGTCAAGTGCGGCAACATCACAGACCGCAGCATAGTGGCGCTTGCAAAGCCTAAGCAGGTTGGCCACGGTGGCCCAGTGACGCCCAGCGTGCTCGAGCGCGTGCATCTCAGCTATTGCACGAACCTCACGCTGAGCAGCATCCACTCTCTGCTCAACAGCTGCCCGCGCCTCACGCATTTGAGCTTGACGGGCGTACAAGCATTCCTCCGCGAGGATCTGATCGTGTTCTGCCGTGAAGCGCCGCAAGGTATGTTCGATCGCACTCTGTTACCAAAACACTCAATCTGACTTGGATTCTACAGAGTTCAACGAGCACCAGCGCGACGTCTTCTGCGTCTTCAGCGGCGTCGGCGTCCAGCGTCTGCGCAACTACCTCAACACGGACACGGCGCACACGCGGCGCGCACTCTTCGAAGACGAGGGCACCATGTACGATGACGGCGAGCAGCCCGAGGTCATGGATGATGTTACAGCGCAGGCAAATGGCATGGGGATCGATGACATGGACGAGGACTTTGGTGAGGAGAGTGAGATGATTGGGGAGAATTAGGTGTTTCCTATGGATCGGGTGTGAGGTGCCAAGAGAAGGAAGTGAAATGGAGTGACGAGACACCATGGGCTTCCCGGTTGTTTGGGTGAGAGGTATTGTCATGCCTGCATTGCATTTCTTGACGAGCAACGGCCGTTTTTAGTGGATGAATGGAGGGAGGTTGAAGGCGCAGAGTTGTTTCGATACCCTTTAGCATGTATGCTGTATGCATGGTTGTATTCTTCGCCGCGGTAGGGGGTCGGGATAAATGAAATCATTCCCTGGATCAAGGTTTCATTGGTCGTGAATGTGAGTCCCGACACCAATGTGATCAGAGAACGTGGGGAGATGTGCATAGACGGTCAAGTTAGCCATGGGGATGGCTCACAAATGGTTTATGGCTCATGGCTCTTTGAAGGGGTAAAGGAGGTAGAGGGGAGTGATGGTGCTTTGCAAAGAGAGTTTTCTGTTCGCTTGAGCTTCTAGGTAGTACGCTTATGTTCACTAGATGCAGGATCGTGGATTTACTCGGTTCACAACGAGTCTACGAAGCCCTGGGTTAACATCACGCCGTGGCTTTCCACAACCACAGTTGTCATGAACGAGCCCAACCCCTACGTTTTGCTATTCTGTCTCACGCCAGCGATCAAGATGCCTCCTTCGCCCCACCGCCCCCGGTCCCCTCCCCGTCCACCTCCACAGGAAATTTCTCCAGACTCTCGTACCACTGCAACCCGCTCCCGATCAAGAACGCCCAACTGCCCCAAAACGTAGATAGGCAGGCCTGATACTGCGCCCAGCTGCTCTCGTCGTACCCGAACGCAGGACACAAAGTGAATCCCACGCCGCCGACCAGGTTCCACGCGCCGATCCACCACCCCAGCGTCCGCGGCGCGGGTTTCCACCACGTGGGTTGCGTTTCGAGCATGAAGAGCGTGCCTGACACGACGAAGCCGAGCCCGCCCAGCACCTGCGGCGTCCAGTAGAATGCGATGGCGAGCGGGCGCGAGAGGTGGTCGTAGATGCCGGGGAGCGCGGTGAGGCCTGCGATCCAGAAGATGGAGGCGCCGCAGAGCTGGGCGAGGGAGGCCAGGAAGCCGAGGGAGTGGAGGTCGTGTCCCGATGGCCACCATCGCCAGGCGCGAGGGTGCGTGTCCGGCGCTCCCTTTGTCACGGGGCGGCGTCCCTTTCCGACGAGGTTGTGGCGGTTGGGGTGGTGGTGCGTGCAGTGGGATTGGGACGGCGTTGGCGCGGCGGCGGCGTCGTCGTCGCCGCGGGACAGCGCCTGCGACACGGCCCAGCCGAAGCAGCCAGATTGATTCTCGTTCACGGCTTCGGCCATGAGCAGGATGGAGCCGACTTCGAAGACGGTGGCGCCGATGAAGGCGGTGACGCCGCCGCCGTAGAGCTCCTCGTTGCTGAACTCGGTGGTGGGGCGGACGAGAGGGAGAAACACGAAGAAGGCGTTGGTGACCCAGATTACGCTGCCGAGCGTGAAGACATATGCAACGTCGAAGGATACGTCCCAGACGGGGTAGTACGTGAGCATGCGCCAGAGGCCGCGGGCGATGCTGCGTGGGGATGAGGTCGGGCGCGGTGTTGCGCCTTGTGTCTTGCTAGTAATTTGATGGCGGTCTATGAGTAGGGCATGACGCCCTTTGCGGTTGTTACGGGAGGACCATTTAAAGCGGACGTCTGGACGTGTGGCGTGGCGGAAATGTGCATTTGTAGGGTTCAGGAAGGATACAGGGCCGGAAACACTGTCTTTTTGTACGTGAAGCTCGGCTTCTTGACCAAAGGGCTCGTGGGTGGGATGGAAGGCCTTGTTGCGCTTCAGGGCATTCGGTAAGGTGCTGTCGCTGCTTTCCATCTTATTGGCGTACATGTCACTGCTGTGGTCAATCGTTGCACAAGGGAGCGCTTCGCAGAGACGCGCGGTTTAGAGATCAAGTGAGCATCGCAGTGCCTGCTGTGACAGTAATGGACGAAAGAACAGTGCCGGGGAATTGGAATGACGAGCGTGTTTGGAGAACCCATGTTCACGACGCGTGGAGATACCACCTGCGTCATTGGTTGACGGTTGAAGCTGGGAAAGGCAGGCTAATGCTGATTCAGCGCGCTAGTCCTCATTCTTCTTCCGCGGGACACCAGCGATACAATATCAGCTTGGAAGTCTAGAAACTCATAATTGCCACATTCAAATCACGGCTTGGTATTGAAAGTCTAATGTGAAGTTTTACGTCTCGTACCCGGTGATCAGGACATACGAAGCCATCGAATACGCAGCACGATTGAGCACAAAAGTTCGCTCACAGGACAACGCGTGCATTTGTCCGAATTCCGAGCCTACATTTCTTACACGCTGACTACCCAACACGGACCATAGTTCTGCTTCCATCGATGCAACCATGAACAAAGACCTGTGATCTTGAGGAGGAATACGAACTTACACAACAGCAAAATAAAACAATAGGCAAACCTAGCCAGGACGTAAACAGACAGACCAGAGATGGATAGTGGACAACAGTATGACTATCCCTCTATGCCTTCCGCCATGCACTCTCCGTTCTCAACCACTCCCTGAAGTCCTTCAAGAACGGATACGCACCCTTGACCTCCCGCACCTCGACACCAAACCCGTCGCTCTTGAACCAATCAAACATAATCCCCAACTGCTCATGCAGGGCCCACCTTAGTCCCCTCCCCACGACTCCAAATGTTTCTGGCAACTGCTTCCCCGTTTTCTCCCTGAACGCGGTTTCGAATTCTGCGAGCGAGATGTCATCGCCCGCCAGCGCAATCGCTTTGTTCTTGTACTGCTCCGCGTCCGCATTGAGGAACGCCTCAGCAGCGACTTTCCCAATATCCTTCGTCGATACGAATTTGATGCGCGAGGAGGACCCGTTGAGCCGCCACATGCTCACAAAGCCCTTGCCGAGGAAATCATCGCTCAGGTTCTCGTAGAAGGCCACCGGGCGGAGAAACGTGTAGCTACCCCCGCTCTCCTTGCTCTTTGAAATGATGTCCTGCTCCACGGCGAACTTGCTCGCGAAGTGCGGGACCACGGTGGCGGAGGAATCGCTGTTCGCCCCGCGGTCCGTGGCCGTGAACACGATGTGCCTAACGCCTGCGGCGACGGCGGCTGCGGTCATCGCTTTGCCCTGCGCTTCCTCGCGCGCCGCGTTCATGGGGTTCGTCACGCTGAAGAAACCCCATGGCTTGGGGATCTGTGCGAAGATGGCCGGGGGGTTGGAGAAGTCGCCTGTGATGACGGTGATGTTTGGGTTGGAAGCCAGGGCCTGTGCAGAGCGCGATTTGGGGTTTCGCGTGAGGGCGTAGATGTGGATGGTGGGTGTTGGGTGAGAGGTTAGGGCTGCGATGAGGGCGCCACCTTGTTTTCCGGTTGCGCCGGAGATGAGGATGCGGCGGAGGGGGTTTTGCGCCATTTTGGTGAAGTTCAAGATGATAATAATGGAGATGGAATGTTACACAGTCGATATGAAAGCTCTGTTAATACCATCTTCTCAAGTACCCAACCTCGTACTTATACAGCCTTCTGATAACTTCTCATCCACAACTTTCCCCCGGTTCCACCATTCTTTCAGCCCTAAAACACCAAATGATAGAATATGTCCATTGATCGCATCGCTGTTGTAGGGCTGGCGGTGCGCCGCTGTGGATCGAGCGTTTCCGCATCGGACGCTGGCGTGGAGAGTCGGGGCAATTGAAGTATGGGGGCCAATTAGAAGGCGCGAGAGTGAGCTTCAGGGCGGTTCGCATTAGGGCACATCAGGGCACATCAGGGCGCCCGAGGGAGGAGCCGCATTTGAGGTGCGTCATGGAGCGCCTGAGTGTTAGGTCGAAGGGGTTTCAACTTGATGGGAAAGATGAAATTCGATGGGCCTATAGGATGGAGGATGTCTGGGTGGGAGATTTTGGTAGTGATGGATCGGGTGGCTGCTTCCGTCGCGCTAGCTCGATCTATGAAGGAAACAGCCAAATGCCCTGTTTACATCCTTCACCAACTACCGCGTCCCACAAGATACATCTCCAAAGTCATCGTAATGAATTACGTTCTGCAATATGGCCCTTCTTCGAGAACCAGCACGTGTGCAGACTCGCCGACTCAAGCATCCACTCACGGTTCCGTCGATACCGGAACGGTTAAGCGACTGTAGGAAGAGCAGTCTAAGTACCTATATTAAGAGTATCCCAAGGACAGTAGCTATTCTTAATTAGTATATGCCCATGGTAATAGGGAAACTGTAGGCTATTCTTCTATATAAGAGGTTTGTTATGTGGTTTAATAGGCATAAGGACGTAGCATAGGTTACTGTGGACATAGAAGCAGTCCTATGCACCGATCTCTCCTTTCCTCCTTACTCATAATTAAAACAATACAAGGAGGACGGGTATTTCGGTTGACGTATTTGTTGAGCTCTAATCACTCTATACCACTCATCATATATTTTTGGACTACCCCCTAAAATTGCACCGGAGTACCGTATCGCTAGATCGATTGGCACATCATCGCAGCCATACTTCTGGGCAACTCGGATGTCAAACGAGGGAGTCAAGATTAGACATGGGCTACTGTCTTCCACAAGACCACTCCGCCGGGAATCACTCCTACTACGCGGCAGCACGCAATCCCAAAAAGCTTCACAATACCAAAGCTCGATCACACGACCGCCATCCTTTGAAAGCTTTCAGACGCCTTAAACCACCTTGAATTCATGGGAGACACCGTGACCTCTGCAATCGATGACAGCACGCTTACTCTCCGAAATGATATCCGAAATGATATCTATATTCCCATTTTCCCTGACAGGGTTGCAGACTCTTATGTCATCCTGCATGATTATATCGATTGGAACAACACAGTAAGCTTGGAATTGATGCATTTGTGGGTCTCATGGCATAAAATAACTCTATCTTCGCCATTTTGATGCTGTCAAAGGCCCTATACAGTTTGGCTGGAGACGGTATTTAATGTAGCAACATCTATATAAAAGACTCCAGGAATACTTTCGAGATGGCTGTCAATTTGGCGAACGACCAGCTCACTGTGGGTCTGGTCCCTAAGGTGCCTAATATCATCAAGGAGTGGATGAGAGACATAGATCTTGATAACGGACAGTTGATTCGTCATGGAAGTTAATTATTAAAACAAGGGAATCGATGCAAACATAGTAATACCAGCAACTCTACACCAAAGTTTGCAAGTGCCGCATGACAATCCCAAAAGAAGAACCATTCCGCGAATTTTGGAAATCTAAAAGACATTGACCCACGGGAAACTCCAAACTTAACCATCATTGAGACAATGAGTTTGCGGTCAAAGCTTTGTATGAACCGGTAACGACAACCTTCTTTCTACAGATGCATGGCGCATGAAAAAGATCGAGTGAGCAATGTTATGCGTACATGTGTTTTACCTCGGTATCAACGTCGACGTGCTACCCCGTCATGGAATTTCACCCCGATCAAACCACCCTTTTGCCCAAATCAGCTCAACCAAACTGAATTGTGTTGTAAGCAAAGACTGAAACATCAGAAGAGTGACACCTTGAAGGTGTAGAACTCTCATTACACTGGAATCGTCCACCAGTAGAGCAACTTTCGTCCCCATACTAAGTCCATGAAATGCGCTGCCATGGCCTAAGATGATGTGAGTTGAAGTTGACTGTGGAGGGCCTGCATACACGAGATGATGTAGTAGAAGACCGTTGTAACCACGAGCTGTTCTGGCCCTATAATCGATATCCTTGTTTTTGTCATGCAATCTCAATCATGTGATAACCCAGTGTCGTTCACAATCGACGTAGCACCGTGATTCTCAGTCTTCGCCGCACTTGCCTTCGCGTTCCCTTGTTCACTGTATTCCTTACAAACAACCAGAAAAGGCTGACACTATCCAGCAACTGCTGCGACTTTAGTCTCCTCTCTCGTTTGCGTCGAATTCTGACCTGTTGGCTCATCATCTTTGAACTGCACCTTCACCGTCTTTTTTATGCCTCTACTACTTAAGGAGCTCGTAATGTCATCCCTATCGCTCAATCTAGCCTAGCCCCTCAAGTGGAATCCTACCGTATGCGCCGAGTCTGGATGGTGATATGACGCCTGTCGCTTGGGCGGTCCCGGATTCACTCTGGAACTATTCGAATAAGGGTGCTATGCTTTGTAATTCGAGCCGTGCTTGGAGCTCAGTCCATCTCTTTCATAAGCTGTGACCAGAGGGCGAAGATATGGGATGACGCAGGAGAAGATAGACCATCCGATGGCCATCTGCGTTGTGCATGCGACGCGGGATTTCCAGTATGCAGAGTTCTCCGGGGTGAGTGTTATGTTAAGGAATACCAGACGTAGAATGGTGAGTACTACGTTACTAGGATACTCAGATGCTTGTGCAGACATACTTCATGGGGGACATACGGCAGTCTGCAAGCAAATGCGCCTATAATAGCGAGGCGTGAAGAGAGACGAATATGCCTGTTCCAGATAAGATGGAAAGACGCCGCGAAGAGCGCGAGTTCAATGGCCATGTCTAACACGCCAATATACGCCCATCGAGCGAACTCCATGACGTTAGCCTATGGAATACTCCCCCAGAGCAACCTCTCGAGCTTACAAAGGCTGTGCATTGTTGCCAGTACAGCGGCCATTCGTCTCCCAGGGGGCATCGGAACCCTTCTACGAATAGGCTCGTGACAACCCATACCGCAGATGCGCCGACCAAGAGCCACGCAACGGTCTTGTGTAGCTGGTCCGGTGCGAGCCAGAGGAAGAAGAGTGAGCAGCAGGCCTTGGAGAGGAAGAGGATGACAATGTAGAACAGGTCTGCTGCTAGCCCAGCCTTTCGAATCGTCATCTTCTGATCCCAGGTGAGGTTTGCAAATGTGACACCGAGGCCAACGTGGATTTGGAAACAGACTACAGAGCTTTGTACGACTGCGAACACCTTTCTTGTAATAAGAGAAGCAGTTTTGTGTGGTTGTGGGAACTCACTATTGCCAGTGCGAACGTAACATCATCGTGCCGAAAGTTTCGGAAGTACTTTCGCGCGAACAGCTTCATGCACGCAGCCAACAAGACCAAACCTAGGGAGAAGCCGGTGATGATTGCTATAACTCCTGATTGATTATCATGGTTAATTACTTCGGGCGGAGGGGATACGCCTGACGGTAATGGTGTAGCGGTAGCCGCTTCAGCTGTCAACATGTTGAGAATCGTCTTATTCACGTCGTGCGACAACAGTCACGAATGGATGACCCGGTGGAAATCCTACGAACTTTTGATGCTTCTTCTGGGCTTCGCGTGGCTTGTTTCATTGTTCCTGCAACCGGAATGTTGGCGCAAAGACACATGGAACACGTTCTCGTGGACAAAGGACGCGCATTGTGCGGCTGTACCATCTCATCGGGACATTTCAGCGCGACGAAACCATCGAGATATAATTGCTCGCTTGGGGATTCCTGGAATGCGGAGAAAGGCCCGACCACAATTGCTTTGATCTCGGGTGGGCTTCCAGACGCCTCCGCACGTGAGGGCACCGCAACCGGAAGACCATGGCAAAAGTCCTCAAATTTTTTCCAAACTCGATCGCGAACGCTTCCAACAGCCCTAACTGATGGTCAGTCTCTACATACTAGAATTGCAATACGTCTCACACCATGAACGATCCCGAGAAAGAGCAGGGCGCGCTCAAAGATGACGTTTACAGCCAGGCAAACTCTCCTAGAGAAGGATTCACGAAGGCGGATCAAAAACACATGTACCGCTTAGGAAAGGCACAAGAGTTGAAGGCATGTGAATAATGTAGAAAGGTCACTAAAGTGAATCACCAATAACCAATACAGCGAAATTATCGCCCTCTGTCAGCACTGAGTTTTGCGGTCGTGCTGAAGGCGATATGGGAGTACTTAATGCTTGCGAATACACAGGGACTTATTGATGGAGGCCTCGCTGGTCTCTTCAGGAGCTTCATCTGGACTTTTCTCGCGTTTAGTTTTGTGGGACTCAGCTTGGCTGAGATGGCATCCATGTATACTCTGCATCGAAGTCGGCAATGTCACCGTGCTGACATCAAATTATAGGGCTCCGACATCTGGTGGTCAATACCACTGGGTCAGCGAGTTTGCCCCTCCCAGCATTCAGAAGTTCCTTTCTTACATGATGGGCTGGATGAGTGTACTCTCCTGGCAAGCCGGAAATGCTGCAGACTGCTTCATCACGGGCACGCTAATCCAGGCACTGCTTCAATTCAATGACAAAAATTACGATCCAAAGCGGTGGCATGGTACGTTGTTCACATGGGCAATGGTCCTCGTTCTCTACGTCGTCAACATCTGGGGTCACGACTTTTGGCCGCGCATTCAGAATCTGCTGATGATTATACACATACTAGCGTTCTTTGCGGTTATCACAGTGCTGTGGACCTTGGCTCCGCACAACAGTGCGGAAAGGGTGTTTACAGAGTTTAGTAACGGGGGCGGTTGGAACAGCACGGGGCTCTCGCTCATGGTCGGTCAGATTTCCGCCATCTATTCGATTCTGGGTATATTTTCTACTTTGAAATTGAGCTGCAATCTGACCAGTGTCCAGGCTCAGATGCAACGGCGCACATGGCAGAGGAGGTTCATCGATACATCCCAATCTCTCTCTTCTGGTCCTACATCGGCAACTCCCTCATGGCCATTGTCTTCCTCATAACCTACCTTTTCGCTCTACCCTCAGTCGAAGACGCCATCAATGACCCCTCCGGATACCCCTTCCTCTATGTCCTCAAAGGCGCCATGGGTCCCGCCGGCGTAAACACACTCACTGTTGTCGTCCTCCTCATTGTATCCACCGCAAACATAAACTTCGGCGCGTCCACAGCCCGCCAAACCTTTGCTTTCGCCCGCGACAAAGGCCTTCCCTTCTCATACTGGCTAGCCAGAGTGCACACAACCAAGGAAATTCCCGCCAACGCCATCCTCGTGACCTGCCTCATGGCGATTCTTCTCTCCCTCATCAATATCGGCTCCCTCGTCGCCTTCAACTCAATCATCTCCTTGCAGATCGTGTCTCTCATGTTCACTTACTTCTGCTCGCTCTCATGTGTGCTCTACCGGTGTCTCTACTACCCTGAGCTGCTCCCTGTTGCACGCTGGAGTCTCGGGCGGTGGGGCCCGTTGGTAAACGCTGTAGGGCTGGGGTATGTCATGTTTGCATTCTTTTGGTCCTTCTGGCCGAATGAGACACCAGTTGATACGGAGACATTTAATTGGAGTGTGGTGATGTTTATGGGGGCCTTAGTGCTAGCATTGGTAATGTATGCAGTGGAGGGGAGGGGAGTTTATACAGGGCCTGTGAAGCAGTGTCGGATGGCGAGGTTGGATATTTGAAAGAGTTCTGGGAGTGGAGGCGTAATGGTATCAAAGCAGACATCACGTCCTCGGTGACAGGTCGACAATGATTCTTCGGCAGATGATCCTCCCTGTGTACACCCAGTCCAAACTTCACGTTTGTGACATCCTTCCTCATCATTCTGAGCTTGTGATACATTTACATCATAATATAGAAGATCGTCGTATGATCGCATCTGTTCCTCCTATGTTGAACAGGGCTTGCACAAACTGTATCAACATCCGGGCACCACGATTCATTTGATTGGAATGCAAGAAATCAAAGGATATCAGCGGCTGAAATTAGAATGGCACTATTATCAGTTTACTCTAGCAAAGAAGTTCAGACTTGACTGCAAAGTCAGGGATAATGGTTCATCCGAAATTCTCCGTACAGGGTTAGTCCACTGGAGTTATGCCACAGAAGCTGCATTGCTGAGCATACTGATTCATTTGTCGAATCATTATGGTGCATGCAAATTGCAAGCGAATCTTGATGCCCGAGCGCTTACACGGAGTTGACTCCGATGGAAGCTGATTTGAACCCTACTTGCACTCTCGAGCATATATAGCTCAATGGTCTTGTTTGATATAGTCTACCTGAAGTACTCTCACCGGAATACCTGCATGTTGGTGGATGCAGAAGTTGTACTGTTTCCAGGGGCGCGCGTGTAAGAGCCGTAAGATAAGAGAGAGAAGATGAGGAGCTACACATACTCAACTCTCTAGTAGCGTTTTAGCGACTACTACAAACCCCACGGTACGCAGTTTGAACACATGATGAAGGCCGTGTACACTCAAGTACAAGATGTATAGAGTAACCACCGAAAACATTGTTTCTATATCAGTGCTACAAACCAGCACTCCCAAAACACTCACAATTTCCGACCATACATAGCTCACCGTTGCAAACAACGTTCACCAGTCCCACCCGAGCGTGTATTGACGCATCTGTAGGTCCTTGCGTTCGATTACACAATGATTTCGCAGTCTACCATTTGGACCACTTCCAATGCCAAGCAAACCAATAATTCCCCGCACATAACCAATGCTCCTTTGGATCTTCTGTTCGCCATACCTACCACCTAATCTCTCCCCTGATCGACAACATCCACGTTCAGGCCTCCAGGCACTCGCAGAAAGCGGTAATCCCGCGAAAAAGGTAACGCAACGTCAACCGCGTCAGAACACAATCCGGAATGTGTCAGAAACGCTGCAATACCACCGTTATGCTCAGCTCACTAACCCCTAAACGATTATGGCCCAAGCGGGCCGACAGTGGATCCATGGAGCGCGGACCACTGAAACGTGCGCCGGACATTGACGCATCTATGAAGTCCTCAAATTACACTGTACACACCGTACTATTTGAGAAAGTGAAGCGCGACAAACTCTGCGCCCAAAGTGGAGAAAAGTTGTACCACAAACTCAAAAAGTATGTGGCGTGAGTTTGGCATTAGCGAAAGAGGTCGAAGTGGATGATCCTCGGTTGAACCAAGTGCGCCCCGCTGGAGGAGCAGGGTCCACGGACATGGGATGCATGGACAATGCGAGACCCTGTCGAATCTAGGACACACGTTCCTGGATGCCACCGCTAGGCGACAATCATCGTACTGCCGCCTCCCCGGAGAAAGAAGCACATCTCGTCGTGATTACGAAAGAAACAACCTGAATAGGTACATCATCACAGTAAGCGAAATGCAGGAGATAAGCGTATTCTGCAAGTGTTTCACAAGTGGCAAGTGTCGCAAGCGGCGAACAAGGGCCGGCACGCACCGTCGGAGTAAGCATGTTCGGAGCGTTGGCAGGTACAAGCTTCAATCGCGTATGCATCAATGGGTGTCTATTAGGTAAGGTGAACAGTGCTGAGCTGGCGCGAGATCTCTCTGATGAAGGGAAAGGGGAAGTTCGGCTTCTCTGTGCTACGCATCGGCCCTGTGCTGGATCGATCCTTGAAGGCGATCTAGACAAAGACCGGCTTCGGGAGACATAAATGTAACCTATATGGGATCGTTATAACATAATATCTGATAAGACTACATATGTCGTCGCCATAGGCGAACTCAAATTGCATTCAACGGATGCAGAAGGTCAAACCCGTGTTAACAACTGATGCACTGCATCTCTTGGATGATCCCTACAGTGCGAATTTGGCATTGAAACAAGACCAAGGTGGAGACACTCATGATCGTGAGCTTGTGCCTTGCGAACTACGGCAAAAGTGATTTGAGCGGGCCAGACCGATCGAAGACAGGTAGAAATCTGAGCATGTGATTTAGTTGGCGGGGTAAGTGATGATATACTTGGTATAATCTGAGATAATGCAGTCTGCACAAAGAACGACTATCTTATCCATGGCCCAGTCTGAAGCAGGGATTCCCTAGTGATGGACTATTCCCCGGTTGACGTCACCACGTGTCTTTAAGGACCCGTTCGCCGCTATAAACCAAGTGATGGATTCTATGAGGCCAAATACCGCATTGTCCCTGCGACGATGCTCAACTAGCTCAGGCACCCTTCTTCCCCACGCCCTAGTGCCGGACGATGCATCGCCCAGCGCATCACGAACGTTGCAGCCGTTGCCAAGGTTCAATATGACCGCGATCTTCCAAATCGTCTGACAAATGGCCCACCAAGTTGTCGTGGGCTCTTGCTGTTAGCCGATCCTGATCAATACTAGGCCGTCAAGCTGGCAGACCAATTTCTTTCAATCTGCACGCAGAACCACCAACGGTCCGAACCATTGCCGTTTATCCGTAGGGATCACGTTAGACGCTGCTCATTGCTTTTCAGGTTCGTCTTCACGTCATAGACATCCATCAGGTATTGGCAGCCTTTGTTGGGGACACCTTGCCTCCTGTTGCTTCGACAACCTTGGTGATATCGTCTTTTAGCTCCGGAACACCCTGAATGAAGTCGCGAGCTAGTGTCTCCTGCAGTAGCCGATACGCCTCCTGGCGACCCTTCAACAGCTGATTCATCCGCTGTACTGTCTCGACAAACTCTCGAGTAAAGATGTCCGGATTGCGCGCACTTTCGACATACTGCGTTACTTCGGGTGGAATGTTGATATGCACATCAGGTGCCATTTGGGACAGTTTGACCAATTGCTCAATGAGATGCTGTCTGCGAATACGTCAACAATTAAATTGACGCAAACATAGCAGGGATTTTCGTACATATCCCGTTTCATTGCACCAACGGTGAGAGCACCTTGATGATCATAGCCTTGCACGATGAGGTTGTAGAGACTTTGGACTATCTCCTTCATGTGTTCTTCAGCCACCGCAACCGGCGCTATATTCTATTAGATGGCGAGAGCAGCACGCGAATAAATATAAACTTACCGGCGGAGTTACTCGGAGCCATTCTTGAGCTAGTCTTAGTGTTGTGCCTGATTTTGTGAACAAAGACGTGGAATGAGGTTGACGTTGAATCGCAAACGCAGCCGTGAGAACGCCAAGACCTTCGGGCGCACTTTTATCCGACGTCCGGTTACAAAAGTCCCTCCGCCTTGCCTTCAACGCCAACCGCTGCGAAGGCTAAGAGACTCTTCCCGCACCGCGTACCTCTCTGTGTCTGTCAAAGCGGCTGCAGCATGTGCTACTGTTCACGATGACAAGCTCGGCTGCACCGGAGTTGGAACTCCCCCACCCGCCACAAGCGACCCATTCTGTAGCTTCGGTATCGCAAGAAAAGGAATTAAGCGACAAGGCCACTGAAACAACTTCTGACAAGGCCACCGCAGCATTCATCCGCCGGGTCCTTTGCTCCCACGACGTCCTTCTAGGGAACGGCGAGAGGGGTCGCAACACGCCACGACCGATCGAAGATGTACTGCCGCCCTTGTCTAGCTCAAACGAGGTTGACTTGCAGCTCTACGGCATCATAGCTGTGATAATTAAGGAGTTCGTACAGACGTGGTACTCCAAAATTACCCCTGACCATGTGTTCGTTAACGAAGTAATCCAAATCATCGCACATTGCACGAGGGCTTTAGAGCAACGTTTACGAGACGTTGATTTGGAAGCTCTTCTCCTTGATGAAATCCCTGGACTGCTTGAGGAGCACCTCAGCGGTAGGCTTTCTTGATCTCTAGGCATCGAACGAGTACGATCTAACTTTCTGAAAGGTATCCGTCTCGCGAATCAGCAGGCTTCTTCGCAGCACTCGTTAGTCACCGACCCTCGTGTTGTCTACCACGCTCTTCACCCGCACCCTGCACTATTCCCTGTGCCGACTGATGCGATACCATCCAGCATCGCCGAGCAGCGGGAGAGTGAGTCTGCGTGGCGTCAACTACTCATCCAAGGTGTCCTGGCTGTGCTCCTCCCAACCGAGGATTTGGAAAATGGCTGTTTGCGAGCCTTAGTGGCCGAAATTTTCGCGGAGATGATCCTTGGCAACGGCATTAGTGGAAAGGCTTGCGAGGGGTGGTTGCTGTGGGAAGGTATCACCAGAATTGCTGAGGTTCTACAGCATCCTGGTGCTAAAGAAGAGGACTCCCAATCACACGACAGCCTAGAGCAGCCGCTGAGCCGTCTGGAACGCTATGGCTTGCTCGCTCCGCCAGTTGCAGAGCATGATGGCTCTTCTCACATGCCGTTGGGCAACACGAACAATTATCAAAATGCTCCCATCCCTGCTAATGGACTGTTTTGGATGATAATCCAATACATGTTTCTGGCGGGTACAGCGTTGCGCGCGGCGATCGGCATGATCGCGACATCTTCGTCCTTACCGCTAAGATCTGCCATCGCAACTGGCGGTCAATCAGCTGTCGAAGCAGACCACCAGACCCCACTTGCAGAGAGCGGCAATCGTGCTGAGACGCAACTGCTGACCTCTAAGCGGCCTATAGTCAGCATGAAGTTGTGGAGTTGTGCGTCGCAACTTGTTGAGCTCGATACACGCATGCCTTGGCTTTCAGGTTTCATATCCATGATCCGTTGGGGAGTGTTAGCTGGCCCAGGACGATTGGCCAATACGAATGGTATATTGGACAGGTGAGTCGTAACGTTCTCTTACACCTTATGGTTGGATGAACCCGGCAAGGATCTTCGCCAGTGCGCTCAGGCCATCCCTCGGCTTGCAGCAAGCCCGCATGAACATTCAGTCACTTGACCTAAGCGCCCGCGAATGCGACGGACCGCCTGCGCTCATACGCCCTCGCCTCGTGCCGACTTGCATGAGACCCCAACTCCTCCCGGGCGGCAACCCAAGGCGTCCTGAGCCCAACCCGATCCTTGGTATGAATCAGCCTGGCTTTCTCAACGACGAAATCGTCATCATCTCCATCGGAGAATGGAACGCCCTCCCAACGACGATGGTCGTGTCGAACACACAAATCATGGCGTGACTTTGCCGCAGCGATAATCGCGCTCGCATCGGCGCTATCGACGTAGTCTCCGTGGGGGATGACGGCCCACTTTGCGCCCCGTTGATCCGCAGACGGACGTAGTGCTCGAAACTGGCCGTCCTCTATCGTAAGACGCAACACTTGTTTGCTGGCTTGCCCATACTACACCGTCCCTTCTTACCTTGCACTTCACCATCGAATGGTGGGGTTTGGTTGGAAGGCCATTCCGCAATGTTCCTGCCGTCGTGCCATCGACATTCCCGAACCGGTACAGTGTCCTTAGCGACAGCTGCGCTGCAAACACACTACGGTTGATATCCCTAAACGGACCACACCTTCAAATGTTTAGTACCCTTGGGGGCCTGGGTTGTGCAAACGAGCCGCCGAGGCAGTCTAGGTCGCTTCGTGGGGTTATTGACCTGAGAGCCCCTCCTATCGTCCCATCATCTACCGAAACAACCCCTGCGAAGCCTCACTCCATGGATTTCCTCGGATGGAGGTTGCCCTGAATGGCATCGCGCTCAAAATCTGTATTGGCGCTTAGCCATGTTCCGACATGCTCACTTTACCTGCATCTCTTACTCAACGATACCAGATCCCTTGATACATGCATCCCGCGTCTGACTGCATGTCGCGGGTTGACCATTGATCGGGACGCACCGCATATATTTGCATGGCCGGAGACCAATCAAGACTACAGTTTAAGCTGAATTTTTTCGCGCTAACCAACTGCTAGATACCTATCGCACACCGTACAAACACGAGTGCTCAACCCCGCCTTCCTTCCCATGCTTCTCCGCACTCTTCGTGCAACTCTTTTCCCTCAGAACGGACTAGCCCCAGCACGGCAGCCACCTTCGGAGGAAGAGGCGAAGGCAATCAAGCGGCGTTGCGCCGCCACGCTGCTAGGCTTACTGCCAACAACGGTGGCGTCTGCATTTTTTGCGAACCAAAATCAAGTAGACCACCTTCGGCAGGTGGAAGCGCTGCTGGACTGCCTCGACGACACTTACCTCAACAAACATCTCATTTTCGCGATCGTGGAGCTGGTAGTACTGCGGTTGGTGCCGGAACTAGGAGATGGAGGGGTACAGGCTCTCCTCGAAGAGAGGTTGGGGTAGCCCCTGAAGCTCGCATTTTCTTTTTCACCTTGGCTGTGGTTCAGGGCACCCGTACGCTGTCAATATCGAGCTCTTCTATAGGTGTCATCGCCTTTGTTACATCCTATTTGGTGTGCAGGCGTTGAAGGCGCATACCACGGTTTACGACGTGGCCAAAGCGTCGCGCATCTCTACTCAGCGCCCGAGTCCCCTCACCGCTGGAGTACATTGCAGGCGCGATTATTCTACATCGAGAACATCATCAAGCCACAGTCGCGCATCGGTCGCGAGACCGGAGCTCAGCTGAGCACACAACGCTTCTGAACACCCGCCGTTGTCTGGGTATGAGTATATCCCAAGTAATTAACTCTTTGGACTACTGCACTCGTCATTGGAGCAGATGCGTGGCCTTGCGTCTCACTCATACGGAACCGCTGAACATATTGCTTCGCATACAGCGTGTACCTGCTGGGAGGTACACCCACCGGATCCCGAAAATGAGGGGCTCCAGCCAATGACGATAATTCAACCAACGCATTACGCATTTGCCATCCTGACTACATCTCGTATTGCGCACCTGATGACAGCAGATGTCAAACAGCTGACTGCGAGATCTCGTTTCGCGTTCCTGAATAAGCAGCTGAAGTAACTGCTTCGTACACCGCAAGTCACTCGCTTGGGCCCCGCCGGCTTGCCTTGCCCGTGTGCGGATCGTGAACATGCAGTTTCGAAACACTCGACCAATCAGCGCAGACTGGAGCTGCAGCCAGGATATTCGTTAGACTTGCGGTGTACATGGAGGTACTTTGGGTGCTTTCATGTGAGTAAGGTGAGCTATGACGCTGCGGGTCAAAGCAGGATTATGCGAGGCTATGCCAGGAAGCGGTCTGTGTACACTCGCCGCTTTTTGGTTCTCAGCATTGGCTGGCGCGGGGATTTACCAACGAACCGCGGCTGCTAAATGCAGATGGAAGGTTTCTGGAAGGATAAGAACTTCACGGCAGAGTTGAGTCGTGAGCATAGGCGCAGTGCACAATTCCGTGTCCGACAACAGTAGCTCTTGCGCACGATCGAATCTCGGCCAGAGTCAGTTGTCGCTCAGTCCGAGTCAGAAGGAATGCCGTTGAGTTGTGGGATTTAACTTTTGCAGTGCAATTAGCGTCCCGGATTTGGAGAATGGCAGCGTCGGCACGGTCAAACGGCCATAGCTGGTACCCGTCCATCAACCAAAGCACGCTTCGTTTCGCCCCGCTTCATGAATGCCGCTCACCACCACAACCCACTGCAGCGCTCGCCACTTGCTCGCAGGAGCCGTCATGCGCCTTTCTTATTGTTTCATATTCAAGAATAGCGTGGATTTCGGTATACGAACATAAGTCCAGAACGCAGACGACCTCACTTCGCGTATGTGATTAGAGTTTGAAGACGCATTTATCAGGGAAGCGATAACAAGGACCCGCCGCGGGGTTTTGGCAAAAGGATAGATGTCGACTGCGTTTAACGGTACTTGGTGCTTTAATGACTTTTCGATCTCAACAAGCGCGATGATGGTGCGCCTCTTGCAGGGAGCTTGATGCCTGTATGGGCAGTCGCTTCGAAGATGCTGGAATTTATATCTGGGTGTCATATGCGCTTTACTTGTTCCTGAAAATGACGGCCGTTGGGCTGCAGGGATGCTCGGCAATGATGCTCTCCCCGACGCTAGACGTTGGTCAACACCGTCAAGAGTCGCTCTCGAACCAGTCAGTTATTCTAGAGTCGTGGCTTGCGTATGAAGTGCCGACGCCTCAGTGATCATTGGCTTCTCCATTCGCACAAAATCAAGAAAAGGGTCTCATTAGGTGTTCATCAAACGGCATTTGTCTAAACCTTCCGCTTCCTTACCAAGGTATCCCTGGGCCTGTTCACGAAACAGGGCTGTAACCCCGGTCGATGAGCGACAAATGGTACGGCCGTTCCCGCGTGATGTCAATTATCCAATCTACACACATTCGCGGTTGCATTGAGATCAATGTCTGTATCATTCACAAGGCTATGCCGAAGGATGATATTATCCCAACAGTAGCCGAGCACCGTTTCCTCATAACGTAACAGCGCCGTGCATTCTACGTTATCAGCTTAAGATAGGTCAATGCCGAGCCAGCTAGGACCTTGACTCGCAAGCGAAACACTCTGAGAATACTCTACTCTCTTCGAGTCAGACTGATGTGCGGGTAGCGGGAACTCGGCGCCGTTTTACGCAATTGATCTGTTGTGGAGACAACCATGACTTGCGCCATCTCCGTAGGAATATGTGGAGACACAATAGGCCGAAGAAGGTCAAGCAAACGTTATCGGAGATGAAGAATGACTTTCGCATGACGAAGGAGCCAACGAGGGGAGGTTCAGCTGCGATACGCAATCGCGATGTGGACAGAGGGGCCAAGCTTGACTCGTATGTCGCCTTCGAGTAGTAGATCGTTCGGGAAATGCGGCCATCGATCTACGCAACTGCACGTGCAGTTGTAAAGCCTACTCAGAGACTTGCAAACAAGAAATCCCGAATCGCGTTTGCCAGTATGGTTGTTGGCACTAGCTAGCTACGAGAACATGACTATCTTTGCGACTCTATCTTACTTTTGTTGCACAATACCGGTCATGCTTTCACCGCTCAGCTCCACCTACATGCTGACTGCATCGGCTCTCCCGTCACGGAGATAGCGGGCCGCCTGTTTCGTGTCTTCTAACGCTACCTGGTACGTGATGCAAGAACCCGTGCATCACGTCAGATAAATTCAGATACAGCCACGCTCTGAGGATTGCCCGCCTTGGCTGAACATGTCTCCATGTCATGGCTGCAGGAGGCAAGCTCTATGCTGTCATGCGCACAGTTGGGCGTAACGCTGCTAGGCGATCAGTCGATGGAGCGAGCCGTGAAGAAGATCTTGTCAGACTGGGTGTAATGGTTGACAAGCAAAAGTAGGATTTGTCGCAACCGCGTTTGAGGTTCTTAAAGGTCAAGTGATGTGCGGCAGTATGTCTAATCGTGCAACACGCGGCTGATCTTGATGCGTAGCTCTTTCAAGGCCCAAGACCGCAGGTCCAGCGAATTACGATATATCGAGGGGAGAGAGTGTTGTACGGCGCAGACGCGACCTTGCTTGTGCAACAGTTGGGGCGAATCTCGAGGGACTACGATATCGGCGGTTAAGCGTGTTGGCAGCGGGGTGCAGCCGCCACTTCGCGATCCTGCAGGCGGGTACCTCGCTCAATGTGTACCTGGCTGTCAATTTTTCCTGTGTGACACAGCTGCGACACCACTTCGTCATGTTCGCACGAGTTCTTGTCAAAAAGAAACGAACCTGTAGAGAAGTCGTCTTTCAGCACCCCCGTTTCAGTTCGCAGGAGACAATGCTGCTACCCGCTGCGCCCACGTTACACGACTTCATGCACACCCAAATCCTTCTTTGCGGGCCAATCCAGCGCATCCGCACAATCAGCGTTGCACTGCATACATTTTCAGTCACGTGGTTTTTATCCCCGCACTCGGGACCTTAACACAACCTTTAGCATGAAGCATCCGTACGCTGGGTAACGTTTCGCCTCTGCGTTTGTTCTGCGAACCAGGAATTATTCGCAGTACACGTGACCTTCGGCAGCGCCGGCTCTGTGCTATATCGAGCAGTCCAGTTTTGGCCTCTGCACCGTTAGACTGGTGGTGCAGGATATCTCTGGCGAGAAGGCGGTACTCCTTGCGGTCTGTTGAGGACCCAGCATCGGTATGCTTTGCCGGCGCTGGGTTGCTACACAGGAAAGAAGTATTTCTGCATTGCGTGACAATCGATAAAAGCCTTGTCGGGCGTCAAAAAGCACAACGGCAAAGCAACGAGGGGAACCGGAACCCGCCATAAGCAAGCAAAGCATTGCCGCCAACTGTCAACGACGCGTCGTTCTCGCGCACCGCAAGCCTGCGGGCCGTACCGCATACAGTCTTGTTGTTCTTTTTGGGACTGTCACCATGCAATGCAAGCTGCTCACATTGGCGCAAAAAAGCAAGTCTTATCTGTCTGGCAGGCATTCGACGAAAACCAATGCTCTACAGCATGGTACAATATGTCGTGAGACGCATGCTTTCAGCAAAACGGCGTTTCTTCGGCGACGTCCTTCAATAAGCAGGAACCAAGCTCCTTTTTGTTCTGACCCGACCACATGACGGATTGCGTACGCACCCAAGCATTTACACTCGGATCATATCCCAGAAAAAAACTTTTTGTGTTGCGTTCTCCACTTGCAATTATTGCACTGTCGAATCTGTCAGTCTTAGCGGCAGTTACATGGCACAGAATCTGGTGCTCCAGGTATCCCGGCTCATTCGAGTACTTGTCGATACTCACACACGAAGTCGCCCAGCGGCGCAATCTTGCAATTCCAGATTGTCACGTAGTAGTACGTTACAGACCGGTGGCCTCAGTCCACGTCTTAGTCCGCGGAGGCTCAAATCTTCCAGGCTGCCGACCGGGAACTGCCTGCTCCCACAACGTTATCCACGATCATGAACGATGCTCAGTGTAGCCGGCCGTCCGCGCACTAGGCAGCCCCACAGTATCAGACGAGCGAGACGCAACGATCTCCCCCAATATCAGCCCCTACTGTGTCGCGCTCTAGCATCCGCCCTGCGACACTACGCTAAGCCAACGCTCCCCATCCCTCCCATCAAACCGCGAACCCACTCTCGACCGACTAAAGCTTTTCGTCCATGGCGGACACCGCTGCAAAACTGACTCTCGCGTTATACATCCGCACGTGAGCCCCCAGCGCACCCACCTTCATCTCCGTCGCACGTTACAGTGCCCCGGCTCGTACCGCGATGCTCCCGAACAAGCAGGATCGTCGAGCAGACCGCCGATGCCCAAAGCGCAGCGCATCAGCACGATGCCCGCCAAGCGCAAAATGTCCCGAAGCGGCAGTCGCGAATCGCTTGGGGCTTCTGGTCTCGCAGCTCGCCGGCCTGTGCGCTGCAGAGCATTGTCCTGCCCTGCCAAGTTCTCCAGCCCTCCTCCGTTCCTTTGTTCGTGCTGCTCGTAGCTGTCTCTGGAGGATGAGGATGAGCCTCAGGAATCGGGGGAGCCGGGAGCGCAGCGACGGGGGCGTTGACTCGTAGCATTGATCTGCCATCTGCCCGCTCTTACGCAAGCCTCCAGCTGTCCCGGACTGGAGCGCGTCAAAGCACCGCGAGTCTGCTGCCCTCCGACACAAAGCAGGACCGCCGCTAAGCGCACGCACGCGGGGTATTGCGCTGATATGTACATACGTGCTCACTAGCCGTAACCAACGCACCTTCTGTGTGCACTGCACGCCAACGACGTCCCCGGTCCCCCACGAACCCCCCAGGCTCGCAGCCCAGCATCGCAGCCTCGGCGAGCCCAGACGCACTGCAATATCGCAGCCTCATTCTGCCTCTGCGTGCATCTGCTCTGGCAATGCGCGCGATCCGTGGGCTTACCTGTCGTCCAGATTAGCTCCCCCCTCGAGACCAGCAATAGCCTCATCGTAGTCTCGCGCTGCACCCACCCGCTGTGCCCGCCCGTCCAAGCGAAGCAAAGAACCGTCAAGTCACCGCAGCGCAGCGCTCCGCTGCATTAGCCCTCCCGCGTGCAACGCACCGGGCCTCTCCCCTCACGCCCCAAGCCCATGTACTGTACGACGCAGCATAGCGTCGCGCAGCCTAGTCTAGTTTACGTCCACCACTCAATTAATCAATCAATGAATGGCAATACGTCTCCCCATTTTCACGTTCAACTGCCCGTTCTCGCCAGCCTCGGCACGATCCGACGCCTACCCAACGGCGCGCGTCTTTGCACAAAAGCAAAGGCTTAACATGGACTCCTCGCCTCGCACCAGCACGTACGCGAGAAGAAAAAACGGTGCTACTGATGTGGTATTGGTATATGCAAATCCGTCATAGATATGTTCATCAAACGGCTGGCGCCGGGTACGCTTGCCTCGCCCGTGGCCAGCTCGGTCGCGTCGCTCTGCAAGCGATCCCAGGATTGCGCGGCTGACCTTAACACACCATACCTAAGCCCCAGGGTTCCCGCCAGCCCTTCCCCCGTTGCGCCTTGGCGCCGCCGACCGAAATCCTCAGACGCTGTTCAATCTTGGGCAAATAATGATATGGTATTGTCATCCTCGCCGTGCCGAACCGAGCAGAGCTAAAGCAAATAGTGGAAAGAAGCGCGAGCTTCAGGCTTGTAGTTGTAAAAACCCTAGTATGATGTAACGTAAATGCAACGATAAATAGGAAAAGAAAACAAGTGAGAAGGTACAACAGTGGTATTCCGCGCGAGCGGGTACAGTCTTTTCGGACTATTGTGAAAGGAGAAATTCGAATCAACAAGTATTGACACGCAGGGGTATAGAGGCCGTCGCAATGGTAAAAGGTAAAACCGGTATAGTAAGAACAAACCAGCCGAGAGAAAACTCGGCGGCGAAAGAAAATAGATGAAATGATGATGACCATGCTAATGATGCTGATGCTGAAGCGCTCGACCGATTGTGATGCAGGAAAAACGCAGATCCTATGCCTGTGTCCGCGCGATCACGTGGGTAATTGAAATAATTGCCTCCGCGGCATTGCGGGGTGACGAATTCCAAGGCGCTTCCCCGGCCTAAAGCCGGATTGAAGTGTGTCGATGAATGTAAGTTGTCGTGGTCGGGTACTTGTGCGACATCGCCTGTTCCGATCGTTCACAAGGCCGGACGGATATCACCACGCTTGTAATGGTACCGCTAGTGTAACGAGTCGATGCTCTCAACCTTCTCGACTGTGCCATAATTGGGCTCCGACGTTCGGCGCATTCCGGATGGCAGGCTTTCCGAGCTGCGCTTGATCTTGAGCTTCTCCATGAGCTTGCCGATGGTGACGTACTCCTGGGGTTCCACAACGAAGTCCTCATGCTGTTGCTGGAAAAAGGTCCAAACCAGCTCCAGGGCACGCGCAGCCTCCTCTTGTGACGGCGAACCAGGTGTCGTATCTTCTGCCACGCTTTGCAACACGCTCGGCTGGTGCATGTTCGTGACTGATGGTATCGTTGTCAGGCCGTTGGGCAATGGTGGTGGTTGCATGGAGTTCGTGACTGTCGTTGGTGAAGCCTGCATAGCGTCTTCCATCGCTGCCAGAGATGGCTGGAACTCGTCCATGGGAGAGTCTAGCGCCGTCGAATTTAAGAACTTAGGAGTCAGCGCCTCTGATGATGGCGGCGGTGACATGTACTGTTCGACACCGACTAGCATCGGAAACGTCTGACTTCGTGGTCGCTGGAAGTTGCTACTGCCCGGCTGGCCCCTGGCTTGCTGGTTGAGAGTAAAGGGGTTGGGTCCGCATGCTGAGTCTGGTGTAAAGAAAGGCGATGACAGGGAGGTCGGGCTGGTTGGACCGGCTGAGAACGAGGAGGGCGCAGTATCAGTGAAGACGCTTGACAGAGACGTGTTGCTCTGCGAGTGGAACGGGCGGCGGTGGTTTGCGAAGTCGTGCACCTCCGGACTCTCGGTCTTGAGCTCCTCCTTGCTGGGCTTTGCCGAAACCGTCAGTGGAGAGGGCGATACCCCGCTCGGTGAGGTAGGCGAGATGCCACCAGGAGTGTGGACATTCGAAGGCGGATTCGAGCCCTCCGACTCTTCAGCGATGGATCCCTTCCTAGATTTTGAGCCTAGCAGGTTGTTCTTCTGCTTGAACTTTTCAAGCCAGCTGGTGCTGCTCGCTTTCAAGTGGCTGTCGTTGTTGCCCACAGTTGTTGCGAAGAACTTTGCCTTCTCTCGGATGATGGTGTCCGTGAGAGGAAGACCTTGTCGCTGATGGTTTCGCGCCCAGTTGGCCAGTGCTCGCTCGATATCGGGGAACTTGCCTTTCGACCTTTTTATGGGTGAACGGCTTCCATCGTCCTGGTAGAGATATTTCTCCTTCTGGCGCAGCACTTTGGATACGGTACTAAACAAAGTCAGCACAAGGATGGTGGTTATCTACGTGGATCCAAATTCTACCTTCGTTCTACACCAAACATTGCTAGAAACAAGTCAGCCACTCTTCCTCCATACATAGTCAGTGATTGTTTGCAGCTTACCTCCGATCTCGGTTTGCTTAACGGTGGGATGGTCCTCGTGGTATTGGCACATTCTCCGGCGGTCAGCGTCCGTGAGAGTCTTGCGCGGAGTGCTTGATGTGCGGCCAGAGTGCGTTGAAGTCGCTGACACCGGCGTAGCGGACACTGGCGTGATTGGGATCGGCGCTGAAGGGAAGATGGGCGGTACGTAGGTAGACTGGCTGGTCATCATGCTCGGCCATTGAGTGACTTGGGGCATGATCAGAGGATGCAGCTGCGAGTGTGCTGTCCGATGCTGCGGCGGAGGCTGCATCGCGTTGGTGTAGATGGGCTCCATCGGAATCGGGCCATAGCTGAAGTGGTTGAAGTCTTGCACCGACGTTTGATGATTAGGGTCGTAGTGACTGGCGTGGGCCCAAGTCGCATGTTGGTCCTCATACGAGTCCTGGTGGTGGTGCTCGTGGTCCATCTGCAGCTGGCTCATGGAGGCTTGATGGCACGAGGACGGAAGCTACGATCTCGCAAGAGCGGCAGCGTCCGTGTTAGTTGATGTTAAGTCGGGGTCGGTCTGCAAGCATCTGCGCCTTGTCGTTGGGGGTGGTGTTCCTGGGGGCGGCGCGAGTGACCTCAGAGCGGCAGCGTGCATGCATGCATGGGCAAAGGGCACTGATGCACTGGCGACAGGGACGGGGGATAGGTAGACAAGGCGCTCAGGCAGACAGGCAGAAAGACAAAGAGACGCAATAGTGCGGCGCGGAGGAGGATCGGAGCACTGGGACTTGCTGGCGACTGCAGGGCAAGATTCGTATGCGGCGGCTTGCAGCGCGTACTTGAGCGAAGTCTGGTCGGTGGTCAGGGCCCTTGTGCGTGCGCTGCGGGCGGCGGCGGGTTGCAGTAGCGGGAGAGGGGCCATGGTGCTGTTTGTTTCGAGCCCGAGCGACCCTGTCAACTCGGCGTGCGAGCAGCACGGCCTGTGCTCGCCATCCTAGCAAGCGACACCGCAACGCGAAGACTAGCGCGGTCGGGGATGCGCCCCTAGAGCAGCGACAGATGCGCCCAGCAGGTGGGCCCGCAAAGCGGTCGCAAGCCCTGCTGGCCCCAGCGCGCCCCCAAGCCCTCCACGCACGCGCAGCAGCGGCAAATGGGAAGTCAAGGCGGTCTGAGCAGGATCCCCCTCCAAGCTCCACGGCCCTGAGCCTGGGAGCGCAGCATACCACCGTCCGGCTAATCTGACGCTGCCGAATCCGGTCGCTGCCAGAGTGTGCCATATTGGCTGCTGCTCGTCCGGGGCCTTGTGCGCCAGCATCCGTCATGCTGCCCGTTACCGTGCTCCGTGGCGTGCGACCACGCTGGACCAGCACCGGCGCTGCTCAGGTACGCGAGGCGTCCGTTCCCCGTGGTCTGGACGACACTGTCAATCGTTGCCGCTGCATAAAGGAGATGCCGCGTTGAGCGTCCACTGTCTCGATGCGCCCAAAGGGCTGAAACGCTTCCGGAAAGGCTGCCAGGCGCGCCCGTCAACGAGAGCCACAAGAGACGTATTAGGTTTGACCCAGTAGCCACTCAGGCTCGCGAGCGATAATCCATTAGCGCCCGAATCACAGCGCCGCCTCTGAGTCGTCACTCTGCCCTGCATCCCTGCAGCTTTTCTCCGAGTCGTCCTCTGGTGGAATCTGTCGACCAATCGAGCAGGCTAGTGCCAGACAAAAAGGCTAGAAAACGATCGTCGTATTGCTGAATTTCCGAGATCATAATATAAGAAACAAATGCTAACACGCCGGCAGCGCGACACCTACCTACCTCCTCGGCATCAACGGCACTCGGCGTGTCGACTAGTACCGGGGCGTAATGTATTTCCCAACCTCCCGGCGAATGATCGTCTCCATTCGCTGTGTAAGCTGCCAGGACCGAAATAGCGCCCGTGTGGATGCCGTATAATGCCTTTAGTACTGCGCCTCGACCAATTCAGCTCTTGAAGTCGGCCTCGCGCTCATCCTATGGGAGTGTCATGCTGCGATGCGGCATTGAGACAAGCAAGCCATGCTCCATATCCTCTCACACCATTCGCGCGATCTCATGTGGGAAGGCGAATGAAATCCCGTCATGAATCAGGACCTAGACATATCTATCGCTTAATGATCGTGACTATGAAATTGTAAGCTGGAAGGCATCGGCCGAGGAAGATATGGACGTACTGATGTCTTCATCGGCGAGCTCGTGAGACAAACCCACACGTTGTGGCTGATGCTTCACTGACTTGCCGTACACAATGGCCTGTTTGAATTGATCAACGATGGTCTTGTGGATCGAGTTACACTGCATCACTGGTCAGCAATCACGTCCCATGATAGCGTCATGAAGGCACATACAAAATCTTCGACTGTGCAGGCCGTCGAGCGGAGCACAACTGGGGCAGTGTAGTCGGGCAGTTTGCCCTTGGGCTTGGTGTAGACGCGGACCAGATTGAGCTTTTCCCACATCTGCTCCAAAAGCTCGTCGACATTCCATCCGTGCTCGGAGCTGATAGGGCAAGCATTCGGAATTCGGTACAGCAGATCCAGCTCCTCGATGGAGATGGCATCGATCTTGTTCAGCGCGTAGATAACAGGGATGTAGCTTCGGCCCTTCGCTTCAATGACATCGATCAGGTCGTCCACGGTGGCGTCGCATCGGATGGCGACATCAGCATTGGACATCTTGTACTCCGCCAAGACTGCCTTGATTTCGTCATGGTCGATGTGCGTAAGCGGGACGGTAGCAGTGATGTTGATGCCACCCTTGTCCTTCTTCTTCAAGACAATGTTTGGAGGGCTCTTGTTGATGCGGATGCCGAAGCCTTCCAACTCGTTTTCAATGACACGCTTATCCGTGAGCGGCTTGTTCACGTCCAGTACGATGAAGATTAAATGGCAGGTCTTTGCAACAGCAATAACCTGCCGACCACGACCCTTGCCGTCTTTGGCACCCTGGATGATACCAGGAAGATCGAGAATCTGGATCTTGGCTCCGTTGTATATGACTTGTCCGGGAACGGTCGTGAGCGTAGTGAATTCGTATGCGGCAGCCTCGGAGTGTTGGCCCGTCAATCTGCTCATGAGCGTACTTTTGCCCACCGATGGAAAACCAATGAAGCCGACACTGGCGACACCTGTCCTGGCAACATCGAAACCCACACCCGCGCCGCCGCCACCGCTTGAGGACGGTGTCAGCAGCTCTCTTTTCAGCTTAGCAAGCTTTGCCTTGAGTTGACCTGCAATCTATGAGACTTTGTGCCGAGCGAGCGGGATTGCGGGGGCGGTACCGAGATGGAAAGACGTTGCTTTGTTTTTCTGCGTCTTGGCCATCTACATCGCGGCGTGAGTATCGACAACGCGTCGCGGATGGAGCCTGTCTTACCTCATCCTCAATAGCTTTGATCTGCCCCGCAAATTGAATCAGCCTTTGGTTTGCGCGATTTCGCGTGTGGGATGCTCACCTTATCCACGGTGGTCGCCATACTGACGGTGTTCTGCGAAGCAGCAATTACAACAAACAAAAAGGGTAGGCGACGTTGTTGCGGCACCACAAAAAATGTGAGGTTGAGGCTGCAGCCATGACGCGAGGGGCAATCGCGCCGGAGACCGGAGAAACCGCCGCCCCGCCCCGCCTTCCTTCCAGAATCACCAGCCCGGCGCAAGCCGGCCAGTCGCGATGTCTTCTCGGGGGCACCGTGCAACACGCCGAACGCGCCGTTGGAATGGCTGCCCCATCGCGGCTGACCAGTGCCATGGCGACACACGACCGACCAAGTAGCTACTTCTTACCTCATGCCCGCCTCGATTACCGCTTGTCGTCGGCCACCTTTGCAGCAAACTTCTCTTTGCTTCTGCAATCGCTAGCCACGTACTCTAGATAAACACCTCCAGCGCAGTCAGTCCTCAGCGACCATATCCATCGGTCTTTCGTCCACCGTGCCGCTCAAGCACCCAACCCAGTCATGGAGACCCCGGAGATCACCCACGAGCGCCAAAGAAACGCATTCGAAACGCTAGTTGACAACCTCAGTGCTGAACTTGGGCCCTGCTCTGGTATCAATTCCGAAGATGTCGACCCAGGAATGCTGGAGCAGCTGATGAGGGACTACGTATCAGATGAAGCACATTGGAGCAAATATTTCTTTCCCAGTCAGCACCATGCCTACACGCGGAATCTCGTCGACAAAGGCAACGGCAAGAGCAATTTGCTCATTCTTGTCTGGTCGCCTGGAAAATCGAGTCCGATACATGACCATGCCAACGCGCACTGCATCATGAAGGTCCTAAAAGGCTCTCTGGTCGAGACTCGCTACGCCTGGCCCACCGTCCATCTCAACGAGAAGGAGGAGCACCCTCTGCAAACCATATCTCAGAGGATGTACGAGGAGAACGATGTAACCTACATGTCCGACAGGCTAGGCCTGCACCGCATTTCCAACCCTAGCCCAAATGAATATGCCGTATCATTGCACCGTAAGTCAATTCCATCATCTTGCGTCAAAGGAGATTGCAAGATGCACTAAGACCACCTCTTGCTCATCTACCACGGTGCTGTATCGATTCACGGCTGACTTGCCTCAGTGTACACTCCACCGAACGCAGCAGTGTATGGCTGCAACGTCTTCGACGAGCAAACCGGCCATGCAAAGCATATGGCCAAGTGTACTGTGTACTCGGAGTACGGCAAGAAAGAGCCGCGACTTTAAAGGGTTGCTAAGGAAGCATGCATCTACGATCGATCATTGTCTGTATGGCAAAGTGTTGGTGGCACTCTACATCTAGGCACATTCACACAGCGGTATCGAGTTTACATCCGCGGAAGTCGTCCTTCTTTTGTTACCACCGTTGTTTTCTGCCAGTCGCGTGTTCATCTCATGTTCATATCAAGCGTTTTTGGCGCAGCATTTTTTAGCATTTCGTTCAATTCGACATCATAGCCAGCGTCAAACAGCACGCTACATTTATGACGAAGTTCAAATAGCCGTTTCGCTTGTGCTCATACTTGGTTTGCCATTTACTTGCACGCTGAACAGCCTTCACGAAAGGTAGCAAGCTACTCTGGTCCTCCTGCAGTTCTCAACCTCATGCCAGTTTCAACTTTCACCAATATATGGGCCGGTGCCATCCTGACTAGTGCTAGTACGGGAAGCACAGGCATATTCAAACTCTTTGGCCCTCCCTTCCTGTGAAAGATCAGTCCGCACAGCATACACAAATCCGCCCGCCGCGTTCCCACCCATGCCAGACAGCGCACCACCCTACAATCCCAACGCTCACTGTCGACTGAATTGATTCGACACCCTAAGTATATCGGCACATCTCGTCTGTGCTGTCACCACATCTCCCACCATGGAAGACTCTGCCTCCATTTCCGCTCAACTCCTCGACCGAGGCTACCGTATTTCCTCCGCCTCCGGTCTCCCACCCAGCATGACCACCACCGAGCTCACCGTCGCCGTGAACCACATCATGACCGTGTGGTGGCCGCAGCTCTGCCGCAGCTCCCGCTCGCAGAAGGTCAAGGCTACCGGCATCTTCGAAGAGGGCTGGTACGATGACAACGGTTTGCTCGACCTTCAGAACCCGGCGTACTGGAAGATTGTTAATGGACTCGTACGTGTTCTCTTTGCCATCTCGCACATCTTGAGAAGACGAGAGCTAACATTCCCAGGGCACTCTCTACGGTAAAGTCCACGCCCGCTACCCCGCCGGCGCCGTCCACACCTTCCGCGTCCGCTGGCACGTCCAGCGCGACGGCGACTCGCTCGACCTGTTTGTCGAGGGTCCGCCCTCCGGCGAGAAAGATTCTCGCGGCAAGCCAATCAAGAAAGGCTTCCGCATCAATGGTCCACGCGACGGTGGTGGCTGGCTCGACTTCCAGATGGAGCTGGACCTGTTGAAGACGCAGCGGGACGCTGGTGATGAAACGTAAGCTCCCCTTTCGCAGCTACGATCAAACTGTACGGCTAAGAGTGACAGCGTGAACACCGAGGATGCCGCCATCGCACCTAAGATGAAAATCAATACCGACGACGCCTTCGTGCACCGCGCATCCCTCGGCGACACAAGCGGTCCAGCATTCTCGCCTGCCCAGCGCAACGACATTGCCGACCAAGTCGGCTCCGCGCTCACCGACTCCGTCGCGCCGTCCGACGGCGAGCAGACCTTCACAAAGGTGGGGAAATGGATCGCCGGCCAAGCCCAGGATCCCTCCATAGAGAGCACTGGTGACGACGCTCTGACCGTCGCAGGCGCTGCGGAGGCCAACCCTGCAGTTTCCACTGCATCTCATGCCACCAAGGCTATCCTCGGCATGGACGCAGACTCCGGCTCCGACTCCGACTGGGTCAAGGTCGGCGAAGGCGACGGAGTGGATGACTTTACCGTCCCCGTGGCGACCACTTATGTGTACAAGAAGGAGGATGCGATCAAGCCGACCAAGAGCTGGTGGTTTGGGCGTTGGTACTATAAGACGAATAATTGAGTGCGCCGGGTGCGTGGCGGGTTGATGGGGGTATTAAGGATATGATATGAGCTGAGCAGCGATGGCCCCGATGGTGGATGGAATGTTGCGAATGGTGCGGTTATGATATGGACGATGATTGTTGGCATGTCTTCTTTCCAAGGAAACTTGTTGAGGATCGGTTTTACCAAGCGTTCGATGTGGTTGCTACATGACGGCTCCACGATAGAGCTGTGATTCTTGGAAAAGGCTTGCGTCAAGGGATTCTAGCATTCTGTATTATCAATTGAGGAATGCTCTGCGATTATCATCATAATTGTTGTTACCTACCCATAGACAGGGAGTTCTCTTGGAGCTGAGCCCATGCAACATACATTCTCAAGTGGCGTAGTTGCAAGTACAACCTTGACCGGCCCTTGTTCAATCTGCCATACCGCAAGGCGAGTTTGCGTCCCTCCCGTCATCTCACAAAACATCCTCACAACCGCCTCTTCTGCATTCCCACCTTCCGCTTCCCCAAAACATCCCTCCCCTCCTCAATCTGCAACAACGCCTCCCTCTTCTTCTCTGTAACCGGCTTCAGGGCCTCCCTCACAACCCTCCCCTCAACACTAACACCCTCCTCCTCATACTCCTCCAGCTCCTTGCCCACACGCTCCTCAATAGCATGAATCAAATCGACATCTCGCTGACCAACGAGCGTGACACTGTGGCCCACCCTGCCAGCACGCGCGGTACGACCGACCCGGTGGATGTAGTCATCTGGATCGCGCGGAACGTCGAAGTTCACTACAAGGGCGACTTCCGGGATGTCGAGACCGCGGGCGGCGACGTCGGTGGCGACGAGGATGCGGGCGGCTTGGGCGCGGAAGCGGGCAAGGTTGCTGACGCGTTCGGCCTGTTTGAGGCCGGAGTGGAGGGCTGTGACGCGGTGGTCAAGGAGGCGGAGCATGTATTCTAGGAGTGTGGCTGTTTTTGTTCGGTTGCAGAAGATGATGACGGATTTCTTGACATTCTCTGGGGGTTTGTTAGTGTTTGTTCGGACATGTTGGGGTATGGCATGCTTACCTGGGGTGCTGAGGAGTACGTGCAGGTAGCACTCTTTGTGTGTGACCGGAGTCATGATGTACAACTGCTGCAGCTTCGGCGGGATCGCAAGTGTCTCGGTGTCAACCTCGCACACGAATATTGGCGGCTTGCCGGGTGTCCGCGGTTTCTCTTTCAGAGCCAGAACCTCAGGTGTCACCGTTGCAGTGAACAATAGCGTTTGCCGTCGCTCCGGTGGTGGCAGAATCGAAAGGCATGTCTCTAGATCTGGAAGCATGGATCCTTTCCCGGGAGCGAGAAGACGATCCGCTTCATCGAATACGACAAACTTGACTCTTCTAAGGCCGCAGATCGTATCTTCTCCAGACGTTTTAATGTGCTCTGCGAGACGCCCGGGCGTTGCTATTACTACGTGCGGACGCGATGCAAGCTGTAACGCTTGCTCGCGCTGGTCTGCGCCTCCTGTGATTAAGATGACCTTGACGGACTGGCGTGAGCCGATGGCTTTCACTTGTTCAAAAATTTGAATAGCAAGCTCTCTGGTGGGACTGTTGCTTAGTTAGCATAATGCCGCAGAGGCAAGATTGGTATGGTACATACGTGATCATGAGGGCAAAGATACCGCAGGGATCTTCCGACCATTTCTGCAATATAGGTACGGAAAAGGCAACAGTTTTACCAGTACCGGTACGTGAGCCTCCAATACAATCTCTTCCTTTTAATATCTCAGGAATGCACTCTTTCTGGATTCCGGTGGGCTTTTTGATTTCCATGGATGCGAGTGATGCGACCAACCACGGGGAAACATTGAGGGAAGCAAAGCTGACTCTCTCGGAAGCGTTCGATATTTCCGACACTGCTGGTGCTCCAGATCCATCTTGGACACGTGATGGCGCAGTAATTTGCTTTGCTTTGATGCGCGAGGTTGTGGCCAGTGGTTGCTGCGTTGGCTTTTCGACCGGTGATAGCCTTCTCTTCTTCCTAGAACCGTTTTGCTCTAGCATCTCTTCGTCGCTGGAGGAATAATCTGATATTGAAGCCATCTCTTTTTGCTTGGTAATGCGTGTTATCAATGCGTATAGTGTCGAGTTGAAGGTTTCGCGCCAGTTTTTTCGTGCAAGGATACATTCACGCTAACGTTATCGATAGCGCGAAAATCACGTGCTGTGACCCTCCTAATTCTACACTTCAGTTAGCCGACCGTACCACATTTCTCCGCCAGACTTCTTCGAATCTTGATATGATGCAATCCTATGGAAGCAGGAGCTGTTGTTGGGAGATGCCTTCCCTGAACTCTGGGGAGCAATCATCTGGACCTGCTGTGAACACGTTCATGGGATGAAGAGTATCATATACAGGCTGGGCGCCTATGAATAGCTCATGATGCAAGGGCTTCTCTTAACATGGTGGATCAGTTCCCCGTCAGCTTCTTTACGATAACAGCTGTACAGCGCGATACGGCAGGGCTCACTGTTCACACTGCCACGCAAGTCGAAACATCCACACTCGACATTACTGCGCAAGATCAACTGCCCACGATCTAACATGTCGACCACAACACTGAGCTCCGATCCGGATATGGAGCTCGCCATCAGAAAGATGTCCCTTGAATCTTCCGTCGCCCCGTCCTATTCGTTCGCGCAAGGCTGGGCCAAGCTTTCGGACGAGTTACGCCTAGCGGTTCTCATCGCTGTTCTCGCACAAGACTACCCCATCGATCATCCAGAGCACGAAAAGCTGCTAGAAATACTCTACTTGCCGCTTCTTCTGACCGCAAACGCCGCCATCGCGACCGAGGCGTTCTCTGCCCACAATGTTTTTAAGATCTGACTCGCCTCGAAGCGCTACCCGGCGCCAAATCAGAATACATGGTTGCGTCGAATGGAGATCAAAATGACGGATGAGGAAGCCACCCCAGGCTGGTCATTCCTTGAGAAGCTATGTGCGGGCGCTCTAGGCTTCGAGCGGCTCCGCGAAGTCGACATGACGTTGATTTCGAACCGGAAGAAAGGAGACCCACGGGGTACTAGGTTCACTTCCATGGTTGACCTTGGACTATCGCCTTTAGGCCTTACACCGATCTTTTCCAACATCGAGAAGCTATCGATCACGCGCAAGATCCTCTTCAAAGATAATGTGAAGTGCTCGATATGGTTCGGACGTGTTCCAGCTAGCATTCTCCAGCGTGCGCAACAATGGGACGAACTTCGTCTGGAGGGAGAGTATACCGACGAGTTCTGGTTCCCATGGGCTTCATCGATGTTGCAGGGCGACTGAATTCGTATCGCCAGCTGCCGTTTAGAGAGGTAGCCCATCCAGCGCTCGGCCTTACCCGCAAGAAAGGTATACTTCAGGGTTTCCAACAGGTCCGGACCCTGACGCGCAACTACGAGGTTGGACAGTATGGTGGCGAGGCTCTGAATTTTCTCTTAACCTGGTCATGTACGTGGATTTGCCATCGCCATTTCCAAAGGCTAACCTCGCCATTAGCCTCTCAGGAGAATGACAGCAGACGGAAGCTTGCCTGGACCTGTTCTCACAACCTAAGTTCCTAGTCGACACAAGCATGTATGAAAAACTAGCATTGCTGATTTTATGATTTCCAGCATGGGAATGAGTTTTATGGGCAAAGCTGCGGAACGTTTGATACGGCGTTCATTGTTCCTGATCAGAGCCACGTGTCTGTAGCAGATCGCTTGGTTGCTCTTAGAACAAAGGGCCCTCCAAGCAAACCAATTGAACTAGGCTTTGCAATGTTTCTTCGATTGATGCATGCGGCTGCAATGAATCCAGTGTCTCCTGTACGGTGAAATATGCGGTTTCTCATCTTGACATCCTGTCATCTCGTCCTCTCTTTGCAACTTCCCAGGTTCGCCGCGGTCACTAAGTTCCAATACACTATGAGCTTGGCTTATACGATGGATCAAGCGCAAACGACAAGCCAGCCTTTCATGCAGGTGCGCCAGAGATATTAACCCACAACACTACAGCACTAATTACACTTCCTGTAGGGGTTCGCTCTGGAAGGCTTATCTGAAACCCGATTTTCTTGGTCTATCGTGTTCTACATCACTGGAATTATAGTCGCTTATCGATTGATTGGCATTGCATTTTGAGTTCTCATGAACTTGTACTTGAACTATGTCTGCGAATATTCTTATCTTATTTTGGATCTGGTGCTGCAAACGACGAGATACTTTATGACCTGTGCTTAGCAAGCTCAGGGGGGAAGTCAGCGACCTAATCTTGTGCTACGAAGCCAGTCCCCTGTTCAAGGAGACGATAGTTCTCGTCTATAGTTTTTAATGGCCTCCACGCCCTAGGATATCTTGGGTACTTCCAATATCGTCTCTTCATATACGTAGCCGCAGCGAGCGAGCAGTAATTGTCGTTGCTCCCATTCGCCAAGATAAGATTATGGAGTGCTAGCCGCTTGGCCTTACTACTAGTATATGCGTAGCCGATGCAGCCTGCCTCTTTCTCGATTAGGCTATCGCATCGATTAGCAGGCCCATTATGGATATGGAGGCCTTCATGGAGCACGATCGATTTTCGAATCAGGAAGAAAATTATCATGCTGGATTGTAAGCCGGGAAATGTATCAGTGAGTTGAGCCCAGTTGTGCCAGTTGTGCTCCGATACGTCAAGTTCGGGATGAGGATGAACTGTCCTCCAGGGTATCTATGCATAGCACCCGTTATAGCTTCTGATTTACACAGTGCAAATTCACCGAGGCATGAAGTTCTCTTGCACGCACACAAGATCACGAGTGCTCCAAACAGTGAAGGAAGATGCACATCCTCATCAAAAGTCCTATCATGTCAGAAACATTATTAATGGTCTAAACCGTTGCGGAAAAATCGTTCAAGACACTATACCACTCGGGGAACAGTACAGAACGAGCTCTTTCAGCCGAGCACAGAACGCTCGTATGAATCTGGACTCATGGAAAAGACTTTGACTCCAGACGCAGATAGCACGACTGGGAATCCGTCTTTGCTCCACTTTCACCGAGTGTAGCATCTAGTAGCAGTTGATTCTATCAATTTCCACGGTTATCTGAAGATGAATATCTGACTTGCTGCTCCCCAGGCTACGCTACAATCTTCCAGCATCGTGCCGACTTCGTGGCGTAACCTTTAAAATCAATTTAATGCCACAATGGGCCCTCTTTCATATTACAAACTCCCTCGACAAGTCCGTGCTGCATTTGTTGCCGCATTAGCCCAAAGGACTCACCATACTCTTCTCGCATTTCACTGCGCCCGTGTATTTCAGAATCATCACGCATCCAAGGCCTGCAATTTCAAAAGACCATGTCTCCCAAAAGAAAGCCATTGCGGACTTTCTGCGCTGAGTACCTTGCTGCATCACTACGATCACCCCTAATTACCCTCACTGTGCATTCCGGATACGTATGATCAGGCCAGTGAAGGTAAAACCTCCCGGCCCCTCTACCCTTCCCCACCCACCATCCCCAGAGCCCTCAACTTTACTTCCAAGACGTCGATTGTCTGCGCCTGCTCTTCTCTGAGATGGCCCCACAGGCACCTTTCTTCAAACTCCCCATCTCCCAAGTAAGAAAAGACATCACACAATTGAATTCCTGGGTCACAGGAGGACATGAACAAATGGAAGGGATATATATCGACTCGCCAGCACCTATACATACAATCCAGCCCGATGCGAGCGCACAGGCAGGGCGTCTATGATATGCTATAATACAGTCCTCCCCTCGCTTCAACTAGCTAGAGTGGAAATCATCCGTGCTACTACACATCATGCAAAACGAGAAACCACAAACGTCGGCCTCACCGCTGCTCGCCCTCGATGCTCTTAAACGTCGCCGGCGCAGGCGGCACAACCGGTCCCTTCACGCTGCCCTCTCCCGCATTTGGCTCAATCAGCCCCGGCACGCGCCCATGCTTGCCGCTAAAATACTTGTGGAAGTCCTGCGCCTCCTCGAATGGTCGGGGACCCAGTAGGCGGATCATGTCCTCGCGGCCGATCATCTCTTTCTTCAGCAGCTCTTCTGCGACGAGCCCGACCTCCTTCTTCTTCTCAGTGAGCAGGTCCTTGCACTGCTGGTACGCCTCGTCGACGATGCGCTTGACCTCGAAGTCGATGTTCTTGGCCGTCTCCTCGGAGAAGGGCTTCTGCAGCTGGTTCTGCTGGTCGTCCTCGTAGTAGATGTACCCGATCTTCTTCGTCATGCCCCACTTGGTCACCATCATGGTGGCCATCTGGGTGACCTTGCGGAAATCGTCGGATGCGCCCGATGTCACGGTGTCGAAGTGCAATTCCTCGGAGACGCGGCCGCCCAGCGTCATTGCCATGCGGTCCATGAGTTGATTGACGTTCATGAGGTAAGTGTCGCCATTAGGGAGATACTGGGCGTAGCCTAGTGCGCCCTGGCCACGAGGAATGATGGAAACCTTGAGGAGAGGGTCCGCCCACTTAAAGTACCAGCCGCAGATGGCGTGGCCGGCTTCGTGGTAGGCGACGGTCTTCTTTTCTTCGGGCTTGAGGACGAGGGATTTCTTTTCGAGACCACCGATGACGCGTTCGATGGCTTGTTCGAAGTGCACCATTGTTACGGACTCGGCAGCGTGACGGGCAGCTACATCTGGTCAGTGCAAAATTCTAAAATAATACTTGGAATAAACTCACCAATCAAGGCAGCTTCGTTGACACAGTTGGCGATATCAGCACCAGAGAAGCCAGGTGTAAGCGCAGCCAATCTGCCTTGTAGGAAGTCAAGGTCCTCTGTAGTGACGATCTTTTTTAGATGCACGGCGAAGATCTGGGACCGGCCGTCCATGGTTGGGCGGTCAATGTTGATATGCCTGTCAAAGCGACCAGGTCGCATAAGAGCCTTGTCTAGGACATCGGGTCGATTGGTACCGGCCAGGACAACCACCTGCTCGGTGGTGTTGAAACCGTCCATCTCTGTAAGGATCTGATTGAGTGTAGCTTCACGCTCATCGTTGCCGCCGCCAAAGTTCTTGCCACCTCTAGCTCGGCCAATGGCATCGATTTCGTCGATGAAGATGATGCAAGGCGTGCTCTTCCTGGCGTTGGCGAATAGATCTCGTACACGAGAAGCACCAACACCGACAAACATCTCGACAAACTCGGAACCACTGACGGAGAAGAAGGGAACCCCAGACTCTCCAGCGGTGGCCTTGGCGAGAAGTGTCTTACCAGTACCAGGGGGCCCGGACAAGATAGCTCCGCGGGGGATCTTGGCACCCAGCTTCTGAAAGCGTGCAGGCTCCTTCAAGAACGAAACGAACTCGGTGATTTCCTGCTTGGCCTCATCCATGCCCGCAACGTCTGCGAACTTGACCTTGATATCCGTCTCGTGGTTGAATTTCTTGGCGCGGCTCTTGCCCATGCCGAAAATGCCACTGCTTCCGCCACTGCTGCCACCAGCACGTCGGGTGAAGTAGAAAAGGGAACCAAGGAGGAGTAGCGTGGGGCCGAAAGACAGAAGAGTGCCGAACCAGGATATCTCGTTGGCGTAAGAGACGGGAATGCGATCGTGGCTGGGGATCTGCAGCTCGTACTGCGCGTCGTCCATCTTGCGCTCAAACGACTCGACCGATCCGATGGTGAAGTAATAATAGAAGCTCTGGCTGGCAGCAGGCGAGTCGGGGTACATGGATGCGACCGCCTCGCGGTGGAGATGCACCTTGGCGCGGTTGCCATTGAGTATGACGATCTTCTCGACCAGGCCCTTGTCCAAAAATGTTGTCCTGAACTCTTGCCATGTAATCTCCTTGGTGTTCTCTCCTGGGACGATCATCCGGTACGTCAGCCATGCGAGGAAGGCGGTGATGAGCGTCGTGTTCCAGTCCATGGCCTGGGGCGTGCCGAAGCCGGCCTGGCCCTGCTCGCCCTTCTTCTTCCCCTTCTCGCCCTGCGGCTGCCCTGGTCCCGGATCGTGCGCGCCTGACTTCTGCTGCGGCTCCCCCGAGCTGGCCTTGAGCTGCTCCTCGGCCGTCTTCCGCGCGAACTTTGTTGTTAACCGCGAGATCTTGGCGGCGGTGGCTAAGTCGAGCTTCTCGCCCCGCTTCAGCCTCTCCATCTCGTCACGCAGCTCGGTGGGTATCCCCGTCTTCTTGATCTCGTTCACTGCGTCCTGCATCGCCTGCTTCTGCGCCTTGGGCACGCCCATTGACACAAAAGCCACGAGCTGGTCGAGCAGCTTCTCTTCTTCTTCTGAAAGCTTCGACGTCCTGTCGCTGTTTTCGGGCGCAGGCTTCTCGGCCTGGCCCTTGTTGTCCTTTGCTACCTCATCCTGCTTCTTGTCTCTGGGTGGCTCCGGCGGGCCGGTGGCGAATAACCGCGAGTGCTGCTGGGCATATACGCACTGCGGGACTGGTATCCGCCTGCGGACGGCGAGGGGTGATCTGGATGCGGCGCGAAGGTTAGGTCGGGACAGTCGCGCGATTTGGCCAGAGCGGCGAAGAAGTGTGGACATTGCGGGACTGGAGGCGGAGGGGGAAAGGTGGATGTATTTGCGCGCCTCTGCAGCCGGCCATGCAAAGGAGACGCTGGGTGATCTCAAAGTGGCGCGTAGGTGATGGGGCGACGGTCGGCGTTAGGCCTGGTGATGATGTAGTTCATCTTCGAAAATGCTCGTCCGAGTTTCGCCGCGGCAGATGACTAAGGTAGCCTCCAGTCATCGACGCGCTCCAGAACCATCCACTCTTTGTTATGCATCATGTTTGCGTAGCAGATGGCTGCGGCTTCTTGAGATGATAATGGTCTTCAAAAAGCATTGCGGCTGCAAATGGTCCGCTGCCTTGCGGAAAGAGGCCACTGCCCACAACCTCAGTGGCGGTCATAGCTAGGGAACCGTAGCCCCGCAATACCCAAGTGCCATGCACCAGGAAAACCAAGCTGCAATATGGTAGAGAAAGCCCACTGCAGCCTTAACGCAACGCTCTTTGCGGCAAACTGTGGTCGCTGCGAAGCGGCGTCCGTGTTCATCGGGAATCTTATGATTGGATTGGTTGGTACCCATGCCTCCTGTTCTTTCCCTTCCAGACCAACGAGTACGTCGCGAACTACCTCCGCACTTTTCTTCTCTAGAGCCTATAGACGTGCCACTGCAATATGAGAAGGCAAACATGCGTTGTCTATCACATACCCATCACCAATCGTAGCCTCAAACAGTGCCAAGCCTGCTGTCATCATCGTATCAGGCATACAGGCACGCGCGTCACTCCACTCCAGCTCCCCATATCACCACCCAGGCTGAGCATCCTGCAGGACAGAGTCCTCTGCATACTATTACGCGCGTAGCCTTGCATCGGACTGAACATTAGCTGCACGCTGTTACTCGTCGACTAACCTACACTCATCTTCCTGCAGCTTTGTTTAACATCATGGGTCGCTGGGCAGACGCAGACAGCGTGCGTCCTCTACAGAACACCACACACTACAGCTGCTAACAAACCCAAGGATGCAGAGCGCCTCCCTGAAGGCTTCCAACGCATCGGCTACGACGCTGACACCGAAACCTACACCTTCCGCGCCCCGGACGGGCAAATCTACGAGTCCGCCCCAGGTAACCGCTATGGCGAGCTCTACCCGCAGGGCCAGCGGCCGCTCCTCTCGGCGCCCGAAGTCGAATACAACAACGCGCAGCTCAAGAAGAGCAACCGCGAAAGCGTGAAGATGCTGCTCCCGTTCGCACTCCTCGTCGTTGTCTTCCTCCTTGTCATGTTCAAGTTCCTGGGTGGCGCTGGCGGGTCGCAGGCTGATCAGGAGCTTCCACAGGTTCACTGTGCTCAAGGCACTGCTGCTGTTCAAGTCAAGGAGGGACAGACGTGTTGGGAGATCGGAGAAGCGTATGGTGTGGGTGTAGAGGAGCTGTTGCAGCTGGAGGGGAATGAGGGGGTGGACTGTGATAAGTTGGCGATCGGGCAGGGCGTTTGTGTGCCTGCGTGAGAGGTGGCATGTGTTGCATGGTACCTATTAGCACTGCGTGGGACGCGCCAGTGCATCGCGCATGCTCAAAATGATATGTGAGAGCCTGGGTAACTGAGGAGTTTTGCAATGCTATTCAATGGATTAACCTGCTTCGAAGAAGGGGATCATGACTATAAGTTTGACCTTGGATCGAATGTGTATCGGACTGGATCATCTGGTTGCATGTTCTGCCGTCAAACAACCCTCCTGTGAGTGGCCAATATGACATCCGCCGACCCACCATCCCCAATCAAGACAGCTCACGCCAAGCTTTTCCATCTTCAAGCTCGCCGTTTCCACCTCGATTCACACGCCCGAACCCGCCCACAACACCCCCCGCTCCCGCACACTCTCTCGCCGCTCAATCGCATACACAATCACCATGGCCGGCGGATCCACATCGAACGGCGCACGCGTCAAAGCCACGTACGTCCCCGCATGCCTTGCACCGCACCCCCGGAACCACGACGCCATCAATTGGCATCGCAATTGGCGCCGCAGCGGCATCCCGCACACACCCACGCGCTCAGAGCAAGGAACGACACCGCTAACGTGAGCGTGTAGATGGCACATCGGCGGCTGGGGCAACCCCTACGAGGGCGGCGGCCAGCCCGGCAAGGGCATCGTGACGTACGGTCTGTCGTCGAACCGCCAGCGCCCGTTCGCCGGCTTCTTCACCAAGGGTGTCTGGAACTCCGTTAGGCGGGTGCGCAACCAGGTGCTGTACGTTGTGCCGCCGTTCATCGTGGCGTACAGCGCGATGCAGTGGGCTATCGAGAGGTGAGTGTTGCGAGAATCATTCCTTTGGAGGCGAGAGGAAGAGGGCACTTAAGTGGGCAGTAAAAGTGGAGAGATTCTTAGGACGGAATATGGATGCGGACATGGGAAGCCGGACCCTGAACTGATTCGTGCCACAGGAACGAATACCTCAACTCCAAGCAGGGCCGTGCCGAGTTCGGCGACTCAGAGGAGTAAGCGTTCTCTGAAGAAAGAGCTGGATCGATTGGGTGGTCACGGACTGTATGAATATAGTGTTCCAGAGGGACAGTCGGCGCTGGTCGAGACAATTCTGTGGGAGCTGGCGAATCCGAATCCCTCACATCAACCCGCTACCGACCGGACCTCTGCGACCGCAAGACTGAGCAACTGCATCCTGTGTATAGATTTCATACGACTATTTCCGAAGCTGTTTGCGCCGCGTGGCCTCGGTGAACCTGCAGTCGTCCATGGCATGCGTTCTACTAATTCTACAATTCTAGCATCAGATATTGCTATTACTTCATTCGAGATACTCGCTACGAGAACCCTGACTCCAATTCCGTTGAATGGCTCTCGCCAATGCGGCCAATGTGTTCCCCTCCGATAAAATGCGGGGTTCGGAACCTTCTCCACTGCCAGTCGCTTATATCCAAATGACCGGGCCCATCTACCCAAGCCGTCGCCTTCCCAACGTCATTGCTCCCTCCGAGCCTATATCTAGATCCCGTCTTTCTGTCCTCTGCTTTGTCTGTGTTAACATCACAAAAAAATGCCCGGCAGACTCGACGCCAAAGTCGCCATCGTCACCGGTGGCGGATCAGGTTTCGGCGCCGGTATCGTGAGGAAGTTCGTCGAGGTCAGCTCTAAATCGTCTTCCATCGCTACCCTACCCGCTCCCTCGCCCTGTCCTGCCGATCTCTTGCACCCCTTTCTTTGACCTTCGCAGCTACACATACGTAACATTCTCCGTCCTCATCACACCTTAGCTTAGAGATAGGTAGGAAGGCGCACGCGTCCTCATCTGGGACATCGCTCCCGCTCCTGCTTCCACACTCTCTGCCTCCCTTTCTCCCGGCAGCACAGCCGTGTTCACCGGCGACGTGTCGCGGCATGAATATTGGACTGCCGCGCTGGAATCTTGTGTACAGACGTTCGGCACGCTGGATATCTTGGTTAATAACGCGGGCGTGGTGCACGTTGCTGGCCCGAGTCATGAGGTCGACGAGGATGAGGCGGACAGGATGTGGCGCGTCAACGTGAAGCCTTTGCTTCACTCCGCGCGGGTTGTCGTATCCCACTGGATCGACAAGGGGATCAAGGGCGTGGTGGTCAATCTGAGCAGTGTGTCTGCGATCAGGCCGAGACCGAGGCTGGTGTGGTACGCAGCTAGTAAGGGCGCTGTGACGACCGTACGTCTTCCTTTCTGAGGCACAAGCAGGTATGATTGACAGGAACAGGCGACACGGGGTCTAGCCGCTGAATATGCGGAGCATGGTATACGGTATAACTGCGTGCAGCCTGTGTTGGGCGAGACGGCTATGTAACACCGCCTTCTCGTTTCTTCGAAATCTTCTGTTTTGACAAAATATATCTAGGGTCGCGCCCGTCCTCGGCGGCATCGACACGCCTGAAGGCCGCGCCATCCCGCTGGCAGGCATTCCGCTGGGAAGGCTGAGCACGCCGGAGGATATTGGGGCTGCGGTGTGTTATTTGGCGAGTGCGGAGGCGGGGTTGCTCACGGTGAGTTTAATACTACAGATGATGGGGAGGAAAGGTGGGAGTGGGCTAATGTGTGGGTAGGGCGTTTGTTTGGATATTGATGGGGGGAGGAGTCTGCTGTAGGGTGTAGGGGAAAGATAAGTCCTGGGGTATGTGTGATTGAATGGGACATCTGGAGTCAGCCGGGGGCGTATTTTGATGAAGTAAATCTTTGACTCTATACCAAGGTGCAGAGGTGCAGGGGAGTAGATTCTTCTGCTTGGAAGAACATTCGAAGAATGTCATGGAAAGGTGTGATGACGCGAGCGGTGATAATAAAGTGGTGTGTGGGTCGGTTCCTGCCTCATAGTACTGACCTATACGACACTATAGCATGATTATCTGATAACCAACACTTGTATGAGAAATTGCTAAGTAGTTAAGTGTTGCTAAGCCGATGATTTTCGACTACTAACCATAGGATATCACAGCAACCGCCATCTAACATTCACACTTATTGCTTCTCAAGCCTAGTTTATACGCACAGCTCATGAGGTTTAAATAGACGGTGCCTGTACGCTAGTTGGCTGAGGACGTAAGCCCAATCAGATGGCTCGTACGAAGGGTCACGAAGAAGCACCACATTATCTTGGTCCTTCCCCCGATTACGATGAATCTAGACGCATTGCTTCTTTGATTCAAACCATGCCTCAAGATCCACCTGATGTCTCTCCATCAATTCCAGAGGTCTTTCGGAAGTCAGCCTTACGACCACAACTCAAGGACCAGGCTGAACAAATAGCGAGATCGAAACCTCGTCAGGCTTTCATGCAGGTAACAGTGCTTAGTTGTACAAGTACGGAATGTAGGGTTTGGCTGGTCACATGATGACGTTCCCGGGTGGCTAGCTGCAATCCAATTAGCGTGTAAAAGACGTGACCACGACTTCCACGCGCGCCACTCACTCTCTCGGCCGCATTACTTCTGCCCACCACTTTCGGCGCGAGTCCTTCCCCACACACGTGCTCAAACTTTCCAGGGTGCTGTCCAGGGGCCACGCCTTCTGTCTTCGGCAGGGACAACGGCTTCTTTCCGCAACAGCTTCAGACTGGCGATGCAACTTACTCCGCTCATTCCCAATGCAGGTTTTGAGGAGGCCGATTTGATCTTGCGGTAGCTACGTTAGTTATGGCGCGTCACTCTCTTGTGCAGCGCGTTGCGTCGCCCATCCAGTCTGTTGCTCCACTTGCGCCTAAGAAGCCCACCTGGGTTTATAGACATGCAGGCCCTAGCAAATCGACCTACATCCGATCCGGCCGCTATTGGAGGTTGCCAGATGATGTCATTGCGAAGCTGCACATCAAGAGCTCAGATTTCAGCGATCTGTACCGATTCTTCTACGAACCCACGTTTACATTCGACTACAGCGTCAACTATCTGAAAACGAAACAAGACCTGTGCATGTATTACTTTGCTTATGCTCAGCATACTTGTAAACATCGAATCCTGGAATCCAATCTACGACGAACGCGGGAACGACTTGATCGCGCGGTCACACCAGAGCGGAAAGTGCTGTCTTATCTGTGTGCTTTTTACGAACGCGAGCTTGAGGCATCAAGGTCTCTTGATCCGTTCCGAAGATTCGTAGCCGCACAAGCTATTATGGATGGTTGCCTCAGCACCGTTACAAATCTATGGTCGGGTAGTGCTCGAGAGCGAGTGCTACATCTTCAAAGCAGTATGAACCAGGTGTCCTTCCATACAGAAAGCATTCTGAATGAGATCATGCTGTCTCGTGCACCTCTCATTCATGCCGGACAACGCTATGATATCCATATGCAGAAATTCCACGAAGTCTTCCAACACCATCGCACACTGCTACAAAAGACGAACAATGATAGGAAGCACGCGAAACTGCAAGCAAAGAAAGAGATTGGCGGTCAACACAGGTACGTCGGATCTCTTTTGTTGATCGGGATTAGCCAGACCAGTATCTGGGTTGTTCCCGTGCCAGACAGCAGTGATTTCTCTGTTGCTCAGGCCAGTCGAAGTCTAGAATGAGCTGTTCTTTGTTGATAAGAGAACGGACCAAATCGAGAGTACTCACCACTTCTAACACAGGAAGACGCTCTCGCTGCTTTGGGTAGAATTGACATGTTCTCAGATTTAGATTCAGCGCCCACTCCGAATTAACACGCATCACGCAGCAGAAACAGCTGATGAGACTCGAAAACTCCACGCTCGAGGCGCTGCGTAGCCTCGCGCACGAAGAACCCAACATGTGGCCAGCACTTGCTGTTTTTGCTTCTACTACCTATCAGACTCATTTTCGCGCTTTGAAACTTCTCGGCCAGTTTTTGACCCAGAACTATCGGTACGCCACAAGAAATTCTATTTCAGACTCCGAATTCAGGTTCAGGTTTTCATTGTGGGTCAAAATGCAAACTTGCTATGCACGGCTGTGCGTTTTGAAATCGGAACTCGACCACTTACGTTTCGGGTTTTATGAGCTTTCACTGTTTCGTACGATGCACACGGACCTGGTGCTTCCCGCAGGCATCATCAAGAGAAGCCAAGATATAGTGGCTTTGAGAATCAACTCTGAACGAGCGGCAACAATCAACGATTGGGCCATAGCAGAAAAGTTCACGAAGAGCAACGAGCAGCATCGGATTCTTCCCCATATAAAACGTCTCCCACTCCAGCTACAACACAAATTGGAGCCAAAGAACCTTCAACGAAGCGGTCTTTTTAGGCTCCTTCGGGAAAGCGGTCTTTTTGAAGGTCACAAAAGGGCAAGTCTCCCGCACAAAGGGCGCACGCGGACACAACCCATTCAGCATCCGACGGGGCTCAAGCACACGGATTGATCGGACCAGTGGGTCAAGCAAGCGCACTCATCATCGAGGATAGTCCAAGGTCCAAGGGATTTCCTTCCGGACGCAACTCTCACCACTCGTGGCCAACCAATAGATTCTCCACTGACCAGGCGCTTCCAAGGGGACGCTCGACAAGAGGAAGGGCCAGGCAAGCGCACCGCCGGAAAGAGAACAGCAACCCACCACACGCCGCGTAGTGAGGTAGACGACCTCGCCAGCGCAAGGTCATTAGCGGGCTTCCATGCACCTCGGGTCTCTGACCTCGGTGTACCAATGCTGGAAGCTAGACCTGCAGGCTCAGCTGTTCCGAGGCTTTTCTACGGGGTCGGAAGACGGCGACAGGCGAGTGGGAAGGGGCATGTCGAGAGAGGAATTCGGGCTCGGGAAGAAACAAACTTCGACGAGGGAAGAGCAATGTCTGCATGGTAGATGTAGAATCACGCGGACGCACAGAGGTCGAAGTTGGCGTGTGAACTTGACCCGCCGCCTCGCTGCGCTTTGTGACAGCTTTCACGCCCAGGATTTCTAAAGGACTCCGCTGGCCAGTTGTCTTTCACGCAAGCATGTAGAGAACAATCGAGGTTCCAAAGGGCCGTCTTGGCCGGCCTCGGGCAGTCTATTCTCTAGCACATGACGAATTCGTTGTATTTGATAGCTCAGGCCACCCAAGCCAAGTAAGTGGTGATGGACGTCCCACACTCTCCAACGCCCTCCCTCCAAAGCCAAACAACGCCTTGCTGAATGCATCCGCAGCACAGCTATGCAAAAGTAGTATAGTACAGTACAGGTCTTGATACACGTCGGCGGATATGTACGCTCGCCACTCCACGGCTTCCTGCTTTACTTTATCTCCTTCTCGAGCATCTCCTTGGCCTCGTTGACTTTGGTCGCGAGATAGGGGCTCCCGCCGCGATCGGGGTGGTTCAGCAGCATGAGCTGGCGGTGCTTCTTGCGCAGGAGCTCCTTGGTGACGCCGCGTTCGCTGTGGCGCGATTAGCATCGATCTCATCGGGTCTCGCTTGCCGTCGTGGTACTCTCGGATGCGGTCCAAGATGGGAGCAGGGAGCACATACGGCATCTCCAGGATGAGGGCTGCCTCCTTCCGCGTCATCTTGGGCTCGAACCCGCCCTTGTAGAAGCCGCGGCCCAGCGCGCCTGCGCCTCCGCCCGATCGTCGCAGTGCGACGAGACCCGCGCGGCCCTGTGGTTGTCAGCAATGCATCCATCTCTGCGCGTCCGCGGCGGCTACGCACGAAGAAGGCGGCGGCGCCGAGCCCGATGCCCCAGACCCAGAGCGACATTCCTGGTTTCGCCGGCGGCGGAGGTTGGTGCTGTGGCTGCGGGGCGGCGTACGTGGGGATCTGCTGGTTCTGCGTCGACATGCGTGGTGGTGCGCTGCGCGGGCGTTGGGGATGCAAAAGTTGACGGGCGACGGCGAGCAGCGCCAGGGTGCGCGCCGCCGGGCCAATCGGCGGCGGCGAGGCTGCGTGTGGGGCGCCGAAATCTTGGCTTCGAAAATAAGTTTCCGCTTCACCAGCGCGACCTGCCCACCACCACCCGGTGCGAGAGATCCCCCCGCCAGCCCGCGGACCCCCCAGCCATGAGGATCGAGACGTGCTACTTCTGCTCCAGCCCGGTGTACCCGAGCAAGGGCATCACGTTTGTCCGCGTAAGACACGGCGCCGGAGCCACGCACAGCGCCCGCTAACACGCCCCAGAACGATGCCCGCGCCTTCCGCTTCTGCAAGAGCAAGTGCCACAAGAACTTCAAGATGTGCGACGCCCGCCCCCAGCCCCCAGCCCCTCTGCCCCTCTGCCCCCAAGCACGTGAAATCTAACAGGCCCGACCAACAGGAAGCGCAACCCCCGCAAGCTCGCCTGGACAAAGTCGTTCCGCCGCGCCCACGGCAAGGAGATGACGGTCGACTCGACCCTCGCCTTCGCCGCCCGCCGCAACATCCCCACGCGCTACAACCGCGACCTCGTCCAGACCACCCTCAAGGCCATGTCGCGCGTCTCCGAGATCCGCGCCCGCCGCGAGCGCGCCTTCTACAAGGCCCGCATGCGCGGCAACAAGGAGCGCCAGCGCGCCGACGACAGGAAGCTCGTCGAGGAGAACCAGCACTTGCTGCCGCCGAGCGAGCGCTTCGCCGTGGTGCCGCCCGAGGAGGAGACGATGGAGGTGGATGTGGATGCGGTCAAGGAGAAGGTCAAGGCGAGGAGGAAGGAGATTGCCGAGGATGAGCTGAGCGAGGACGAGCTGGAGGTGCCCAAGACCAAGGTCAAGAGCAAGAGGAAGTTGAAGATGAAGGTCGGCGGCGGGACTGAGGCTATGGATGTCGACGAGTAGGTGGAGAGAATGAGAGGGAGTGATGGGGTCAGCGATATGGAGAGGGGCATCGCATTGGGCGTTAGGCGTCTGGGAAAAACTCGGACAAAGCATGTCATGCTATGAATCGGATACCAATTCAGCGGTCATTCACTTCACGCTCTTGTGTCCCACCCTGCACCGAGCATCTGCAGTTTCCGACTGTCCGACCTAACCCGCACGAACTACTGATTTGCTCCAGCTTCCGAGCGTATTTTGCGTTCCAATCCTCCATTCTTATTCTGGCGTGCTCGTCGCTATAGCACAGCACCCCGTGCCGCCCTCCCTACAGAGACTATGTTCCATCCGTTCGTTCACGGTTCTTTCCCCAAAACTAGAAGTCGACCACATCTACGTTGTATCCCCACCCGACGCCGAAGGCCCAAAGCAGCAGACAGTGCAACAGCTGCCCCGTCAGCCGCTAGACGGCAAATCTCACGGCCCGACAGTGGGCTTCTTGCTCGCGCGCGTGTGGTGAGTCTCGCTTTCCTTTGCCCACACTCGTCTGCGCAGTCCTTTTCTCCTGAACTCGAGCACCGTAGTATACTGACATGTGTAAGCGGCAAAGCACTGGTCTGTCTTGAAAAGAAGGAAGAAAAGAAAAATCAGCTAGCGCGGCGTCGAGTCCGCATCGCCAACTCGCGTGGCTCTTTTCCATGCGAGCGTGCGTGCGCAGGGCCAAGTACGGAGCGCGTTGGTTTCTTCCCTCGCGTTGCGGGGCACGTCCACTGCTTCCACGCCGGGCGCGGCAGCCGACGAGCTTTTTCTGTGCGAGCAGTCTAGTGGGCATCTGAGCGGGGCCACTCGTACCAAACGGACAAGTGCACACGGTCCATGCAGCGACTCTTCATCAGCCCTACAAAAGGTCCACATCACTGCGCCTTCTATCCACCCGGCATCACGCATTGCACACTGCCCTCGCTAATGCTCATGGATGCATTCTGATTCGTTCATTCTTCTCGTAACTTCATTGATCTAGGATGGATCCAGTCTAGTCTAAATACACTATCCCTCTATTATATCTTTACAAGTACACAGTCTTGGTGACTACCTCGCACGCCGACGCAACACCGCCCACGTACCCGGGAGCCGGTGCTTGGGAGACAGCGGGAGCGGGCGCAGGGGCAACGGGCGCGTTGGGAGCTTCCGGAGCCTTGGGAGCCTCAGGTGCCTTGGGCGCGTTGGGCGCAGGAACCGGCACGGCGACGTAGCCCTGGGTCTCCTGCGGGGGCGCGACACCGCCGGCGACGGTGGAGACTACGTGCACCGTGGACGTGACAGACACGACGGTGAGGATGGTTGTCGGGACAGCCGGCGCGTAGCCGCCGTCAGCGAGGGGGGAGCTGGCCGAGACAACGGTCCGGATGGTGGTCGGGTAGACGACGGCGGACCCGTTGATGATGGGGAAGGGGGCGGGGGTCGCGATGGAGGCGATGGTGCTGTTGGCGTAGTGAGGGACGGCGATGGAGGAGGCATTGGCGCCGCTGGGGGTAGCGATTGCGGATTGGGTTGCACCAATGGAGGTAGCGATGGAGACGGCATTGGAGGTGCTGTTGGCGGCAACGGGGCCAGCCGCTGATGAAGCAGTGGTGGCTCCAGCGGAAGCAACCGAGGAGCTGGTGGCATCGCAGAGAGCGGCGGCAGCATCGACCTTGCCAACGACCCAGGTCGCGGCGTCGTCGGTGTAGAGGTCAAAGTAGTTCAAGTGCTGGGTGACGTTGTCACCGCCAGCGCAGATGGGATCACCTGCCGCGCAGTAGTTGCGGAGAACAGACGCATATGCCTGGAGACGCGCAAGGCTCTCGGCATCGCGGCCTGCAGCCTGCAGAGAGGATCCGTCGAGGACGTTGTAGGACTGGTCGGCAGCGTGTCGGGGATCTCCCCATACGACGGCAGCAGCAATGGCCTGTCCAGCAGCAGACGTGGGATCAATTCCAGTGGTGAAATCCGAGCACCCACCGCCCGCAAGCGTGTCGCCCACAACGTTGGCTCCCTCCGAGTACCCACCGATCACAATGTGCGTGCAGGGGCATTGCGCCTGGTATGCAGTGATCTGTGAGATGCCGTTGGTGCTGCCCTCGCTCACTTGCGCGCACCAGGGGCCGCCGAGCGTTACGTCAAACTGGATGTCGATGTAGTCGCAGGTATTGCCCTCAGCAACGATCTTGGCGCAGGTAGCATCAAGGAACGGCGTGGTGCGGCCGTCGTGGTAGTGAGCATCGTTTCCACGAGCGAAGAAGATGATTGTGTCAACGCATTCCGCGGTGAGCTTGGGAGTTTCGCTGGCTTGCGCGGCAACGAGGCCGATAGCACCAAGAGCGAGAAGAGCGAAAGACATTATTTTATGAGGATGCCTGTATATAGGCAAACGAGTGTGGGAGTGAAACGCGAATAGTCAGAATATCAGTAAGGATATAAGGACAAGAGTAAGGTGTGGAACGACTGGGGCAACGAAGAGAACTACCTTTAAGGCAACTTCGCATCGCAGCACAACTGAGCCGAGATCGCTCCACGGCAAGCGCTCAACGGTTCACTACGTTGGTGTGTAGAATGACGGGTGGGCTTGTGTGCGGTGGGGTTTCCAATATTGGACGTGGGTACCTGTGGCCGGGTTCCGTGGCAAGGACGAGACTTCATACTCGGCTCTAGTAGTTGTCACGATGACCAGGCATCAGGGCCGAATGCTCACAGGACTTAGCGGACCTGGTACTGATGCACTCCAGGATACGCCGTCTTTGCAGGGTGAATTGCGGACATTCGTAGATCCCGCATGCTTGTCTCAACAGACATGTTAGGATATTGTTCGAAGGATTTTGTTCTCATCGTTTATCGTGAGGTCCAGATAAAAATCTTGTGGACCAAGGTTGCACATTTGCACTGGTGAGTTCATAGCGTGACATATCTGGCTTCGAGTATCGACATCCCGAAGACATATTGGCGAAGCACCATTATGGTCGCAGCCCTACAGTACGCCGGTAGAAACCGTTTGCGAGGTGCCTGAAAATCTTGCTCGGTAGGTACCCGCTCACCTAGCCTGATAAACCGGGATACTTGCCCCTCAAATCAGACGCGAGTCGTCCTGGTACCTCCATAAGCGCGTCAATGCCCTCCCGGCTCGTCCGAAAGGACCGCAAGGAGTCAGGACTCCTCGCACAGACTAACGACAAGACTTCGAAAGCAACCCATGCTTGCGCTGATTCCAGGTATTAATAGCACCAGTTCGCACGGTTTCCGCGCGGTCCATAGTACCGCGTTCATCCTCCTGAATCGCGGAGCTTAGCTGGCCGGATCAATTGAGAGACAGTTTGGTACGCGTTGTGTATAGTATGGCGTGGAAGGGTGCCGTACGTGGCGATATGGGAAACTTCTGTTAGTTTGACATTGGGATGATGCGTTGAAAGCAGCTAGCGTGACTAATGGCCTGGTGACGTCACGTGGAGCCTTATGCCATTAATAGATGGGCCAGCGACTCATCGCACGCGAGTGCTGTCGATAATCATCGTGTGGGTTCCATTGCTAGCATTCATGCCTCACTCCATACAGCTTCACTTCTTCTCATGTCATGTCGAGCAGCTGTTTGATAGCTTGATTCTACTGTTTGATGTATTAATGTCACCCTTTCTACCAACACACAATGACTGTCGTCACCTACTGCTGCAGGATTTCGTTTTTTGAAAGGAAGATCCTGACCGAGTGTTTGGCTGCAATGCCGGCTTACATTTTCGATTTTTACATGTAGTCTTCTTCTAAAATAGACAAGCTGCATCATCCATCAACTTTACCATGCATAGTTGCAGCAAAGGACTTTGAAACACATCTGACACAGACATTCCCTGCTGCACACATACAGATGCTTCCATATCAGCTAGTCGTACTCAGTGGCATATAGGTTTTGTCTCGCACACCATTTTCAGGAATGGTCAAGAAACGTCGCCTCGCTCGAACGGAGCCTCGGTTTCTCGAGCGGGGTGGCGTACTTCGGCCCAGTGGGGTAAATGACAATTCTCTACCACAGCACCTACGTATCAAGGTGATTTACTAAATATCAGCATCTTGACGCACTGAGAATTGCGCGACACACGACTCTGATAATGCAACCACCTGCTAATTTGCCTATTGTCCTCTTTGGATATGCATGTACGTCTGAATGGAGTGAAAACCAACGCGCGTGCTAATGCCCTATAAGCAAGCCCTTTCACGAACAAAGTCCGTCTGGCGCTGCGTTTGAAGCAAATACCTTTTTGTTCGAATATTCCCTTGTCTCAAAGTCCCGTCGCCAGCAAGGCTTATTCTTCACAGCATACGTCCCTGTCCCGTCCATGCTCCCCCGCCCCCTTCTGACAACTACATTTGGTTTGTCCTATCGTAAAATACCAATCCTCGCAATCGGAAAGGATGTTTACTGTGACACATCGCTCATTATCGAAGCTCTCGAGCATTTTTTCCCGCCAAGCGATGGCTGGGGCACTATTTACCCTCCCAGTTCCATCCCTGGCTGGAACTACCGAGGATATGCACGCGGCTTTGCGAGCTTTTGGACAGATGTACGTATGCACATTTTCAAACATCAGATTAAGGGGCAGCACTAGCCAAAAGGAGACCTCTCCATCGCGTGCTAATGCTGATGAAGAGACCCTTTTTCCGCACTACAACAGGCCTTATCCCCCCTTCCGTGTGGGCGTCCCCTTTCGGCACCGACCGTGCTCAGCTCATCGGGCACACGCTCGACCCGGCAAAACTCGCCGCGAAGGTCCCGCAGAATCTCGGGGCGTTCGAAACGCATCTGAGCCTTTTGGAGCCAACGCTCAAAGACAGTAGTAAGTGGCTCATGCCAACAGAGGCGCCGAGTCTTGCAGACATAAGTGTCTACTACCAGCTCAAGTGGGGTATGGACATTGCACGGGGAAAAGGCGTGTACAACCTCACAGGTGGGAATGTGGGCGAGGACGGAGAGGATATCGCGCAAGTTGTTTTCAATGAAGAACGGTATCCTGGGGTATGGGCGTGGTTCAATCGCTTTGAAGCATATATTTCCTCGCTCCCGGATCTGCAGACTGAGATCACGTCCGCAGACACGCGCTGGAAGGAAGACATTCGGCGTATGGAGGGAGAGGCGTCGCTGGGTCTTGTGCCCACACCCGCAGGACCGAACAAGGAACTTGATGGGAGGAGAGGCCTTGTGGAGGGCGTGCTGGTCAGCGTGGTGCCAGATGACACAGGCAAAGGGAATCCGACAGTAGGTACGCTGATGCATGTTGGGGTTGAGGAAATCAGTATCAAGCCCGAGGAGAAAGGCGAGGTACATGTCGTTGTACATTTTCCGAGGGTAGGTTTTGTGATCAAGGGCATGGAAGGAAGCAGGTTGTGATTGCTTGTATATTGGAGGACGCAGACTCACAAATGAGTGAGTGATGGAGGTTCTTTGGAGGGTTATTATCGCTGTCAAGGCGCTGTGACTCAATCGTCATAGCTGTAAAGGCGCACAAGTTGTAATGGACTCGAAAAATCTACACTCATCCATTATATCGGATTCTACCTGCTTGATGTCCGAGTTTCCCTCGGGTCGTTGCTGGATCCCGAGACGGGCGGCCCAGGGCGTAAGGCACACCTGTTCCACATCCTTTGACGTCACTCCGAAACTCGCTCAGTGTTTTAGTACCTGGGGATTGGAGCATATAGTGGGGAATCAATCAAGCAGAATATGTAAAGATCATCGTGGTCTACGCCCGTGGCACTTACCACTTAGGGGACCCGCTACGTGAAAACGCCGATGTAACCCAGCGAGCCGGCTTCTATTCTATCGCACGAAAGTCCGAAAGCAAGCATGATTCCCACAGTGTAGGCAAGATCTTCCAGAAAGGGCTGGAACGACATATTTATTACTGGATGGATAATGTACAAACGTATGTAGGCGGAGAACTCAGGCGGTGTGGGCACTCTTTCACCACAAGCATATCCTTGCTGGCAAATAGCTTTTAGGATTTCCAAAAAGCACTTTATTGCCAATAATTTCAGGAGCTTGCACAAGGCCTTCGCGGAAAGAAGGACCAGCAGAGGATTTAGAAAGGTAACGCGGTGGTATACAGCGAAATCGATTCTGGAGCGATTCGGGAATCTGCAGCCTTGTAAACAAAGTAACCACTTCGTGAGTCTTGACACTGGACTGTGAAAACCTCCCATAAGACCAATCGTGCATATAATACACCTGTTGTGATCTTTCGTGACTTCTACGGGATAGAGTAACGTGACCTGCTTTACTGCATGACGCATAAACGGGCGATAAATAAGACTAGTATATAAATGTTTTTGTCGATGATGTTCTCGCTTGCAGTTACTTCTTCCTCCGTACGGCAGATCCCCCAGATCCTACCGTACGGAAGGAGCCATGCAGGAACCAAACTATGGGGCTTGAATGCACCTGATTTGCCGATCTCGGTCTTTGTTTTCCAATCACTGTTCCCGATCGACAGTGTGAGGCTCTACGCTGCCCGACTCGTACGAAAATAAAGTCGAGCACTTGAAACAAGCTCCCGGCTAGCCTAGGCACGTCGCGTCAGCTAGTTTATACCGAGTTCGCCGCTGGGGCCAAGTTTGAACGCATGGGGCCAAACCAATCGCACTTCCCAGAGGTAGCATGACCAGCCCTAAAACTTCACAAGATACGTAAGAAAATCCTCCGTTTGCGAATACATCTCAAGCTCTCGGCTATCGGGTTGGCGATCGTAGACTCGAGGCTTGTGGCACAGTGCTGGCCTGACCTCCGCCGTTACAGCCCCGTGAGCCTGTGCTGAGGCTGTGACGTCAATCTGGAGAGGAGAGCCGCGTGATGGTGGTATCATATTGAATCTCCAAAGTTTAGCATCATACATAGGGATTGAAGGATTGTGAAAGGTGGAGAATGATCAAGTGGTGGGCCTCACGCGAACGTACTGCACAACTATTTGAAAAGCTCGTAGGTGGTAATGTGTCATAATCAGGCAATGTGGTATGATTCTTGAAGATCAGTCAGTTCTTCCTGAGCATCTTCCTTGTGGGTATGGCATCCGCGCGAGAGTCGACCCTGTACAGTCTGTGCTCTCAGACAAAGCATTCATCCGACAGACAATCAACATGACGATCGCAGTCTTCCTACTATTTCGATCATCGCTGTACAACGCATAAGCCTGTAGACACGAGGCATACATCATCTAATCTTAGCATGCCGAAATGCTATAAGTACCCCCTCAACTGCCCCAAAAATCCATTATCACAAACAGCACAATCTCAATTTCCAATCAACACTTTAAACACTCAATTCCAACACCAACTTTAAGCTTCTCGCTTCAAACACCAAACCTTCAAAATGTTCTCCAAGACCATCATTGCCGTTGCCATCACCACCCTCTTCGCCACTTCGGCCATCGGCGCTGCCGTCGCACCCGCTCCTGCTGCCCGCGGCATTCTCATTGCGGCAAACCCAGGTTCGTATCCACATTCCGAACCACCACGTGTCGAATGATTTTCAGACTGACCCACATACAGACGCAGCCTGCAACTGCCCCAACAACTGCCAGCACAACAATGGAGATAGCTGCTCTTTCTACCGCGACGGTAACCAGCTTAACGGGATTTGCCAGCACACAGGCGAGGGCGGACGCCTCCTGTGCAATGCCTAATCGATGATGGTCTTGAGATAGAGATCCGTCGATGAGAACTTGGGAAAGGGGGAATGCAGAGGTCGGGAAAGAGAGTCATTACACTGTACTGCTAGAGAGCATTACTCATCACATTCGCTTGGTCTTATAGTTTTCTCGGAACAGAAAGAATTCAATATTGATAACTCCTAGGATCTTGTTTTTCCGTGAAATGCCTGATTTTCATTGAATACATGTTCCCTGAAGTTCAAAAACTAGTGAGGGCTTACCAAAGAGTGTCCTGCATCGTTCTATAACTGTGGGACATGTACGTGTTGAGCTGGATTTTGTTGCGTCTAAGTAGCTGCAGATCTGTTTATGCGCGGACTAATTTACTGTTTCCACAACCATGCACTGGCCTATGAGCAATGCTTGGTGAGTCATTACTGTCACTAATACTATACATGTATCAGAACCTCCAATCTATTGCTGGCACAGCTACCCAATTAGTCGATATAGGTGCATGCGTCCTACTTAGGTAATATCTTGGTCATAGAGTTGCACGGTGGTGACCTTTGCTCTGCCTCACTCTTTCGTGTTCGACCGAAAGTCAATAGCTCCGCGTTCACGATTACATAGCAGGACACACCTGTTGCACGAGCCCGACCACCTATGCATCGTGCTACGTCCCCGCGTCATAGTATCTTGGCACTTAATGATCGTCACGATTCGTCATTATACTTTATCCCCGCTATTGAAAAAGTGTTCACCTCGAAGAATTCCAATCATACGACTCCAGAGCTTCTTGAAGTCTTTGTTTTTACTATCTCCGACGTATCAAGAATGGTGAATTTGACAGCGACCCTCGCATCACTCATAGCGGCGAATCACATACTTGACTATCTCGATGTGCTTGACCCATTCGGCCATATCAGCGTGCGTAATCCCAACAACAACAACACTTTCTTCATCGCTCTCCAAATGGGCGCCGGTGTCGTTTCAAGTTTACAGGATATTGGAGAATACCTCATTTTGGACGGCTCGGGCGTTAATGGCACAGAAAGTGGATATGCGGAGCGATATATCCACAGTGAGGTGTTGAAGAGATACCCGGATGTCAACGCAGTTGTGCATAGCCACAATGAGGATGTATTGCCATATACGATAACTGGAAGCGTGAGCCTTGAGCCGACATATCACATGGCTGGTTTCTTAGGTACAACACTGTCGCCACGTTCTCATGGAGAGCTCACACTTACGAGCCACAGGGAACCATGTCCCTAACTTTGACATCCAGTCCGTATATAACGGTACCGACCCGCAAGATATGCTAGTCAACACTCCTCGTCTTGGTGCGGCCCTTGCTGCTGTCTTGGGAACTAATACTTCGAGACCGACTTCGCCGCTTTACACTACAGCATTACAGCGAGGTCATGGCTTTATCACGACAGGAAGCTCAATCGAACAGGTAACTGAGTTCGCGTACTACGCTACGAGTAGTGCACGGGTGCAAACCCGAGCAATTAGTCTGCTCTCGAGTTCAGGAATGGGCTCTCAGAACCCGCAGTATCTTTCTGTTGACGAGCGAAAAGATTCTAAGGACATGAACATCTGGATTAGGTACAAGCCGTGGAGGCAGTGGGTGTATCAGTCTGAGCGCAGCGGGATGTATAGAAACGGACTGGGGTCGCCACCGGTCTAGGGCTCAGATTACATGCAGGGCATATAGAATTCGAAATGGATCTAGATCAGTAAGTGAGTTCTCTGGATGATTAGTGAAAGACGACTTCCCAAACCCGCGCTAGCGGCTGTGGTATGCTAATCGTGAACATGTTCACTAATCGGGTCGAAATTAGACCAAGAGCATGGACACATTCAGCGGATGACAGATACGCTCGCAAATGATCCAAATGTTCAAGAACTCGGAAACTCAGCTCAGCTCTTAGATGTGGCTTCGTTGTGTCGCGTGCACGTTTACCTCAACGAGTTTCACTGTAGCACTCTATGTACCGGAGACTTTTGTTGCCGTTCGTTCCCGGTGATGAAGTCATTTCATAATAACTTATGACTTTCGGGCAACGTAAAGCATGGCTCGCGCTTTGTATACTATTCGCCTTGCACAAATTGGCGGCAATCTGGCTCCACCCATAAGCAGAAAGCTTCCAAGCACGACTTGTTCTAAAAATCGTGCCCAATCATGATATTTGATTACTTTGGAATATTAATGGTGTGCATCTAGCTAAATTCATGATCTTGCAGCACTGTCGTTCGACTAATCAGATTGCGATGTAATGGCGCGAAAAGTGTCTGACCATGGCACCTTCACGAGTCGCGGCACACTAACCCAGAATGTTCTTCGATAGTAGACATGTGACAAGCAAGATGATATAATCAATGACATCCGTCGTTAACACGGAGCTTTGTCATCTGCACAGTCAGGAGCGTCGTATTACATACTACGCAAACCCGGGACATATCTACGGATTTCCACGTGTGGAATAAGAGGCCTCTTAAGAACAGAGTTATGACTTCTCGTCAAAGTGGCTTCATAACTTAAAAGTCAAGTCTTTTAGGGACATAGTTCTCCCAACAACTTCCTAGGCTCGGAGGAAAATCCTTTACTGCCCAGAATTGGAAGCCACGATGGTGAACGCTATTATTCGCGACGCTCCTTTTGGCCAGTTAGTTCGGATTTTGACGGGAAATCGCATCTTCAAGTACGCAGAAGAAGATCCAAACTTTAGATTTCCCATCTCCTACGCTGTAGGCCGACCTGTTTCAAGACATGCCAGTGTCGTAAGCAGAAAGCCGACAAATCAGTTCACGGGACCTACGGATGCAGAGAACACCGAGAAGCAAGAGCTTCGAGATGACAGCACTTTCCAAACTCAGAAAGCAAGCATTGAGGAAACGGTTGAGGACTCTGTGAGAGACATGGAGAAGGTTGCGTCGGCCTCTACTAGTGTCACGGACTCGAGTGCAAGGCTTCGTCCTGTGTCATCCAATATCACACGAATAAAGTCACTACCATATACTCCTGAGAGGTTGCATCAAGACGAGCAGGCTGCGATAGAGCGAACAGAGTCAAGACCAATCGCACCGACCAAAACCGCAGACGGATTGATTCTTGTGGACTGGTACTCCACGGACGATCCGGAAAATCCGCAGGTGAGAAGCCTTGTGTAGTGAAATGAAGCGAGAGGCTGACAACAAATCGCAGAACTGGTCGTTCAAGAAGAAAATATGGACGGCACTCCTGATCGATATTTACACCTTCGTAGTGTATTGCTCAAGTAGTATCTACGTCTCTAGCGAGGAGTTGGTGCGAATCAGATTTGGTGTTGCACCCTTCAAGGCCTCTCTCGGCCTGGCTCTCTACGTCTTGGGTATGCTCCGAGGATAGATCGACTCCATGTAATGAAGACTGATATACTTTAGGGTATGGCATCGGTCCTTTGATTTTTGCTCCGTTATCGGAAGGTATGGATTGACCGTGAACTCAGAGTGCATCGCTCATTCTGTCTACAGTCCCGACTTTTGGAAGAAACATCCCCTACATTACGACTTTCGCTCTGTTCACTACCCTGGCTCTACCTGCTGCTCTGGTGGACAATTTAGGGGGCTTACTTGTACTACGTTTTTTCCTCGGCTTTTTCGGTAGCCCGTGTCTAGCTAACGGAGGCGCAAGCATGGGAGTATGCACTTCGAGTTACCCCAGACGCTTCCAGCTAACACTTCAAAGGACATGTTCTCGCTTTTGTATCTGCCCTACGCCATGGCGTTCTGGGTCAGTGCCGCCTTTGCCGCACCCGCCCTCGGTCCCTTGCTCTCCGGCTTCGCCGTCTACGCAGAAAACTGGCGTTGGTCACAGTGGGAGGTACTATGGATGGCTGGGCCCGTCTTCCTTTTGTTCTTCTTCTTCCTGCCCGAGACTTCGCCCTCGAATATTCTGCTCCATCGCGCAGCCCGTCTACGAAAGGCGTCGGGTAATGAGAACATTCGCTCGCAGACCGAGATAGAGAGGAAGGATACGCCACTCAGCACCATCATTCTCGAAGCGATCTGGAAGCCTATGGAGATCACATTCAAGGACCCTGCGGTACATCCTTTCCGCGTCTTAAAATAAGGGCACTGACTGACAGCCTGTCACAGATACTCTTCGTGAACATATATACAGCGTTGATCTATGGCATTTACTACAGTTTCTTCGAGGTCTTCGCACTTGTGTATCCTGTCATGTACGGCTTCAACGTTGGCAGAACAGGCCTCGTGTTCTTGTGCATCATTGTAAGTCGCTCCATGTCTCCACCCTTTCTTCATAGCAGGAACTGAAAACATCTCTAGGTTGGCTGCATTATATCTATGGCCATATACTTCTCTTACCTACACTTCTATCTAATTCCCGACGTACTCAAAAATGGCCTCCGTGCACAAGAATTTCGCCTTCGACCTGCGCTTATCGCTTGCTTTGGGCCCACAATTGGACTGTTCATGTTTGCGTGGCTTGCGAACCCTAGCATTCACTGGGTGGGCACTGTGGTCGGATGTACAATTTATGCGGTCACCGTGTATGTAATCATGCAGTGTATCTTCAGTAAGTAACGTGTTCCACCACGCATCCGCCCCCCCCCCCACCAGAATAAGCCTTACGTAAGCAAGGAGATGCTAATAATCACACAGCTTATGTCCCAATGTCCTACCCGCAGTACGCCGCGTCGCTTTTTGCCGGAAACGATTTTTTCCGCTCGCTATTTGCTTTTGGATCGGTTCTATTCTCGAGATCAATGTACGTTAATCTTGGTGTGGATAAAGGTTTAAGTCTTTTAGCTGGTCTAAGTGTCATGGGCATCGTAAGCATAATTCTAAGTGATAGATATGGATATGACTAACGAGGATAGATTGGAATGTGGGTGCTGTACATCTACGGAGCAAGATTGAGGGCGAGGTCAAAGTTCGCTGTTTCTTGAAAGCGAAGACCACGAAGGGTTGTCTTCGACTTGGCACGTTCTGGGCTCTGCTTTTGCATAAGTATGAGATGGGGATTGATTAGTGCGAGCCTGCGAGGACAGACCCTGCAAGACCGTGGAGAATGAAGCCAGCTTAAAAATGAAATTGGGCAAGAGGCCGGGTAAGATATCTGAGCGCGACGAGACAAGGCAGCAAGCAGTGGGGTGCAATGGATTATCATCGCAAATCTATCCTAGAAGATGCATAGCATACATATATGAATCGGCGTCATTACAATGCGATATGACTGCGAAGCACAGGGTTGCGAGGCTCCAGTCCACGTTTCTTCAATCCTGGAGTCTGTGGAAACGCGTCAAAGTCGGTTTCACATGTTGTGTTCTTCGGAGGCAGTTCGCCAGTCTTGAAATACTTCTGAACATATGAAGAAGTGCAGTTCGAGGAGGTGACCACAAGACCGTGTCCAACAGCGTCTTGGAGTAAAATTGCCGATCCCTCGAAGTATCCAGCCATCAGTTCAGCAGAACTCGTTACTGGATCGAGGACGTTGTCAGCAAAGAGGATGGGCGTGCTCGTGTTAATTCTTTTGAAGCCCGGGAACAGCTGACTTTTGGGCGGTGTGATATTTAGGAGTCGGCATTGCGGGACGACAGCTAATGGCCAGGTGTCTCCGAGGTATGTGCTTATCCTCTTCTGCTCTGCGAACAGGTCAAACAGTGCCTCCTCGCTACCATTGAAACTCTTGTTGTTGTCGTTGCAAGCGATAACTTGCTTAGGTAGCACAGTGTCCGTCCCCGTCCCGCCTGGCAGATAGTCGCATTCACTAGTTGGTGCAACACCTTTCACCAAAAGTGCAGCAGCCAGGGAGCCGTTCCGATGCTCGAGACCATCGGCGACCGTCGCAAGAAGGGGAAAGTAGACTGGCGGGTTGTAGACGGCTGTCTGGATGAGAACCCGGACGTCGATGTGGGTGACTACGGTAGGAAACTGGACGAAAAGTGGGTCGTTCACCGGAACTGGGTTCTCTTCCAAATCCAAGAGGATAGCGTCGAATCGTTTCTTGATATCGGAAGCGGTCGAGCCATTACGGTAGAAGGCGCAGAGTGACCCGGCCTTAGCACAGGTGTCAAAGAACGATTCGACGGAAGCGTCGGCCTGGAGAAGGTTCTGCGACCAGTTCCCGTGGTAGTAGTCGTCTCCATCAACAACGGCGTCGATGAGGAACCTTCCTACACGATCTGGGTAGAGCGCAGCAAACGTCGTACCTAGGACGGTGCCGTAAGAGGCACCGTAGAAGTCCACCTTCGCATCTTTACGTGACCTGCCTTGGCTTTCGGCCAACAGTTCAGCGTACTGCAGCATGTCTCTCGCTGTCGCGGGTGTGTTCGCGTACTTAGCAGTCTTGTTCAAATACTGCATACACCAGGTGCCGAACGTGCCTGATCCCTCGTAGTACTTGCTAATAGATGCATTGCTACGCGGATCAACGTCATTATAGACCTGGCCGTAGTAGTAGTCTCTTAGCCAAGGCTTTCCGTCGAAACAATCGAGCAGTGGACCACTGTTATTGATACCTCGGGGGTCCATGCCAACAATGTTGTACTCGTCACCGAGGAGTTCCAATAATTGAGGCAGCAGTGATATAAGAACGCTGACACCCGACTCGCCTGGACCGCCAGGGTTAAAGATGATGTCGCCTGATGCGGGTTGCTCCGCAGCTTCATACCTGAGGAAGGCAATGTTCGTGAAGCCGGCGTCTAAGTTTTCGTAGTCGAGTGGGACCTCCAGTTGTGTGCATGTGTAATTGTCGAAACAGGGGATGTACTGGATCTCTTTCGTAATGGGGACGTCCTTGAAACTCTGAACCATCGATGAATTTGAAGCATTGTACTGGCGCTGCAGCAATGCCGGACTTGCAACAGCGGAGACTGCAAGCCCCAGGAAGTAAAATTGCCTTGTGAACATGTTTGTAAGGGTAGCAGAGCAAAGAGAAGCCGATGGCAAGTGAACACAGACAGACTGTTGTTGCAATATATACTTATCGAAGATCTGTAGAATATCAATCTTGGTCAAGCCAAGGCAACCCATTTTCCCAGCACGAGGTGAATCTGCCCTGCTAGCAGCGTCGTCATTCCCACAGACCCACGCCCATGTTCGTTGCACACCCTATGAATGGACCGTTTGAGTTGAGGTCTAATAGGGCTTACTAAATAAAACCGAACAGGCCCCTAGCCAGCGCATAGCGTGGCAGAGTCGAGCCGCGATCTCAGTAGGATCGAGCTCGGTCGGACCACGTGATGCGAGAATACTTCGATATAGGGAATAAGTTGTGGAGAGCTGTTGGTTCGTGCGTTAGGGTGCAGTCGGGGCGGAAAGCACCGCCGCTTCTTCCAAGGTTTTCTACATAGTTGCTACCGTTTTGGGCACTAGCGTACCGCGAATGAGAGACGCGGGACCGAAGGATCTTCAGCCCCTGTGGAGATCGGCGTCATCAGGCAACTGCCAACTATCAAACACGACTTGCTTTCCGTCGATCAAACATATAATCTGAGCCCACTAGGCAATGTGTATCTATCTTACTTTTATTAGCCACTCCGGATAATTAAATATGTATGCAGCCTTCGCAGCATAAAAGAGAGACAGGAGAGGCGAACAAGCTGTGGACATGGCTCTTCTAATCGGGTGGAGCACTGTGTTCGGTGGCTGTTAAGGTGCTTATGTGCTGAGCCACTCCGGTGAAATCGCCCAGCCGCACAGTCCGCACGAAGCCGAAGCTGAAGCTTAAGCTTCGCCGATCATCACTGCATTGTATCTTGCGCTACGTGTGTAGTAGCCAACAGTTACTTGTTGTAGTAAATTTACCATGGAACAACATGTGATAGAATGATCTATGCCCTCACCACAAAAAACACCGACCAAGTGGCTCTGCGTGCTTTTCACCTCAAATGATGTCAGGGACAATGCCTTTCGCATTTGCTCGAGGCGAACACGTACCAGAGCTTTTATCGAAGAGAGACAAGAGCTCATATTGACTTATATTATGCAAGGTAGCAAAGTCTAATTCTTCTTCGTCGAAGGGCATTCCAAGCTAAGACAGGGACAATGAACATAGAAAAGGCCGGAGTCTATCTGAGCAGTTTGTATAGGTACTTTTTCACTTTCCCTTCCGCGAACGTTGGCTTCATTCCTACTCTTCGCACATCTTCATCAGAAGATCGAAAAGGCCCATTCTCGATCCAGACTCTCTCCAAGCAGTGTGTATGGCGACTGACCGCAGTTGAAGGGCCATATCGATACCCATCCGGTCCTCGAAGTTGTGATCTCCCAGACGCGTTCCCCTAACAAAAAGAGGATGTTGTTGTATGTACTGAAACTCTTGGTTCGCTGGAAAATTGGGATGTCTAATCTCTCTCTTCTTCAGCCGTCTGACTTTGAATTTTGCCCGGCGCAGAGTTGCAACGCCATCTGACTGTTGACTCGGTTCACCAAATCGGGCCAGAGACTAAGACATCCTGGAACAAGCAAGCCGGCGTTCCGCGCGTGTGGAGCAGGATGTATTGATCGGATGATCTGTACAGATCGCCGGTACATAGTAGTTGATAAGATGAGTTCTGAATGACAGATGCCATGGGCAAAAGTCAGCGCGTATTGGCTTGACGATTCGAATGTTTTAGTGGTTGACAATCCCATGTTTGTTTGGATGGTTGACGGTTATTGAAAGATCTCCGAATATATGTCAAAGCGTAGGCCTGAGGAGTTTCCTGACAAATCGGTGGAGCTTGTTGGTGTTGGTACTGTTATACCGAGAAGAAACCAGCATCGATACGAAAGACCACTGAAGGCACTCAGTCAGGTCGTTATCACTCTTCCCCTCGACGCTGTCGGAATGGTTCTGCAACGGGTGGACGATAACTCCGAAGTCCGTTAAGCGAAAGAGAGGCACCACGAGTACCTGAGCTTCGTCAAAGGAGTCTAGGATTCCTTTTGAAATAACCTGGATATGGTCGCGAATATTGAGCGGGTGAGGATCTGATAGGTCCCCCAGACGGAAGTGATATATGGTGAGGTCGTCGCCACCGCCTCTTGCTCTACCCACTGCGTGCACCAGCCAAGGCGCAACGGCGTAGGCCTCAAGATATCGCGGCAAATGCGTTCGCATTGAGAATACTCAGCATTTTTAATCTTGATTCCTGGTAATTCTCTTAGAAAACCTACTTGGGTATGATCTATCAATCTGTACTGACATGTCTTTATGAAGAACGTTTTGAAGACAGTATGTGACAATTCGACGTAAGACATGGTCACATGAGCATGAGACAGTGTCATTGTTGTTGTGGGCAAGGCAAACCCGAGAGGCTGGCTCCACAGTGGTGTGCCCGCTGAAGACCATGCTGTTACAAAGCTGCGAGTGTCTCTATGGTCCGTGAAGAGCTCGATAAGCTGACTCAATCGATAGGAGTTCCTTGTGAGGGCGAATGAGACAACCGCTACAGTTAAATTCAGGAAAAGAAAGGTGGATTTGTGAGGCAAAGATTTGGGGGCAACAGCGTCAGTATAGTTATGGTATCAAGCGCTCAGGTTATTTATATCACAGCATGGGCTTATATTTTACTTACTATGAACAATAGACGATTCAATGTCAGAATGCTGTGACGAGCTGCATGATGCAAAATATGCTGTGCTTGATTTGTATGGACCTGCATATGTTTCATCGTGGGGGATCCGACACAAACATAGATAGACTAATTATCATCCCATAGGTGCACGTAATGAGCAAAGCCAACATATACGCATCGCTCATGCGAATTAGCAGTATGGTTTGTGTGGATGCTCGCAGAGGAGTTGGTGACAGAGCCAAGGACGGAAGACACCCGAACGTGGGTCTAGCCATGATCGTCTTAACGTTGATTGGACGTACCCTTATCTACTCCGCTCACTCCGCTGACTCCGCACACACCGCACCTATTTCTGTTCTACTCCACCACAACCCACGAAAATGCCCATCAAGCTCCCTGCTTGCGAACCATGCAGGACCTCAAAGCAGGCCTGCGATCACTCGAAACCATGTTCCCGATGTCGGGAGCGTGGGTCGCCTTCGGCTTGCCTGTACCGGGCCAGGCCATTCAAAAAGCGACGATTGGAGCAGGCCGGATCAGATTTACTGGGGTTCAGCAACACAGATCCGCCGGCGGCTCTCCCAAATCCGTTGCCCGAGACAAGTCACGATTCTTCAGAAGGTCTGACGATTGTGGAGACCCCCGAGCCTTCCAGAGGGATGCCCAGTTATCCCAATCCTGGTTTTCTCGGGTCTTCGAGTCACACGACTTTCTTTGAGCACATACCACGCGATACGGCCGACAGCGGTCAATTGCCTACCTATTCTGCCGACGAGGAAGAGATTCGCAATGGAGCAAATCTCATTGATCATATCCATAGGTACTGTCACATTGGCTCGTGTATTGCGCTGGTCCAAAGTTGGATCGCTGGAGGCGTGAATCTCGCATTGGCGGGTCCACTCATAACCACTTGCGCAGAGGTGACGCAACACGTCTTTAGTTCGTACGAGATGAGTACACCTTCAAGTTTCACTCCTGCTCGATCTATCTCGCAGACATTGTTCACGAACTCAAGCCAGCCACTTAACGCAGGCGATCGGGAAGACATTGCGCATTGGTGTACTGCATTTGGAATTCATAATGCGCGGTGGGAGATACTGGGTCTGTTCTTCGCAGCTCTTGCCGCTGCTACAAGCCATACACCCAAATTTGAGCCCTTATATCGGTCACACCAAGCGCAGCGTGACCTGGAGAAGCTCGCAGTGCGATTCTCAGATCGCTGCCTAGACATTTCGCTCTCACTTGACCGACTGAATGACCTTCAGCTTCTGTTACAGTACGAAAATTGGATCAGTCACTCATGCTTGCACGGTGACCAAAGTAAGCAATGCTCTAACATACTGTTGTTCATTGGCTGATGCAGTAGGCTATATATCGTGGCGGAAACTTGGCGACGTGATCAGCTCCCTGTATGCACTTGGATACCACGAACGTGTAGATCCGGCATCACCTCCACTCGAATCCTTCAGAGAAGTTGCATTCGCCCGTGCCTTTTCTGGTGACACCAATGTCTCATTGTTCCTGGGTCGGCCTCCTAGAATTGACCGAAAGCATTGCAGATGGCTTCCCAAGCAATTCCAGTGGAGCGCGGATGCAAAGGTGGATTATGCAGCGGAGACACAATGGTCAGCAATCTGTGCTGTCCTGAAGGGAGAGGCACTGGATCTCTTCCACGTAGAAGATCAGGCTGAGAAGGTAAGGAGAGCGAAGTGAGTACCACTTGAATCTGCATACGAATCATTCTAATAGTATTAGTCTTATCCGAAACGACGCCGACCTACAGTGGGCATCGCTCCCCCAGCACTTTCGACTAGAGACGACATTGAAGGAATGTGCTAGACCGCCGAAGGAGCGTGACTTTCTGGTCAGCACACTTCTTAATCATCTTCACGTACATTTTCTTCTCCATCTTCAACTCCAAACCCGCGTCAACGATCCTGGGCCAGAGCTTGTGGCTATTGCAGCGAGAATGTTCTCTCTGGCGATTGAGTCAATATTGCTTAAAGACTTTCTGGCTTATTCAGGGACAACCCTAGATTGGAAGGTAGGTTCATTTCTGGTGTAATTGAGTTTACAATGAATGACAGCGAGCAGGTCGCCTACTATGGCCTGGCAGCCGCTGGCATCATCTGTTTATCCCTACTTAAACAAAGCCCAATCGCATTCGACAGCGGAAGCTTAAAAGCACAGATGATACAGGATCTTAACGTACTTGTAGCGGTGGTGGAAACAGGTGTTTTCATCCATCCGATTGATCCCAACTATGCGCTATTATCTCGTGCCACCCTGACTATCAAGAGCCTGCTCAGACGTCTTTTATCCCGAGACACAAGACAGCCAGCGCCCCTGACGGAGACAGACACGCTGGTACAGGGACCTACAGCCATTACGCCCGAGACGTGGAATATATGGGACAATCAGCACCTCCAGGATTTCGAGGTGGACTTTTGGCTGAATCTGGCCGAACACCCATTCCTAATTGAGACGCCGACAGAGTCTCTACCAACGAGCCAAGTGTAAACTCAGCGTCCACAGTCTAAGCGAGTCGCTCAACCGCGACTTCCAGATCTTTGTCAACGGCGGCACCAAAATCTAACCGTAAGTAGAGTCCCCCTGTCAGATTAGAATTGGCAGTGAAACGACTACCTTTGCTGATGAGTAAGCCAAGTTCTGGGGATCTCGTGTATATTCAGCCTTCTAGCTTGGCCAGAGAAGTCACCTCTTGGTCATTACCATGATTCGCAGCTGTGACGTTGGGACGGTCGATGGGATTGAAGCGGATCCATAGAAACATGCCTGCGGAAGGTGTAGAGCACTGGCAACCTTCACTCGGGAGAGGGCGCTTACATGCTGCTATCAAAGAGTCCCCACGTCGACTATTTTGGTCCGACAAATGTACCAAGCGTCGATGAATCCTCGGTGCTCCCAAGATCTCTTCCAGCGGCGAAGCAGTCAACTACCCAAGGCGAGATCCTAGGGCTAGAATCTTTGACTTTGAGTCGATTCTCACAACAATTCCTGAGGTATCGATGGTAAGATATGACGGCGATAGCTGAACCAGATAGCGATCAGCGGTGTGGAAGTTTGTGTTTGTGTTTTCCGAAGTTGTGAATGTGGTCCCGAGCTGGAGGTCGTAGTACGGATCATGTTCGAGGATATAGAGGTCGTGCCGCTCTGCAACATCGTAGATCCGATTCTTACGCTCCGAGGACTGGATTACGCCGGTTGGGTAATGGCCCGTCGGAATCATACAGCAAAAATGGGTGGTTTCTTGCCCTGTGTATCCTCCCATTTTTTTCAGCTTCCGATCAAGCCCATCTGGTACAAGACCACAATCGTCCACGCTGATCCCCAGAATACGGAGACCGTGTGCTGTTATCAAATCTTTAGCCCCAGAATAAGCGCATTATTCGGTAATGACCCAGTCACCTGGATCAAAGAAGGCTGCCCAGAGCTGAAGGCGTGCCACAAGTCAAGCATATCTCCCTTTCGCCGTATGAAGGGCTATGGATGAGCTCAAATGTCCAGCCATATATCTGAGGAGCTGAGGTGAACCGGCCGCAGAGCCGTATTTCATCGCCACAGACAGTTCTACGATTACTCATCAACCTCACAGGAAGTCACGTATCCGCCGATCATCATCAAGGCGGTCCATGGGAAGCGTTCAGACGATGGGCGAGCCGTCCTGAGTGTAAATATGAGAGGGCTATTGCGGATGCAGCCTGCAGAGTTGGAGCTCGTTGAGAGCAACTTTCAATGCTGAGCTGGTGGCTTACGTCCCTCGCGTTGGGTTTTTCTGGTGTCATTCGGAAGTTCAAGTGTAAAGAAGATGTAATCGACCTGCTGCCCTTCGAAAGGGGTTTGGGCTTCGATCGCCATTCCTCGATGGAAAACAGTTTATGCTGGAATATTGGTTGACATGTGCCCAGCCTGGTAGAGCTTTATTCATCTGATCACGATTCAATTAGAGCTCTAGCATATCGCTTATGTTCATTTACACGATAAAAAGGCAAGCATGCTGTTCATGATCTGCGTCCTGCGGTAACATTTGGAAGGAATTTCTAGTAGACGGCGTAGTCGGTATCCTGCGATTGAGCATGCAAGCACCGTCTTTACGCGCTATGTGCATACGCTCCGATATGCTCTCGGCATTTGTTTCTGGTCATTTCCGTTGCAGAGAGTTGAGAGCGTCATACACATTCCTGTGTCGTAACGTGGTCCAGGGCCATGGTGATGGTAACCCGCGATACAACTCAAAGGACTCGTCTTCCGTAAGCCGTTCGTACGAAGGTAGCGCTGACCGAGTGATGAGCAAATTTTTGGAAACGCACTACGTGTCTCATTTGTTCTCAGAGTGAGGCCATAAACGTCACTATTTGCACTAGTTGGCGTGTGGGAGCCGCACTTAACAGCGAGTTCAGATCGCATCTATCAAATCGCAAGTTTCGGCACCAATACCTTAGTTCTTGAGTGACATCCTACTTGATATTTACGAACCTATTCTCTATGTTTCGCGGATGATCTTGCTTGATGAATTTCTCTTAATCGCGTATACTATCGAAGCGAGAAAAGATAATTAGAATGGCAAGTCTCTAGGAACCTGATAAAGGCAGCTGGAACTTGCGCTCATTGAATTACTACACCACGTGGAGATCACTCCCAACAATCATTTGTAACTCAATAATTCTCATTGCTTGCTATTATCCTGGGGGGACATACAGAGATCTGCGCGAATGATGGTGAGATTCTCTGCCTAGGCTGCTAAAAAAGGGCCCTGCCGTGCCTCTGCGTCAATACGGTTTCTTTCAGACAATAAGCTTTCCACAAGAGGAGTACCAGCTCTGTGGGCCACTCGCGCAATCCAAATGTCCGAGAATGATACTGCTGACAAATTGTTCGAGAACTCTGGATGCCCTACCATTGCATCCGCGGGATTAAGCGGGCAGTCTGATGCGGAGTCCCGCGCGGGACCTGGAGATGCAAGTTCATGGCGCAGCTGCATTGCGATCTTCACAGTGGTCTGGGTTTGCGCGTGTATCGACGCTACAAGTTGTTGCGCTTACTATCTATGGTAGTCAGTCCTTTGTCTCAGAACCCGCGCTTATCCTTTGTCCACTATGTAACTCTGCACTAGCTACAGTAGCCCTCAGCCCCCGACCATGCGGATTCCTACAAAATGAGAAGTCCGCAAATTTCAGGTTATTGGCCACGGCATGTGATAGCGCGTTCGTGGTTATTCTCTGAGGTCTAGGGACGCTATGAACTTATGTCCCTTGGCATCATAAAACCGACGGAAGAGATTGATGGAGAAAGGAAAAGAATCGAAGTGTTTTTAGAATGATGTTTTCCCGCTGAACGCATCATAATGGCCTGGTTGCGTGTCAGACTGGAAACTCTATCTTTTGTTAATTATCCTTACCCAGAAACGATACTTTAGGAATGTCGTCAAGCGAACTACCGATTGCATTTGTCCATGCGAGCGATATCGTCCCTGCCACTATTGCTCTGTCAATCTCGGGAATTATCGTAGTGCTTCTGCGGTTCTGGGTCCGAGTATCTCACAAGATGGGTGTTCGCATGGACGACTGGCTGATACTTGCAGCACTGGTAAGTCATTGGCATATATAACTTCCAAAGCATATCTAAAAAATGTGTAGGTATTTGTCGTGGCCATGGCTGTAGTGTCATTGTATGGAGTATCGCGGCAAGCTGTGGGCTACCCTTCCGAAGAGCTCTCTCCGCAAGAGCAGTTGACATCGCTTACCCCGGAGCAACGGCTCGTAGAGCTCACTTATTGGCTTTCATCGGTGCTCATGCTACCGGCGACCGGGTCTGTCAAATTGAGCACCTTGTACCTGTATCGTCGAATTTTTCCAGTGGAGACGATGCCTGCATTCAATATTCTTTCGAATCTTTCGGTCGTGGTGTGCGCTCTTTGGACAATCGCCTTTTTCTTCTCGAGGGTATTTGGATGTGGAATACATCTCCAATGCTCATGGGCTTCCTTTGCGGAGATCAGCACCTGCTGCACAGATAAATTCCTCAACCAAGATGTGCTCATGATCTCAGATCTCATCACAGATGTATTGATCTGGCTTCTTCCTATTCCCGTGGTAAGAGTGTTTGAGCACGAAGTGCGTTGAGGTTTCAGCAACTCACCAACTGTATAGGTGTGGGGCTTGAATATCAGTACCCACCGTAAGCTGGGCGTTGTTGCAATCTTCCTCCTGGCCGCCTGTTCCCTCGCAGCGGCAGTTGTGCGGCTTTTGATCCAGCTCGCAATTCACAAAAAAGGGTTTACAGCTCGCACAAATGTCAATCGTCAGTGTTGGTACACGTCGAGCTCAAGCTACAAACAGCTGACAAGAATCAGTGACATTATCGACGAGCTTGTACTGGCAGTTCATCGAGGCTGCCATCGCCCTGATCGCATGTTGCTTGCCGATGATGCCTCTGTTCTTCAAGTTGACATCCATTTCGAGAGGCTTTAGCTCATTGCGGTCCAAGCTCAGTATGACTTCGATGAACTCTCCACAGACGGAAATACACGGTTCAGAAGACAAACTCTGCGAACGATCCAGCTTCGCCATACATATCGAACGCGCATTTGACCTCGATAGCGAAAATCTAACGCCGAGTCCATCTCGGCCAGATGACTGTTTTGTTTGACTGGAATTGATTCCGGGGTCTACAGGTGTTAGGCGCTTGAGTGCATGACGCGTTATTCGGGTCACTCCAATGAAGGTATGATTGAGCTTTTTTCTCAATGTACTCAGAGCTACCGGAGCTCCCGTAGAACCATCCAAATTATAAAATGACCGTAATATGTACTATCCTTTGCTGCCAAACTGTGAACATCACTGAATACAACACCATGCGACGTCATCAGGTGGCTGCGCTCGATACAGAATGGCTTTATGGAGTTCACCTGTGATGAGGAACTTGGGACAAATATATAACTTCCTATGGTTACAGCTACTACGGTGAAAGGCGGGCAAAATGAGGCACTTTGTCCGGGTGTGGGTTCAATGGCGGGGAAAGCACGTGTCGGAGTAGTCGGCGTATTGTTAAGCGCGACCTCGGTCGGCAAGCAGCGGCCGACTGCGGTCCCACCATATTCCCTCTTGTCGTGGGTGTACAAAGAGAGGCACGACGCAACACCAACTTTAGCACGTCGAAAACTGTCTCGTTATTTATCATTCTATACATTGCTCGTCGGATCCTGCTCCGGAGTCATCATGGCTCAAACAGTTAAGCTCGCGGAATACCTGTTCCAGCGATTGGTCCAACTCGGAATTGGTTCCGTTCACGGTGTACCTGGCGACTTCAACCTCACACTCTTGGACTACGTCGAGCCTGCAGGGTTGAATTGGGTCGGCAACGCGAACGAACTCAATGCTGGCTATGCGGCAGACGCATATGCACGCATCAAGGGCATATCAGCTCTCATCACAACCTTTGGAGTTGGGGAACTGTCAGCTATCAACGCTATCGCTGGAGCATACGCTGAACGGGCGGCACTTGTCCATATTGTTGGCACGCCTCCGCGAGCAACACAAGATGGAAGGGTGTTGGTACATCACACATTTGCCGACGGCGACTTCACTCGGTTTGCTCAGATGAGTAAGCATGTCACCGTCGCCCAGGCAAGCCTGAGGGATTCAAGGACCGCTCCGGAGCAAATAGATCAAATCCTTGTCCAGTGTCTATTGCATTCAAGACCGGTCTATATCGAGGTTCCGGTGGATCTCGTTGGCGTCCCAGTCTTCTCTGAACGACTGCAGAAAAAGCTGGAGTTGCCAGAACCGGTTTGGGGATCTCCACAGGAAAGCGCAATGAATGCCGTGTTGGAGAAGCTGCATGCTGCAAAACAACCCATCATCTTGGTCGATGGGGAGATCCGGGCCATGGGGGTCGTCTCAGAGCTGCAAAACCTAACCAGAAAAACGGGATGGCCAACCTGGACCACTGGGTTTGCGAAGGGATTGCTTGATGAGACAGCTTCCAACTTTCATGGGATCTATAGGGGAAAATGGGAGGAAGAAACCACACGGGACTTTTTCCAACGCGCGGACGTAGTTTTGTGTTTCGGGGCACATTTCAGCACAACAAACAGCTGGGGAGGCACCAGTCTGCCTGAAAGCGCTAACACTATCTACTTTTCGGACACTGAGATTCGGATAGGCAGCCGCATATTCAGAGATGTGCCCTCAAGACAAGCTGTATCTGCGTTACTACGGACTCTCGACACCGACAAGATCCAGCGGTACGAGCAGTACCCCAAACTTCACCAGGACCTCACTGTTTCAGTCCAAGAAACCGACCAGAGCGGGCCTATCACGCAAGACAAGGCCTGGAAAGTCCTTGCAACCTTCGTTCGTGAAGGGGACATCGTTATGGGCGAAACAGGGACACCAGGCTACGGCGCACGAGAGATGCGTCTGCCGCCGAATACGAGGTTGTTCACACCAGTCACATGGCTTTCTATCGGCTACATGCTTCCTGCAGCGCAAGGAGCAGCGTTAGCACAGCGCGAACGATCAGCAGGCCAAAAGGCAGGTCGCACGATCCTACTTATTGGTGACGGCTCCTTCCAAATGACTGTTCAAGAACTCGGCACGATTATTAAGGAAAACCTTAATGTTGTTATTTTCTTGATCAATAACGACGGATACACGATTGAGCGATGCATTCACGGTGTAGACGAAAAGTACAACGATGTGGCGAGGTGGCGGTATCTAGAAGCACTGAGTTTCTTTGGAGCCGACAAAGGCGCGTACACCGCGACCGCGAAGACTTTTGGCGAGCTCGGTGAGGTGCTGGCTGACGGAAGGTTAAGCGACGGAGAAGGTGTAAGGATGGTAGAAGTCTTCATGGACAAGGAGGATGCGCCCGAAGGACCGTTGAAGGACCTGATAGAGGCTCAAAGAGTCAAGGGAACGAAAGCCTGAGGTGTTAGATATTAATGAAGCGACTCTGCTCAGAGATAGACGCACAGCTAAAGCGAATCGGCCCTTGTTGTTGTGACAGTTGAGATAAACACGTCTGCGCTTGACTCACACAAGGATCCCTGCGAAGATCAAGCCCGTGTCCTCAAAAACAAGGCAAGAATGACAGCACAACAATGCGGCACAGCCTCTCCCCCACACCTATACACCTATCTTAGCTGCACCGTTCTGCGTTGCTTGAGCCTTATACTCAAGTGGGCTCTTCTCCCACAATTCGCAAGCTCCCGATCAATTCAGGGTCCTCTCGCCTGTCCTCTGCGGCGCGCGATCATCCCTGCACAGCCTCGCGTATCGAAACAACAACATTACGTCATAGATGTGCTACGCAAACTTCACACAGCACTCCGGCTGTGGACATATTGGAGAAACGTCCACGAAGCCTCTGACGCTCTGTGACGAAGCCATCCAACGTCTCTACTCCTTGCGCGGTCCCAACTCGCCGTCTATCTCCTCTCCCACCCAGCAAACAAGCTTCTTCCCACCGCCCAAGCGCTCGGCGTCGAAACGAAGGTTCTTGTCACTTTCGCAGACGCTCTCGAGGACATCTAGCATCGCGTCACGGTCTTCGCGCTCGAGTGCGGCGACGAGTGTAGATGGGCGACCGGCGCCGCGATCCGCGGCTCCGAGTTTCTCACCCATCACGACTGTAGCTGCAGATATCGACTATGCCAATCTACCCGTGCATCAGCTTAAAGCTGTGAAATGCAGGGAGCCGATCAGGCGGAGCCAGGTCGCGAGCGACATGGACGTCTGTCCCGAGTGTAAGAAAGCACTCATGGATATGCGGAGCATGCTTGAGCGGTATGTTGCATTAACAATCGATGTTACCCACAACATAGCTAATTTAGGGTAGATACGATAAGACAGGCTCCATCCGCGGTACCACAGCCTTTGAGCAGTTCCTACGTTTCGGTGACGACAGGAATTACACCGCCGATGGCGATGTGACAATCCCTGTGCGCGATAGCGTAGCCGGCGAGCATGGCGCAATGCAGGCTATCGTGCTCGGCCATGCTTCGGAGTCGCCCAACCCAAATGAAAGAGGTGGCACTTGGGGTGACGGCGATGCGGAGACATTGAGCGATCACCACGTCAATCACGTGAGCCAGCCAAAAGGACCCCAACGCGCTATGATCGTAGGACGCGCCATCGATGGGCATCCGAGTGAGGCGGGTTTTCTGGTAGAGGGTGGGACGAATGGGCTGGGGTACTGGAAGGGGGATGACGTGAGCAGCTTGGCTACTAGCCGAGTGTTTGCTGGCATTTAACGCGCGACGATCGCTTTCCCACGTATGTGAGGTGGTCAAGCCTCGTGTTAGTGGTATGTGTAGTTTGCGAGTTGCCTGAAGCGTTGTGATAGCGTTCCATAGATTTCTTTTGTTACTCGAAGTTGTGTGGCAGGACGACAGGTGGACGATGTGCGGATTCCTGAACTCAAATTGTTGAAAATAGCGACACTGAAAAATTGAAAAGTAAACCAAAACTTTGCTCGCGGAGTGTCTTCGATGCTACCAACCGGAGGAGCAATTTGTTACGATCTTTTTGATAACATTTTTAGGAGACATCACTTCTTGGTCGCATTCATCGATAACCAAACAAAATCGTATACCCAGGTACATAACGGAAGCTCAGAGATCCAACTGTACGCTGGCTAGCTATGCAGGTTATGTCCAGCATGGTGTTGACGTCAGCTGCATACATACACGAATACATCCAGCATTGCAATTTCCGGACCCCACATGATGACTTTAAGTCCTGTCGATTACTGTGCGTCAACCAAGCCATTTTCTAAAGATCGTCGCTGAATGCACCAATCATCGACATAGTATCCTAGTTTTTCTTGTGGAACTAGTGGATTACTCACGTTTACACAGCTCGCTAAACTCTGCGGATGGCGCCAGCCCCTTGCATTCCTTACCAATTCTGAGTCTCAACACCTCCATAATTACGGCCGCGAAATTTCGCATAATTGGTCCAAGCGTGGAACGGATCCTACGCGCACCTCAGTCTCCCCTCCAAGCCATCTGCCTTCCCAATTCGCTAGGTCATCTCCGTTTCTACAAGATGGAGGGCCCAGATGACCAAGGCTCACGCCTCCAATGAAACTGCGATCCCCTTGGCTGACCGCTGATGCTCGGGGCTGTCCACCGCGCATGCTCGAAATAATGTTCAGCTGTCATCTTGCGGCCTAAAGGGTTGACTTTAAATATGCAAAGGGTTAACCGGCTTCCACGAGGCAGGAGACGAAGCCTTCTCTTTGTCCGCCAAAGTCGCACGTCACCAAGACCAGGAGCCTCTTCAACTTCCAACCCATGAAGTTACTCCAGTATTTGCTGCATATAGCAGCAATCTCTTCCGCTGCAGAAGCAGCAATTGCACGACGGGCCGATCCACTTGCGAAAGGTGCGCCCAAGTCTGCGTATTGGCCTATTCCGCCTCAGCCGAAAGGACCCACCAAGCCGTACGTTTTCGGCCACGTATCTGTAGGGATCTAGCTGACAATCCTACCACAGTATCACTCCCACTGGCCCTGCTGCTATTAATCGCAACGCCTCTTACAATCCCAGTGACATCAAACCGGCAAAGCCCATCAATGTCGAAGCGAAGTTCAAGGCAGCAGCTGTATGCTCTGGCCCAGTGACCAGCAATCCCACCAGTTTCTGGATGGACCAGCAAGATCACACTGGAAACGCTCGTGGCTATGCTCCATTCTTGGTATGATCTATCGAACATATTGGAAGGTCATTTAGGGACTAATTAATGTAGGGTACATTCTACAACTATAAAACCTACCGCAATGTCGTGAAAGACTATGGTGCCAAGGGGGACGGCACAGGGGACCAGACAGCCGCTATTCAGAATGCGCTCAATGATAATAGCCAGGGAGGAAACCGGTACCAGGGGCCGCTTGCTGCGCAGCCTGCACATGTGTTCATCCCGGGCGGCACGTACCAGCTAGGCTCAAAACTTGACCTGAGAAAAGGTACCATCATCATGGGAGATCCAAACAATCCCCCCGTACTGAAAGCCGCCCCTGGGTTTTCTGCAGAGGTCCTTATCGATGGCTACGACGCCGCGAGTGCGCCTGAGACATCCTTTATGACTCAGTTGCGCAACGTTGTTATCGAGTAAGTCTTCGTCCGCATCATCGAGACGGCTTTTAATCTAATTATCGCAGCACTACTGCACTTTTGCCGAGCCAGAAAATCACCGCGCTTCGCTGGGGAGTAGCCCAGGGTTGCGCTTTGGGCAACGTCAAGATCAACATGCCATCCAGCTCCACTGGCCATACTGGTATTTGGCTCCAAGCCGGCTCCACGATCGCAGTGACGGATGTGCAAATTACAGGCGGGGCCATCGGCATCCAAAACAATAACCAGCAAGTTATCTTCAAGAACATCTACTTCAAATTTTGCACTACGGCATACGTCGCACCCGGCGGTTTCAATTCGCTATTGCAAGGCGTCACGTTTGACACCTGCGGTGTCGGCATTGACGTCACACAAAACCATGGAGATGTCATTCTTCTGGACTCTGAGAGCAAGAACTCAGGTAATACGATCGTTTTCCGGGACTCATCGAACGATTCAGGAAACCGCAACAACCAGATCGTAATCCAGAATCTCAAGCACGATACGAACAACCCGATAGCAGTGAAGTCGAGCGGCCAAGTCGTTCTCGCAGCACAGTCCACAGTCACAACCTGGGTATGGGGTAACGCCTCTCCAGGGCAATACCAAACAGGTGTTACCTATCCGAACTCGCGACCTCAGAATCTTCTCGATGCGTCAGGCAAGTTCTTCATGAAGGATGCACCCACCTTTGCGGGTTATGCCAATGATCAGATCGTCAACGTGAAGAACGCAGGGTTCGATGTGAAGGGCGACGGAAGGACCGATGATTCTGCAGCGCTGAACGCGATTCTGCTACAGAACGCTGCCAACTGCAAGATAACGTAAGACCCGTAGCTCCTAGTTTACATGAAGGCTTGTGATACTAACAAAGCACAGGTACTTCCCTTACGGCGTCTATGTTGTCCTCTCCACCCTCTTTATCCCGCCCGGAAGTCGTATTGTCGGCGAAGCCTGGCCCGTTATCAGTGGAGCAGGCGATAAGTTCAGAGACGCCAATACTCCTGTTCCTGTTGTCAAAGTCGGTAATGCAAATGATGTCGGTGTGGCCCAAATCTCCGACATGCGGTTCACGGTCGCAGAGCCGCTTGCTGGAGCAAAGATTATGGAATGGAACATGGCTGGAACTTCTAACGGAGATGTCGGAATCTGGAACTCGATCGTGAACATTGGCGGCATGCGTGACTCGACAGTATCGGCCCAGTGCCAATCGCAGAATCCCTGTCAGGCAGCGCACACGGGTATGCACCTGACCTCAACCAGCTCGGTATACGTGCAAAATGGTACGTCGTTCTGAATCTTCCTTCTCCAAGCGTGTACTAATGATCGCAACAGTTTGGGTGTGGACGGCGGACCATGATGAAGACCAAACGTCAGGCAATCTGATTATTTCTACCGGACGCGGAATTCTCGTAGAAGCCACAAAAGCAACATGGCTAGTAGGTACTGGCTCTGAGCACCACTGGCTCTACGGATATAACTTCAACAACGCCCAGAATGTCTATGCTGGTCTGTTACAAGTGGAGTCCCCCTACATGCAGGGTCGGGGCGCCATCCAAGTCGCACCAGCCCCATGGACTGCACGCAACGGCGACCCTGACTTCAGCTGGTGCGCCGGAGGCGATGGGTACTGCCGCTCCTCCGTCGGCGTCAACGTGCAGAACTCGCAGAACATCAACTTGTACTCGTCTTCGACTTGGGCGTTCTTTGATGGACCTTGGGACGGGAACTACGGAAATCAATGCGCTAATCAGGATTGCCAGCAGAACATGAACCGTGTGGCTGGAAGCACAAGCTCGTTGACATGGTACGGTGTCAACACGAAGGCAGGAAAGACGATGATATTGGATGGCAAAGCAGACCCACAGACTCTGAATAACCCCGGGGGCTGGGGTGGAAGTTTGGTGGCGTATCGACAGTTTGCGTAGGAGGCTTAGGAGTTTTCACTGTGAAACTGGTTATGAATAAATTGCTAGATGTAATGTGACATACTCCTGCCAATTTGACCATATGAACACCCTTAGCTTGCGACCACAAAAGGTTTCCGTTGGTCCTAGAAGAAAGGAAAGTGCTTCACAACAACTGTGAGCGCCACGATGATCTCCACAAAGATATGATGAAGCTTGCGTTGGGTAGAGGTACCTCACAAGTGGAAGACTTCCACAGGAGGCGACTGTACTCGACCGAACTCCGCGAAGCGTAGCCGCACTTGCTTGAGCCAATCTAAAACATTTTTTCTCCTCGCAAATATCGTCGCCATAATATCAGTCCCCAAAGTGGCACATTGATCCAGATCGAGGAGACTAGCGCCTGTACGCAGGAACATAGACTTTTGCATGACTCCAAAGCCCAACCAAAAGGCAATATGCAAGACTACGAACACAGCCAGTCTTTCACTTCGTGGGCACTTTTCATATTCTTGGTACGGATAGCGGACCCCTGGCCTCGCTACCTGGATGCAAGAGTACAGGGTGTTCAAGAACAGCAGAGCATACACTGCAATTGTGAACCCTCCACTGCCATAGGGCTCCGCAAGTGTTTCGCAGTTTATACTGTGGCCCAACACCAGGAATATTGAAAGCATCCATTGCCTTGGACTGGAGGGAAAGTAGACGCCGTTGATCTACTTGTCGAGATCCGGCGGTGACGCAAGTCCCCTGGCTGTACACAAGGTAAAGCTCCCGGTGAGGAGCAAAAGCATCGCTGCATCTAGCGTCGGGTTGACCTTACATCTAATGAACCTGTAGAGCAGGTCAAGAATCGCCACCGTGGGATAGGTCAGTGCAGCAAGGAATTCACCGTCGATCGCACCGTTTTCCTCTCTCTCATATCTCCGCATGGCATCGCTGGAGTTGTTATAATTAGCGTGCCAGATAGAAGACAGAGAAAGCATATAGAGGGTAGACAACCATGCAAGGTATGCCCCAGGCCCGTACCATCCGGAGACTTCACCTGCATCGGCCTGCACTGTAACCTGCTTCTCCGCATAGGAGAGATACGTAGATGTCATAGTGGAAACTAATGGATCGACATCGACCCAGAAACCACCCGAGCCCGCCATCAAGGCCCACTGGAGCCAGTAGATCCAGTTCTGTGGGTACCAGATGACCGGTGTGAGGTCCCAGAAGAGACAAAGGAGGGTAAATACTGTTCAATTCGAAACATATCATCCAGCTAGAGTTTCGGTCAGTAAATGAGATTCTGGGCCTCGATTAGCGCACGTATAGTTGAAGGCCGGCATCGAGGAGACTTTCCCGCCAGTAAAATATTCTTTTATCCGACTTCCTTCCCAAATTGCGGCTCGACATAGCTCTAATGCTGGAGAACGTCCCAAACTTGACACCTTAACTCGCTTGTAGATGAGCAGTCGAGAGCGTTATCGTTGGGGCCGCGTAAATCCCTCGCATCAGCCACGCTCAGCCTCGCGCTCAGTCCCCACCATCCTCGTATATGGCGGCGGACTCGAAGCGATGTGCCCATCCACGTGGTTCTGCAATCTCTCGCCGTGACGACCCCTGAATATCTCACACAGTGTTGACAATTAAATCGTGGAAGTCGCCTGCAAAGCCTGCTCGATGATTAGGCTGCTTGGTCCCAGCAGTCTCGGTATGTTCTTAGTCTCATACCCAAATATGTCGGTGTGCAAAACTATGGGATTATTAGGCGCGGCCGAGCCAAGTAGATTCATGGCTCTAGTTCGCTTAGCCAAGCTGAGTGACCGAACCCAATGATCTTCACAGTGCACGTTACCACACCTCTGCAGCGTCTCAAAAAATGTCCTGCACCATGTTTTTCTACGTACCACAAGAAGGTCGTGATCACTTTTTTGACACTCAGATCGAAGTTGCGGAGATCTCCGTGCCCCGATTCCGCATTCTCTGATTGCGTTGTAAACGCCGGTTTTTGGAAGTGGGCCATTGCCTATCTGACCAGCTTCATAGACGAGCTTGGGAACGTTCAGACAATTTCATAGACGCCGCATTATCGCCAGAAGACAAAGCCTCCCCAATCAATCGAGTGATAGCGCGAGTAGATATCAGGGACCCTAAGGTTGACTGATTCTGGCAAAAGCGTGCTGAAACTTGCGTGGCTGGAATGAACCCTGCAGAGCCGCGATTGTACGTCCGGTATGAACACCTTAAACATCATCTTCACAGGTAATCAAGCATCCATCATCAAGCGCTAATAGATTCACATTCAGGGGGTATCAAAGTCTATCCATCAAACGTAACGCAACGCTCAAATCCAATCTACCACTCCAACCGATCATCACACGTCAGCCTAACATCTCCCCTCTCGTCGCCTTTCCACACGTCCGCCCCACTGTTCACACCAGCAATTATACTTCTCAGATCGCTGATCATGCCGCCAGGCCCAGAAGCGAAGACATCAGTGCGTCCGCGCGCCGTGCTCCCAACGAACTCTTCTACAATCATCTTCAGATCAGGGCGCGCCTGCATGTGGTCGAGGTTGAGCTCCGACTTGGAGACACCGTGCACGCTCAGCGCGGAGCTCACCGAAGCGGACGACGAGTCTGTTGAGTTGGCGACAGGTGTGATCTCCTTGGTGGGCGAGCACGGCGTCTCGATGGCCTTCTCGCTGATGGTGGGAACGTTGGGTTCGTAGTGATGGTCTTCTGCGGCACGTGTGACGTAGATGTGCATGCCAGCGCGCAGGTTCCGGCACTTTTGCTTGAGGATGGAGAGCTCGGGGGCGACCCAGTCAATGTCGCCGCGGTGGCGGATCACCCAGACGAGCGAGATTTTGCGGTCACGGTTTTGGGGTTTGGAGGCGATGTCCAGAAGCACAGGGAGGACGTAGGTAATGCCGGTCCCGCCCGCGATGCAGAGAATGTTGGAGTCGGAGGCGAGATCGCGCATGGTCTGCTCGCCATAAGGGCCTTGCATGACGACTGATAATCTAGCGTTGCCCATGAGGCCTTCGTGGGATTCTTGGGGGTCAGAAGCGTGAGCAGCGCGTTTGGCAGAAAGCTCAGCGATCTTGCGGGTTTCGCCACCCTTGGCACGGAAAATGTACGAGTGTCGCTGAGTATCTGCACCGTAGACAGGGAGGCTGAGCGGGGTGAAGGGATGCGACTGCCAGATGCTGCCTTCAGGGAACATCAGGTAGAAGTGCTGACCAACAGCCCAAGCATCTTGGGGGTGATCAAAGTCGAGTCGCACGACATCTCCATTGATCTCATCCTTGAAGAAGGTGATGTCCGCAGGCGCCGCACGGAAGCCCATGTGGCCAGAGGGAAGGAAATTGTAATGTAGCAGAGCGGTCCTACCGAGGCGGATGGCGCGGTCGAGCAGCCAGACAACCAAGCCAGGAATCAAGAAAACCTTGAGCTGCTCCCAATGGGCCCAGCATGCGCCGATATAGACCATGGCTAGCACATAGTGCAGCTTGCGAAAAGCCTCGTAGCCTGTCGCCCGAATGCCCCAGGGAGTGGAGAGGACAACCATGAGTAGGAGCAAGATCATGGCGACGATGCCCCAGATGATGTAGACCTGTTTGACCCATTCGACGGCGACTGTGGGCTGGGGCTGGTACAGTCGGATTTCCACGACGCACCAGCCAATCGTGTGGACTGATGACTGAAGGAAGATGACGTAACCAAGCCAGCGGTGGAGAAAGTTGAAGCTCTGGTAAGGGAGACCGGTTACGAGCGATAGAATGGACTCGCGGCTCGCGAGCATGATGGACAGTGGAGTCAGCGCGTAGGCGAGGACACCGACGCGATCTGCGAACGGACCGAGACTTGTTCGTGTGTTGTAGAGACCGGGATTTTTCTTAACAGGTGTGACCCATATGCCATAGTAGATGCCCACGAAGGACCAGACGGTGAGGTAGCCAACCAGTGTGATGAGCGTAAGGACCTGAGTGCGCGTTACGCGGCCAAAGATGGCGCGGCTGGCGTCTGGAAGCAGATGGCGGCGAGCATAGGCAGGAGCAGCTGCGGTAAAACGCTGGAGCGTACTTGGTCTCTGGTTGACTTCCTCTCCGGCAAACTGATTCGGGAGTGCTACGCCTGATGGATGCGAGCGCAAGAAGTGTCGTCCAATGGCCCAGAGGATGAGAATGCCGCCGATGGTTGCCCAGATGATGCCGGTGTAGTACATGCCAAGGTCGTGGGCGGCGTAGACGACGTCGAGATACTTGCAAGAGCCTGCATCGTTGGCACAGGGCACGACGCGGTCGGCGTATCCCCAGTGGTACTCGACGGCCGAGGCAGAGGACATGTCTTGGATGTGGCGGGCAGCCAGCATCTCGAGGCCGGCCATGCTTGGTGGGCGGGCAATTGGATGCGCGAAGATTTGCGGCGACTGCTGCTGGCCGGATACGGGCGCGCCATGGTGGTATATAACGTCGCCATGGCTCCGGCCTGCCGAATAATGGCTCTCGTGTTTCGACGATGCGACTGACAAAGTGCGCGGTGCCAAGCGCCCGGCCAGCGGGGTGTATGGCGGCACTTGGGGGGTTTCCGGCAAGTGCGCGTGCGTTTGAGCAAGTTCCCCCACTGTTTCAATACACGAAGAGTCTTGGACGCACGCGCGACGTTTTGCGATGCCACCACGCGCGCAATCGTGCGCAGCCGCTCGGGATATGTATATCGGCGTGGTCCCTGGGGCCGGTGAGCTCCTGGGCTGCTGTTGAACCGCTATCTCGCCACTGCCATTGCCATTGCCATCAGCGCTCCTCCGCACAGCACAGGCCCGCAATGTCGCACAGTCAGAATTCCACCGCCATGGTCATGGGCGCCGGCGAATGCGAGATGGAGGTACAGACGGCTCTCTTGCTCCTCACCTGTGCTTGCTAACGCGCTGCAGATGCTCTGGAACTGGCGCATCGTCGACTCGTGCATCCTCGCCGGCTCCTGGCACATCAAGAACAACGCCATGTTCGCCGCGAGCTGCATCGGCGCCGCTCTGCTGGTCGTCGCCCTCGAATTCCTGCGCCGATTGAGCTCGGAATGGGACGCATTTCTCCTTCGCCAGTTTCAGCGACAGCTGCGCATCCAGCAGGGCGCCCTCGCCGCTGCGGCTCCCGCAAACTGCTGCGACGGGCCGGCGGCAACGCTCGGGACCCACTATGCCACGTTTCGCGCCACCTCGCTCCAGCAGCTGGTTCGCGCCATCATCCACGGCATCACGCTGGGCCTCGCCTACTTGCTCATGTTGGTCGTCATGTCATTCAATGGCTTCATCTTCATCTCGGTAATCCTGGGCGCGATATTGGGCAAGTTCCTCTGCGACTGGATGGTGGTGCGGCTGCCGTTCGAGGCCGTCGACCGGGAAGTCAAGGACGAGCGAAGGACGTCGGTCGCAGCAGCAGGGCCGACTGGATGTTGTGCATGAGGGGAGAGAGCACTGTGGACGCGGCTGCATGATACCCATTGACGAACTATTATACGATTTCCAATCCCAACCCTTACTCTAAGCCTAATTGAAATGGCGTCTGGCTAATTCTCACATGGCCACTCAAACCAACCTACCCGCCAACATGTGCATACCTTCGCCAATGTAAGCTCCCTCAATAGCCCATTTAGCTTCCCGCATCTTCAATACTCGACTGCCCAGGTGGATGCTTTTGCAAATACTCCGCCCATGCCTTCCCCAGATCGCTCGGCCGGAACGGTTCGAACCACTGCTGCCACCAGCTCTTCTTATGTGCCGCTAAGCCCATATCGTCCAACAGGGCATCCGCGTACGTGATGGTCTCAAAGTTAATCGCGTTACCCAGCCCCCCATTAGACAAGTACCGCCTCCGGCTGAAAGCCACCCACGTCGCAACGCTGCGTTCCATGTCTTCTCTCGAAGGAAGTGTGATCTGCTTGTCAAAGTACGCCACTGCCCACATCGCTTGCACTTCGGCCGCAAGCATCTTGTTACCCGTGTTCAGATGGTTCATGAAGAGAATCGAGTCGTCATTGATTGGCGCCATCCCGTGATAGAGACGATATGTGGTCGTACTGACTCCCCGGTGTGAGTGTTTCGGCGGATTCGCCAACAGTGGGAATCTGGAGCAGATGTGTCGATCTCCATCCTGCAAGAGTGATTCCCAACGATCGGCGACCTCGCTTGGCTCGTCTTCTAGCGGCATGGGAAGTCCGAGCTGCAGTAATTGTTCGTTGTCGAAGAATCGTAGAGATGGGATCCATCCAGTGCCGCAGATAATGGCATCGCACGCTAGCTCCGCACCCCCCTCTAACTGGACAAGATTCCTGTCGAGTGACCTGACTTGATCGCGTTGGATGTGTACACAGGAGGATATAGTTTCCCAGAAGTCATCATGGTGAATCAATCCACCTGGGCCGTTCTGCCAAAAGAATCTGGTAATCTCAGCTTCGCAAGCTCGGAGCGCGATGGAGTACGTACGGAGTCTCATATTCGAGTTGATCGAAACCCTTGGCGTTGTCTCGTCCCTGATAGTCGGCTTCCATTCGAATGGCTTGGTCTTGCTGTGCGAGTAATTTTCCCACAAGCCATCGACCTAACCAGTTACGCTGCACGAACTTCGTCCAGATGTTCACGCGGTTGAAAATCGATGGACCCAGAGTAGCCACAAAACGTGTGTGCGCCGCTTCGAATGCATTTTTGAAAGGTCCCTTACCCTTTCCCGAAGCGAAGAACGAGGGCCCTGTGCCAGTGGTCTTGATGACCCAGTGAACCTCCTTTCCGCTCTTTGCGCCCTCGTACACGACGTCCGCCGCGGACTTGCCTGCCCCGAGGACCACGAGCTTCGTGATGTTCGGCGCTGCCATGATATTAGTTTCTCCGAAGTCTTCCGTGTGAACTATTGCGCCTCCAAACCGGTCTTTGCCCGGAAGCGAGGGCATCTTGGCCAGCGAACATAGGCCACTCGCAATGAGTACCTTCGGTGCAGTGAATGTTCTGCCGCCGCTGCAAACGTTCCACAAGCCGTCGACCTTCTTGACTGAATCAATGTTCACATTGAAGATCATTCTGTCGCGCAAAGTCCGTCCTCTGCCATCCTTCCGACCGCAGTACTCATGAAGGTAGTCTGTGGTATACTTTGCACGGTAAAAGTCGTGATAGCAATCGGCCTCAGGCGGGCGTGCCATCGGAAGGTCAGAAAACTCCGAAAGACCATGGCTCCACTGCGTCCAGAATGAATCATACAACCGTCCTGATAAAATTCAGTGGTTGCGCTTGTCATCCTAGATTATCGTTCCTCGTTTCGCTTACGCCTACTGAACACTCCGCCAATATCACCGTCTTTCTCCAGGATTGCGAGATTGGCTTTCGGATGAGCATCCAGGAAGCGCTGCGCCGCAATGATTCCAGAGAGACCTGTAAATCTGTTAGAGTTCGAAATTGAAGCAAAAGGTCAGAAGAAAGGTAGGCTACCGGCTCCGACAATAATTAGATCGCAGGTTTCTGAAGCCATCACGTAAAATAATATCGCCTTCTGGGTTACAATATTCGAATGTGCACGATTGTGCGAGTAGTTTCAGAGAGCTCCCACGAAGCCAATGTAGCGAGTGTACGAACGAGCAGAAGGTGAAGCAGATGCGGTGTTGTAGTTCACGGCATGGGCGGTGCTTACGCTCCGCCGCAGCGCTACATTGGCAGCGATTCGCGCGAGAGCTGAGCTTCAACACCATTTCGCGGCTATTCGCGCGAGACATGAGCTGCAAAACCATTAGAAACTCTGATATCCAACACGACATAAGGATTATGCTCACCATGGTACAGGTCAGACGAGTCATTGAGGCATGGCGTCTTACAGCTCCTCCTCGCGCTCGAACAACTCGCTGGAGCGCGCTCGCCGGAAATCTTTGCCGATGTAGGATGAACCAAGCTCTATCAGGCGACCAAGAAAGCCGCGTTTGGTTTGGAGCTGCCGACCGAGTTGGTGGTTCGCTTCCTTTTAGCCCATCCTGTAGAGAGCACAGTCGTCAAAATCGCACTGAGCTGGAATCGGACGAAGCATTGACCACATCAACGGACGACGACATGGTCCTGTTGCGTGCACCTACCATCTCATATCGCCAGGACGAATGATTATTTGTGACAGATCGTTTGTTGAGAGCTGTACTAGCATATGGGGCTGTTAGGCGGAGTGCGCATGGGCTCTTCGCCCTTTCTCCATCCTTCGCAGTCCTTGCCAATCCACTTGTGGGCCCAGAACCATTCAAAATGCACAGAGATTCGGGCTCAAGTACGATGGTATGAGAGCCTGCTCTATGGTCGCTGAACGCCGCTAAAATAATTTTGATAGGACCGCCCTGACTTCCCACGAGAAGACTGCGTACATAAACGCCGACTTCTGCCTCATCAACGCACCTGCGAAGTCGGGTTTCGAGGGAGCTGTGACACGTTGGGATGACATCCAGTGGCCACACGTAGTTCAGTCTGCCACTGTCCACAATGTCGGTGCCTTTTTGCCATTCCACCGTTACTACTTGACTGCGCATGAGCATCTTATTAGGACCGAGTGTGGATACACTGGCCGCATGCCGTAAGTAGAGTATCGCCGGAAATGAAAAGATCCAGTCCAGCAAGAAAACCAGCGTATGCTGACCTTTGCAGATATTGTAATGAATTCGCTGCCGTCAAGCCTATCCCTGAACAAGAAAGACAAACCAGCCCGGAAAACGAGAATCGCATGGCCCGCCTAACGTCTTTCCGGCGATAGTTTACTCGGTGCGCGCGCCCTTAGCTCGAATCGGCCGCAATCACGTTAGGGAACGATTGAAAGGCCTGAACATCCATGTAACCTAGGAAGCAGCGGTGACTCTGATCGGCTCATCGAATGCATTAATCGCTTCAAATGTTGACTCAAGTATACAAACTGTGCAACACAAGCACTACATGAAGTGCTTGATATATATCTATAATGACCATCTACACGAAGAGAACGCTACTAATCTTGCTGTCAAATCCCCAACCCGCCGTAGAGTATGCTACAATAGAATTCCGAACCCTGCCAGCCCTGGACAGAGGCCAATCCTCCAGGACCAATCAAACCGCCTCTCTTTAAGCACCAGTCTTACCGCCAGCCTTGGTGCCCTTTCCACCCTTCGCACCAGTGGTACCCTCCGACCACTTCATCTTCCTTCCAGCCCTACCGGCCTTAAGAGCCTTGACGTATTCTAGGGCACGAGCCTTGTTCGACTTGCTAGGGCCACACTCGCCCTTCTTCGGGGGACACTTGCCGCCATTCTTCTTCTTCTCGGCCGCTGTACATGTCGGGCATACTCCACCGTTCGCCTTCTTCTCAGCTGCTGTGCACTTCGGGCATGTACCACCATTTGACTTCTTCTCCGCCGCCGAGCATGTGCTCGGGCACTTTCCGGCTTTCTTCATGGCAGGCGTGCACTTGGCTGGGGTGGTTGTGTCTTTGCACTTTCCAGACTTCTTCATTGCAGCAGTGCACTTCTTAGTGCCAGTGGTGGGCTTCTTGGCGGGCTTCTTCGTTGTCTTCTTGCGCCTACCCGCAGCCGAAGGCCTCTTCCGGGATGTGCGAGAGCCGCGCGCCCTTCCTCGGGCTTCAAGAGGAGCTACTGTGGCGACCTCGACGCCATTAATGGTATCGATGTCATGAGTGGGGGGCGACTGTTGGGCGAAGATCTCCTCGGCACGTTTAGCATTCTTGGGCCTGCAGTGAGCATAGCGAGCCCAAGGCAACTTGTCCCATGCTGGGTGGTTATTGGGAAAGCCGGAGAGCGGGAATTGAGAACCGCCGTGGGGCCGATTACCGTCTACATTGTGTGAGATTTTGGCACTATTGCAGAGTGTGGAAGAGCGACTTACACATCGACTGGCTGAAGTCCTTGTTGTACACATATTCGGACTGTCTGGTTCCGCCTTTGCCATTGGAGCTGTATTTGTACCAGCCTTGGACCTGTTTCCACGGAATGGAGTGGATGGCGGCAAATTCCAACTCGTGGGGATAAGGGCTGTAGCCCTTCAGAGTAGCTTCAACATCGATGAGCCCTTCATCAGTCGCAATCTTGTAGACGTAGGCAGAGCCATGATGGTGATCTAGAACCCAGCCTTCAGCCACTGAGTGCTTCCACGTTGTTGAAACGAAGCCGTCGTTGTCCATGCTAGCACCGTTTTTAGCTCCCTTGCAGTGCCTGTAGAGACTGACATCCTCCCTGTATCCGTTGGTCCAGCCTTTTGTCTGGAAACCATCGGAGGCCTTCAGCACACTCGGGGAGCGGCCATCCGTTCGCCAGACATATCTGACTCCTTCATTAATACGTTTGTCCAGAGAATGGGTGGTGACGTTGGCAAGGTCTTCGGTATCACCTCCGAGGGGTGCGAGAGGTGCCGTGTTGCCGAGAGTAGCGAATAATCCCAGCAACGCAAGTGGAGCTTGCCAGAGCATTGTGTTCGTATTCTATGCGAACTGGCTGAAAGAATGTATGAGGTTTCAAACCTGAAATGAGTGACTAAATGACAAGTTGTTCAAAAGATTGTTGGGAACATAAGCGAATGAATGAAACGAAACGGAACGAAACGAGGAAGTGAAGTCCTGCTTGCTTGCTTGTGGCTTGCTTGCTGGATGAGAACACTCAAAGTCGCACAAAGAAGGCCTTTATAATGGTCTCTGGCTGTGCTGCTCGCGAACATATCAGAACTACGGAATTCGGAAATACAAATTTGATCCGAATCATGGTGCAGACGTGCGAACAGTACTTTCACAGCCCAGGAGCTGTTAGTGACAACGATTCGGTGGAGCGCTATGCTTCAAACGAACTCCGAGTGGTCTGCATTCCTGTAGTCTAGGCCGTAAGAGGCGTTCTCTGAAACAACATCACCGACTGGGTTATAATAGTACCAGCTGTTTCCGAGAACGGTCGACCTTCCATCGGACTTCTAGCGTTAGCGTTCTGCAACAGATCGCGCTTGCAGCCGAGTTGCCGGTTAGGAAGAGCAGTACCAAGCAACAGACCCGGCTTTGAAATCCGACGCAATGGGGCCAAATCCTCCGGTAGGCTGCAATGCACGTGCGATTTGGTAGCGCTCGGTAGGAGATGATATGATCTGAGGAAGAGAGGTCGCCCAAAGGGAATCGTCATCCATTATGTACCGGAGATTTGAGTGTGTGAATCCTACCAAACGAGATGGTGCCAAAGCGCAACCCTGCAAGGTGTCTTGCTGAAGACGACTTGCCAACCGTCTCATTCAGATTTATCGTTCAGGTACGCCTTGGAATCCTCTAAGTGCATGTTCTAGTAAAGGAATGCTGCGGGGAGCAAGCATAGCGCCGTGTAGAGAGGACACAAATTCTTCGCGTCAGGAGCCAAGCGTTGCGGGCAAGACGTTTCAAGCTACCGTACTGGTAAGGAGGCTTGGCCCCCGCGCTAAGCGGCACAGCCTCATTAACTCTGCGTTCGCACACACGCCCGATCCGACTTTGCGATCTTTCTTCATCGCCAAATCGTGACTCTTACCATTTTTCGTGTTTCTCGTTATCTCAAAGCACCTCGCATACGAACTGTCGCCTCTTTCACCATGCGCGAAATCCCCGCCAGAACACCTACATACCATCCCATCAAGGATCCGGCTACAGCAGAATGGGGCCTTGCAATTAAACGTACCGACTATGAAAAGCTCCTTGAGGGATTCAGGCCGAGAGATATGGATGATAAGTGGTTATGCATAACGGAAAAGAATGACGCTCAAGGCAACACAACCGTCCATTGGTACAGAAGCTGGGGCAACATGGAGTACTACACGGTCATTGTCGAAGTCCAAGATCCCAAACAGGCGAAGGAAAATGATTGGGCAAAACTCACAAAGATTACTTGGGAGAAGTTGGTGGGGGGACTGGAGGTACCTGTGGAAGAAGCAAAGGGAGACGTCGTCGATTTATGCAGAGCCTTCGTGGGCTGCGAGTTCGAGAATGCTGGATCTGCATCGAGGTCAGAGTAGAATGAAAGTCCTGTATTATCCTGCGAGGCAGTGTCGGCTAGATGTTGGTACTCGGGATCAATTTTTGGCTACACCTCTTTTCGTCTTCCGAGGAGGTAATACAACAGGCAAGCGCAGAGAAGGAACACCAAGCTAGCCTCCAAGATCCTTATTACTTTTATGACTACTACCTTACTAGCCTACGATTCTCTCTACGTTACTTCCTGCATAATTCTCGGTTTGCTTTAACACATAACCGGTCTAATCTGTGATTATCCAGTTCACGCTTCAAAGTTCACACCCCCGTCGGCGCATAAAACAAATCCCATGGAAGGTTATCAAACGTTACTAGTTGTTCTATCCGTAGAACGCTTTTTGGAAATCCAGTACCATACATCCACTTCATTCCCATATGTACCGCCTCCCGTTGTCAAGCGCCGGAGCGATACTGTCCACTGCTCCATTAGACGCCTGTTGAATACATCAACTTCCGCATGCGGTAACGTCGCGTCTTGTCAGATTTTAGACCGTTCTGGCTTGACTGTAGAAATATTTAATAAGAATAAGATGAATAGATCTTTCTCAATCATTTTTTTGTCTTCTGTTGTTCACTAAAGTTCTTTTAGACATGAGTATCTGACACCTCAATCTGACAAGAAACCTGAGCGTAACACTTTAATCTGACATAATCCCAAATCCCAGGTTATCTGACAACAGGACTCCTGAGTACAGGCTTTGACAGTGAGGAGCACCAAGCTCGATTCACCTCATCTCCTACCAGCTGGACGAACACCGATATTGAACTTGCCTAGCTTCAACAGGTTTGATCGCAATACTGAGGCGAAGACGCGGTCGTCCTATCGACTACTTATCCTCGACGGACATGGATTCCATGTTACTACGGATTTTATCGACTACTGCGACCGGAACAAGATCCCCCTTACAATCTATCCTCATTCGATCCATACGCTGCAGCCGCTCGACGTAGCTATATTTAAGCCTCTCTCAACAGCCTACTCACACGAGATCGCAGGATTCGTAGAAAGAATCCAAGGCCTCACCTCAATGAGCAAGAGGGACTTCTTCCCCCTCTTCATGGTAGCTAGGGAGGCCTCGTCTAGGGAGCTTACGATCCTAAAGGGCTTTGAGGCTACTGGCCTATCGTCTTTCAACCCCACAAACGAACACTAATCTTCTGATTTTTGGGCCACCCTATCAGAGGCCCCTAAAATCCCAGCAACCGAACAAGCTCACTGCGCTGATTCGGAGAGTACCTCTAACGTCCACCTAGCCCCCCGCGCTGCCGCGCAAAGGAGCTTGTCAGGATGGTAGAGTATCCCTCCTAGCACACAGGGTCCCCAGACCCTGAGATCCCTCAGCAGCTTTATACACGCGCCCCAAGACGGCCCCAGGAGGACATGCACCACGATGCACCGCTTCTGAGCAGCCAGAACCCTGGTGGGGGCGCCCCTAAGCCTCAAGTCTCTGATGCCGTCTAACGCCACATCACCAAGACTTAGCAGATTGTCTAGCTATAGGACACTATCACTATGGCTTTCGCAGCAGCGGTAGACCAAAACGTAGAGGACTACACTAACCTATAAGAAGTCAAGATTGCTGAGGAGCTATAGCAGAGAGTCATCCAGGCTCTAACCTCCCGGTCCCTAAGTAACTCCTCCCCTAGCTCCCGCTGGAGCAGTGACACCGGCCACAGCAACCCCAGCAGCCAAGGGTCGGGACGCCACTCTTGGGCGGACGTAGCCAGAGACCCCCACATCTCAGATAGGGGTGGCATCCAACCCCTACTGTTAAATCCAGAAGGGTAGCTATTACTAAAGGGTTAGGTTTGGTTCTCAGGCAAGACAACTAAGGGGAAGGGAAGGGGTCTTATTAATATAGTGGTATCTTGCAATGTGTAACAAGTTAATGATATGGCCTAAGTGTAATTTAAACGATAGATTGATAAACAGGTTGAATATAAATATAAAGGTTCATCCTCACGTTCCTATATATAGGCTACGAGTGGTAGTTAACCATTGGCCACATTAGTGGTAGTTAGTCATCGCGCGTTAACTATCGGTCACGTGTGTGGTAGTCAACTATCGCTCGATCGATGACTATTAGTCATGTGACTTCAAGGCTTGGCCCTGTTGGCGCCCTACGGCACGGTTGCCGTGGTGGACTTTATTTCGGCTTGCACCAATCGTAAGCATAGTTATAATATAAAATGAGGTTCCGACCCCGTCCCGGGTCTGGATCCTAACACTCATCGTTAAGGCCGAGCGGTGGTACCTACTAGCCAGGTTATACTAAAAATTTGCTGCGGATGTATTTCTATATCATCACGTTTCGAATTGCCTAGCTCGACCATGATTTTGATAGGTTGGAGGATGTCATTCAACTCGCATGATGTGTCTCTACATTTTTGGGTCTCGAGACTACAGATCCTTTCCTCAAGATCTTCTAACCCTAATTAAAATTCAATCTCCATTTCTTGAAGTTTTCCCTTACTTCAATATCTCCCTTCGCTTAAGGTAATCATCACTGGACAGCGAGATTGTTAGTATCCTCTATGTAATGACCGCTAGTCCCCAGTCCTCTGCATCTACTGAAAATCGAACGGAATCTGCCAATTGAAATCACCGGTGACTTCGATTCTCGCGTACGAAGAGAGATTATGGCAAATCCCTCTCAGAGAGGGGCCGGTGCAGACCTTCATGTCGAAGTTGACGTCAGAAATTGGATTGAAAACACAGTTTGCGGAACGCCAGAGGTTTAACGTTTGGTGGAGAGGGATGAAGTAATTGTCATAAGGCCCACTACAGCCCCCATCAGGTCGATGCTGATGACTGACAGTAACAGCTTGACAGATGCCGAGGACGAAGGTTGTCGAGAGAAATGATTTCATAGTATAAGATTTTTATCGATGTGAGGTTGTCTTGCAAGGAGTAAATAATTGCTTTAATCTATTGCAATGGATGGAACAAGAGTAAGTATTTATATCCAGCCGTTGAGACTGATGGATATTTAAGATGTGCTCATCATAAAATAGACAGGTGACATTCCTTCTCAGCCATCGCTTCCTATGGGAGTATCACGCTGGGCAGTGATGCAAGCCCTTCGAGTTAAAGAATGGACTAATCAAGTGTCACCCATTAGATTCGCAAGACCATCTAACATTCAAGTCTCATGCGATCTAATCCCTTATTAGTAGGATGCTTTCACCATATAGGTGACTAGAGCTACTTAGCTAAAAGATAGCTGACCTGTAGCGGTAGCAGGAAGCTATGAAGGACTGTATTGATTCCTATGAGAGCTGATACATGAGATGGTCTTTATGCTCAAGCTTATCGGCCCAAGAGGCTTGTATCCCTCAGCAGCTGGCGTACACCCAATTAATCTCAAACAGCTCCAGTTCCGTCACATGACCTCCACCGGTGGAGCTATGGGGCTGGGATCGGCCCACATATCCGTGCCCCGCAAGTATCGCACAATGAGTCTAGAACCGTACCAGGCCTAGAAAATCTTTAATGAGCTACAATGTTATTAATATAGGCGCACATTACAGTAGTACATACGCTTGGACTTTGTACGAGTCAGCCTGTGTTACGAAAGGCGGTCACCTCATTCCTTTGGGGAATTTTCCTCGTACCATTAGGGTTAAATTCCGCGAGATGTTTGGTCCTGTAGTTGCGAAGCTGCCTATTAGATCCCTTAGCCTATATATGCCCGTGTGCGACGTCCTGTTTTTTATGATTACAAGACCGCATTCTTTCGCGATCTGTCTATCGGGTATTTTCTGCCAAGGCACGGTACCCACTAGACCAGGGAGGGAAGCAGTACGTAATTGGGGAACATTTGCTGGTAGTTTTATAAGAGCGCTCGAATGAGACAGGTTCGACTAGTTTCGCAAAGGCTGGGTCATTTGAAGCATAGAGCTTATCAAACGCACTAATGTCACATATCGCAAACCAGGACCAAAACATTCCAAGGAACGTATTTCGAACCCTATCGAAATGTAGCTCAGCTTTTGCCTCGTTGGATTGCCGCAATATGTCAAGTCATCAGTGAATTGTAAATCTGCAAGGAGCTGAAACACAAAATTACGAGTATTTCTCGGGAACCGATAGCTCGATAGAGACTTTCGTAGATAATTGACTCCCTGCGAAGCAGCCCAACAAGCGAAAGCGGCGCAACAACAACGACGCTGAGGCACAGCTAGGCGCTTATTGGTATAGTACAACCTCTACGCCTGACGATATTTTCCTAGTTTGTGGTATGTGTTACAATTTCGGCGGTGACAAGACTTGCGACGTCCCGGACCAACGAACCCTCGGGCTAATCGGCATCCCCAGTTTCTGCTAGCTTGACCTTGTGCCCTCAGGTCTCATGATATCTCAGTATGCTAACAAGGGCGTTTTAGCGGATAGTGATCTTTAATACCATTTACTTAATCCCTACAAGGTTCCGAGAACAGGAAGAACTGAGATCCCCTGTTGAACACAGGTGGCACACCACCTGCCGGCTAAGCGATCAAGACTGAGAACTCAGTAAGGAACGAGATGATAAGATATGAAGCTCTCGTGTCATCGGCAACCAAAGCCTCAGCGTTAACTAGAATGTTTTCTGGGTGACGATAGGTTCTACTTCTACTGATACCGCATGAAGATTCACTTGCGAGAAAAACCTCATAATAGCTCCAATGTCTTAGATATAGTGAAACATCAGTTGCAACATGCTGCCCACTTGACTACTTCGGCAAAGAATGCTCCTATCCCGACCAAAGACTGCAACCGTGTCCACACCTGGGGTATTCCACAGCTCCCCCCACCAGCTCATTCGGTAACATCAGAGTTGTATTCGACAAAACAGAAGCCGCAAACTTCCAAATCCGCGCCATTTGCAGCTATGTCCCTAGGCTTCATTTTATTGCTGGCGTTAGATTTATATCAGAGAACACATCCAGCATTCATTCATACCTCCGTTTCTTGATTATTTCAGCATATCTACTCCAGAGTAAAATGCTTCCAACTTACGAACAAGAATAGGAACTGCCATAGCGAGGGGCAGAAATGCAACGAGATAGAGTCCGAGCTGCATTATAGATGCGAGACACGTCGTTTGGGATGTAGAGGTACGTCGAGCTGATGTGTAGAGAGCAACGAGGATTAGATTGAGTTATTCCCCAGACTCGAGGATTCTCTTCGAACATAT